ACATCGGGTGTTGTTGTGGGGGGGGGGGGGGGGGGAAGGGGGGGGGGGGGGGGGGGGGGGGGGGGGGGGGGGGGGGGGGGGGGGGTTGTTTCACAGGTTTTTTTTGTGTTGGGGTGTGCCGGAGGGGCTGTTGGTTTTTTTTTTTTTTATTTTTTTGTTTTTTTTTTTTTTTTTTTATTTTTTTAAAAAAAAAAAAAAAAAAAAAAAAAAAAAAAAAAAAAAAAAAAACAAGGCAAAGGAAAGCACGATTTTCTGGTAACGGCTGTCAAGCTGTGGTTGCGGCGGGAGGGATTGGCGGCGCTATACATTCATGATGAGGGCGAGATGGGCAGCGATCAGGGATCCCAGAGGCAGCATTGGCGATGAATATAGGTATTCCAGCGAAGGGAGAACCTGGCGATAATATTTCACGGGTACGAAGATCGGAAAGAATGGGAGAGGAATTTCACAGGAAGAGAGACATAAGATGGGGGGGAAAAACCAAAAAGGAGCAAAAGGGCAGGATAGCAAACGAAAGGACAGGGGCTCCAGGCCACCCAGGTTAAATCATAAATACTCGACTGCTGTTCCAGTACAGACGAGAGACGGGAGTCTTAATGACCGGTGTTCAGGATATTAAGGTAGAGATCAAGATGGATTGATGGATAGATTGATTGACAGGAAATGCGAAAGAGAAGGAGGGGGAGACAAGACGGAGGAGAGAGCTGTAGGCTGTAGGAGCATGCACTCTGTACTCCGTACAGTATGCATAAGTCATAGATACAGAACTAGCCTTAGCGTTACCCCTGGATGACCCACGTTGCTAAAATCCAGGTCCGGTCTATTTCCATTTTCCAGGGGGATTCTGCCCGATAAGCCAGTATTTACCCGGCCCCTACTTCATATTAGCAGGCATGTACTCCGTCACCCGTGTATGTAGGTACCTGCAACTCGAAGTATGCAGGCTCTCGACAGTCTCGGTCCTGCGTCGGTTTTTATCTTACTGGTTTCACTTGACTCCGGGGTATATTATGTAGTACATACCTGCATACACATACATCCGGGTACTTACTCCCTACTCCGTACTGCCTGCCAAGAAGCTGACGACAGACATGAAACTTTAGACTGTCATGGCGATTGTGAGATTCTAATTACAGACCCAACTAGTCCCGAACAAGGTAGCGTCTTTAAAGTAGTTCATTGTTCGCAATACTCCGGAGTAAGCACGGGTCCATCGCTATTCGCTTAGTTTTGGGATTTATATAGTATACAGTAACAATACCCGTGGAAGTTCGTCGGTCGCCGTTGCCCTAGGTACTAATCTTGTCCGATTAGTTGCATTTGAAGATACATGGCAAATACCAATGTAAAAATGCATGCCTCCACAAAGTACGAAGGACCAATTTTCAAAACTCGGTGGGCCTATACTACCTTATAAGCCATTGACTCTCCATGCTTGAAGAGCAATCGTATACAACGATTTGTTGGTATACATGTCGCCTTTTAGATAGCTTATCAAATAGTCGTCTCTGTCGTAAGAGTGTCCGTTCACCCGCGAGCTCATGGAAAATTGAATTTCGGTCATGCATTGGGTGGTATCAAAACAAACGCCGCGGTGTTAAAATGGGTACCCGGTCCGCTATTAAGTTGTAAGATCTGAAGTCGCATCACTTGCCTAGTTCACCCAGCATAAGACCCCGATCAGACGATGCGGAAACAACTACAACCGGGTTTAGTAAGATAAGAGAAATAAGACAGTGCGGGCTCATTGAAGACTTACTGATAGGTTCCATGTTCGGCGAGAACCGTACGTCGTTGACAGTCCCCTTGTGACCGGGAAGCTTGTACAAAAGTTTACCAGTCTTAGTCTCCCACACAACCACGCTCCGATCACCGCTTCCTGCGGCGATTTTCTCGCCACTCGGATCCCAGCTTGCACGGATGAGGTTCTTCTCCAGGCCAACGGGGGCGCCGTCATAGGTCTTGATGTGCCGATTCGTCGGCGCGAAGGGTCGGATATCCCAGGTGCAGACAGTCGAGTCGTGGGAGTTGGATAGAAGAGTTTGCGAGTCGGGCGAAATTTCAAGAGAGGTAATGGTGTCCATGTGCCCCGCCATCGAGTAAGCCACGGCCTTCTTGCGCAGGTCCCAGACGTGGATGGTATTGTCGATGCCACCGCTGTAGATTTCATTTCCCGTCTCCGACAGGGACACCGCAGTAATAGGCAATTCAGACTCCAGGTATTCAACCGCATCCTTTTGCCGAGGATCCCATATTCCTACACAACCGTCGTCGCTTGCGCTCACTAAGAGCTCCTGTCCTCTTTTGCTAATATCGAGGCAATTGATGATTTCTTCGTGACCGACGTGGCGCCGAATTCTCTGGCCCGTTTCCAAGTCCCAGCTTGCAAGTGTCATGTCGGCCGACGCGGAGAAAATCGTCTTGGAATCGCGAGACCATTGCAGGTCAAGGACGGCCCCTCGGTGGCCCGAAAGAACGCCGTAGTTTTCGCATTGTCCGTACGTATTCCAAAGCACTGTTGATGTTACATTTAGCGACGGTCGCAGTAATAGGGCCTTTGCAAAGACTTTCGACGGGGTAACGTACGGATGTTTCTATCCATTGAGCCGGAAGCTATGTGCTGCGCAGTGGGATCAAATCGAACGGAGAAGATTTCGCCGGAATGGCCTGCAATCTTGCATGTTAATATATAGTCCAGATATCATTAAGTTCAAGCGTAATGGCTCTCACCTGAAAGCTCCATAATTGGTGCATCCAGCCCACTGGTGCGGGGAACCTGGACTTCTGGTTAGCGATAATCTGGAGGCGAGATAGTTTGATTCCGCGGGAGCTCATGGCATAACATACTGATTGAACCAGAGCTCCATTTTGCGATGAGCTTTTGACAACAGCTGTGCCATCATTGAGATCGGCGTCCGACTTCTTTCGTTTCACGACGACCTGGTTAGACGAGCCAAAGGCCGTTTGAGCGGGTCGCTTTTCTCCAGACATCATCCCAGTCAGGTTCCGTAGCCCACAAGGTAGAAATTAAAGGTTGGGTCGAGGGGTGGGGGTTGAGGTTCAAGGGACGAAGGGGAGAGCTATTAATGTTTCTGACGACCGCCGATGCGGACTTCTTCACAGACGCGGAATGGCCGAATAATTAGCCGCGGTAAACGCGACATCTGGCCCACCAGGCGCGCGAAGCTCCGCCCTCCGTGCCTCCCCCCATCGCTCCACTGACTGCGCGGGGAGGAATGTACTCTCTGAACGTCGTTTCAAGGATATAACCAAGTGCGCCTGCTATCAGATACCTGGCTCTTATTACTGGACGAGACTCGACCTTCCAAAATCACATCTGCCACCTGCGACCCGCCAAGGCTTACCATCGGAAACATGTCTACTACCAAGGCCTCGAGAATCGGAGAAGAGTACGTCGCATCTTTCTAAACCCAATCTGTGGTGTTATCATTTGCTACAGTACTAAACGTCAATCTCTCACATAGGCTATGGAAGTCAGTAAGCTGAATGCCGTTGTTTCTTTCCCCATCCACTCAACCACCACAACCGGGGAACCCAACACTCTGTCCTTCGAAACTAACATCTACGATGATACGTTTTAGAACAAGGGTTGACAAAGTGAATGCGGAGCTGGTGACATTGACTTACGGGACAATTGTTGCGCAGCTGTGTCAAGACTACGATAGTAATTACCAGGAAGTGAACAAACAACTGGATAAGATGGGGTACAATATTGGGATGCGACTTATTGAAGATTTCCTTGCCAAGTCCGGTGTTGGCCGATGTGCGAATTTCCGAGAGACGGCCGATATGATCGCCAAGGTACGACTCCCGCGTCTACACGAGCTTCTCCCCGTTTGGGTTTCGATTTCGCTGGGGAACTAACCAGCGTCGCAATTGGACAGGTCGGATTCAAAATATTTCTTAACGTCACACCTACCGTGACCAACTGGACCAGTGATAACAACCAATTCTCACTTGTCTTCGACGAGAACCCTTTGGCCGACTTTGTAGAGTTGCCGGACGATGGCAGAGCACAGGACGAACTATGGTTCTCTAATATCTTGTGTGGAGTCCTCAGAGGGGCATTGGAAATGGTATGTAGACCGTCGTGAGGATTTCGGTCTCATCTACGCCTTGGTATCACTTCCCTGTGGGACTGTGGCTAAATTTTCTCTCTAGGTGCAAATGCAGGTCGAGGCACACTTTGTCAGTGATGTGTTGCGGGGCGACGATACAACGGAAATGCGGGTATCTCTGGTGAGGTACATCGAGGATGAAATGCCCCCGGAGGAAGAGTAATCGGGCCTTTTTTCTTCAAGGAGAGCAATAGTGTAAACATCATGTGGCGTATGGTGTCCTCGAGCTTTGGGTCTTTTTTTTGTTCTTTCAAACGCACATCTTTCTATGTGAAGCTGGTACATAGCAATACATATCAGAATTTCTTCTATTTAGGTGGACAATGATTTTGTGGTCTATGTGTCTGTGCTGTTACTCTTCATGTGAAAGAAGGGAAGAATGTATCACAGGTATTCATCTATTTATGATTGTTTCTTGGATTGCGGGTCGCGAATATTGTCCGCATGTTTGACTATACCAAGCGTCCAAGCCTACCTAAATAAACATAAGAAAGTTGATACATAGCCGGTGAATAGAATGAGACATGTTTGTTGAGTGGAAATTGAACAAATTCAATCCCTGTATTCTGAATTCAGTGAAGAGATGCTGATAAGGTGCAGAAGGATTAAGATCTACTTCATATAGCCTAGACTAGAGCAATGATCGCCCAGGAATTTTTATGCTAACTTAGTCATCTAGCCGTGACAAGCTGCGCACGGCGTACATTAGACACTATGTTCGGTATAATTCCCACATAAAAATTGAGATAGCGACAACTCGACATGACTTGTAGTCACTCCTGACTAAGTAGTTAATGAGATGATTGCCCGATGGTGGCGCGTGGTGGGATAAATAGGAGAAACCGCAGGATCTCCTTCACAAAGGATATAGAGCATAGAAAGTAGACACTCTAATTGCATTCCACTTTCCGATCCACAATCTGGGGAATATTACTCCGTACTCCGTAATGAGCAGAAGGAGCAGCAGAGCAATCGGTAGCGATGACAATGATCTACAGAGCAAATTCTAATCCGCCGGAGGGGCACCACGTGATGCGCCATACCCGTCGAGGTCGCTGCCGTTCTGGGAAGTACGCGTTGGATTCCAAATGGATTCATCCGTTCTTCTGCAACGTCTTGTTCGATGCCTCGCTCCTTTGCCTGATCATTATTCATTTCACTCTAGATGCCATCAGCGCCTGATTCATACTTGTCATTGAATTGTGATACTCCTGATCACACCATTGGGCTCTGTTGGGGAATTGAACCTCATCCCACTCTGTCCACTCGGGAGAACATTTCTACGCTATCCTTACCTACTATGGGCGGTTACTACTACTAAGTATAACTTCTCAACTTCCACCTACTTCTAGATATTCTACCCTGCCTCTTTTTTTTTTTTAGTCGGTCTTTTGTACGGTCACAATTCCCTTGCCTTTCCTTTTTTTCTGATTCACTCACGGTGATTCTTTTCCACCAGCGACTTAACTGGACATCTTGATTACAACTTCAATTCTCTTTTTTCACTCACACACACACACACTCTCTCTCTCTCTCTCTCTCTCTCTATTACTATCGGATTCTCCATCTTCTGCCTCAGTCACATCACGTCACCAACGAACCTGGAGGTAAGTACAGTACTATCTCCCGGACTTTCGGAGTGCATGCTCAGAAATACGCGAGCCAGCAGCATCTCCCAGCCCTCCCGCCGACCTCCGAGCGAGATAATCCGCGCCGAACAAGCGATTCACGCCCAGCCGGCAGTGATTGAACAGCCCAGCACTCCAGGCACCGCGCCTGATATCCACGTCCTCCCACCCACCAGAACACCTCAGATCCACCGCAACACCTTGTCCTAACCTTCGCCTCCCACCCCCCCTCCACCACCTTAACTTATTCTGACCGGGCCTCGCCGTGTCTCCTCTTTCCCTTTTCTGCAGGGACCTGACAGACATTCTTGTCTCTTAGGATCTTTCGGGCTCTTCAATTTTCCAGTGGGTTTCTCGTCGGATTTTCTCTGACTTTCCTTCCCTCTCCTAAACGCCGTTCCCGTCTGCTCTGGTGTCGCTTGTTCGCCGCCCACCCCCCGGTTGATCCTACCGCGCATTTTTTTCGGCTGGATTGTTTGCACCGATACCTCTGTATCCTCTCCTTCTAGACTTTTTCTTCTTCTTTATCTCTTCTCTTCCTTAAATTTGTTCCCCTCTTTTTTTTAATCCTTTCCGGTGGCTTGCTCCTTACCGCGCCGTGAAAGCAACGTCAGATTCTTTCGTTTTCCCTATCTCGCATTCTGCTCCTGAGCGGATCACACTTGTCTCCCTGTAGGTGATCATCGCAACACCTTGCCTCTGCGTTGTCATCGATCTAGTGGATCCTTCCCTGATATCAGACGATCTGTTTCGAGCCCCCATTTGGGCGTCACAATTGCCTGGTCTCTCAGCACCGCGTCTTTTCACCCAGTCGCCCGCGCATACTTGTCTAACTGTTCTTCTCTCTCTAGGGTTGGAAGCATCGGTGACTCCGCTTCTCTGTTGAATTCTCCCCCCCGTATTACGATTGCCACGCGCTCCACGTCTTACCTTGTGGTGAGCTCCCTCGCCTCGAGACGGTGGATGCGCGTTGAAGAAAAATCTAGTTCCAACGCTCTTCATCGAGGACAAGCATAAGGTGAGGGTGGCTGAGCCACGTGAGTGCCACCATGAACCAAATGAATGTCGCTGGGATGAACCCTGGAGCCGGGGGCCCTGTCGGGGGTGTCCCAATGGTCAACAACGGCTCTGCAGCTCCTCGTAACGATGGAACCATGAACAACATCTCCGAACAAATGATCAACAATCTCAACACATATATCTATGACTATTTCCTCAAGCGCGGCTACCACGATTGTGCCAGGGCCCTCCTGAAGGACGACGCGATGAAACTCAGCACGGACCCGCCAATTAAATCGAGTCCTAGCCATCGTCGCGATAATGAGGTGAACGGTGTTGATGGCGATGCCATGATGACGGACGGAAAAGATGGCGAGAAAATGAAAATCCCCGATGACTTGCCGCGACCCAATCTTCCCGGCGAGGGTCCACAGTCCCCTTTCCTCTTAGATTGGTTTAGTCTTTTCTGGGATTTCTTCTGGGCTCAGCGCAGGAAGGGCAACAACAATGATGTCAGGCAATATCTTCAGCATAACCAGGTACGCACCATTGTTTTGCGCAATTTAACCGACTGCTTCAAAGTCATAGGAAGCAGAACCAGGAGTCAAAAAAAAAAAAAAAAAAAAAAAAAAAGACGGAAGAGAAAGCATGAGGAATAGCTGACCATAAACCAGAACGTGATGCGCATCAGAGAACAGCAGCATAACCAGCTCTTGCGACAGCAGCCGATGATGCCCGGACAGCTTAACATCCGTCGGAATGGGGTTCCTCCCAATCTTCAGAAGACAGTACTGCAGAACAACACGCCTGGCCTGTACGCTTATCCTTGCACCCCTTTGCAAAGCAAAATGTGAAATCGAGGGGCTAACTAGATGTTCTTATATAGCTCTCAGCAGCAGATCGCTCAGCTCCACAAGAACCAGCAGGTGCAACTGATGCAGCAAATGCAGCGAGAACACTCAGATATCGACATGAACGGCCACCGTCCGCAGTCCCCGTCCTCGGCAGACAATGCTCCCTCCCCATCGAAGCGACCCCGGCTTGAAGGCGCACACATGAATGGTCAGCAATTGGCACCCAATGGACGGGGTCAAGGCCAGGGCATGCCTGCCCAACCGAACCCCCAAGCGATCTTGATGCAGAACGGTCTCAACCCGCGGACGATGAATCCAGCCCAGTTCCAGACTTCATTCCCCCAGTCGGGCCCTGCTGGTCAGCAGAAATCTATCCAGGTATATGCTCAGAATTTAGCCCTTCACCACTCACGCTCAGCATTGAATAACCAGGGCATGCCGAATGGTTTGATGAATCCCGGTGTCATGCCACCCCAGACGGATCTGGTACCCATGCCAGATGGCCAGGGTATGTACCCGATGAACGGCGATTACTATGGCGCAAATGGTCAAATGGCCCAGGTTCGGGCTGGAATGCAGACACCTGGCGGTCAGCACGGGAACCATGCACTCCAGGATTATCAAATGCAGCTTATGCTGCTTGAACAGCAGAATAAGCGGCGTTTGATGATGGCTCGTCAAGAGCAGGATAGCATGGCCCGTCCTGACGGCCAGCCCCCAATGCCTGGGCAGCAGCAGGCTTTGCCACCAGGCACCTCTCCCCAGGGCAGCAGGGCGGGCACGTCACCGAATCCCAACGATCAAATGAAGAGGGGTACGCCAAAGATGCCCCAGACCGGCCTTCCCGGATCCCCGAGTGCCGGCGAGGTGATGGCTCAGGGTCGCGCCTCCCCAGCGTCTATGAGTTTCAACGGCGGTCAGATGCCTCCTGATATGGCCAACCAATTCTTCGTGAAGGGCATGCCCGAGGGTATGCCAGGCCCCAACGGCATGCGCCCCCCGAGCTCCAACCCGGCCTTCACCGGTCCTCAGATGGGCCAGCCCATCCCCGCCGGTGCGAACAACCGGGTGCCGAGTGGCAGCTGGCAGCCGCAGCAAGGCCCTCCGGGTCAGCCTATGGCGCCGCAGCCGTCTCCGGCGAGTCAACCTCAAGCTACCGGAACTCCGCAGAACAACCCGATGCCTCCCCCTCAAGCGCCGCCAGCAGCTGGTGGCAACGCCGGTCGAGCTTCACCTCAAACAGGCGCCGCTCCGCCAACGCCGCAGCAAGCCAACAAGCCCGCACCCAAGGGCAAGAAAGATACCAAGGACAGTCGCAAGGTACGTGACCTTCTTTATCGACTGTCTTATTTTAATCCTGTCCTTGTTTTTTATTTCCTTTGTCCCCTCTCCCTTGAAAATAAAAAATGCTGAACGCAATTTAGCGACCCTCGAAGAAGGCTACGACCGCGGCCGCAAACGCGAACACGGCGGCTACTCCGTCTTCCGAAGCGGAGCATCCACCAACTCCTACCCCATCTACCCCTATCACGCCTCAGCACCCCAACTCATTTAACAAGGCCGGTGCCAACGCCACGACGACCGCTCCTCAGCCGCCGACTTCTGCCCCTGCGCCGCAGCCGCTTGTGCAGCAGCCCCCTGATCAGAGTCAACAGTCTTTCAACGACCTCAGCATCCCAGATGTAAGCTACTTTCCTATGTTCTGTGCGGACCTTGTGCTGACCACTATGATAAGGCGTCTGCTTTCAACCTTGACTTCAGCGCTCTGGAGAATCCTGATATTCTGGAGAATTTCGACTTTGACACATTCCTCAACACCGACGCGGACACCGCAAGCTTTGGGTTTGACCCCAACATGCCCTACACAACCGATGGTGTTGAAACCGGTGCCGGCGATAGCTTGTAAACGAGCCCAACGGATATTCAATTCATCCTCATATACCCTTCCTTGTTTTGTACATTTCTAAATCCTCCTCCATTGTGGTATTCGGCTTCTCTCTTGCTTTCGAAATTCCCCTCTTTTCCTAGTCTCTTCCTTTCTTTTATTTTCTCTCTTATACTTTTATTTCCTTTTCATTTTTCATGTGCTTTGCTGTTGTCGCCATGATATTGGATATGTTTCCGTGAGACTGGCGTTGGTGTACCCGTTTCTTGCATATCCTTTCATTTATTGAACCAACGAGACGTTCTGAATCCCCCTGAAATGGATTTGTTTGTGGCCAGGCTGATTTGCTGTGACTTTTTATGTCTTTTTCGACTCGATTCTTCCTTCTATTCTTATTATTACTACTACTACCACTACTTCTTACTATTATCTGGCTAATTCTTGTCTCTATCGCTCCCCTATGGGCCACAAACACACTGCGTGATATTCGTCTAGCGTTAGTTCATTCGTCCGTCATCTTAATACTTGAGATTATCACCGAAGACGTTCTTCCTGATTGGCCTTCCTTCCTCTCATTTGAAGCCTTTCTCCATCTCCACCCATTTTACCTTTTTTTTTCCTTTGTCTATCTATCTCTATGTATGTTGCTTTATTCTTTATGGCGTTAACCTACGAGGAACTCAATTTTGACGACTCCTCTGGAAATGAATGGTTTTATGAATTGAGAAGCTTCTTCGTTTTCCATATTTCATCTCATGTCCTGATCCCTTCCTCCCCCTTCCCTTTTTTCTTATATTTTGCTTTTTTCTTTTTGTAACTTGCTTTTATCCTATCTTCTTTCCATATCTTCCAATTTAGTTTTTTCTAACTGCCCCTGGCTTCACTTGCTTGCTTGTTTGTTCGTTTGCTGGCTAGCGTGTTTGATGGCTAGCTAGCTGGCTAGCTGGAGACAGAAAAGAAGAACACGATGACCAAGACCGGAAAGAAAAAGCGAACAGATCTAGTTCAAATCCATTTACATTTTCTTCGTTGCTGCAACGCTTGTATCATTATTAAATGCATTCTTTCTTCTTTCCTTCTGTCTGTCTGCCTTCTTGCTCGTCTGCCCGCCTGGTACAAGTAAAGGGAAGTTGAGAAATAAGAAAAAGAAAACAGTATCTGTTAGCGGAATATGCTTAACCCAAGGGTCTGTGAAGAAATTTGTTTATCGTTCTTCCTGTCTCTGTCTTCGGTCTTCTCCTTCTCTCTACCCGCCACTGTTCTTCTCTATCACCTCCATGTCCTCCACTGTTCTGGATAGTCGCAACGTAGGTAAGATAGTATTCGTAATGTAATTGTTCTGTGCATACAGTATACCCCGTGCCTAGTCAATCTGCATCGAGTCAAGGTGTTCTTTAGGCATTGCCTTTTTCATAACTTTTGTCCCCCATAACTCTCGAACACTTTGGGCCTTCGCAGCCGCTTGTTCCATCAGCGTGTCCTTGACCATGTTGATCAAGTACTGACACACTCTCTGGGCACAAGTCTCTTGAACCTCGCTTACGGTGCAATTCCCTAAGGACACCTCCCCGATAGCTCTGGCACGAGCGAGGAACAAATCACTCTGGAAGAACGCAGCGGCATACCAGTGACCCATTGGGTTGGACCACATTTCCTCTAGTCGTGTGGCTTTGATCTGGGGGTGTTCCAGAGAAAGTAGATGACAAATCTCTGGATATACAAGAACTGGAACGATCCTCCTATCGAGGAAGGATGCGAAGGGAAGAAATTGTTAGCAACCTGATCAGCGCATGCTAAGAATAGGGAGACGTTACTTCGAAGCCTTTCACCATGAACTTGCATCCCCGCGAGCTCATGTGCGATTTGCTGTGGGTTTACCGGCCATCTACCCGTGTCTGTCTGAACAGGTACTTCGACTGGTGCAAGTCTGCACCTTGATACTTGTTGTATTTTGGAATCTTCCTCCCATTGACGATGCAGTACTCTGTGTATGACTTGTCAGAAAGGACAACTGAGCACACATAAAACACCTTACTGGGTAGAAGTTCACACCAGTCCCAACCAGGACCGGGAGGCGAGTCGCTGGGCTCATTTGGCACGATCCATCGGGGAAATTCAGGCCCGAGCCTGTCAAGAGCCTCGCGACAGACCTCCACCTTGGCCCGTTCGGGGGATTTGTCATCTCGCATCCTGGTAATTGTGTGACCATATACGGTGAGCGTGACACCCCAGGTAGAGCCCTATCCAGTATTGATAAATTGGAAGCGAGGCAATAGAAGCTCCTGTATTGCAAGGATCCCAAAGTAGAAAAAAACTTCACTTGCATTCAGAGCCACGGGGTTAACTGATTCTAAATACAGGAGACTCGTATGAGACTATGCAAACGATTTGGTTAGAAACGGAATCTCTAGCATAGTTTGAGACGGACCTTGACTTGAGGTATCGTCTTCACCTCAGGGGGGATGGAAAGCAGCTCCTGGATTTCCCCTTCCTCGACTTCATCCTTCAGATCAGCAGGGGATTTAGGAGTGTCGCTCGTAGAGAGAGGGCATCTTAAGGCGGAAGAAGCGAGAATCAGGCCCCAATAAGGGGAGGAGTTTTGGGCCCAACGTGAGAACCCCCAGGAAGTACTGAGTGCAGAGGGCAAAGGAAGATTCCCAGGAATTACACTTTGGGACGCCAATCCACGTGAAGGTGACTGGTCTGCCATCATATGTTCTAAAATATGAAATCTAGTCACTGACAGACAAGTGGGAGAAAGGTGGTAAAGAATAATTAAAAATCAGAAAGCGTAGAGAGACAGGGACCGAGACAAAGACACAGAGAAGCAGGGAAGCAGAGAAGCAGAGACACACACAGAAAGATGGAGAGGAGGAGGAAATGGAGAGAGAGGAGATGCAGTGAGAGGGATGGAGAGGGAATGAGATGGAGGAGAGAGAGAATGGGGAGGAGGGAAGAAAGGATGAAAGGGAAAAAGAGGGTTGTTGACAAGTGATCAGTCGGAGGGGGGGCTCCTACTCAAATGGGATTGCATAGCGGGGTTATGCGGGAGTCACTAGATGAAATGGCATTGAAGATGATAACAAACTTTTATTTTCTTTTGGTGGCTAAGAGAGAGAGAGAGAGAGAGAGAGAGAGAGAGAGAGATAATACATGCGTTGGATAAAGGTGATATGGGTTTCAGTGAATGGAACTCGCTTCAAGTGACAGCGTGGACTGCACTCACTCAGTAGAAGAAGGTGAGAAAAGGGGAGAAAGCAAGAGCAGAGTCGCAGATAAATAATACAGTCAATCAATTGAAGTAACTTCAGACGTGCTCCTCATCAGCTGAATGCTAGAATCGAGGAGTTCGTCCAGGCCGACTCGACGATCCTCTGAGACGGGCGACTCTTGCACAGGCGGGCATGAGATCGATTCCTCTTTAGAAGGCGTGATGCCCTCGCCACGCGCAGAACTGATAGACCGCTGCCTTCTTGCTTCAGTTGGAGAGTCAATGTTCCCGCTTAAACGCCTGACCGTCTTGGTCGGAGTGTTATTGATTTTTTCACTCTCCTTGCGTGGTGTTTCCCCAGCACTTTCGTTCTCCTTGTTGTCCTGAGACATTCCCTCTTTCCGACTCTTAACATTCACGTTTGGGCTGGCATGCAACTTGCTCGATGCCGCGGCCTCTGTCAAAGGATCGGGCAAGAGGCTAGACTTGACGCTCGATTCGGATGCATTTCTGGTTCCGGCCTGAGAGATCTCCCTGAGAACGCAGGATCGACTGCCATCCCTGTTGTAGGATGCCGAGCGTGCTTCGGCTGCAGCTGAGAGCTTGCCACCTACCGGGGCCACGCTAGACGGAGTGTTGGTCGGTGCATGGGTGCCGCAGGCGAGAGGTTTGGGTGGACTCAGCGCCTCAACCAATTGAGTATATGCCTCCTCGTCAATCGGCGCGATGATGCTGGGGTGCTTGCTGTGTTCGTAACTAGCGCCAGTCATGCTTGAGATGGCCCGGCTACCGGTCGTGCTAGAGACATAGTCTGGCATGGAAATGTCCTCCCAGGACGGTCTAGCACCGCGATGCCGGGCAGCTGGGTCGAGAACGTAAGGATCGATATAAGCATCCGGCATGAATGGCGGATCTTGGGGCGCCCACTTGGATTCTCCGAGTTTGCCTGGCCACTGAGGGATGAGTCCCTGGTAGGTTTTGTACTGCCAGGTACTTTGTATAGCTGGGTTGGCGACCTGAACGGTAGACGTGGCCTGCTGGGCGCTGTGTCTGGTTGGCGAGTGGGTGTGAGTGTCCTCTGGCTCCTTCAGTTCGCTGGCTCCACTTCCGGAGTTGTATTTAAAGAGACGAGGTTCACGAGTCCACATGGCAGCGTTTGGCCAGGCAATGCTAGAACATTCTAAGACATCTGTTTTCGGTGGAGAAAGGGAAACAACGTCAGAGTGAGCTCTCAAAAGGGCTTCGGCAAGACTTACGGAGAGGAGCATGCTGGAAAGAAAATGCCACAACCTCTTTGACTCGCTCAAACGGCGGGGTGCGATGTGGTCGCGCGAACCCTTCGGAGACTACCACGCGAATTCTTCCATAGAGCTCGCCAGCATCCCAGTATCGTTGCTCTAGGATCTCGTGATGGAAAGGAGGAAACCGAAGCGTGTCCTGATTGCCACTCTTGTCGACATCTAGAAGGGTAGTGTATTAGCAAGCGTGCATCACGGGAGCAAGGAAGCCATACAAGAGCTCAGGTCTATTCATCGAGTTCACATCGGTTAGTAGAAGAGCCATACATCGCAGGTGTTCGGAGATCTAGCAGCTTACCGATCACATGGGGCCAGCTAGTCCTCTGACTGAAAACACTTCCCCTGAGCAGTGACAAACAACCATTTGTTAGCTTAGCTTCTCCATAATGAGTGCTACGTTTTGGGACGCTCGAATACTTACGCGACACACAGACCGTCGATGAAAATTCGAATCTCAAAAAGCAGAGCATCTTCAGGCTGCAAGAGACTGTCCATCAGCCGGGTGGGACGAGGCTTTTCCCAGCTATGGATGGACACCCGGAAGGCGGTGTTCGGGGCGATGCTGGGGATGAAGGTGGTGAGAACCGGCAACAGTCCCTGGTTGCCTTGAGGCAAATAATACGAGGCCGGATTGACGAGCGCAGGACTGTGCAGGTACGGGGATTCTAAGCGTGAGGTCTGTCAGCGAATAGATCTCTGCAGTCAGACGAGGGATTCACTCAACCTGTATCCTTAACGACAAAACATTGGGTCTTGAACTCCTGCAGAGGCACCTTGGAGCTCTCTGGAAACAGAAGCACGTCCCAGTTCTCGTAGCGCATCCTGCCTGATCTGCTATGGGTTCTGCTACGGGATAAGATGCGAAGCGAAGTATCGTAGACTTAGAATACTGAGGAGATAACAGAAGTAATGTCAAGGAAAAAGAACAGACGGCACACCGACGAAGGCGGGTGGGGGAGAAAGAGAAGAAGAGAGGAAGGACTCTGTTGTTGTTATCAATTCACTACCTCGATCACGAGATGCTCCTTCCGCATCGAGGCGCAACGCAGAGAGGAGGCAGGCGTGGCCGAAACAGGCCCGGCACAATCCCGCGCCCTATGGCTCTATCGACATCAGTTATCTCATAAGAAGTGCACTGTGTTCGGATTCTCACTATCTCAAGGTATGGAAAACGCGATGGAAAACTCATGGCAGAAGGGGGAATCATCCAGGAACAAACGTAACTGTTTGAAGAGTGTCTGAGAGAAATGGAAACAACATTTACGGATGACAATGATACGAGAACGCCCATATAGGAATCGCAAATGTCGTAAAAAGAGACCGCCGCCGACCTAAGAATCGCATGCAGACAATAAGCGGGCTTCAACCGAGAACTCCGTAAAGGGTGCTAAAGGACCCAGCAGTCTTTCCAACCTCCCGAGTAACTACAAGAACGAATGCTCAATTGCAAGGAAGAGATGCCTATCCAGTCTCGGCGTCGTCACACAACACCAGTCACTTGAGAAGCAGCCGCAACAAGAGAAGGCAGAAGAACAGACCCGGGAAAAGACAGGCCACGCAATGACTGGCCAAACTCAAGATGCACAACCACAAAGGGAAACGGCGTCGAACGAGCAGAAGACTAAGACGAGCAGTGAGAAGACGAGAAAAGAAAAAGGCAATGTTGTACAGGCCGGTCTAGCAAAAAGGCATGACGTAACATCCTCGGTGTGGAACACAATTCAATTTGAACTTGAAGATGAACTTTTCGCAGAATGCTTGCCCAAGGATAGGAGGAAAAGAACAGAAATAAAATAAAAAAAAGCACGTCAACGATACGATTGGGTAAGTCATACGCGTAACAAGAACCTAAGAGAGAAATAATAGAGAAAAAGGGGGGAAGTAGAAGAGAAAAGATTGGGGAAGACATTGAGAGTGGTAAAATAGAAAAAGCATCAAGTATGAAAATGGGGATCAAATAAGGAAAACAGGATAAGATGAAACCATAAGCTCGGATCTTGCTAAAACGGAAGCGCTCACATATAATGAAGTACGTAGCACAGGAGAAAAAAACGCCCATCAGGAGCTATAGAGGGGAACTTTGGCGGAGAGAAATAGCAGACTTAGGACACAAAGGGCCCACCATAGGAAAATGACGCAAGAACTCCTGCTGTTGCTTTCAAAAAAAAAAAGGAACGCTTTTTTTTTTTACTAGAAAGGTTCGTTAACAAGACTGCATTGTTTTTTCTTCCCACTAGACGCGATAGCAAGGATTTAAGCAGTGTCTTCAGGGTGACCACCAACCTTCATAGGTGCAAAACCGCCGTACTGGTGGGCAGGGGGCATGCCCATAGAAGGGTACATCGGAGGCGGAGGGGGAGCAGGGCGGTAGGGGCTGCCGGCGGGACCGGAGTTGTTCTGAGAGCGGCCCCAGCTCAAGCGCACGCGAGAGTTACCGATGGGGTATCCCTGCATCTGGTTGATGGCCATCTCGGCAGCGTGGCGCTGAACGAACTGGACGAAACCGCAGCCCTTTCCAGGGGGAATCTTGACGTAGGTGATCTCGCCGAATCCCTGGAAGAAAGAGCGGAGCTCATCCTCGGTGACGTAGCCAGAGAGTCCGCCGACGAACACGGTGGTGTTGTTGGGGTCGGTGAACTGGTTCATGGGCTGAGGAGCGCCGTAGAAGCCCATGGGAGGAGCACCCATAGGGGGGTACATGCCCGCGGGACCGGGCATACCCATGGCACCGGGAACAACACCGGGACCCTTGTTCTTGGGGGTGGCAGTGGAGATGCGCATGGGACGGTTGCCGCAGTAGACACCCTGCATCTCGCTGAGAGCACGCTGCTGGTCGTTCTCGTCGGAGAAACGAACGAAGCCGTAGCCACGGGACATGCCGCTGATGGGGTCGGTCATGATCTTGGCGGACTTGCACGAGGGGAAACGGCTCTGGAAGAGAGAGACGAGGACGTATTCGTTGACCTCGGGGCCGAGGTCACCAACGAAGATGGAGTACTCGGGGCCACGGTCGTCACGGCTGTCGGACATACGTTAGTTCCATGTTGGTTTTGGCATCCCAGTCAAATCAATTCTTACCTGCGGTCGGCAAGACCTCCACCGGTAGCCCAGTTCAGCTTGAAGAGACGGTTGGTGTTGGGCATGGGGGTGCCGTTCAGGGACAGGGCCTTGGCAGCGGCGGCGGGAGAGGCAAAATCGACGAAGCAGTAGCCGGCGTTGCTCCTACTACCATCATTAGGATCGCAATCAAATCAGAGCCAAGAGATTCCTTGCTACTCACCCAGAGAACTTGTCGCGGATCATCTTGACATTGACCTGCTCGCCCATCTGGAACCAGAGGTTGCGAACGAAGTTCTCGTCAATCCAAGGCTCAAGCTCACCCATCCTGTAGAACAAAACATGGTCAGTTCAGGTCGCGGAAACATGGCGCGGAAACACGCATGCTAGGTCGTTCCGTACCAGAGCGTAGTCTTGCCATCGTTGCCCTGCTGGGGAACGGCAGCATTGGGTTCACCGGGAGCAGGACCCTGGAACGCGGCGGTCGTAGGGTCGGCCTGACCGGTCATGGCCGTGTCCGCGGGAGCAGGGGCGCCAGGGGCCGCACCGGCAGCGTCCGCAGCGGGGTGCTGGTTGGGGAAAGATTCAAAGTTCTGGAAAGACATGTTGACGTGAAAATCCGATGATCGTAAAAATAACTACGAGAGCGGTATCTGTCAAAAGTTCACTGTTAACTCAAAGCCCGTTGTCCATGGATGCGGATCATTTCATCATCGCCAACCAAGCGCCCGGTGACGAAGAGAGGACTGCGCATACCTCAAGAAATTGCAGGCAAATGAGCAGAAACCCAAACGAGAAAAACTTTTCTATTCCGAAAACGGCTCGTGCGACTGAAACTTCGTTGTAGTCGTCAAGGAGTGAACAGCGTATGATCGTTCAGTACTTGGAGAATGACTGAGAGGGTATTTTCAATTCCTAAAGAGGTTGACAAGATCAAAATTAGTTTTGCTGTCAAAAAGAAGGAAGTTGACGTGCAAGAGAGAAGATCGTGAGCGATCGACGAGATGCGAGAAGAGCAAAAGCGAGACAAAAGGACAAAAGTGAGATGAAAAGGTATCGAGTGATTTAAATCGCAAATGAAAACAAAGTCGAGCTTCAAGGAAGGGCGATATTCGTGAAGTGAATAATTTCCGACGATAAAGGATGGGATGAATTGGCGGAAGAAAAAAAAAAGGTTCGTAAAGGCGGATGCAGCGTATCAGCCTTGCTTGCTTGCGCGGTGCCGCACTCTCGTTGCCAAGACCAGGATTCAGCTAGCGACGCTTCAGGACATGAGGGCATAACCGAAGGGCTCGAATTTCGGGCGCAGTTCGATTATTCGGCAGTGCAATGTCCGAAAACGCGGCGCATGTCGACAGGATCCAGAGGCATTCATCAAGTCGCAACCGCTTTCGTCGATAAATCGTCCCCGGATCCATCCGTCCCGATCGCGACCGTTCTCGTCGGCATTGATCCGCTTTTTCCGTTGATACTGAACGACCCCCATTGCAGAGCCAACTTCGAGTGGCGAAATGCCATCAACTGAGCATTTCATAGAGACGACCAACAGGATGACCTCCATCGATAGTTGAGCCACTGCCTGTGACCACGGCACGATATCGATCGGCTGGCGCATCGAGTCCGCTGCTGAATCTGATCGGTCGGTTGGATGCGAGACGGCTCCAGAACGAATTTGCGACAAGATCCTCGACGGTAGGGAAGGCCACCCGCGCCATCGCAGCGACCCATGGCAGAGTATGCACCGTGGCAGCGAACCAGATAGGGGAGGGGAGGGTCAAGGGATAACGGTCCGGTAAAAGGTAGATATAACCATCACCACCCGGGAGAACAAAAGAGACAAGAGGCAACCAAACAAGACTGATTTACAAACAGAATAAAGAAATCAAAATCAAAATCAAAAAGACTTACCAAGCAACAGAAAAGAAAAAGCAAGCTCGTAGATAGGTTTGCACAAAAGATGCGTTGCTTTGACGTGGCGCAAAAGACAAGTAGTATGCGTTAAGACGTTATACTGGAGAAATCGAGAGAACTCCGGCCAGATGAGGCGAGAACTAGAAAATAGAAATAAAAAAGATAGAAAAGACACTGAAAGCGTTACTAAACTATCCGCAAAACCGACTCCGTCTTTTCCGACAAGAACAAGAAACGGGAGAAGAAAGGAGAGGGAAAGATGGGAGGAAAGGGAAAAGAGAAGAAAAAGGAAAAAGGCAAAAAAAGAAGAGGGGTAGAAGAACTAGCAGATAATATTCTTTAGGATGGAGGGGGGGGGGAAGGGAAAGGGAGAAGAGAAAAGAAAAAAGGGAAGACTCCGAGCAGAGAGAATAATGGATTTGCTAGTACTAGGGCCCAAGGACGGCAGAAGCAGCAGAGTCGATTAGACGAACGAACAAACGAATTTGGGAATTCAAAGAAATTCAATTAAATCTTTTATTTATTTTCTTTTCTTCTGTTGTAATTCAGATGGAAAAATACATGAACCAGCGACCAATGCAGGACGAAGACCTTCAGAACGGGCGAGGGCGAGGGAAAGAGGGGCGAAAAGCACTGCCAGCTGGGTGGGACATGAAAGTTTGCCGACTGATGTTTTCTCTCTCTCTTTTTTAATTTTTAATTTTTAATTTTTGGTTGCACTTTTCGGCTCAACACTCAGCGGCGTGTAGATCTGGATTTCCGGTGGGATCGTGTGTGGCCTTTACCGGGTTCTGGTATGTATGTATGTAACTCGTTGTATTGGCCTTTGCTTGTCTGGCAAAGCATTCTGGAATTGAATTGGAGTCAATGCATTCGTTAGCCTCAAGCCATATTGCAATCTCAGCTACGAAGTAGAAATCATTCAACGGGTCTAGCCTATAGTCTCTACTCCGTACAGACTACAGACTGGCTAGTGTACACCGTATGTATCCAATGCTATCATCCGCTGCCTGAAGCCTCCCAGGACTCCGGAGTAGTCGGGCCAATTCTGATTCAAAGACCCAGGTCAATACGCAGATCGGCAGTGATGATGGCATTGTTCGTACTCTGTACTGACTCTGAGTAAGTAAGTACAGTGAAATCAGCAGGTATGCGAGGCCGGTATTTTAATTTGGTCGAACAAATTAAACCAGGCGAACCTGACATGATTCTTATTTCTCCCCACCTGCACTAACCACGTAGGAGTTGTTCATTGATCATTCAAAAGCAAGTCGTGAGCCCCTTCGGATATGATCTGTCGAGGCGTCGACTTAAGAAATTCTCATAGAACAACCTTAAATGCGCTCCTGGTCTTTCAGACACAATATCCCCCCGGCTTTCAGATACACCGTGGTGACTGACCCTACGCTATAACTACGGTGTACTCGACGAGGTCTCCAAAGACTCAATCATCCCTGCACCCACCGATGTGGTTTTAATAAAGATCTCTCGACTTGATGTAGGGGGCCTCTGAGACACTGAGATAGCATGTTGTGTAAGTGTATCCAGCCCTGTCGCCAAAAGCAAGGGGAGGGAAAGGGCAAACTATGGTTCCTGGTGACGCTACCAACCACGAACAATACGGTGTACATGGGTCGGAGGAACTGGACTACACAGTAATAATAATAACTGCTCCGTAATACTACTCAGGAGCTAGGGTGATGCGCACATGCAGCAGCAGAGGGTGATGTCGAGGCTTAAGACTCGCGACTCTCTGTTTCGTCTTTCATTATTACCCCTACACATACAAACGAAGAAACAGAGAAGCAAAGATAAAATGCCCCCTCCCTTAGGAACATTCTTCTCAAGACTTTTTTTTTTTCTCTCCGCCATTCAGACTGTGACTCGTCGAGTCCCAATTCGTGACCATGGGTCCTATCGTCATAACTGTGGCCGTGTCTCCGCCCGTCGCTGCCAATGCGCGAAGGTCATTCGATGATCCCTTTCCATTTGCGGGCACGCCAGTCAACATTGTTTCTTTGGATCGCCCCGTCTTGCTCAGCCGGGCAAAAACAGCTCCAGGCGTCTAAGACCGCTCGAAACAGGACGATTTCAAGGAAGAGCTGGAGGGAAGGGAGCTGAGAGGACGGGCCACAAAAAAAGAAAAGAAAAAAAAAGTCAACCCAATTGCTCCACCGAATACTCCGTATGTGCCAGAACCATGGGATCGTGGATCTCTCTCGAGGCAGGGAAAGAAAAGAACAAAAAATTCGAGACGCAGCAAGGGCTCATGTTGTTTCATTAATAATTCACGCAGGTTCTTTCATGCATGAGAGGCCCACGGTATTAATACCTTCAGTTACTACCTCATACCCACCTGATACCAGATCAGAGCCGTTCGAGCTGGGATGGGGGAATTTAGGGTTAATAATAGCAAACACGGGGTGGTCCAAGCTGCTCTCTAGCAAGTTAGTGCCATCGGTGGTTTGAGATATTAAGGGTTTGTTCGGACAGCCCTAAGAAACATGGGAAGGCCATCTCTCGCCAGACGGAGGTGTATTCATAGGGAAGAGGCCAGAAAACCCGCCCATAACTCACCAAGTAGGGGGGGGCGAGAATTAGCAAGCCGGAGCAAGAAGTAACAGGCTAACAGCCCTTAAGAAAGGCCGACGAAGCTAAAGGCCAACTCCACCAAACCAGAGCCATGGAAAGCTGGCCAGCTGCCCAGTCTCATTGGCTGGATGGAGTCGACCGGCGCCCGTAATTTTGATTGCGGTCGATTGGGGCAGGAAAGGAAGGAAATAATTGTACCTGAAAGTGAGGCCTTCAGTGTCGTGGGGATCCTCCGCCGCTCGGAAAGGCAGGATGTCTGGTATTTGCAATTCGACTCGGTATTTGCTGTTTGTCATTCTTACCACCGAGGATTCCCCCAGACATTACGCGTACGCGACGCGATCTTCCTTCACTTACGGAGTGCTTCCAAGACTACAGTCTCCATGCAGCTGTAGGCCTGCTATAAGCAAAGAGCACCCATCGATACCTCCAATGAGCATGAGCATGAGCCTGGATCATGACAATCTCGATTCTGTAAGCCGGGGGTTGGACAACTCGACCTTTCCTGTTTCTTTCCCTTGCATCATCGATGAGAGGGGAAGGGAAAGCCGATGACTGGTTCTGGCAGATACCTGCACATGCTTGTCGACCAAGACTGGTTCCGACATACATCTCCGTCTGTCTGTCGGTCGGTCTGTATGTATGTTCCTGAGCTAGGGCTCGTCCCTTGCAGATGCCCATTCAATTCGAATGCTCTGTCTGTCTGTATGTCTTCCCTCCGCCATTCTGATCGTTCATCCCTTGGTGGATGGAATTGTCATGAATTTCTTACTGTAAGCAAGTAAGTAAAGAGTCAGTGCAGAGTAGGTTTCCTTTGATGGACCTTGGAACCATGGAACCGCCTCTGCCCAACAACACCCAACAACACCCAACAACCCTGATTATTCTTCCGCCTTATTCCAGTCCCAACCTTTCAGCGTTGCGGTACCGATTCTTCGGTGTATGTACTATGTAGTGTGTATACGCAGTAGAAAATAGTAATTCAAGTAAACTAGAACAATCACAAGGAATCAATAAAAAATTGACCACTCAAAAATCCCAGAACCCAGGATCCCAAGAAAGAAAGAACGATCCAACACGATCCGCCCGACTCCAAAACCTCGCCTTTTTTTTTTTCATTTTTGCCATGTGGTTCGAGCAAGATCTCGTTTCTAACCGGCCATTTCCGTTCTTTGGGTTCGCCTGTCCACGATCCACCTTTCTTCTTGTGTAAGCACTAATTAACCCTGGCTTTTCTTTTGGTTCCCCACTCATTCAGCTGGAGGCAGGTTTTGGTTTGGGCGAAATAAAAAAAATTTCTTCCTTTTGTTCTTTCGTTTTCTTTCTGGTTCGTGTTAAAGAAAGAAAATAAGAGAATTGCGCGGTTCGTGCCACTCACTACCTTGGTGTCTTTCATATCTTATGAAATTATTTCGGTGTGGTGTATACCGATATGTAGGTAAATGCCTCAGGATTCAGGATTCAGGTTATGAGTGGATTAGTCATTAGTGGCAACGACAACCAACTGAACCAACCAAAGAAAGTAACTTACTCCGTGGTTTACAGTATACAAGTCCCTTCCTACCATACCATCATCCCAAAACATACATACAAATCCCATACATTCGAAAAGCTCAAAGGCCAAAAATCATATCTGACAACCCCCATCCTCTCCATCAACCTCATCCCCCATAGCCATATTCTCATCACAGAACTCACCCGCTCTCCCCAACTCATCCCCTAGCAACTGGATCGTCTTCTCGTAGACCCGAGCCGTCTCCATCTCCCAGCGTCCGGGAGCATCAGCATAGACATTAGAATCAGAATTAGAACCGTCCCTCGTCCCGTAGACACCCTCCATCTCCAACTCATCGTCATCATCGTCGCTCTCATCCTCATCAGCCAACTCATCGACCGTCTCACGCGCCTCGACAACTGTCACGCGACACGTCTCGGCAATACTCTTGATGCGGACCTTCTCGGTCATAGATACGACGTTCCGGTGCGTCTCGAATCCAGAAAGCGGGACGCCGGAGTCGGCATCTTCGCCTGTGAGGAGCGAGGCGAAGACCGTGTCTAGTTTCTTGAGAAGCCGGAAGGTGGGCTTCGAATTGAAGGGGTAGTCCGGGAGAGAGCTGTTTACTAGGACTGCGAGGGAGATGAGGTATGGGATTTGGAGGGTTGCTGTGGGGGAGGAAGTATGGTCAGGGGTGTTCTTCTTTTTGGGTCTTGTTTCTGTTTCTGGGGTTGGATGAAGGACAGGGAGGAGGAGTAAGTCATGTAAGAAGTGGGAGTTTAGACACGATCATCCCATATACATGACCCAGCTTTAGGTAGGTAGGTACATAGCCCACCGACTATTAAAAAAGAAAAGATGAAAGGATCAAACATACGAGTTCCACTAACCCAAAGCACATCGACCAAACCCTCGATGCCTTTGGCAACTTCCTGAAAACTCTCGTAGCCTCGCTCTGACTGAACAGAGGCAGGCTGAGAGGGATCTTCGTAGGCGCTGCTGAACTTCTTAGCATGGCGCCGATTGATGGTCAAGATGACCCGGTCAACGTGGTTGATGACGGTCGTTTCCTTGGTGGATCCTGGCCGCAAGGGGTGCGATCTCTGCTTAGGCAGGATGGACGGCGTGGCGGTGGATGATGAAGGCGCGGGAGATGGTAGAGAAGGCTGCATGAATCCCCCTGCTGTGCTGGGGATATCGGAGGTTGAAGCCATTCGATGTAAGTTGTATCCCTGTATCTCGTAGTGATCCCGAGGTGGGGTTGGTTGCCAACAGTTTGATGTTCGCCCGGATGGAATGGATACAGCTATGTTTTCAGTTGAGACAATCGTTCACGCCAGCTGAGCTTTCGGAAATATGATCTTGTTCATCAACATGATCAGGATGGCGGACGGGTGATTGAAGATGTCATGCCAAGCCTGGATGGCCCGTGCGTCGAGCCCACAAAGAGTGCATTGCATGACTTGCATGAGACCAGAACATCGCCAGCTATGGATCTTGCTGGGCTCAAAGCAGAATCAGTACTTTAGAAGATACGATGGAATACGACGATACGATAGGATTATTCTGAATTTACACTGAGCCGCCAGGCTCATAGCATTCGGATTCATATGTTCTATATGTCTAAGCAAAGAAAGAGTTGTACCTAGCCAGAAGTCTATCGTTAGCATGAATCATACTAGTCCGGGCGGAAGATCAGAAGTAGAGTATGCTTGGTTTCAGAAGGTGAGAAGATATGTTTGTTACGCTGGTTTTTGCAGGCATGGCATGACATCGCATTGGAGTCTTGCTACTCTGGCCCCAGCGGACTCATCATTGCAAGCGAGTGAAACATGAGGCAAAATAAAACGATGGAAAAACTTACATGACCCATTGATGCAAATAAAACCCGCAGAACTTTTGGTCTAAATCCCTGAAACGCCTCGCTAAACGAATCGACGCCGATATGAGAGACCGCATTACTCCGGCTAGACATTGATTAGCAATTTTGATTCATGAGAGAAGCAATTTTCGGGCGCAGAAAAACTCACCCTGATCTTCCCCTTGCGCCTCTTCAAATCGTCCAGCTTCTTCTTGTCCTGGTCGAACTTCCTGAGAAGGTGTTGCTGTCGTTCCTTTCTCTTCTCGCGCGACTGGAACCGGTAGAAATCCTCCAGACCCTGGTTCTTCTGCTTCTGCTTCTCCACCAGCGCCTTGGCCTCCTCCTCGTGCGCCGTCGACGTGAGCTTCGGCCCACTGGTGACGGTAATGAACCCATCGTCGTCGGGCTCCTGGGCCCTGCGCGCCTCGTCCCGCTTCCGTATCTCCGCCACGTGCTCGAACAAAGTCATGAAATCGTTGACCGTGCGCAGCAACTCCGCGCGCGACGGGAACCGCGCCTCCTGATGGTGCAAGTACCGGGGGAGGCCAAGGGCAGGCAAACGGTCCTCAATACCATCGCCCCAAACGACCAGGGCAGACTCCTTCTTCCGGTTCTTGGACGCCTTCTTGGCCGCCTTCACGCTGGCCTCCATGCTCGGCTTATCGGCGAAGACGACGACGGCGTGCGCGCCGCTCTTCTGGAGCTGACGGTCCCACGTAGAGGGGAGCTCGATGTCATCCAGCTGGTTCTGGAGCTCGTCGGCCGTGACGCGCTTGCGTTTCTTGTTCTTCGACACGTTCCCCTGCGCGGCGACTTGCATGCTGCCGCCGGTTTTCTTCGTCGGGACGGATTCGAATTCGACTCGTTCCACGCGGCCGGCGGAGAGCTGGGTGCCGAAGAGGTGGCGCAGGTGGAGCTCTGTCGTGTCGATGGGAAGGTTGACCACGAAGAGCGAGCGAGGGGTGTCCTGGTCGGGGATTCGTGGTTCATGAGGCCGGAGGTAGAGGTAATGCGTGGCAGGGTCTGCAGATGGGGATTCGGGGAGTTGGACCGGGAGGACGGTGTAGCCTGCGATTTCCTGGGATTCTTTTTTCATTTTGCCGGTAGGATAGTAGGAAAAACTATGTCGTAGATTGGGGTCGTCCGCAATTTCAGATAATTGCAAAATGTAGAGGTAAGAGGAAAGGTTAGGCGGCGTAGGAGAAAAAAAATATATTAGAGATTGGCGCGGGAATTTTTATTTGAGCTCGGAAGGCGGAGAAGATCTGCCATCTTAAGACTCTCGAACTAAAATCGAACTAGATACTCGACAACAGATAACAGAAAACAACAACACATAACTTGGAAATCGACATGCTGTCGTTAGCATGAATTTAAAACAAACTATTAACTTTGCTGTCTCATGAGATGCTTTCAAGCATGAGTTTTCTTTTCTTCCGCCCTCATTATTTGTATCATTTCCGACATCATTGAACTATATTTTATCAGGATCGTTGATTCCCCCGTTGGTAATGACATATGTCGCCTCGCGTTCAGGACAATCTGTTACCAGTCAGATTAGAATAAATCACGGTGAGAGGGATGCAAACCTGGAGAGTCCTGAATCTTAGCGACCCGTTCCTCTCCACGACCTTTGCGAAGAAGTACCCGAGTCGTGGAGGCATGTGCTAGAACATGTCCACCAACGGGTTTACGACCGTCTGCTCCGGCGAAGAGAGCACTTGCGCCAGGGTCACTCTGCACCTGATTTGTCTTCCGAGAAGCTTAGACACTCTATCATTAGACGGGAGGAGGACATACTGACCATCAAAACACAAACATTGAACTCTAGATCCAAAATCCACGTTAGAGCATACGAGACACCAAAGGAGAAAACGAACGAGATCCATACCCTCAGCTATATGAGCAAGTTTCATCAAGAACTGGTTCAGCTTCTGTTGGCGATCTGCCAGCTCACCGCGTCCACAATAATCTACGCGGAAGCAGTTCATGATACTGTCAATGATCAAGAGTCGATACTCCCCAGCAGCAAACTCCTTGCTCAGGGTGTTCAGTAGCTCCAATTGATGTTCACTGTTCAGGGCTCGCGCATAGGCAATATTCTCCTGGGTGGAATCCGGGTCGACGCCGAAGCGCTCTGCGATCTGCGCAATACGCTCTGGTCTAAATGTGCCTTCAGTGTCGATGTAGGCGACCTTGCCATCTGCGCCGCCCATCTCCTTGGGTAGCTGTGCCACCACAGACATGGTATGAGACAATTGGGTCTTTCCGCAGCGAAACTCCCCGTAGACTTCGCTGATACTCATGCTCTGGAAGCCACTAGAGTTTGTGATGGTTAGGAGCATAGCCAGCGCAAGGATACTAGACTTTCACACCCTCCTAGGATCGAGTCGAACTGTTTACTTCCCGTCGAGATCTTCACCACCCTTTTCCGCTGATGACATAGTTCCATGGCGGTGATGAAGCCGGAGGCAGAGGGCTGGATGGAACAGTCAGCGTGGTGCAGATATTCGTTGTCTGGGAGAATGGCATACCAAGCATTTGTGAATCGCATCTTTGATCTTTTCGACCTTCACTTCACTGAATCCTTTGATCTTTAACAAGGTCTTCCGGGTAGCCCCATGGACGGACTGAATCAGACAGTTAGTGACTATGGTAAAGACTCAGCGGAAAGGGATGGTGTACCGCCACAGTATAGAAACCATTTGCCTTTAGCTTCGTGATGTCGGCAACACCGATTCCTGACACCTTGTAAGCCTTTGCTGTGCAGTGAGGGGAGAGGTGCAGACCATGGGCTTGAATTGAATCGATATCTACGATGAACACCTATTGGAAATCAAATTAGACGATGGGATTGGGAGAGGCATGTGCTTTGAACATGAGAAGGTTGACCGTACATCGTCATCGAACTCGTCGCTTGAGTTAGACTCAGGCATGGTGTGCTTTTTGATGAATGACCAATGACTGAGAGAAATTGATGATGCTTGGATTCATATCCGAAGACAGCGAAGGATTGGCCGGTCAAGGTGGATGGGGATGGGGAGGGAGAGGAAGAGGAGATGGGCCAGCATCACGGGATTCAAGACAAACCAGGCAACATCACTCAGACTCGACATACCTTCTTACGCAGGAGCAAAGGCATCGATGTCTGGCAAAGATACATTCTCAGCTCAGCTCTCTACCTAGATCTTTGCCACTTCCTAGTTTGAAATAGGCGCCTTCCGACACAGTTTGTTTGTTTGAATTTGAGATTTTTTGCTTCCCATTCGACGAATATAAGGAGAATATAGTACGAAAAGATGAGGAGATGGCCACCGCGCCAGGTACCATTCTTCACTCGCTCACGATCCTCAGCACAAACAAACCCATCCGTACTACCTTGAAGCCTTCTTCCCATGCATATCCACGCCGCTTGCTTCAGTCCACCTATGTCTCTCCTGCGCTCAATTAACCCGTCGCATCGCCTCGTCTCCTTTTCTTGCCGCACCTTTTATTCAAATGAGAGAGATACCCGAGGAGATCAAATAGACGCCAATCATAAGAACCTGAGCCGTGTATAGGATCCAAGCCGTAAAAGGAACCTTAGACATCGTGAAACTTTTTGTTCGTCGTATACATAATAGGAAAAGAAAAAGGCCGGTGCCGAAACCTGAAACATTGGGGGGTGTAATATATGCAAAGGAAGAAACATGGGAGAAGAAGAATTCAAGACCGAGGTCGGCAGACCTGAATACAGAAAGAAACTATGATGGAGAGGAAAAAACAAAAGGAAAACCATGCTTCCTTGAAAGTATGCGTAAAACCAATCAAGGTGAAGAAAGAGGATAGGCATCTAGGAGGGCCGTTTATGCAACGGCAGTGGGGGCGGCGGCCGCAACGGGAGCGGCCTCTGCGGCCTCAACGGCAGCAGCAGCAGGAGCGGCCTGAGCAACGGGGGCGGCGTCAGCATCCGCAGGCTGAGCAGAGGCCTCGTTGTTGGGGCAATCCCGAGAGATGTGGCCGGCCTGAGCGCACTTGTAGCAAACCTTGCCAGCAGAGCTCAAGGGACCGCCGTTGGGAGCAGTGCATTCACGGGAGATGTGGCCCTGCAAGAGAGTGAGCAAACCAGAACTTCTTATTGTCTCAGCGTGGGTGACAAGCATAAAAAACACTTACAAGCTTGCCGCAAGCGTAGCACTTCATGGCCTGAGCCTGGCAGTCACGAGCGAAGTGGTTGGGACCACCGCACTTGTAGCAAGTGGCGGCGCGAGGGTAACCGCCGTATCCACCGCGGAAACCACCGTTGAAACCACCACGGGGAGCACCAACACCACGGCCGGCAGGGGCACCGGCACCGGAAGCGGGGGCAGGGCAGTTGCGCTACAAGACAACCCGAATTAGACCAATTGAACAAGACACGGAGTAGAGCATGAGGGTAGAGGCATACGGCAAGGTGGCCCGGCTGGCTGCAGTTGTAGCAACGGCCGTTAGCACCGTTCAAACGGAGCGTAGGGCAGTCGGCCTGGACGTGACCGAGACCCTGGCAGTTGTAGCATTGCTTGGCTAGACAAACAGATCAATATCCGTGCACAGCTCGATGCAACGAGAAGAGAGCGCTTACTCTCGGTGGTACGAGGGCGCGGGCAGCTGCTGGATTCGTGTCCTAGATCGAGGAATTAGACGATTCGGTCGAGGTCGTCGGTGGCACATATGGCAACATACCAGGCTGCTTGCCTGTTCACCCGTCTAACTGTCAGCCATATGGAAACCAATTGCAAGGGAAGCAGCGGGGTAGCGGGTTGTTTCACGCACAGTTGTAGCAGAGACGCTCGGACGAAGAGCAGACCTCTACGTCACCCGATTAGTACATTATTCGCGGCAGTCGAATCCATTCGTCTTTTGCCAAACCAACTAACCAGCGTAGTGGCCAATGTTGCCACACTTGTAGCAAGCACGTCGAGACAACAACATTTTGTCGGTATGATAAGCTGCAAAAGAGAGAAGAGCGTCTGTCAGTCACTCGAGTCCAAGCCATTTTTGTAATGCGACTTTAGCCGCTCGCAGCATTCTTTCGCATCGTCACATGAAGGTATAAATTGACTCGTCGGAGGCATTCAAGCCGGAGGCAGTTGCTTTGCGAGTCGGATATATATTTTTTTAACGGCAAGACAAACGGCGCCCGCAAAAAATACAAATGGAGAAAAGAAAGGACGATCGGTCGAGAATAGCAGCAAAACGCAGCGAATGCGAGAAAGAATCGGAGTTGCGCGCAATGCGCAGCAGAAGGAGCAAACGAGAGCCAAAGTCACGGGATTGACGGTCGACGAGAGACTCACACTTCTTTTTAGATCAACAACAAGCTTCAGATCACCTTGACAAGAATACTTTTCCGACAGTCAGCTTGAGAACCTTGGAGGAGCAACGCTTTCGACAGCCCACTCTCTCGACTCGGAAAAGGTGGGCTGACAAAGACAAGCGACCAACGAACGAACTAAGAGGAGGGCAAAAAAAAAAGAATATAGTATAATAATTTGGGCACCACACAAATCGCTCGAAAGGAAGAAAACTTACAGCAACACTCCTCACACAACACTCCAATTCCTCCGGGCCTCAGAGCAAGATGCGATATGCGATATGAAAGAGCTATGGATGGTTTCAACGTTCCAGAGAAAAAGCGGTTGCCCACAAAACGACGTAAGAAATAATCGACCGGAACAAGCGACGAGGCCGAATAGGGAAAGGCGGGAGGGGAATCCATGGAAAGCGTTTTTCTTACTGTTACTCCGGAGTACTCCCTGGTATCTCCCTACACTCCTACACAGGCAAGGTACACCCTGCTACCTCCCCTTTTGAACACCCAGAGTCCTATACGATTTGTCCCTGAGAGAACACAATCCCCTCACCCTCACGGTTTTTCCACGCCGCCCACCGTTTCCAACCGGTTTAGCTTCCGAACCGTCCCGTATTGCGTACATGGTTGAAAAACCCCCGGAATGATTGGCACGGGACGCACGGCCTGAGGCACACGTTCCGAGGATTGACCTGGCAGCTGAGTCATCCACATGACGAGTTCCTCCCCTGCTGGAGACTTGCAGACGATGATGTACTTCATTCATGCATATATTACTAGATCGAGGCTCATGACAGTGATCCCACTAAACAATTTATGTTCATTCCGGCTTCCCCATTTATTCTTCCTTCTCAATCACCGCCGGGGCCTTGATTTCACGGCCCTTCAGGAACTCGAGTCCCTCGCCGCCCTGTGTCATTCCGTCAACGTTAGCAAGGGAAAATATCAGATGTAAAAGGGTAGTGAGGAGCTTACGTAGCTGATCAACGGGGACACCTCAACGCCAACCGACTCGTCCTCGGTGACCACAACACCGCCGGCCTGCTCGATCCATCGCTGTCCCTGCTTCATGATGTCCCGCTTGCTGGTGTCCTGGTCGTCCTCACCGGTACCCTTGGCGTTCTTCAAGGGCGAGAACTCGTCCTCGCGGCGCACCTCGATGGAGGCGAACTTGTCCAGAGGGGTCAAGGGGAAGACGTCAAAGACGAACTGCTCCAGCTTGACTCCGTTGGGCTTCTCGGGCTTGAAGGCCTCACCGGTCTCGGCCAGGATGCAGGGGATCTTCTTGCGGGCAACGTGGTGGGGCAGCTTGTGCGCCCAGGTCTCGATCGAGTCGAAGAATCGGAAGGAGTAGTAGTGGTTGACAATGTTGGCAGCACGGAACTTCAGGACGTCGGGCTGCTTGGGGTCCTTGGCCTCAGCAGTCTCCTGGTCGATCTCCGAGTATTCCACCACGTCGGGCTTGCCGTTCTTCTGCAGGATCAATCCCACCGACTCGGTGGAGTTACGCTTGCGGACAACCTTGGTGGCAATGTCGACGTCCTTCGAGGCGGCAAATCCAATGAACACGGGGTCGGCAACCTTGACCAGGCAGTTGTCGACACAGTAGGTGTGGATGTGCTGGATACCCCGCTTGCGCATGTCTTCTCTCACGCCGGAGGTGAGGAGGGCCTGGTAGATTCCACCGTTTCCGTCGGGGGCCACAGCAACCTACAGAATGTTCCGCAGCGGTCAGACTTCCGATTCTCACGATATGTAAATGTATAAAAGGCCGAGGGGCCACGTACCTTAGACTTGGATTCCATCAAGATCTTGCCCTCGTTGGAAATGCAGGGCAGAACGCCCTGCTCGAAGATGACTACGTTGCTCGAGCTCAGACCAAAGTAATTGTTCTTCTGGAAGAACTCCTCCGTAGGCTTGCGGGTAGGTCCACTGGTCATCACGTACCAAGGGATCACGGCCTCCTTGCCGGAAACCTTCTGGGCCAGCTGCTGGAGCTTGGCAATCCTCTCCGCCTGGATCTGGAAGAGGGACTTCTGGCTGGGCAGCTCGATGTTGAAGCAGCCCTTGGGGGCAGAGCTTCCCAGGCGAGTACCCTGGCCACCGGCCATCAGGACGACGGCAACCTTGTTTCCTGCAACGAGCTGCAGACCTTCATCATACCACTGCTGAATATCCTTGGGGTCGGAGTCGAGGATCGAGGCCGTGGCCACGTCGGGCAGGGGTTCGAGGGAAACGGGTCCCTCCTGAGATTTGGCGGGGTTCAGAGCCTTGTCGGCCAGCTCGTTGATGCGGGTGGGGTTGAAGTTGTTTAGCTGGTGGAAGAGCTGAGTCTTCTCGGCGGGCTGCAGTTCGCCGACGAAGGAAAACAGGTGCCCTTGTCCGGCGTCGGTGTAATTCTTCTGTAGTTGCGAGAATTCTTCGTCGGAAGGCTGACGAGGGGCATCCTGGTGGCCCGAGAATTTGTCCACCAGGTTGGAGACGGTCTCTTTGATAGCAGCAGCCATGATGAGGGGGAGGGGTTGTTTTATTTATTTACGAAAGACAAGAGTCAGGTATCTGTAATAAATAATCACAACAAGAAATGGAGGGGAGGAAGGGAGGAGAGGGAGGAGAGAAAGAAGAGACAGGAGGAAGAGGAGAGGATTAGGATTTAAGAATGAAAGAAAAACAAGGGAGGAAGACAGGAGGAGGGGGAGGAAGGAGGGGGGCTTTTAATGGGACGCGGGGTGAAGCTGAAGCTTAGGTTTCCAGTGTCCCCTGACCGCCACCAGAGAGCAATTTGTTCTTTTCTTTGCGCTTCTGCGTGTCTAGTGTCTGGTTTCTGATTCAGACCATCTAATAATATTATGATCAGTCTCTATTCTTAGGGACTGGCTTCCATGGACAGCCACCATTCAGATGCGACCGGCCAATCACGCCCACCACGGCGGGGTGCGCCGTCGAGCAGCGTCGTGGGGCCGGTTTCACCGACTCTCGCTAGTGTGCTTCCAAAGCTTCCGATTATTGATTGATTCGATTTATTATTATCGCTGGTGCCCCCTACTCAGTATATGCTGGATAGACTCAACGACGCTCACGTTGCCGGTATCGATCGTCACTCCGACCGTCTCGTCCGCGCCGCTCGCGGTCGTTGTATCGATCCCGATTCTTCTCCCGCGGGGGACTTCGGCTGTATGATCGATCTCGGTACCGATCTCGATTGGAACCGCGCCGCGGGCTTCGGCTGGGTCTCCGCTCACGATACGAGCTCCCCCTTGGAGGACTCCGGCTGCTGCGTCGTTCGCGAGAGTTTGACCGTCGCGTGTTCTCGCGCTTATCAAATACCATGGAATAATCATCCCGTTGACGAGGGTTGTTTTCGGACGTCCGGTACTGACGCTTTTTCTCCAGGCCAGCTACGCCTCCAAATCCACCCCGTTGACCACTGCGCTTGGAAATCGTAGCGTTCCGCCAGCTGTCGGATAGTTTTGACACCTGTAAATTATGATGAGTGACTCGGTCAGAGAGAAGGCGAAGACTGTCTACTCACACTTTGAGAGAAATCTACGTGGATGCGATGATCGTCGATCAAGACGCCTTGCATCTTGAAGTAGGCTTGTTCGCAATCCTTCTGGTGCTCAAACTCAATGAAGGCATATTGTAGACTGTCCCCTGTACGTTTATCTCGGATAACCTCGCATGAGAGGATGCGACCAAAGCGACTAAAGATCAAGTTAAGATCCTCATCTGGCCCGGTTTGTTAGCGTTTAGCACCAGCCGATTCGATGGGGAGCAGCAAAAAAAAAAAAAAAAAAAGAAAAGAAAAGAAAAGAAAGTGGTACCTTGCGTGACGGGATTCAACTTGCAGACAAACAAGACGTTCTCTGGCGGTTTAACCTCGGCAAATGGAAGATCCCCAACCATTTCCAACGTGAGCGCCTGAGCTCTTGCCTCGCGCTCTCGGCGAAGCGTTTCCATGGACTCTTCGTCCATGTTGTCATCCAGATCCTCATCGTCGGCAATCCGCACAGTCGCCAGCTGTGCCTTCGACGGTACAGGGCTGTTCGGCGGCTCCGTCAGGCCCTGCGGGTCGTCGAAGGGATCGTCTAGGACGACGGTATGGCGAATCCGAATGTCTTTCAGTGGTCGTCCTCGATCATCGATGAAAGAATCATTGACCTTTTCGAGGACGTCGAACCCCTCCACCACTTTTCCAAACGGCACCGCTTTGCCGTCCAGGTAGTCCAAATTGTCTCCTAGCGTCACGATGAACTGACTCGCAGCGAGGCGTAGATCGTCGTCGTGCGGCGACGGCACCGTGGCCATACTGACCGTTCCGCGTTCGTCATGTTTCAACTTCGGGGGGATCTCGAGGGGGAAGGTTCTTTTCGGCGGGCCTTCCAGAAGGCCCCAAATCGACGAGCCGCCGTCGCTTTCGGGGGATTCGGGGCCGATGGGATCTCCGGTCTGGAATGTAAAGCCTTTTTGCACGCTGTGAACGGGCGAGAAATTATAGTACTTGACTTTACATAGCTTCAGGAAGCTAGAGCGAGAAAATGTGAAAGGCTTTAGTTTCGGGTTCAGCTACTCCACATTGCATACGCACCACGGCCATGGTGGTTTTACAGTAAACGACGGAGTGTACCTACTTTTCACATGGTTTCGGGGACTCATCGACCAAGAGATCAATGACAATGTCCCCGAGAGAAGTTTCGAGTAGGACGCTCATGGCGCTCTGCGCGTGCGATGCGACGACCAACGGTGCGCGAGTAGAGAGGGGAATAAAGAAGGAGGGAATCCGACAGGTCAAGAAACCTGAAATTGACCAGGGGAAGGCAGATCGAATCAATTAATTTAGGAGGGAAAAAATAAAGAAAGAAAAGAATATTAAAAAGGTCTGAGTTGAGTGGAGCAATTCACGAGCTGCAGGATTGGGGGGAAGGAAAGACTGAAAGAGAGAAAGCAGCAATTAATTTGATGACGGCAAATTTAATAATCAGCAGGGCGGAATGGATTGACTTCCCCGTCAAACGCGTCGATCCTCCCTTTCCTTTTTCTCTTCCCCGGCTTTACTCTTTGCTGCTTTTCTTTTCTCTTCAATTCATGTCTTTTCTTTTCTAGGCTCTCCGCAGCTGGGAAACATCATACGATAATACATGAATTGATTTATCAACGTCTCCGCACCCCGTCGACTCTCGAGGGACTCCAAACTTTCGGATGGTCCATCCGGCGCTCTACGGTGTAACGTCTATTCTTTTGAACCCAACGGCATATCTTCCGGTAGAGCCGTTGGACAAGAAATCCAGTTTAGGGGGTACTGAGTAGAGAACAACGGGCCTGAACGCAGGCTTCAGCGGATCGCCGTTTGTTCGGACATCTCGCGCAAGATGGTCGACTCTGGAGGTCCCGGAACGAACTCCCTGTCTCTCAACATCTTAGAATGAGTCCAACTGCTATTACGATCGACTCGTTAAGCATTGGGACTTTCTACGCCGGCGTAGAATACGATCTTGGTCTTGGATAAGAAGTCAAAACTCAGCGCACAGCTAATGTGGCACCGCTGCTTGACCGTTCTTTTCTGCCTTCATCAGTGTTTCACAACAGGCGTTGGAAAAACGGGCGGTCTCCTGCAGCTCGGAGCCAACAGTTCTGGCGTCTTCTTTAGTTTTGCTAACCTACTTTCCCCTCGTACAAATTGGTGATGACGCTAGCACAATTCCCTGGAAACACACGTGGCGAGTGTCGCCCCTTTATCTATCATTCCTATTCATTCTCTTGACTCCTTGAGGGCTAACGAGTAACGAACAAGTCTGACTGGTTCAGGACATTCGGTGGCTGGCCCTATTGCCAATAGCAGGCCCTCGCTTAACCAAACATTTGGCTATGATTTCGACGGTCTTGACAATCCTCGCCATCAAATCTAATATTGTTATCCTTTTTTTATTTATTTCTGAGTGGCCTTTACAAACAGCATCCTGAGCTGAGGTTTAATCGACTATGAAGCCTGCATAGGGATGGATCAGATCCCTTGGCTTTCTCTCTCTCTCTTTCTCTCGGCCCTTGAAAGGTTGGGTTTGAAACCGTTCCAATCAAGGCTGATCCGCGATTGTTGGTTGGACACAATCGAATGACATTGGTCCCAAACCAGCTACATCGGGCGTCCTTTAGGCCCCTGAACACCGTGCATGCTGATCCTCTCGGGGCCCACGTCCTTGTCATCCCATTTTGAGGACGCCGGCTGGTCGTTGTCCTTAATTTTATCTTTAATTTTGATTCCTTTATCTTAACTTTATCCTATTTTCTCATGTCAGCGCTTCGGACCATACTGCTTCTCCACCTATTTAACATGGACCGTCGCAGATTTGGAATTTCTAGGCAAGAGAATGAGACAGGGAGGGCTTACAGAGACTAGTTCTTTCCAGAAAAAAAGGGGGTGGGTGCTCAGAGAAGGACGACGCACCTTGATGCACAGATGCAGATCCAGCCCGGTGACCTGGACACAGGTTTAAGCCGGTCCATTTTTGCCAGGGCTTCTTTCTGGTCCGGTCTTGGCTACTAAGCCTCATTTGCCCTTCATGAGGCCAAGATGATCTAATGCTGCCTTGGTCTTGAGACATTGGTGTAATCATCTGCTTATACTCGTTTGCAGTAGTCCTCCCTCCACATCAATCCTTGTTTGAAATTGTGTCATTGTTACTTTTTTCTCTCTCTCTCTTAACCAACCGACCACTAATTAGTGAGTCTCTCAAAGGGGCACCGCCACTACTCAAATCTACACCACAGGAAAATGGAAGTTTCTTTTTTAAAAAGGCTCACGACTTGTCAAAAGTACCGCTGCAGGCTCCAGGCCACTGCAAAGCAATTCAGTTTGCTTGATATTGGAGCCGGCCCAAAGCCGAGCCAATAGGCGCCCCAATCATCCAGGATCCAAACGAGCAAACATTTCCCCCACAGCCGTTTCTTTCCAACCCCAATGAATAGTTTTTGGCTGGGGAGAGGGAAGGGATTCCTGCAAACGCAGCCGGCGGCTTTCCGCTCAGCGACAGCATGCAGCCTGATATTGGCGTTGCTTATCGCATTGGGTCTGGCTGAGGCGCCCCCCGCTATTCAAAGACAGCGCTGATGAAGGGCAGAGGAGCTGTGGACCCTGCCTGGTAGTCGATTGGCTCAAAATTACTCGCAGCAGCGATCATTCTCTCTCCCAGTTTCCAGCTTGACTTGTTCTGGCTAATACCAATGATGAACCTGTACGACATTAGTGTCACCCAGTGCGACAACCTCAGACCACCGGGGTATTCTTGCCGTCTAGCCCTCTATCAGGACTGAGCATGATTTGGGACGACCCAGCCCCTAGGTGACTTTCCTTTTTTTATTTTCCAATTTCTTTTTTTTTTTAAAAAAAAAAAAAAAAAAAGAAATTGGAATTGGACGGAAGTCTGCATGGGTTCCAGTACATACGACAAAGCAGAGGAGAACCAGGTATCAAACCAGGTACCTCTTCTGCATAAGCAGATGAGTGGACAAAGCCCTCGTTCTAGGAATATTCTAGTTCACCGCGAAGTTATGACCGGTCGAAACGCCCACCAGCGAATCAACGGGGCATCGTATGGTTTTGACCAACAAGAAGGGAGGGAAAAAGTGAGAGAAGAAAGTAAAAATAAATAAAAATTAAAGGAAACCGAAGAAAACAATCAGGACAACAACGGAAAACTAACACATGGACCTTAAAGTCAGACCTTGCTGTCGGCTTAAGCCCCCCTCATCCTTTCCGGTTCCTTTTGGAATACTAGACAGTAGTTGGGGCATGCTGAACACAAGCCATCCCTGATCCAGTGTCCTTTTATGCTTTTGTCCCCCGGCTTCCCTCTACCTGGTGTTTCTTTCGAAGTTTCTTGGACTTGGTTTTGACTTTGAATGTGAGTGAGCCTCGGTGGACCACTATGTTTTCGTCCACACTAATGAACGAAGCAATGGCCCATCCTTTCTATACCCCTGAGGATGAGGTCGTCTATGGACTTCCTGTAAAGCGAGGCCCTCTACCAGATCCTCTATCTATACCTCCTCCTGTTCAGGGCCATGGACCCAAGGACCTGCTAGACAGGAGCACCAACTGCCCGAGCCCTGTTCCAGGACAAGATGGGAAAGGTCGAAACCCGGCGCGTCGTCGAATCCAGGTTGCAGTAAGTAATCAAGCTTCTCTCGGGCATGAACAGGACCAATTTCTTACCGTCCACTAGTGTCAGCGATGTCGGAAAAGAAAGATCAAATGCAGCGGTGATATTGGTAACAACAAGGGCTGTTCGAATTGCTCTGCCGTGGGAAATGTGAACTGCCAATTCTTGAGGGTGAGATAGCCCCTTCTGATCTCTGAATAGAGAAAGAAAGACTTTTGTGTGATATGCATGCTGAGAGGATCAACCCAAGGTGAATTCGGCAATGTTGCAGCCAAAAGTGACCAGCTGGCCGTATGCCGCGATGAATGCGGCGATTTCTTCGTCCCAGAGGATAGGCTTCTATGCGCCTTCTATGACTCCGAAGATGGGACAACTGCCAGCCAATCCGTCTAGCTTTCGTGCTGCCTCGATCTCACGACATGTCCCAGCAACTTACGAACTGGTGCCCCCAGGTTGTCCATATCCCTACGGCCGCCACCCGTTCAGCATTGATCATGCAATCAATTACGAGGATGAGCCCACGGATACATACAGTATTCCCCAGACTTCGGGATACTTGATCCCCAACACGCCCCCAACTGTTCTAGCAGACGACTACTGTGAAGCCCCATGGAACCCCAAGACGTGGAGCTCCGGCGGTGCCAGCACCCACCGGCCCCCGAATCATCATGTCTTGTTCTCGACTCCAAATTCCGAAGGCTGCGTGCACCCGCCAGCTTGCCCATACCTGTTCCCGGGACTAGGAACTTCCTCGTCGACTGACTCATCATCAATGGCACCCCCGATGGCGCCTTTTTCACCCGAAGGCCAGGTAGCCGACCGAATTCTTCCCAACCCTACCGGTCGTTATCACATTGGCTTTCCGAGTCTACCGACCTCGCCGGAAGCTGTTTCGGGTTTATCTCTCCCCCCAGACTACAGGATATCCAACCCCTGGAACAGCTACAGAGGCGCTACTGCAACACCTGACAGTGCTACTCGGGTCCCCGGACTCCCGAGCTCGAACGGAGGCTCTATGGGGTCCAGTCCCCTGAGCCGGACGAAGCCATTCCCTCCGGGCACACACGAGCCGGTATTGGGTTTCTTGCCATTGACTACGGCAGGGACGCCATCACCGTTGCTATCATCCAGCGGGACATTTACCACTACAGCCCTGGATCCATCTGAGTCGGGAGATGAAATCCGCAGCAACGACAGTCGATTCACGAGGGCCCTTTCTCGCGAGAATAGCCGCCTGTTGTCTATCGGGGAGGGTGGCTCCGATACCTACCGGTATATCACCAGCGAGAAGATAAGTAAGAAATGCTCCGAGGCGGGTGATTCTAGCCGGCCTGGGACCTTGGTGAATGGACTCCCCTACACGCGGCCCAAGCCATCGGACTGCGAAGTTTCATTGCCGTACGGTGCCCTCTGCACGGGTACATCCACCGAGGTGCACCGTCCGCCAGTCCCCGCTCTGAGTAACCCGGGGGGATTCTGATGCACGAATGCAGAACTGTTGGGGACATCTTGCGCCAGACGGTATCTCACGGCTGGCGTCTACAGCCCCAACTGCCAGCGGCAGTGGTTCCTGTGCTCACAACACCGGGGGAATGAAAATCAAATAAATCCCGCATTTGATGTTCCCCTACGAGCTCTTTTCCTCTATCTCTCCCTGTTACCATCTTAGATTATCTTTGTTTCGGTGTTTTTGATCCCCTCTCCTTGGTTCCACTCACCCTTTTCCTTGTCTGTTCTGGAGGCCTGGAAATGATTTCAAATATCCCCTTGATTGTACTACTTCCTTGGAACATCCACACATTCCTGCTTACTGCTTGCCATTCTAAGAACCAAAGAATAAGGTTACACTAATACTAGGGCTAGGCTGGCAGGAGCGTTGTCGCATTTAGGGTCGGCAATCTCTTTCATTATTTTCATTTCATTTTTCTCCCAACGCGCGATAAGAACCGGTACAAACAGGGCCGAGCCGCAGTTCTTAGGGGCGTTTTCAGCTCGTGTTGGTTGGTTTGGTTGGCTGGCTTTCTTTTTTTCTTTCTGTGTTTCCTGGCGGTTATCTCTCTGTGTGGGTCTGTGTCTTGTGTTGCCTTTCTTTCTACTGTCTTGTCTTGTTCTGCCCTGCTTTTCCTATCCATTATTGATTGACTCGTTGATACCACCGCCTAATTGGGATCGGCGCATAGTGTGGCTCTTGTCTAACATTTCTGGTTCTTGTTTTTTTTTTTGCTTTTTTTGGGTTTTTTATCGATTTGTAATGTGGCTTTTAAACGGCGAAGTCAGCCATAGTTAGTTCATTCATTTGAGAACAAAGAAAATAATCTTAATTTTTGTCTTACTTTTCTACTTTTCGCTGTCTGGTAGTTACACGTTAATGTTTCGAGGATTCCAAATCATATGATTTGTATAGCCACCTCAGGAGAACAAAGAAGAGTAGCGAAGTAGACTCTGCTTGGTTTCTTGATTGGTTGATGTAAATGGCAGATGTCAGATGTCAGATGTATAGAGTAAGTTAAATTTTGTAGTTTAATGTGGGCAATTGGTTCGTTCGTTCGTTCATCATATGGCCTGGATCTCCCCTCCATCAGACCAGACATTTCCATAGATAGACAGTTATCTAAATACAGCAAAGAATGATCAACAAATCCAGTACTCTGGATTACAGAACTAGAATCAAACGTTTAACCAACCAACTCCTAGCTAATTCATCATCTCCATAACGATTCGACCCGAACTAAAGGTGGCATCCCCCCCCCAAAAAATAAAGACGGATTAAATTGATTGTTGAGACCCTTGAATACCTAATTTAAACATGTACGACTTGAACAAAGGTCCAGTCAGACCAAACCAAACAAGTCTTATCGACAATTTAGATTTAAATTTTTAATTCCCTCACTTTAGGCATTTGGTCCAGTCCAGACCAGCCTGAGCCCTAGGTCAGCAAGCAGTTCATTCCAGACCAATTTAACCTTCCGAGCTGAAGATGAATGGAGCTGAATGGGTGGAATGTGGACGAGAGAGAGGATTGATTGACAAGGGTCTAGGATTTGAATTTCTGGATTCTGGATTCTGGATTCTGGATCTTGGATCCAGGGCCCTGGGCCCTGGGACACGAGCAAACAGCAAACAGTTTAAGGGGCGAGAGCGAGAGAGAGAGAGGCAGGTTACTTAGGTACTAACTAGTTACCTCGAGCATGAGTGCTGCATTTGCACATTTACATGTACATACTCTAGCAATGACTCTCTCCCAGGTAAACTACGAAGAAGGGCCCTGTGTGCCCTGCTTGCTGATCAGGCCATACCATCGAAGTATACTCTTACATGCTCCCTTCCTTCCTTGCTTGCTTCCCTGCTGGTTGGCTTTTCCCAGCATAATCAACGACCCTACCCAGTTCCTAATACAAATAACAACGCCACCTCCATTCCCCTGCCAACTCCCATACATGCTAAACCCGAACATCCTACCTACCTACCCACTTGTTGGGGGGAAACGGTAGGACCTGTACCAGGGCAAACCAGTACATGTTGGGGACATGGATGTCTCGTGTGACTGACCGTCGCTCCGAGAAGGGAGACGGAAGCGAGGTTCCCAGCCGGGTGGTTCCTGGGAAGAGCTAGGGATATACTCCGTAGTGTAGGTAGAGATGATTTACTGGGGTGTACACCGTACTAAGTAGGTAGTGTGTGACGACCTCACTACTCCGTATGTGGATATGTATACGGAGTACGGATATGTAGGTCTGGGGAAGGAAAGGGGGATGGGAAAGAGGAAGGGAATTTAGATCTTATCAGGATGATCGACAGTATTGGTTTTGGTTCCTTCGTGTCTTCCACTCGATATGTATTGAACCGAAGTCGAGCTGATCTGAATCATATCAAATGACTGGATTCTAAGAGGCTTAAAGCGGGTTCGGATGGAAATGGTCAAGTAAACAGTCCTTTTATCAAGAAAACAGACGTAAAATATGGGGAAATCAGTTAATTTTGTTTTGTTCAATCCGTCCCATTCCCCGATTCCGAACACCGAGAAGTTGATTCTATTCTCCCCATAAAAATAAAAACAAAAAAAGGATCATCTCGGCTCGGGGTCAGTCGATCAGAAGTCCGGATCAGATAAGGCAAGACAGATAAGGCAAGAGAGATGCTGGCTTCGGTGTGGAAAAAGCACGAAAAAAGAAAAAGAAAAGGAAGTTCGCTTTTTTAGTTTTTTTCTTTTCACAGTTGGTTTGTCTTTTTTGTTGTTCAAATCGTCACAAGGTTTGGTTTTCCACGGGTATGATAAGGGCAAAGATGGTATAGGTAGAAGGATCTAGCAGTACTGAGCACACTGATAGACAAACCAATGGACCATTTGCACAGGTTTAAACCTATCATACACCCCCACAGGAGGGCCGCCATTATCATTATCATCTTCTCCATCGCTATCGTCCCCAGCCCCTGGCCGCATCCGAGTCCATCTCCAACAACCACCGCCTTCCCATTCACCCAGTCGAGATTCCACCGAGAGAATGCGCTTAGTTCTTGGACTTCTTGGGGCCCTTGACCTTGGCGATACCGCGGAACTTCTTGGAGCGGTTCTTCCGTTGCTTGCCTGTTAGGGAAGAGATCTCGTTAGTATTTCCATAGTTTTCCTCTCGGCAGATTTAGATGTCGAAAATATATCGTCCAAATCCACGGCACTTTTCAAGGAGGATATAACGTACGCTGCTGGCGAGAGGGCTTCTCGACCTTGGAACCGGCACCGATACGGACGAGACGGTAGCGGGGCTCGAACTTCTTCAGGGCCTCGGTGGAGTCGTAGACGAGAGCGAAACCAGTGCTCTTGCCACCACCGTACTGCGTACGGAAGCCGAAGACGGAGACCTGGTCCTTGTTGGACTTGTACAGGTCGGCGAGCTTGTCGCGGAGCTCATCCTTGGAGACGTTGGCACGGTTGGGGTGGAGGACGTCCCTGTAATGATGATCGTGTTAGATGAGAGATTCTGGAGCTGGCAAAACGTGAAAAATGAAGATGCTGGCTCGATCGGTGGTTGCGATTCCAGATTGCAAAATTTCTCAGTTTCCATTCGCTTGACCTTTCTCCCTGCGTTGGTTTCTTTCAATCATGACGGTGATGATGATTGTTGTCGTATCGGAAAACGTCTTCTAGAACCCCAGATATTGTTCTTGTTCAAGAAATTTCCTTGCAACATTTCCCCTCCCTCTCTTCTTTTCTTTCCTCGGTCCAAATTCAAAATTTACCTCCTTTGCCGAACTGGAGATCGCAACCGCCGAGCAACAAGCACGGGATGAAAAAACACAGGTAGGATGGAAAATAAAGTGGAAGTCTTACACGACCATCTGCTTACGACCAAGCAGGGGGTTGCGGATGAACTTGCGAGTCCGCAGGGTAACGGGAGTGTCGGCCATTCTTGCGGTAGTCTGCGTCGTCGAAAGGGACGGAGAAGTTGAGGCGGGTGGGATTGTCGAAGTCGCTGTCGGCGGGCTCGAGATGTTCAAACAATTTTGGGTTCCCGTTTCGTTGTGCAGCGTGGGCTCTCGGCTAGCCTTCTGCACTAGCCCCTTGGGGTTAGGCCCCACGTGATGGGCTTGGCACCGGGGTGTGGAGAATTATCATTTCCTTAGTGATCTTAGTTATATCCTCCTTCCCTTCGGCCTCATGGTGGATTCTTGCTCTTGTTCCTGTTGTCGCTTCTCTTCATCATGACTCCCCCTCTTCTGTCTTCCCATCATGTCGACCTGCTCGCCCGCCAATTCCACGAACAGGTCGACCCCCACCTCCTGCCCCTCCCGCAAGGCCGCGACATCGTTCACCCCGCCGTGCAGAGCGCCATCTATGCGCAAATGTTCGACGAGGCCTCTGTCTGGCCAATCCCCCCGGTAAACTATCAGACGCGAGTTCTGAAGATGATTCTATCTCGGATCGAAGAAGCGATCAGCGACCCTGAGGAGGATGTATGAACCCATACCTTGTCGCGCATTTTCTTTTCGCATTTTGTGTTCTTTGGTTTTTCTTGCGCAAATCTATATACCCATACGTACCTTATACCTACCTATAATTTCCAATGCAAATCATCTTATCGAACAATTCTTCTTCTTTTCTACCAATCCAGGAAATCCACCCCGACCTCATCTCCGCCTGGGCGACCCTCATCTCGCAACCAAAGTCCTCCACAATCCAACAAGCCCAACAATTAACCTACATCAAATACACCGCGCCGTCGCCCCCTCCGTCCTCACCCGCGCCTCCACGAACCGTGATTACCTCCGAATCACGCGGCCTGATCCTCGCCGCCGGTACCACGGGCTTCCGGACCTGGGAAGCTGCCCTCCATCTCGCGACATATCTGTCGAGTACACCTGCGGGCGAGACTCTCGTGCAGGGAAAGAGAGTTATCGAGTTGGGTGCGGGAACGGGGATGGTGTCGATGTTCTGTGCGAAGTATTTGCGGTTGAGGAGTGTGGTGGCGACGGATCGGGAGCCAGCGTTGGTTGAGAATATGAGGGATTGTGCGGGGAGGAATCATCTTAAGGATACATCCCAGGATGGATACGAGCAGGCGTCATTCAGCGCTGCGGTTTGGGAATGGGGGACGCCGTTGGATGATGTGAGTGGTACATCACTTGACGAAGGACCGGTTACGAATGGGAATGGGAGTGCGACACCGAAATTCGACGTTGCTCTTGGTGCGGATTTGGTACGTTATCTTTCTCTTCTTCTCTCCCCTCCTCTCTTTCGCTTTTCGGCCATTCTCTCTTCGTAAAACGGTATACGGTATATATACTGTATGCAATGGATTCTAGGGTAGGATGTCTAGGATATATGTACGACATATATACTAGACCACTAGACCCGATCCCCAGCACAACCCTTTATATAAAGCACATGAACAAGACCACTGATACAGCTCTTTCTCTCTCTTCTCCCTATTTATTAACCTCCCTCCCAGATCTACGACACAGACCTCATCCCCCTCCTCATCTCCACACTGCACGACCTATTCCAGAACTACGGAATCAAGGAATTCGTGATCGCAGCGACATTACGGAATCAGGAGACGTTTGGGACGTTTTTGAGGGCTTGTGGTGCGTTTTTTTTTTCCTTTCCATTCTCATGTCTTCTGTGTCGTGTCGAAGCTTACATGGTTTTAGAAGAGAACCGGTTCACGACGGAACAAGTATCGTTTGAACCGCCGTCGAAGGAGGAACAGACTGGGTTCTTTCATTCGACGGATGTGCCGATTCGGATGTATCGGATTACGAGGAAAGAGGCAAATCAATAGAACAGCTGAATGAACACGATCTGGCACGATGGGCTTCTACCTGCTAGCTGATCGGCCGGGATGTTCCAAAGTAAACATTATCATGCATTGTAAGCGGACAGGAATCCGGTACGTAGGCTTTATATCGGAGTAGCCTCGCTAGCTCTTCTAAAATAAATCACCCTTATGCGTCTCGTTCCCTGGAGAAGTAAAATACCAGTGCGAAAAAACGACTAACAAGGAAAGAATAGTGTCCGATGGGGTATCAAGTTCAAAATTGATATATAAACAAAGACGCCTTGTGATGGAATCGCTAACCACCACATGCAAAGGCAAGACAGGATATGAAATGTATAAAGGATGGACAAGATGGCACGGTCAGTGCAAGTATATAATAATTACAAAGAAAATGATAGAGCAAAGTAACATAGTGGGAACCATGTGCACAAGGCACACATGGCAGGTATTGGGTGAGCAAGTCAGGATCATTCCGCTAGACTCTCCCTCAACAGATTCTCGTCGATCTGCTGGGCGTGTATAGCAGATGGCGCTCGCGGAGAAGGACGGAATCCCATAATCGGACCCTTTTGGTTGACTCCTGGATACCGGAACCGCAAACTCGGAACGGACTCGGCTTTGAGATTCGGTGTTTTACCGCTGATAGACGGATTGAAGGACCCTGAGCGCATCGACGAGGCACAAGACAAGGTTTCTTCTTCTGCATGGGGCTCTAAGGTTCCGTCGGTCGCCACGGCGGCAGTGCCCCAGCGACCCCTGACCCAGCCGCCCACGCGGCGACTGAGAGATATTTTCCGAGCAGGTATGGGGGCGGTGGTTTGAGGACGAACAAGGTCCACGGATGCAGGTCGGGCTTCTGGAACTGGGTTTCCGCTGGCAGCAACAGAAGCCAGTAACTTCCGAGGAGACTGGTCTGAGCTCCTGGAGGGCTCACGGCCGGCAGTGACAGTGGTGGTCGCGGTCACTGGAGTGGTGGAGAAGCGGTCGGTCCCGTACGACATAATGCGGCGTGTCATGTGGACGGGTAATGTGGCGGAGGGCAGTTCGCTCAGGCGTGACGGACGGCGACTAGGCGTGTGGATGTCCATTCCTGCCACCGAGAAGAGACTTTCGTGAGATGCGGCCCGGCGATGGGACCGATAAGACGTGGAGAAGGCATCGTCGGGGAGGGTTGGCGATCCAGCCCGTTCCGATCCTGCATAATGCACTGACGACGAAGAGTCCTCCCGTTCCTCTGGGATGATAGGCTCAAGCGGCGCCCTGTCGCCCAGGTCTAGGCTGTATTCATTGAAAAGATCGTCCTCCAGGTGGTCATCGCCATGACCGTCCAGTCCATCTGGCTCATCCAGCGGGCGAGACCCCGTATCGAACGGACCTTTCTTGCCGCCGTAATTTCGAAGGGGAGACAGGAGCACAGTACTGTCGGGACTTGTAGCTTGGGACGAGAAGCCGCGGTCAACCCGGTCGAAGATAGATGATGTTCGATATGCCGACTGCGGCGAACTCGCCAGCGAATCGGCCGTGGGTGATTGCAATGACCACCGATGTGAGGACCCCGGGGGGATAGAGACTGAGGTTTGAGATAGGATAGTTGATGTGGAGGACGTGGAAGATTGAGATCGATGCGTGGGTTTGCGGGCTAGTTGCGTGCCGGAAGCCGAATGTAAGCCCGAAGGACTGCCTAGAGAGCGTCTCTTCTTCGAACGACGGAAGAGCGTAGCCTTGTCTTTCTTCGAACTGGCCGACACCGGTGGCGTATGATAATGATGGTGGATGTGAAACTCTTGCGACACTCGCCGCGGTTCTTTCGACTCGAGCTCCTGACTCAGAGTCGTTGCTGCAGGCTGCGGGGGTCCTTGTCCATCCTCGCCCTCGGTTGCCGATGTCAGTGGCTGATGTGACAGAATCTGATCCCGCAGACTTTGCACCTCCTGGTTTGAACTCTCGAGCATTTCCCGCAACTCCACGATCCCCATCTGCAGGTTGGCATTGTCCTGTAATATATCCCGAACGAAGCGCGACACCACAGTTCCGCCGTGTTCACGTCCCAACTCTTGCGCCGCCGCGGCCCCCTTCAGCCGTCCGGCGGCGCCATCAAGTTCTCGTTCCACGGCCCGTCTCCGCTCCATACGTTGAATCAAATCCGAATGACGCTCGCGCTCTTCGCGGGCTTCCTTTTCGATTCGATCGACCTGGTCATGCAGGTCCCGCAGGGTACACTCGGCGTTCTTCCAGCGTTGCACCGCCGACTTGGAGTCTTCGTGGGCAGACAGCAGACTTTCTTGCAGTTTAGCCTGTTCCACCTCCATCTGAGCCAGCTGCGCTTCGAGATCGGCCGCACGCGCCGCCGACGCTGTTAGTTTGCGAAGTTCGGCCTCGGCGTTCTCCAAGCTGACGGCCAGCGATTTAGCATGGGAGTCCGAATCCGCGAAAGCCTGGTTTAAACCGTCCAGCTGTTCCAGTAGACCACGGTTCTCCTCGATGATGCGCGCGTTCTCGGCCTGGGCCTGACGCTTTTCGCGTTCGAGATTTTCGATGTTGGCGAGTAACCGATGACGGTCCTCCTCAGCCTCGGCCATGTAAGATTCATGGCGATGGAGTAAAGCCTGCAGCGCAAAGGTTAGCGATGACGAGCTCATGTCGACGGCCGCCGAGGCAGCTTTCTCATGGGAGGCAGCCATGACGGACTATAACGCAGTGGGATATGATAGGAGACCCGATCTTTGCCGTCGCCATAGGGGGTGAGGTGGAAGTTGATAGAGTACTCGAGTGCATTGTTTGTTCTTCATCCGGTTTGGGACCGAATGTGACGAAAAGAGTAATATCCAAATTCCAGAGCGCAAACAAACGAGGTAAACAATCAGGGAAGCACAAGCCCCACCAAAACGAACTGAGGTATACAAGGGATAAAGCGAAGGGAAGGGAAAGCAGGAATCTATCTACAAACGAGCTCGAGGCCAACAGGCACAACCCCGCTCAAGTATGGGAAATGACGACGGGACGGTATGGATCGTCAGGCACAAAGAATGAAAGGCCTAATACGTACCTGACCCAATCTAGCAGCGGTCGCAAGATCCTTCTCCAGCCCCTCCAAGGCGACATTATTGTGGTGAAGGAATGCGCAGTCATCACGGCCACAACAGCAGCGGAGGGCCGCCGGAGTGGTGGCCGAGTGGGTAGGAATGCAGGGAACCTCACTAGCCAGGGACGGACTATGTGGACGGGAGGGGTCCATGGCTGGTCAGTAGAATGCGGCCTTTCCCTTTCGCACGAGCGAGAATAATGTGCTGGCACCCCTTGACGGAGCAGTGAGCTGGGGGTTGGAGGCGCCAGGTCATCGAGCTAGAAAGTGACGAGACAAGGTAGGTGGAGTCGGGAGTGAGTTGGAGACGAGGTTCACCACCGAGGAGAGAGAGAGAGAGAAATGAATGAAAGAAGGAACGGAAGAAAGAGAGAGACGGAGAGATCGGCGCAAAGACTTGACTCTCTCCTCTCCACCTTTGAATCGCGAAGGAAAAGGAAAAGTAAGAAAGACCGACGGTCGTTCCTGCCGCTCCAGCCTGAGACCGCCGTAAGGTCACCGCCTCGTTTTGTCAGCGTCCGTGACCGCCACTCCCGCCGGTATTGTGGTATCGTCCATACGCGCAATACACTCAGCATATGACGCAGTGGGTGCCTGAGGTGTCTGTCTCTCCAGGGTGCCTCAACACTGCAAGACATCCATGAATACTCCGGAATAATGCATACGGAGTACACCGACCCATCACTTCAAACTCATAGCAATAGATTGTATTCTTAACTCCTATGTCCCACATATTAATCCCTCAGCTTAATCCCAGGGAACCTACGACTTCTGCACAGCGCATTGCTCGCGTCCAGGATCGTCGCTTCGCATTGACGCCCAATATCTCCTGCACCCCCTGCAGATGCACCATATCGATTGGCTGACGGGCCTTATGTCCGCTGTCCATTGTCCACCTCTCGGCATAATGGATCAAAAGCATTGGAAATAGAAAGAAGGGCAAGAAAAGAGACGCGTTGGCTCATGACATGGGGGAACTATATTACCGGTTCATAACCACCGAATCTGTACCTTGGAGTGGTGATAAATAGAACGGACAAGGGGCCCCGGAACCAAGGGATAAGTAACTGAGTTGAGAAACGAAAAGTGGAACGAATGGTCGCTCGAGTCAGTCTTCAAGATGCCAGGTCCACCCGAGAAAAGTAAATAAATACTAGTAAACAATTCCATCTCTGCCCGGTATGCGAGTGAGGAGATCAAAGCAAAAAATCATTTCGCACGTTGATAAACGCCCCGGCGCCGCCCTCTTCGCTGATCTCGGTAACCAACACTTCGGTCTGCTGGTATAGCCGCTCCAGAGCAGCCGACGAAGATTTGCCCAGTGACACTGTTGCTTGTTAGTTTCTAACTATCCAAATACCTCTCCCAACATCGGGACTGACGAGGGGGGGAAGCCTACCAAGAATGGCCGAGTTCAACTCCTCCGCAACCGCAATCCGTCCGGCAGGGTCAAGGTAATGCCCATGCACCGACCGTTTCGGGTCTGGATATGCCACCAATGAGAAAATGTCATCCAGCATCTTCTTGTCACCTCCACGCTCATCGTTCGGGTAGTCCAAGCGCAGCTGCTGCCCGTATTGAACCGCTTCGGTGAGAAGCATGTTGGATTTGGCGGTTTGCTCCGGTTCCTCCATGTCCATTCCGTCCGCCTCCCAGCCATCTCCGTCGGGGGTCTGCTCGTCGAGTTCCATCTCTTCGTCCAGGATAGCACTGCTGTCATGTAATCCGTTAGAGGCTTTGGCCTTCTTGGACGCCGCAAGGGACAGCTCGTGGCAGCGTCGCATCATCTCCAAAAATTTCCGGCACCGTAATCTAAAGTGAATATGGGGGAACGACTGCAAGACATTCGCGTAATAGGCGTTGGTATACTTCAAGGCCTTGTCGATATCCCCGTCCAGTATGGCCGCTCGGATTTCTGCCCCATACGGTTAGTCATTTGCGGAGACCTCGAAGAGTATCAGAATACTTACTCTGTCGATTGACCGCTTCGATGTCCTCTTCCACCTCATATTTCTTGAGCGGCTCCTGGCGACCGTTCTCCAAAGCGGCCGACTCCGATGCAACCTCTTCGGCAAAAGCCCGAGCTGTTTCCACGTAACCATCATGAGCCAGGAACTGTGCAACAAGCTCTTGAAGTAAAGCAGATTCGTCTAAAGGTGGCTGAAGGTTGGCAGTGTTTGTGGCACGGATATCCGAGTAGACCGAGGATTTTTCTTCCTAGAGACGACCAGTTTAGACCATGTATCACATAAGAGAAATGTCTCTGAACGTACCTTGACCATGCCATCAATATCGAACATGAAGGGTTGCTGACCGAAGTTTGCAGCCAGATGAACGGGCGGTTGCTTCTTCATTCCTACCGACGGGTATACCTTGACGTTTTGCAACTCCCGGAAAGCGTTGCCTACTCAGTTAGCCCTATGCCAATACATGGTGTTTGAGGAACTTTGTACACACCGAGAAAGACACCGTTCTTGGTGAAGAAAGCACATCCCGTCGCGAAGTTCACTCCGCAACCCACGGTATCATTGGCACCAAAGGTAGGACCGTAATGTTTTCCTTGTCCTTGACTTTCGCCAAAGAATGATTTACCATCATCGCCATGATAAGCCCACGATTCTTGCTCCCACCCGGGGAGTCGTTCAACGGACGCTTTTGTACTCGAAAACCCGATTCCGATCATTCTGCGGTCGTTAGCATACTAGTCCTTTCTTTTCCCTTCCTTTGAAACCCGGAATCACTAATTCATAAGTACGTACCCTTCCTTAGGCTTCGAGAGAATCGTTATCTCGAAATAGTAGATGCCACACTGCGGAGGCATTGGATTGTCTGCACGGACGGCGGCGGCTTCGTGCTCGTGCTTGTTGACAGGGCCCGTGTACCGAACCTCCAGCCCCCCATTTGTCAGTTCCAGACCGGCATATTTATCACCATCGCTCCAACGGGATGGCAGAGGCAGGAGATGATCGTCATCACCGGGCGGCTCCCTCTCGATGATATCATACGTCATCCCGCGGTGGGAGGGCGTTATCCGGGGTAGGCTGGACTGGCTGGAGGATGTGGAGAGAGGATTATTAGGGTTCGAAGCGGAGCAGATAGCATCTCGTTGGAATGCCTGTTTCGCTCTTCGGGCGGCATCGAGGCGGGCGATGTAGCGGGAGTTGCGGAGGTAGGAGGGCGTGAAGAACGAGGGGACGGGATCGGAGAGGCCGCCCGGGTTCTGAAATAAAAGATCGGAGCGAGAGAAGCTGGCGTATTTGCGAGAGTAGGGAGGGAGCGAATCGCCGGGCGACGTCCTCCAGGAGTTGTTCATCTGCATGTCTGCATCCACGGCGGCCGAGTGCCTCAGCAGGCGGCCTTCGGGATGAAAGGGTGGGGGATAGGAAGAAGTGGAGGTGGAGGGCAAGAGATGCGAGAAGTCGTTGCTCGGGGGCGACAGCGCGGTGCCGGACAGGACGGAGGCGTAAGACGAGCGACGGGGGAGCGAGGAGATGCTTGTTGGGCCGGAAGATGAGGTTAGAGGAGCTCGAGCTCCATCGGAGGGGGGGAAAGGTGCATCCATAGGGGAATCGTTCGCGGGTCTTGGAGCCAACGAACGGGGCGGCGGCGGGTACTTCCTCTTAGTTCGATGGGCATAAGAATCGACTCTCTTCTCTCTCCTCACGCGAGCTGCTCGGCTGCTTTACTCGACACCGGTCCGATCAAGACACTATCATTTGTCTCGGATAGTCTGACGCAATGATCGACTGGGCTCGTCGAGGTCTTGTTTCTGACTTTCTGTACGATCTTCCGCGGTGTTCTCTCGAAGATCACGACTTTCCATAAACGGAGAGTGGAGCACCGCCGTAGTAGCAACAAGTCACCTTGCGATATCTTTCTTCTGTGGCCATGTACAGAAAGCAGACAATGGGTCTCAATCAAAACAAGAATCGCTCAGTAAAAGGGGGTTCCGGACGACGGTCTTAATCCAACAGAATCAGGGAACCACCATAGACCCGACAGCCTGCGTTTGGTCTGTGTGACAGGACGGGGAAAGTAGAACCCCAACACTACAGGGAGATCCTCTAATACGGTAAATAGATAGAAACTGTGGGGGAGGGGGGGAGGCGAGAAGAGAAGAGTCGAGGAGAACGAGAGGGCAGGAATCACCCGACAGGAAAGAATAAGAATGAATGAATAATGAATGGCCTAACAAGGAATGCTGCGGGGGGGAAAGAGAAAGCACGGGATTCGGGCGCTTTAGGCCTGGCGATGAGCCGGCCGTACGTAACGTCCACCGTCTGCTCACTACCTACACTACATTGCCCCCTCTTCTCACTCAAACAAACGGCTGCCTGTTCTCCCATGCAACCATCCGACCTATCTTCAAACCCCTCTCGCCATGACTTCATCCCGGTCCCTCCAAACGGGGACGAGCGTATGAGCCCTAGACAAATATATATCCAGTGGTGATTCAATCTCCGCCATTCAACATCCCTGCTGCCAAATTTACAACATACAAAGGAACCTTGGAATCAGTTCCGATCAAATCGAATCACTTGCACTACAGAGAATAAAGACATATGTTAAATTTCTCCCATGCTTGATTGACCCAGGCATATTCCCACCTGTGATTCCGGCTATTTCCTATCTATCTACCGCATGCTTTTTCCCTCCTGCCCCATTCCTGCCATGACTCCGGCAATAACTGACAAATGCTGCGTTGAAAGAGATACCAGATCCAATGTTTTCACAACCGTAGTGGTACATAACTTATTCGTAAATAGCAATTAGAGAGAAAAAAAAAAAAAAAAAAAAAAGGTAAGAGAAGAAAAGAAAACAAAAGAACAAAGCAGGATCGTAGGTAGAAAGGTAAGATGAAACGTCCTGTAGTGAAAGATCGGGGCAGCGATCCTTTTCACACTCTCGAACTGGACCGCTGGGCCAGTGTCTCGACAATAGAAAAACCAATTAGACAATAGTGACAGTAAACTCCAGACCGGCAGCAAATACAACCCCAGATGACAAAAAAGAACAAAAAAAAAAAAAAACGCTCCAGTAGCTGCCAAATAGATGGCAGGGAAAACATAAATGAGAACAATAGGGCGGCAAGGTATGATAGATAAGAGTCAAAAAAATAATGTACAGAAAGAAGGATGAGATGCAAATCGTGGACGTAGGTCAATGGCCTACGCAGCCATGGCCATGGCAGGCGCAGGCGAAGAGGCTTCGGTGAGATTGGGAGGGACCGGCGTGAGGTCTCCGTCACCCGAATTGCTCTTCTCGCTGGGAACTCCGCTGGCGCTCTGGTTGGCCTTGCTGTCGCTGTCACCCGTCTCGAGGACGCCGTCCTTGATCTCGCCGTTCGTTTCGGAGACTTGAGGTCGAGGAGTGCGCCAGCTGGACAGGTTCCAATTCACACCGGTGAAACTCTTCAATTGAAGGGGCTTTCGCTCCCACTTCCGACAGGGAGCTCCCGTACGATCCAGGGCACGAAGACCGGCATTGATGGCACCAGTGTTGGCCTTAGGTCCGAGTCGGTGGTTTGCTGCCAGTTTCACGTGGTCGACCGTTCCGTCGTCACTACAGAACAAAGCGTTAGTATAAGATATTCCATGAATTGAGACAGTAGAATCAAATCAACGTACAGTCGGGGTTTCTTCTTAGGACCCGGCTTGCCTCTCGGCTTGGGTTGCGTCTCGGCCGTCTGGTTCAGGCCTCTCTTGCTACCAGGTTTGGGGCCCGGCATGCCCTTGCGGCGAGGAGTGTCGGCAACCGACGTACCGGCCGCTGGTGTAGAAGCGGCATCGGACGCGTTGTCCACAGAAGATGGAGGGATCGGAGCCTCAGTGAAAGACGAGGCGGGAGAAGCTTCTTTTTCCTTGACGGGGGTTTCGGCAACGGGCTCCTGGATCTTGGGAGTGCTGTTTTTCCTGGACTTCTTGTCCTTGGGTTCGGGGGGCGGCGTGGCAAACTGGCTCAACACTTCGGGAGACAATTTGAGGACCAGGACCCCTTTGGAGGCCCCCGATCGACCGGAGCGACCGTTGGTGGCCGACGACGTAGCAGAGCTAGAGGCAGGCATGACGTTGACGGCCCAGTGGTTTGCGTTTGGCAACGACTTGTAGGGAAGATGCGGTTGTGTCGTTAGAGGGAAGGCTATTCACAGAGTAGGTGAATTCCTCTCCCAGAAGGTGTTGGGCTAATAAGTGGTGGAGACCGTCACCTGCGCAAAGTGGCAGTGTTTTTTCTGAGGCAGATCGGGGTCGTAGAGTTGAAATAGGTTTAAAAAAGGGAGACGGAGACCGGGAGGAGGGGAGTGCGTGACGAAGCACGGTGGAAGATTGGTTGCGATGGGGGTTGCGTGGTTCCGAACCAGAAAGGCGACAGGTGAGCGGCGAGAAGTCGGTAGTCACGGTCACGGCGAGGCTTGTTGACGATAGGAGAATTGAGGCCGAAATGACATAGTCCGGGGGTGATGGAGTAGAAGCTGAAGATGGGAGGGAAGGTGGTGAGAATGAGTCGGGATGGTAGAGAGAGGGAAGGGGGATGGGAGGAAGGAAGAAAAGGAGAGGAGGGCGAGACGGCAAGGCCGGGGGGATGGAAGGGATAAAGATGTGTTTTCATTATTGTTGGTGTGTTCATCTCGTCTACTACTAGACTCAGACTTTGTTCTGCGGCGGCAGACTGTGGTGCAGCCCAGCGGATTTCACAGAGAAAGGAAGAGACCTCCTAAGGAAAGACTGACGGGGGGGCTGTAAGGTACGCGTCCGGTACCGAGGCGGTTTTTTTTTCTTTTCTTCCGTCTTTTTTTTTTTCAGCGTTACGCGTGGGTGCGGCCGACGCGGACGTCATTTGGTACGTGCTGGTACCGGTATTAACTCTTAATGCTCGATAGAGACCGACGATCAGGGAGATCCTGGTATTTCTGTTACCATTTCTGTACGTAGCAGGTCCGACTCGGCGTTACGGCCAGGCCTGATTACTGTACCCAAACAGGCAAGGCGGATGAGTCAGCCACGTCCTCTTGAACCTCATCTACAATAGATCTCTTCAGGTACATTTACTCTTCTATCCATATTCTACACAATATCATATCAAGTACGTGGATCGTCTCCAAGGGCTCTGATAATATTTCCTAGTATCTCGATTTGATCTCTTTCTGTTCATGGTCCTTCTCCCACCCCATTCTCCCCCATCTGTCTCCTCGAACATACCTTCACCAGGCCTCCGCATTCAACCAGCCTTCCACCGCTTCCGTCCGGCGTTCATTCGCAGCGATCAGGCCCAGTTAATTACGGGAGGATCCATTCCAGCTCCATCGGATGATTTTTCTACTTTCCTCGTATTGACTCTTACGGGCTGAAAGCCTGAAAGCCTGAACGGCCTTTCCACTTGCTTCTCCCTCGCTACTAACTTACCAGATGGTCACGATCCTCCTGCTAGCATCATGCGGATAGACAATCATCCCTCCCCCTGGAACTGATTGGAGTGCCCGATAAAATCAGAAGAGCTGGCCGGCCCTTTTTTCTATTTATTTTTTCTCTCCTTTTTAGAACTGACCTCAAGGAACACACCTACAAATCAAACCGCTTGACGCCCTGCCTGGACTAACAGATCAACCGGCGGGTAACCAGGAATAACAATCAATAATCACGATTCCACGACCCAAGAAAACCGGCTCGCCACAGTCGGAACGCAATCAATCCATTCCCTTCCATTGACGCATGGACCGAGACGATGGGGGAAAAAAGGCGCACCAATTCAAAAATTCAACCCGACAGACCCGGTTTATCCACCGTTCTGTTTCTGTTTCCCTTGGGATGCACTGGCTCGTCGACCGGTCTTTTTGGTTTTCGACGCCGCAATAATCAGTAAATCCAAACACTAAAATAATAATTAATTCCCATCACAGATCCTTCTGTTCGCTTGCAATGGACGGACAACGGGGCAGCAGCCTGGAATTCAACCAACACAGTACTCTAGTATTTACTATCCAGTTTCTACTATTACTTCCTAGATAGAAAATTAGTCTTGAACAGTAATTGGAAATATAGCACCCGATCAGGTCATCCAGGTTATCCAGGTCATCCAGACCACTCAAGAGGAGCTCAAAAGTATCACCCTTCAGGCGACTCGCCTGACCCGCTTAGTTACCGCCTCCCCAGCAACCCCCGGCCAAGATCTGACTATCTTTCCCCCTGTTCCTCCGGAGACACCACCTCTCGGCATGTCTCCTCCGCACGATGCAATCTCAAGCCAGCCCTTTGTCAAGGTTATACCTATCCACCTGCACTGCATCATGAATCGGATTGAACCTTTGAAAGGCGTTGATGAAAAGCGCTGATGATCATCAAATCGCACGTTCTGATCCCCTACGAACGAACCTAGGCAGAAGCGCCAGGGCGACGTAACTGCGCTGGACCGGCAAGGGAGGCAAAGGAGATTAACACGAGTGATTGATGTTGAAAGAAGTCACAATGTCATCCCCTCAATCGGCACGAGCTCTCGAATGACCTATACAGTGTTGATTCAATTTCGTCAGGATACCTTTGTGTCGCAGTCAACGAGAGACATCATCTTATTGTTGGGCAACTTTTTCTGGCTTTCAATCGCATGGATCGGGCAAAGAATACTGCCGTCATCCATGGAGAAAGGCTCTTGACCAAGTCATGGAAGCACCTTTGATTAAGAAAATATGCTATGAACATTCTCATCGCTTTACTGTTGGATCTACGGAGTAGGCAAAATCAATATGTAAGTGGTTTTTTACTTCTCTGAACCGACTAATCAACCATCTACAGGATACGCTAGGCTCTTCCACCTAGAAGACTACTAAGTCGCAATATAGTACGCTTCAGAACATTTGCAGAACGAGCACCCCTATCCAACTGTGTATCCAGAAAGCAGCCTGAACACTCTGTGCAAAGTTAGGTCATTGCGCCAGTATACCCCGGAAAGAGACAGTGTGCAGAGCGGTACTGTGGGTTTCGAAATACCCGGCAGTGTTTGCAGTGATAGCATTCCCTCCAGATTAGCTTCTCTATAGGTGATTGACCCTGATCACCCATTCGAGGATCGGCCTTCTGATGTCGGTATGAGATCTTCCCTTGGGAATACCTTACTAGAATCAACAAGCGAATGTGACAACTCAAGATAGCACTCGTTTCTATCATCTCGACTGCCTAGGCATGCAAAGTTAACGCGCGGTGAACAGCGTGGTCACGGATTCCACCAAGTACACAGTATCGGCACTCTACGAGCTCCAAGTGAGTGACCGCATCGAGTTCGAAAACTCACTATGGTAGGGTAGAGGAATAATGTCGCCAGCATTAATAGGAAGTCAGCTTAGGGCAGGCACTTTAGGGGTTTTTTTATTTTATTTCGGAGTCTCTTGTCAAAGGCGTCGTCGCTGTGTTTAAGCCCTCAGATGGGGTCTAACAGACTCGGCCATCCCATACTCCGATTGTCCTCGATCGACTAATAAGAAACAAAATAAATAATGGTCGAAAGGGAATTGGAAGGGACAGGGTAGTAAAGGATGTAGACTGCGAGAACCATCAATAACATGATTGAGAAGGAACATATTGGAAGGATATACTGAAAAGGAAATAGAAAAGGAGATCAGGTAATCTAACAGACTCAGAATGAACCATTGGTCCCCCGTACCCAGAAAAGCAGTGCGCATCGTTACGGGGCCGGTCTAATAGTAAACTGTCAGTAATGCTGCAATCAAAATGTCTTCGGAAAAGAATCTTACGAAATCAGTGGTGGCCGGCGCAGGAATGAAGCCAGCGGGCAAACCCGAGGTCAATCAACTCAATGATCTAAGACGATTTAAGGATTAAACTTAGTGATTCGCGGCTGCCGGCCCCTTTTCATCGCTTCGCTGGCTAACTTGGTCAGTTATGACTTCTAACATGTAGATTTTCTTCGATCCGTGGGTATGACAAGATCATCCTCGACGAGGGTGGGAGGAGGCGACGACTCGACGTGGCTCGAAGTTTGTCTTTATCCCACCTCAACACCAGATACCCAGGGTGTTTTGAGCTCCCCGACCACTCACATCTCCGGCGCATCTGGTGCAAGCGTCTCTGCCTCTATAGCCTGCACAATCTCAAAGTCCAGAAGCGTAATCAACCCGTTTCCCGTCATACAGCACAGTGTGCTTTCTACAGAAACAAGGCCGGTACTCCCCAAAGTGATAATAGCTTTTCGCATCTCAGATTGAACATATGCCTTCTCAGTATTTAAAAGACTGTAAGTTTGGATCGTCTATCTTGATTCGCTTTGACTCAGGAACACTTGCTTCGGACACGACCCATTTCACAGGAACCTTGACTGCAGAGCTCTTATCGAAACGGCTCTAATCCTCGTCATCCCCCTCCTGCGCAGAAAGTCTTGTCAGTCCTCCTCCAAGTCCCTCCAAAAGGGCGGGGAAACGGCTTATCGCGGTCGATGGGATCAGTTAAACAATTAGCTGCGGCTCTGATCCAATGCCGGGCCATGCGGGCAATGATTGTCAAGCTCGAGCGGAGCACTGAGAGGTTTGAAGAGTCGAAAACACTGCGTGAGGAATACTCAGGATGATTTCCAGATAATCGAGACAGAGTTGCTATCTTGGAGTATGGCCAGTCGATTGAACTATTTTCATCAGGTTCCTTGCAACTTATTGGAGACAAACCCCAATGGGAGAACTTAGAGAAATGTGATAAACTGCACTGTCTGTGGCCTCTGCTCACAGAGTGGATAGTTAGCACACAGGTTTGCCAAAGCTCTAGAAACATGCCGGCAAACAGTACGTTCTGTATGCCTGAGCGATTGATCGGCACCGAGCATATTACCCTGCAAATCCCACAGTCTTGTCGATGAACGAATGCATCGGTGGTATTCGTAGATCTTGGCCTTTTTAGGCTTGAACTGCCAATTTAGGATTGCATTCCAGATGCCATTGATATGGTCTTCGCTTGTAGATGCGTTTATTTGACTCTGGGGGATGATACAATCGCATTGTCTCAGGACCGTAAACAGACGGGTTCAGGCGCTCGACGGCCCCGTCTGAATTCCTTCCAACTGTGACCAAACTCAATGGGATTGTCCTCGTCGGGAGGAGCGATGTGACAAACGGTTCTGGGGAGGACTAAGACAAGTCGGCACCGATGAACAGTGGTAGTAGACGTCGCAAGGCTTCTAGTCACCATCGAGGTCACGATTATATTGCTCAAGCGAAAGGCCAAGGGAGGTTGTTGTCCTCTCTTTCTTCGTTCGCTTGTCATAATGCTTCTTCATTTGAATGGCGGCCCATTGCAGTTCCTGATGAGCATCGAAACGAGCTGTAAAGTTGTGGGGAGAGTAGCTCGCATCGCGCTCCAGGGTTACCGTAAACCAAGCCCGTACATATCCTTTTTAAGTTTGATTGCATTTTCGATTGTTCTGAAATCAGGATTGATGAGTTCAGAGAGCAATTATTCGACTCTCATCTCTTGATCTTGACTGTATCGCTGGGACATTGTAGTACTAAGACTCCTTAGTATAGACGTGATTTTATAGAGCGCATGATAACACCTACTCGGATGCCTTGGGTCTCCGATAAAAAGTTCGATTTCGGTGCAAATTGCCGCTGACTTGGTTGTTAATTCAATGGCCGAGCCTGCTGAGGTTCCAGACGAACATGGCTTTTGATAATGGTTGTTTTGGTGGATAGCTAGACGAGCTCACTAAGGGCAGCGAAACGGGAGGATCACGAAGTATGTGCGACTCTGGATGATATGCCGGGCAGTAGACATACGTCCGGCCAAGGGAAGCAAAAGAACAAGGTACACCAGAGGATAGATAACCATGTAAATAACCACTCGATTCAGGCGCTTTAGATTTTCCTGGTGGTTTTGCCGAAGTATCGCAGCCTGTTTTATATGACGTTGTAGGTAGAAGAATATAATTCCGTAGAGGGCAATGATTCCGAATTCAGCGATGAAAATCCACAAGTAGTGCACCCAGAGGCGCGTCGACCTGAGGAGCGTCACCCTGGGAGCCATCGTGTCTTCTCTTCAGCCAAGGACGGGTTTTGATGGGCTTCAGATGACATTAGCAACCCTGAGTCTTCCATGGACACACCACGTCTTATCCCTAGTCCTTTTGCCGCAATTGCGGCCGCCTGGGCACAGTTGAGGAGTGCCGTCTCATGTTCTCGACTAATCCAGCACTGTGATAAACTCTTCACCTGGTGGTTGGGGTTAAGATAGTTGACCAACGGGCAAATTAGGGCTGTCCATCTCGCAAATTCTCAATGATTGCTGCAGTCGTGGGAGGATCCTGAATTCTACGCATTGCTGAGCTGCTCCTGGCTTGTCCGAACTTTTGAGGCATAGATTCATCACTTTACGAGTACGGGAGCAGACGTAAACCGGGACTATAAGAGACGCTATCCGCTACTTCATATCGGGCACACTCTGTCAATAGTACCATATTTCTTTTGCATCTGCAGTTGTTAGTTTCCGTACAATCAAGCAAGACTATTGATTTTACTCACAATGGTTCGTAAAAGAAGCTTGCTGGTGAGATCTGATGAGACATTCTCTCCCTTGGTCGTTCCTTGACCGAGGCATATGCCATTTTTGATCAGGGTGAAGCAAACGCCCATGAAGCTGCGTCACAGCGCAATGTAGAACTGCTTAACGGAGTAGTGAACCAGACATTCATTATTAGTCAAGTAGCCTTATCCAGCCCAGGTCCATCTGAGTGGCCGAGCCAAAAGCTATCATGATGCTGCATTCTAGAGATTCTAGATCATTGGGATTTAGGAAACTGAATGTTGTAAGAAGGAGATTATATTGGACATTCAACTACCCTGGCTATGGAAGATAGGAAAGTGACTTGCTTCGTATATTCACACCGATACTGGATTTACAGCTTGATATTCTCTGATCATAAGGACTCGGTCGACTCCTGCTATATTCACCACTTAGCCTTGGTGAAGCAGACCTGCCTATATCATGTAGGGTCCTTCAATAATCTTCTCCAGTATGGTTGTCTAGCACACCTCTCGGGGTCCAGTTCTCGAGCATCTCGTTGTCCTCCGTTAGTGGTCAGTCTATGTAGAGGGCCCGTGTCTCGGCAGAATAGTTACTCCGCACCCGGACAGCGATCGGCAGAATGAGGCTCAAACCAACCTGACCGCCAACGCGACGCTGACCGCTTCCGCTCGATCTCACGAAAAGGCCGTGAAGCGCGCTGCCGTAAGTAAATCGACTCTCACGGCCGCAAAAAAGGCGATAACCTTCCAAAATTCGGGATTTAGATAGGTACTAGGATTGTGCACAAGGTTCTCAATTTTAGTAAAATTATCACTCTTTTTAATAAGGACAGACGCGTTTAACTGTCCAGGCCCATATAAATATTGTTACTGTCTGACTGAACCACAGCTAGAAAGTCCGATAAGATCTGTGGTATTTTAGAGTTTTGGTCACGTGCTGTGACAGTATTTGGTATTATTACAGAGTTATTACCACTCCTGGTGCGGTCAGGTTCCGGGTGTCCTGGACGGCTTCCAGTTAGGGCTACCTACCACCATCTTACCTATCCTATTCATCCATCGATGCATTTCATGTTATGGGTAGATTAGAATGCGAGGGAAACTGTTGTGAGACTTTTCTCCCAGAAATCAAATGGACAGTGGGCTTTGGGGGGTTTGAGGCTTCCTGCTGGTCATGGAAATATATCTCGAGCGTCCCGTTTCCCTCAGTATATATCGTGTTAAGTACCTATACTCTAATATCGATCGATAACTTAGAGATCATAATCTAATCCTCTTACATCAGAAAGGCTATATATAGACTGCCTGTTGGCCATTGATTTCATATCCACGTATCTACACTAACTATCCAACCACCATATCTTCAAACAAACAACAATCCAAATCATACAAATTACTCGCCCTTCTTCTCCCTCATCTTCCGCTCAACAACCTCCCCTACAGCCGCCTGAACCCCAGGACTAGCCCTGACACTACTCAACACCAACCCCTCTTTCATGCCCTTGCGCAGCGTCGCCACGCCCTCCCGATCGCCCCGGAACGGCGCAAACCCCAACTGCAAGAGCCGCGTGGCCTCGCCGTCCGTCGTGCGCGACAGCTGCAGGAGTTGCGCGAGACGCTGCATCGTCTGCGGATGGAGACGATCGCTGGGACCGGAGGGTTTCTGGCTCACTTCGGGAGGCGTGACCTGCGAGATGAAGATGTGTAGCGTGACGGAGGCGCGTTGCGCGAGGGTTAGGATTTGGAAGGGGAGTAGGTAAAAGGTGGGTTTCTCGGCGGAGATTCCGAGGAGATCGCGCAGGCCGGGCGGGATGTAGGTCGATGGGATGAAGAGGGCGCCGGGGTGGGTGATCAGGGTGAGCTCGAGAGTGATTAGGGCTGCGAAAGTAAAGAAGCGCCACTGGAGACCGACAACCCTCTCATTAGGAACCAGAACACGCGAATCAGGATACATGCGTCAAAGAAGAACTTACATAGCGACCCCAACTAGCCCACCAGGTAAAGTTCAAAAAGATAATCGTGATGAACCCGCCGACATACGGCAACAAAGATCGCTGCAACCCGGTCATCAGAAAGTCCTGCATCGTTTTGTTGCGGTCGCCCCAGCCCAGAATGTCAGGACCGAACCGGTCATAGGCGAACCGCCTCGCAGGGTCCAAGAGTGTATCCTGCGCCAACTTCAAGTACACGAAATAGTTATCGGCCGGGAGGCCCTCGCCCTGCGTGATCTTGTCCGGGTGATGCTGTGCGGCGAGTCGGCGGAACCGCGACTTGATGGTGCGGTCATCGGCGAGGGGAGACACGCCCAGGGCTTTGTAGAAGTCGCCGGCGACTTGGACGCGGTGGAACGCTTCATAGAGAGTGTAGAGGAGGTAACCGGTCACGACTAGGACAAAGATGCGCCGGCGATGGCGCGCGTAGCGCGGGGAGGGGGGTTGAGGGCGAGGATCTCCCGCGCGAATGGTGAGTCCGTAGTAGACGCTTTGGACGAGGGAGGTGACATACTGTATGGACCGTGAATGTCAGTCAATCTACAAAAGAAGATATCATGTTACCCGGAGAAGCTCCGCACGGAGGGACTCCAGGTAAGTCGGGTGCTGCTACTCACGTTGGGAAGCACCGCCCATCCAACAAAGGAAAGTATAGACGACATAATCAAAATTGAGGGCTCGAGTTCATCGAAATCCCCTCGAAACCAAGCTTCTAGTAATTGAAAACGAGTGTATAGCGATAGCGCGATGTCGGCGTTCTTTCAGGGTTGTAAAGTCGCGATTTGGTCTCTCGCCGGCGCTGATCTCCCCTCCACCGCCCGGTTCACCGCCTTACCCGTCTTCTCCACCCGGCGGACAGTAAAAAAAAAGAAAAAAAGAAAAAGATCTCTACATCGGAAAACCCGTCGAATCTCTAAACCCAACAATCTCGGGGAAAAAGGCGCATTGATCTGTGCCACACATCACACACAATGGCAGTCGACGAAATGGAAATCGACTCGAACCCGGCGTCTCAGTCCGTACAGGAGCCCGAGAAGGAACGCAAGCGCAAACACAAGAACAAGGACGTTTCTTCATCATCACCGTCGAAGAAGAAGCGCAAGCATGACGCCAATAATCTAATCGCAGACGAAACCAGCACGCGCGAGAAGAAGAGCAAGAAATCCTCGAAGAAAGACGGCAGCAGCAAAAGCAGCAAGAAATCTAAGCCCGCTGCGGCGTCGACTCCCGATTCGCCCTACACTCTGACCACCGCGACGCTTTATCTTCCTCTCTCTCCCATCTCGATCTCCCCGACCCATGCGCTGGCGTCTCTGATGGCGGAGCACCTCTCTCCGCTGATCCTCACCTACTATGCCCCCCTGAAGGGTGTCGTCCTGGCCTACTCCAACGCCACAATCTCCAGCACCGACCCCGCCGAATCCCCCAGATCCGCGTCCGATGCCACGAACCCGACGCCTTTGACCCTCGCAAAGACGGCCGGCGAGTACGGCGTCCTGTACGTCTACCTCACCGCCACCTTCCTGGTGTTCCGGCCCCAGCGCGGTCAGATCCTCGAAGGCTGGGTCAACGTGCAGTCCGAGGGGTTCCTGGGCGCCGTGGCTCTGAACTTGTTCTCCGTGGGTATCGAGCGCAAGAGACTGCCGTCCGATTGGAAGTATATTGCACCCGGCGAATACGAAGAAGGACAAGAGGAAGCCAAAGCCAACGGCGAGGCCGCCAAGACCCAGTCCCAGAACAACGACAACGACGACAACAACTCTTCCTCCTCCGAACCCTCGACTACCTTCGATCCCGAGAAGGAACACTTCAAGCCCGTCGCGCTGGCCGCCGACTCCAACCCTCTCCTGGACACGGACGCCACTGCCGCCGAGCATGACGAGTCCGCCGCCGCGGAGGGCTACTTCCAGTCCGTCTCCGGACACCGGGTGCGCGGCACTGTGCGTTTCCGCGTCGTCGACGTCGACGTGATCCCCGGTGCGGAGCGCGATCGCGGCTTCATGAGCATCGAGGGCACGATGCTGACTCCCGAAGAGGAGGCCCAGGTTGTCGAGGACGAGCGCAACGGCGTGTACTCGTTTGCTGGCACCCCGCGGAGATCGTCGAGTTTGCCGATTCGGACGGAACCGAAGACTACCACCGCCATGTCTGGTGCGATCCCGGAGTCTTCTTTGACGGTGGCAGAGATAGAGGTCGAGGGGGAGGAAGCCGAACCCGAACAAGCATCACCGGTCAAGAAGAGCAGCAGCAAGGAGAAGAAGTCGAAATCGTCTAAATCGAAGAAGAAGGAAAAAGAGAAGAAATGACCTTAGAAACATGACTTCTTTTTGTGTTTATATGTCTTGTATTGTTCCATAGACGCGTACGTTTTCTGCCTTGTTATATATCCCATTATTCAACCTGTCTACTTATGTAGTTATACGGACCGGAATTTCTTCAGCATCCGGATGCCGGCGCTTTGCAAAACTTGTTAAACCAATGAGCTAGTCATAGGCTCCATCGTAAGAAGCTTTATACTGCTGGAGGTAACCTCACCAGACCCACGGCCAGGCCTACACGACGGCTGATCCCCCTCCCTAGTAGGCACACCCTCTGGCTCTATAAGAACATGTGGAAAGTGCAATCCTCCGCGCTAATGTAGGCCCGGACGGGGTATATAGCATTCAACCACTTCCTCCACCGGATCATAACGGTCAAAACTTCTGCCTACCGCTACAACGCAAGGATACAGACTACTAAGCACATTCTTATCCACTGCACCTGCTATAAACACTTGCGTCACAATTTTTAGGCCCAGGTGAAGCAGATATCAGCAGATGCAACTATCGATTTTGACACCCTTATTTTTAATAACGAAGCGATGCTCCTAGTAGCCAACTTTATGATTAATATAAGATTGCTAGAGCAATATAGAGCAGTCTAGGGCCAGTATATACGCCTACTGTTAGAGAATAAAGTCTCTGACAAGGAAGAATAAATGTTGAAATAGAAAACTGTTCAGTATACTCTACATGCAGCTGGCAAGGTAAATGGCCGACATAATACCTTATATATCTCCTTCTAGGTCCCCTACAGATGCCAGGGGCTAATATTTACTATTTATCTTGCTTTTTCAGTCATTTTGTGCTTGAATTTTGTTTTCTAGGTCTCTTAGGTTCTTTAAGGCCCCCCCAGGGTGCCTATTTGTTCTCCAGGGGCTTCATTCGTTAAAATTTATGGTATATATAGGACGGCTGGTCTTAGGGCTGGTCTTAGGGCTGGTCTCCCCTAGTATAGCGGCCGTAGCCAGGCACGCTGAAAGGGTATGAATGCTGCTGCTACTACTACTACTACTACTACTACTACTTTGACTTCCCTGCGCTGTGTACGAGTGCATTATGTTGTAAGGATAGCTTAACTACCATAGATTCACTTATTTTATGATACCGATCGTTTCGCTTCAATGTACGCAAATTCACGCTTTGAATCCTCCTTCACTTAACTTCGTAGTACTCTACTACCTGCCCTCAAGTACGACCACCGATTCGTAGTCTCCACTGTCACGATCAATCAATTTACAACCTGTTTTGCCGTTTTACGACTCTGTCAAGCAGCAAAGGCTTTACCGGGATACAACCCCGATATAGTTTCTAATATTGTAATTGCCTAATCTGCCTGAAGAAATAATCTTTTTTTCCGACAGCATCGAACCGCCGGGGGGAACTACGAGCTTCACTATAGCCCCGTTGTCCGCAATTCTTTCTCTCCCGCGGTGGATGGCTTGCCGTCATTACGGCAATGTATGTGGTTCATGTGCAAGGAGGCCACTGATAAAATAGCCCGTTTAGTGATCGAATTGAAAACCTTGTGGCTATGCAGTTTCAGTACCTGTCATCTGGGTTAGTTGATCACCTCTTTCGATTCAAGGGACATTGCTAATCATCATAGGCCAGCTGGTATCATACGTGAGACCATCGCACGTCAAGTTTGGAGATTTATCGACTTATTACTCCGTATAGCTTGTTTGTCAGGCGGGCGGCGGACTATAGGGTTGAGATGTCCACCCGCTCATCCCCTTTTTGGAACCTGGCGGAGCCCAAAAGGACGAATCGTCTCGAGAATCCATGGGGTCACTATCTATTCTTTTTGGCCACAATGATGGCATTGCGAGATGGGTTGTATATTGTCAAGAGCGAAGGCCGTTTCCAAAGTAACATGGGGTGGATGGCCGGCCAGCCATAGCCAAATGTTGGACGGTCCTTCTACCAACTGTACGTCAATGAATCCAGGACGTACCAGAAGCTCGCTGAGAACAATTCTCAAGGCCGCGACTGTTTTGCCGAAGACCTCTCAAACGGCACAATATGCCGCTCCTCCCTGTTTCTAAACGGAAGGATATTCCTCAACCCTTCCAGGCTACCCCATCCATCCATCACCATCATCATCACCAACACCACCACCACCATCATCATAACAACAACAGCAATGAACCCTCCGGGAGTGTATACTCGGGGAGGAGGGGGGAAAGGGTGTGAGCTCTCGAGACATTGCCAGTTGTAACCATGATCGCATTGGACGTCTCACGGAGTCAACAGATCGTGCGGGAAACAGCCTTTCGGGGGCTCGTCTACTCCCAGGACACTTTGAAGTGGGGATTGGCTGCCCACAAGGAAGAAACAGGACTTTATGGAAATTGCCCACCAAACAAACCCAGAGACTACCGAAATGCGGTTTTGTGGAAGAAAGTCTACCTGGGATCCCGCAAAAGACCCGTCTGTGACTGCTCTATTTTACGAAGGACAGAATCAAAAGAAGACAGAGAGTTGGATATGTCTTGCAAGGAAACTTCACAAATGCTTGCAGCAAAAAGGTCTGATGCGCGTCAAAGTTGAGATAGATTCTCAACCACAATTGGACAAGGGGTTAAGAATCTCTCCCTGCCGACAAACCGATGGAATCACGAACATTATCCTACTATGGATGGAGAGCTAGGAGAGCTGGGACAGTCTTTCAGATAATGGGAAGGCACATATTCGATCCGAAGTACGAAACAATATCGTCACTTTGAGAAGAATTGGCCTTGTTTCTGTTGAGTGTGGAAAACACGATGGGTGTGTTGTATGACCGGGAAAGCGGATTAACTACACTTCTAGACGGTAAAGACAGAGAAACTTACTCCAGATGCCCCGGAGATGTGGGCGATCTTTGGCCTTCGAGTCACCATCATGGTGGCTAGTTATAAGACCATTCAAAGCTGTTTCGTTGAGGTGTTGAACGATGAAGTTAATTTGTTGGAAGATGATGTTTCCGAATTCGAAGAGAAGATACAAGAGGAGCTTGAGATAGTTGATCTGTTTGTGTTGTTGCGTCCTAATCGTTCAATAGTAATAATGAAGACAAGAAGATAATTCATGTGATGAATTATCTCAGACACACATCTAATATAGGTCAATAATTGTCATAAAATAATCCTCACTGCTAACCTACTACCAAGATATACATGCAAATGTTCATACTATGATTTCTGCGTGATACGGGAATTTACTATTTATTTATACCTTCACCGTCTTCGGCACACCCACCGTGAGAACGTCCAATCCGCCCTCAATCTGCGACTTAGTCGGCATGTTCCCACGACGCATCAGCTCCGCGCTCTGCGCCATGATCGGGTCCATGCCCATCGTGGCCACAGCCACCACCGTGTCGCCCTTGGTGTAGTACGCGGCGAACTTGGCGTTCTCCAGCTCGCCCTGCAGCACCAGCCCGTCCCAGCCGTTGGGCGTGTTTCCGCAATACCGCAGCTGAGCGCCCAGCGCGGACCAGAAGATGGGGATGAATGCTTTGGGCTTGAGGGATTGCAGGGCGGAGGACGCTGACAATGACGTTTGACTGTGCACGATGGCGCGGGCCACGCCGCGTCCCGCGTTCTGGGCGACGTTCCAGTGCTCGATGCGAGTGTAGGTGCCGGTCTTGGGGTCTGTGCCGGGTCCGTGGTACGGGTATGTGGCGATGTCGCCGATGGCGAAGACGTCGTTGTTCAGCCCCGGGACGGCGAAGTGCTCGTCTGTTTTGAGGGACCCGTCCTTCTCGAGCTGCACGGCTGCGTTGTCCCGGAGGAAGTCGGTCGCCGGGCGCACGCCGACACCCAGGACGACCAAGTCGGCGGGCAGCACGGAGCCGTCGTTTAGATGGACGGCGCCGACTTTACCGGCATCGGTCTCGGAGGGAGTGGCCTTGACGACGCCGGCTTCGAGCTTGAACTTCACGCCGGCTTTCTCCAGGTTGTTCTGGAAGATGCGGCCGACTTTCTCGCCCATGACCCGTTCCATGGGGGCTTTCTCCTGGCCGACGATGGTGACTTCGTTATCCTTAGCGAGGGCGTTACCCACCTCCATCCCGATGAAGGAGCTGCCGATGACCACAATCTTCTTGTTCTTCTCGCCCACGGCCCCCAGGATGGACTGCACGTGCGTCACATCCCGTAGCTGGAAGATGTTACCGAGATCCTTGAACCCTTCCAGGGGCAGACCACGCGGGACACCTCCCGTGGCCAGAACCAGCTTGGTATAGGGATAGCTGGCGCCGGACTTGGTAGCCACAGTCTTCTTGGCGAAGTCGACGCCGGTCACCTCGTCGGAGACGGTGTCGATGGAAGCCTCCTGGTACCATTCTCGCGGTCGCAACTGGATCTTCTCCGCGTCGGGGATCAGAGCCTTGGACAGCTTGGGTCGGTCGATTATGAGGTTCGGTTCGCGGGAGATGACCGTGATGGGGCCTTTGTATTTCAATTCTCGAAGGGCCTGGATGGTACCTAGGGTTCCGGAGCCACTGATGATTGACCATTAGTCCATGTTCATAGTAACTGGATCGGATGATAGACTACTTACCCTCCCACGACGACAACCCTCCCAGCATCCGCCGAAGAAACACTGCATTTCACAGCAGGATCTCTCTGCCCGGATTTAATAACCGATTCCTCGCCCTTGATATAAACCGCGCCGTTCTTCTCCTCGACCTCGAATTTATTCAGCGCATTCGGAGCCGGAGCATCCTCGACATCTCCGGTACCGACATTAAAGCAAGCTATATCCCAGGCAGTAATGATTAGCAAAAGTCCATACAAACAGGGTTAATCACCCTAGAAAGAGAGGAGAAAAAGAACACATACCACCATGCCAAGGACAAGTAATCCTCCCATCAGGCGCAACAACACCCAATTTCAACGGCGCGCCATAATGAGTACATTTATGGCTAAGGGCATGAACCTGGCCGTTATGTTTGACGAGGAGGATCTTTGCCTCGTCGATACCTTCGACTTCGGACTCGAGTTTATCGAGCTCTTTGAGGGTTGATAGGGAGGTTATGTCTTTGAGTTTGTATTCCTGGGCCATTGTGGTGGAGGATGTTGAGAAAGATCTGTTACGAGGGGATAAGAGGAGGAATGTGTTTCTATGGGATGGTCTTGATACTGAGGAGGATGGTATTAAGGAGAAGGAGGAAGATAAGGAAGAGAGCGGTCTAGCAAGAGAAGAGGAAGAGGGGGAAGAGGGGGAATGAAGACAGCAAGAACACGAGCAGCCACTAGCAGCACGACAGCCACATCGACAGCTGCGGCGGGGAGGCGTGCAGGATGAAGCAGAGCGCCAGACCAATCGGCCAGTAGAACACGACCAGGTAACAGGTGGTGGGAAGCTCTGGCGAGGAGTAGTACGAAGGAGGGGTAGATACATTGGGGGAGGACTAGGGTTAAATTAAACTAAAGGATTCCGAGAGGGGAGACTGGCAGGATGGGCGAATATATCGGGAGCATGGCGTGGTCTTTGCATGACATCGTGGTGAAGCAATTGAGAAAGGAAAGTAGAAGGAAAGTAGGAGTAGGGAAGGAATGCAGGGAAGACACCCAAACAATGACGTCGGTGGGAGGAGGACACCACAGCCAATCACGGGACAGGTTTTGTCACCCACGTCAGACCCTTCGATTGGAGTATTTTCCTGTTGATTAGGTATTATTCTCCCTCTTTACATACACATGCATATCTCCAGAGTTCCGCGTTAAACACCATCCATTCCACATCATCATCCCTTGCTCTTCCCCCGTCGTCGCCTCGGAGCTGGCGGACTGATGCTGCCGTCCTGCAACCGGTGCATGCGTGCCCCCGCCGACGACTGTCGCGTCTGTCTCCTCGTCTTCGGTATGCTCTTCTGCACCCATCCCGGTCCTCGAGGCAGACGATTAAATCGAGCAAAGTCCTCGTCGCTGCCCTCCGGTGACACGAGGGGACTGGACTGCGTCAAGTCGATCATCATGATTTCGGACTTTTGGGATTCCGGCGGCGGTAGAGCGTCCTCTGGCATGGCATCCTCGACCAGAGTCTCCGGCACGGCACTGACGAGTGACGACAATTGCTGGGATGGAGATGGTTGCCGCTCGGCAGGGGTTGGTGATTGGCGCGAGACCGGGGAGGAGGGAAATTCAACTGCCGATAGATAGTCCATCGTAGTATCGCCCTCCTTAACATCGAGGCTGGTCTTCATCTTTTTGGAATTGCGTCGTCGCTGTTGTTTGTGCGCTCGATCAATTTCGTAGAAGGGATTAGGAACGACCGAGCATGGTGAGGACCGAGATACCGACCGTTCTCGCTCTGGTTCACGCTCCTGTTCTTGTACTGGTTTGTCTTCACCATTGGGATCAGCCTCTAGTTTCTTTTTCTGTTTCAGCTCAGACTTCTGCTCAGGCTTCTTCTCGACTTTCTGGCTTGGAGTTGAGGACTTGATCCCGGCCTTATTGTCAAAGAGCGACGCGATGAGGCGATTGAAGGACACGGGACTTTCAGGGCTGCTGATCGGCTCGAGGTCTGGATCCGATCCCGCCACCGGCGGCGCCGCTTCGTTCTTCAAGCAATTCGGCGGCACGCTCGAAGTAGGCGTAGATGGCCGCGAAAGACGACTGCCCGAATTCGGATCCTCCTCGTCGCCAACACCACCTTCATGATCTGCTTCTTCTAGGGGACTGCCCGGTGATGCCAAGGCCGATCCCTCGTCGCAGGACCGGAATCCGTGAAACTCCGGCGATTTTACGCCGGAGCTGGAATCCTCGCCAGAGGCCCTTACGGCGTCGACTGCGTCCTTCGTTAGTGGGTCGAGCTCTTCTTGAGTTGCGTGCCGGTCTTTGGGAGGTGCCTTCTCGTCTGCTTTCGCATCCGGCGTTGGACTCCGTTCAGGCGGCTCTGCCGGAGAGCTTTGGTCGGTGTGAGCGCATACACGCCAGAAGGACACAGTGAAAAGGAAAAATTTAATGTACTGACAAGCTGGCTTTCTCGGCTTCTCCGGAGCCGCCTGGAACATTTCCCGCTCGTAGAAGCTTGGCATCGATGAGGTCTGCAAGCGACACTTCGCGAAACCCATTGTCCTCCGCTTCGTCGTCATCAAAGCCGGGCATCTCAAAGCCGCTGTACTCGGGTTCGTCCTCGTCATCTTCCGTCTCCTTGGGCTGCCTTCGATCACGCTTGGCCAGCCGAAGTTTGAGAATCTGGTCTTCGAACACGTCGTGAATCTTGGCTACTCGATATTCTGACACCGTAGGCTGCCAGTTGGTCGCTTTGGACATGTCCAGCTGCCTGAAAGCAATGACTGTGCCCTTTTTCAAATCGTCTTCTACTAGATCCCCGAGCGATGCCGGATCATCGGGAATCTGAGGAAGGTCGCCCGCTGTCTCGTCTGATGGTTCCGCCACGTCCTCGTGTCCATTCTGCTCAATGCCTTCCATCTCGTGACTCGGCTGCTCCGTGTCGTCGTAGTTGAGCTGAGGATCTTCTTCATCTTGATACCAATGATCATCATTGTCATAATACTCTTCCTCGTCGTACTCCCCGTCGTATTCCCCGTCGTATTCCCCACCGTACACCTGAATGCGCTGCTTTCTCTTCCGTTTCTTGCCCCATCCCTTGCGCTGTCTGATGATATTATCGGCTTCGGCATCCCAGCGCTGCTCAAAGGGAAAAGGAGGCGCAGTCAAATCGACATCGTCAAAGAGACACTCGGTGGCCCGAATGAGTAACTTGTCTTGCCAGTTCTCATCCGAGCCACTTTCACTTTCCTCGGCCGGTGCTTCTTCGGTGATGGACTTCTGGGGATAAACATTGGTGTTCTTGACTTTGCCGGCCAGCTTCTTACGCGTGGCTTCTTCGTCCTCCTTGGTTCGCGGCGTCCGTACTCCAAGGGAGCCAAACAGCAGTCGCCGGGAGCTGGCAACATCTAGGGTGCGGCGCTTGGATTCGGTGCTGGCTTCATTGGCGGTTTCCGCAGCAGGTACGGCGTTTTCTTTTTCGGACTCGGGAACATGGTTGTTCACTTGATTGTTGTTCTCTTTGTCACTGGGGGGCGCATTCTCTTTCTCGGTGATGTCGACTCCTCCCAATTCAAGATCACGAAGCAGCTTCTGCCGCTTCGCTTCGAACTCTGTCTGTTCACTCTCGCTCGTCCCGGGTGTGGTTGCGGGGAAGCGATACGACCCTCCGTTCTTCTCCTCCAGATCTCGAAGAGCGGCAAAGTCTGCCTCGGCCGGTAAAGCACCCAATTCTTTGAGTTTGGCTAACCGTCGTCGCATCTTGTTGCGCTGGTTGCTCTTTTTGGTTCGCTGGGAGCCCAGACCGGGTGGGTTCGTCTTCGATGAGGCTATATCAGAAACCTCTTCAGACTCTGAATCTGATGCCGAATCATCTGAATCAGAGCTGGATGAATCAGAGTCGGAATCGGAGTCGGAATCAGAGTCCGAGAAATCTGACGAAGAGGATGAAAACTTTGTGTCCTCGTCAGAGCTGCTATCGGAAGAAGAGCTACTGCTGCTGCTGCTAGCCTTTTCAACCGTAGCAGACGTTTCTTCTGGCTCTGGCAATTCTTTGGTGACTGGAGACTTCTGAGCAGGGGGCGGTGGGAGCGGCGCCGATGATGACTCTTTCTGTCCCTCGAATCTGACCGCCTTGGAGTCTCGTCGCGAAGCATCGGCGTCTGAAACCTTCTTGCTAGCATTTTGTAAGATCGATTGTCTTGGTAGCATGTGGAGACTCGACTTCTTGCGCAATGGATAGCCACCGTCTTCCGCTTGGTCGTCTCCAGTCTTCTCAACACCAGACATCTCAGAGGTCTCTTGATCCTCTTTTAGGCCCTTTAACTCCTCGGTCAAATCACCAGCATCAAAGTCGGATATATCGGCATCACTCTCAGAGCCTTGGTCATCTTCATCCTGGTCCACATTATATCGAATGACCGTGCCATCACCAGTTTCTTCATGGACTTGATGAAAATCTTCGTAATCGTCCTGATAAGCATCTTCGTACTCATCATCATCGTCGGGTTTACCGTCGGACCCACTACCCTCCCGCAGGGCTGAAAGCTCTTTTAACGACCGGACTTGTCCAGGTGCCCATTCCGTATCATCCTCGTAGCCAGCAGATCCATTGCCACAGCTCGCCACGCTCGTGCGCCTCTTCTTTCTCGGAGGTATCGTGATAGCGGGTCTCGACGAAGTAGGTCTTTTCAGGAAAGGCTTTCCGAACGGCACGCCATCTATCAAATGCCTTCCATCGGCGGATATTTGGTGTCGACCGGAAAGGCGTCGGGCGCGCAGGTCGGAGAGCTGAAGAGCTCGTATTCTAAGCAGACACAGCCGAGTTAGGAACATGAATGCCAATGGGCGGGAACCCAAGCGTAAGTACTCACAAGACTTCGTCCCCATCTCTGAGGAGACCCTCGACTTCCATGAAATGCAGACACTCCGAGCCCCCCACCTCGACGACGTAGTCTTCTAGGCCCCATTGTCCACTACATTCACTATCGAACAAGGCTGGCTCGGTCTCCAGAGGGACCACGCCGTTCACATCCTCCAGGAGCTGCGCGATGGTATAGCCACCGTTCGCATATAGCGCATTAGGGGTGCGCGTCGACGTGATCGCAGACGAGGCGGCAGGGATGACGGCCGAGGTATTGGGCGCATTCTGACCGAACAGCGAGGGCGGCGCGGTCGTCCAAAGAATGCGCGTCACCGGCAGTCCGTGACGCTGAATTACGAGGTGGAGACGCATGATGGAATGTTGGGTAACTTGTGCGCTCTCCTCCGTGATTCTTCAATGGACGTTTGATATCAGAGCATCAGTGGTGAAGGTTGAGGGTAAAAAGGTATTAAATTCGCTGCGTTTGCGACTCGCGAAAATTGAGCTCCAAAGTCGGGATCGGTCGCGTTCAGAGCAGGCAAGCTGCGAGTGGGCCACGCGGGAAGAAACTGACAGCGGAGGACAGGTGCAGGTCGAGAGGTGCAACGAGAAGATCAGCGCGAGAGTATTAGATTAATCATAGAAATACATGGTACTAGGAAGGGAATTGAGCAGAGCGACGCGAATAGCAAGAAAAAGCAACAGAAGCAGTTGGACGAGAGACGGTGAAGGTGAAGACTGGAAAGGAAAGACTCGAAGGTGACCTCCAACTCGCGCTAAGCCTGTCCGGGAACCCCCGCCTCAGGCACTCTCCGGACGGTGTGAACAGAATGGATTTCTTTTCCTGTTCCTCCTTGCTTTGGGGCCCGGAATTCTGCGATTTAGGCTCTACCTACTCGATATTACTGTCTACTTGAATGGGTGTACTTTTACCTGCATATGATTGCAGCAATGTGATGTATGCTATGCTCATGCATGTAGGCATGGTACTTTTGTTGCGTTCTCTAGACAATGTAAACAAACATGTATCCTGACGTCGCTACCTGCTTGTGAAGATTTAGGCAAAACACTGTACCAAGTATAAAAACCTGTCAAAGATGATATTCACTACCTAGATGATCGTGGTATAAAACGAGATTTTTCCAGTGATCCACAGCTCAGATAAAAAACAAAAAACCAAAAAAAAAAGACTTGGTATCAATATGCAACAAATGGCGATGAGATGACAGACGTTTTAAGAAGAGAAGAGCGTTCAAGTAAAATGAACACCGCTTATATGCAGGTGGCATCGATGTCCAAGTAGATGCGATCCATGTTCCATGGTATATGGTGGATGGTCACCAATGAAGGAAGGTCGTGGTGGTTAATAAACCCATTGATAGAAGGTTCCGGATTTCCTTGAAGTGAATATATTACGGATGTCACTCAGCTCGATCCTCATTATATATTGGAAAACCGATCGCAGAGGGGAGTAGCCAGAAGGTGCTGGAAGTATGATGCGAAAACGGCACGCCTCGGTCCTAGTAGATCTAGGCTCAAGGACCTCCGGAGCTTGAGCTTCGAGGGACCGGTTTCCTATTTGGCACACCGAGTCTGATGGGACGGAATTCAGAGCCGGAGGGCCTCCGCTCGGCCGGACCAGGGGATGCTGGTTGCAGGTGACTATCGGCTACTGGCTGATATTGAGGCGGGTTGTCCTCCGGAGGGGGCGCCATTTTGTGGATCTTTAGAATGCTCTGTTGACGGGCAACGGGAGATGTTGGGGGCGAGCCGGAGTGGGATTCCGGCGGCGTCGAAGGAAGCATGTCGAAGGACTCCGAGGATGAATTTGCTTCGCGGTTGCCGTAAGGGGCCCGACCCTCAAGACCCTTTACCGGGTAACCTGACGAGCTTGGATCAGCTCCAGATTCAACGGGTCTTCCGGAAGAGGAAGAGGCATCTGGTGGGTTATACTCGCGACGGGGGCCATCTACGGGACTGAGGGTTTCGGCCATCGCGTCCTCGTAGCTGGGAGGAGCATCGTCATAGTTTTCCTCCGAGGCGGGCACGGGAACCGGAGCCGCCGAAGGTCTGGGAGGTATGGGCGGGCGCGAACTAGTGCCACCCTGGGGCCGATCTGGGACTGATGGTGAAGGTGGCACCGGTGCCGGGGGTTTGACGCGTCCAGTGGCAGCCATGGCATCCAGAAGTGCTTGGGGTGGAGCAATACCAGAGAACACTCTGACAGGCATCCTTAGCGGGAGTACGATGAGTTGAGGCTATTCACAGTTAGTATAAAGACACCGAAAAGTCAAGCAGAAAGATCGTCACGCCGTCACCCACTTTCATGTTCCCAATACTGCCATGAGTCAACCCAATTCGGACCTCAAGCTCATAGGATCTGGAGATGTTGCATGTCTCGAAACTCGGAGCCACTGAGCTGGGCAGAGGCACCCGATTCCACATGCTGGCGTCGATAGTGTATTCAGAGCCCGCCGGATCACCTCCTCTCCCAAGGGGAATACCCATGTTACTCCGACTCATTATAACCCAAGTGCCGCTTTCCGTTCGCCTTAGATCGTGAGCAAGGATGTGCGTGTACCCGATCAACTCGATTTGCAGCATCTGCAGGAAGATGGTCTCGTATGACTCGGACACCTTGCTCACCAGCACCCGCAGCGGGATGGGCTCATTGCAGGTGAGAATGGACGGGTTCGGAAGTCGAATGTCAGCAGAGACGCGAGGAGTGTCCGAGGCACCATCCCGGAGGGAAGTCGACGAGACCTTTTGGAAAAGGCTCTTCGTCTTGGAACCACTGGGGGGCTTTGTAAACTGGTGCTGGCGTCGCGCATACGTCTCCTCGTTCAAGCTGCCTGTCCTTGGGGGTTCGATGGGAAGGAAGTTCAAGTCATGGATCTAAGATTCGAAGTGTCAGCCTTTTTCCACCCCAGCTGCTTGAAGTGACCATACCGCTCTGATGTTTTCCTTGTAAAATTGCGGCCGGATAATAGTTGCCTTTAGATAATACTTGATGTCTGCCTCGCCCGGAAAGCCGCTCAGAGAAGGAGGAAGGGTCTTCTTGACGTGACGATTCGTATCCTTGGCCACTTCGACTTTCAGTCCCGTGATGTTCAGATTCGTGAGCATGCTGTTATGCATGCTGCAGGCATTGTTGAAGGGAAACTTTCGAAGAATTAGAACCATGCGAAACCCCTTCGACTCACGGGTAAAATTACCTTGAACTGGAAGGGATATTCATATGTCCCAGAAGCAAAAGTATACGTCGTATTCGGAGCCTTGGAGTTGAACACCTCGGGGGTAGGGAAGACGGTAACGACTTTATACAAGAGCTGCGAAATCATAAGCAACTAGGAGCGATGCAACTGGGGAAGAATAACAGAGCTAAGAAGAGCAAGAGAAAAAAAAAAATTCAATACCTTATGGACTTCTAATTCCGTGCGCTTCTTATCGGACTGCTCATGGTGCGGATTTCGGGGTCCCGATAGACGCGTGCGACTTTCTCCCTCCAACTTCACCTGAATACCACCTATCGCTGCTTCGGACGGCAGATTAATCACAACTCTGCCGGATAGGAAGTCAAGGTTGGTGAAGTGGGTATGCGAGTTGTCTAAATGGATGGTCGCGGACATGGCGAACACCTCGACCCGGGCCGATCTCTAGCGACACGGCCGATTGCGATGGGGCTGATATGCTTATTCGATGTAAAGAGGGAGAGATTATGTCGCTGATAATAATATGAGAGATTCTACTAGGAAGGGGTTAGGCGATGAGGAGTGGGGGGCAGAGAGAGAGGGATTGAAGGGATGGAAGAGAGCGCGAGAGGGCGGGAGTTCGGCATACAAAAAATAGATACGAGGGGGAAAATGACGTTGAACGGTTGAAGGGACGAGGGCGTGGGGCAATCGATGGTTCAAAGCCAAAAAGGACTCTCGGCGTGGTCGGGATCCTGATCAGGGCATGGAAAGTGATAGAGTGAAAAAAATATCCCCTTCCTGGTCCCAAGAGTTCCCTGTTGGCAATCAGGTGGGTTTTATCTTTTTTGTCCGACTCTTAAGTTTGTTCAACTCTTCGTGCTGAGTCGCTTCTCCGGACCTCCAGGAAAGTCTAGGCCGTCAGTGGTCGGGGATGAGATCGTCTCACAGGGCTGCCAACTTGCTAAGCCACTCGGATGCTTGGGACGCGAAGAACACCGCCACCTTTCCATCTGTCAATCGAATCCAGAAGGTTTTCTAGGAACTACAGTACTAGTCCTGTCGATGTCATTATCTGGATCGGTGACTCATCTCATTGGGTATATCACTACTGGTTTATAATTGACTTGCCTAGCTAGGCATCAAAATTCTTCCCCCCTTAGCCGCTGCATTCCTGCATGTTTCTCGTCAGAGACCCTCCTTCGCCAGCATATCTGGTGTGGTCAGATTTGGGAACCGTCAGCCACAAAGCTCGTCAAAATTAGTTCGACAGGAATGCTTGTCACGTACCTGCAATATCAAGGTAGAGTGCAATGGCGTTGAACCTTGGCCGCCCACGCCCGTTAGCCCACGACGCTGCCTGTCACCATCATCGGGGGGGTTAGTTCGTTTGACGCACCTTCTCCGATTGCCCGTAATCTCTCCAGCCAGCCACTTCAATCGATTGCTCCAGTTGATCAAATCCAAGTGGCTCACGTCAAGGAGGGTCCCCTTATAACCTGCCTCTCCTCCCCACCGACTACTAGCAACGCTAACCAGGCCGTCGTTAAACCCCTCGAGTTGCTCCAGAATCCGATGGGACTGGCGGAAGACCGACCAAAAACTTGGCTGCATACACGCCCCGTACGAGAAGTATCTGTCTAGTCTCAGCCCTATTCCGTACGCAATACTCCTTTTTGTTTGTTTGGTATTTCTTTTCTTTTCTTCTTTTTTGTGTTTGATAGGTTCCACGTACCGTACGTCGTCCACATCAGGCGTGTTAGGATTGAATGTGCTTTCCATGTATTCCCGCGTTAACTGGGAGAAAGCTCCCGTTTCAACTTTCAGTAGTCCCAGAGCGTAGTATAACTGGGCAAGGCGGTCATCTGCAGGGCATGGCATGAGTTTTCTCAGTTTTCTCTTCATCTGGGGGTGATGCGGACTTCATCATACCTCCAATCTGCTTGAGTACATAGTCTGCAACCGACGAGCCTAGTCTTGGTTTAGTTGGACGATCTCGACCTGTTTCTCGGCTGTGTACTGTCACAAACCTCTGTGCGGCGTTGCGATGGTCGTCAAGGATTTTACATTGAAATCCTTGGGTTTCAAATGACTGATCATGTATCGAGAATCCAGACCGCTTGAAGATATTAATCGAAAGTCAAGAAAGAAAGAAATAGAATGTCATGACTGTCGGAAAGAGTCTCACCCCTAGTCGTCCTGTTAATAAAGATAGATAATCTATGGTCAGGTATGACATCTTACCATACTATGTCTGCACGGGGTTAGCACATCTCAATTCAGGTAAACGAATGAAAGAGAACGACGTACGCGATAATATTGACATCCTTCCCTTGCGCCCCGACAGCGATATCTCTCGCTAATTCCTCCGCGCGCATTTTAATAGACCCGGACGGAGGCACCGTCGCCGTAATGACCTGAACGCCTTTCATAGACAGCGCTTCCTTGATCCCTCGCCAGTACTGGACCCCAGGAAGAAAAGGACCAGCTAGCCGCAACTCGTCGAATCCAAGCAGCCCATGCGCGAGGACGATAGGATGCTTGGGTGTATCTGCAAGCATGCGGTTAACGGCCGATTCATCACGAAAGTAATACTGGTACTCCAAGTAGAGATAGTACATACCGTAGCTGTCTCGAACTACCGCATATTCATCCTTGATGACCTTCCCTAAGCTCTCCAGCCGTGGATCATGCGCGTAAGTTCTTGTCTGCTCGTGGGGATTGCACCTGCGTGTCGAAGAGCGGAAAAGTCGCGCGTGCGAACGAGCAATCGGCACAAATTGAACACCAAGTGTCGAATTGGCAGACTTAACGCTCGGACGGAGTCTGGTGACCATATACCCCATTGTCCTTTTAAAATTATCTGCCTATCCTTCTAGGAAAGGTGTATATCATTGGCCATCGGTTGTATAATCGTTTTAAAGTTGGCGTGTGCCTGATGACGCAACGCCTGAAATCGGAACCCGTTGCTGCCTCAGGCAAGAATATAATATGAGAAGACAGGTCGCTACGAACTATTTTCTCATGAGACAACTTTCGAATGTTGAGAAGCGTAGTCTAATTCGTGCGGATTCTGTGGGCGCATGTCGATTCGATTCTAGAGAGGATATGTTCTACTGGACTCGCCCGATACTCAAGAGGCTACAGATAGTACAGCCTAAAGGGTCCCGACAATAAGCCATATGCCAGATTGATTAGAATCGTCAAAAGGTATTTGCACAAAGCTCAAATCGCAGAAACCATATATTCACAGCCCTGAAAAGCAATAGTATAAATCGAACAAGAGAGGCCTCCATCACACAACTACAACGACTTTATGTCTTGACCACGATCTTCTCCGACGCCTCGGGCTTCACCTCCACGACGGCATGGATCAGGTCGTCCACCACCTTGCTGCCCTTGCTGTTGCCGGCCTGCTTGATCTCCTGAAGCTTCACGTCGGCCTCCTTGTTCGAATCCTCTTCGGCCTTCTTGTATCCGCTCGAGTGCTGGTTCGAAGACAGAGCGTTAGCCTGCTGTTGCACATCTTGCGAAACCATGGGTCGAGACAAGTCTATGCTGGGCCGCTCGCTGTCGGGAATCTCTCACCTCAGCCTCGAACTTCTTGAACTCGGCCTCCTTCTGGTTCTTGTATTCCTCGATCTCCTTTTGCGCTTCGGATTTAGCGTCCCTCACTCGCTTCGTGCGGTCTGAAAGGTATAGGTTAGTGTCGGATTGATGGAAACTGCGTAGGGGTGACGATCGTACATTCACGGGCTAGAAGATGCGAATACGTTAGCATTATCTCATAAACGAGAGGAGTGGTCATCCGGAGCGAGACGACCAAGCGGGACTTACCTTGCTGAACAATCTTCTGAGCCTCTCTCTCGGCCTAGAAAAATTAAACCGTCAATTCATGATTGAGCCCGCGAGGGACATCTATCGCTGCGACCTACATCGAGGAGGGTCTGAATGCCTGCGGAGTTCTGAGCGGACTATAGAGCACGGTGTTAGCATCGGAGCGCAGTCCAAAAAAGGTAATAATGCACAAAACTCACCATATTGCCAAAGAGCCCCCTGTAAATAGTAATGGAACGGTTAAACGAGGGCGTCAAGGGCGTGGGGATAGATGTACAGATAAGGCAGAGGACGGGGAGCTTCGTGATGCGCCCCGTCTCATGCCCCCCCCCCGACGCCACGAATGATCAATGACAAGGCGGTCAAGGTTCTGCCATCAGTTACCGCCGTGATAATCGCCGATGAATCTCGATGCCGGTCTGGGCCTTGGATTCTATCACGCATTCTTTTTTATCTGGTCTAGGGTGAGTCTTTGTGATTACCTCACGGAAATCTCTGATAGGTGTACTGATAATTCAGAGGAAGATAAAGATGTCTCGAGCCTCGAAATTGACATTGGCCGCGACGGGCCTCGGAACCGCGGGCATCGTCTACTTTGTGCACTGGTCACAGGAACAGGAGAGAGCGGTACGTTCAGACTGAAGACTCGTCTTATAGGTACGAATATGGGGCTGATCTAGTTTAGAACATGCACAAGGGCGTCGAGCGGGACATGGAGAAGCAGCGCGTGCGACATGAACGACAGGCCGATTTCGAAATGCAGAAGAGACTCGAGGAGGAATACCTGAAGCTCCAGAAGGTTTCTCCCATAGATGTGTCGCCAGGCGGGGATAATAATCCAGCGAAGGGGACATGAGAGAAAGAGCTGTGAGGGAATCAATACTCCATTGGGTTACGGTTGTACATGGACAGTGTCAACCAGTGATAGATTTGCATCCGGCAAGTCATCAGATTCGAGGAAGGTCCAGGGCCCTGTGCTGACCAAGGACTTCAGGATTTGCTGCCTGTCTGATTATCGAATATATGTGTGTACAATACCCACAATGTATATTATATGAGCTAGAACTCTCCTTTCAATTTATGATCTATAACAGGTACAAATGTCCTGTTTTGCTACGCTATGGAAGCAATAACCACACAGAGAATAACTATTGCAGGTATTCTTGGAACCAGAAGTGTCCGAGATGCTTCTCGTAGTACCAAGGCCTAGGTACTGATAAGAGCGAGCATACACATTCCAAATGTGTGGTTGTGAAATTCTCAAGTCCTAACAAAGCAAGGCATCGGCCCTGATAAGAGAAGCCCACACCAACCACCCTGGCCGGAGTCCGTTGGTTGGCTGGTCGTATCATGCATCTGCATAGCACGGGCATAAGGCCGGCTAGTAACGGTCCGAGAGCCTGAGGCCGGCCATTGACGGAGGCCGGAAGATTCCGGCCAGACCAATGGTAATGTAGCGGTAAGTGGGGCTGCTAATGCTTGGCAGTTGGCCAATCCATGTAAATCAACTCATGAACATTGGATGCGCTTGATGGTCTTTGGGGGAGCCTATAGGCTGGAGATGTTTAATATTCGATGCAAGAAGACTTGTAGCCATACAGGGACGATCGACAGACTTGATATGCCAGCTTTCACGAGTTTCATTGCCGGTCGAGTTCAATTCTGCTCCTGGCAGCTCCTACTGGATCGAGCCTAGCGTGTCCCCGTGATGCTGGCTGCCAAGTCTTGATATAGATCGACGTAGATGGCTTCCTGTGCAGCGAGAGTTGAGAGAGGGCATAATTTTCTTCAGGGACGCCGTGGGAACCAAGGTGGTTTATTTTGAACTGCTTATCGGATGTGGAATCTCGAAGATGCATCCAAGAATGCAGCCCCCGCGCCTTTTTGCTCGGTCAAACGTAATGGAGACTCCGTGGCCGGAATTGAATCCGGCCTCAGAACAGTTATAAGAATCGTCTTCTCCCGCTGGATTTCCCTTCCTTTCTCTTGAATCTCCAAGCCTAGACTGGTTTCTACCACGTTCCTGAATATTTTCCTTTCTTCCCCCTTCCAAACTCTCCTCTTCTCTTGGAGAACTATAAGTCTCTGGCATCCTTCCCAAGCCCTCATACATAGATAGACTTATCTTTTCCTTTGTTACCTGGCACTATGACCGTGATAAAGACCCCTCATACTTCTACCACTACCCTGAAACGTTTTCCTTATGTTCATCATGACCCTGCTACCCTTCCTCGGTCCTTGGACCCTTTTACCATCACCACCTCTACGGGCTTCATGCCATTCATCATGTCCCCTACCGACCTCCCCAAGCCCTTCCAGCCCTTAGTGGCCCTGCTTGATCGGATGCCTGTGACAAAGCTCGACGGCACTCCTGGTCTGCTGGCGACGTATGAACTGGGACCTGCCGTCGCCGAGCTCCCCGACCTCACGGCCGAAGTCGACAAGCTCGTCACGGCTGACGGTTCCCCGGACCTCTACGCAGTCACGGCCGTGTTCAGGGACTACTCCTTCCTGGCGTCGGCTTACTTGCTTGAGCCTTGCTGGGAGAGCTGGAGTAAGAACCCGGACAATGGGTATGGTCTTGGAAGGGACTTTTTGCCTCGGGCTGTGGCTTGTCCTATGTATCGATGTGCTCAGCTGTATGTTCTTTTCTTTTCATTCTTTCCTACCTATCTTACCTATCCTACCTATATTATACTAACCACAATCCAGCTTGGACATCCCCCCCTTCATGTCCTATGCCGCCGCATACTCGCTGTTCAACTACACGGTAGCCGAACCATCCAAAGGCCTATCCTATCCTAACCTCCGTCTGGTCCGCGCCTTCGAGCACGGCCTTGACCCCAAGAGCTCCGAGGCCGGGTTCATTCTGACCCACGTGGACATGGTCAAGGAGTCGAAGGGACTGATCAGCGGGGCGCTCAAAGTCGTCGATACGCTTGAGCAAGCCGGGTCTCGATCTGAGGTCAACGACGGGTTCCGAGAGATCCTGGCTTCTATGGAAAAGATTGAAGCGAGTATGGAAGGTATGTCTGTATCCTGCTTAGCCCTAAATAGCCGGCCCCTGGTATCTTTTTTCTGGTATGATAATATGATAGACTGACAACTGGATCTAGACATGTGGGCCAACTCCAAGCCTCAGGACTACCTGTCCTTCCGTGTCTTCATCTTCGGAATCACCTCGCAGTCGATGTTCCCCAACGGTGTCATCTATGATGGAGTCCTCGACAACCAACCGCTCTTCTTCCGCGGAGAGAGCGGTGCTAACGACAGCATGGTTAGTTTCCATCCCCCATCCCCTTCTCCCTTCTTCCATTGCTACATGCATACCCCATCTCGACCTTCTACCCCCCTCAACTCAACCCTCCTAACCCCAACCTACCTTACCAATAATAATGATACTAATGGGGGAAAAAAAAAGATCCCCCTCCTCGACCACCTCCTCCAAATCCCGATGCCCTCAACCCCTCTCACCAAAATCCTCCACGAATTCCGCGCCTACCGCCCCCTCCCCCACCGAACCTTCCTGGCCTACCTAAACGCCAAATCAGCCGAAGTAGGTGTCCGCGATTACGCAGAACACGATACCGAAACGACCATCCTCTTCTTGAAGACCCTGAACCATGTTCGCAGTTTCCGGTGGCGCCATTGGTTGTTTGCCAGGGAGTATATTATTCGCAGGACGCCTCATCCGACGGCGACGGGGGGGAGTCCGATTGTTACGGTACGTTTGATTTCTTCTTCCTTTTTTTCTTTCTTTAGGGTACTTGGCTTGGTTGGGGTTTTGCTGATTCTGGTTCAATAGTGGCTTCCGAATCAACTCTCCGCTGTCATGGATATGATGATATCTATTTATGACACGTACCTGGCACCTCAGAAGAACGGGGAAGTCGGGGCTCACGGACTGAACGGGTATGATGCCTCGTATCAGAAACAGGTCGAGCCGATGATGGAGATGGTCAAGGATCAGAGGGAGAAGTTAGCGAAGGAGGTGGAGAAGTGGTGTAAGGAGAGAGGGGTTTAATTTCGAATTTGCATTTGGAGTTTGAATTGAATTGGATCAATGATTCGATTGATCCTGTGCCAACTAATTAATGACCAATGACAATGATCAATGCCTGTCTTTAACCGAGAAAAGATAGACCGAAATTCAAATATATGCTGGTATCACATCATCATCATAATTCCTGATTTCCGTCCTTTCCGAAACGCCCGATAGCATGTCATTTCGCCAAAGAATAAAAGAAAAAGTTGAAATCTGTTCCAAAATCCTTGAAACCAGACAGAGAACAAAAGACCCTAAATAGAGAAAGCTAGAAGATAGGTTCTCGCATCAAGCTCCCATATCGACAGGCGTATCATATGAGCGAACCTCGAGATAAACAAGTTCGTCCTTTCAAAACCATTGATAGGCTTATTATTTAAAGACCTCAAGACCGCTGGCCCGCCCATAAGCAACGGCATCGGCCGAAACCTGCTCGCAGTCTTTTGCAAAAACACGCTCCAGCTGCGAGTGGTTCGCTTCAGATGAACGAACATCCGCCAATCTCTTGATTGAAACACCAGTTATCTCTGTACAGGTCATATTGAGGACCTTCAAGTTGAGCAATTTTGCAGCAAGCATCTCCACAACCTTGTCATAAATCATGGAGATGTGCGAAACATTGAGTTCCTCCAACCCTTCGGAGTGTTCACAAAGGAGTTGGGCCAGGCCAAAGCCATGGAGCCGGGCACACTTGTCTACGTGAAGGACCTTCAGAGGAGCCTTGGCCTCGAGCAAAAAATAGAGAAACGTGCGATTCGAAACCCAAGGCACGTCGCTGAGAATAAGGGTATGAAGTTTTGGGAAACTAAGGGGTGGTTCGTTCGAAAACGGGAACTCTTCCGCTCCAGCACCTCCACGGATGCGAAGGTATTCAAGGCTAGATGGCAACGCAAACTCATCACCAATGTAAAGACCACTAAGGTCGAGTTTCTTTAGTCGCTGAAGATCCAGCGGATTGAAGGTGGGAGGGTAGGGGACAAAAAACTCTGGGTTTGAATCGAGCCGCAGCTCTTCCAAATTTGCAATTGAGTAAGGAATAGCCTGCGCAAGTCAGTCAATTTGGCCGACAGTAGGGGTCAAGGAGTAATACATCTTCTCGGCGGGGAATGTAGAGCGCAGGAGCATGTCCGGTCGGCCTCGACTGTTCAACAGAGCCTATCGTGATACTCCGTAGGTGAGGAAGTTTCGACGGCCACTGCGCCTTTGCTTCGGACGAGGCCTTGGCCCTGTGAACCTCGATGTGTTCGAGGAGTGGTAAGCTTGCGAGAAATTTGGCCAGGTATTCCTGAGGGACAACCGTGTTTGCCGATATGATAAGGGTTTTCAAACGCTTGGAGCCCTTGAAGAGCTCGTAAACCGCCTGATTGTTGTACGGGTCCAGCAACTCGAGATGTTCCAACCGTGGGCACCTGCTCACATATTCCAAAACCTTCTGCGCCGAGGGAGTGGAGATATTTTTCAAGGTGACTTTTGTTAGTAGAGCCTTGGAACGTCGAATGTGAGCTAGAACGGACGTTGCCGAAATCTTGCCGCGAGCGATGGAAAAGTCCAGTTCCATCCAAAAGTCGCGCATTGAGGAGAGAAATTTGTTCCATCCTTTGCACACGCGCAGTATTGCACTTGGAAACGTTAGATGTGAGGGCCAAGTGAGGGCAGCCAGAACCTACACGATCTGCTTGAAGTTGAAATGGTCCAGAACAAGCCGAGCAAGTTCCAAAGGCAACAGAGTGAAAGGATCCTGACACTTTGCCGTCATCTTCTCGATCAGTTTGTCGTGCAATTGTTCGACGAGCTGCGCTAGTCAGCTCGGTTCCAAAAGAGAATATTGAAAGACTGATCGCCAGGAAGTATCAACTGACCGAGCGACGCGGATGACTACTGGGTAGGACCTTCAGTCCATAAGCGTACACTTCCAAGGCCTTTTCGGGCTTGCTATCCAGGAGCAGACTCTTCGCGCAGCGAAGATATCCCTACACCGTATTAGCGATTGAGCCGTCGTTCATCTGACCGACACTCGCAGGCTCATACCCGGTAATCTTGCTTGTCTCTCTTAATCATCAGCCTGGAATCCCGCAGCGCGCGATCGTATTGTGCCAATTTGGTGTAAGTGGCAGCGCGAACATCGAGGATATCCAGATGATTGGCATCTTTTACATTTAAGGCCTAATGTAACCAGTAACTGGTTAGAATAGAGGATAGAGAAATGATTCCATTCGATGCACATGGCAGATGTACCTCAGTAAAGGCTTCTATAGCAGCTTCAAAGCTGCCCTGCTGATAGAGTCGCTGGCCGTGCTGCTGCAACGCGGCCGCCTCACCACGCGCCAAACCTGCAAGGGGAACGAAACCTTTAGCCATTGAAACACCGCATAGGACTTGCCAGAAGATGGCAAGGGTAATGAGTGCATCGGCCAAGGGAACGTACCTAACGAGCCCATGATCGTATGAGACTATGAGCCGAAGTTACATTCTCGTCGCGCTAGGCGGAAGAGACGGGAGCGAGAGAGGCGCGAAAAGAGAAGAGAAGAAGAGCGAGAATCGCGTGACTCGCGTCGGACGGTCGACGTCAACGGGGCAACGCCGCGTTTGCCGTGGAGCTGCGCAGGTGGTCGCTGTCACCACCCGCAGAGCCCCCGGTGTTTACTTTTGTCCCGATTGGGAATCCCTGTCGGCGGCAAAATAACGGTCGGCTTTTGCGATCCACTGGGGAAAATTTACCCTGATTTACTTCCCTGACCATCATTTCTAGAGCTTCTGACCCTTCATTCGCCATACTCAGGAGTCTCAGGGCAAGCTTGCTGGCAAGCCATGGAGCCACATAACCTGGAGGCGGCATCGACCTACATTAATAATGTCCTCCTTGCTCGCGGGTTGCTGAAGAGCGGCAGCCCGATCGACTTTGCTCAGCCCGACAATGACGAGGGCGGAGTGGCCACGACGATGGGGAAGATCATCAACCTGGTGAATGATCTGGTTCTCAGACGAGATGTATGTGATCGGAGAACTCATGATTATTGACGGAACCATGCATCTAACAGAGTTACGCAGCGCGAAGCAGAGCATCGAGAGAATCTGGCCAACACCATTCGAACGCTGCGGGCGGAAGACGCGCAGAAGACGCTCGATATTGTAGGTGATCATCGTGGCAGAGGATTGGGTTAAAAAAGGAAAATACTAAGAGTTTGCGATGCAGGAAAAACTCCAGACGAAGACCTCCGACTTGACTCGATCGCTGGCTCTGGCAGAGGCCCAAGAACGCTCCTTAAAGTCCAACATGGCCGGCACGGACTCTACGATCAGGGGACTGAAGGAGCAAGTGCAGCGTATGAAGACCACCATCCAGCAAGTGCGCGCGCAGTGTGCCAACGACATCCGCAAAAGAGACCTGGAGATGCAGAAGTTGAAATCCCACCTGGCCGAGCGGCAGAGAGGAAAAAGGGAGGGCCTCGGGGTCACGACCATCAACATCAATCCCGCAGTCGAACGCTCATCCAGAATGAAACTCTCCAAGGGGGGTGAGGGTATCAACGACCCGGGATACAGCTTGAAACAAGAGACGAACGATTTCCTCACAGAGCTACTGCAGAACCTGAGCGACGAGAACGACGCTTTGATTATGCTGGCGCGGAACACTGTTCAAACCTTGAAGGATCTTCAGGGCCTGCCGCATGTCGAAGAAGACGAGGGCGCGATCGGGTCTGCCAGCGTCGGAACTCACAAATCTTCACAAGGTCCTGTCACTACTCTGCCTTCATCATGCGAGGACCTGTCCGAGCAGATGGATGGGGTCTTGGAGCACCTGAGAACGTTGCTTACGAACCCGTCTTTCGTCCCCTTGGAAGAAGTCGAAGTGCGAGACGAGGAGATTGTGAGGCTACGAGAAGGCTGGGAGAAGATGGAAGCCCGGTGGAGACAGGCCGTCACTATGATGGATGGCTGGCATACGCGAATTGCCGACGGCGGCGGCTCGGTCCAAGCAGAGGAGCTACGACTGGGAATGACACTCGATCTGAGCGTGGATTCCTCGCGAGGCCGAGCGGCCGATGGCGAGCGCGATACGAACATGCAGTCGCCGATCTTCGAAGACCAAGAGGCCGAGGAAGAGGAAGAGGCCGCCGACCAAGTCGTCCCAGTACAGGCCGACCGCATTTCCGACTCCGCCAACGAGAAACAGCCCGTGCGGGAGGAGAAGTCGCAGAAGAGTTCCAACCGAGCACTAAAAGAGCGGAGCGACAACATCAGACCTACACGACTGTCGCGGAAGGTTTCCTTCACACCCGGACTGCAGGGATCTCCATGCGATCCTCCTCGTGAGGAAGATGAAACCCTCCAAACCAAAGCCCACCGATCAGAGGCCGTGACGCGTAGGGCCTCCAAGCGGAGGCCAGAATCCCAAACGACAACCCGTCAGGCCAACCACCCGAGCAGAGCGCCGAAGCAAGAAGATCCCACTCCGACCAGCAAGGAGCAGCATGCATCTGATTACTCGACCCGACTCAGCGTGCAGCAAAAGCTCGCCGCCGTTGAGAGTGAAGCGCGAGCTGCCGAGCAAGCGCGTAAGGAGAGCGAAAGCCGCAAACGAACTCGAGGCGGCAAGAAAGCGTCAAAGGCGACGAGCGATCGCCGACGCAGCACTTTGACCCACGACGAACTCGGGGAGCTGATGGGGATGCCCTCGAAGTAACCTCTCTTTCATCTTTTTCGTGTAATAACCCCCATTGTGTTCAGGATATGACTTTGCTTGATACCCCCTCCTTGAATCCGTCCATGTGTATATATCGAACTTCCTGTTGCTTGCATATTCGACGACGAGCTATCATGACCTGGCGCTTGTGAATAATTTGTTTTGCCTCGTTAATTTTAGGATGAACGCATGTATGATTAATATTAATTGTCGCTCATTAAGGATAAATGAATGGGCTTGGGATTGATCTTCGTTGCTATTCGGCATTGCGCGTTTAGTTGGACCTCGGCAATTTGTAGTCTGGCTCTCCGCAACTTGCTTCACCTACTTTTACTGTGGACATTTAAACACCTCCCCAGTTACAAACTTGCTCAATTGATTGCAAAATTGCGTTTGCTCTCTTGAATTGAGCGCAAATCCAGACCACGACACCTACACACCTACCGTCATCTACAAGCTACAACTACAGACCCCCTTGACACCTACATCATATCCTCCAGAAAATGTCCTCAGATACCTTCCAAGGCTGGGTCGCCCACGATGCCACCAGCCCACTAACCTTCACCACCTTCACGGCCAAACCCTTCGAACCAACCGACATCGAAATCGACATCACGCACTGCGGCATCTGCGGCACCGATCTCCACACCCTCCGATCCGGCTGGGCCCCAGCCGACTATCCCTGCGTGCTCGGACACGAGATCATCGGGACCGTACGTCGCCTGGGGTCGGCCGTCTCTTCCTCAACCTCGCAGTCCCAGGACGAAACAATCCAACTGGGCGACCGCGTCGGCGTCGGCGCCCAAAGCGCCTCCTGCCTTCGCGCAGACTGCGACGCCTGCGCCGACGGCCAGGAGAACTACTGCACGCGCATCACAGGCACATATAACTCCCGATACCGCGACGGCGCCAAATCCAAAGCCCACGGCGGCTACGCGACCCGATGGCGCGGACCCGCGCACTTCGCATTCAAGATCCCCTCCACATTACCCTCCGCGGAGGCCGCGCCGCTCCTATGCGGCGGGGTGACGATGTTCGCGCCGCTCCGGAAACACGGCGCCGGGCCGGGCAAGTCGGTTGGGATCGTAGGCATCGGCGGACTCGGACACATGGGGATTTTATTCGCGAAAGCGATGGGTTGCGATACCGTGGTGGGAATTTCACGGACGAGTAGCAAGCAGGCAGATGCGGTGACGGGTCTTGGGGCGACCGGGTTCATCGCAACGAGCGAGGAGAAGAACTGGGCGCGGAAGCACAGCCGGACGCTCGATTTGATTATCTGCACCGTGGATGCGGCGGATATGCCTCTGGGTGGGTATTTGCGGTTACTGAAGCTGGATGGCACGTTTGTGCAGGTTGGGGCGCCGGAGCAGCCGTTGCCGGCGTTGACGGCGTGGTCGCTGATCCAGAAGAGTGTGAAGGTCACTGGGTCGAGTTTTGGGTCGCCGGAGGATATCAGGTTGATGTTGAGGCTGGCGGCGGAGAAGCGCGTGGTGCCGTGGATTCAGAAACGGGCGATGAGGGAGGTGAATGAGGCGTTGGGGGATATGCATAATGGGAAGGCGAGGTATCGGTATGTGTTGGAGAATGGGGAGGCACAGGCGAAGCTGTGATTGTGGGTAGAGGAATAGGATTGTAAATATGCGCATATAACGGGGTTAGTGTTGTACGGAGTATGTTTTCAACGGAGGTGGTTTGACTTGGCAACCAAGACTCGGCCCAGGTTCAAGTATAATATAATTGGAATGATCAGCATCCCAAGGATACAGAAGCAGAACACTAAACCCTTAATGGGGCTAAATACGAATAAAACGAAGGATTAAATCTCAACATCTCCACTCTGCTCTCCTCTTAGCATCGAAAAAGCTTAGTCTTGACCCGAGCAGGCAATGGGTACGAGATATACGAAGAGGTCTGCTGTTGCTGCATGGACGATCCACCAAATCATGGTGCCTGATGTGGAAAGGTTTGAGGTAGAAAGAGGGAGGCGAAGAATTCAATTAGAAAGACGGTTTCTCTTGGTTATTTTGCTAAGTTTCTCAAATCTTTTTATCTTTCTAACAAGTACTCTTCATACACCTTGGACATGGCAGACACAGATGCCGACACCAGCCATGGAGGCTGGAAAGCCTATGAATACTACCCTTCGATGGCTGCGGCCGTCATCTTCCTCCTTCTCTTCATCGTCGTCAATCTCCTGCATACATACCACCTGATCCGGACCCGGACGTGGTTCTTCATTCCGCTCGTGCTAGGCGGTTGGTGTAAGTTCTCGCTCAGCCAGTCGCTGTGGGCTTCCATGCTTGACAAACTTTTATCTGACATGAACAGTCGAATTCCTCGGTTATATAGGACGCGCCATGTCCGCGAAGCAATCGCCGGACTGGACGCTCGGCCCGTACGTTATGCAGAGCACCCTACTGCTCATCGCACCCGCCCTCTTCGCCGCGAGCATCTATATGGAACTGGGTCGGATTATATACCTTGTCAAAGGACAGGCGCTGTCCATCATCCGCGTGAACTGGATGACCAAGATTTTCGTGGCGGGGGATGTGTTGAGTTTCCTGATGCAGGCTTCAGGTAGGTCTTTCGCCTAAGAGTTGTACGCGATCACCAGAACGGAAACTGACACCAGGACTAGGAGCGGGAATTATGGTGAAAGGATCCGAGGGCACCGGCAAAGGTGTCATCCTCGGTGGCCTCTTCGTGCAGATCATCTTCTTCGGCTTCTTTTTGATCAGCGCCATTTTCTTCCAGAGGCGGATTGGCAGCCGGCCCACGCCGCAGTCGGTCGACGTGTATATCCCCTGGCGGAAGCATCTGTTCGCGCTGCACGCGTCCAGCGTGCTGATTCTGATTCGGTCCATCTTCCGTGTGGCCGAGTATGCTGGGGACACAGACGGGGTTCTGATGTCGAGTGAGGCCTTCATCTATATCTTCGATGGACTCCTCATGTTCCTCGTTATGCTCATCTTCGTGGTCGTTCACCCGAGCGAGGTGAATTGCCTCTTGGGCAAGGGGACGTATATGACCGTGAGGGGTGGGTTAGGAGTTAACGCGAAAAACATGCCCGTTTAATGTCTTGTGAGTGAGTAACGATTTTGGTGTCGGTTTCCTCCCTGGCTTCCAGTCTAGTCTTAAAATATGCCAGACATGCGCCCCAATGACATAGACTTTGCAAGTAATGTAACGGTAGATCTTTGTGAACTCATATTTCCATAACTCCACGAACCAAATGAGAGAATTTATTCAGCCTGTTTGATCGACAGAAAAACTCTCCCCGTAGACCATCTCCATCGGCCAACGAGCCAACGGTTTCCAGCGATCATCCAGAACCCGCCATATCGCCTTGGGCACCCTAACACTCCATTCGCCCACATACCAAACCCCCCGCATGGTGTGCAGGACGGCGCAATAGTGCGCCAAAATGACCAGGGCCAAAGGGCTATGATTGCGGATCAGATCCACGTACTCGGGCTTCAGCTTGATCGCCCACCGGCACGCAATGGTGACGGTGATTAGGCCGCTGGAGATAGCGGCGATCATATCGGCCAGGTTCTCAATCGTGTGGCGATGGACTTCCGTGTCATGTGTCGGATCCTGCTCGCCGTACTGATTATTCGCCTCATGCAACCGCTCCAGGACAACTCGGGCATCCTCCGGCGGGGTCTGGTCGTAGTTACCCAGCACAAGCACGGACGCCCAGTCACTGGCGACGATCGACGGGGTGGCTTGCCTCAGGACCTGCTGCACGCCGCGGGCCAGGACGAATACTTGCGTTAAGTCCTCGACGCAGGTCCACGGGTCGTTCGTCTCGAGCGGATGGGGAAACGCAAGCGCGTACAAGACGACGACGCTAGCAAACCCAAACATCGCCTTTGCATTAGACTCGGTGATGTCGCTTAACGACTCCCGGAAGAACGCCAGCGCGCGATTCTGATGCGAAACAGCGGTATCGACATAGGCGGGACTGCGATGGTCATCTTTTGTGCGGGCCAGATGCAGCGCGGAGAGAGCGAGGATGCCATGCATGAGAAACGGGTGCGAGAGCGCTTCTTCCGGGACGCAGCACCGCCAGATATGGTCGGTTTGGCCGTTGCGGGTCAAACTCAGACAGGTTGAATTGCACCACTGCATCATCAATTCGAGATCGCTGAGATTGAGATCGGTGGTGCTCTGAGGGCTTCTTCTGCCTCCGCCACCGAGTCTCCCCAGGACACCGAATGAATTCGCCGTGATCAGGGTCGATTCTGGGGGTTGTGATCCTTCGGATGGAGATAGATTTGACCCGGGGCGGGATTTTGAGCCCTGGTTTGCCCATAGAAAGGAGCTTGTAGAGTCATATTCACATTCAGTGAGTCGCTTGGTGCAGTTGGTGCAGACTGGCCGGGTTTCATCACACTGCGCGAGTTAGTTCGGGGGGAGCGAGAAAAAAAAAAGAGCCTCGAGTACCTTAACACGCCGTCGCTTGCATTCTAAGCAGCCGTGTCGAGACTTGCGATGGGGTCTTCGGAGCGCCATCAGTAATGAAGTGCCGGGCTTCGCATCATGCACGAGGTAGACAAATGACGATGGGGATGTCTCTGAATAGCCTTAGGCAGCGACATAGTTACGGTCGATTATGTCATCCACTTTAACTTAGTTAACTAGTTAGTTAACAGTTACTTATAGTTAGTTATCCGTCCGCTTAATTTATATAACCGACCCCTCCGCGCTAACATTTAGACGCCGCGTACAGGTTGAAGGAGTCGTCTCTAGCACTAATCTCGCTCATATGGAGCGGAAAGAGGTGGAATATGATACTTTAAAAGAACGAACTCGTCTACGTGCTAAATGGAAGCGGGTCATAGTTGAACTTGTTGATTATGCTGTAAACTATGGGATCATCATAAAGCGCCGGCGAAAAAGCAGGAATGAAGAGGAAACCTCCAGCATTCTAATTGTATAGGAATTTTAGCGATATGTCGATGTTTCGATTTTTAATGAATTTTTGAATAGTATCATGAAATTTTTTGGTCATTGAGCCGACCTGGCCGTTGAGCTGGCAGGGTCGCCGCCAACGGCGACCCCGAAACGTTAGCGCGGAGGGGTCGGTTAGAAGAGCAAGTAGATAATGTTCATTAATGATATTGTACAACCTAGTAAAAAGCAAAATGGTATCTCAACATTGCAAACACCAAAATCATCAGAAAGTAAAATCGTCATCAAGGTTGCTTTTCGCCTTCAACCACCGCCACCTCCACCACCACCACTCCCTCCACTGCTGCTATTGTTGCGACGCCTTTGTTTCTCATACAGAGCAAGCACGGTGAGAATGACCATCAACTCGAATTCAGGGCCATAATCCGCCGCGATCTGAAGTTTTCCACATTTGGTAAAGCTCTTGAGGCTATTGCTGGTAAACACAGCGACAATGCGCCCCGTCTGCTCGTTCACTAGCTTGAAATTGCGCGAACTCAGTACTGAGGGCTTACTATCCTCAACCCCGACATTATGGGTGCGCTTCCAGACAAACGACCGCTTGACCGTTTCTCTATAGGGGGTTCTCGTCGTCATTTGCCAGCGGTACTTGGTGAGCTGGTAGTTCTGGCACACGAGATCCTCCCACTGCACGTCGCTGAAATTCTGGGGATCGCCCAGTCCGACTTTCAGATGTCGGGAGAAGTGCAGAAACTTGCACACGGCTACCACGGGGCCGCTCTCGTTCGTGCCGGCGTGGACCGTGAGATCGGGTTTTTTAGGTCGGATCAGCGAGTTCTCCACGTGGTATAGCGGCGTTTTGTCGGCTAGGGTGACGTCGTAGTGGTGATGTAGGACAGTATGGTAGATGTTGTATATGCGGGACTCAGGGTCCGGTGGAGGTATTGCATCAAAAGATGGGGCAGGGGGGCTGGAGGGATGTACAGGAACACCACGCGCGCCCTCTGCGATGGACGATTCTTTGTACGAATTCATTGTGTCAACATGAGTGTGATAGTAGTAATAGAGCGTAGTGACGATCTAATAGTGCAGTAAGCTACATGAGGGGATCCAGTCATCTTATATCTTCCATGAAACAAGGTCCAAAGATAGATCAAACCCTGAAAGTTAATACGAGATAATCACAAGGCTTAGTGTCGATCGCACCATGGACCCAAATGCAGAATATACGAGGACATCTCGGGCGCGGCGGTGTGCTTGGGCTGGTTTTGCCCGACCCGTCATGGTGGCATCATTGAGTCAGCCTTGGGCCAGTCACGGGCCGACCACGGGGTGGCTTGGCTGCCGAGTACGATTTGCCTAAAGGGGCCAAAGAAACACGTGACTGGTGAGCTATCTTATCACGTGGTATATATCACATGATATCACCTGACGGCGCACCCTGTGCCAAGAGTCAAGGCCGGCGCGCGTTGATCGGCGACGAACGAAGAAGTCGGCGAGTTTTGACCGTTGATGGTGACGGCTGCTGGCCATTGAAGACCGCCATTCACTCCCTGGTCTGCCGTGCATTTACTCTAACTCTTCATTAAATTCCTGAGATTTTTGCGCCTGTCTTCCCCGAATTCCCTCCAGCACGAGCTTGAGGTGGCACTGCTTATCCTGAAGATTCCGCTATTCTCACTGCCGTTCTAGATTTATTTTGTTTATTCCTCCGCCTCCCTGCACCGATACCTCGTTGGTTTCTCAACACACAGTATGTCCTTCAAGGTCCCCTACGATTCAAGCCCCCCGTCGACCCCCGGGAAAGGCCGCAGCTTGTTCGGCAATGTCTCCATGACTCCCGGGGGTGCTCCGCCGTCCGAAGCCAACTCCTTCACTCCTCAAGGCCCGCCGCCCTCCACCATTTACGGAAGTTCCCAGATGAGCTCTCGATCGCAGTTCGACTCGCCTCAGGCCCTGTTCACGAAATCGGGCAACATCAATCCTAACGATAGCATCTTCGGATCCTCGATTACCTCCAACGATTATCCGGTGTCGCGGGGGAGAAAAGAAGCGCCGGCTAACAGATCTTTCGCCGCATCCTCGGTCTTCAGCGTGGGGAGCAGTCGCTTCGGCGAATCCTTCAACTCGAGGGCGTCCAATGAGTTTGGTTCGTCGCAAATGGACCAAGGCCCAGGCTCCGATGCCGAGGATATGCTTCCGGAGGATGAAAGCGAAGAAGAGAGAGTCGACACGAACAAGGGAATAGGACAAGCACCAAAAGCAAACAACCCCTTCAGCTTCTTGGACTCCCAGTTTGACAAGCCCATGTTTCCGCCGCCGACGAAACCAGTTGAGCAACGAAAGCCACTATACTCCAATCCAGACAACGCCAAGCGCCCGAAGCTTGACGACAAATGGATGACACAGTCTCCGCTGCGCAAAACGAAGCTGTCGCCTAAGAAGGACTCCGCGATGCCGTCGATTGTGCGCAATTTCGCTTCGCGCTCACGCGTCACGTCGGTCGAGGAGTCCAGCAGTCTCATCATCGAAACGGAAGACGAGATCTGCAACATGTATGACGCCGCGAAACAGGCTGGATTCCGGGAGTCAGAAGTCAACGCTACCTTTTCGGATACGTGCACTCGGCTTGTCGATATATGGAAGACGCACGCAGGATGGAATAACCCACAAGGATTGGGCATTGGTCCGGGTGACCGTGCCTCCAACGTCGCTAAGGCAGGCTTCCTGGGATCGCTATTGATTCGGATGCACCACCGTCCTTTGGTCCACACGAGGACTGGGGGATTTGCCGGTCCTATGGGCTTCCCGGCTCCGCGCGCCCCTGTGCCCGCTGGCTTCCGGTCAGACTTTCTCACACCCATGCCCAAGGTCCTTCTAGACTGGCTCAATCTCAACCACGCTCAGCAAACAGCCGATCTGCGCACGCTGAAGGAAATTGAGCCCAACCCTACATCGTCGTCAACTTTCTGGGAGGCCATCAACACCGCCGTTCTACGTGGACATCTCTCACAGGCGGCCGAGGTCCTGCGATCCGCGGATTTCAACTACGCTAGGTCTGCGTTGGAGGATGGCCTGCCGCAGCCCGGCTACAAGGGCGCCCAACTGCAGAACATCCAGAAGTGCATCAACCGGGCTCTTCAGGTTCTGACCTCATGCCCGAGTATTCGCGATGACTGGGATGTCCGCGGCGCGGAGTGGGGCCTGTATAGGAAGCGCGTGGTCGCGGCGGTTGCTGATCTGGAGGAATTCGCTGAAGGAAATGAACAGCCGGAACCCGAGCCTCCGGTGCTGGGCAATCGGTTCCAGGCGGCCAATTTCGGGCTGAAGCCGAGCCCTAACACGCAGAACTTCTCGTTCACCCAGTCCTCGCGGATGGCCGAAAGCCGAGTTCCCTGGGCTATCTACCAGAACCTCAGATCGCTATACCGCATTCTGCTTGGCGACACCGGGGCTATCATGCGTCACTCGCAGGATTGGATCGAAGCCACCGTCGCTTTAACGGTGTGGTGGGATGGCGAAATTGACGATGACGCTCCTGTGCAACAGACTGGGATCATCTCGAACCAGTTCTTGCGTCCTCAACTAGCGAAGACCCAGACTCCTGCAGTGGGCAACAATCCCCCGGGCACCTACCTTCGTCGCCTGGAACTGGCTTTAAGTAGCGCAACCAACCAAGAACAGGACAATGCCGGCTTCCGCATCAACTCTCTGAGCAGCCTCGAGGTGGGCCTGGCTTCTGTCTTCGAAGGAGACGTCGGCGGTGTGATCGAACTGCTCCAGACCTGGTCACTCTGCATCGCGTCTGCTGTGGGCGAGGTCGCGGCCGCCGGCGGCTGGTTGGACTCGGCAACGGGCAAGAAGCCGCTATCGGGTCTCAGCGAGAACGACTTGATGGTCCTTTCATATGGCCAAGACGACGGCGCATCCTCGCGCAAGGTGAATAAGGACGACTTGCTGAGTGATTATGCGTCGGGTCTATTTGAGCGGCCTCGTATTGAGAACGAATCCGGTTCTCGCATCGGCTGGGAACTTGCGCTGGAGGTCATGAGCCGCCTGGATGACAAGGACAAGATGCAAAAGAAGGTGTCAGAAATGGTCGACACGCTTCCTCTTAACGACGCGGTTGAAATGGACCGAGTGGTGTTGCTGTGCTCCGAGTTGGGCTTGCACCAGGAGGGACGCAGGGTTTCCGAGGTATGTCGACGTCCAGCCCTCTTGAGGTAGGATGCTAATCACTCATGCAGCGTTACGGAGACATGACGGTCGACGAGGGCGAGGAATACGGTCTTGCCTTGATGTGCTACGCTCGTGCTCATAACCGACACAAGGTCAAGTCTGTTGTGGATCTTCTCATTTCATACAGTCTGGTGCAATCGCGCGCATATCCCGCGACGGCCGATCTCGACACGCAACTTTCTACCCTGGTGAAGGAGCCTAAGACCTGCCTTGCTTCAATTGCATCCATCGACGAAGAGGCTGCCAATATTATCCAATTCTATTTCAGTGGGTACGCGACTCTCCGACGATTCTACGAAACTCGAGACGAAGGTCTCAACGAGGGACAACCTCCTCGATTCAAGCCTCTTGCGAGACGGCGAGCCGCGGCGAAGGCGTTGGTTGCGGTCATCAGCAGCGCTGCGGACAGTATCTACGGCGGGCTTTTCGACCCAGAATGTGACTCCGCGATTCAGGTGGATGGGCTGTTGGTGCTTATGGGCGAGGCCCTTGCCTTTATCGATCGTAAGTTATGATTGTCCCCCTGCCAAAATATGACCCGGTTTAACCAGCAGCAGAGCCCACCCCCATGTTTACCGTAGACCAGCAATTCGCCATTCTGTCTGCAATCGAGGATCTTGAAACCGTCACACCGCGTGTCTATCGGCAGTGCGCAGAATGCTTCCGCGCCACGCTGCTGCAGTACCAGTCGCTGAACTCTGGCGACCAGTCACAGGAGGAGGCCTTCATTCTGCCGCCTTCGCGCGAACTTCTGAAAAAGTCCGTGACTTCGCTCGCACCCCCAAGCACCTTCTCGTTCATTGGAAACGACATGGTTGGATCTGCTCGGAATCGGTCGATGTCCGGCTCCGGCGCCAGCTCCGGCGTGTTGATCGCTCGCCCTGGAGACGGAGCCGGTTCCCCTGAGCGAGGCTGGGACTGGCGTGCCTCCTTACCCGAGGACGTGAAAGGGGAGGATGTACTTCTTATGCTGCGACTAGGATTAGCCCGGGGATTGAGTGCGGGAGCTCTTGGGTCGGTTTGATAGGAAGGCGCAAAAAGTCCACGCATTAGCATTATATTTTCTGTATGACCGGAAATTCTGTTTTCATCTGTCGTTAAACGTTTCTCGAGATAGGAGTGCATAAACCTAATTCGCATGCAAGGGATTTCTGTAGCGGCGGTCAGGCTTTCAGCTCGTAAGCAGAGCAGGATGGTGTACGGTGTAGTTATCGAAGGATTTTGGGCGTCAAAAGCAGCCGCCATTTCGGTTCTCGAGCATTAGAGCGCTGCCTATCGCAAGCGAAGTGTAGACGCAGACCCCTCTTGTCGGATGAATCGGTCCAGAATTTCGTTTCTTTGAATCGAGATCTTGGCACAGGACAGCGGGCCATCCACAGTGCAGGGCGCGATTGCATCGTATCCTAGAAATGTCTGGGAGATATACACAAGTCCACACAATTGGGCCCACAGAACCGAATCCACAGAGCTGAGAAAGATTTCGTATTTCAGGCTGGCTCTAATCCCTTACACCCGTACTCGTAACATTCGTCGGAGCAGATGCGCACCTCGCGTGTACTGTAGTCCACAGGGCATGCGAAACAGGGAACTGAAAACGAGCTAAAGCGCATTTCATTTCGATTGTCACCCATCAAACTTTCCGGTGGCCCCGTCCCATCTCCCACGTGGGTCTCGGGCAATGAGGATGTACCGTTGTACACCTACGGAGTAGCCCTCGTCTCGTAAGGTACGTAGTCGGCCGTGCTATTTTGAGAAAAGCTCGGTCTATCCATCCTTGGAAAGTGGGCGGTGGGCAGCAGTCAGCAAATAAGAAGGGCTCGAGATCAGCCAGAACAACGGCTCGTACCGCCCTTCAGCGTCGACCGCGCAGTTTCTGACGGAGGGGACTGGAGAAGCAGCGAAGGATAAATGGTTGCCTGACGGAGCGACGGCGGTGATTGGATGACATCATGGGATGAGTCAGGTGGGATCCAGTGACCGCGCTAGATCTGATTGGGATAGCGGGGCACCTGATGCTCCACCGAGTCAGCCTTGTGCCCTGTCGTCTTCCTTCCTCTCTCTCTTTCTTTCTCCCAGGGTTGCTTTTCTCGGTCGACTGTTCACCTGGGCTGCCCAGTGCAATCCTGATGATTCGCTCGGAATCATAACCGTCCCATGCAATGCCCTCGGCCCTATGGCTCAAACCAGTCTCTCTTTCTGGTATCCCGGACCATCCCAGCCGAAAACTGCCGACCCCTGCAAGCCACCGGTCAACGGCGTCAATGATTAATGACAAGAGAATGAGTCTATGAGATATTCTTAGAGTCGTCTCGTACGGACTCCCGTGTGTCACTGTCAGTCATCGCTGAAGTTCAACCCAGCTGTGAGACCTGCTGCATTGGTGCATTGGAGATGGGAGAGCAGGTCAGGTCGGTGTCGAGAAATCGATCACCCTCCTCCCTGGACTCCCCTAGTTCTGCACTACTCAATCGTAGTTGACTCCTTCAGCCCGACTAAACCCCACTGATCGACTAAGGCTCTTGGTGTTGGCCGCTGTTCGCCCTACGGGATTGGAAGAAAACCAATATGGTATGGTGCTAATCTTGCCCGACAGACTGGGCATTTTTCTTTTCTTTTCTTTAATTTTAATTCTAAATTTTCTTTTTTCTTTCTGCTTTTTTCTTAGCATGTCTTTTTTCCCTGGCCCTGGCCCTATCCCGTTGATACACCGTTCTCTTTCCCCGGGCAAAAAGGCACGACACCACTCGTTAATTTCGATGGATGCCTTGTTTTTGCAGAGTCACACTATTTTCAGGCCGATTCATCCAAGAGACATGTAACTTGACGCCTACCACACATCTTGACTATTGTTCTTTATCAATTATCATTGTCTGTGTGTGAGTTCCAGCATGGTCTGGTCGCCTGATAATCGATCTTTATAAATGATTCCACTCCGATCAATCTTTCATATGTGCTTAGCATCCTTCTCCCCACTTTCTCTTCTGCGTTCGTTAGACTGTGTTTCCTTTCTTTAATTTTCTTTTTCTATTTCTCTCCGCTGGACGTCGATTGTCCTTGTCGCAGTTACGTTACCCCGCCATATAATAATACCATCATTTTCGACATCCTTCACCATGTGCTATAAATTGGTGGAACGATTTTCAGTCTGCGGCTGTCTTTACTTTCAACATGCGGTTGATCCGTGTGAGGCATATGGTCAACGAGGCCATGTGGTGCAGGACAAAACGGTTCTCGTGGGATATACCTGCGACAAGCATACTGTGAGACGGGGCGAGTCTACGCCTAAGGGGAAGACCTGGCCGGATTCGGGCTATTCCAGCGCTAAGGGATATTGACTCGTTGATGATGCGCTGAACATTACACTCCAAATCGTCTTCAATCCATCGTCAATTTGTCTTCGACCATAGTCGAGGGAAACTCGGCATTCGGACATTTATCGATCGATCCCCAGTCTTTCAATGGTCTTTTCATCCATCATCTGGAAGCGTTTGGCCGGTTCCAACACCCAAGTTTTCGTGTCGACACGATATCTTCGTCAGCTACAGGAGAGCTCATTTTCTACTTTTTACAATCATCTCTCTTTCGCCTATATATTCATGCCCGGATCTACATGCCTGGCTAGCCAAGCAGGATTCGGGATTGTACGCCAGTTCACGAGACACGAGCAACGCATGCGACCAACTACGTGGCAGCAACACCTGCGCTGCGATATACAACTTAGTTACAGCTAATGTGGAGGAGTTGTGTGGTGGCCGAGAAAGAGCAGAAGTGATGGAGTGATGGATGTGGTTAATCATCCGACTTGCATGGAACGGAGTTTGTGTCCGAAGGCTGGCTACTTCTTTTGCATGATTCTTTTATTCCATGCATGCATGACTGCTAGATCGGTCTGCGTGCATGGGGTCAATCTTTACTGGAAGGTGTACTAAGGTATATCTTGCTTGCACATGTATGTACTAGACACATAACATGTCCTTCATGTATGTCTGTACACACCACCCAATAGATGATATTATGATATCACACGCTTAACACCAGTCCTGCAAATACAACCCCATAAATCTCCTAACATAATCAAGCCAACCCAGATACATACATCTCAACCAAATCTCGCCCCCAATAAAAACCCTCTGACCCCCGCAAACCCAACCCCGGAACCAACACCAATAACCCGAAGCTTAATTATACTCCCCGAATAACCTCCTCCAAAAACTCAAACCCCCGTCTCTGCACCTCCCACGTCCTCGATCCAACTTTCATCCCCATCGCAAACGTATGGTCCTCCCCCTCCACATCCACCATCTCGCATCTGACTTCCTCCTCCTGTAACCGGGATAGTAACTCCTTACTCAGGAATGCAGGGACCATGCGGTCTGCTGTGCCGTGGATGATACAGGTTGGTGGGAAGGTGGGGTGGATGCGATAGACGGGGTCGATTGTGCGGATTTCTTCCTCTGAGAGAGGGGAGGGGGTGGAAGAGGAAGAGGAGGAAGACAAACATGTCGAAAGAACAGTCCCATTGGCAATTTGCGTCAACGCGAATAGATCTCGAGGAGATTTTGGGTTGGGGCCTGGAGATGGAGGAGTCTGGGTCTGTCCCTGGGACTGGGACTGAGTCTGTCCTTCTAATGAAATCCCACTCTGAATGGGAACCGGTACTTCGGAGTACACTTGGCGAATAAATTCCGGGTCTAGCGGTGGAAGAGTCTTTTGAACGTGAGGAAGTGGCTGCGTCCAGAAGGTATGGGTGAAGTGGACGGCGCCGTAGAAGTTCAGGATGGCGCGGGGGGGACGGGGAGTGTCGTAGCCCTGTTTTTCCGTTGGTCAGTCGCTCATATGTAGAATGGGTATAGAATGGATATGGGATGAGAGTATACATACCAACGCCAATGCCAAAAACCCACCACTTGACGTCCCCATCGCCATGACTTTTTCCTTGTCGACCTGCCAGACCCTCTTACTCTTACCATTGCCTTCCTCTGGTCCAGACCCAGACTCAACCCCAGAACCAGTCGATGATGATGACACCTCAGAAAGAAAACCATCCAGCCCCTCATCCGCATATACCCATTCCAGGAAATCGCGGCAATCGCGCACCGGTCCTTCGGCGATGTTCACCTGTGGACAGAGCCGATGGTTCGGGGCGACCACGATCCAGCCGCGCGCGAGGCAGTCGTCTACTTGCGGGAGGGAGATTAGGCTGGAGTGGCCGAGCATGAAGGCGCCGCCGTGGATTGTTATTACTATTTCTTTTGTTAGTTTTTTGGTTTAGGGTAAGTAATAGAGCCGGATACGTACAGACAGGATATTTCTCGTGATGAGGGGCATTTTCAGGCAGGTAGATATCTGTAGTGATTTTTGTGCCGTTGATTTCTTTGTAGATGGTCGTTAGTGGTTTTGGGGGCATTTTCTTTCTTGTTCTTCTTGATTTTGAAAAGTTGGTTTGATTCAATTGATCTAGATGGATGAAGATAGTTGGTGGTGACTGGTGAGGTAAAGTGGAGTGACGTCGAGGAGGTTACGATGTATATATATGTTCGGCTCGGGAGTCCGCTTCGGGATATCCGAGATCGATCTGGTTGCAATACCTGGAGATGCCGAGTATGTATTATCACCAAGATCAAACCACAGACTACGAAGTTATTACTATGAAACTCGATACAGTAGATCATCCATTCATCTCTAGAACTAGCGTATTTACTGACCCATCTCCATCGTAGCTCGGTACACTGCTAGGAAAACAGACCAGACAGCTGTTCCAGATTTCCACATCATTCCATATCCATATCCACCAATCCGTCATCATCATCATCATCATCATCATCATCACTTCATTCCACCTGGCTACATTCCCATCGGTTTCTAGCAGGCAGGGAATACAATGTGGTCGTTGTCTTTTTCCAGTTCCCAGATAACTCTGTCCTCCTCTTACCACGGCGTGGCCCTACGAAGCGAGTCCGGCCCTCTTCGTAGCTCAGGGCTACACGATCCGGTTTGTGTTCCTTTTTTTTTTTTTTATTTTGCTTTTGTCTTCTGTGGTATGTGCTTGAATCAAGTTCAATGCAGACAGGGATGTACCCCGAAATGAGTGACTATAGCGTGAGTGCTATCGGCGCAACTGCTGCCAGTGCCAGTAGGCAGGGGTACGGAGGGTTCGGACGGTGACAACAAAGTGTGACCCTAATCTCCGAGATTATAATGCAAATGCAAGTAAGGCAAGAAGGAAGATGACGACGAGGCTCAACTCCGCCGTCCACGACGTGGACATCTACCGACGAACAACGATGCCCTGACGACAGACACCGCTGCGAGCCCGACGGTACTCCTCGTCGCTGTCGGACTCGGAGCAGCTGGCCTCGGACGACTCGGTGACGTAGCCGCATCGACTACCGCCGCAGTCGAGCTTGACGCGGTCGCCCTTGCGGGTGATGCCGTAGCGTTCGCAGCGGCAGATGGGCGTGGGCGGGTCGCTCATGGACGAGAGCGACGAGGGCGAGGTGCTGCCGGACGACCGCGAGGAGCGGGACGACAGGGACGAGCCGGCAGAGCTGGGCGGGCTGTTGGAGTACGAGTACTCGTCGGAGAGACGGGAGTCGGCGAACCGCTCGGTGAGGTCTTGCATGGTGGGAGCGAAGTCTGACTCGCGGATCTGGCGCGACGCGTACGGCTTGGACGGCTTGGGGTGCTGGATCTTGGAGGGAGACAGCGCCCGGCCGGTGGGAACGTCGCCGGACGTGCGTCGGGTCTTGGTGGGTGCCGGGACAGAGGACTTCTTGCTGCTGCTGCTGCCACCGCCGGGGACGTCGAGGATGTTGAGTTTACGGCCGGTGGTGGGCTCGACGGTGTAGTCGACAGCGGGGTCATGGGAGACGTGGTACCCATCCATGATGTACTATTCAGTTATTAGTGTTTGATATAGATAGGTAAGGTACAGAAACTCACGTAGTACCAGTAGCGGCCGCCCAGCTTGAGCATCGAGGTCTGGAAGCGGAACTTGCCGATCCATGCACCTGGCTTGGAGTCATCCCGGGAGAGGGGAATCTGGCGGGAGTAGTTGTCCCAGGAGCCAAGCAGATGGACGGTCTTGCAGTTGGAGGAGGTCCGAAGAGAGAACTTGAGTTGAACGGCAGACATGGTTGTAGAGATTGACCAGGTTATACTAGAAATTAGATTATATGGAAGTGAATGAAGATAAGATGGCGTCGATAGAGGATGAAGAGCACGACCTTCCGGGAAGCAAGGAAGATCTTAAGGTCGTTGATGAACTTGGAGAGAGCAAGACTACCAGAGTCTTTGATCAATCAAGTCCGGGTTGTTGGTTGTTGGGTGGCTGATGGCTCCAACAATAGCAATGACAACGAGGCTCTGCGGTAGCGGGATCCAGTCCACGACACCGAATGCAAATTAGAAAGATAGTAAAAAGCGCCTTGGCGATTAAAGGTAAATGAGCAAGATAGTGTCTGAGCTGAAAACGGAAGCACAAGTCGACCGGCGACAAGAGACGAAACCGTTAGAATTGGACAATTAAGAAGTATCCTGGCAACAAGTATGGGGAAAGGGGACTTCAGAGAGCACAGCTCGCCTGAAGGATGGAATGGATTGAGAAAGGGTTTTCTGAAAGATTTTGATAGGAAGGGGGGGTAAAACCAAAAAGATTAATAGAAGTATATAATGCAAAGAAGAAAACAACAAAAACCAATGCAACCAGTGCACAGGATACTTCGAAATTAAGGGCAGCTCAAAAAGACAAGACCAAGCTTGCTGAAAAGAAAACAAAAAGAAGAGAAAGAAGAGGAGAAGAATTCCTGTCTGGTGCTGGCGGCTGCGGCATCTTTAAAGAGCGCCTGAGGCTGTCACCGCGCGAAGTATGTGAGGCCTGAGGATGCCTGTCGACCAATCGAGCCCGTTGCTATTCCGAGCTGCATCTCCGGTGGGTCCCACGGGTGACCCATCGGGCCTATCAGGGTCAAAGCTGGCCCTCCTCCCGGCCGTCACGGCGGGTAACCCATGAGGATTATTGGCCGGGTGACAGTCTACCACCGCCTCTGATTTGGCGCTGTGATGAGCACCTCCCGGCAGCCAGTCACGGGTGTTCAATGGCCTCCGAGAGGGTGTCCTGCAGGCCGAATGGGGAATAAAGTTCAAAGGAGGGGGGGGGGGGGGGATTACCTAGCTCGTCCCCGCCTCTTCCATGGGTTCGTTTCTAGTCGGATACGGTGTGCACTCAACAATGATAAAGATTTTATTGAAATATACTAAGTGAGTTAGGGTTACGGACTGCTATCAAGACAAAAAGCGACAGGGAATGGTAAAGCCAAGCAGGTACAATCGCTTCTCCAGTTCTTCCCTCCCAAAATGGCAAAAGTAGAATGACTGCACAAAAGTGAAAAATGAAAAAGAAAAAGAAATAATATACGATGTAAGCCGTAAGAAGAAAGAAAAGAAAAATAAATAAAAACATCCCTCAGTCCACGATACGCCGGAAAAATGCCACAGCAATTTGTTTTTGGTCGCGGGAATCCCACGCGGACAAGAAGGCAATAAAAACAGGAAAAGAGTAGGACCAACTGCGTCAGGGCACACATTACATCAAGAAGGGCATCGTACACGACCCCTCACCGCACGGACACGCCGGAGCGGTTGGTAAACATGCGAGCGGCAATGTTCATCGAGGCCAGCTCTTGGAACAAAAGCTTGGCTGCATACGGGATATGCACTTGCGAGATGCGGTGCTTGTTGTTGCACAGTCGGCACTCGAAGAGGCCCTTCTTCAGTTTTCTGCAGGACGTGAGATTATCGTTAGCTCCATGCACCAGGGAGGGGAAGTCGCCAATCACGACAGTACAAAAGAAGCAAAACTTACGCAACCGGCGTCATCAATCCGCAATCATCGCAGATGTGAACGCGGAACGGGTCGGACACGTCGAACAGACGCTCCTTCAGGAAGGAGCTGGCTCCGTGCGCTATCATACAATCGCGCTCCATCTCTCCGAATCGCAGACCACCGTCACGAGCACGACCCTCCACCGGCTGTCGGGTCAGGATCTGGGTCGGTCCTCGCGCACGTGCGTGGATCTTGTCGTCGACCATGTGGCGCAGACGCTGGTAGTAGGTCGGTCCCAGGAAAACTTGCGCCACCATCTTGCGTCCCGTGTGGCCGTTGTACATGACCTCGAACCCGCGAGACTGGTAGCCGTGTTCGCGGAGCAGGCGGGAGATCGAGTCGACCGTCACGTCGGTGAAGGGCGTGGCGTCACCCTCGAATCCACGAAGCGACGACACCTTACTGAGCTGACACTCGATCAAGTGAGCAATGGTCATACGTGACGGAATGGCGTGAGGGTTGATGATCAGGTCGGGGTTGAGACCCTCCCGCGTGAACGGCATGTCTTCCTGTCGGTAGGTGATACCGATGGTACCCTTCTGTCCGTGACGAGAGGCAAATTTGTCTCCGATCTGGGGGATCTTGGTCGTCCTCATTCGCACCTTGACGAACGTCAAGTCGTCGTTGCTGGTCGTAACCACCACCTTATCCACGATACCGCTCTCCGTGCTTCGAAGAGCTGTCGACACGTCCAGCTTGGTGTGGGCCTTGGTTCGCTGTCCGAGCTCCTCCGCGTCGGGAGCTAGGGGTGCCGTCTTACCAATGATGATATCCTCACCAGAGACACGGACACCGGGCGCGATGATTCCGTCGTCGTCGATCTTGTCGTAGGTACCCTTGCGCATGCCGATGGTGTCGGCGCGCATCGGCTTCTCGAAGCGCTCCACCACCGTCAAGCCGACCATCTTCTCGGTATCCGTGTAAGTACGATAGAACAGACTGCGGAACAGTCCGCGGTCGATACTGCTCTGGTTCATGATCACGGAATCTTCCTGGTTGTAACCCGAATAACAAGAGATCGCAACGATGGCATTCTGACCGGCTGGCAGTTCACGGAACCGCAGGAACTCCATGGACCGCGTCGTGGCCAACGGCTTCTGGGGGTAGTAGAGAATATTCGCCATCGTCTCCATGCGCTGGTCGAAGTTGGTTAGGAACACACCCATGGCCTGTTTACCCATTGCAGACTGGTAGGTGTTACGAGGGGACTGGTTGTGATCGGGGAAAGGAATGATACTGGCGCAGACACCCAGAATCATACTGGGGTGAATCTCGCAGTGTGTCCACGTGTGCGCCTTCTGACTCAGGACGGAGCGCACACGCTTATTGGGGTCGTTCTCCTCCTCGGGTAGAGCGTAACCGGCCTGAAGCTGCTTGGATATCTCCAAATCCTCTGGCGTCATGACAATCATGATCGTCTCCTCCTCCTCCGCGTCCACATACTCGACAACACCGCTGGTCACCAAGCCCTCCCATCCGTAGTAGCGCTCACGACGCTCTTCGGGGTCCAGGTCCGGCGACAGTTCTTTATCCTGTTCCAGTCGGCGGATGTGTTCCTTATTCAGCACCAGCGATCCGACGTTCTCGCTGTTGGCGTCGTTGTCGACAACGAAAAGCGGCCGACAGACACGCCCGGCATCGGTGAAGATCTTGAACTCACGCTCACGGATGTCCCGAATCAGACTGACTTCGTGGGAGATCAGGTTTTTGTGACGCAAACCCTGCATCGTGTGGACCAGGTGCGCCGGATCCCGGTGAATACCGACCCAGACTCCGTTGACGAAGACCTTGGTCGCATTGGGGGTGACCTGGGGTTCGAACTCTTCTAGGACTTCCATGTTTCGCTGGATCATGAAGTCGATGATCGGCTCGCTGGGCGTACCGACCGTGATGTAGCACATGAGGGCAAGGTTCTTGACCAGACCACAAGCCTGACCTTCTGGAGTTTCAGCGGGACAGACCAGACCCCAGTGGGTGTTATGGAGCTGGCGAGGTTTGGCGATCTTTCCGTCACGTCCGATGGGGGTGTTGGTTCGACGAAGGTGAGAAAGCGTGGAGGCGTAGGTGTAGCGACTGAGCACCTGAGATACACCTGCCTTTGCACTGGCCGCCTTCTTCTGCTCACCCCAGTTTCCGGTGGCAAGGGCGTATTTCAGACCACCGGTCAAGGTGCTGGCCTTGACACCGATGTTCAGATAAATCTCCCGGTTGGTCTCCACGCATCGTTGGACATAACGCTGGAGATCACGCGTCACTCTCGTAAAGAGCACACGGAACAGATTGGCCAGAAGGGGACCGGCAAGATCCAGACGCTTCTTTCCGAAGTGATCACGATCATCGACATCCCGGCGACCCAGAGCACACTGCAGCAATCGGTGCACCATATAACCCAAGAAGAACGCTTTGCGGGTCTCACTGCCTTCGTTCTGAGAAATATGGGGGAGAAGTTCCTTCTGCATGATCTCGCGCGCATACCGGATACGGCGGTCGTGGTTCATGCTGGACTGAGAGGATCCTCGCTTGGCGATGAAGTCCAAAGCCACCTCACGGTCCTGGATGACGAAACCCTCCTCAATACAGGGTTTCAGCATCTCGAGCATGGGGGTATCGTTTCGGTCGTAGCAGATGTGGTTGAGAATGTCCTCGTCAGAAACAACGCCGAGCGCTCGGAAGACGATGACGATGGGAACATCCGTCTTCACGTAGGGGAGGGTGGACCGGATCGTAGGTCCAAATCCTCCCTTCGCACTGTCGCCCTTGGCAAAAAGCTTGATAGCCAGTTGCGAGAGAAGCCGCGAACCCTTCTCGACGGCACTTCGGATCTCGGCGACGTAAGGCGTCGGGCTTGGTGGGGCTTTCTTGAAGACCTGCACGGTATTTCCAGCACTTCGCTCTTGGGCGATCAGAACCTTTTCACTACCGTTGATAACGAAATAACCACCCGAGTCGTACGGACACTCGTTCCAGTCGTAGAGCGCCTGCTCGCCCAAGTCCTTCAGGACACAGTATTTGGACTTGAGCATGATAGGGAGCTTGCCAATGAAGATGCCTTCTGTCCCCTCTTGACCCGCAGGAAGCGGCTTATCCTCCCAATCAAGATAAGTTCCTTTATTCTTTTTATCATCGGTGGAATCGCCCATATCGCCATCGTCCCGGTCGGCGACTAAACGCTCACGCCCTTCCATGATACGCTTGGAAATATCGAGGAAAAGAGGACAGGCGTAGGTAAGGTTTCGTAGACGGGCTTCGGATGGCAGGAGAAGATTGCTAACGCCATCTCCTTCAATCACAGAGGGCCGAGCTAACATGATGCCTCCGAATTTGAGCTCGTATCGCCGGATGACAATGGGGTCGACTTCATCTTCGTCTGGCGGAAGCGTTTGATCGAGCGTCACTTGGCCCTGTTCCTCCACCAGTTCCTGCATTGTCGACGAGACGAATTCATCGTAGGAGTCCAGCTGCTGCGACACTAGACCCTTGGTGTCGAAGAAAGATGAGATAACCGTCCAGCAATCCTCCGACGTGATCCCCTCCTCCATATCATCGTAGTACTCTTCGTCGTATGCATCTTCGTAGTCGGCCATTTTGGCGAAAGGGAATCAATCACTAGAACAAAAACTGGAGGGGTCTGTCAATCGGAGAGCGCAAAAGGCGCGACGCGCTCGAACAAAGATCTGACCTCGAAGGTTGAGGCTGAGGTGCTGACAAAGACAGCGAGGCCTTCGAAGGAAAAGACAAAAACAAGAATATATTATGCAAAAGTGATGAAGACAGGCAAGGAAGCCGGGAGTCTCAGTTCGATGACAGAGTGAGAGATCCCAGACCGACCGTGGATGGCAACGGAGCGACACTGGAGGACTTTCACTTCTCCGGGCGGTGATGGGATCTTGAGAAGAGCCGCCACTAGCGCCTCGACCGCCTTGCTCGGCCTGAGGCGGGCTAGTCCCGGTGAGGAAGGTGTCACGTGATATATGGTTCTTTGTTCTTCCACTTTTGCAGTTTGGATTCGATACGATACTAAAAGTAGAATAAGCTGGTGTCTATCTTACAACGTTGCATTTCATTATCTCCAAAGTTAGACTATTCCTGTTACAGAAACTGCAGGAGCGTCTCAAGCATTTCCTTGTGATCCTTCTGCCCAGGGTCATCTTCCACTAGTCCCTCAATTTGCTCTAGGTGGCTGTTAGTGGGTCTGGAACAATGACAACAGAGGAATGGGTGAGACCAGGTTTAGCTTACCTTTGAGGGTAGAGTGAATGAGAGATAGAGTCTCGTCGCGGTCTGCCAGGAGGGAGACTATCTTTCTTTTCGCGCCGTCGTCCTCAGCCACCAGCCAGGCCAAAATAACGTCAATGAGCTTCAATGCGATTATTAGTATCGAACAATGTAAGAGGCATGTACTCAGAACATACCTGTACGGAGAACAGACCGGCGTCAAAACGACGCGAGAGCCACTCGGCTGCCATGATCTCTTGTTCCTCCTCATTATAGCTCTTCCGTTCCTTGGCAATGGCCTCTTCAACTGGCGTTACTTTCGACGCATATTCCCGTCTCATTTTGATCAGCTTCCCGATCTTCTCGTAGTCCTTCTCCATAAATTTCGCGAGAGTTCGGATACGTGCGGCAGAGCCCCCTGGCAACAGACGCAGAAGAGATGCGGAAATACCCAAGAGGTGCTCGATGATCTGATTCTCTTGCTGCTTCGTCGTTAGCTCCAACCTGGATACAGTCAAGTCAAGTCTCGCATACCTTTTTCATGAACATGCTGAATACAGTTTTAAGACCCGCTGCCTCTACTAATCGTTCGCAAGCAGGGGCTCCTCCTAGCCCCCCTAAAGCGTGATCGAGCACCCGTAGGCCACGCTGCTTGCTGAACTTTCCTTCTTTCAGCATGATTTGCGAGAGCTCGACACCCTCTCCTTCCAAGAACTTCTCCTTCCCGACGTCCTCATCGACAAGGCATATCAGGCAATCAAACAAGTTCTCTGCGTACTCTTCTTCAGAATCTTTCTCGGGATCCCGTTTCCGGTATTGACTGAGTAACTGGAGAAGAGCATCCACTCCGTCTAGGCTGATGAATTTCTCCCTGATTTTGGAGGAGGATTGTAGTAGAATCGCAAGAATCTCGGCCGAATACTGCTGATTCTGGCTCACTGGCCGCTCTTTCTGTTGCACGCGAGTGAGGAGCCACTGGAGCATCCCTGACTCCAGTCCAATTCGCTCCGCGATCGAGGTTTGCGAGGCAAGATTTTCCACAACGCCTTTAAAAGCCAAGTCAATTTCACTGGATTTTGTCCAATGTCAAGCTGAACATACCTAGTACATAATACACTCCTGCCCTATCGGCTTCTGAGCCTTCGTCTAGTCGTGATAGGTTTTGAGAAAGAAGCTCGATAAGATCGGCATCCAACTAGATTGGTTAATACCTGCGATTTAAAACAAGAACAGGGGATATGTACCATTGCGTTGACCAAGACGGCCCATTGTTCTTGTTCCGCTTCGACATCTTCGTCCGTCAACTCACTGATAATCTGAATAGCATCAATGGCGATATCTGCGTTTTCGTGCGAAAGGAGAGAAATCAGTGATCCGACACAGCCCATGGTAGCAAACTCGCTGTAGAGTTCCGGATGCTCGGACAATATGGACAGCTCTTTGATTTCATTGTCCAAATCGGCCTCGGAGGCCATAAACCTAGAGTTGATCAGTTACAAACGTGTGTAGAGACAGGCTTGAAACTGCGAGGCTTACTTCTGGGGTTCATTTTCGAATTTCCCACGAAGCTCCGCGTTCTTGGATATCTTCTTTTCGAAATTGAGAGCAAATCGCCGCAACCAAGCGACGTCGAATTTCTCGGGCTAGCAGCAGTTCAGCACCACCATTCAGAGCAAACAAGCTGACTGCATTCCATACCTCTGCTCCCCCTTCCTCGTGCTGATCAATGTATTGCATCGCCTGCGCGGTTTGGCGTTCCATTCCTCCGCCAAAAAAGCGCCCTTCTTCGTCGTCGGGGATATCTTCGGCATCGAAGTCCGGAGGCAGCTCAGGGCCAGCCTCGCCGTCGTCTTCTTCATCCTCGACCATGGGGGATTTTCCGGATTTCACATCGCCGTTCGCGTCTAGCTTGGCCGCCTTGTAGAGCTCATCTTCGTTTTGCGAATCAGTCATGTCACACGGAGGAAAGCGATAGGTTATGCGAAACGTACTGGGGTCACTATTGGCATCTAGCTTACGCTTTGCGCTCGCTGCCGACGTAGGTTTCTTCTCCGGTCAGCATACGAACATGTCACTGTTACCAAGACCAACTTACCTTGAAGAGCTCATCGATGCTGGTCATGGCTGCGGTTTGCGCAGGTCGCGAGGGGTACGGAAAACTCCAAATCGACCACCAATCTGGGCAGATACCAGAAGTAGACAGCAAATCAAGTCAGAAACCCTCACTAGAGGAAGAATATAAACTGATTAATGATAAATCCCCGTGTCTGTCTCACGCTTTGTCCGCGATGGTTGGTCGCGCAGCTCCGAAGATTGTTACGGGGACCGCGACAAGCTAAAGACGCAATTGCCAAGCACGCGAAAGATTTCTCGGAAAGCTTTCCATCCATCCCTCCGCAGCCTCTCTTAACTACAACATCACCCCCCCCCTTTCAACTACAGCAATATCTCCGTCCAGAACACTATTTAACCATGCCTGCCAAGCAAGTTGTCGTTTCTTCCGGTCGCCCCCAGAAGGGCTTCATCGGCTCCGCCTACGATGAGATCACCCACCCCGAGAACACCACCATCGTCAGAAGTCTTCTGGTCTTCGGCGTAAGTTCTTGACACTCCCTGGCTTTTTCATGTATTTGGTTCTCTCCGGAAGTACTGACTGATTCCTTCCGTACAGGCCGGTGTCGCTTTCCTTCACAGCAGCCTCGGCGAGCTCCTCCTTCCTCCGTAAGTCGAAGAACACCTCTTGCCAGGCCTACTATTCCTAGGTTATTATGACGGCCATACTGACGAGCGCAGTATGTAAAACAATACCCGATTCATTTTTTGAATTACTCTCGATGCTGTGATATGGGGTTTTCGGTATAGGACAGGCGATTCGTCGGAGTCGATTAGAAATTGTCGACATTGGCTTGCGATACCATTTTGCTGGGTTCGAATTTAATGGATACGTGTATTATATTGCATTCTTATGCTTCAATGAACGGAGTTCTCAACACCAAATTGCGATCCGTTCGTGTCATTTCATCATCAATCCACGGGTTCTCACCGGTCGTTCGGATAGCTTAACATGCGAGTTGACTCGCCAATGGCCACGTATTTACGAAGTTAGGGATCGGCTGCCAACCATCGTTCAGATTATCGACAGAAGACCTTCAGACCTTCCAGATCCCTACCTCGTTCCTTGATTACGCGTGTTTTGTTCAAACACAAATAGTAGATGGTCGACTGGGGGTTCTAGTAGTCGATATTCACACTCGATAATTTCGAAATGGCTTGAACGGTGTATTCAGACTGGCGATGTCGGCATGGTCTTTTTATAACTAAGGCTAAGGTGTTGATTGCGGACGTAGTAGCGACTAAAGAATCCTGAGGCCGACTTCTAAGAAGACTCAGGCCAATCTGACATCACATAATTATGCCCACTTTATGCCGCACATATTAATTATGCTCGCACGTGTAGTCGATAGAATGCCCCAGGCACCCCTGCGTAATGTTCCGAGAGTCAATCGGAGATTCTTTGTCGATGCCGTCCAAAAGTGTCACTCTTCCACGCCACCGCCACACGTCAGAACCCCATGACTCGCCCTAACCTTGGGAATGATTGAACTCCCGCGAAGATTAGCCTACCATGCCGAGCCAAGCGACTACTATTATCAAATTGGCGGGGAAGCCCGCAAAAACCCCACACGGCCAAAGACTTCCGAACACCGCCTTTAGCGCCGGGGGCAGCGCTATGGGTTCCTTCAGAGTTCTGACTGACGATCCCAGTGGTTTCTGTTCCGCGCTGGGCCGTGTTCTTGCATCCGAGACATCCTGACCCCGATGCGTTTTGTATACAGATGCGGATAAGAATACCGTCAAGATGATGACCACAAAGCGGAAACTACACAACGCAGACGGATATGACGACGGGCGCGTGGCCAAAAGAAACAGTCTAAGCTACGATACTCATACGCCTTGGATGCCAGATGCCAGGCCGCCGCGCGAATGGCGAACACTAGGGACTCGCGCAGTCCAGCCGTCTCTTCCGCTAGAGAATATGGTATCCGCCGTCCGCGACCTCATCGACCCCGATTTCGACCCGCTTATCGCCATCCTCGACGACGAACCGCGTTTCCTCAAGCCGCTCCCTACTCAAATAGCCCCCGAAGATTTGGAATTTTTACGATTTCGAGGGGCCCTCTCGACTCCGGAGAGTGGGCTGCGCAACGAACTTCTTCGGTGCTATATCAAATGGGTCCATAGCTTCATGCCGGTGCTGAATTTGCAAGAGTTTTTACGGTGCATTGCGCAGAATGACCCTAATGGGAACATCAGTCTCTTGCTGTTCCAGGCAGTGATGTTTGTGGCGACGGCATTTGTGGATCTGAAACATTTGCAAGATGCCGGGTATGCCACGAGGAAGAGCGCTCGCAGTGCGTTCTACACACGATTAAGGGTAAGCAAGATCCGACGTGGAATCACTACCGACGAACTAACGGGACTTTAGTTGCTGTATTCCCTGGACTGCGAGGAGGACCGGATTGTCATTTTGCAAACTCTTCTCTTGATGACATACTGGACAGACCATGTCAACCACCCTAACCGGGACATATGGGACTGGATCGGTGTTTGCAATACACAGGCACAGTCTATAGGATTGAATCGAGATCCTACCTCAGCCTCTCAGATGGATGTAAGAATGAAACGACTGAGGACCCGAATTTGGTGGTGCATGTTTGCTCGGGATCGGCTGATTGCGATGGGCCTGCGACGTCCAACGCAAGTGAATGAAGGAACCAGCAATATACCCATGTTGAGTCATGACGACTTTGATTTCGAGCCGTTCCACCCGTCTGTTATCGATTTATTCCGTTGTCGCCAGCTTGAAGACGTCTCCCATCAAAAACGCCTGGCAACTATGTTCATAGAGAAGACCAAACTCTGCCAGTGTATTGGCCGGGTGCTCTTTGCCCAGTACTCTACCTCACAGTGTCTTTTCGGCATGACCAACCGGACCACTATCACTCTGATTCCAAGACAGGCCTCTGAGTCTGAACTGGCCCGGTGCAGCCAACGACTTGATTCGTGGCTCAACTCCCTGCCAAAGGATGCACAATATATCCCGGCATCCAAGAACAACTTCAAAGACGGAGAGGATGTATTGCTTTTGCATGGGGCTATGGTTAGGATGCTGTACCACGCCACGATCAGCGCCCTGCATCGACCATGGGCGCTCTTGTCCAACAAGGATCAGACCAGGTCGCGCCTCGAGTTGGCCGACAGGGCACGCTCAAAGATGCAAGACGCCGCGATTGGCATCACACATATCATCCAGGGACTCAATCAGCTGAATCTCACGCGATTCCTCCCTCAGTCGGGAGTGACGGTCATCATCCCGGCGGCCGTCGCGCATCTGGCAAATATCATGTCTGCTAACCCAGCCGTCCGCGAGGCCAGCCTCCACAACTTCCAGCGATGTGTCCAGGTCCTCCAGGGCTTGAAAGACATATACCCTGCAGCGGACATGGAATTTGCTAACATCGAGGCGGCTGTCAGATTTCAGGCAGATAGTACAAGCACATTCTTGAAAATCATGCAATACACCCATTCCACCAACACAACCCACAGTCAGGTCCCCCAATCACCGTCCCGGAAATTTAGCAACGTCTCGACTGTACAAACATTATCTCCAACGGAAGACTCGTGGAATTTTCCTCGGGACGAACAAGCCCAGTTTAGGAGGCCCCAACACACCAACCGCGAGCGATCACACTCGCCATCCCAAGAACACCAATACAATCGCAAGAAATTCAGCACTGCATCCACAACCACCAATGGATTTCTTTCTCCGGAAAAGGAACAGCTAGAATCCACTCCCTCCAATAGCAACAACCTCAACGACCATTTCAACTCCACTATGCCCCCCTCCGGCTCACCCTACGAAGACACAAACCCTTTCCTCCGCACAGATCTATTCGACTTCGACATCGAGCCCAACTTCTCATTGCCCAGTAATAACAACAACGACAATAACAGCACACCAAACAACCCACTCTTCGGGCTCGACTGGATGCAGGACCTCCTACGAGACCCGGATTCCAACCCCGAGTCCAACCCCAACCCTGAACCCGAGCTGAATTTCAACTACCCAAGCTCACCAATGGAAGATCACACCCGGGACATGTTCTCATTCACGGACAAGCAGGAGCCGCGCTCGCTTGGACACAACAATACAGATATCACGGGTGACCTAGACAAAGATCTGGGGCTTAACTCGGGGGATGAGATGTTTGGATGAGATTGTTTATACCGTGACATATGGTTATCTCTCTTTCTTTCTTGTTCATATATTCTCTACTTAAGGTTGCGTTGGGGGAGGATAGCGTGCATTTTGTTGTCGTTATCATTTTCATTGTCATTGTCAGGAATTCACAGTACATAGTTTGGTTAGGAATATACGTTTGGTTTAATTCTCAGACCGTCTATTTCTTAAAGCGAAGAGTTCATTTCCTCTAAATCAAAAAGGTAAAGATAAACCCTGAGTTTAGGTAAATAAGTAAAGCTATGCCTCCCACTCTATTTGATATAGTTAAGTAGCGCAAATAGCAAAAGATGGTATCAAAATGGATGGGTAGATAGATAGATAGATAGATAGTAAGCACTGGACTGGCTCAACTCGGCCTCTATTAAATCAACCATCGACTGAGAATAGTTGTTTCTTTTTTTTTCTTTCTTTTTTCCTTCGCCATGATTTTTCGTATCCTGCGGTTAATACTGTTGTTGCTGAGGCAGGTAGGCGGATTACTTGCTCCATCGGTTGCTCTCGTCGCCCTGCTCCCATTGCTGCTCGGTATATCCGAGTTGCTTCTTCACGGCCTGCACTTTCTCCTTGTCGCCTGTGTTCTTGCCCATGTTGTCGCTGAGTTTGACAGCTGGACGGCCGTTCGCGGTGGAGATCTTGATGACGATGTTGAGGGGTTTGGATGTCTCGCCGGTCGTGGTGTTGGTGTAATCGTCTAGAGTTTAATTAGCATATCTTCATGAAACAAAGAAAGAACGTGGTGTGGGAGGGCCGTGGAAGGGGATGGACTAACTGGTAAAGAAGGTACCGACACCAAAGACGGGTTGGAACCCGGCCTCTTCGGCAATGGTCTTGTATTCTAGACAGAGCTCGATATTTAGGGAATCGGAGAACACAACGGTCTTCTTCGCCTTGATGCCTTCCTTGTCGTAGAACTCCCGCGCCAGTTTCACAAAGTACGTAGGGTCTCCGGAGTCTTGCCGGATACCGGTGTAGGCCTGGGCGTAGGTCTTGGGGGTTTGTTGGGACCTGTTGCTAGAGATTGGTGCGGTGATTGGAGGCTTGGTGGTTGCTTCGCTTTGCACGTTTGAATCGCTTGTCGTGGACGGCCCGGACGCTGTCGTGGTCACGGCGCCGACTCCGGCGCTGGTGTATTCGGGGATGGGTTTCCGGAAGGCGTCGAGGAATGCAGGCGTGCCGAAGGTATCGGTCAATGCGACTCCTAGGACCTATAGCCGGTTGTTAGCTAGGCATTTGCAAGTCGAGTCGCCTGTACTTACCCCCTCGCCGAAGCAGCCGAGCCAGTACCGCAGGGCCAGCTCGTTGGCATTCGGGTAGTCATCCGTGATGGCCGCAATGGTCATGTACCATTCATGGGCTACCGTGCCAACAGGGTTCACGTAATACTTCATGGCAAAGTGGACGTTACTTGTCCCTGTGAAAACACCCGTGAAACCCTTGGCCTTGGCTTCCTCCGCGGCCTTGGACAGTCCAGTCATCACCAAGTCCTGGGTATGGTAGTCGCGACGGCGTCGTGACCCGAACTCCGAAAACACGCATCCATGATCCAGGAGCTTGAGGCCCTTGCGGTACGCTTTGTCGATCTGGTTGCTGTAGTCCCAGTCTTTATCGGAGAACATGAAGTAGGCCTCGCTGGTCAGGGCCAGGAGGGGGATTTCGTAGAGGATCGTGTCCAGCCAGAAACCCTTGATGATGTATTCCACGTCGCCGAAGTCATCGTCGCTGCCGGTGTCGGTCACGGGGGAGAATTTGATCTTGATGTGCTCGGAGGGTTTGAGCCTGAAAGTGGTGAGGAAGCCCAGGTAGGCGTCGTTGAAGTAAGGACATCGTTTCTTGAGGAAAGCGATCTCGTCGTCTGTGACTCGGATGTTTGCGAGCTCTGATCAAACGGTAAATGTTAAACCTTGGTATACCGCATAATATGGCATATTCACATACTATCCATCTGTGCCAGAAGCCATTTGTAAGCACCCCGCGTCAACTTCATCTGAGGAGTCCGGTTGGTGAAGCTGTAGGTGACGTCTGCAGGTCTCCGTGTTAGAATTCCGGCTACAGCGGGTGAGATCAGGGCGCACACTCACAGACATCAGGGAAGTACTTCAAGATAGCGCATTGCATCGTCAATTTATACAAATCGGTATCCAGAAGCGAGGAAATGCCCTCCGGAAGCGGAGGGGAGCCATCTTGACTCATTTTCGCGGTGTTCTGTCAGGCCTTGCGGAATAGACTAGGTCTCAATCAAGGAATTGTAAATAGAGCAAGATATTTTCAAGTGAGAAAGTACCAAGGTCTCACTCCGAGAACAAACGACGCAATGTGCATGTATAATAGAAAAATCTCCGGCCGAGGACCGCAGGAATGAGGGGAATCTCGGAGAAGATAAAGTTGTTTGCGCTGTTTGCACCGGAGGAGGGCTGTCATCTGCGAGTCGACGTCATGATATAAGCATGGATTGTTGATATGAAATTAGCAGACATGCTCGCATAGCCTTAAAATGCCGGCATAGTTGGCAGATACATAGCCGATGTTAAATAACCCCCGTCCTGGTCTTTGGTCCGCATGCGGATTGTGGTGAGTATGCAGCGTATGCATGTACTTCGGATGATCCGATACGGGCAATGATCATCTACCGAGTTCCATTGAACTGGTTTGAAGGCTAGGAAACCAATCAGATACACAATACTACTGAATAGCAATCTTCGGTCGGATTGCGCTTTGGATATCTCAAAAGATTTCCAAAGCATACATGTGGCCTTATATTTCAGGCCGGAATACCCCTCCTGTTTGATAAGGCGTGCCTGATGTGGCTGGAGATGAGTGTGGCGTGTTGTGGCTGATACGGCCGGGACGGAACAGGGATAGTCCGCTCGCGATATCCCATCGCTGGCGCCGCATATTCGCCCTCTGTCAACCATCTAAGACACGCCGACCTGAACGACGTTTCTAGGCATTTTGCACTTTCATGCTCCACAGGTCAATTCCTAGCGGCCGGGGAAAGACTTTGGAATATTATCAGATCGGTGACCGAGTACATCGCAAATCACCCCGGGCGCAACTCATCGGATCCTAATCTCGTCGCGAATCCACGATAACGAAAGATGTCGCACGGCTCTGAAGACTGCGCATCCGTACTCGAACAATTTGTTCACGATGTTGCGAATTTACCAGCGGAGATTAATCACTTGATGGAGGAGATTCAGGCCAAAGACAAGATCATCCAGGACTGTCGCACGACGATCAACTCTCGCGACAACAGCATCCAGAAATTCATCAAACTGAATGGCAGCCTGGCGCCGAACCCGAAGGAGGAGCAGTACGGCAAGACGATATTACAGAATCTAGAAAAGTCGGGGCTCCTGCAGGACGAGAAGATTCAACTGAGCGAGAAAGCGGTTGTTCTGCTAGATCGGCAGATCAAGAAATTGGATGTTAAGATCCGCGACTTGCAGAACGATGGCGTCCTATCCAACGATCCTCCAATCCCATCGCTCTTCGTCAATAAAGATCAGTATCGCGACCCCCCGAAGATATTCCTCAGCGATTCCACCTTCGACTCGACATCCTACAACAGCTCCCCGCTCAACCCTACATCCGGAAATGCCAACGTTATCATCGGCGCGACTCAAAGACTCAATCAGTCCCTCGCTCGTTCGACGGGCGTCACCGCACTAGGCTCTCCAAACCACGCAAGAAGCTCGGCCCCGGCCACCCCTGCCGCCGGGACAACCCATTTCCAACAACGCCAGCGCGAGTCGTCCGCCGGTGCCGTGGAAAACAAACGCCGTCGCCTCAACGCATCCCTCGGAACCCTTCCCGCCGCATCGTCGAACCTCCGACAATCATCTCTCGGCCCCGGCACACCAAAAGGCGGAACCCCGGCATCCAGTCGCGCCGGCAGCCTTGGCCCACGCGGAACCGGCTCGGTGAAGAAGGCCCTGACCAAGAAAGTCGCACCTCATCAGCAACTCAAGAAGCTCAAAGCGTCGTCCGGACTCCACGGGAAACCAACGAAGCGGTCCTCCAGTGCCAGTGGCCGTCTCAAAATCAGCAGCACGAAGAAGTCTCCGTCCGCGGCCGGTGGGGATGACGACGAGGACGATTCGCTCCTCAGCAGCGCCGATATGTCGGATTCTGAAAACGCAAGCGAGAACAGACGCGGGGACGATGACATGGATGACGAGGAAGAGGACGAAGGCAACGAAGACACCAAGGTCTACTGTACCTGTCGCAGCGTCAGCCACGGGGATATGGTTGCTTGTGATAACGAAGACTGTGAATTCGAGTGGTTCCATTGGAAATGTGTGGGCTTGACCAGGGAACCTGTGGGCAAGTGGTATTGCCCGCAATGCTCTGCGAAACTGAACAACTAATTATATACCCTTCCTCATGACTTTGTATTTTATGATTTTAGCGCCGGGAGGGGGGGGGGGGTTTCGGGACTGTTTCTACTTATTTTCGGAATGCTTTCTATCATACTTCTTACTACGGTTTACCATGGAATTAAAGGACTTTGCGCTCTCGTATATCTCAATAAAATCTCGTCCCCTATCTATTCGTATAGATTAAAGGATAGGCTATGAAGGCATGATGATGTAGCAACTTTTCCCACTTTTTGGTTGTAAATCCAGACCCATACCTAGATGCCACGGCATTTTTCTAAAGTTCGTGAAATGTCCAGACAAATTGAGATGACAAACCTCAACTTCAGACAAGAGACATGCAAACGCCACCGCTATGCAAAGCAAAACATGACCTGGCGCTGATGCGCACATAGTACATCGACTATAAGAGAAGGAAAAGGGAGGTGATAGAGAAAAGGAGGGGGATCAGGCTCGGTTGCTCAAAATCCCAGAGCTTTCTCCAACCACGGATCGAAGTATTCGCAGCTTTCCGGACTCACGGCGCCTCCGGGGGCACAGAGTTTGAAGACGGGGCAGTGGCCGCAAGGTGCTTCCGTCATGCCGTTCTGCACCAGTCGATCCGACGCGTCGTCGTCTCCGGCGGGCTTCCGGGCTTGCGATTGTTTCACGGCCACGGGGTTTTTGACGGATCGATAGATTTCCCCGTTGTTCAAGGCGACGAGCTTGTTGTCGAAACAAAGCATCTCAAGGAGCTGCAGGACACTTTCTTCGCCGAGGCGCACGGGGGTGAGATCACTCCCGTTGACGGCGGCGGTGATCGTCGCGACGGTGGGATAGCCTTGGTATCCGGCGGGGAAGGGGATGTATTCTCTCTGGCCGGGCTCCTGTTTCAACGATGCGCTTCCGTCGGCGGTTTTGATGCGCTTGCTTGGTCCGTCTGCCGACGAGATTTCGAACCAACTTTTTCGACTCACGGTGTACTCGATATACCCCGCCATCGTGGTAATGAAGTCCTCGTCCAGCACGCCGTCCGTGAACCAAGCGCCACCGGTGACATCTTCGCTAGGGGCCAGGCCCGCCAGCATGTACATCTTCCGGCTGGGGAACTTGACATTGTGGACGCTTTTGATGTAGTTTTTCCCTTCGAGCGACTTGAGGCAGCGATCTAGAATGGACTTGTGGAGGTTTGTACGGTTTTGGATGGCGCGGACCCAGATACCAGAACGACCGGTCGAATGAATCACGTTGTAGACCATACTTTCGTCATGGCTCAGATTTTGAAGTCTAAAGTGGGGAAGAAAGATATGTCAACATCGCTCATGTGTGATCATAGGTAAAAGTCAAGAGGCCTTGCACTCAAGAATATACATACTTTTCAGCATCGTCCCGGGAGATGATCTTCCAGGCCAAACGGTTATTCTGCTGTAAAAGCCGGAACAGCTTTTGATCCACGAGCGATTGGGTGCATTGGAGGAGAAGCGCAAGGTCGGACTTGGGAAGGACTCCCAGGCCCAGCAATTCTTGTTGGTTGAAGAGGTGATCAGGGGGGAACTTGGTCAGGCATGCATCGTAGAGCTTCGCGGCGAGCTCACTGACAGAGCCGCCGGACGATCCCGCGGAAGCCATAGTCAGGACGAAGGAAGCAGGTCGTCAGGTTAGAGCACAGTCACCGAAAGGGCCTATGAAAAAGCATGTTCAGAGAGACATCCCAATCGAGTTTCCAGGCTGCGACTCCGACAATAGGCAAGAGAGATTCCTCGGGGCCGAGACGGGGCGCACAGAGGACGAGGAGATGCGCAGGTTCGTGACTGTTGCAAGAAGATGTTTTTGGCCGCTTTTTTCCATTCGTTCTTTTTGCGCCGCCCGGGAGGGTTTAGCGCCGTCGAGGTGCGGGCAAGTCTAGGCGCCTTTCTGCCTCAGGCACTCAGGCTCATGGTTTCTCCCGGAAATTTCGAGAAACTCCCGGCCAGAGCTTCAGTCGCCCGCAGGTGATCTCCTCTGCGCTCTCCCGGCTACCTGCCTCTGCCTTCTTTTTCTCTCTTCCCGCCATCACCTCACCTCACCCTCACTGTCATCCCACATCTCACAACCATGGCTGACGCTTTGAAAGCAGAAGGCAACAAGGCCTTCTCTGCTAAGGACTACGGTACCGCCGTGTAAGAATGCCTTCTTTCATCATACCCCGCTTTCGCTCGAATTGACTCCTAACCCTCGCGCAGTGAGAAGTTCACTCAGGCAATTGCAATCGAACCCCAGAACCACATCCTGTACTCCAACCGTTCGGCTGTCTATGCCGCGCAGTCCGAGTACCAGAAGGCGCTCGACGACGCCGAAAAGGCGACGGAAATCAAACCCGACTGGTCCAAGGGTTGGAGCCGTAAGGGCGCTGCCGCCCGCGGTCTCGGAGATCTTTGTACGTCATACATTAGGTTGAAACTAGGATGATGTCGCCGTTCTTTACTAACAGGTATCGGCAGTGTCCGCGCACGACTCCTACGAGGAAGCCCTGAAATACGAGCCCGGCAACGAGCAAGCCAAGTCCGGCCTGGCCGCCGTCAAGAGGGCCATCGATGCTGAAGCCAAGGCTGACGGCGTCACCGGTGACCCCACGGGCGGACTCGGTGGAATCTTCAACGACCCCCAGCTTTTCCAGAAACTCGCCAGCAACCCCAAGACCTCATCCCTTCTGGCCGATGGCGAGTTCATGTCGAAACTGCAGCGCATCCAGCAGAACCCCAACAGCGTCGGAGCCGAGCTCCAGGATCCCCGCTTCCTGCAGGTGATGAGCGTGTTGCTCGGTATCGATATGAGCTTCGGTGCTCCCCCTGAGGCCGCCGGTGCCGCCGGTGGTGCCGGTGGTGCCTCCGCGGCCCCGGAGGCTGAAGACGAGGAAATGCCCGATGTCCGTCCTCCCCCCTCGCAACCCAAGAAGGCGCCCGAGCCTGCCCCCGAGCCCGAGCCCGAGGATGAAGAAGCCCTCGCCAAGAAGAAGGCGCAGGAGGCCGGAGATGCCGAGAAGAAGATTGGAAACGACTTCTACAAGAAGAAGCAGTTCGACGAGGCCATCGAGCACTACAACAAGGCCTGGGAGCTGAACAAGGATGTCACCTACCTGAACAACCTTGGAGCCGCCAAGTTCGAGAAGGGTGATCTGCAGGGCACCATCGAGACCTGCCAGAAGGCCGTGGAGGAGGGCCGCGAGCACCGGGCCGACTTCAAGGTCATTGCCAAGTCGTTCGCCCGTATCGGTACCGCGTATGACAAGATGGGCGACCTAACCCAGGCCATTGAGTATTACAACAAGTCTCTCATGGAGCACCGTACCCCCGACGCGCTCTCCAAGCTCCGCGCCGCCGAGAAGGCCAAGGCCACGGCAGAGAAGGAGTCCTACATCGACCCTACCGAAGCCGAGAAGGCTCGCGAGCTTGGCCAGAAGAAGTTCCAGGAGGCCGACTGGCCCGGTGCCGTCGACGCGTTCACCGAGATGACCAAGCGCGCCCCTCAGGACCCCCGCGGTTTCTCCAACCGCGCCGCTGCTCTCGTCAAACTTATGGCTTTCCCCGGGGCCGTTCAGGACTGCGACGAGGCGATCGCCCGCGATCCCAAGTTCGTCCGTGCGTACCTGCGCAAGGCCGCGGCCCTCATGGCCATGAAGGAGTACAACAAGGCTCTGGATGTCTGCACCGAAGCCTCGGAACACGACGACGGATCCTTCACTCGTGAGATCGAGCAGCAGCAGCAGAAGTGTCTGGACTCTCAGTTCAGCGCTCGCGCGGGTGAGACGGAACAACAGACCATGGAGCGAATCCAGAACGACCCTGATGTAAGCTATCCCTGACCCCCTGACCCCTCAGTCGTTTTGGTAAAATCAATTCTAACCTCTTCACAGATCATGGCTATTCTCCAGGACCCCGTCATGCAGAGCATCCTGCAGCAGGCCAAGACCGACCCTGCCGCTCTGCAGGAGCACATGAAGAATGCCCAGGTTCGGATGAAGATCCAGAAACTGATGGCGGCCGGTGTGATCCGTATGGGGCGGTAAACGAGTTTCCCTAGAACGGGTTGAGGGACACGATGGAAATGAATGAATTGAGATGACAGCAATAATCTGGTTTCCGGAAAAAGTAGTTCTCGATATGATGCATGCTCCTTGCGTTTCATTAGTTTAATGTTCTAGCATTCAATACCAGTGTTATATATTTCGTCTTGGGGTAGTTGAACAAATAGCATTAGTATCAACCGAGAGTATTATCAGTATTAGTTTTCCGCTCGAGTAGCTCTTGAACACGATACATACTAAATCTACTCTATACAGAGTAGGTAGCTACGTCGACTGCACTACCTAATCGAGCTAACACACCAACTGTAATCTTACGGAGTAGTCCCTTGTGGGTGTGGCTGATGATCCGATCCCATCACGATCGATCGACCTGCAAATTTTTTCATTTCCAATTGATCAACTGGTAGTCTGGTACACTACGGGCTCCGAAGCACACGGATAATTGAGGGAAATGATAATCCAAAAGTGGAGTCCGAATACGTACTCCGACGGCGACCACGTACTTTGTCTCGTGAGTAACATTCTACTTGGCAGACTACCTAGGATAGGTAGGTACTAGGTAGGTTAAGTCTCAGATTCAGTCTGCGAACCGGGATATCGAGTTTTACGGTAGGACCCACGGTACCAGTCACTCGCTGTCACCAATTGAGCAGTGAACACCGGGGTGAGCTGTTTCAGCGTTCATTTTTTTATTCTGTGTTCCTTCTCTTGGCCCTAGCTACTTAGCTAGGGAAGGTAAGGTATGGTAGGGACTAGGGATTCTGGAGTGTGGGAATACACTCCGAATCATATTTACCTTCCCCGTCGACCTCCACCGCGAACCATGGGCGCCTGCGCAGTGCAACCCAGCGACTGCAGGGCGCAACTAGGATCTGAGTACGTACTAGGTGCACCGTAGTTAGCTCTTTGTAGTTAGTAGGTAGCATTTAGGTAACGATTCCAACGAATCAAGGGCGGGAAGGGATTTTGCCGGAGTTATCTCGGGGGAATTTTTGTTTCTGGGTGGGTTTGGGTTTGGGTTTGAGCGTTTCAGCTGCGTGAGAACTGAGAGATCAGGTTCTCTACCTAGTTACTTCGTAGGTGACTATTAATTGATTTAATGCAGGTTAACTACGGAGTACTCCGTATAGGTTAAAGTATGCTTGGTGGCCTGGATAGAAATGGGTGGCTGGGGAGTATGTATGTATGTATGTATGTAGCTACTAGCTAAGCGATGTGCGTTTGTAGGGCTGGGATCGTGGGTACTGGTTGGTACTCCATACTCCGTATCTCGATTGGTATTTTCAAGGATGCTTGGATCTATCGGAGTAGTTTATACATAAAGACTGACTTGTGGTGCGGTCTGATCCAAAACCCGAGCAAAGTACGATGTTGATCTGTGGCGAGGGACTGGAAAGACCATCACAAGTAAATAAATATAAAGCGGCTGGGAAGTTACAGTAGGTACCTAGTGCGTGGGGGATCTGTAGACCTAACGCAGCTCGCGTGTAATACGCTGTACAGAGTACAGTAGAACTTAGATAGTTTATGGTTTGTTTTTTTGGGGGGAGGGGGGGGGGGGAGTCTGCCCTATGGGAGAGAATATGTCGAAAGAAAGTTAAGCTGGCGAGAAAATGTACTACTAGTGACTAGTTATTGGGTGGGCTGAGCTGAATGAAGGGAAGCCTAGTGTCCTCGACATCACTATTTACGCTCATTGGTGCATCATTAATTGCAAATCTGCTTGCTATAAGGCTTGCATTTGACTCCCTTCCTTATTAGATACATTCAATTCCAGAGTCCGCGGGAGCTGCATGTGCTCATCCAGTAAAAAAAAAAATGAACAGCCCAACGCGGGGGTCGAACCCGCAGCCTTAAGATACCAATCATAGCTAGAAGTCTTACGCTCTACCGATTGAGCTAGCCGGGCTAGATAGAAAACAATCGTCCGAAAAGTATTACTTAAAGTATTCTCAATAACTAGATATATACATAATCTTTTATTTTAAATACTATGTATAAGTCTCTTGTTAGAGACGTTTCCAACGCTCTTCAGAACAGCCCGGCTAGCTCAATCGGAAGAGCGTAAGACTGTTAGTTACCTTAAATTCTATTCTTTTGAATCTTACTAATCAAATATCCAGTCTAATCTTAAGGTCGCAAGTTTGAGCCTTGCGTCGGGCTTTCCTTTTTGTGTGATTGATTGATTGGTCAGTTGATTTTTCTTGATTTTGTCCACGATACCATGCTCGGAAATCCTAGTCCGATATTCAGGCTGTGTTACATGAGGCGAATGAAATGGGTCAGTGCAGTGGTGCAGATCCTCTTACGACGCAAAGTGTGAAGGATCGATGGGGATGGACGGCATTGCGGGCGATGAGGTAATGCGTCAGCTGGCGTCTTATAATCAAGACTTGATAATCGACATGGGAGGATTGTGAATTCGCTCTTCCATAGCGCGTCACGAGATTGTCACGGGAAATGGGAATTACGATGATGGTTTTCTTCTCTTCCTGAATTGAATAGCTTTGCTAATTTTATCCCAGGACATCTAGGTGGGTTGGTTCAGAAGCCTTAAGATCTTGTAGCATGATGCGGTGGGAGAGAAACTACTAGCTCAGCTGCATGCCACGTGTCCGGGCTGACGAACAGGGATGTCCTGGAAGTGAGGAAGAGTTGTAGAAATGCTAGAGGACTCTGTATACCCTGTCCGGTGTGTCCAGTTCACATGGATCAGTGGTTCGGGAGGACGGAGGCAGACAGAGGGATTGACAAATGAGAGGAAACCCGAGGTCCAGGACAGGGGAAAAACTAGAGAGACTAGAGGGACTAGAGAGACTACCCAAGGCGTGTCCACTCGACTAAAGTAGTCCGTCCGGATTGGGTGCCAGTGTGGCGCGACCAGATCCGGTGGCGGTGCAGCTCCAGCTCCGATCATGACTGAATACTGAATGGTCGGTCGATCGACAGGAGCCTCCTATTTATTATTACGATCATAATTATGATCCCTAATATAATCCTTCTGATAATTATCCTAATTGTTCTCACAATATATGAGATACAGGAGAATATTATATCGAATATTGATCTCACGTAGAATAAATGAATTCCCCTTCAACTTGCAGCAATCAGAATCTTTGAATTCCTTCTGCCTGTGGAGAGACTAAGGCGGAATTAATGTTAATTATTTCATATTTAATCTCGGATTACGTTCTCCACGCTGGAATTGGACGCTCCAGTCGATTTACGTCACGACCGGCGGATCTCTTCCTCCTGCACTTCTTTATTCTCCTCGCAACCTTTTCAGTTTCCAGCTTTCCTTCTCCGTTCCTTATCTTTCGTCTTTCATCCCTTCCTTTCCCTTCACTTTCCTCTCCTCCGCATACCTCCCTCGACCTTTCTCCTATCTCACTAGCCACCGCTTCTGCTTGACGCAAGTGGCTTTGCATTGAGCTGTCAAATCCCTTCACCCCCTACAGTTTCGCTGTTCTCATCATCAGTCGGTAAGAAACTAAAATTTCCCCCTTCAGGAATAGGGACCCCCTCTTCCTGTCCTTCTCTTCCCCTCTTCTGAATTCCCGGTTCCCATCTCCTGCCCCTCTCCCTCTCTCTCCCTCTGGGCCATTGCAACCTCAACCACCCACCCAAGCCACTGTCTCCCCACTGCGGAGGCCCTGAAGGCAACCATCTTAGCTATACTCGCCTAAGCGCCAACTCATTTCCGGACTGCTTCCCTGCCCTTTATCTTATTCTTTTTTTATTTTATTTTTATTTTTGCCATTCCTTGTCCTCATTCAGCCCTGTCACCCCATTCTATTTGTAGCTCTTCCGTTCTTTCCCTTCTATACTTGTTCTGTTTCATCCCCCCATCCAATTCCTGCCATTGAACTCCGGAACAAAGCGCATTGGGGTTGTTCTGACAACAGGACCTTCTAGATCCTATCGCTCGGGGTTTCTGTAGGAGGTGATCTCACTCACCGAAGGCTGGTCGCCCTCCCACCTCCAAAGCAGCCATGGCGTCCCTCGAAGTAGAAGATCATGAAAAGGAATTGAGGCAGCAGGGTGCCATTGAGGCCGCCCAACAGGCCCCTCAGGATTCCCAGGCCACCGAGGCTGCCGAGAAAGTGCTGGTCGAGGAAACTCGAAAGGCGGGCATGCCCGCCTACCAATTCGACCCGAATGCCTCGCCTGAAGAAAAAGCCGCCGCCGCCGAAGCTGTAAGTCTCGTGGTACCTGCTGTGGACTGTCGATGGTAGAGGTGGTGAATTGGCTGACCTCATGTTTTTCCCGCTCTGCAGCGAGTACCGCCAGGGTTTCATCGCGACAAGAAACCGAAGGGCATGGCGATTATCACGGATAAAGTATGTGTTCACCTGCGCGGTGCCGTGCAACTTGAGCTGTAAGGTTGCTGGTGGAGAGAAATGCAGTTTCCTAACCTGTCGGGTTGATTCTAGGATGACGGCACCCCCGACGACTACGATCTGCCCCCGCCCAAAACCGCGACCGATATTCTCGAGAAAGAATCCAAAGGATCCTCTGACGGACAAACAGAAGAGGGTGGGATGAGCGAAGACATGCGATGGGGGCGAAACCGAACGGGGTGGTCTCCGCAGTTCATGCAGGTTCCGACCGAGGAGGAAAAGAACGAAGGAACGCTGCTAGATCACCAGGACTTCCTGGAAGGAAAACTGGACGATAAGTTCTTTGGAGGTATGCGACGGTTTTTATTGGGTTGGGATTCCGCGAATGCTAACCGTCGTCAGATTGGTATCACAACGCCGGCGTCATCGTTTTCGCCTGTCTGGCCTCTTGGGTCGTCGCCGTCCTCGGCGGTGGTCTGGGCTGGATTTTCCTCGTCATGGCCGCCTGTAGCACGTACTACCGCACGTCGATCCGGCGAGTTCGGCGGAATTTCCGCGATGATATTAACCGGGAAATGGCCAAGCAGCGCTTGGAGACCGACACTGAGAGTTTGGAGTGGATTAACAGTTTCCTGGTTAAGTTCTGGCCCATCTACGCGCCCGTCCTGTGCGACACGATCATCAACTCCGTGGACCAAGTGCTCAGCACCTCGACTCCTGCCATGTTGGACAGTCTTCGTCTGAAGACCTTCATCCTGGGTACTAAGCCTCCGCGATTGGAGCATGTCAAGACGTACCCGAAGACCGAGGTGGATACCATTATTATGGACTGGAAATTCAGCTTCACGCCCAACGACGTGATGGATCTGACTTCGCGCCAGCTGAAGAACAAGATCAACCCCAAGGTCGTCCTGGAGGTTCGACTTGGTAAGGGTGTCGTGAGCAAGGGCCTCGATGTGATCGTGGAGGATATGGCCTGTAGCGGCCTCATGAGAGTCAAGATGAAGCTGCAGGTCCCTTTCCCTCATATCGAGCGGGTGGACGTCTGCTTCATGGAGCGCCCGGAGATCGACTACGTTTGTAAGCCCCTGGGTGGTGACCATCTGGGTTTCGATATCAACTTCATCCCCGGCCTGGAGTCTTTCATAAAGGACCAGATCCACAACAACCTGGGTCCGATGATGTACAGCCCCAACGTCTTCCCCATCGAGATCGCCAAGATGCTGGCTGGCAACCCCGTCGACCAGGCCATCGGCGTGGTGGCCATTACTCTCCACGGAGCCCATCATCTCAAGAACCCCGACAAGTTCTCAGGCACGCCTGACCCGTATGCCGTCGTGTCTTTGAACCGACGTACCGAGCTTGGCCGCACCAAGACCGTCCATGACAATGACAGCCCGAGATGGAACGAAACGATTTACGTCATCATCACCTCCTTCTCGGACTCTTTGACCATTCAACCGTTCGATTGGAACGAATTCCGAAAGGATAAGGAACTGGGTACGGCAACTTTCTCGTTGGATCGATTGGAGGAGGAACCCGAGCATGAGGGCTTGTACCTTGAGGTCATGGCCAGCGGCCGGTCTCGCGGTTCCATCCACACGGATATCCGATTCTTTCCAGTCTTGGAGGGCAGAACGATGGAGAACGGCGAGAGCGAGCCGCCCCCGGAACTGAACACGGGTATTGCCCGCTTCACCGTTGAGCAGGCCAAGGATCTGGATGGTACCAAGAGTATCGTCGGGCAGCTCAACCCCTACGGAGTCCTCCTTCTAAACGGCAAGGAGATCCACATCACCAAGAAACTGAAGCGCACGAACAACCCCATCTTCCAGAACGCGTCCAAGGAGTTCCTCGTCACCGACCGAAAGAACGCCCGTCTGGGACTGGTCATCAAGGACGACCGAGACCTGGCAAGAGATCCGATCCTGGGTACCTACCAGATCAAGATGAACGACATGCTCAAGATGATGGAACAAGGCAAGGACTGGTTCCATCTGCATGGAGCCAAGACCGGTCGCGCCAAGCTGACGTTCCAGTGGAAGCCTGTGGCCCTGGGTGGTATCTCAGGCAGTGCCGGCTACGTGGACCCCATCGGTGTCATGCGCTTTCATTTCCAGAGAGCATCTGACCTCCGGAACCTGGAGAAGATGGGCAAGTCTGATCCGTACGTCCGGGTGCTGCTTTCCGGATACCAGAAGGCACGGACTGTGACGTTCAGGAATAACCTGAACCCCGACTGGGACGAGGTGGCTTACGTGCCAATCCACAGTGCCCGCGAGAAGCTGACCCTCGAGGTGATGGACGAGGAAAGCATCAACAGCGACCGTTCGTTGGGAGCAGTGGATATCTCGGCGGCTGACTACGTGAGGGAGAATGAACAGGGCGAATTCGAGGTCGACGACGAAAAGCAGCTGATCTCGAGCGGCCTCCGCATCGGAAAAGGTCCCGTCAAGGGCCTGCTGCACTACACCGTTGCCTTCTACCCGACCATCCCGGTTGTCAACCCCGAAGAAGAAGAAGACGAGGGGATGGATGACCTCCACGGCGACGGAGACGAGATCCCGAGAAAGAGCGTCGAGTCCCGGCGCAGAAATGGCCACGCGAGAACGGCTAGCACGGAGTCCAAGGCATCCAAGACTAACGGTACATCGCAGCCTACAACTCCTTTGCCGCCAAATTCCCCGTTGCCAAACACCCCCGGGCGCAGCAGCTCTGAATCGGGCGTCTCCAAGCCGAACACGTCGAAAGATTCCGAGATCATGTCTGTCAAGTCACTTGACATTCCGAAAATCTACATCTCGGCCGAAGAACTCTCCAGTTACGGTAGGTCCCCATTTTGTAGAGATCGGATTGCTACGGCTGCTAATGGTATCGCAGAATCTGGATTCTTGGTCTTCAAGTTCCACGAAGTTCAACTCGCCCGCACCAATGTACAGGTTGAAGTTGTTATGGACGACCACATGTTCCCTGCCTATGTGTCTCCCAAACTTCATTCCAAGACCGCCCAGATAGAAGACAGTATGTTGTGACCTTTTGTAAAAGCGTGAACCGAGGAATAGAGCTAACAGCCTGTAGTTGGAGATGCCTTTGTTCGCGAGCTGGAGTTCTCGAAGATTACTCTACGAATTGTCGACAAGACCAACCCCAAGGATCCCAGTGACGAACATACTATTGCGAAACTGACGGGCGACACGCTGTCGACCCTTCAGCGCATCCTATACACCCCCGCCGAACTGACTCTCCGATCCAGCGATGGAGAAGTGAGCAAAGTCACCGTCAGTGCCCGATATATCCCGGTCACGATGAAGCTCGATCCGACCGAAAGTATCAACAACATGGGTACGTTGCGGGTGGATGTTCTGGACGCTGCCGAGCTCCCCTCTGCCGACCGCAATGGCTTCAGTGATCCTTACTGCAAGTTCCGTCTCAACGACAAAGAGGTTTTCAAGACCAAGGTGCAGAAGAAGACTCTGCACCCGGCCTGGAACGAATTCTTCGAGGCCCCTATCACGTCCAAGATCGGAGCCGACTTCCGGGTGGATGTCTACGACTGGGATTTCGGCGACAAGGCAGACTACCTGGGTGGAACGCCCATCGACCTTGGTGTTTTGACGCCGTTCCAGAGCAAGGAGGTGTCGTTGGTTCTGGACGGCAAGTCGGGCGCCATCCGACTAAAGATGCTGTTCAAGCCGTCCTACGTCATCCGGTCCCGGCAAGGGTCCTCCACGTTCTCCGGCACCTTTGCCACGCCCGGCAAGATCGTGGGAGCGCCCGTCAAGGGAGTGGGATTTGTTGGCGGCAATGTCATCAAGGGTGCTTCGTTCTTGAAGCACGGAATTATGTCCCGATTCCGCGGAGATGATGGTTCCAGTATCCATGAAGCCGAGGAGCAGGAGGAAACCAATGGCAGCCCGCCCCCGGCAGCAGACGGGGGTCTCGCACGCGCGCCCTCTCTGGCGGTGGACGGCGGTACTCCCCCGAACGCCAGCCCCGCCATTAACAATAAATTGGAACACGCGCGTTCGCGCAGTGTGGTGTCCCACCACGGCGATCGACTGAGCATTGGGGGCGGGACCGGAAAGGGCGAGACGGGCACGGCCACGATCACCGTTGTTTCCGCCAGTGACTTCCCCCCGTCGTCCAACGTGCGGGTGTTTGTGAAGGCTGTCGGGCCCAAGGGGGCGAAGGAGGTTCTAAAGAGCAAAGCGCACAAGGCCAGCGGCACAAGCCCGGTGATGTTTGACCCGTCGCACGAGACGTGCCGGGTGCACAACACGACGGCGGATGCGCAGTATCAAATCCGAGTGGTGGACCATTCGACGTTTGGCTCGGACAGCACTCTCGGCGAGACGCTGTTCTTTGTGGACGATCAGGGCTCCGTGGCCGGACAGGACAAAGCGGTCAAGGTTGGCAGCGGGACGGTGGTGATTCGGTCCAGTTTCTCGAGTACCGAATCGACGCTGCGGCCGTCGACATCTCATTCGAACAATGGCGATGCGGCGTCCGAAGTGATGGACAGTCCGGACTCGAAGAAGACCGGTCGACGCAGTTTCCTTGGCAAGAGGAACGTGAGCGGTGCTTAGATTTTTTCCCCTTTCCTTTTCTTTCACTGTAACCAGACTACATTGCTTTTTTTTATTGTCTGATGTCCTTGATGACGAATTTCTATTTTCTGTCTGTGTGTTTTCTTGGCTTGTTCTGCTTTCTCCTTTCTCCTTTCTTTTTCTTTCCTTGATCCTCACGATTTTCTTTGGGCATCAATATGACGTGATATCCCTGCTTTAGCGTAGTAGCGGTCGATTGGATATGGATACTTCTGCCAGATCCGATCTGGGAGACCAAAATGAACGAGATGGATTGAATCCGGTTTTAAATTCCACGATGTCTGCATGGATAATGGAACTAGAGCTACTGTGTATACCGCACGGAGTAGAGCCAGGGTAACCTTGGAGTTAAGTGTAACCGAACCGGTGACACCAACGGACACCGACTTCTGGCTTGTGTGAGGTACGGAGAGAGTATTCTGTATGGAGTAGTAGAGTGTGTACGGTGTACACCGCCTGTCTGGAGATTCAACAATGAGATATTTAGGACTCGATAGATAGGAAGGAATATGTGATCAGTCTTATCTATCGTCTGATGCGCGGTCTATATGCAATTTTACGATGTTGCGGTGTGGTGAGGGGTGAAGTGGTGACTTGCGCCAAAAGCTAACCAACTAACTTACTAGGTAGCTCTTCAGGTGAACATGATTAGTGTTTCAACTGAACCGAACTATTGAATGATGAACTTACCTAGTTTACTTTATTATGTACGTAGTCATTGTCTCAGGACTCCGGAGTCGGGAGTCGGGAGTATCCTACTTACATTTACACCGTATGGAGTATGAATAGCTAATTAACTAACTGCATACGGAGTTAATGCATGTCTACCCTGTTCTGCCCTACAGGTCCACTTTGGTCTGTTGGGAGAAGGAGGTTAGTTTCAAATTGAGAGGTCCGTAACTACCCACTCTATAGGTAAGTAACTTAGTTAACAACACATACGGTATAGACAGGCAGGAGGCTAATATTAGCCGACGAATTAGATACTGCCTATCTACCTTAGAGAAGTGGAATATATATGTACGGAACTATAGTATATACTGACGGCCTAAGGGTTGGGGGGTTATGGAGTAGACTAACTAACTAGTTAGTTACCATAAAGTAGAAGTTATGTAAGTGAGCGTTCGATTTCGACTCGTGGCTATAATGGCCATACATCCATTAGATCGGATCGGAGTTCATTCTCTCCTCCTGTGGCAAAGTGACAGCTGTCAGTGTTGGGTGGCCAAGTCATTATGCTCTGCAGTTTAGATATGTATGTAGGAACACCTATGTGCGCCATATATATGTTATATCTTACACTACTTCCCATATGCAAAGTTTTACCTACCTAGGTAAGTGGGTTAGGAAGTAGTTGTCTATATTAGTACTGTTTTACTTCGTAGAATGATATTTGCATAATTATACCTCCGGATGAAGATCCAGATCCAGAGCTCTAGGGTGGTTAGCTCCTAAGGTACCCGACCTAACTAACCAGTATCCGCAGTTGGCTGACCGACATAACCCACCGTAGAAGAAAGGGAGAAGGAAGTAGAAACAATTAGGTCCCTAGGTTCATCGAAATTAGAATTCTTCTCTTTCTGGATAGATATATTAGAAGAACTAGAAGGGGCCAGCCCCGGCAAAGGGGCCGGGAAATCATTCTTGAGGTTTAATTTTAGAAAAAAACAGGCCATGGCTAACTTGCAAATTTTTTTTTTTAACTATTGCGGTAAATAAATTATATGAAATGGAGGATAGCATCAGTTCATACAGCGCAGGGAACTGACCTCCCGGTCGGACATCGAGTGCCTTGGACAGACCTGCATGACAGATGAGGGGAAAATGGAATGGACGACAGCTGTTCCCGTGTAATTTGCTGCGGCGGTCTGCCCCTCCCCCTCCCCCTTCCTTCCCTCCGCCACCTTCTGATGCTGCATTTCTCGCGGGATGGTATACTCCCTAGGTAGGAAGTACCAGGTACACTACGGAGTATAGAGTAAAAGCAAGGTAGTATTGATAATTTAATATTAATGCTATTATGGATCCCCGGAGGACAGGGGACCTAGCCGGTTGGAGCTACGGGGCTAGCTTGTTTAACAGGGCACTAAACTAATTACCTGGTAGACTACTGAACGGCTAGAGGCTAGATCGTGATTGGAACTTGGAGCTCTGGTCTTCAGGAGAATGTTGACTGCAGGCGAGAATTGGGATTTCGAGCAATAATAACGAGGGATTGGTAGTTCGCACATTAGTGAACAGGTATGGAAGCCCAAAGCCAAAACATGTCGGATGCGACAGAGGTATCTGTACAAAGTCACGGGATTGGCTATGAGCATATCTCTTTGTAACAGAGTATTCCGGCAGTACTGAACGGAGTGGCAAGAGGGACAGGTTCGGAATGCAGCCCTGGAGGTCATGGCAAAACGTCGGTATTTGAGTCGTCAAAAAATAGAGGGAAAAAAAATAAAATAAATCAAAACGAGCTAATTTGAAGAGATGGAAAGGTGACGAGGACAGTGGAGCCGGTTGGAGATTGGATTCCGTTCCAACTGGCAGAGGAACCCTGAAAAGGGGCATCGCCGGTCTAGATTAACCGCCGTTTCCAACGCGGCTGTCAGATGATGCCGTGCGTTTTTTGTCGTGGTGTTGGAGGACAGACAATCTCTGGTGGTCGATTCAGTCTGAGTCTGCGAGAGAGAGCTCCGACGAGGACTGCATCCCCCGTAGTTACGGAGTAGTAAGTGATAACATAGGAGGTACAGAGTACATCGTACATACTCCCTAAGATATGCAAGCAGAGGTACCTGGTTCCTCGAGCAGAGGTCACGAGTACCCGCCCCGACCGGCGATGCTAAGAACAAATAATATTATCGACAGGAAAGGGAGGCCCTCCCCACTTTCCCCTCTTCACCTTTCACCTTCGGCGCCTTCATCGTCATCAGAAACAAAATAATTAATTCCATTCATCGATCATCCTAATATTAAAGAAACCTCTGCCCCCTCTCAGTCCTCCCGCGACTTCTTTCACCCCTTTGACCCTCAACTCCCCAACCCATCAACCCATTACACCTCAGGTACGTACCGTACACTCCTACTCAGGATACCTCCCACTTCCCCCACTCTCCTCCTGCCTGCTTGTCGCACCAAGCTTGCTCGAACGGTCGCCAATGACGGCAGCTTGTCGACATCCCTCCTTCCGAAGGGATCAACATGTGCGGGCGTGGCAACTTTGGAACCAGGACCCCTCGTCCCCTCTGCTGCTGCTGGAGGGGGGCCCGCTTAAATGAAGAGTCGTGTCCTGTTGGCTTTTTCTTGGTTCGGTCCTGACTTTGACTTGACTTGCCTCCTCCACTACCCGCCCCTCTGGACTTGCTTTTTATTTTATTTGTTTTGGTCCTTTTCTGTTAAGCTTCCCGTCCCAAGCTTCGTCACTGACTTGCCTTCCTCGTCTCTTTCAGCGTCCTCCGCCTTGAAATTCTCCTGTTCGGTGGTGTTTACATCTATCCCGCCATTGCCTCCCACTCCCATTCATCATACACAACAATGGCTTCCAAAGCTTTGCCTTCTCACCTCCGCGCCCCCGCCAGCGAGTCCAACGCTGGCGGCTTCGGCAAGCACCACGGAAAGTCCCAGTCTCACATGGTAAGTTGCGCAACTTTGCTCGTACTCCGCTGCCCCTGATTTCCTGGATTCTTCCCTCTTGGTTCGTTCTGGATGCGCTTCTCGTATGATTCCATGGGATTTCCCTTTGGGCAGACGGGGAGAGCTGCAAAGTTCCTCGAGTTGCCGAGTTGTCTGCCAGCAACTGCTCATTCACTGCCTGGAATTTCCCTTCTATCAAGCGGTTCTTTCTGCCTTGATATCGCCCAACCCCGGTTTCTTTCTGCCTTCTATATCGCATCTGCTTGCTTGCTGGCTTCTTAAAAAGACGTGAGAACCTTTCTCGGTACCATTGGCAGCAAGATGCGATAAACCCCCGTCTGTGCCATTTTTGTTTGCATCCGTCACCCACGTCTCGAAAGTTCAACATCCGCTTCGCCCAATTTTGTGCCCCCGCCCAAAGTTGTTACTTCATCTTTCAACCCTGGGATTGACACCGCTCTTCGCTCTCCCATCTTTCCAACTCCTCCGTACTAATGGCTTCCCTCGTCCAGGCATTCGAAAATGCTTCGACTAGCGTCGCTGCCTCCCAGATGCGTAATGCCTTGAACGCCCTCGCCGAGACCGTCCCTGATGCCAACGAGCGCAAGCGTTTCGAGGCCGAGTCCGACAACTTCTTTGCTCTCTTCCGCAGATTCCTCAACGATAAGGCCAAGGGCAACGAGGTCAACTGGGACCGCATCGCCCCTCCCCAGCCTTCGCAGGTGGTCAACTATGCCGACCTGGGCAACGAGGCCTCCGTCGAGTTCCTGAACAAGCTGGCCGTCGTCAAGCTGAACGGTGGTCTGGGTACCTCCATGGGTTGCGTTGGACCCAAGTCCGTCATCGAGGTCCGTGAGGGCATGTCCTTCCTCGATCTTTCCGTCCGCCAGATCGAGCACCTGAACCGTACCTTCAACGTCAACGTGCCCTTCGTCCTCATGAACTCCTTCAACACCGACCAGGACACCCAGTCCATCATTAAGAAGTACCAGGGCCACAACGTCGACATCATTACCTTCAACCAGTCCCGCTACCCTCGTATCATCAAGGACTCCCTCCTCCCCGCCCCCAAGTCGGTCGACTCTCCTCTGCAGGACTGGTACCCTCCCGGCCACGGTGACGTCTTCGAGTCGCTGTACAACTCCGGTACCCTCGACAAACTCCTGGAGCGTGGCGTCGAGTACATCTTCCTGTCCAACGCCGACAACCTGGGTGCCGTCGTGGATCTCCGCATCCTGCAGCACATGGTTGACACCGAGTCCGAGTACATCATGGAGTTGACCGACAAGACCAAGGCCGACGTCAAGGGTGGTACCATCATCGACTACGAGGGCAAGGCCCGTCTCCTGGAAATCGCCCAGGTGCCCAAGGAGCACGTCAACGAGTTCAAGTCCATCAAGAAGTTCAAGTACTTCAACACCAACAACATCTGGATGAGCCTGCGTGCCATCAAGCGTGTCGTTGAGGAGAACGAGCTGGAGATGGAGATCATCGCCAACGAGAAGTCCATCCCCGCCGACAAGAAGGGTGACGCCGACCAGGCCATCTACCAGCTTGAGACCGCCGTCGGTGCCGCCATCCGCCACTTCAAGAATGGCCACGGTGTCAACGTGCCCCGTCGTCGTTTCTTGCCCGTCAAGACCTGCTCCGATCTCCTTCTGGTCAAGTCCGACCTGTACCGCCTGGAGCACGGCCAGCTGGTCATGGACCCCAACCGTTTCGGCGGTGTCCCCGTCATCAAGCTGGGTTCGGACTTCAAGAAGGTCTCCGACTTCCAGAAGCGCATTGGCAGCATTCCTCGTATCGTCGAACTTGATCATTTGACCATCACCGGTGCCGTGAACCTAGGCCGCAACGTCACGCTAAAGGGAACCGTCATCATCGTGGCGACCGAGGGCAGCACGATCGACGTGCCCCCTGGCTCCGTGCTGGAGAACTGCGTTGTGCAGGGAAGCTTGCGTATTCTGGAGCATTAAATGCTTGGTCGTCTCCGTTCTGCGCGTTACTTCAATTCTACCGATTCCCCCTTTGTGTGTTTTTTCTCTTTTTGTTAGCTTTACACAGCTGTAATTGATTCCCTATCTGGATGGTGTCGCAGAAGGCATTTGCATGGGTTGATAGAACTTTGTTAGGAAGACAATGGATGAGGTCGAGGATGCCGACCAGATTTTGGTTCCGATTCAAATGGAATCTGGCAATCGGGCTCCAGCGTTAGGAAGATGTGTTCATGGCAACATATTCGCTGTGGAAATACAAGAAATTAGTTTAATCCAGCATCCTACCTTTGAATTTGGCTCTTGCCCTTGGTGATTCTTCACCTACAGAGTAATCGTAATTGTCTTTCTTAAACACAAATGAACATAGTTCCTTGACAGCATAGAATCAACAGCGCCTCCGCCACGTGACATCAGTCTTGTATTCCCTCCTTCCCACGCAAATTTGTTTCATTTGATCATCGCAGCCCCATTCTCATCATCATGATCTTAACCCCCGTTGTTATGATTCTTTGAGATATTCGCACTGCCTTACCCAGAAGGAAGTAATCATGATGAATGATACGAAAGACCTACATCCTCTCTCAATAATTCCGGCTTGACACTACCGGTCGTCACAGGATATCGAACTCCCCCGCCATAGCTAGATCAATTAGTAATGTCTTTTCGGAGGTTCTAGGATGCCTGGCACATGTACAGCAGGAATTCCGAGCCACATCCTCCCGCCAAGAGCAAAATATACTTTCGAGGGTGAAGGGCCTAGAGAGGGCTTTGGCAGTCGGACGCACTGGAACACCCACCATAGCCAAACCCAGGGCATTCCAAATCCGCCACATGAACTTCCTCCCCGCTCTTGGTTGTCCTCAATGGGGGAGACAAGCCTCCTGATTCTTTATACTGTGGATCACGTGGGGTGGAAGACAAATGTGACATCCGAGGCCACTGCTGCCCGTTGGTTCCCCACCGTTCGTTTTCCTCTTCCATTCTTGTCTGTATGTTCTGTCTTCTTCAGTTACCGGCAACGCGTTGCGTCGCTAACCGGTCTGACCATCGTCTGAGTCATTTCCAGATTATGATATCTGGTCCTGGAAACGCCACTCGTATTCACCTCTTCCGTGCCTGATGGGTCTACTACGTTCGAGGCCATAACTCCGAATGTTCTTCAGCGGACGTGGTTCCACGGCGCCACTGCCCAACACACCCCTTGGGACGTCCACGGCGGCGAACGCATCGATCAGGAGATGAAGGAAAGGGTCCCCGATCCACGGTCACATATTTCCATTGCAATGGAACTATTGTATTGGTCTGGGCTCCTTCCCTTCATGACCTAGAATCTAACAAAGAGAAAGAAAGAACCCCCTATATAAAGAAAGCCACGAGGTACTTGGGGTGGAAAAAGAAGGAGGATGGAAAGAAAAATCTGAGATCTTTTTACGGCCAGCCTGTTCAAGGATACCTCAGCCACCATAAGTGATCGACCATCGTGAGTGATTATATTTCCCAGCACCGCCAGTTGGCGCCGGGACCGTCCCCCACTTCTGGAATGCCGGACATTCCACTTGGGGGGGATAGCCCTCCTGGCGAAAGCTATCGAAAGTCCAGCGACCCGGGCAAGAAGCGGGTGTCTATGGCATGCTTGGCCTGTAAAAAGTCCAAACGAAAGGTACCTCTTCTTTCTTGCAATCCTGGGGGTTCCTTCTCCCCCTGTCGTTCATCAATAGGTGGCAGCCTTCTCTCGTTCATCCTTGATCTTTCCTCCCTTCTTTACTTCTTTTCATTCCCATCCAATCCAAGTCAAGGACACACACAAAACATCTCGGTTGATATATGTACCTTTTTGATGATAGTGCTCCGGCACCGCCCCGTGTGATAACTGTCGCACCTTCAATCGGCAATGTGTCTTCGATGAGACATTGGATCAACGTCGCCGCGTGGCGGCCAAGCGCACGGCCGATGAACTCAGTTATCACCGAGACATGCTCAATGACATGCTCAAAGTTATGAAGGCAGAAAACCAGTCCTATGCCCTCCGGCTGCTGGAGATCGTCCGGAACGATGCCACAGCGGAGGAGATCCGCTCATTCGTTGACGAGACGCTCGCTCATTTCGTAGATACGGACAAGGAATCTGCTTCCACTTTCCAGAAGTTGGAAGAGGTCCGACGGATTATCGATAACGAAGGCGCTGGACCGTCATTTCGCCCAAAGGTCATGGATATCCACTACCTGTGCGATGAGGTGCCGATCCGAGTCCCTGCGAAGCCGTGGACCACGGTCACCGAGGACTCTGATCTTGTATCGCATCTGGTGTCCCTGTATTTTACGTGGGACTATCCGTTCTATGCGTTCTTGGACCGGGACGTGTTCTTAACCCATATGACCATGGGCGATACCGAGTCGAAGTTCTGCAGTCCATTTCTGGTCAATGCTCTTCTCGCCAATGCTTGCGTGAGTCCTACCCATTCGAGATGAGCCTTTCCGCACCTAATCAGTTTGTGCCCAGTACTTTTCGGATTATTCCGAAGCATATGTCGACCCCGGCGATATTGTGACGAAGGGCGCTAATTTCCTCGCCGAAGCAGAACGTTTGAAGGAGGAGGAACCTGCTAAGCTCAGTCTAGCGTACCTACAGGGGACGCTTCTGCTTTTTGAAAAGTTCGTTACTGGGCTGACTCGCACCTGTCAACCACCTTGATACTGAATTGACACCCACCTAGGTACTCCCTCTCCGGGGATAACGATCTTGGGTACAAGATGCTCCACCAAGCGATATGGACCGGCGAATCGCTAGGGCTTATTGGACCAAGGATCTTTCGAATGGAACCTGGACACATGCCCGAAGATATGGACATATCCATCAAGCGAACGGCCTGGGGTCTGTTTCATATTGATACGTACGATTTCCCTCCTTTTCTCCCCTTCCCACGAAAATTGTATGCCAAGAGTACCGACCAACGTTACCAATAGAGTCATCCATACGGATTTCCTGAGACCAAGCTTGATCGATAAGGTGAATGTAGCGCGACCCAACCCCGTGGAGGATTCGGCCCTATGGGTACCATACCCTTCCCACCGATCTGAACGGCCTGCCTATATCGGTCAATACTTCGATGAGTCATGTGATCTTTGTGAAATCGCGCGTGACATATCTCGACAACTTTTCACCGTGAATAGAGCCTCTTCGGCCGAGCACCAGCGTCGAATCAAGGAGACCATGTATGGGAGACTTTGTCGTTGGCACGATGCACTGCCGGCGATCTTTGATCCCGAGTGTAGGCCTCCGCCGTATATCATTCTTCTTAGGTGAGTTTTGATTGTCTCTAGTCCTGCAGAGCCAGGTAAGGGTCGTGGACGGCCACGACGGCCAGTCGAAGTCGCCAGAGGCGACGGAGGGCAACGTCCGCTTTTTCGAATCTAATTCTTTACGCTGTAGAATGCGGTATTACACATTGATCATTACCATGTTCTCCTTCACGCCAAAAGAAGATATCTCACGATTCGAGTCAGAGGCTCCTCAGACGCCCGAAAGTCCGCCCGGACTGTATCTTTTCCCCAAGTACAATGCCGACGAGATCGTTCACTCTGCAGCACGGGCTATCTCTGGTCTTGCCTTTCTGCACCGGCGGGAGTTTGGAATGACTCGTGCACATCAATTTGCCTTGTATGCAATTAATCTTGCTTTGTTTACGATGCTCGTAAGCGATACCTTCGACATTTTAGATTCGGATTTTCTCTCGCTGGCGAGCTCATTCCACACCATCGCGAGCCGCTCTCGCCTGGGAAGGAATCTATTCTACCTTTTCCGAGAGACCACCAACTCCCGGGATCAGAACCAGCGACTTCAAGATTCAGATAGCGTGACCATGGAGATGAAAGCGCTGTTCGAAGCGACAGCGAGTTCTCACTATACCGCCCTGAATGACTACGCCAGAGGACTGGAAAAATTGGAAATGGACGAGCGCTACCGTGGAATGCCTGGCGAAGGGGACCACAGCATCTCCAGCATGCTCGACCGATATGAAAGTCTAAGCCTAGGAAAAGATGAAATTGCGCCCGAGAGACTGCATCCCGGCGACTAACAGAACATTTGCCTCGATCTTGACGAATTTTGATCTCTGTTCTTTTCTGTCTTTTCCTGCTCAGCCAGCGATCTTGAACCGAGCGGTTCACGAGTTCTATTTTTATCCGTTATCTATATTCTTTGCGCGAAATTGGAACTGGATTGCCTATTTGCGATATCACATGAAGACCCAGAGCAAACCCCGTAATTTGACCTGTCTATGGAAGGTTGAAAACTTGTATGAACAACCGGTGATCCAGCGTCATGTTCCGCCGATGTTCCGCACCACGCGAAGCTCCTTGCATACGTCGGATGACATCACGGGTGGGCTCCACTCACGGGTCACCCTCTCTTTCTTCATCATCTGCTTCTTTTCTCTCCCACTCCTGCCCTACCTTCCCCTACGTCGATCATTAGCGCAACTCGAATAATTCGCCGAGAATTCTCTCATTGAGCCTCTTAATCAACAAGGAAAGGAAGAGATTTCTGTCTCTTTCTGCAACGCACGATGCCATGGAAGGCTCGACTGGGTATTATCCATACGATGGCAGCTTAAACACCGATGGTGGCACACCTCATATACACCCTAACGAAATTAAAGGATTGCATCAGGGCTACGACTGGACCTGGGGACATGGAACACCCGCATCCCTCCACTCGATGGGCCTCAATCCCTACGCTCCTCCTCCTCCTTCCGCTCCCGCTCCCCAGTACCATGAACGACCGCCCCTCCCACCAAACGCATCGTCGGGATCGTCGTCCTCGCGAGAAGTGCCCGGAGTGATACCTAAGGTGGCCATTCCACGATCGCAAAGCTTAAGCCGCCAGTCTGAACGACGCCGGTCGGCGAGAGCCTGCGAACCCTGCCGACAGCGGAAGATCAAGTGCGATGGGAACAAACCGGCCTGCAAACAGTGTGTGGAGCATGACGTGAGGTGTGCCTATATGGACGTCAAGCGGGTGCGGGACCAGAAACAGCTGGGGGCTTTGGCGAAGAAAGTAGATCGCTATGAGAAGTTTTTGGAAGACATCGAGATGGAGGTCGAATCTCATACGTCGAGGCGAATTAGGAAGATGTTAAAGGTGTGCTATCGCGACGTTCATAGGTTTTGGGAGATATCGTTTTGTCTAACTATACATAACTTAGGACTCGAATCAACCTTCCGCCACCGACGAAGTTTCCGACTCGGACGACGATTCTGAATCTATCGGATCCTTAGACAACATTGACCTGGTGGAGGAGGATCTCAATCGGAGCGAGAAGACGGTGGCGATGGGGTTCTTTGGGAAGAATTCCGAGGTCTCGTGGATGCAACGGGTTGAGGACGAGGCCACGAGCCTCAGTCGCCAGTCTTCGGAGTCTGCCGACCCAAAAGACTACCCAGTTTCTTCCAGCCAGACCTCATCCCACCGACCCGAATATGCGATCTCGACGCTCAGCTACCATCTTGATGATCTCAGCATCCCGTTCTTGGAGTCGGTAGATCCTCACGCACTGCCGCCCAAGGAGCTGGCTGACCGGTTCTACGCTGCCTACTTGGAATCCGTCAATCCTGTTTACATGGTAATTCGACCGAAGGCATTCACGGAACAGTATCAAAAATTCTTCCGGGGACCGTCGCGTCCGCCACGAACATGGCTCGCTATTTTGAATTTGATCTTCGCTATTGGATGTCGTTATCTGCGACTGGTCGACAACGCAGATGACGCGGACCTCGATGATCTGGTGTATCTGAACCGGGCTCGAAAACTGGCGTTGAGCGGGAACGTGCTGTTTGAGCATGCTGATCTCCAGCAAATCCAGGTGGAATCCCTGGCCGCTTTCTACCTCCTGTCGCTGGATCAAGTAAATCGGGCCTTCAAGATGTCCAGCTTAGCCTTCCGATCCGCCCTGTCGCTCGGGATCAACCTTCGCTTTGTGGATGACCGGACGCAGAATGCTTCGAAGGAAGCCCGCTGTCGTCTCTGGTGGGCCATCTATATCTTCGAGCACCTGCTCACTTCGATCACCGGCCGGGTATCCTGCGTCGGAGAAGGCCTCACCGCGACCCCGCTGCCCGTTCCGTTCGAGGAAGACCATTTCAACCGACCGGAGGCACTCTGCCTGCTTCAGGACACGCCGCTCCGGGCGAGCCGTCTCAAGATGACGCTCTTCCAGACCCCGGAGGAAGCTCGAACCACAGCCGAGTGGCTGGCAACCTGCCCTCCGAGCCCGTCGCTGCTTTTCTACCATATCTCTGATCTCTCCACCATCATGCAGGCCGTCATCAACAGAGTCTACAGCCTCCAGGGACTGCGGGATCGAGCCAGTCAGGTCGAACAGCGCATCCGAAAGTACGCCGCCACCTTGGAAACCTGGCTGTCCAAGGTCCCCAATGTCTACCGATTCACTGAGTGGCATAGTGATAGACTTTTCATCCCCGAGCACGGCCCGTTCCTGCGAGAGCGCGTCTACCTCGCGTTTTCGTTCTACAGCGCTAAGATCGGCCTTTGTCGACCCTGTCTCTCGCACTCCAACATGAAGCCCCACATCGCCGAAGAGCCGAGCCGTCGCACCCGCCTCCGCACCGACATGGCCCTGACCTGCCTACGATCATCCTGCTCGCTGATCTCCATCTTTCCCGACGAGCCCGACATCTTCTGGCTCTCTCGGATCGCGCCGTGGTGGAGTTCCCTTCATTTCATCATGCAGGCGACCACCGCACTTCTGCTGGGCCTAACCTGCTGGCCGAAGTTCGAACTGGACTATCAGATTCTCGCGGAGTCGCAAACCGTCGACAAGACGATGATGCTCGCGTGCACCCGAAAGGCCGTCCGATGGTTGTACGCCATGAGCGAGTCGAACATCGCCTTTCGACGTGCCTTTATTACCTGCGATGGCTCTCTCCGTCGGATCGCCCCGAGCCTGGGTCTCGACATTAGTGATTTTCCTGATAGCCGTTCTCTTTCCCCGGAGGATGGCCACATGATGGGTGGGGAGGGGATCGGACTTGATTTTTTGGATCTTTGATCTTGGAGGAGGGTCTTCCGTGCACGGAGTATTGGTGTTCCGGTAGGTAAGGTATTTGAATAATTAATCAGTATTGGCGTTTGAAAAGGTTGGAGTTGGAGTTGGAGTCGGAGTTTGAGCGTGTTGTACCTTGTCTTATTTTGGTTGATTCACCTTTGACCCCTTATTCTACCCTATCTATTCATCCATCCCTCTATATATGTATCCATCTATCTCTCCTATGTTATCTTCGACATGACTATCTATGATACGAACCCTCGTCTGAAACCTGAAAAAAATGTCTCCTGCCTATCTACCTGATACTCTACCATCTTCCTACCATCCAGGGCTTGGTCTTTGTCATTTGTCTGACTTTCGGGTATTATGTATTTTATGATTGTGACTGTGATCGCAATTTCTATACCTTACTTTACTTTATTGTATCAAATTGAAAAGGGTTTCTGAACCCGATATAACCTTGATTTTTGGTGGCTAGTATACGTCTTTCATTGAGGTTCATATGTGTATAGGTGGCCGTGTAGGTTTGTAGATATGCAAACACATGCGGCCCTGAAGGAGGCTGATTCTTTCATAGTACTCTCAGATGATATAACAGAACCATAAACAAGAATAAGCAATCAGTGAATATAAGGTCTGTGTGGAGTCATTATTATTCGTGGTGTTTACTCTAGTCAGTAACAAGACAGGCTCTGGAAAATTAGGTAGGTAACTATAAGCTGGGTGTTCTAATATGAAATTAATAATACGGATGTATGTCTGCCTGCCTGCCTAGATCATTGCATTTCTGTTGAGTTCTATTTGATTGAATTTAACTGTTTAGGGTAATGTTGGATGCTACAAATCAGTCTTTTATGTATCCAGTTAGGCCATATATGTATTAGTATGGATTGAAACGATGACATTAGAGTAGGAATAGACTAACTTTTAGAACCTGATCGTGTGTGTTGTTATTTGTTGTATTTCGTTCATCATCACCATAATTCTTCTTTCTCATGTATATCTGTATGTCCTTACAAACTTGGTTTGCCAGAGCTACTGGAGGTTTCCTCGCCAGATGATGGCCAATCCTCCAAAACTTCCCAAGCAGCCACTCCAGCCCTGATAGTAGCCTTCATGTCTTTTCTTGCACCGTTCTTCAACAGTATCTGGGTTATAACTGCATGATCATTTTTCGCAGTCTTATGAAGGGGCCCATCTCCCGAGAAGTCTTTCAAGTTAATATCTGCGCCGTTTGCTAATAGAACCTGGACCACTTCTTTTCTACCCTGTTCTGTGGCTTTGTGCAGCGCTGCCGCGCCTTCCTCATGCTCAGTGTCGGTCTAGTTAACTTCGGCCCCATGGTCTATCAGCAGTTGAACCGCTTCGGCATGACCTGCTGCCGCTGCCAGAGTAAGTGCTGTTTCCCGGGCGCCGTTCCTCGCATTGGGGTCTTCACCCTTTTCGAGGCACTTTTTAATCAGATCCAAATCTCCCGTTCTTGCGCAATCCTCAAGATCCAGCGGTAGTGAGATCGAGGTCGGAGCGCTGCTAGTTTCAAGATGATCTTCCAGGGGAGGGGGAGGAGTCTCGCTGCTCGTTGCCTTCGAAAACAGCTTGGCAATGCGACTAGATCTCGGAACCCACGCTCTCAATGCCGAAGCTGACGCTTTGCGGCGAGTCGAGAGGCACTGATGGCCGGGATTGGTGGGGGAGTGCCCAGTCCACGACGGGACATCCGTCTCGGAGATATTGTCATTAGCAAACCAACCATGAACATCGGAGGAGTCATCCAGTATGATCACGGAAAGGCAGTCAAAAGGGGGTTCCTGCAGCGGACAGGGATCTTGAATAAGCCACCGCAGTCACTACTCACCGCGCTGAATCGATTGGAAGCAGACCATCTCCTGAACGAAAGTCAGATCCCGAAATATCTGGCTCGGATGGCGGCGATTCCGCTATTCGCGTATCCGGGCCAGCAAGAAGGAGGAGAAGAGGGAGAAGACGTGCTCTTCCAGGCTGGGTACGAGCACGTCCACGCAAGCATAGCGTGCAAAAAGTCCTGTGCACGGGAGAAGTCGATCCGTCGCCCTGCGAGATCCTCGACAGATCCGCAGGCTCATTACGGGCTGATCGCGTCCAGTAACCAGGTGGTCAAGAACGGGGCCATTCGGGACCGTCTCGCGCGGGAACTGGGGGTGTTGTGCTTCGAGATGGAGGCGGCCGGACTGATGGATCAGATACCGTGCTTGGTCATTCGAGGGATCAGTGACTATGCGGAATTCGCACAAGAAGGATCGATGGCAGGGATATGCGGCTGCGACGACCGCGGCCTGTGCAAAGGAGATCCTTGCTGCTTTGCCGGGGGTTCAAGTTCAACCTGTGGGAGCGCATTCTCGGGATTCAAAGACTCAATCTGAGACCAGAAGCATGGATTCGGGGGGCGGATCTTATCCAGAGACGTACAATTCTGGGGGTGGGCCTATGTTTCTGGGGAACCAGAGGGCCGGGAGAGACATCAATGTCAGAACAAACAGTCAACGTTAGTACATCAAGTGAGGTTCTTCTATATGAAGTGAACAAGTTGAACAAAGAACATGTATAGATGATTAATATTAAGAATTGTTAGCTTGGATATTAGTACTAGAGGTTGGAATATCGATATTACATCCAATCTTAGCTAAATAGGATTCAAAACAAGGGTGTATATACCTAGGTAGATAGATAATTATATACTAAATGATTACCTCCATTCAATACAAATATACAATGAAATGTTGAAGCTATATATAGCAGTCAGACATACAAGCAGGTAGGAATATTACAATAGGTACATAGCTACTTAGAGGGGACCGGGGCTAACAAAATAAAGAACTCAGGAATGTAAGTAAAATCAGAGAATCACTAGGTAGTCTAAACTACCCTCTCATAACTAACACAAAGAGACTGGTCTGGATGAAACTAAGCTAGCTCAAAAAGAGAAAGAACAATACGAGGCTAAACATAAACAAACGCCTGAACAATACCGAGAATGAATTTGAATTTGATAAGAGAGGCTAAGATAAAATATGATATGATATGATAAAATAAGAAGAAAGATAACCCCCAAGATTGCTAGTTAAGTGCCTTAAATAAGTAACTAAGAGTAAGTATAAAGTTTCGTATCATTCAGTGTCGAGTGGAATCAATCAAATCAAATCAAATAAACAACTCAAATGAAACAGAACAGAATAGGTAACATAAAAAGTGAAAAACACAGAACAGATAAGCAGGATAGGACAGGACCGATAGAAATACCACAATAACACAGGAGATGACAAACAACAAGACAAGTCGTAACATGTACCTTCGGTGAAGAACTAAAATCAACAAATTAAGAAATGAGTCCCATGAGTCTTCATGCACGGAACATGGATTAGGTCATTTGCAAACGAAAAAATATTGATAGTATAAAATAGAAAAAGCCGGGATGATGGGATATGGGATGGATGGATGGATGGGGAATAACAAGTCACAATGACAATGACGATGGTAATGAGAATCACAAGACAATGACGGTAAATCAAAGCTTAAGGACAATGCAATCAACTACATATGCTGAGGCATGATATACGCCCGTTTCCTCGGATCATCATCAACCGTAGACGGACCCCGTTTCTGCCCCGGGTTCAACCCCAACGGATCCGTCGCGTGCGGATGGGGCAGCGCATGCGCCTGAGGATGGTGGTGTGGTTGTTGAACGTGACGAGGTGGCTGAGGATGGACCTGCATCTGCGGCTGGGGTTGCGGCGGCATGGGCATTTGATGCGGTTGCGGTTGTTGGAGATGGGCGTGGGCGTGAGCGGCGTGGGCGTGCTGCATGTGCATATGGGGTTGCGCTTGAGGGGGAACCCGAGCGGCGGCTTGCATCTGAGCCTGAGGCATCTGATGCTGGAGGTGGGCCTGGAGTTGACTCGGCGGCAGTTGGTTGTGCGCGTGAGTTACCTGGTTTTGGTGGTGCACTTGGCCATGAGAGACAGTGGGCGTGTGTGCCTGAGGCTGCTGTGACGCCTGTGGTTGAGCCTGAGGCTGCTGTACCGGAGTGAGTGCCTGAGGCTGGGTCTGGGGCGTCAACTGCTGCGGCTGCGCCTGCTGCTGCGGTTGCTGCTGCTTGGGCTTCTTGGGCGTCCTTTCAGGCAGCTGCAGCGGTGGTGGAGGCGGCAGGCCCTGAGCTTTGGCCTGTGCCTCGGCCTCAGCATGAGCGGCGCGGGCAGCAATATCCGCCTTGCGAGGACGACCACGCGGTCGTCCCGTGCCGGACGGCTTGGAAGATGCCGGCTTCCGCGGAGCCTTGGGCTTGGGAGGCGCGTTGGGATCCGTCTCGGATTTGCGAGGTCGTCCGCGACCTCGTTTCATCGGGACCACGGTGCCGTCGGGTAGGGTGATCATGGGCGGCGGGTTCTTGGTCTTGGGCTTAGGGGGAGCGGTAGCAGTCGGTGGCTGAGGACCACCAGGGAGTGCACCAGAGGCATCAGGGGCCCCAGGGACTCCAGAGACTCCAGGGGGAACGGCCCCCGGCACGCCGGGAACAGCGGACCCGGGCAGGCCTGGCACAGCGTTGTTGTTGGCATTCGCGGCGGGTTGCTTTGGCTTCCGGGGTTTGGCCGGCTTGGAACCTTCTTCGCCAGGAACCCCAGACTTGCGTGGTCGCCCACGCTTCTTGTTAGGTGTCCCGGAGGCGGAAGGAGCATTTTCACCGGGTGGTACAACAGGCTGTTCGCCGGGTTGGCCTTCGGATATGTAGATAGGTTGATGTTGCTGTCCCTGCTGTCCCTGCTGCTGCTGGGGGTGCTGCTGGGGGTGCGGGTGCGACTGAGGGTGCGGCTGGATTTGACCATTGATTTGGAGAGGGTTTGCGGCGGGCGACGCAGTGGGTTTGGCAGGCTGTTTCCGCTTCTTGGCCTGAGGAGCTGCCGGGGCGGCAGCGGCAGCGGCAGCGGCATTGGGGTTCGAGGTGCCAGCAGGAGTCTCGTTATTCTCAACCGATACAAGGTCGATGGTTCCACCCACTGTCGATGGCGTGGACGACTGCGGTCGGTGGGGTTGATGTTGGTGTTGCTGAGACGACTGTTGCAATAATGTATGTGGTTGTTGATGGGACTGCGCGTGGAACTGCGCCTGCTGTGGTTGCTGATATTGCCGAGCTTGAAACGTATGCTGCTGGAATTGATGTTGTTGATGCTGCTGATGCGACTGCTGTTGGGCCTGCTGAGGCTGCGATTGGTAAGGAGACCGCTGCGCTTGCTGTTGCTGATAGCGCGCATGCGACTGTTGCTGGAACGAAGGATGCTGGGCCTGGGATTGTTGAGCTTGCTGAGCTTGCTGAGCCTGCTGCTGTTGAGCTTGCTGTTGCTGTTGCTGAGCCTGTGTCTGAGCCTGTTGCTGTTTCTGGGCCTGTGTCTGAGCCTGCTGCTGCTGCTGCGCCTGTTGCTGTTGCTGTTGCTGGGCTTGCTGCTGAGCTTGTTGCTGGGCTTGCTGCTGGGCTTGCTGCTGCTGCTGATAGGTCTGTTGCACTTGCTGATACGGGGACTGCTGCGTTTGCTGATACGGAGACGCGTGGGCCTGTGCTTGTTGATAGGGAGATTGCTGCGCCTGCTGATACTGGGCCTGTTGGTACTGATGATGGGGCTGGGCCTGCTGGTATTGCGCTTGCTGTTGATGATACTGCTGCTGCTGCGACGTTTGCTGCGATTGTTGCTGCTGAGGCTGACTAGCCGCCATCATGGGCGAGGCGGCGGTCGGGGTGGAGGCAGACGGATGCGAATGAGTCGATTGGCGATGCTGCATGTGCTGGTGTTGCATGCGCTCGAGCGATTGCTGCGGCGACGAGATGGTCATGGCGTGGGCATGGGGCGACAAGCCCTGCGCGTTCATGGCAGCGGGGTGGGCGCGAAAATTGGCCATGGGATTCATATTCCTTTGCAGGCTCTGTAGCGATAGATAGGGATCCTTCAACTGGCCGACTGTGTCGGTGTTGCGCTGCAGCAGATCCGCCGAGCCCTGCGGCTGATAATGGCTCGGGAAGGGACTGAAATTGCCACCGGGCGGCAGACCGACCAGCGGACCCGACGAGGGAGTCATCTTGCGAAGGTCAGGAGAATTCGCGGCCGTCAGGTCAGTGGTTTGCGATTGACCGCGAAGGAGAGAGCTGTTGTTGATGCCGCTGCCATGGTGGGGGTTGGCCGCGGCCATCGACGGCGATTGCAGGTGGTGTTGTTGATGCTGCGGATGAGACGCCTGCTGGGACTGTCGCTGCTGGGCGAATGGATGACCTCCATATCCCATCATCTTGACAGATGGGAGGGAGTAAAAGTGGTGGTGGAGAGCGACAGGAGAGAAGTATGTATAAGATCCACTTGTATATTGACAGGATGGGGAAATTTAAAAAAAAAAAGAAAAAAAAAAAAAAAAAAAAAAAAAAAGAGGATGTCAGGTGCCAGGCATGTGACCGCGTCGACAAACACGGTACGAGATTCACCGGCAGCTGAGCCAGCGGGTGCGTTGTCTCTCCAGTCGGGCCAGAGGGAGAGAGGGAGAGGAAGAGAAAGAGAAGGCGATCGAGAAAAACAATTCAAGGGACACAGTCAATGGACACTAGGAGAGTCGAATGGACAGTCGTGACTCCAAAGCCCCCGAGCGAAGACGAGCAAAACTACTTCCAACGCGCAGTTCAGCGCGCGTATTTCAGACGGAGAAGGAAGAAGAAAAGACGGGGATTGGACGGCCTGAGGCGCGCACCGAGATCCGGGAGGCGACAAATACCGAGAGCGCAGTTCGGCGACGAGGCGGCCAAATAATTAAAGGGAAAAAGGATCAATGCAAGGTCTCCGGACTCAAGAGGCTGCCAGACGAGTGAATCCCCTCAAGACGCGTCAAAACTCCCTGAAAATCGAATCTCCCGGGGGTCTTTCGATGGAAATGAGACTCGAACCGGCCAAGAGGATGACGATTTGGGATCTTTTCGATGGGCAACTTTTTTTTTTTTACCCTTTTTTGATTTTTGATTTTCAGGAATTTGGGAAATTCTTTTTTTTTTCTGGCGGTCGGCGGAGGCGACCTCACGTGATGGAGAGGCCAACTTGGCCACTCCGCGTTGAGGCCGTCAGGCACAAATACGAGTCCCGGTCGGTCGCAGGGAGAAGGCGAGAGCGATGGAGATGCCTGACGGTCGATGCTTCATCTTATTCCAGGGGAAGGTGAAGCTGTTCTTCAGTCTTCACGATCTCTTAGATCTGGCGCGGAGTAGATCTGATTTTACCCCATGCCGGGGGAGCAGAAAATAAAATAAAAGAAATGAAAAATTAAAAAGAAATAATAAAATAATAAAAATCAAAAATAATATTCGAAAATAAATAAAATAAAATAAAAAATAATAATCATAAACACAATAATTAAAAATAATAATCATGAACCCATAATTTAAATAAAAAAAAACAAAAGAAAAGAAGGCACTTTAACCCCCCTCCCCCCCTCCTCCGAGGGGCCCATCGGCCATTTAAGCTTCCCTTAGCAGCAGACGTGATTCCTTTCGCCAGTGGATTTGGGCTGGGATCGGAGAGTTGGTGGTGGTGAGTCTGAGAAACCCTCCATTCCACCACACAGAAGTAAATTTTGAGAAAATTAAATTAAATGAAAATAAAATAGTACAGTTAAAATAGAAGAGAAGAAAATAAATAACCTTCTGTAAACTCCCCTTGTATGTAACCCCTCGAAAGCTAATCTTATCATCGGTCGCGTTCACTTCCAGAAGATGATGCTATCCCTGACGCACAACCACCACAACCGACAAGCAGTCCGTTAATTACGAACACCCCGAACGAGGTTCCAGAAAGAATCCTGAAAAAAAAAAAAAAAAAAAAAAAAAAATCAAAGAGAACCAGACCCGCGGGATCAGAGAAAAATCAATCAAACAAGTCCAGGCCCTGGTCCTTCAAGCGGCCTTCCCCTCCTCGACCTGCTGCTCTCGCTCCATCACCGGCAGACAAGGAGCGAAAAACAAGCGACCGGACCAAACGCCCTTCAACGTCCCCACGCTCACCACGATCCACAGAACCACCACACACAGCGAAAGAACCTGCCACGGCCGTTAGACAAGAACCGATCACAAGACGACGCCACGATATTTGGATTTTTCCTTGCAAAATCAACTAGTTTTTAAATCTGTAGGTAACGTACCGTTCCTAGAATGCAAAAAAACCTCGACGGCAGCGCCGCGCCCATCTCACAGGTACAGACGGCAAAAACCCCCAGCGGGAAGGTGAACCCCCACCAGCCGATATTGAAGGGGAAACTCTTGCATCGAGTAATCGAGGCCAGTGCGAAAAACAGCCACACCAGCCCGAACGACCACATGATCAGCGCGACCAGGAATCCGACGCTATGGAACGTCTCCCCGGTCGACGTTTCCAGGGTCTCCGTCTGCGGGAAGATCGCGTGTGCGACCTCTCCAAGCTTGAGTGCTCTGCGTTTATGGCACGAGTGCGTCAGTTGGTTCTATCGGATCCGTTGATATCTGGGAAAGAGGACGCACCCATATCCGCCTTGGCCCAGCGGACCTAATGGCAGAAAGACGCTCACGATCATCCCCTTGGGAGGGATTTTGTGCAGGGTCAGTCGCTGCAGATAGATCACCAATACCATCATCGCCAACGGGACCCCGATACCCCAGAGCATGTACGAGCAGATGATGGTCCACAGCGCATGTTGCGGATTTGGCAGCACGCTCGCCACGATGCCACCGGACGAGCCGGCCACGATACAGGCGACGACGGGGAGGAGCCAGATGGCTGTCATGGAGGACAATTGCATGTCGCTGCCGTGGGCCATGCTGATACAACATTAGACAGGCTTTGGTCTTGTCTATGGAGAGAAACATACAGTAGAAAAGGGAGAGACAGGGCAATCACGACGGATAAGACCGCGTCGAATATCCACAATCCCCAGGCAAAGTTGCGGGTCCACTCGCCCCAGGCCGGAACGCAGATATAGCAGAACATATTGATTATGGTGGCGAAACCCATCGGAATAGTGCCCAGAAACATGGACTGCACGGGATGGGTGATCATGAGAGTGAATATTTCCGGGTAGAGAGTATACCGAAGAATGGAGATGACAGTTCCGATGGCGAAGAGGACGACGTTGAGCACGAATAGGACGATGGAGATGTACCGCAGCCAGTCACCGTTGTATGGGAGCGTGTTCAGCAGGATAGACACGATGCCTGTCCCCATTGTGACGGAAAACCATCTGATCACATTAGCCTGGGCTGTATAGTTGCAAGGGCGTCAATGGCAACCTACGAGGGGGTGAAATGGCGAACGATTCTCCTCCAACCCACGTCATGCTTGCTGGGCGGAGGGCCGTCGGGCGTTGGTTCGGGACTGAACATGGCGTGCGATTGTCTTTCTCTGTTCCTGAATTTGCTCAGGACTTGCGAGGGAAAATTCATGGGAAGGAGGCTGTGTGGTGTCGGAGTTGTCGGCTCTGGAAAATCGGAGTCGGCGCCTGCCTCTTTGAGAAGATGTCTTTTCGCAGCCTCGACAAATATTGGTAGAGTCCTTGCTCCATGCCATTCCTCAGGAGCATTTTAAAACCGTCCTTTTGGAATGAATTCTTGCCATCCGTGAGTCACCGAGGCTTCAGTTCAGGTCCCCGAGGGTCGACTCGGCCGAGATGCGCGGATTCCCGATGTTCTCATGTCCAATCATCCTGAGTGGAATGCATTAGAGGCAGGATTTGTTCTGACGGTCAAGATGAATATACTGGGTAAGCCGTAAGATGATTGCAGGAAAGTGGCTCGAATGGTTCGCCGATTCATCCAGCACACAACAAAGCGGTCACGTGTTAACAATATATTAGACTCCAGGCTTAGAAACACTCCTTGTTGATGATATCATAGGGTTGCAACGGGGATAGCGCAGCCATGGGACCAAAGATGCAGGAGAGCGGGGGAAATCTCTTGTTCTCTCATTGTAGAAAGTTGATCCCTGATTCTAGAAAGGCGAATATTTCATTCTAGAAAGCTTCTCTGGATGCTACATATCTAAAGAAATTGAGCTAGATTTCGGCATTCGGCAATTGAAGTGGGTCACTGATATTTTTCTCCATTTTAGTCGCCGAGATATGTCTCCACTGGGCAAATCTGGGGATGGTTTTACACTCCCTCCCTTTTAATCTACGTTATTTTAATCTTTTCATCTAACCTACGCGACCACATGTATTGAATATCTACAATGACACGATCACGAACCCAACAAATCATCTTGACAGGTTGACAACTACCAGATTGACCAATTCTACCAACAAAGAACCGCATCTACTGAGAGTATTATCCACTCGAATATGAATCACCTAGACCTATGAAGCTTGTCTCCTTATGAGCGGTGAACCGCCCTCAACCAACCACGTGATGTCCCGCATAGGTACAGCATCAGCATCACAACTTCAACTTCATCAACTCCATCAACCCCCAACCCTTCCCTCTCCATGAACCTCTTCTCTTCATTCCTCGCCCGAGATTCACAAACAGATTCACTACCAACCACACCCTAACCCCGAGATCCAATCATCTCCTATCTCCACCTACTATCGTTCTCTACGTCTCCGCCATGCTCGAGCCCGCAGAACATGTACATTGATCCTCACACACCTCGAGGAACACGCTACCAGTCTGTTGAGGGTTGTGTGGCGGGGTGAAGGAGAAGGCTAGATTTCTATGCTGAGGACTATAGACACGAGGGTATGGAACTTCCGGCACGGTGACGGTCTAAACCACGGTAGGCATCAGTTCCGAGAAACTCCCATCTCCAAAATCCGTCAGCAGGAAATTGTCTACGGCCGTCACTAATGACTCGGTTTGAAAGCTGAACGGTTGCTGTTGCTGCGGTTGTATCCCCGTCAGTCGAGGCTCGTAATCCAAACTCGAGACCGTATCCTGCCCGCTCTGCATCGGATGCAGACTCTTAATACAATCCGGCAACTTCCGATTCAACCCCGGCGTCATACGACAGATCGGATGCTGCGCCAAACAAGGCATACTCCGAAACAAATCCAACACGCGGCGAATCAAACTGAAGACGCGGTCCGGGATAATCGAGAGCTGCAGCGCATAGGTTTTGGTGACCTCGAGGAGAAAATGGCCCGCAAATGCAACCATAATGTGGAAGTAATGCGGCATGCCGACGAGGCTCTGTTGGAGCTGCTGCTCTTCCTGCAGGACCATCTCGAAGATGGCCACGGCGGCGTCGTGGGCCATACAGGCGGCCGCGACGAAGGACGGCGGGATGGGCTGCCCGTCGAGGCCTTTGAAGACCTGGTGGCCGAGATAGAGCTTCCCGAACTGGTAATGTAGCTGGAGGCCGCAACGTGGGAAATCGCCAATATGATGGTAGGGTTTGAAGAGCACGGAAAATTTAGTAAACCATTTGTCTAGCCGACGAGAGTAGTATATGATTTGATTTGCGAGGGTTGGTGGGACTCGCGTCTCCTGCTCGGAGCCCAGCAGGTCTCGAATTTAGCCCATGATTAACAGGAGAGCTACCTGCGAGACCACACGCACCTCGGAGTCGGTGACTTGGTCATGGTGAAGGAAGGTTTCCCAGTGCATGGCGATATTCTTGTCATTGGGCAACAGGGGATCGCGATTATGCAGCACAGAGAGATGGTGGTCATTTATGAAGATCAGATACCACAATCGCACGCGATATCTGTGTTCGATGGCGGTAGGGGCATGGCTTGGGGATGAGCTGTCACTGGTAACAGACACATGTTCAAAGCTGCGATGGAGTCGCATGCCAGCCACTCGACGAACGGCGTCGCTGGAGAGGATCCGCGAGGCATCGGACAACCAGAAAGAGCTGATATAGAGGGCTAGCACGTACTCCAGGTCGTGCTTCTCAAACAGGAAGCGAGATACCAAACGGCGGAACTCTCGATTACAGGATTCGTAAATAGATTGGCCTTGGGGATCGTGAAGGGCTGAAACGGTGCAAATAGCTGCTAGGAGAGGTGGTGACTTGGACTGCAAGTGCTGCAGACTGCGATACTCTCTACAGATCCCGTATAGGTAAGGGTCGAGTCGTGTGAGGTACCGATTGACGAGGTTCTCGGCCACGGTCACATTGAGAACTTTCTTGCTGATGAAATCATTGAGCATCGTCTGTCTCGGGCGAGATGCCTCTAGTGAGCCATTTGCAGACGATCCCGGGCTTCCGAGTTTGGTGATATCAAGGTATGTGTCGATAGGCGCGTCGACGGCTGAAGGAGTAGCAGGAGGAGGGGATATTTCATATCCTGAGAGGCTCGGATAGTCCTTCTCATCACTGGCTGTATTATCATTCTCCCTCTCGACGCTGGAATCTGCACCAGATATCAATGGCTTTGGCGACGGCACGTTGATGTACTGGCAGACGGCATTAAGAGTGGCATGGCGATTATGGATGTCGGCTTGAAGAAGCTCTGTGTTTCTGACGCCACGAGTCAAGTCAGCAGCAGTCAGCACAGAGCCTGGTATGACCTACTTGACCTTTTCCACCAAGGATTGCAGGCTCTTATTCAGGACGCAAGAGAGAGATCGACGACGGCAACGCGCACAAGGGGGGGCCATCCGTCATGTCACATTTGATCTAGGCTTGTCGTTAGGGCAAGCAATTGGTAAATTATGCTCCACACACCTTTTGCCTGTGGCACGCCGTGCATGCAGTGATCTTGCGTGTAATGCCGGGCAAGACATCGACCATTGCGGAAGCATCTTCCTGGCCAGCAGCCGAACCAGCAGGATGGGACTGTGGATCTACGCCCGGGGACTGTTGTGCTGACGGCAAGGTGTCCGGTCCAACGTTGTCCGCTAACGACCGCTTCCGTTTAGTCATGATACTAGCAATTGGTGAAAGATGGATACTGTATTGCGAGAAAGTTTCATGGAGAACGGTGGAGATGCATCGGCGAGCTTCCGGTCATCGGGTTAAATAACGAAAAGAGGGGAGTCCTACTGATCGACAGGCAGGGATTCGTCATTTGCCGTCAATAGGATCCGAGCTATTTGGGGCTTTATGCAGCTTCCCCGCATCTCGAAGGATTCAATCGGGGGAGTCTCGGTCAATTGCCGAATCTACTGCATGGTGAAGTCGCCGACCCATCTATTATTTCATACGTGCTATCCAGACACTCGAGGTGAAACCACTTCATCGAAACAATAACCCACAATGTTGTCCACTATATCCCCTAAGCAACAGAGCCCACCACCAGCGATCTACTGCCCGGTCATCTCACGCTATCTCACGCTACAAAGCAACCAATAGACAAGAGATCGACCTAGATGCATCCTCAAAGTTCTTCATCTAACTCATCAACAGCGGCATTGATGGGTTAGTCCTGGCCGAGACAACAGCAGAAGCCGCTCTTCTATCCGCCGACGTACGAACGGATCTACTCCAGGTGGCACGAAAAGCAGCGGTGGAATCAGGACAATCCAAGTTCCCCATCATGGCAGGGATTAGTGGCCAGTCGACCAACGAGTCAATCCGACTTGCGCAGTCAACCTGGGAAGCAGGCGCTGATTATGGACTTCTGCTGCCACCGAATTACTGGCCCAAAGCTGTGTCCACGGATATCATTGCGGACTTTTACCGCAAGGTCGCAGACGCTACGCCTCTACCGATTGTCATCTATAGCGTAGGTTGCGTGACGGGGAAGCCAATTACACTACAGCTGATAACTATTAAATGCTAATTAATGTCAGTTCCCCGCTGTCTGCAACGGCATCAACATGAACTCCGACCTGCTGGCCGAACAAACTGAACATCCCAACATTGTCGGCGTAAAACTCACCTGCGGCAACACCGGCAAAGTAACCCGTCTGACGAATCGATACTCGCACGACCAATTTGCCGTATACGCCGGATCCTCGGACTGGCTGATCCCATGTCTCAGCGGCGGCGGTAGCGGATGTGTGACCGGAATCGCGAACGTGTTTCGAAGACAGTGGCGCATCTGTATCGCCTATGGACGAACGGGGAGGAGTGTGAAACTCGCAAAGTACAGGGGGTTGTTGCGGAGGCCGAGAAGGAGTGTAAAGAAGGGATTGCGTCGACGAAGTACGCCATGGAGTACTTCTTGGGATCTAAGGCTGGGGTTTCGGATGAGAGGGCTTTTTCGCCGAGGAAGCCGTCTCGGCGGGTTGGGGAGGAGAAGAGGAAGTGGGTTGTTGAGGCGATGGGTCATCTGGAGGTGGTTGAGGGGGGCTTGTAGTTCTATCTATATGAAAAACTGTAGCTTGTGCTACTATATGCCTTTTCTCCATCTAAGAATAAGATAACGAGCTGGCGACTTCAGACTTCAGCTCTAGAAATAGTCTAGAAGAGCACTAGATGGTACAAATGTTAGTCAAACAGGTAGTCAGGTAAGAAGGCCGGTTAGTGGAAGCTAAGGTATAGTACCTAACTTCTAATCTCATTACGATACATCATCATCCTCGTTGTCTTCACCCTCCTCCTCATCATCATGGTCGATATAATTGGGGGAAACCTCAATGCAATAAGCACTTCCCACCACAAGCTTCTCGTCGCAAACCCCCGTCGCCAAGGACGGATTAGCCGCCAAAAACAGTTTCCAGTCGATAGACTTTTGCAAGCATAGCTTCGTGCATGCTGTTTTTTCATCGACGTCTTGGTCCCCCACGATGTACCATCGCGCACATCGATAGGTCGTGCCTTCGGCGACTGTTACATTGGTGGGCGGTAGTATCTCGAAGCCGTAGTCAAAGGAGGACGGGGGCGTGGTACCGTTTGCTATTCCGCCTTGGGGTCCTCCGCAGAGGGTCGTTCCGTATATTTCAACGCTGGCATCGTAGATGTTGGAGGGTCTGCAGGTGATCCACGGGTTGTATTTGCGGATGTTGTAGCCCGCGGAATAGGGCAGGCCAAGGGACCTTTCGATCGAAGAGTACGTGTCGCCATCCTTGAGGGTGTATATGGGCGTGCAGGGGAATGGGAGGCAAAGCTTAGTTCCGGTGGGGATATTCTTGCAGTTGAGGAGATTGGGGTTGCCCATGTATAGAGCGGCGGATGAGATGTTGTATTTGAGGGCAATGATATCGCACGTGTCACGGGGAACAGTAGTGTATATTTGGTCGGAGGCGCAGAACGTGATATTATTGGCATAGGGGTTCGTTGGTTTCTCGATGGGTGGAGGGATGGCGGTGGGTGCGGAAAGACCACATTTGGAGTTCATGAAAATGAGGTCCGATTAGTATGTTTTGTCGTAGATAGAGTAAGAAGTTGATTGCATCATCTCGTATCGCTTGACGAAGCAGTGTGAGCAGAGTTCGGCCGTGGGCATCTCGTCGATAGTTTTTACAACGGTAAAATCGTCAATAACGTCTGTGGAAAGACCGGTCAGCGCAACTTCTGAGGAGCCTTTGCTCTTGACATGAAGAGCTGACTTACCACCACAGTATTGGCCAGTGTCAGGATCCTTCAAGCAAGTTTCGTTCCACCCGGCCCACAGAATGCCCCCGGGTTTCGTCAAGAGGACATTTTCCTCCTTGTAGTCGGCGCAGTCGAGCGAGACGGCTTCGAACCACGCTTGGATCGATTTACCGCAGGTCTTAACGCACACCAAGTCGCTTAAGGCATCGTTTTGTAAACCTGCCCTCCACCGCAAATCAATAAGCATGTACGTTTGCTCATGACAGTCAACTAGACGAGTCATTGCCGTTACGCAAGCCGTGGAGACACTCGATAGCAGATATTCATCCCATTTGAAGCCGTATAAGGGAAACCCGTCAAATTTGGGGTTGCCGCTTGTCTTCCACCAATGAGTCGAAATTAATGTAATACTTGTTTGCACAATTAGAAACAAGAGAAGAGAAACTATGCTTCTCATCTTGAAACGTGCTTCCTCGAAACGTCGATAAGGATATCCACCTCAAAGAACAACCGATGGACAAAAGATAGATGCTCTTTTGTGAAGCCGGAGTTCAAAGACTTCACTCAGCCTATTCTAGAGGTCGTTCTGATCCGTAAATTTTGATGCATCCCTTGATGTCATCCATAAAACCAAAGAAAGCGAGGTAAGGTGAAAAGGCTGGTTACGTGTTAGAGAATCCCGATCAATCCCAAACCTAATGCAGTTCTCAGGGGCATTCCATTTCCAAATTGATTCGAAGCGGATTCAATCAAAGGAAAATCGGTTCTTCTTCCTTGTTCTTGTCCCTTTTCGGATGTTCTCCGCGGCAATGGTTAGTTCCTGAGATTCAACCCTCAAAGAGAGTAACGAGGACATCGGCTAAGAAGGGATCAGGGAACGCTGGCGTTATTGATTAGTTGTATTGAACTCTTAGGTCATGGTTCAACTCGAACCAGGTGGGTCAGATCATGAGATCTTTTCGCCGAGGCCGGGGATGCCTTCAGGTACACCAATTTTGGGACCTAGTAAGGTGAAGATTAAGGCTACATCGCCTGCGCCTGTTAAGGCTAGAAAGAGGGAAACCGGCGTTTGTTGATTTCTCCCTAGGCTCTGAATGAGCTTAGATGTCGACTAGGCGAACGGTCTAGCGATGTCATAGCGTGGCAGGGTTTGGGACATTCGCATGATTTTTACGCAATTAACTGCTAAGATAGAGATAATTCTGCATTTTGCACTGCACTAAAGGTGGTACAAGAAAAGAGGAACTGTAGAGGCATACAGTGATTGAATTGATGAAATTGATGAATTGATGAGAGGTCTCGAAGACTACTGAGGTGCTGACCAGGTTAAGGCCCACTGTGGGTCACATGCGCACTAAACCACATAGGGCAAAGGAAGGCGATATATGTGACGAACTGACCAAGGCCTACTATATAGAGCGTTGCGCATACCAAGTCTTCGACTTGGTATTCTGGTCTTTTTAGTAGCTCAGTTGGTAACTGTCCTACTAAACGGTCTTGGCGGGTAGAAGCGCACCTACTCACTGCCAAGCCCGTGACAATATAGCCAGTGGTCTAACAATAAACCTTCTTAGCGAAAGGCTGTGGTAATTGACACTACTATATGATGCCCTAGAGCCTGCAAATTGAAGAACAAATTACTTCTGCTTGCTGTTCTCTACAATGTGCTAGTATACCCCAGCCAGACAGCTTGGGAATCCCTAATTCAGAGAAAATTGTCATTTGCACGCAGCACAACAACAAACAATATCCCTACATCAAATCTCTTCATTAGGGCAGAGGATACGACAGAGTCACAGACCCTTCATTTGCCAAAAAATACTAGCCGGCTAAGCGTCAACTGTGAGATTGCGCCAAGAGCTGCCAAGCCAAGTCGATATCATTTCCACCGATAAAACCCCTGGTTACTAGCCCAGGTAGTATTGTCCAAAACTTGCACATGTAATGCATCCTGATCTCCTCGAATAAGTGACATGGGATATTTTTCGCTGTTTAGGAGGCGAGTCAGAAGTTCTTTTGCATTCATATAGCACACGTATTGTCGCAATGAATCCCAAATAAAGCCCAATACTGCCCAATCATGAGTGTTGTAGTACATTCGAATTAACACTCTGAACGAGCAACTAAGGAATCCTTCCGGAAGATCCGGCATGAGCCGAGGGAGGGCCGAGCTTCCCAGACCCATAAGGAATTGAACTCTCGTAATCCACAAGGAGAACTGGGAACTAATGGTACAAACTAAACTAAGGAGTAGTGGCGAGTAACGATGTAACTCAATTCCTGACTACGGAGTAGACCGACTGACTTTTTCGGTTACGATTAGCGCAAATTTGGAGACGGTAAAAGCCGCAAGGGTATCTTAGACTTCCGATCTTTTTGCGCTGCACTTCTAGGTGTCCATCTAGTTAATTGGAGTGATGAGTGAACCATGGAACACAATTTGTCGGAAAAAAGCATCATTGCCCCTTTTTCCTGCGGGAGACGTAAAGCCTACTAATCATTAATAAGATATCACTTCCATGAATGACACACCACTTGCTCTCCTTTCAGCGTATGTGTGGCAGGAAGCTGCGAACACAGAATTCCGGGAATCCAGAGACCCTCTTTACGGATCATAAGCTTGGTCGTCGCCCTTCTTTTAATCTCTAAATGGTCTGAGAAATCCAATTTCCTGCTTAACTTGTGCTGTTCAAAGTTTGTAAGCATGCGAGTTCATCGTCAAATCTGACACATGTCCATCTAATCTTTTGACTAAGGATTCTGCGGCGTGACCAAGGAGCTCGTAAGTAGTCCCTGGACTCCAGAAAGACGAAAGTGAAAGATTGGCTGACTTTATTTTGTCACACAGCCCGGCGATGAACCCGTTAAGCACCTTGTCACCGGAGATCTCAGAGTAGAGGATGAAAAATGCAGCAAAAATGGTACCCTCGCACGGGTTCTGGGCTACTACGAAGGCTGGGGCACTCGGCGAGTCTGCAATGATAAGACCTGGCCCGAGTGGATCCCACTGGATGTCTACAGCCACGTCAACTTTGCTTACGCTACCATTGACCCCGAAACCTACGAGGTGCTACACGGGTCCGATGAGGCCTGGAATCAGGCACTTGCCAAACTTCACCGCCACATTCACTGCACCATACAGCATGATGCCATACAATACGAGCGTGATCCAGAACAGATCAGAGATGGTTTGGAGGCTGCTGAAATTGTTTGGGAGGGCTGCCACAACGTCATTGTTGAGGATAAAGAATTGTTGGAGGGGGCTTCACCTACCCGAGTTCGGCGACTGTTCAACGAGTGACTGAACGACATCCAGAACATAATGACTACGGCTTTCCACGGTTCTCCTTTTGCTTGATGATCGACGATCATGCCATTGGGTCGATTTTGGCGAGTTCGGAGCCTTCTCAGGACCCTAGAGATCGGACCCCTAAACAGCCCGGATACGTGATCGTCATCGATCGCTCATTTCCTGATAAAGGGGGGCTTAGGCACGAGCATTACAATGTGGGTTGGATGAGATTGGCTATGGGTGGGATCTGGAGGGTATGGCAGATTGCGTCTACGTACGACGACTTGGAGTTTGGGGACGTTTATCCCTATATAGGGAGGCTAGGCTTGATCCCGTATCATGATGGCCATTGGAAATGGGTAGAGGATGTGAATGGACAGGAGGTGAAGAATGTTTCTCATTCAGAGAATGAAGAGGAGGAGGAGGAGGAGGAGGAGGAGGAGGAGGAGGAGGATGATGATGAAAAAGATGATGAGGACGGTTATACCGAGAAAGGTGGTTATCCTTTCCATGACATTTATGAATATCTAAGGGAAGGGGGGCATATTTGAATTTGTACTTCTTCCACATGCGGTATTCTCGTTCTCTCTGGGCAATTTTGCATGGTATCATATATGAAAAAGTTATTGCAGCGCTATATACGTATAAAAATAACTCCTTCTCTACTTTGCATCGTCTCCCCATCCCGATGTGTATTCTCTAATAGCATGAAATTTGATTATTTATATTAGGCTCATTGCGCCCCCGGGCAGATAGGCGACAGAATGATAGTCTAGACGTTTTGCGAGGTACGGGGCTACCGATGATGATCAATAAAATAAATGCAACCATTCCGACTAGATACGATGATCAAAAAGATGGTTGACGAGGAAGGAGAGGCCCTTCTCTGCATGCATGAGGAAGCAAACGGCGACAGCTTGGCAGATTGCAACCTCAGGCATCCAAAAACCCTACATAGAGAACCGTCAGATTTTGAGATGCATGGCATAGGAATCGGATATATACCGTAGACCCTAGGATATGAGCGATAGGGGGCGTAAACTTGGTCTATCCCTAGCTCAAAAGTCTTCATGAAGACGACAACAAAATATACGTTTCCGCCCCACAGGATAATACGAAACACAACCCGGCTCATAACAAGCGAAGAAACCCATTGAATAATGACCGAAACTCTATGAAATATTTAACGGAGAAGAGATTTATGAGTGGGATAATGGTGCTGTCTAGAAGATAGGACTTTTGTCGGACGCGGGTCTGGACGGCTGGTGATGTTGATTTTCGCTTTCATAACGACCAGTGTCGCGAGTCGGTTACGAAGGATGAGCTCGGATGGCCATGTTAGGTTTATAAAGATTAAGCTCCATAGATCAGCATGTCTGGACTGGATCCTGTCATGGAAGGACGAAGCCCGTCAGGCTGTAACGCGTCTCGTTTCAACGGCCGGCAGCTGGATGGTCAAGACGGTATGACACGGCCTGTCACGTTTCTAATTCTAATTCAATATTCTGAAGAGAGAGTGGCCCCCTTGCTATTCTCTCCTTTCTTTGCAACCAAGCAGACAGTGCACAAACTACCTAACAACTCTAGAACACGACTAAGCCATCGCTAGGATATGAGTTTATCCGCATGGATAGCTTCACACATCCTTTTAGACGACAAGCTTCACGAACTTGGCCCGAAAGCCGATCCGAACCAGGTTGATTAGATCGTCGTCAGCCTCTGATGGCCCGGCCACAGTAATTTAACCCACTCCCCTGATTGTCAGGCAACGTCAGCTAGCGATCATTGCCCGGTCCATCGGTGGAGCTCGCCAGACTCTGATTCATGTCACCATGGTCGCTCCACCGATGATCATCCAGCAATAAATGCCAAACGGTTCTATCGACCGATAATCCTCCTTAATCTTTTGTCTCCGTTGCTTCTATCAGGATAACGGTTGTTAGATGATGGCGACTCGAAGTATAAATGCCAAGCACGTCACCCAGCGTTGGATAGGGTAAAACCCAGCTTCAAACCCGTCAACAAAATGCAGATTCTCTCACTCTCCCTCCTGGCCCTGGCCTCCGTGGCTCGTGGTCAGCTGGCCGGCAGTGTCGGTCCCAGCACCAGCGCCAGCGACAAAGGACAGAGCAAGACCTGCAACGTCCAGGACTACGGCGCTAAAGCCGACAAGTCCACCGACATCGGTCCGGCCATCGAGTCGGCCTGGGACGAGTGCAAGGAGGGTGGTGTCGTCTATATCCCGCCCGGTGACTATGCGCTGGGAAGCTGGGTCACCTTGACCGGCGGCAAGGGAACCGCCCTGCAGCTGGACGGTATCCTGTACCGGACTGGCGATGACGGCGGCAACATGGTGATGATCGAGCACACCAGCGATTTTGAACTGTTCAGCAGCACGGCACGCGGTGCCATTCAGGGCTCCGGGTATGAGTTCCACTCCGACGGCTCGCTGTCGGGACCGCGCATCCTGCGTCTGTACGAGGTCGATGATTTCTCGATCCATGATCTGGCTCTGGTGGATTCGCCGGCGTTCCATTTGTCCCTGGATACCTGCAGCAATGGCGAGTTGTATAATCTGATCATCCGCGGAGGCGACTCGGGCGGATTAGACGGTATTGACATCTGGAGTGAGAACATCTGGGTTCACGATGTAAGTCTGGAGCATCATCGCTTTTATTCATAGCTAATACTCAAATCCACAGGTCGAGGTCACCAACAAAGACGAGTGCGTCACCGTCAAGAGTCCCGCGCACAACATTCTTGTGGAAAACATCTACTGCAACTGGAGCGGTGGGTGCGCCATGGGTTCGCTGGGCTCCGACACCAACATCAGCGACATCTACTATCGCAACATCTACACCTGGCAATCCAACCAGATGTTTATGGTCAAGAGCAACGGCGGCAGCGGCTCCGTTTCCAACTTGCTGTTGGAGAACTTCATCGGTCACGCCAACGCCTACTCGCTGAATATCGACTCGCAGTGGTCCAGCATGGACGCCGTGGAGGGTGACGGTGTGTCAATGCAGAACGTCACGGTGCGCAACTGGAAGGGCGGGGAGGAAGATGGGGCCCAGCGCGGTCCTATTAAGGTCGTATGTGCTGCAGGAGCCCCCTGTACGGACGTCACCATCGAGGGGTTCGCCATGTGGACCGAGTCGGGCGACCAGCAGTCGTACGTCTGCGAGAACGCCTTTGGCACGGGCGCATGTCTCGAAAACGGCGACGACTCGACCGCCTCCTACGCATCGACGGTCGCAGCGACGGCCACTCCGTCCGGGTTCGCGGCGCCCCGCATGCGGGACGATCTGACTTCCGCATTCAGCACGGATGCCTCCATCCCCATTCCCACGTTGCCGGCCTCCTACTTTCCGGGCGTGAAGCCCATCTCTGCCAGGGCGTCGGGTTCGCTGGTCGCTTCGGCGTCGGCGTCGGTGACTCCCTCAGCGACGCCGTCTGGGTCCGTCTGAACTGAAATCCAGTAAGCGGTCACCACACGCCATCACAAAGAAAGGTTACATTCACTTCGATGGCACCATCGATCCTTGCGCTTTCGTCATAACCAAGGCCGATCACCTCGTAATTTCTAATTAGATCCAGCCCTCAATAGACATTTTCTTTCGAGCGTTTCTTCACTTGATTTGTTGCTGGGATGATCCGTTGAGGTGAAAGCTTCCTTGCATAGTCTCTCCTCTTTACTTCCCCGCTAAGGTCGCCACCACATCATCATCAACTCATCTGTAATCCATCTGGCTGCAGCTGACCTGCCCTTCCTCTCGTCCTCTTCTACTTTCTGTCGTTCTATCTATTTGTCCTCATTTCATTCTCGTTCATTTTCTGTATCTACCCGTTCTATCAATCACCATGTCCAAAGGACATTCTCCCTCTCCCATAGAGTCCTCTCCCTCGCCCGACCGTCATGTTTCGGTGCCTTCCGTTTACCGCGCCAATGCCGATGTTCTCAATCGCGCCCTGCAGACCATCGGAATGGGTCGCTATCAATGGCAGCTCTTCGCCGTGATCGGTTTTGGCTGGGCAAGCGACAATCTCTGGCCCATCGTCACCTCGTTGATTCTCGTGCCCGTTTCGTATGAATTCAATGTCGCGGAGCCTCCACTGCTGACGCTGGCCCAGAATATCGGGCTGCTGGCCGGAGCGATAATCTGGGGATTTAGCTGCGATATCATCGGTCGCAGATGGGCGTTCAACCTGACCATCGCTATCACCGCCATCTTCGGCATGGCCGCCGCGGGGTCCCCTAGCTTTGCTGCGGTCGGCGTCTTTGCAGCGCTGTGGTCGGTGGGCGTCGGCGGCAATTTGCCCGTGGATTCAGCCATTTTTCTCGAGTTCCTTCCCGGATCGCATCAGTACTTGCTGACCATCCTGTCCGTATACTGGGCCCTGGCGCAGTTACTGGCCAATTTGATCGCCTGGCCGCTGTTGGGCAACATGACCTGCCCATCGGCGGATAATTGCTCCAAGGAAAACAACATGGGCTGGCGCTATTTCCTCATCACCATGGGTGGTCTGGCCGTCGTCATGTGTGTCGTGCGCTGCATCTTCTTCACGCTGTATGAGTCGCCGAAATTCCTCATGGGCAAAGGTCGCAACCGAGACGCCGTGATGGTTGTCCACGAGGTCGCGCGTCGCAACGGCAAAGCATCAACTCTCTCCGCTGAGGAGCTGGATCCACTCTCAGCGACCCCCATCGACGCGGAAGACGCCCCACGTCGTCCCCGTGATGCGCTGAGCAAGTCCGACCATATGCGCATGATGCTCGAACCGCTCTCGCTTCCCCACGTGAAAGCCTTATTCAACAGTCCGCGACGCGCCTGGTCTACCTCGCTGATGATCATGATCTGGACGTTGGTCGGCCTCGGATTTCCCCTGTACAACGCGTTTCTGCCGTTTCTGCAACAATCCCGCGGCGTGGAGTTTGGCGACGGCTCCACCTACATCACCTACCGGAACACGCTAATTGTGGCGGCCGTTAGCGTCCCCGGTAGTCTGGTCGGCGGCGCGCTGGTCGAACTGCCGCGCTTCGGTCGCAGAGGCACACTGGCGCTGGCCGTCATCGCCACGGGCGTGTTCCTGCTGGCCTCGACGACCGCCGACTCGTCTGCAGCCTTGCTGGGATGGAACTGCGCGTTTGGATTCTCGAGTAGCTTGATGTACGCCGTGTTGTACGCCTATACGCCGGAGATGTTCGAGACCAAGGATCGGGGCACGGGCAACGCGTTGGTGGGTGCGGCCAATCGCGTGGGGGGTATCCTGGCGCCAATTATTGCCATCGCAGCAGGCGTGCAAAGTTCTGCACCGGTGTATGTGAGCGGTGCATTGTTCTTGGGGGCCGGAGTATTGGCGTTGATGGTGCCGTACGAGACGAGAGGAAGGGCGAGCATCTAAGGGGATGGTTTTCTACACGGCTAGATATACACGCGTTAATAATGCAGGGAAGGATGGAGTGACAGACTGGATATAACTGGATGTATACTTGGATGTAGAAGTAGACCGTAGACCGTAGACCGTATACCGTAGACCGTATACCGTAGAGAGTACCTAGACAGGACACACATGGGAAGAGATGCTACGAAGGAAGAAGTAAAAGAAACAAACCGTCAAATTGAAACAAACAGCCTAATCGGGAATATCACATGACGCCTTTTCGTCTCCTCCTTTCCTACTTTTTCTCTTCTCTTCTCTTTGCTTCTCGCAATCTGCTCTCCCGCTCCATTATATCCTACAGTCCAGCCCTCAGACCCTGCGACTCCAGTTTCTCCGTCGCATACGCTAAGATCCGACCTACGACGGCCTCGATCTCTTCCCTGGTGTTATGCGCGTGAATGACCATCCGAACGCGATCCATTCCCTTCGGTACGATAGGGAAATGCACCGAATTCACCCAGAACTTGCCGTTGCGCAGATGCTCTGCCAGGTTGTCGGCCTTCTCCAGCGGAGCGATCAGCGCGATGATGGGCGATAGTAACGGTGCCGTGGCCCAGGTTTTCTCTGTCGGGAGGCGAACGATACCACCGCGACTGGCCTGTCGCCACTTGGGATTATCAGTCAGCAGACGGTAGAAGTACCGTACTTTCTGCTGCACGAGCTGTCGGCGCTATATGGATTGTTAGCGGTTAATCCGTGGATTTCTTCGATGCCAAAGTTTGTCTGGGGATGGAACGAACCTTTTCGCCCTCGGCGCTGGCCGTCAAGTCATACCCCGCACGGACCCCTGCCGCGGAGAGAAAGCTCGGCGCCGTGCTGTAGACCATGTTGCGAGCATAGTTGATCAGTGCGCTTTTGATGGTTTCGTTGCAGAGGATGATCGCTGGTTTTGTGTGTCAATGGCAGATCATCTGGAGATTCCAATTGGGGTACTCACCTCCCGTCGACCCCAGAGCCTTGCCGCATGTGTTTAGTCGAATTGGGAATTCTTTCTCGAGTCCGAAATGACAGACAAATCCCGACCCATTGGGACCTACAAGTCCGTTGGAATGGGCTTCGTCTATGGCACACACATAGTTGCCACCCGGAAGCGCCTCGCGGGCGGCGGCCACAATCCCATGGATCGGGGCCGCGTCTCCGTCCATACTGTAGAAAGACTCTATGGATATAAACACGACGTTCTCACCCGACGCCACCCCTACGTGATGGTCGCGGATATCGTCCAGACGCGCTTTGAGGGCCTCGCAGTCGTTGTGTCGGAATGGTAGACAGGTTGCGCGGCCCATGCGCATGCCGTCGTGGATGCTGGCGTGCGCAAGCTCGTCGTACACGATGAAGTCACCCGGCTGAGGGATCGCGGACCAGATGGCCACGTTGCCATCAAAACCAGAGTTGACAAACACTCCTGCCTCCGCGCCGTGGAACTTGGCGAGGTCATTTTCGAGATCGATAAGATATTTCCTGGTCCCTTCGAAAGCCCGCGCCGAGGTGCTACCGATGGTGAACCCGGGATGTCGTTCGAGCTCACGCAAAAAAGCCGCTGATAACAGCCCCGAGCCTGACAGGTTCAATGTGTCATTCGAGCCGAAATCGACGGTGTCAGCAAGAGTTACTGGCACGGGAGGGATCAAAAGCCGGCCATCCCGACGACGTTGGTCCAGGGTGGCTTTCAACTTATGAGTGAGGATGTTCTGCCCAACATGCATTTTGAAAGTGTTCTTCAACACAAAGCACAATTGATGGTTCTACAATCGCCCATTTTTCAGCTCGTTCTATAGGGCAAATGATCGTCAGTTATATGTCCTCCCAGCCCACAGCGCTCTAAAGGTCGATGGCGTAATTCCCAGTGGCCTTGAGCATTCGGAACTCCAAACAAGAATCCCTTTATGCGCCACATACCTAATTCGATGACATATCTAGAGGCTCCGCTGTTGTGTCAGAGAATAGAGGCCCCCTTCCGCCGTCGAATGCTCTCGCGCCGTCCACATGAACCTATTTGACAACGGGTGGCGTGGTAACGCAATTCAAAGAATTGGGTCAATGGCACTCCCTGTGGCCGGTGGCTCGCCTAAAAGGCCGATGGAATGCAAATATCTCGCAATCAGATACATGGACAGCCTGTTTATGATATCACCATGTTGGAAAGTCCCGGGACCCAGTCCAAGTCGCCCCGAGACGGGAATCTTTCTACCTGACACACGGCCCTTACAAAAGGGCTGGCGGCCTCGGCTGGTAGGACATGTTAGAGTTCTGTCAAGTTCTGATCTAAACCCTATTGCACTTTCAGGATCCATCCTGTCAGGTGGACCCGATATGACCGGGGTATCTTGTGCTACAAACCTGATTCAGTCTAGAGCTTACTCTGCGCTGGATCCTCCACGTCATTCCTTGCTAGAACAATAGACTAGCTATCCATGGACTGGCTGGATCTCTTTCAGGTATTATTTAGGTTTCTGTGTCTACCAGTGACGGAAGTGTTGAAACTACATCCGGACGATGTGTTTGGCCCAATTTTGATCAGCCATTTCAAATGATACAGGCTTTAGCTGGCATATGGGCGCCGCAAACGCAAATCCATCTCTGAACCTTGTAGCAGGTTAGCGGGTCATTGGAACTTTGGATTCATACGGGGTCTGCATCTGCGCAGGTTTTTCCTGACAACGGAATGCGCTGATATCAAGATGATTGGCTGGACGAATGCATATGATATTCGAAGTTTCTGAATGAGGTCAGAGGTTGAATAGTTGTGACGCTGAATGCTTCTTATAAAGGTACGCTTGTCAGGATATGCTGACTCCCCACGCACGTCAAGACCAAATATAAATCTTCTGTTACATTAATCCCATCGAAAATGGAACGAGCCATTTACAATCGTGCCCTGGAAGCACCCCTGCAGATGGCTGTCACAGATGGCGCGGTTCATCTGACCTACGCAGGGCTTCTGACCGAATCCATCGACCTGGCACGTAAGCTCCGAGCCAAAAGTGTGTCTGCAGCAGAGCCCGTGGGTATTCTGCTTGGCCCGGGCGTTCGGCACATTACCGCTCAGCTGGCCGTTCTTTTCGTGGGGGGCACATGCGTGCCTATCGAGCCGACCATCCCAGAACTTCGCCTCAAGAGTTTGCTGGAAGACATCCACGCAAAGTTTATCATCACGGGGCGAGAGAATCCGACCGACCTGCCAGGATTTGAAATTTTTGGCCTTGGCTACCCACAGGAACCGCAAAGCAGCGGAGTACCGAATTGGGAGTTCGGTACTACTGCATCCCGGAGCCACATACTCTTTACCTCTGGCTCCACTGGAAAACCAAAGCCTGTCCAGATCCGAGCCGACAGTATCGTGCATCTGGCGACGCAGACTCCCCTTACCCCGCTCTCTCGGGGGGATCGAGTTGCCCAATTCAACAACCCAGGGTTCGACCTGAGTCTGTTTGAGATTTGGGCGACACTGCTCTCGGGGGCCACCATTGTTACGGTTCCTCGGCAGATTGCGGTGGATCCTGGCTGTCTGTCTTCGTTTCTTCAAGAATATGAAGTTACAGTGATCATAATGACGGCTGCATTGTTCGAGATCATTGCTTTCGCCTCGCCTGGGACATTCAAAACCCTGCGCCATGTCATCACAGCCGGCGACGTTGCCAATGTCCGAGCCATGAGAAGGACGCTTGATCACGATCCTCCTGATCATCTGTGGAACGTCTACGGGCCAACTGAGTGCACCACATTCGTGACCGCGATGGAAGTCCTGCCTGAAGAGGCACAGCGGGATCGTATCAGCATTGGACGCCCTGTGGGCGAAACCAGGATCTACCTGCTGGACGAGAATCAAGTACCCATTCAGCAGAGCGGTCAGCGCGGAGAGATCTACATTGCGGGACCAGGGTTAGCTATGGGCTATCTGAACCGACCATCCGAGAACAAGAACTGCTTTATACAGATTGCCAGGGACAGTCCGCATGCTGGCCAGGACGAGATCGTACGTCTGTATCGGACGGGCGACCTGGCCGAGTGGCGGCCCAACAGCGATTATCTTGACTTTTTCGGCCGAGCAGACGATCAGGTCAAGCACCAGGGCTTTCGCATCGAGCTGGGTGAGATCGAACGCGTTCTGCGATCTCATGTGGCGGTCCAGGCGGCGGCGGTCACCCAGCAGCCACCGTCTAGGAACAAGATGGATTCGTTGGTGGCGTTTGTCATATTCAGCCAGGCAGAAGAGGTGGATGCAGAGAGTCTGGTTGATTTTTCCCGCCAGTATCTGCCGTCGTACATGGTGCCGGATAGCGTGAAGGTGGTCGGCGCGTTCCCTCTGACGGCACACGCTAAGGTCGACCGCCAGGAGTTGTTACAGCAGTGGGTCACTTCTATCGAGGAGGGCGAGGCAGATACCAGAGAAGTCTGTGAGAAGAGATATGTTCTCCGCAGTCTATGGAGCGATATTCTCCACGTCCCACGAATCAATGATGACGATGACTTCTTCAGACTGGGCGCTACCTCCCTTCAGGCGGCCTCGCTCTTGGCGATGATCCATGATTACTTGGGTCGGACAGTTACCATGGAGGAGTTGTATCGGCATTCTCAACTCTCTGATCTGCAGGCCCTCGTGGAACCCGACGGGCCCGTCTTCCGTGACAACGCTCCCGATGACACGCGTGCATGGATAAACGACGTGGATCTGGTGAACGAGATTGAAATGGTGCCGGAATGGGAAGCTCCTAGCGAAGGTCGGGTATTCATCACCGGCGTGACGGGGTTTGTGGGCCCTCATCTCCTCCACAGTTTGATGCGCCGGCCTGGCGTTAAACAAATTGCCTGTCTCGTGCGGCCGAAAGGAAATGATGCCGCTGGACGGGTGAAATCCGCCATGCAGCGATACGACCTGTGGGAGGAGTGCGAAGCGCACAAGTCCAAGCTGCTCGTCTTTGAGGGCGATCTTTCTGAAGATCATCTCGGATTAGACCTCGAGCTCTTCACTTGGCTCTCCAACTGGGCCTCGGTCGTGTTTCATCTCGGAGCGAAGATCAACTTCTGCGAGTCCTACCGTGAACACCGCGATACGAACGTCATCGGCACCCTCAATGCCTTACACCTCGCCGCAAGCGGTCGCCACAAGTCCTTCCACTATCTTTCCAGTATCGACACTTGGGGTCCGACGGGGTTCATCCTTGGAACGAAGGAGCTTCACGAAGACGAGCCCCTGCAGCCTCACATCCAAGGTTTGCGCTACGACATTGGCTACGCACAAAGCCAGTGGACCGCCGAAGCGATGGTGCGACGGATGCGCGACCGCGGCCTGCCCACTGCCATCTACCGTCCGGGCTTCACCATCGGACACAGTCAGACTGGGGCCAGCAACCCAGATGACTTCGTCACGCGGATCATCGTGGGAAGCATCCAACTGGGTCTTTTCCCTCGTCTCGACCAGCGACTCGAATATGTCCCTGTCGACTACGTTGTGTCCGCCATGCTGTATATCGCCTCGTCCAATGCCAACCTCAACCACTCGTTTAGTCTCGTCGCGCCGGATCAGAGGGACTCGGTCACTGTTACCGATACAGCCCGTGTGCTGAAAGAAGCCGGATACCCTGTCACAGTTGTCGATTATCCGGAATGGGTAGCCCAAGCGGCGCAACACCAACGGCCAGACGGACCACTCGCGCCACTGCTGCCGTTGCTTCAGGAACGCGTTCTGGGTCGGTTGACCCGGTGGGAGGCCAGTCAGTACTCGCCTGTTTATCGATGTGATAAAGCTGTTAGGGCGCTGGAGGGTAGTGGGATTTCCTATAGAGAGCTAGATGCGGATTTGCTGAAGAGGTTCGTTAGTTTTTGGAAAAGGAAGGGCTTTTATGATTTGCCTGGAGAGGGATAGAAGTTGTTTATTTTGTTTATTGAAGTTCTACGGTTGTTGGTTGGATGGATTCAATTTTGACATTCTTTCTACATGGCTGAGAATCTATCAGTTGTAGTAGCTCCTTAGGATCAGTGACATATCTATCCTCTCATATTATTCGCTCATTCCAGTACATTCCATTCCACACGAACCGTACCATAACTTTAGAAAGCTTTAGTAGGACTGTTAACTTTGCCCCTTGCTCAAATAACCGAGCCCAACCTTATCGTGGAATGTTACGTCTTCTTCTACAGAGTTTATTCCCCTGCAATTAACCTTAGTTTCATTCCTGAGCCATTCCACCCTTGACAGATAGCAGTGTACCTAGCCTAACTTTTCCCTTCCTTCTCGAAAATAATCGCACTCCCGTTAAACTCAACTCAACCTAGACCTAGCTAGAGCTCTCAAACCAATCAAACCCAATCCTACCACCATTCCTCTAATCTAAGACTTCGTGCACTCAAAACTTCCAACAAAGAAATCTCGCGAGAAAGTATGTTCTCCTTCTTGAAGACTGTAGCTTTGTCCTTCGCAGTCTCGTTCACTTTATCGTTTCATGGTCAGTAAGACAGTTGGTTGATTGAATGATTGTTTGGATTTATTTGAATTGCTCCAAAAGAAAGAAAAAAAAAAAAAAAAAAAAAAATGAAATGGATGAAAGAATGTCGAGACAAAGAGATGAAGAGAAGTACATACGTATAGAAAGTACATTTCGGATCCTGCAAAGTTCCAGGGAAGATGGTGATTTCTGAAACGGGGATTTTACTAGAGATGAATCGATTAGAGTGGCATTTATATGGGGTTGATCTTCTTCTGTTCTGCTTAGGAGATGAGGTAGATAGATGGGTATGTAAGTATGTACTTACTTATAGGGGAAGAAAGAGCAGTCATTCTCTATGACGCCGAGAATGGGGTTTTGGGTTCCGACTTGGAAGGAGACGGTTGTTGACTGGATTTTGGATTTGGGGTAGTTAGTATTTCCTTTATCTTTTGATTCCGGTCAGGAATATTATGAGGGGGTAGGGATTAGGAAAGACAAGAACAGGAATAGACGTACACCAAGTTCAGATTGAGCGAATGCCACGGAAGAGGCGATGAGAAGGGCGAGAGCTTTGAATTGCATATTTGCTTTTTGGGACTTGGGTTTGAGGTTCAATAGTAAGTTACTCTGTAGTTTAGGGAATTAACAGGCGAAGAAAAAGATGACCAGAAAACTTAACTCTTTAAATACTACTGAGTCGGTGTGATGGAGCTGAGAATCAAGGCCAAGAGCGGCTAGCTGAACAATCCAATCCACATGAACTATGAGGTTGGTGCATTGCATCTTCAGCCCCTTGCACACACACAAAGCACGGTTCTCAGCCGTGATTGAGAATGTTGAGGGAATTTATTTTCTTTCCAGGAGCTGAAAGGTGTACTTTCTCAGCCTTAGTTTCAATTAGGACCAGACTAAGATAGGATCTACAAATTAGTACCGAGGCAAGATCTAGCTAATGCAGATTGGCTCCGGGGGGTCCTTTCCACTCTAAATATGGATGTTGTGTCTTATTAAAAGGCACTCCTATTGAGACTGTCGGGATATAGCCTTCTGTCTGAACAAGCCAGCGGTAACTTACTGCTGGCGACGGACGGATATCATCCCTTGCTTGATTAACGCATTCTTGCACCAGGCTGCGGCTCCGGTGTTGTGACCGCCGAGGGCCGGTGTGTAGGATCCAGGGGTAACTTCCAACTAGACTGAACACCTACATCTATCTACATGAATCAAAATTGATCTTAGCTTACGAGCATACATACTGTTCACTTAACTGTGTACACAGGACCTAGCTAGTGATACTAACAGAGACCTACTGAAACAAGCATCACAGTCATGCATTGGGTTTGTGGTTTGCCGATTGTGGTGTCTAGGTGTCTAGACTAGTCAAGGGGAATAACTACTAGGGATTTTAACTCTCTGGGGTCACAATAAGGCTGGCTGTAGTTTGATGTTGTATGGGATTTGTGGTAAAGAGGTGTATACTAAGGTATTAATAAGGTGGTATGCTGGTGTAGTTGGGGGAAGGAAGTATCTGACTAGATTTCAAGGGCGTTGCTTCACTGCAGAAGAACATTTTTCTATGAGCAGCATATCATGCCTAGGACAGCCTGCTAAGTTTAGTTCGGATATGTGGGGAAATGAAGGTTTTGCGCCTCTGGTGAAGTTATGATCAAAGTAGTAAGCTGGAAAATATATTTTTACTGCTATGTTTGTGATGTAATTAATTGTAATAAGGGATATTAGATATCACACATGGAATTGAAAGGTCATTATGGATGGAACGAGGGTGAGCAAGATGCTGATAAATCCTTAGTAGAGTACCTTTCACATTGTCACTCAGTCAGTCAGACTGAGCTGGGCAAAAACCAATCAAATATTCACTAAAGGGTTTGCAGATCCTAAAACTGTCTCTAGACTTGAGTGATATATTGGAAATATGTATGCGGTGACATTCATGTAACTAGTCAGAATGAGAGAACCAGGAGTCGAATGTGTACTGCGAGTAGAAAAGATGATCCCGAAGTAAAAGATCTGATGTTTCAAACTAATTGGTTTGATCGAGGATGAGATAACTAAAAGAAAGAGACCTTCTTGAAGCTGCATAGAGGACATGGGCAGATGCTTGGCATTCATGCCTGAGGTATCAACAAGCCCACAGCGCTTGATAAAGATAACCTGCCTAAAGGCTACCATTAAAAGTTTGATATTTAATAATAAATGGAATATTCAAGTTCCTTCACAATGAGATGATCCAGGGATACATTTCTGCGCTAGCCTATGATCAAGAACGTGATCAATTTGGATAGACGTGATTGTGCATCGTAACATCATTCTAGAAGATGAAACGACAATTATAAGGTTTTCCTTTTCTAAAGAGCTTTGTGATATTTCTCATGGAATTTTAGAATGGAAGACAGTTACAAGTGGAATTATCCAAACTGAAACTGGGAAGAAGGGTGCAGTTACTAGCATAGAATCAACCGCTCCTTTGGCATCAGCATGGCCAAATTTGATGATATAAAGGTATTTAGAGGATGTTTGTACTTGTTCACTTTTTCATATTTCTCAATGTATCTAAATCTAGATATGGGATATCATATATATGAATTAGCGGTAGTTGCTGGTAGCAAAGTAGAAGGAAATTAGACAACGCGCACATAACAAAACTTCTCTCTCAGTTTATGAAAACCGTAGCATTGAGAAATTTCAAGTTCATGCCTTCATATTACTACACCCCACTAATTTCAAAACCCTGAGAATACCCCTCTAATAAGTATCTCTTGTTGTGGTCACCTCTCCTCTCGCTTTCTTCTTCCCCACCTCCACCACAAACATCCCTCCAACCACGATCAATATTCACCACTCACAACCATCCACTGAAGTGGATATTCCTTGTACCATGAGCTCTATGGTTTCCCAAAGCACAAATGGTGGATGGATTGAGCGAGAGGTAAAAAATCCACGGCCCCAATTCACTCTAAGAAATCAGACCAACTGAATCATCTAGTACAAACTCAACTATTCTAACTGGCAAGTGGAATTGCATGAGCTCATATCCAGTTACATCCTCACCTGCCGACAGAAAAATGACAAGAGTGTCATCCAACGCGGCCGCAGCATCAAAATCGAGACTAGCGTTGACGATGCAGAAGGGCGCCACTATGAAGGTCCTGCCATCAAGATTCCTGTATTTTGCCTCCTCCTCTCCCCAGAACCAAAACAGATAGATGTGGGTTCGCATGCTGACTATCGACAAAAGATGACCAGTGTCTGCGCTGAATGTTTCCGCTGCTGTCGACGATACATGGTCGAGCCTTTGGTGCCTTTCTTCGAGAGACATTTTTGCAACAGTCAGGTGCTTGTCGTTAATATCCATTATGGGGTGGAGGATGCGGTGGGTTTATATCCTAGAGACGAAGATTTGAGTTCGTCTACTAACTGTCAAAAAGGAGCTTTTCTACCAGTCGGATGTCGACGATGAGTCGAATTCAATGCAGATCGATGGGCATAGTGATGAGGGTAATGAAGGGGACGACGATACGGAGGCCGATACTGAGATTGAGAATTAAGATATGAGGATGGAGGATGAGAAATGAGAAGAGAAGTAAACCAGGTCTGGAACGATGTATGCAATTGGTGACTATTCTGAATGACGGGGTGCTGATGGGTGCTGTAGTTAGTTGATCTTTGTCCATTTCTTGGCAACGAAATCTGGGATTTTTTTTTTTTTTCATGTCTCTGTAATTAGCATATCATTGATTTCTTACTCTGATTCTCAATTTCCATTTATATTTTATTTTATTTTATTTTTTGTATATTTTTTGGGGTTATATTTCCCCCGCAAAATTTCTCTCTATTTTGATTGAATTTTTGTTTGACAAGAACAAAGTTCGGAGAGCCCCGGGGATTAGATAACCTCAGTTGAAGATAAGATAGTTAGATTCACCAGAACCCTTCACTGGTAACAACTAGCGCTGGTAGTTCATCGGAGAAACCCGACAGCTCACGGAGAAAGCGCAGGCTAGGCCCGATGGTGTCACTGCACGTCCCAGGCAGACGCGACGGCCAAGACTCTCTGCCTGAGGACTCCCTCTATATAGATTCTGGTCTCGAACGGGAAAAGAGTAAACAAATCCCTGGCAACCTCTCTACCCTTAGACTCATCTCTCGAACTCTACCACAATGAGAACCTTCCGAGCCGGCGTCTTCCAAGCAATCGAGGTCATTTCCGACGATGAATTCATCATCCGAGATACGATATACGGCCGTCATCGTATCACCGAACCCGTGCTGATCGAGCTGCTTGACTGTCCCGCGCTCGCTCGTCTGCGAGAAGTCTGTCAACACGGCATCACCAGCCTTCTCGGCTACGGCCCTCAAGTTACCCGCTACGAACATTCGGTCGGGGCATTCTTGCTTGTCCGCAAAGTCGGAGGCAGCCTGGAGGAGCAGATCGCCGCCCTCCTCCATGACGTCAGTCACACCGCGCTCAGTCACGTCGCCGACTGGGCGCTATCGCAGCCCGGCGAGAGTTACCACGAAACCCACAAACAGGAGTATATCGCGACTACGACGCTCCCTCAGATCCTGACCAAGCACGGAATCGACCATAGGGTTTTCGAGGAGGGATTGTACCCCTTGGTGGAACGACCTGCGCCGCATCTCTGCGCTGATCGACTGGACTATACGCTGCGGGATACCCGGGTTCTCCAAGATCTTACACGGGAAAAAGCGAGGCAGGTGTATGAGACGGTGACGGCGTACCCGGACGCGACGTCGCCCAACCGGATTCTGACTCTTTCCGACCCCCAGCTAGCCCTGGCTCTGGCGCGAGCGTATATCGCCACGGACGAGGACGTGTGGTGCAATCTAGTTCACCTGGATATGTATCGACGAGTGGGTCAAGTGATAGGGGATCTGGTTCGTCGCGAGATTCTCGATCCGGATCTCCTCTACAAGTATCCGGACGCACAGTTCTGGAAATATCTAGCGGAGGCGGCGGAAAAAGACGGGTCGACGGTGATTGCAGATATTGAAGCGGAGGCGAGGACATACATTGACCAGAATCCCGGCCTTGCGCCTCCTCGATCGGAGACGCTGGGACTTCCCACGGGAGCGAAGGTGCGAACTCTTGACCCGGATGTTGCTTTAGAGGGACAGCCTCCGCGGCCGCTGAGTGCGATTGTCCCCGAGTGGGATGTTGAGCGCAGGGAGTATCTCGAGCGTCGAGAGGCACAACGATACTGAGTACGAGACATCGAGGGAGCCAGTGCCAGAGGTTCTTGGAGCTGGATTAGTATGGCTTTCATGGCAGCATGGATAGGGACTGTTGTGGAGGAATTTTCAGTATTTCACATTTCATGTTTTGCTGTATCTTATTTCGTTATCCCTGTCTGTCATCGTTAAGAGTTTGTCCGTTAGAGAGTACTGAATATTGTCAAATAGACCGTCTACTCAGTTCTGTGAGCATAACTATGTTCTATTTATGTAATCAGATGACTCAGCAAGTATAAATATGTATGCACGTGCTCAGGCAGCCAGGCACGTTGCAGCGCCCAAAGCAGCATCGTGCAGGCGACTATCTGCCCATCTGCATCTTTTCTTCTTCTGGTCTCCCTTCCTCCTTCCTCCTCCCATCCTGATACGCCGTCCGAAAATGAGGCGATGAGTTGGCGCCTGCCACACCTGAACGAACCGCATCATTGTTTGGGCTCCCCCGCAGTGGAGCTGATGGGTGCCTGACCGCCAAGTGGGTTGCCTGGTCTCTGACAGCTGGTCTGCTCACTCCGAGTCTGGTCACCATTGACTCCTAACGCCGGGGCTCCGATTCCGATCCTCCCACCCTTCGTGCTACCTCACCTGTTGTATGACCGCTGTCTTTTCTTCTCTGTCCTCCCTCGCGGCTTCCAATGCAACGATCGCTTCAAATGACTGCGCCGCGGCTCCAATTCCTGCCCGGCCATGTCCTCCGCCCATTATGAGGGCGATTTCTGGGGAATGCTGATCAACCCTGATAAGAGCCCCGCTCCGTTACTCGAACAGCTATGCCTGGCCATTGCCCAGATCATGGTAAGTTCCGGATCGAGCGAATTGCGGACTGTCGGAAATGTGGAATTGAAACGTGGAATGCTGATCGAGATCCCCGCAGACGTCCTTTGACGAATATGCCACCTCCGACCTCACGCCCGAACGCCTGGCCACTTTCTACGGCAAAGTCGGCGGCAACTACGATGTCTTGTTCCTCGATACCAAATCCTCCGCCTTGTCGTTTATCTACCAGCGTCTAGGGTGCTTCCATAGCATTCAGCCCTCCACCGACCCGTACAAACCTCCCTCCGTGCCCGCGCTACAACCGAACGGATTCGTGCGATGGCAGACAATTCAGTTACTGCTGGACCCGGAAGAACATTGCCGATACTTGCAGAATGCGGTGGCATTGTGGGATATTGAGCACCCCAATGGGGGGTATTTTCCCAAGGATATTCCTCGAGACGCCTTTCCGGCCGAGTCAGACCCGGAGATGGTGAATTGGCACGAGGAAGTGAGTCGGCGGTTTGAGTTTGATTACTGGAAAAAGAATATCTTTCGCTCGTCCCCGCCTAGCTTTGGCACGTACCACTCCCACTTCAGCCAGAAGGATACATCAAGCAAGGACGGCTACAGCCAGGATCATCAGGAACGGCAGACTCATCGACAGCCAACTACATCGCACCGTCGACACGCCACTACCACCAACATCCCACCTATCAACCGTCCTCAGCGACGGCGCAGCGCCGAGATGCCGTCCGGGGGTCGCCGGGTACATTCCACATTTGTGCGACGTCCGGAGGAGTTCCAGCCGGAATACACCTCCCCTCGCGGACCGTCCCCGCCCACGTGGCCCAAGCCGTCGAGGCGGGGTCGTGAAAGTGCGTCGTCACGTCCAGTCAGTCCCGGGACGATGTTTGGGAACGAGACGTCGGATGCGTCGTCCGAGGACTCAGGGCTGGGGGTTAAAGATCCTCGAGGGAATCGGTATAGTTACCACGACAACCTATCGCCACCGTCATCTCACGCCCGGCGTCATTCACACGAAGCATACGCCCGCCGGCCTCGAAAGGAACTATCCCCCGATTCCCATCGCCGTCACGGACCGCGAGAAACATACGCCAGTCCTGACTCAGGGCGTTTGTATGACTCGGACGGAGCACGGCGAGTCCGCTCCGCCAGAGTGTATCCGGAAGAATACCATGCTCCTCACCCGATGAATCTGGGAGTTTTCCGGGAACATGTCTTCGCTGAGGCGGCTCGGGCCTCTCCTGGACCCGAGATGCCGGTACACCCGCATGCACATCACCGCCACGTCAACACGAACTATCCGTACGTGATGCGTCCTCATGCAGATCTTGACGCATGCGTGATGGAAGAACCCCGTCGCGCTAGCTACAGAGGAACCACCCACCCGGCCAGCCCTCCGGAGCGTATGCGGTTCGCTAGCACGGGTAATGCGCGCGCGCCTCGATGGGCGATGCCAACTGTTAGTAAGCGGATACCGGTGATGGCTGAAATGGACTATTCTCGGGGGAGACGGACGCCGATGTATGAGCGGTGATCTGGAGGATTAAGATTTACGTTTTATATGGAGGATGATGATGGGTATGATGTATGAACTCTACTCTGGTATATTCGGGTTTAATATTATGGTTATGGTTAGTTTACGATTACGACTACGATTACGATATAATGAATTATGATTAGACAGACAGTTTTGTCCATGTATATGTAGACTCATTTTGTGAGAACTAGGACGGATATTCATCAGTCACACTGTCCGATGAAGAGACTATGGTTTGAGATGTAGCAAGACGAGAAAGTGTAGCATTTTCAGGTACCAATATGAGTATAATGTTGACAATCGGTCGGACTTCTAACTAGACCAAAAGGCCAGCTGACTGATGGTTCAGTTCTTGTAGTACTTGATATACCAACAGAAAGAATAAGATAGATGAAGTAGGAGATGAGTCGGATAGGTACTCACGCGTTTTCAATTAATTTCTTTCCTAGGAATGTATGTATCCATGTCTGTCTGTATGTATAGCACGATCATATCCAGCTTGCCTTGCCCTTCTTTAATTTTCAAGAAGCATCTCGAATAACGACTGAACCCACCCCTTCATCTACATAGATGTTAGCATCATTTGTATGCATTTCTCGAACAATAAGAATAGAAGGAAGGGTGGGGGGAAGAAGGAACCCCCCCGGAAAAACTCACATTCAGCCCATTGCGAAGAAAACTATAATGATGTCCCTCCGCCCGAATGACCTTCACATTTTGCTCTCCCATGACCCTTTCCCAACCAAGCGGTCCGTCGTCTACTCGATCATTGAGGATCCATTCTGTGACTCCGCGCTGCGCATCCGGAACGCTGAAGCCCCGTTCTTCTTGGGTGTGAATGGAATCGGCGCCTTGTTTTGCAGAGACGAGAATTGTAGATGGTATATTCGTTCTTTGACCCGGTAGATTGAGTTCCGTGTATCGATACCGTCCGAGCTGCTCCAGTGCTAAAGTGACTTCACCTGCGCCGAACGCGGATCTTATCGGGCGTATATATTGTAGTAAGGCATCTGGCATGCGGATGGAGTAAGGAGTAGAAGGCGTAGGAGGGCATGGGCATGGCGCGTCAAGCAGAACGAGTTTCTCAACTTCGTCGCCTGCGCTGAGGAGTTGACGCATGGATTCCAGGGCGAGGATACCGCCGAAAGAGTAGCCGCCAATAAGGTAGGGTCCGTGGGGCTGTCGGCGCTTGATTTCTGCGGTGTAGCTGGTCGCGAGGTCTTGAGCTGTGGGGATATCGTGGAAGTGGGTAATCTTGTCAGGGGAGGGGAGCTTCATGTCCGTGTAGGGGCTGTTGAGCGCGTAGATGGATATAGAGAGCGATGGGAATGTCTGGGCTAGGAGCTGGCCTAGGGGGGTGAAGACGGTTCCGTAGCCTGGACCGCCCGGCATGAGGAACAGATTGCGCGCTGCGGATACCCCACGGTGGAGAAGCATGGATGTAGCTGTCGCGGGAGGCGGCTTTGGCGTATATTCTTCTACATTGGCGTTGCTTGTTGACTTGATGGCAGGTTCTTGGTCGTCACTTGCCGGCCCGAGTTCAGAGCATGGTGTATCGTCGGACGGGGCGGATGAAGAACCGCTGGGCGTGTACCCCAAGGCACTCTTAACCAGATCACAGAGCGACATGACATCTGTAGTACTAGCGAAGTCTGCCAAGGAAATGTCAACACCTAACGCTTCCTTCAGGTTGCTCATTATTTCCGGAGCCACGAGAGAGTCGGCGCCGAGGTCGCCAAGTCTGGAACTCGGAGCAATTTCTGCAGTCTCTAGATCAAGAGCCTGGCTGAGGATGCGCATGACAGTGCTCTGCCAGACCTTTGCCGCGACTGGAGTCGACTGGGACTCGTTGTCGCTGAGCGGTTCACTGCCGTGTCGTCGCGACGAGATAAGATCACACAACGACGCCACAGCTGTAGCTGTGACAAGATCAGTGGTAGAAATATCAACGTTGAATTGGTCCGAGATGCCAGCTAAAATCTCGGCGCTCACGAGGGAGTCGATGCCGAGGTCCTCCAACAGTACATTTCTCTGCAGATTGGCGACGGGGACATCCAGGCACCTACTCAGTACCTGTTGCACCCCAATCAGGACTTCCTCATCCCCTTTAGATTGCGACGGGGTAGGCGGGACAGATCGCACTGGCTGCTGATATTGTACAATTTCAGTCTCTAATACTCCTGGGTTCGCCCCCGCCAGTGCCTTCACCAGCGAAGTGCGAGGTACCCCGGTGAATCGTAGCCCATGAGCAGACCAGATTATCTGCTGGCTGGTGCTGTCGAACGCGAGCAGATCTAGCAAGACGCTTCTCCTGTCATCTCGCACAATCCGTGTATATGCGCGATACTTTCTGCCTCGGAGGGATCCCTTCGCAGGTCTAACGAGTCCGATACCCGTGCAGATATACGGCGTGTTGCTCTGCGGACCCTCCTCCTGATCCACAGCCCGCAGTGAGTGCACAAAGATGCCCGCCATCTGCATGAAGTAATCGAGGAGCAGCGCATCCATGATATTCTCGTTGGGCGCCCGAGCCACGATTGACTTTTCCTTGGGCATGTCGATCTCGCCGGCCCCTTCCGAGCCCTTGCCGACTATGTATCGTAGCCCTCGGTACGGGGGTGAATATGTGACCATGGTCGTGAAGGTTCTGTACACCATGGCTCCACGAAGAGCGTCGGTTTCTGGGTCTTCGAGCAGGTGAGACATATGTGTCCATGTACTGGTTGTGTTTGCGCCTGCATTCTTATCGCTCTGGACCTTGCCGTAATAGACGACACCGGCGCAGTGGGACGTCGGCCGAGCGTCCTTCTCATCCTTGTGTGTGGAGAGTATTTCGAAACGCCAACTTCTCTCCCGTTTCATATCGAGGGTACATTTGACGCTACGCCGGGTGTCCAGACCTAGCGGCGCTTTGATCTCCACAGCTTCAAACCCAATCTCATTCTCCTGGTCACTTCCATCCTGAAGGAAACAAACCGCGTGGGCGACTAATTCTAGGTACATTCCCGCCGGGCACAGTGGGCTTCCGACCACCACATGGCCGCTGATCAGTTGCTGGTACCGTTGACTCCGGGTGTCGATGCTAAACCTGATGGTGGAATCGGAGTCAGACTGGGCCTGTGGATTTTCTTGAACGATATATGGGAAGTCAACAACGCTCTTGTGGCAATGCGGACATAATCGAGACTCGTCAGTATGTCTTTCCCCACCACCAGAAGGGTTATATTTGATCCAGTGACGATGCTTCTCGAACTGGTACGGAGGCAGATCTATGCTCCGTCCCTTGGAGGTCAAGAAGTTGGCCGACTGGCTTCGATTAAACAGCCAGAACTGGACGCCACGAGTTGTCTTCCACAAAGACACTGTGGCAGCTGCGAGTGATCGTCGTGGGTCGACACCGTTAAGGGCAACAAACGTATGGTCATGCTCGGTCGATGCTAGCGCGTTCTGAGCCATCGCGGTAATCGGGCCCCCGAAGCCGGCTTCTAGGAAAGTACACGACCGACCTAAACGGGCGACGATGCGATTCACCGCATCTCCGAAATAGTTGGGATCTCGGGTATTGCGGCCGATGATATTTGCAGTTGAGTCCATACATTTCCAGTCTTCTTCCTCGCCTGAATCATGGCATGACACGAAGGCGGGGGTGGGACGCTTTAGTGGAAGCGACGCTGATAGCTCGGCACAAGCATCCAAGATCGAGTCCGCCATATGGCAATGATATGCGTATATTCCCCTCAGCACCTTAAAGCGGATCTTGTGCCTGTTGGAGGTGAACTTTGATTTCTGCTCTTTCAGGAACGTCTCCAGAGCCTCGACATCTTGCGTGCTCCCTGCGACGACATAGTTGTTTGGTCCGTTGTAGCACGCAATCTCGACCCTGCCTGACTGGCATTTATCAGTAAATTGCTGCAGGTGCTGAGTGGGGGTCATGTTCGAGGAAACGAGATCGGCTTCTATGGCCATCATCAAACCCATATCTGGTCCCCACAGTCTATGGAGGATAGATGCACGACCCGTGATAAATTTCATGCCAGCTTCAAGCGTTAATCCTCCAGTAATGACCAACGCCGCGCACTCGCCAAAGGATTGGCCGCAGACTGCCTGCGGTACGACCCCGGAGTCGATCCACGACATGGCGCTGGCATACTGGATGGAAAACAGAGCTGCGTGGCGGAGGACCAGGTCATTTTCAGCGTCGCTATCACCGGATCCGGTACCATTCAGAACGGTTGGAAGCACACTAGGCAGGCCTAGAGCGAGCATGGCTTCCTCGCACTCGTGCAGTCGGGCGCGGAAAAGCAGCGAGCCATCGTAGAGACACCTCATTGCCGGGGCGGTAGTTCCATTCTGGCCGCTCAGAAGCAGCACGACAGGTTTGGCGTCCGACATGGAAACATGCGCCTCCGCATTGCGGAGCTGGGCCTGTAGATCAGATACTAATAGATTTAGTTACCGCCATCAGGTGTTAAGGGGGTGCTACTTACGCGAGCTTGCTGTTGTGCAGAACCTATTTTGGATCTGCCAATTACCTTTCGTTGCCAAAGCAAAGGCCAACTGGTCTAGAGTTATATCGTTGCCCTTGCTACCGACATACTGCTCTAGCTTGACACATGACGCCAAAAGGCTGGGTTTGGACGCGGCGGAGATGAATATCGGCCACTGCGATGCACCCTCCAACTCACGCGGTCTGATCTGGCTGGCAGGTCGATCAGGTGGAGGTGCAACGACAGCAGCAGCATTGCTACCAGCCGCACCAAAACTATTCACCACGGCCAGTCGCATCTCATCAGCCCAATCATTTAATGCCGTCGAGATAGCCATGTGATGCGGTTCCAGTGCTGCAATGTTAGGGTTCAGCGTCTTGAACTGCGCCTGTGGTGGGATTTTGCCGTGCTTGAACATGAGCAGCACCTTGATCAGTGACATGACCCCGGCGGCCGCCTCAGAATGACCAATGTTAGGCTTCACCCCGCCCATATGTAGTACCGAGCGCCTGTCCGGCCCACCAAAAACCTGTCGGATCCCCTGAACCTCGATCGGGTCTCCGGCGCGAGTACCCGTGCCATGGGCCTCGACATAGGAGACATCGTGCGGATTGACTCCCGCGCGCGCCAGCACATCTTTATATAACGCGGCCTGGCTTTGGAGCACTGGATTCGTGATGCTAGTGCTGTTTATGTTCTGGTTATTTCCGGTTGACAGAAGCACGCCGTGGATCTCGTCTCCATCCTCAAGCGCCCGGTCCAGCGGTTTCAAAATGACAACCCCAACGGCCTCGCCGCGACAGTACCCATCGGCACGCGCATCAAACGTCTTGCAAGCACCAGTCTCGCTGAGGAAGCCCGCCGTGCGTAGAGCGTCGAACAAAGCCGTGTTTGGGATCAAGTTGACGCCACCCGCGATCGCCCGCGTGCATTCGCCTACCTGAAGAGCACGACAGGCTTGGTGAATGGCTACCATAGCTGATGAACATGCCGTATCAATGTTCTGCGATGGCCCCGTCCAACCGAAGTGGTGACTTACGCGACCTGACACGAAGGAGCGCATGCTCCCCGCCGCTGTGTACGGCGAGGGCGACTGCGAGCCTGAGTTCAGGGCATAATCTTGCGTATTCATCCCGATGAAGCATCCTGTTACATGGCCGCCAGTGAGTGCGTCATGGGTCTCTGATGCTGAATGCTCGCCGCCGACCCAGCCTGCCGTTTCGAGTGCATGGTATGTAGTCTCGAGCAGGAGTCGCTGGTGCGGATCCATGGCCGCTGCCTCGCGTTTCGACTTGCCAAAAAACTTGTGATCGAAGGATTCGATGTCGGAGAGAAAATGACCGTGGAGACGGTTTTTCGCCCTGGCCGACGCCTCGGGGAATCGGACGGCGTCAATCTCACGAATTGTGCTCTCCCCGGTCTGTACGATCTGCCAGAGGTCGTCTGGCGTATTGCCAGCGGCCGTCCGACAAGCCATACCTACGACGGCCACGGCATCCTTCGGGTAATCACTGTACGCCTGCCGCTTCCTCCGCGGCGTTATATCCTTGAGAATTGGATGTCCCAGAGACTCGTCGGCACCGACTTCCAACGCACGTACCACCGCCACCTGATCTACGTGAAGTGCGAGAATCTGTCCCCAGGCAGCCAAAGCCTCCTCCTTGGATATGTCCGCAATGCCCCGGTCTTTCATCCCCTTGTTGATCATTCGCGTGGCGGACTTGGTCTGCGCTGATAGCCCCACGCCGCGCCACGTCGTCCACTGAACCGATGTGCAGTTGTCTCCTTCACGTCTTCGCTGGACCGCCAGCCCGTCTAGAAACGCATTCGCCGGCGCGTAGGAGAGCTGGCCCGGGAATCCGACGAGCTGTCCAATTGATGACACCAGAATAAAGAAATCCAACGTGGCGGCTGGGAAGACGGCATCTAGACTAAGGGCCCCTCGTACCTTCGGGGCGAACACTTTATCGATATCCGCTGGTGTGCACGCTTTCAGGGTATGATACCCTGCCGTCCCTGCGGCATGCACAACGCCCTTGACAACCGGACTGGGCAGTCTGTTGATCGCCTGTAGTAGGGTGGAATCTGCGCCGGGGAGACTAAGGTCGATGGCCAAGACATGAACTGTGGCGCCATGAGCCTCCATCTCGGTTATGCGAGCTTGGAGGGCGCTGGCACGACTGTCATGCGCTTTGGACTCTACCCCACGGCGACTCACAAGTATCAAATGACGAGCTCCCTGTTCGACCATCCAGCCAGCAGTCTCAAGGCCAATACCGCTTGTACCGCCAGTGATCAGATACGCAGACTCCGAATCGAGCGCCATCGCTCGCCTCTCTTTCTCCTCGCCATCGGGCGGCAATACAACCTCCAATGCTGCCGTCTGCATAATCCCTTCTTCCTCGTCCTCGCGCATTCTAATAACGTCAAATCCCTGCGCATATTTAATAGCGGACAGCGGAAACCGCAATTCCTTCTCTTTCACATCGACCAACCCCCCAAAGAAATCCGGACTTTCCATCTTCAGCACGCGCGCCAGGCCATGCAAAGGTGCATAGCTTAGCTCATTGATCCCATCACCATTCTTGGCCAGCGAGAATAGCTTGACGGAGGCAGCACCCGTCGCCGTCCCCGAAGCCCGGGCGGGCTGGGATGTTGCTAGCACCTGCGCGATAGCAATCAAACTTGCACACGAGGCCACGGCCGCAGAGTAGACGATTTCGCGACTATCTGGAACATGAGGGATGTGCACAACGATTGATGATGTTTCTGGCGTCAGCTCGGTGTTCATTTCGCCAGGGTTGGTGATGACGGCTGTGGTGTAACCTAGGGCGCCGAGCTCGTTCTGGTACGCTGCTAAGTCATGGCTTTGTCGCTGGCTTTCTTCCACCACAAATACCACTTTTGTGAAATACAGTGGCTCTGGAGACAGAGACGCTGGTTTCCAACGGATTCGGTGAAATGGGGATGTAGAATTCATGGCTCAGAGGATGGATATAGACCATGAAGGCATGAGCGACCAGGTGGATTCAGACGTAGGTCAGGGAGAAAAATGGAGGATAGCGAATACGCGAGACTAGTTCGAATTTGAATCCTGAGGCCATGGGTTCAGGCGGGGTATTTGCAGCGACCAGAACCAGGAGCTACGGCGTCCTCCGTACTCAACGAAGGATTCGTGCAGGGGGTCCACAGTGTTTGCCTTAATAGCCCGTGTTGGAATTTAGTTAATCTCGGTTCCATTGTGATGCGGTCCGGTCCGCACATCATCGCCGCGTTGAGCACGGACGACTTGGTCATGGAAGTGTCTGCTTTGTTCCCCCCCCCCCCCCCACCCCCGTTATGACCTTGGTGAGGGTATTGATCCAGAGGGCCGAAGAAGAAGATGATGATCTAGATCAATGAATTCAAATCAATTGAGATGATTGCTGACGTGGCTTTCATGGTAGAAAACAGAACTTCCCAATCATCAAGCGGTCTGCAAGATCCGTGATCCCTGTCCATCATTAGATTAAATGTGATGCATCATCTGTTGAAATTTTTCAATCCTCGCGTTTTTGCCACACCGGGCCGGACTCTGCACCGTAGTGAGTATAGTGGGTGGGTAGTAGGCAACCGAGGCCATACGGAGGACAGGGGCACGGAGATCTCATCCGGGGTGCCCTCAAGCATCAAGCCGCAGGCACTGAGTATGAACTAAGCTGATCCATACAACAATATAAATAGCTTTAGATTACTACATCATACTTCCATCTAAACATACATTCTCCCCTGACGCTCCATCAACCGAGTCCACCCCAAAGCATCAACTCTAAACCATCCTCGCCCTGTCATACGTATGTCCATACTCCTCAAACACACGACACACCGCCGTGTCTCCAGGATCCTGCACCTTCTCCAACTTCAAGCCCAATGAACTCACCCCTCTTGTCTTACTTCCCTTTCCTACCGGATGGATGCGATCCCCGCTTTCCTCGTTGTCGCCATAAAACACCCCCTTCGAAAAACTATACCCAACACCTCTGGTAGCCAACCACTCCTTCTCGGGATTCGGATTTCGGGTCCGGAAAAACGCCCCGAAGACATCCTCCATGACCTGTGATAGATGCAGATCGTTGGCCCCATAGTAAGGAGCTACGTTCTTGGTCTTACTGTTAAGGTTACCCCAGATGGGGAGCACGTCTGCGGCATGGCAGGTGGCGTTGAAAGTGTTGTTGGCGAGGGGGGAGCACGTGGGAGGCGTGTCCAGGATTGTTTGCATGTGGCCTTTGGGGAATTGGATGTTGTAGATCGGAGCTTTAGAGTGGTGGTGAGTAAGGTTCAACAAGGAGGAGAGAGGACAGGTCCATTCGCTGGCTGTGAGGAAGGAGGAAATGATCGGGACGAGGGAGGTGTTGCGGCCTTGAATTTGGTGGGCGGTGGCGTTGAGAAGCGCATTGGCTAGGTCCGGGGGGTATGCGAGGTTGAGCAGGGTGGAGAGAGCCGCCGGAGAAGTCTTCATCGACGAGGCATATTCCGGGACGTAGAGGGCCGCTTCGTCGGCGACGGTGGTGAAGAGGGTGGGTACCCTGTTGACTGACGAGTTGCCAGACGCCAAAAGGTTGTGAAATTGGTCGGCGATGATGCCTGCTTCGGGGTCGAGAATCGGCAGAAGCGGTTCGATAGACGCGAGCATGGGCGAGGCATGGAGGTACCCGTATGCAGTAGCGTTGGAGGCGTTGGCGATGCCGGATTCGAAAGCCGTCGAGTTATCCAGGAACGCAGTGGCCGGGAGCGAGCGCAGACAGGCGACCAAGCTGGCTTCTGGGGTGGTGTGATGTGGACAGCCCAGAGCGGGTGCGATATGGGGCACGACGAGGTCGGTGTAGACGTCGCGCGTGAACCAGGGCAAGTCAACCGGGGCGGATTGCGCGATGGCGGCGGAGAAGAGGGGCGCCGCTGTTGGGGAGGAGAGCAGAGCCACGACGCTCTGCCCGCCGGCAGACTGCCCGAAGATGGTGACGCGGGACGGGTCGCCGCCAAAGGCCGCGATGTGTTGCTGCACCCAGCGCAGGGCCTGGATCTGGTCACGCGTGCCATAGTTGCCCGTCGTCAGATTTCCCGTCGCCAGCCAGCCCAGGACCCCGACACGGTAGTTGACTGTCACCACGATCACGTCGTTGCGGCTGGCCAAGTTGCCACCGTCGTAGTCGATCATGGAGGCGCTGCCTTGGGTGAAGGCGCCGCCGTAGAAGTAGACGGCAACAGGCTTCCCGGTGGTGTTTCGCGCAGAGGGCGGGAGAACGGGCGTGTAGACGTTGAGATAGAGACAATCTTCCGAAATGTCACTGCCCAGTGTCCCGAATGCCGAGTCAGACTGGATGCACGAGGCCGACACCTGCAGCGCGTCGATCTGTTTGACGCCGGTGTAGGGCTGCGGCGGGGCCAGTCGCAGAGCGTTCACCGGGGGGTTGGCGAAGGGGATACCGAGGAAGCGGAACGAGCGCGCATCTCGGAATCCGGTGATAGTGTAGTCACGCGAGGCGACAGAGATTTTGGACGACGGAACTGCAGCCCGATTCTTGTCGGTGGTTGGTGGCACGCGCGACGTGCAAAGGGCAGACAACTTGCGCGTGCATGGCGCAGAGATGAAGTCTTTCTGCTCCGGAGAGTATGCCAGGCAACCTGAGGAGTTGGCAGCGACCCAGATATCATCCGATCCCTGGATGCTTTCGGAGAATACCAGATAGTCGAATTGGTAATCTAATTCCGTCCGATTGGCCAACGGCGCGCCCGGTAGAGGATAGAGATGTTCGCCGATGGCTGCGCATCGAGCGGACGCTTCGCCGTTGGTGAGTCGGTCATGGACAAAAACTGCGGACGTCCCGTTGTTCTTGGGTCCGAGATTGTTGTAGTGCAGGACCTGTAGAGTACCTAAGGCGTCGGCATGAGGGATCAACGCGGGCGCAGGGGCCGTCCAAGCGGTCCCGCACAGAGAGGCCACGATCAATAGTGGTAGCTGCATGCTGACAGACTGTTTTGAAGTAGCCTCAAAGTGCTGACAGGTTGGGGCAAGCTTTGTTTATGACTCCCTGCACGGCCTACATCGCTAGTCTTATAACCACGACTTATATAACCAGGAAATGCAGGCAGCACCGGAACCCCCGGGAAAGCACAGGAAGCCAAGCATGGCGGAAAATATTGCCCCACCATAGGAACACCTGCAGGGTGTGCCCAGAGGCCAGTGTGGATGGCACAGCAGAATTATATTAGTCGAGCAGACTCGACTTGCCGATACAGCCAACAGGATAGCTTCTTTCGCCAGGCGTAAGGGATTGGCTTGGCTGGTTTTGTGGGGTAAGCAGAGCTTGGAGACCCAATGACGACAGTGATTGAGGAGTATACCGGTATACAGAGAGCATGGGTCGTCCATAGTGAGCCACTAACTAGATATGTCTTAGTTTATTGAGGGTTGGTTGAATTGTTATATTGGGGTGACGACTGGTCTCCGGTCGAGATGGAGCCCAGTTAGGGCACAGATCGGCACGGTTCAGGCATTCAGGCCAGTTTTTCAGGCCACTCTCTCAAGGTTTCCCTGGTTGGGTTTAGCCGCTGCCAAGAGTCTTCCGAGTATTCGGATTCATCGAGGCCCGCGGACTGCGAAGTGCGAACTGATTCGGGAGGTGGATGGACATGCATGGTAGCTGTATTTTTGAGGCTCATAGGATGCGTTAACTGTTCTGGAATTGCTCTTTAAAGGGTGACCGCAAGGGGCTTTGTTAATCGACCCGAGTAACGTCTGGAAAGGCTGCGGTAAACATATATCCGAACTAAAGTCAGAAAGCTGCTACGGAAGGCGGGAAATGAATCAACCCGTTTAAACCCCTCTAGCAGGGACTGATAAGAGACCGACAATAACCACCCCGGAATAGTAAGCAACACGAGGGCCATCACATCCTCGGCAAAAGACCGACGCCGACTCGACCGAGCGCCAAGAGGCCCAGTGACTGCCTCCTTTGCCCCGAATAGGAAGGCAGAACTGACTCAGCATGTCGTCACGGGGCCCCGCACAGCACATCCTCGGTCCTTCTGCCCGGTGGCGATCAGTTCGCCATCCCCCGGATTTCTGTCAGACGTGGCTGAGTCTGAGGTGAGAATAGTTGTTCATATATCTGGTCATGACAGTACCCCGAGGTGACATCGACTTGACTCCTCGGAAAGTCTGTCGCGAACTCATGCAAGATTCACGATGAAAGACCCTAGAGGTGCCGTGCGCCTGGTCGAAGTAGGTCCGCGGGACGGCCTGCAAAATATTCGGGACCACGTCCCTACGCCCCTGAAGATCGAGCTGATCCGACGCCTTCATCGTACCGGTCTCCGCGCTATCGAACTGACCTCCGTAGTGTCCCCGCGAGCGGTGCCGCAGTTGGCCGACTGTCGCGATGTCCTTCGAAATGAAGGGATTCGCCACCTACAGGACCAATCGCGCATGCGTCTGCCGGTCTTAGTCCCCAACTTGAAGGGATTAGAGGTGGCGATCGAACATGGGGTGCGCGAGGTGGCGGTGTTTGTCAGCGCCTCGGAGGGATTCAGTAAGGCCAATATCAACTGTTCCGTGCGACAGGGGCTTGAAAGAGCGAGGGCAGTCACTAAGAAGGCTAGTCAACATGGCATCGTCGTCCGGGGGTGAGTCTTTACCTCCCTGTCTTTGACAACTGTCAGCTGACTTTATAGTTATGTGTCTTGTATATTCGCCGATCCCTTCGATGGACCAACCCCCCGGGCCGCCGTGTTTCGTTGCGTTAGGGAGTTGCTGGACATGGGCTGCTACGAGGTCAGCCTGGGTGATACGCTTGGGACCGGGGCCCCGGATACCGTCCGTGGCCTTCTGACATTTTTGGTTGATAACAATATCCCCACCGATCGGCTGGCCGGTCATTTCCATGACACCTATGGGCGAGCCGTGGCCAACGCCTGGGAGGCCTACTGTTGCGGACTGCGCGTGTTTGACAGCAGTATTGGTGGCCTAGGTGGTTGTCCCTTTGCACCGGGTGCAGAAGGGAATGTCGCCAGCGAAGACTTGGTGTATATGTTCCATTCCGAGGGTATTCAGACCGGTGTTAATATATTGCATCTGCTGCGGACTGGCGTGTGGATCTCACAAGCCCTGTCCCGGCCGTATGCCACTAGGGCGGGAAGAGCTTTGGCCTTGAAGCATAAGCTGATGCCTTCTGCACAACCCACCACCGTGCAACCGGTCATTCATCCAACCACCAAGTGGTCCCCTATTGGAAAGGGGGCTAATTACTCTGACCGGTTATTGGTCTATCGCTCTGGTAGTAACTTGAAGGTTGTGTTAAATCGACCGAAGAAAGGAAACGCCCTGAAGCCGAAGATGGTGTCTGATCTGGTCAATCTGATCGAGAAGTGCAACACCGAACCCTCTATATCACGGATCATCGTATCTGCGAAAGGAAGGTCTTTTTGCATGGGAGTGGACTCGGCCATGGAGCCTGTCGAAGCCGAGAACCCACTCGACCAGCTGACACGGCTATTCAAAGCCATCGAGCATTCTCCGAAAACCACGATTGCCTGCATCAACGGGCCTGCTTTTGGTGCCGGCGTCGGTCTAGCGCTCTCGTGTGACATCCGACTAAGTGTAAAATCGGCCACATTCACTCTAGATCAAGTTGGATTGGGCGGGAGACCGGCTTCATCGGTGCCATCTGATCATCCGGTCACGGCAACAGAGTTGACATCTTTAGGCGTGATTGCAGAAGTTGCAGATGGCGCCGATGACCTACAGGACTGCTTGAATAGGTTGCTTATGCGGCTGCGGACATCGCCATCCACCGCGTCTCGCATTTCCACGCGATTGATACGCCTGATCTGGGCTCACGTCGGACGTGACAATTTAGATCCAGGAAATGACTTTCTTCGATCTGAGTCTGCGAATGAAGTGGAGGTGGACCGGGCGGTGGCGGTTGGCTGTGCGCAGTAGCTAGTCGTACGTGGGTAGGGCTGTACAGTGGCAGGATTGTAGATGGGTTTCTAGGTAGTTTATAGTCGTCCAGCTCGGGGCGTGTAGTTTCTGTATAGATGATGAAATAGATTTTAATATTTTGCCACGGAAAACACCGTTCAACAATATCACTCCACTAAGTGCATCTTGGCATGTCAAGTCAGGAGCACTGTAGCCCTGCCAAGTGCGCGAAGCTTCCTGAACAGGTTGCAACAGACCCCTGCTAGAGCATCCTCATGACCCCGCTCGATTTGACCGGGTGCCTCATTCACTCAACCTCCCAATTCAATTTTACCATCATGGTCCTTCGACCTGTCACCTCCCCATTCACATCGGATTTTGATACTTTGGTCCATGAACAGCTCCAGAAATGGAAGGTCCCCGGCCTCACGATCGCCATCGTTCATGGCTCTAGCACTTACTCGAAGGTATGTAAACATCAACCACCACATGGACATTCATCACCTAGCTATTCAAGCATTCAAACATACCCTACCTACCTACCCACTTATCCAATTCTAATCATATCCCGAAGGCTTACGGTATGGCCTCATTCCCAAACAAACCCATGACGCCCGACGCGCTCTTCTCCGCCTGCAGCACCACAAAAGCATTCACCGCCGCCGCAGTATCCCTGGCCATCGACGACAGCCGAAACACAACATCGCCAATATCCTGGACGACGCCTCTCTCATCCATCATCCGAGACGACTTCGTCCTAGCCAATGAATCCGCCACGAACAACACCACGCTCGAAGACGCCCTCTCCCATCGCGCAGGTCTCCCAGGCCACGAACTCGCCATGATGATGGCCGATCCGAGGGAGATTCTACGGCATGAGGTCCGGAAACTGAGATCCTTGGCCTTGTCCGATGCGCCGCGCACGGTGTTCCGGTATTGTAACCACATGTACATGGTTGCTTCTTATGCGCTTGAGAAATTGGCAGGGAGAGGATTAAGTACCGTGTTGAGAGAACGGATCTGGAGTCTGCTCGGTATGCACGATACGTATTTCAATATCCACGAGGCTAGGAAGAGTCCTGGGGCTAGGGAAAGGCTGGTCACGGGGTATACCTACGTTCCGGAGAAGGAGAGTTACGCCGCTGAGCCACATCTGGATTATGCGCCTACGACCGGTGCCGGATCTATGGTTAGCAATGTCCTGGATTATGCCAAGTGGGTGCGTTCGTTGATTTATCGCACCGGACCGATGTCTAACGAGGGGTATACGGCTCTGTTCACGCCACGTACCATTATTGCAACCTCTGGGTCTGGGTCCGAGGATGGGATCTTCTTCCCGGATGCGAACGTGCCGTATCATCTGTATGCGTTGGGGTGGTTTGTGGATCAGGTCTGCGGTGAGAGGTTCTATTGGCATAGTGGGAGCTGGCCGGGGTTTGGAATCATGGTGGGATTGATTCCGGAGAGGGAATGGGGTTTCGCAATGATGGGGAATGCGGTTGATGCGAGGCATGTGGAGAGGGAGTTATATTTATATCTGATTGAGAGGTTGGTGGGCTGTTCGTCACCGTCACTGTCGGACAGACCAAGTGCGCAGAAGCAAGCGGAAAGGTCAAGGTCAGAGAGTCTGGCTCAGGCAAAATGTCGACTCTATCCGATCCTCCCGGCTTCACCGATCCCGCATTCTCTTCCATTGCGGGAATATGCGGGTGTTTACAGTCACCAAGGGTACGGGTCCTTCGAGCTGGTTGTGGAAGGTGGGAAATTGGTGGCGGATTTAACGGACCGGGTAGGAAGGCTACGATTCCTACTGGAGCATGCGAGTGGCGAGTTCTTTGTTTGTGCTGCGTATACCCCTGAGAAGGGCCTGTCGTTGGGGGAGAAGTTTCAAACGGAGTTTTATGTTGATCTGAGTGGAGTGGTGGCGAGTATGGGATTGGACTTGGAGCCTGCGTTGGGAGGAGAGAAGATCTGGTTCGAGAGGGAAATTGGCTGACCATCTTCTGAGACTTGTGCGCAGAGTTTGGGTAGTAGGTGACTGAAAAAGTGGCTACATTTCTTATAGTGTATTAGGGGAGTGCATGGACAATCAAAGGATTGAGTTCTGCATTCTAAGCAGTCGATTTCTCTACATTGGATGGCATTTGATATAGATTTGTCAGTAGAAGGTGTTAAATTTACCAGAAGAGAAACATATATTTTGCAGCTAGATAGGTCTGGTATCAACGGGGCTTCAAGTTTGCTAGTAAAAGACATCCTGTCTGATGAAAGACTAAGTTCAGGACAGCTCTATATCATAATTGGGAACATATGCTCCATCAGATTTAGATAATGATGCAGATGCTTGGTGGTTACAGGGTGCGAAAAGAGAATGTTTATGTGCTCCTTGAAGATGGTGAAATGCTTGGCGTTACTGCCTCAGGCATTCAAGTATCCACAGCCTAATTTGAAAAAGATCTTGCTGCCGCCCCAATGGGCCCACAATCACAGCTGAGCGTGGACAATTAACAAAATTAAATTGGAAAGTAAATGTGGGAATGGGATCTGATGATGACTGAAGCTTAGCCTACATAGTGGAAGAATCTTCCAATCATGCACATTTTGTAAATACAACCACTGACCATAAGTGCAGCCGCAAAAATAATACTCTTTCCACAAAGGTTGCAAAAAGTTTCAGCAACCGAGACAAGATAGCGCGAAGGACTAACTAGTAACTAATCCTTCCGGACAGGATTTTGGGGCCGGACCCCTGAAAACCATCACGCTCTAGCTAGGCACCGAAGCGCGGATATATTAAAGCACACATCCACTATATCCATGACTACTCCTTGGATACCTAGAGAAGGCAGCGACAAGACTGGAAGCAGGCAGAATACTCTGTATCCCTTGCGCGGGATAGGTACTCAGCTACTCGGTCGCAGTTTCAATGCTCTAGGGTCACGAAGAGGGCTTTGATCTTCTTGACGATCGGTGGGGTGGGAGAACTGCTCATTCAATCTGGACGAGAGAAAACCCACAGGTTGTTGATCGAATGACCATGCCAAGACTCCCTTGCCCCAGGCAGCACGCGGTTCCTGCCTGCCGGTGCCTGGTGGGGCCTGATCGGACCAGACGCTGCCTGATTCTTCGATCCCGTGCCTGCTTGGCGGTGAGCTTTCGGACCCCATGCCTATCGCTAACCCGATTTGGGAGTTCCATCACAGAGCTTAAATACCAACAGGAGAATCTGCTCTCCCGATCCAGACATCTCAATCCTCTTTCTCAGTCCATCGTGTCCTTTTCTCATCCTTCAATCCATTTTTTCCCATCATCAAGACGCTTCCACTCCACCATGACTTCGACTCTCCCTCCCCTACCCGCAAAGCATCAGAACCTGGTCTCCTGGATCCACGACCACCCAGACACCCCAATTAATGAGCTCGTCAAACCCTTCAACGAACATGAAGCTGTGGTCCGGAAGCTCTTCGCACAGGAACCATCAAACCCCCTTCTCCAGAACAACCACCTCAACATCGTCCCCCTATACGACCAAGCCGGTGCTAATGACGTCAGAACGCGAGCCCGCAATCCAGCTGCCGAAGCCCCTGACGTGCGCGACAAGTACGTCCTGCCACTGTCTGAAGATGCTCGACGACCCAATGGCTCTCCTGCCGTGGTGTCGAGTCTCGGCGAGTTCAAGAAGAACTTCAATATCTTCTCCGAAGGCTCACTTAGTGACATGGACTGGAGCAACGTAGTAGTGGCTGGTAGCGCGGTGGTAACTTCGCTGCTGCCGGTACCGGAGGAGTATCGTAGTTCAAAGCGCGCGTTGCGACAGTACTATCATGATAAGTTTGCGCCGGCGTCGGACGTTGATTTGTTCTTGTACGGACTGAGCGAGGAGCAGGCCCTCGAGAAAATCAAGATGATCGAGGATAAGGTGAAGAATGCTATCTTATATGAGACGACGACCGTGCGTACAAAGAACACTATCACTATCGTCTCGCAGTATCCGACACGTCATGTCCAGATTGTCCTGCGTATTTACAAGTCCATCGCGGAGATCCTGACGGGTTTCGATGTTGATTGCTCGTGTGCCGCGTTTGATGGAAACCAGGTGTATGTCTCGCCGAGGGCTTTGGCGGCGTATGTGACGCAGACGAATCAGATTGATTTGAGTCGACGGTCGCCGTCGTATGAGAATCGGTTGTCGAAGTATTCTCACCGCGGGTTTGAGATTTATTGGCCAGCGTTGGACCGGTCCAGAGTTGATCCGGTATGTTGGGATAATTGGTTAGCTGGACATTGCTGATGATTATAGACTATCTTTGAGAGAAGCTTTTCGAGAACTGTCGGTCTGGCAAGACTCCTTGTGCTCGAGAAATTGCCCAGATCTTCGGATCGAGAGGAGTACATGGACCAGCGACGGCGCGAGCGCGGACGGCCTGAACGGGTGCGAAGAGGTCGGGGCGAGTTGAACGGTAACGTCAAGGCTGACTGGGAGGATGAGACTCCGGAGTGGATGGAGGGTGATGAGGTGTCGGAGTATAACACCGTGGTAAGTACACTCTGGCTTGGAGTCATTATGTTCTAACATGGCTAGACTATACCATATGGACCCCGGTTCCATGCGAAAAGAATTGAGAAACTGCTCTATACCAAAGACCTGCTTCTTAACGCAGAATGGAATAAGCCGAAAGACAGAGAGGTCCATCTGCATCGTCACCCTGCGTTCTTCGGCGACGTGGAAGACGTTATCCATGATTGCTGCGGCTACTGTCCCGAGCCGGTAACACCTGAAGAAAAAGAAGTTGCGGAGAAGGAAAGCAAGACGTACATCTCCGGCGAGATCTTGTTTATCAAAGATGACCCGGGACGCCAGGAGGTAGGAAGTTTCAATCCCACCACCGAGACTGATTGGACAGGTACGTCTCTCGCTAAGGAAGGTTGGGCCTAGCTAATATGACTAGAAATGGCGTACATCGGAAACACCGAGCGCTTGTGCCACGCCATTGTGGACGGGGATCTGGACGCGGTTAAGGACTGGCTGGCCGGGGAAGATGCGGATCCGAACAGCCGCGACTACACCGGGCGCGCGCCCTTGCATCTTGCTTGCATGACGTCGACACCTGAAATTGTACAATGTTTGGTTGATCACGGCGCTAGGTTGACTGCTCGTGTGGCAGACGGCCGGACACCTCTTCACATCGCCGCTGCCAGAGGAAGTGTGGAGATCGTCAGAATCCTGCTACACAAGAGTGAGGAGAATGAAGCCGAGGAAGACAAAAAGGCAGACCTGCGCAAGGCCAAGGCTGCGAATGATGCCGCTCCTGAAGAGACCGGCGATGAAGACGTTGAAATGGTCGATGCCAAGGATGACGCAACCTCAACGACTGGATCCTTCGTCAAGGTTGAGAAGGAACCTGAAAGCCGTGAGGGTGCTGAAACCCTACCCGGGGACGAAAACGACGATGAGCCTGATATCTACGACATCAATGTTATCTCCTGGGACAGCCGCACGTCTGCACTTCATCTGGCCATCCTGAACAATCAGGTTGGTGTCGTGGAAGAGCTCGTCGGTTCTTTCGGAGCGGACGTCCTGCTACCCATTAAACTACTCCACAGCTACGATAACAGTCCTCGCGCGGCCATCCTAACTCTTGTCCTTGCCCTTCGACTCCCTCTTGACCAAGCAAAGGTGATGACCGAGAAGCTTCTGCAACTGGGCGCCACACCAACCCAGGCCGATCTGGATCACAACACCCCCCTTCACTATATTGCTGCCACATCTTATCGCGACCTGATCGATGTTTACTTCAAATTTAATGAACCAGCCACCAAAAAGGCCTTGGACCACATTGCCATTACCGGCCGGTCCTGGCTCCCCGTCATGTATTCTGCCCTGATGGTGGCGATCAATGCGAAGGACAGTGTCAATGCGATAAAGCTGCTCGAGCACGGAGCGTCCCCGTCCATATCGTTCAATAGCTGGTTTAAGTCTAGCGCAGCAGCGACGCCCCACATCCGCAATTTGAACAGCGAGACGAACATGCGGTCTTTCCGGCACGGCACGACACAGCCCATCATCCAAGCCGTCGGCAGTGAGCTTCCGGACGTTGTGCTCGAGCTCTTGAATCGGGATGTCGACCCGAATACCCTGGACAAGGCCGGATACGAGGCGCGCGATTCGGACAACAAGTGCAGCTACTATCGGGGCAAATCTCTCTTGGACCTTGTTCAGGAAAAACTCAAGGAGCTGCGAGAATACGAGGGCGAGACTCGTTTCTTTGTGGCACCGTGTCCCCTGGAATCGGATGACGTTTACTTCCAGGGCCTGGAAGAGGGAAGCTACAAGATGTGGCTGGCGAGAGAGCAAGTGCGGAGCGCGCGTGTGGATTACAAGGAGGACAAGGAGGACTATGACAAGAAGGAACGAGAATTCAAACAGAGAAAGGGGCTTGACGAGAAGAAGACTGTCGTTCAGCGCCTTATCCAGGACTTCGAGAAGGTAGAGCAGATCTTGCGTGAGAAGGGTGCCAAAAACTTCCAGGACATGTACCCCGCCATTGAATCGACCGCGGTAACCTTCAATCGAACAAAGTATACGGCCGCGGAGCCTGAAGCGTTGAAGCTAAAGTGGGACTTCAACATTCCAGACCTGACGGATGAAAAGCGGAACGGATATTTCAAACTGTGGGTTCTCTGATATCAACTAAGTCGAACAGTGCTAATTTCAGCAGATTCGAGGCAGCGTGGACCGGTGATCTCCAGACGGTTCACGCGCTTACGCTGGGAATGTGGGGAGACGATAACCAACAGCAACCTCTCCAGATCACCGTCTGCGATAACACTGGCATGTCGCCGTTTTGCATCGCCGTCATTCGCGGACACTTTGAGATAGCCAAGCTCATACTGGAGATCGCTCAGGCCCAATACAAAGTGGTGGAGACGAAGAAGAACGAGCGGTATGACATTGACGATGACAGTGAGGTTGACGACGACAGCGACGACATCCGCATCACTAGCGAGACGATTGATGACAAGTTTACCGTGGATGATATCGGGGCGTTGGACTTCGATGTCGGAAGCACGGTCCATCCTGGGAACCTGATAATTCGCGAATACCCCGTGTCGATGTTCATGCATGATCCACCGAAGATCGGCCTGATTTTTACCCGAAATGGCTCTTTTGATCTCATCCAGTATGCCATCCGGGAGGACAATGTCCCTGTCTTGACATTCATGCTTGACATGGGACAGAAGTACCAGACAAGAGATGAAACTACGGGGTCTGAGATCTTCAGTGTGTACCGGCCTACGATCGTTCTGGCGATTGAGCTTGGTCGATTGCGTTGCTTGGAAGAGATCATCAGCCGTACAGGAGCGGATCTGCCAATCAACCAGCTGGTCAAGAGGAGTGGCGTACAGGTCCATGAGAAGCCCAAATTCTACCAAGGTTTGTCTATCCACGGACTCAAGCGTACCGACTGGGCCGCTGCCAGTGTTGGTCGGGGGCGGAGGAGGCCAGAAGAGTCCGACACGGACCAGCATCCCCCTCTGTTGGTGTCTGCCTTCCGAGGTAGTTTAAAGAGTACGGAGTGGTTCCTGAGTACTGCTCCGGCACGTCTTTACCTCAACTTCACCAAGGAGCATGCGGACGACAAACGGTTGAGCCTGCTAGCCCAGTCTACGAATGGAGTTGAGAAATCTGTCAAAGCCTGGCTGAACACTAGGAGTAAGTCCCCTCCCCTAGACTGAGAAAATTCAACTGATCTTTTAGGTCACTTGGTCCTCCACTGCGCCGTCATGGCCAAACCCACCCCCGAATCCACCGAACTAGTCCAGTACCTCATTACCCACTACCCAGAGTATATGGAAATCAAAAGCGACTACGGATACACTCCGCTCGCGCTTGCCTATTCCCTGCGCCGTGTAGTATTCGCCGAACTGCTTATCAAAGCAGGCGCCAACCAGGCAACCCGGGACAGTATGGGAAACAACCTGGTCCATCTGATGCTGCGCAGCGCCAGCGGAGACCATCTCGAGGTACCCGACAGCGTGACCAAACTGCTCAGCTTGTTGGACACTCGTCTCGTGTACTCCATGTTTAGCGAGCGCTCGTCCGACGGGCCCGGATCCCTGACTCCCTTCGCGCGCTGGATGCATTTCACAAACACACCAGGACGCTCCTACAGAAGAAGCTCAGATTACTCAAATAACCTTAACATGGAAACCGACGAGCGCGTAGAGATCGTTCGCGCCCTACTTGATTTCGCCGCACCCACAGGCCAGAAACATCTCGAGATGCTCGACGGCACCGGGAACACGCCGATCCACGACGCCGTGAAAGGCCAGGTTCCCCGGATCTTCGAAATGATGATCACCCACCGCCCGGACCTGCTGCACCGCGAGAACTCGACCGGCACGACACCGCTCGAGCTTGCCGTCGACGCGTGGACCGCCGAAGTAACCCAGAACCCGCCCCCGATCCCCAACAAAGATTCGAGAGCATTTTGGGATGAAACGTCTGGAGAACAGAACGTGGTTGACCGATCGCCTGAGGATCTTGTGAAGAAGCCAGCTCCAAGCGAGCGTAAGATTATCTGCGATATCAGTCGCGCGAGAGTTAGCGGACGGTCGGAGAAGCGGAAATTAGTGAGCTTGAATGAAGCTAATGAGGTGGCCAAGCGACTAGCGGTGCAGAGCGAGGCCAAGGCGCGGGCGATTCGAGCGAACGGTGGTGTGCTTGACGAGAAAACGGTGGGGTGGTCGGATGAGGTCATGAGGTGGTATGACACGGCGAGGCAGTGGGAGTGAGCTTTCCTATGGGACTAGACGAGCTTGTCTGTACACAGGAATGTATTTAGGAAAACGAGAGGGCGGATATAGCGGAATCTCACAGGAATGAGGAATGACAATTGCATTCTACCTATAGCTGGCACTAGTAACTAACTACCTGGCAATGTAGTTATGCCACGATCGACCCCAGCCACGCAGCACAAGCAATCTGACAAGACAAGACAAGAAAGATAATCTACCCCGCAAAACCCAAACCCGGAGAACTTCATTAGCGTCTTAGCATTATGGCGGATACTTTTCCCGCCGTGTCGGAAAATAATCATTTCATTTTCCTTCACTTTCTATTGCTTGATTGACTTGATTGCAAGAGGACGATCACCACTCGATCTCAAAATCCGACCTTCCCCACCCCCGGATTCTGTTCCAGCTGTGCATGTGTCTGGTGTGTGTGGGGTTTCCCCGGACCAGACCATGATTCATTCATACCTGACTGACTTGGCTTCGAAAATACCGAGATTAGCTTCCGGGTTTCATCTAAGCGACTCCACTGTGCCGCTCTCCTTTCCTCCTGATGTCAGCCAGCCGGGTAACTAGCCAGGTATCTAGCTAGCTAGGTATTCTACCTACGGTTTACGAAAAACAAACAGACTCTTGGCTTGGCTTCCTTGGCCTCCTTGCCATACTCTCTTGGCATCGACGGAAATGCACACCATCCGATCCTTTCCCCGCGGGGAGCTTCGAAATCCGCTCTTCTCCTTTCCACGAGGGTAACAGTGATGATCGGGCCATGTGTGTTGAGGTGTGGAGAGGTGTGCTGATTTGATTTGACTGACATGGGTCAGGATGTTGACGTGACGTGATGATCACTGCATCTGCGAGGGAGGGAATGCGGAACGCGGAGTGTGGAGGCGTGGAGGGGCATAAATATCCAGCCAGGCCTGGGATGCTTGGGAGATGTTTTCTTATCGACGCGGCTCTTTGTTCCTTACGATCTTCAGTTGTCGAGGTTGGTGTTTTCTTCTGAGAGGTGTCTAGGTATCCTGTTTTGGTTGGCTTCAACGGGTACTGTCTGTTTGTTTCACTACATTACATACCTCTACCCCCGTGAGGAGGGCACAGTTCAGCCCTACCCAACAGCAATCCACCCCATCAGAGCCAGAGTCCGAGCAAACCCGAAGTCAAAATGACCGATCCCAAAAAGGAATCTCTCGACTGGGGAACGGACGAGAAAGTCCTCGACCCAGTCCATCAAGAACGCGTCCCTGCTATCCTAACGATTGAGAATTTCCGGGTCCTAGGCATGGACCCGCAGGATGAGGACTTTTATATGGGGTTTTCGGAGGAGAGGAGGAAGAGGGTTATTAGGAAGGTATGTATTTTCTTTTCTTCCCTTTCACTTAGGAGACTTCCTTTCTTCCAACTCGGAGAATGGGTGTCTGACTAAAGATGGATCATGCTGATCTTTATTCTGACTTTGAAATGAATAGGTCGATGTCCGTCTCGTCCCTATGCTCGCAGTCTTATACTTGATATCGCATCTTGATCGGTCGAATATCGGAAACGCGAAGATCGAGGGTTTGGTTGATGATCTTGGGTTGAGTGGCATTCAGTGGAATATCGTGTTGAGTATTTTCTTTGTGCCGTATGTTTTGCTGGGTATGTCCTTGCCTTTTCTTTTCGATCTTTGGTTGGTTGGTGCTGATCAAACTAGAGGTGCCGAGTAACATGCTACTGAAAAACTTCAAACGCCCGTCTGTCTATCTGGGCATTCTGATCGTGTCCTGGGGAATCATGATGACCTTGACTGGGGTGGTTAAGAACTTTGCGGGCTTGATGGTGACGAGGGTCTTGCTGGGTGCTTTTGAGTATGTCTCTTCCCCTCCCCTATCTCACTAGTCTTGCCAGATACCAGCTAACCCGGATATTATTCCAGAGCTGGATTCTTCCCCGGAGCCGTCTACCTCTGCACCTTCTGGTACATGCCCAAAGATCTCGCCACTCGACTCGCCTGCTTCTACTGCGCCAGTGCCCTGTCTGGTGCCTTCTCCGGCCTACTGGCAGCCGGTATCGCACAAATGAACGGCGTCGGCGGGTACGAAGGCTGGCGATGGATTTTCATCCTCGAAGGTCTAGCGACCGTCTGCCTGGGCTGCGCTTCCTTCTTTCTTCTGATTGACTCGCCCAGATTGTCGGGAAGGTGGTTGGATCCCGATGAGATTCGGTTCCTCGAGCTGCAGGCGTTTATCAAGGAAGGTGGGAAGTTCAGGGACGAGGCGCAGGGTGGCAGCAAGAGAATCAAGTGGAAGGATCTGAAGGCCGTGTTCCTTAACTGGAGGATGTATATCCTCGCTTACATCATGCTTTGTCAGTCGGCTTGCACTTATGGTGAGTTGCCTTTCGACAGTATCGTCCCCTTTTCTAGGAGATATGCTAACGGGCTAGGTAACAAATTCACCCTTCCAACGATCACCAAGTCCATGGGCTTCAGCAACACCCAGGCTCAACTCCTCACCGTCCCACCGTACGTGGCCGGTGCCATCTCCGCTATCGGCTTCTCTCGCCTCTCAGACAAGTTCTACTGGCGGATGCCCTTCGTCGTCATCCCCCTCTGTCTGCTCATCATTGGCTACAGCATCCTCATGTCCATGGACGGGAAGCTCGGCGAGAATCTCGGCTTGTCTTTCTTCTCTGTCATCATCGCCCTGATGGGACTGTATCCGATCCACCCCGCCACGTCCAGCTGGACATCTAATAACCTGACGCCATCGAACCGGAGAGCGATCGGTTTGGCACTGAATATCTGTATCGGCAACTCGGGTGGAATCATCGGTAGTTACATGTTTTTGGAGGAGGAGGCTCCGAAGTATTATACAGGCTTTGGGCTGTCGTTGGCGCTGGGTGGTTCTGCGGTGTTGCTGGCATTGCTGTTGGAGTTATCGTTCTACTGGGAGAACAAAAAGAAAGAGAAGGTCTCGGAGGAGGAGGTTAGGGCGAGGTATTCGGAGGAACAGTTGTTGGATATGGGTGATAAGTCGCCGTTGTTTAAATATACTCTTTAGGATGGGGTGTATATGACTGGTTATGTTCGAATGGAGGGTTTAATATACATCTCAATGCACGACAGCCAAACGACTTCTGACTGGCACATTCTCCTCCATCTTCGTATCAGGAAATCCATCCAAATTCACTCCCTGTCTGAAGAGCAAGCAATGCGTCGACCCCCCGAAATGAAACATCCCGATCTCATCCCCCTTTGTGACGTGCTGCCCTTCCTTGACCCTCACATCACACGTCGACACCTCGCACATTCCGACCCCCAGGAAGGCCATCAGCCCGATCTTCGGATTGTCGCTCTCGATAAAGATCACCGCCCGCGTCGCCGTCGCCGTCAGGTACTCCTGCGCGGTGACCTCGCCAGCCGGATCGATCTCATTGCTGGCCTGGGCCGTCGAATTCGGATCCCCGAGTCCCTCAAACAGAGGCTCAGAATAGTACGTCCCCGGAACGACGTACGCCTTCACGATCCGTCCACTCACAGGAGAGTGCCACCGATGATAGCTCAGCGCACTCAAGAACGCCTGATAGACCGTTCCGCCCGCAAACCCTTCTGCCAGGTCATCATGCGCCAACATATCATCGATCGAATATGGCTGCTCTTTAATCCAGAACCGATCCCTCGCCTTGGCCCCTCTCACCAGCTTATATGGCTGCGACTCGCACGCATTCACCAGGACGTCGTCGTCCCCTAGCGCCGCCACAGGCCTAACGCCTTCTCTGAACCGCCGCGTGAAGAAATCATCCCATGAGTTGTACCCATGATACTCCTTCGTGGGATCACAGATATACAGTTCCTCGAACCCCAACCCATCATCCTGTCTCCCTTGATTCGCCACCCTCACTAGCCACTCCTTCCCTGTGGGTCCAAACCACCCGGTGTCCGACTCATCCAACACCGTCGCACTCTCGCGCGAGCACAAAAACTCGCCCCACGCGTCCAACACCCGCTTGATCATCGCGTTCACCTCCGGGTCCAAAAACGCCGCATACCCGCTCCCCGTGCCCATGGGCCAATCCAGCACCGCGTTGATCGGTAACCCGACCAATCCGACCCGTTTCGAGAGGTCGTTCCACGAGGGCGCGGTCGTGAGGAGATGGTTTAACACGCGCAGGAGGTGCTCGGGGTCGCGGATCTGGGGACACCCGGTTGGGTCTGTCGTGTAGGGTCTGTTGGAGGGGATTTCGCTGAACATGGAGTGCAGGAGCATGTGGATCCGGGTGTTTTTGTTGATTAGGGATTGGAAGTCGAGGAGGACTGGGTGGAGGGGTTTTTGGTGGGAGGGTGAATCGACGTGCGCGATTACGCCGCCCAGCCAGGCGTGGTGGTCGGTTGGGTTGGAGGGCATCCATTTTCCGACTCTTTTGGGGAACGGAGGGGTTAGATTGTGTGGATGGCTTTGAGGAGGAGAGAGTGTGTTTACCGGTGGAGACGATGGGTGTGATTATGGTTGTGTTTGGTCATGTTGGTTGTCTTGTCAAGTTTTTGTTCTTGTTGACGTATAGCGGTACTGCAAGGGCTTACCATTGCCTAGCCTAGGGTTTTGGTCTAGTTGGCAGTTCGAACTTTAGTTCTCTGATCTATGTCTATCCACAGATTCAGTCCCTCAGTCAGTATATATAACCAGTTCCAACCAGCCCACGACCAAGACTAAGGCATTGCATCACAGCTTGTAACCCACTCGCCTCTCCAGTACACCTTAAGCTGCTACGTCAGTCAGACAAGGACCAGGATAGCAAACAATGAAATGGTCAGCGAATCGACTCTGGTAGTTAGGGCTCCACTTCCAGGATAGATGACGTCATGTTTACTTGACTTCCGCGCGTCGGGAAATCGGTCCACTGCTTATCCACTCACTGCCTTGGTGTCATCCCTGAGGGTTTGTGATTGAATTATGTGGGGAGAAGGTGCCAGACCAAGCTTTCCATCGGGCGAGTCAAGCTTTTCATAAGCGTGTGGGTGTGGAATGTTGATGCGCGGCAGGGGGGAGCGAAGGGATGGGATTGTGGAGTGCATAGAAGAAGGAATGTGGGAAACGTTGGGTGATGTTATTTGATTACTTAGGATAGCTGGGATGGACAGGCAAATATATCGCCCCATAGAAAGGTATAATCATGCATCTGTACTGGCACAGTAAACTCGGTCTGATCATCCATCCTTCTCTAGTCGACGACGTATCTATCAGTTACAGCTTCTATACATACGAATTCTTCAGATGATTGATGGAATTGGATTTTATGAAAGGAATGATTGGTTTCTAGTAATCACAGGATTCAACTTTGACAATAGTCATTAAGGTATCTGAGCGAGCAAAAAGTCCTTTTCCTTCAAGTACATATCTTGGGGCTGAGCAATTTTTGTTTCCCATTCAAAGGAGAACTAAAGCTTTCCGGTTGGGAAATTGCAAAAACAACAAGAAAAACAGAAAACAAAAAAAAGAACACAATTCAAAAACTCCAGTAATTTAGCAGATCGTCTGAATCCACACCGTTTTTAACCTCCCAGTCTCACCTATCCTGCATGTAAAAAAGAAACCTTGGGAGAGGGCCAGAACATTTGTTTCGAAACCGTTTGTTGTAAATTCATTCCTTCAAGCACGATGAAATAGCACTGTATGTTCCCACTTGTTGAGAGTCCGTCAGATCATGTTCGTCCAATGCACCAATTCCGAGCGAGCCCTGTTTTGCGTTAGGAAACGGTAGGAAGATGAAAAAGAGGAAGACTCATACCTGTTCAATAGCAAATGAGTTAGTGAGGATTAATTTGACCAAAAGTCAGGAGCAACATTAAATAGGTCCGCTAGCTTCCAGACCGCTTGTTTCACAGCGAGAGAAACATGAGGAAATCCAGGTCGCCGCTAAATCAGATCTACCAATTTAGCAAGCTCGACTAAAGCGTCACGAGCAACGGATATTTTTGCTTCTGACTTGGCCAGTGAAATAGAGAGCTCGGCGTTCTTTCTTTTAAGGTTTTCCAGCTCTACCTGTTGTTTCTGGGCCTTGAGTTCACTGATTTCTTCGCGAAATTTGTAGTTGTCCAGCAATTTCTCCATAGCCACGCACTGCTGACGAATACTGGTAAGATTCTTCCTGACCCCGTGCTCTAGTTCAATGTCCTCTTGACTAGCCTTGAGTTGGGCTTCCATCGTATCTTGCGACTTGGTACTCTCCCCTTCCTGGGGTTTGGGGTGTAAAATGTGATTGTAGGAAAATTGGATACCAAGGGTAGGCTGCCGAAGTATGAAAAACTTGATTGACTCGATCTTGCAATGATCAACTAGCTGAGAAGAAGGAGGCCCAATTTATCTTGACGGACCCGGCCAACTTGATGAAATACTCCGCATAAAATAATGGAATCTTCCGCTTTATTAACGGTTTGGGGAATTACCTAAAATATCTAGGTCTCCTACAAATATTTCTATATCTTCGTATAAAGGGGTTTTATAATCCATCTTTATTGGGTCTAGGATACATCTGTCAGATACAGGATCTTATGTCCAAAGACATTCACAATTATCAGTCAAATTCTATGTCATAGAAAAGGCAATAGGTCTGGAGAAGCTACTGAATTGCTACTTCATGATTTGATCAAATGTACGGGGATCAGTACTCCATGAATAATTGACTGCGGGATTTATGCGCCCGATTCAACCATGGGATCGTTCCACTATGAAAACCGTAAACAACAAAAGAACAAAACCTGAGGACAATAAGTGAAAATCTAGTTACTTGGAAGAGAAAGATGTTTGACCCAGAGAGAGGGGGGTGTTGTGGGATGGCCACAACATATGAAAGCACTAGCAACCACAACAGTGAATGGAGAGTAACCAAAACAAGTTGGGCGTCCCACGACCAGTCAGAGTTTTACCTGCCCTGATTGAGTGAATGTTGAGAAGACCTACAGATTTCCCATTTTCTTTTCTTTTCTGTTCTTTCTCATGTTCAATGGGTATCTTTTCTGTGCGGGAAGCTCAGAGAAATCCAGCATCTAAGAAGCAGATAGTCTTACTTCTTCTAGTCTTAGTCGTAAGTTGAATGGGATCTGACTTCACCTTTGCCAAAACATGTCTACATTTGACAGTCCCATAGTAATTGTCCTTCCAAGTTTATCCATTGGACATCCCCAACGGGGGCATAAAACAAATCTCTAGATTTGGCTGGTCCTGGGCTCTGTCATTGCAAGGCAAATGAAATCGTAGGACTAGTCCGCTAATAGAATGTAGAGAACGAGAATCTTCTAGGTAGGAGATTCAGAACTCTGCTTATGTGCACATCTTACATTTCGAAGTCTCGGGTACTGAAAATTACTGGTTTGGCTCTGAATGAGAAGCGTACTCTCCGAAGGAGAGATTGGTGACTACAGTGCTACTGGTTATAGCATATGGGAAACGAATCCAAAAAAAAAAAAAAAAAAAAAAAAAAAAAAAAAATAAATCAGATTTGAACAAAAGGTAATAATCTATCTTGTCAGTCTGGTCCGATGAAAGTGGGTAAACAGCAATCAACAGACGAGAATGCAAACAGAAAGCACAGCAATAGAATAATCTTCAAGTGTGCACAGTAAGTGTAAACTCCCCATTGAAGGGCTTAGGCTGTTGGATTACTCTCAACGCCTCAAAGTCAAACTAAAGAAAAATGCACAGATTACCATAGATCAATAACCCTTCTCTCTAGAAGAAAAACCTCCTTTCTCCCTGGAGCTTCTCCTATCATGAGAACTACTATCTTTCTCCTTAACGTTCTTCGTAGCCTGCCGAATCGCCAAAGCGTACTCGCTAAGGTGAGCACTGTACTGACGGATCGAATCGTCGAACTTTTTAAGCTCCTGCTGCATTTGCAAAAGCCTTTGCTGCTCTCGCTCCATCGCAACTACCTGCTCGGGAGTGACTTGGGATCGAGGCCGCACGTTAACCCGTCTGGTAAACTGAGTAGCCAAGGCCTGGGTCTTTTCTGATGTTTCGCCGACGCTGCGCTCCAGAGCTGCCATCTTCTCTTGCAGGTCTTTGAAACGGGCTGTATGGTTATCTCCCCGATGGCCGTGAGTGCGACTGTCGGCATGCAAATTGGTCGTGGACTGGTTATGGTCCCGGTCACGAGGAATACCTCCCCTAGAGCCTTTCCCTCTCAGGCTGGGTTCAGGCTGAGGGCGAGGCAGATTGGTCGTGGACTGGTTATGGCCCCTCTCAATGCGAGGAATATCTCTCGTAGAGCTTCTCCTTCCAAAAGTGGATTGAACATCAGCTGTGTCTGTCGCATAGCCTTGCATCCGGTCGATCGCTATACTGGCCTTTTTCAAGCTCGAGGCGGTATTGTGAAGTTCATCTGCTTCCATAATATGCGACGAGGGTCTCTGCGGCGACATGCTGGAAGTTCCCGTGGCTATGTGAATACGCTCCCTGCCACCGGGAACTTCCCGGGTGTAGGTTTGTTCGAAATATTCATCTGGTGGCCTACTAGACGGGCTCTGTTCGTTGTCTCTCGTGTCGGCGCTGAAACTCACTCTGCGTCGTCGTCCATCCCTGTCAGATGAAGTGTTATTATGATGGGAGGTTGAGCTCCGACGGTGGGAGGATTCCGGTTTCATACTGGATCTCGGAGATCTTGAGCCAACATTGCCGGGTGCGACGCCCTCACTGTCACGATGGGTGTCCGATCTCAGAGAGGATCGGGAACTTTTGCGACCAGGGCTTTTGAGGCTGTTGATCCGATTCATTTTGCCGTTTGTACGCTGTGGACAGTTTGGTAACAGATTTCAAAGTTGGCGAAGATAGCGGTAACTGAAGCGATAGAGAGGGAGCTGCGAGGTGTGAGGTCTAATTTGCGACCGCGTCATGGGCACTCTTTTATAAACACGATTGCCTGGCATGGGATGTTTTAACTCGGAGGTTTGATCCCGTTAACCCCGGAAGCTCCCTGTATTAGTACGTATTGTGTTTTTGAGATAATCGCGTGTTCAAACATGTTGCAATTGTGTCTGGGTGAACTTCCGGTTCACGAGAATAAGACAAGGAATACTCCGATACAAAAGATCATTGATAGCATTGCCTATTGATTATACTGTCAACTATCATCAAGCATCCGAATCTTTATACTATAATTTGTTTGAACCTATAACCCTATAGTAAATGTGACATTAGATCCAGAGCAATATAATCAATCCTCGTCAAAAATATCCGATGCGTATGTGATGATAGTTTCAACTACCCGAACTTGCCAGCCAGTGTCGACCATGTTAGTTGTGTTGGAACCCATAAGCGTGGGCCTAATATCACTGTTAGCATAATATACTAGAAGGATGGCCGCGTAGCGTACCCAAAAATTATGGCCAGATTTCCAGTGGTCATGCGGTTCTGGTTGGAACGCTGCTGGACCTTATCCAGATGCTAAAATACTAGTCAGTAGTTACAACAGACTTGTGCCAGAAGATCCTACAAATGTCAGAGCCCTGAGAGTCACGTAGTGTGGGTCAGAAAGTTGATTGATGAGAGCATGAATGGAGTCTCGGCGCCCGATGTCATCATCCACTTCTATAGTTAGGTTGTTAGAAGCTATCGAAAGAATGACTTGGGTAGGTCAGTGACGTACTGGCCGCAGAGATGAAGGAGTGGTAATGCTGCAAGGTGAGTAGAGGGTTTGGAAGATCCCTGAAATATCTCTTCAATAAACTGGTAACATTGTGAATGTTGTGATGGAAATGGGCTGGCAGCTTCAAGTCGTGATGTGGCCAATCTGGAAAAATATTAGTAAGATAAAAAAAAGCGCATATCTAGCAAAATGCTACTCACTCAACTCGAACTCTGCGATCATTCGTTCAATAGTTCCTGGCTTCTCAGACTGGCGGTATATGCCCTGTAGATTAAGGGCATATGTCTCAACGGCCGCGATGCATTGTTGGACAATTTGAGGAACAGGCATGTCCGGATGTCGGGAATAGAGCTCGTCTATCGTCACTCCAAAAACCTTGCGCGAGCTACTGGGTATCGGCGGTGGGGTGGTGTACAGGGTGTCGCTTTGAAATGGGATCTGGGGTTCGAGATGAGGATTGCTTCGGCCAGGGTCATCGAACTCGGAAAGATGGTTATGGACCTTAGGATCATTGCTCCTCCATCCGCTGAATAGACCTTTGAATGTCTTGCTGATTTTGGATTTGCCGTCGGATGACTGCTTGGTTGTACCCTCATATGACTGCCATCCCGGTCGTTCGCTACTGGACGTTATCCCAGCTGCCCAAGTGGCCGCCGCGTCTGTAGTGGCTTCGTTGTATTAGCCCAAACCTCGTTGTGCTCTCAAAGACGATAGAAACATATTTTTTCGGTCAAGCACTTACTAGACGGTTGCGAAACGTTTGATGACTCTGATAGCGGGCTATCTTGCGGTCTTGAATCCCTTATTTCTCTCAATCGCCGCGCAATAAAGGTCTCGGGCTCTTCTTCGTCACCGGTATGTACAACCAAGCTATGGCGTTGATTCTCTGGATATGTTGGAGCAATGGTCTCCGGTGCATTTGAAGTGGTGATTATTCCTGACCCAGGTAGGTCATCGAACTTTCCACCCAAGATAGGATGTGAGTGTTTTTCTATCCGCTGGACTGCTGGAACTCTTTCCCGGACAACACCAGCTTGTGCCGTAGGTTCCTCGGCGTGGACGAGAGTTGTCCCTTCCATGACCGTGGACTGAGGATCGGCGTTTTCAGCCTGGACATTTTGCGTGCTTGATTCACGGTGGATGTCGGGTTGACCTTCACCAAAGATTTGAGCGAGTTCATCCAGAGCCGTCGAGTTGATGCCTGTGATTTCCGGCTTCAACGAATCAACGTGAATCTTCATATCATCCTCGACAGGAGCCGCGTCCCCTGCCAGAGGAACATTAGTCGTCCTGATTGGCCAATCCGCAGGCTGCCCAGCGTCCAGACTCATATTGCCTGATTCACGGCGGATGTCGGGTTGACCCTCACCAAAGAATTGAGCGAGTTCATCCAGAGCCGTCAAGTTGATGCCTGTGTTTTCCGGCTTCGGCGAATCGACGTGAATCTTCATATCATCCTCGACAGGAGCCGCGTCCCCTGCCAAAGGAACATTATTCGTCCTGATTGGCCAATCCGCAGGCTGCCCAGCGTCCAGACTCATATTCTTTCCATGGCTATGTTCAGTGTTCCAAGTTGCTATCTCAGCTTCCCCTATCTGGCCAGGGGGGTTGTTCTCTGATTCCTGTGTGGCGATAGTATTCCAGGTGGCAAGCTCTTCGGTTTCTGTATCTGCCACCCGAGCCGGAGGTGATATATTACGAGCTGATCTAACCGAGCCTTGACGGGATAGAGGAGCATCATTGAACCACGTGTGTTGTAAAGCGACCTCTGCGGTCACACGCTGGATGGGGTCTGGGTGCATGAATGAGAAGATGCATTCCAGGCCGCTCTGGCCCACACGAGCCGCGAGTAGTAGATCGTATGGAAACATCTCGAGATTACTCATGTATGTGAAAAGCATGCCAAGGTTTTTGAACGTCGCCTGCTTTGTGAGCATTTGAAATGCGATCTCTCCGACCGCCCAAAGATCCGGCGCGTATGGACTACCACGCTTGATAAAGCCGTGTAATTCGGGTGCAATATAGCCGAGTGTTCCCTTGAGCGTAGACGACGCTCCAACTTCATCTTCGATTCTCTTGCTGATACCAAAGTCTGCTATCTTGACCCACCACTCATCAGGAGGACAGGACTTGAGAAGGATATTCTATTTCGCCGAAAATGTTAGCTGGTTTTAGCACTGGTTGGGGAAACTCACTCTGGGCTTCATATCACGATGCGCGAATTCGTTGTCGTGCATCAAAAAGAGACCATCTAGAATTTGAAATGTGACCTCCTTGGCTTCGTGTTCTGGCAGCGCCGGCTTATGCTGCAGATACGTATGAAGATCTCCCAACTCAAGGTATTCCATTGCGATAAACAAATGGTCAGGACCTTCATACCAACCGAACGATTTGACGAATGCACGCTCGTACTGCCAAGCGTCAGCATGCATCGTCAACAAAGTTGCGAGATCCCAAAACGAACTTTCCAATGCGAGAATTTAGCTATAGCCTCCAATTCGCGATTATAATCTACCCGCGTCGATTGCCGTCGCACTTCCATCTGCTTGACCGCACGAAGTCCATTTTCGCGCCTGGCTCCCTTGACGCATTTTTCCAGCCAAACGCTTCCATAGCTTCCACCCCCGATCTTTCCATACCGCCTCCAATGTTCAGATCTGGAAACGAGTCGACGTCGCGACTTATAATCCGGCTCGTGGTAGGTATGCACAGTTTCAACACTGCTGTCGGGTATAAAGTGTGTCTCGAGTTTTGAATCCCGAACCAAATCCGGCATTCGAGGGGACAGTAGTTGTGATGAGCTGCGCCTTTGTTCGGAGGGAGGGCCGGAGAATGGGGGATAGAGGCCAGGAGATTGCGACGGGTTCGAATCGCTACTGGGGCTAGCACCAGGCGCCCTCCCTAGCTCGTCCGCCATGGTGAACGTGACTAGCTGGTGAGCACCTTGTCAATTCTTTGGTCATCTAAAGTTCGCATTCCCAATATTAGCTATCGCGCACGATTATGAGGCTGTCGGAGGACTACCAGCAGCGATAGGCCAACACGAGTCAAGATGCTGGTTCATGAGGTCTCAGGCCGTGGGCCCTTGAATCGTGGCGAGAGGTTGACAAAATGCCTTGACCACACGAGACGCTCGCGAAGCGTCAAGACTGATGAATGAACAGGCGAGGCTGTGTTGACGATAAGGCGAAAGTGCGACGACCCCTCCAACTTAGCGCCGTGCATCTCGTATCCCATTGGTTGAATCCCTCAGCCGCACTGTCACGAGGAGCTGTCAGATAAAATAAGACAAGAATTGATAAACGCTGGGAAATCCCCTCGAGAGGTGTCGAGATCGTCGCTTCATCTTGAACACAATGGCCGACCCGATATCAATAATATCCGCCGTGGATTTCTGCTTCAAGTAAGTTCGCCCAACCCTGCACATCACCCGCAGTTATCCGTGGTAGATGGCCTCGCTAAGCCAATTAGGTATGGAGCAATTCTGGTAGAACGCTGTTCTGCTTTCGCTCATGCAGAGTCCGAGCTTTTTGAGCGTTCGGTCCGGGTGAAGAACTATTGGGTCCGGGCCGAGATCCAGTTGAAGTTGGTTCGAAGTATTGCGCACACGCTGGACGAAGAACACCAGATAGTACAGCAAGAGACGCTAGAGCTGCTCGGAAGCAAACTGAAGATTGCTGTCAATAGCATTCAATCTGTGACTAAGACGAAGGACGTGGATGGTCAGGAAGTGCGACAAGTGCAGCGATGGAAGTATACGCTACTGCAACAGAGAATCGACGGAGCCATCCAGGATCTAGAAATTTGGCAGAAGATGTTCGACCCTTCTTGGTATTTGATCATGAAGGCTGCGACCGCTCAAATCGATGCCGAACTGCACACATTCACCCGTGAGGGTCCAGTCGAAAGTCGTGCTCCAATAACCGCCGCCCAATCGCTCAGGATGGCTCTCGACCCTACTGCGACCGGCAATCTTCGAATTTTCCTTCATGAGGATGGCATCAAATCGCTTCAACTTAGTCCTCTTCCTTTGTGCTCCGCGCAACTAGCACAACGGGAAGATCCGTCCAAATCACTCATCCTGGAGCGATTTCATCCTTCTGCAGATGTCAACATCAAGCAGATCGAGAAGGATACTCGGGATTTGGCAAGAAAGCTCGCCCATTCGAGCCCTACTGAATTCGGTCTTCTGAACTGCAAAGGGGTTGTGAAGCATTCCAGCGACGACCCATCCTCACGCAATCCTGCTGCATTCACGTTCATTTTCAGAGTGCCGACTGGCTACTCAAATCCTCGCAGCCTTCGTAGTTGTCTTGCGGAAATGCAGGGAACAGACTCACTCTCCGATCGGTTCAGGTTGGCGAATGAATTGGCGAGATCAGTCAGCTACGTGCACACCTTCGGATTTGTACACAAGAACATCCGACCGGAGACAATCCTGCTGTTAACCAATGATTCATCTGTGGGATCAGCATTCCTGGTCGGGTTCGACAGTTTTCGCATGGCCGAGGGGAGAACCCTGCGCAAGGGAGCTGCGGGATGGGAAAGAAGTCTCTACCAACACCCTAGTCGAATGGGACAGGTCGCCGCGGAAGAATATATCATGCAGCACGATATCTACAGTCTGGGCGTGTGCTTACTTGAGCTAGGCCTGTGGGAATCGTTCGTGCAGTATGATGACAGGACGGGGCCTCTGCCTAATGATGGCTCCAGTTCCAAGCCGACCAGGAATCCCGTTTTAGGAAATGATCTACCATCTGTGCTTTTCAAGGAACACCTGCTCTCCCTGGCGCGTGGGGAGCTTCGCAGCAAGATGGGAACCCGATATGCTGAAGTTGTTGAAACATGTCTCACATGCCTGGATCCCGAGAATGTGGACTTTGGTGATGCAAATGAGTTCCAGGACGAGGATGGGATTCAGGTGGGAGTGCGATATATCGAGAAGGTTAGTGCCTGCGATGCTGTTATTGGTTAGAACTTCGCTGACTCCTGGTAGGTGACCATGAAACTCAACAACATCTGTGTTTGAGATGGGCTGTGGCTAGTGGAGAACCCACAGGAAGTTAGACTTGCACGGGTGAGATGTCAATATGATAAATGGCCGACTTGTGAGACGGACATTGGCTTAGGGATAGAAGTAGGATGAAAACGACTAGGATTTGATGGCGGGTGCTAAGTTGAAGGTGGTTGACGTTGGCGCTCCTTCCAGAAAGGGAAAGCATGGTATCACGTGGTCATATCCTCTGTGCCCTAACTACTCTGCGAACATGCTTGTTATTTCGAGTCTCTACTAGACATCCTCCACTGAGCATCTTAAAACCATTGGAGGTACTTAACAATCTTTGGGTATGAGACGCAAATCATTTTTTAGATCCGTTCAACCGCAAGGTCCCCAACCGGGGGCCATGACGAGCACTACCCGGACGAAACGGATCGATATGAAGTCGAACAATCCTCGTCTATTGGAAGGGTTACCAGCATATAAATCCACATGGGTACCCAAGTCGAACTTGCAAAGAGCGGAGGAGGCAATACAGGACTACCGATTGTCAATCGGACCCGGGGACGAAGTCAAAGCCAAGAGCACCGAAGGCAAGCTCGATATCGAGCTTGACCCGATGGAAGCTACATAATTACCAATCTTAGCAAGTCATGTTTATTTCGATTTCTGTGTTTATTTATTCGGTGCTGTAACAAGTGCGGTAATGGCTGTCTCTCCTTCACTCCTGTCTTGTCGTTTCTCTTCACTTGTCTTCTCTTATCTTCGACCGTTTCCTACCACATATTCATCCTCACCATCCCACCTCTTTCTATTCACAACCAAAACCTACGACACTCTCTCTTGAAATTCCTCTCCACTCGAAACTCAAGCAAGGCCTTTCGAGTTCGTCCCTACCCTCATCATCACAGAATTAGCTGCGATATCCCTAGATCGGCCGTGGCTGAGGTTCTGATCACGTTCATCCGAGTCCTGCCTTGATTGAATCTGTCTAGAGGAAGAGGCTACTGTTCATCATCCACTCCAATCCGACCACGCCCAACCCGATCCCTCGCTTGCTTCTGTCCTTGATTCTCTCCAACCCAGACAGCGTCATTCTGATCCCGTCCAAGGTTCTGGACTAGATTAGAACAACTCGAGCAACCAGGTCTGTCCGACTAAGGGCTTTCTTGACGAGAAACTGTGTCAATACGTAATGGCATCTCAAGACATAAAAGCCCAGCTCAGAAGCTCGGTCAAAAATCCCCCCTCGAGCATCGTTTCCCGCGATGGTGTAGCCCAACGAACTGAGATTTCCCAAATCATGAGCGAATTTCGATCAGAAATCGCTGCATTGCATGATGAGGTGAAAACTATGCGGTCGGAAATTGCAACCTTGCGCGAAGATGTGAAAACTAGTCAGAAGCATCAAGATAGATCCCGTATCAACTTCGAGCTGAACGGGGGAAAGTCTATGCGCCAGTTTCGAAATCTCATAGTGCAACTGGCGGGTTGGACCGTACCTCCCACTTCGACCCCCGCTTCGATTGCTCCGGTTTCGACTTCTACCGCGCCTCCTTCCTCAAGTGGGAATCCGATTCCAGTCCCCACAGTTGTGGCTCCGACTTCGATTCGAACCCCCGCTGACGTGCCTCCTCCAGTCATTCCTAATTCGGCGGCGATATCAGCCTCGTCGGCGGTGCCAGCTTCAACGCCTAGGAATCGATCCCGAACCCGATCTCGGCGTCGTTCCTCGCCCTCCGGCTACAGATACACATCCCCGAGGGGCAGCTCCCGTCGTCGTTTGCCCGAAAGCTATGGTGACCACGAGTCAAGAAGACGTTCAGGAAGGCCATCCGCCGACGAGTTGGGAAGAGGCTCGGACCGTGATAGATACGACTCGGAAGACGGTGCTGTCTACTACAATCCGTGGTCCCTACGCGAATCTAGAAATGACCAACGGTCGTTCCGTCCTCATGCCGAATGTCGTCCGCCGCGCCATTCGACTGAGAGTGATGTTAACCACTACTACTACTGGGAGTGATTTCTCTACGCTCGGATTTCTTTATTCGGAAGAAGATGATTAGCTTGATGGTGGATTGGGGTCGTTTTTACCTTTTTTCCTTTCCTGTTTCTTTCTGAATTCGTTCTGCTAAATCTCCACTCGATGCATTCCGTCTTCTTTTTAGAAATTCTACCGCGTTGCTCTCACAACGCTTTTGCTTATGACTTATTGTGCGTTGCTTGTTTTTATGCGTGTGTCATTCAATATCGGTTTAGGTAGAGGTCAACCCTATCATGGTGTCGGCGGCAAATGTTTGCATAAATTCGCTCTATTATCCAAAGCACAGATTTTCTTTTTTGCAATGAATTAGGGAATTAAACGATAAAACTATAAAATAACAAATGCAAGTCGAGGACGGCATATGATAAATCAGGCGTAGGAAAGTAGAAATCACGAGGCCGAATGAATATAAAACCGAACTGAGACGTATCCGTAGCTGGGCGTCCACCCACTGCCGATACTCAGGAATGGCAAATTCGTAGTCGGCATGCCAGAATACAGAGGTACGAATGGCGAACAGCGCAAAAGAGCATCAGTCGATCTGCACGGGATGGAATGCGGAGTAGGTTGTTGGATGGATATTACAGTCACGATCAGGATGCCAATCGGGATCACACGCGGAAGTTGAAAAGAGATGAAGATAGAGGGAGGTCAGAAACGGGATGGGATCTAGATTAGACGATGAATCCTTCTACCGCAACTCAACTGGCTTTAAAACAAACCTTCTTGAGCCCCATAATCTGGAGATGCCTCACTTTTCTGTTCCTTCCCAGCCGAGAAGCTCTGATTACCAAGCAGAGACTCGATCTTCATCCCGGGTTGCAAGCGAAGAGACATGTATAGCCAAGGAGGAATTATCTATGTAGTATAAGTTCAAAGGATGAGGATCTGTTCTGTACACACTGCTAATCATGAAAAAATATATCTTTGTCAATTCAAAATGCGGAAGTAATTTCCTAGGAGACCATACATCATGTATCCATCGTATCGGTTAGACAAGAAAATCCAAGTATCACCTATCCCGACAGGAGTACCTCCGAAGCGGATGTCATCGCAAAGACAGCGGGCAAATAAATGATCGTCGACGGCGGCGGTGGTAGGAATGGCTTACGTGGCGTCTCGGCTAGTTATTGTCATCAATACCATATACATCAAGCAGAATAGATGATACAAGAAATGAAGTAGAATGAATATATGAAATAAGAACTCATGATTTGCAATAGGTATCCATGCATATATACAAAATGATCTACATATAAACAAAACCCCGACCCCAACTCCAACCCTAGCAACCATAGATGGTATGTGATATCCAAAAAGAAAACCCATAAAAAACATAACACATGCAATAAAATATCTTCTTCTTCTTCCATGTCATGCTTCTCTCACACTTCAATTATCATCATCCCCAGTTACCATACCTCAACTCAACTTAGGTTAAGTAAAGTTAACTGAAGCTAGACATTCTCCGCATGATACGACTGCGACTCCTTCCTCGCATACTTCGCATCCATGCCGCCGTGGCTCTGAGAGCGGATTTCAGGCATCTCGAACGTGCTGCTCTTCCAGGGAACGACCTTGTTCACGTACATCCAGTCAAGTTCCTCGAGCGTACGGCCGCGACCCTCGATGACGAAGAAGTACACCACAAGGGCAGCGAAGAAGAGACAGCCTGCGAAGACGTAGCCGTAGGCGAAATCAATGTCGTTCGTGATGAACGGGGTGAAGAATCCGATGAGGAAGTTCCAGAGCCAGTTGGAGGCTGTCGCGAGGGCCATACCCTTGGCACGGTATTTCGATGGGAACAATTCGGCGGCGATAGCCCAGATCATCGGGCCCCAGGTCATCTAGAGAGGATCGTTAGCGCGTTAATTAACGCGGATTTGAGTTGGGGGAGGTTTGGGGAGGTTTGGGGAGTTGGTGGACTTACGGCATAGGTGGTGATGAAGAGACAAGCGAGCACAATCATGCCCTTTCCGGCTCCGGGAGTGTTCGTAGGAGTCTGAACGTCCAGAACGAAGTGTCCAACGGACGCGAAACAGATAAAGAAGATGAACATGAGACCGGCACCCGTAATGAGGGACTTGCGACGACCGAAGTTCTCAACGACGTAGAGACCGCCGAAGGTGGTTCCGAAGTTGACGGCACCCAGGATGACTTGTGTGATGAAACTGTTGGAGATACCGGCACCTTGGAAAATGGTAGTTCCCTGTGATATGATGCATAAGTATATGATATTTTGGGTGGGGTTGGTGGGGTTGGTTGGTGGTGGGAACTCACGTAGTAGAAGAAGTAGTTGGCACCGGTAAGCTGCTGCAGAGACTGAAGCACCATACCCAGCAACACACGGTAGAACATGCGAGGAGCGGTAAGGAACTCGTGCCAGGCCTGCTCCTGAGACTCGGCATCGAGCTGCGCCTGGACCTCCTCCAGTTCCTGGTTGATCAAGCGGTGGTTCTCCGGGATACCGTACATCTTGGCCATAGTGGCACGGGCATTGTCGACACGGCCATGACGGTACTCGAAACGAGGAGACTCCGGGAAGAAGACCATGCCGCCACCGAGCAGGAGAGCGAAGAGGAAAGTCAGGCCCAGGGTGATACGCCACTGGCCCGTGCCCTCCATAGTGTTGGTTCCCAGGTTAATGCAGTAGGACAGGAAGATACCCAGGGTGACGAAGAGCTGGTAGCAACTGATCATGGCGCCACGGATCTGACGGGGGGCACTTTCACCCTGGTACATGGGCACCAAGAGCGAGCAACCACCAACACCCAGACCGGTAACCCAACGACCCATGACCATCTGGACCCAGTTCCCGTCGGGAGAGGAGATCTGGACGATCAGACCGACGATGAGGATCAGACACCAGAAGGTGATGGACCACTTTCGGCCGAACTTATCGGCGATGGGAGCACCGCAGAGCGCACCGATCAAGGTACCGATGGACAACAGACTGACGATCAGACCGGAACGGACCGTGCTGAAGGAGTAGGAGCCGTCGGCGTTCTGTTCGCCGTAGCGTTCCAGGTAGTTGGACATTTCCTGGAAACCGGAGATCTGACCGGTATCATAACCGAAGAGCAGACCACCCATGGAGACGAAGGCTCCCATGACGAAGGCCCGAAGGGTGCATCGGGGCACGGGAGTGTCTACGCCAACATCGGACGGCTTGTTCATAGCTACAGACTCTTGGCTGGAGTGTTCGGCGTGGGGAGCGACAGCCGGGCTGATCGACTCCCCGTGATGGGCAGAGGATTCAATACCCATAGTGTGGGAGGTGTACGATACGCGGGAAGATGGTCGCGAAAGAGCGAGAGGAATCGGGTCCGAGGATTATCCAAGTAAACAATAATTGATGCAAGCTGTATGCTGTATGCAAGGAAGGGAACACGAATCCCAATAGACGAAGCAAGGATTCACCAACCACACGGGGTATCTTGACAAGGGAGTGGATGGTTAGGAAAAGAAATGAATGTCAAATAGAAAATTGATGGCAAAAAAAGTTAATCCAGATTCGGGGGGGATGTCCCCCTTTTATGTTACATCGACTGTCCCTACAAGGGAAATGGGGACAGCAAAAAAAAGGAAATAGTAAAAAAAAAAATCAAAACCCAAACCCAACAGTTATTCGACGAGAGGGAGAAAAAATATCCACCGTCAGGATGTGGAGGCGGCCGAGTGCAGAGCCAGTGTCGAGTCGGCAGGCACGGGGAAACGCCAGACATTGCCCACTCTCTGCCTCCTGTCAGAGACTCCGTCAGAGGCAGCCGGCAACAGCAGCAGAGAGACGGACCATGGAGAGGGGCCGACCGAAACCGACGAGAACCAGTCAGGAGGGCCGGAATGCTGGGGGACAGTCGGGTTCCACGGCCAGCTCGGAGAAGGCTCTGGTTCGTCATAGTGGCCAACACCGTCGGAGCCTGGTCTGGGAACTAGACGAGATGAAGGGGATCAGCGCCACTGGCTATGATGTCTGATTGAGCGGCATGTCAGCGAGGTGGTTTTTTGGTTCAACGAATTGCGGGAGAGAAAGAAACATTGGCATCTACAGCGGCCGGCACGATCATCGCAGAGATCCCCAGGACGCAGAATCGGCACCGAAACCGACAGCGTGGATGAAGCGGCGAGCGAAAACAGCCACGTTCCTGGGCGTGGAATCCCTCGGCATGCCTTGAAGGAAGCCGACTTGGCTGCGAGCGGCAATAGGATGAAAAGAGAAGGAAAGGCGAGGAATGAAAGGAAGCCGACGGTCACGAGACCCCGGTGCGGGTACTTGCGGGGCCCCTCCAGAGTCTCGGCAAGTTGCCGTGGAGTCTTCGCCCGACCGTCCGGAAGGACACGGAGAAAAAGACGCAGGGCTCAAGCGCTCAACTCTGGAGATTTCCTCATCTGTTGACCGGTGAAGCCCATGGCCTCCCCCATGAACGGCCTCAAAAGGAGGGGAAATGCGGAGGAATCGCCACTAAAAACGTGCCATGACATCGCATGGCCGACCGGTTTGATATTCCAGTTTCTTGCGCGACACCACAATGTCATCATCTTATTCTATCATCTACACCTCCGGGCAGGATGTCTCACGGACTCCTAAGCCGTCCCGATTTGTCTCCTCCTAGTCGGGTCAGCTGGCAAAATCAACGTTTTTGCCGACCGAACAACCTGCAGAAAGTCGGCCCCGAAAGCCGGCAAAGCGAGCTGAAATCTTTCGATGCCAATGCCCAAATTGCTCTGGAACCAGAAGGCAACCCGACCGAGCCGATTCTCGTCAGTGGCGCTGGGTTCGGAATCGTGGTTGGTTCTGGAATCATCCACCGTCTATCCAAGCTTTGTGGATGCCCGCCCAACGTTGCTCACGATCCTTCGGAGCAATTTCTTTGATTCAGGAGATTCAAAAGATGGACTCCGTACGGGACAATCTATTAAATCAACAAATGTCTACTTCTGTCATTTCTCAATAAACGGTCCAGAGTAAACATTCTTCAATTTACTTTATTTTATCTTTCCTGTTTCTGTCTACCCCGTACTCCGTTCTCCCCCCTTAATCACCCGCAAATTAAGTGATGACTAACAGGTTGCATCCGACGAACCCTCAGCCTCTACGGAGTAGGGCTAGGGCTGTCCGGGCACCTGATCGCTTACAGACTCCGGCCCGACATGACGTAGCCCCATTCCCCCTCAAACATCGCCCTCTCCATCTGGAGAACGGAGGCCTTCCGAACCCTCCTTGACTCGTTTCCCCGTGGAACTTGCCCGGAACGACAGAAGTCAGCCCAGACTATGCATTTTCCACCTCCCGGGGGGCGAGAACCGCCTCTGCTCGCCACGCCTCGCTACCGTCGGGTTTAACCTGTTGATTCCACGTGTTCCTTGGTTGGGATCTTTTTTATGAGATGATGAGTTAATCGATCCTATCTTGCAAATTGCTACTGAGATCGTACGGAGGAGTCAATGCTTGTCTACTTTCTAATCTTCTGATCTGTCTATATCGGTAACATCCCGTTCGGCCTATATGGGGGACAATTCCTCGCAGCCGATATATATTTCCGAAGTCCGTCCCAACTCCGTGCCTCCGCATTCACCTTGCATGCCGGAGATCCCGGGGAATCGACCAGGATTAAACAAGTAATTGTTCAACGCATGTGGCGTACATAGTACACTGTAAACTAGAGTTCAAGGCTTTCTTCAATGTTCTAGGCACGATCGAGTGGCATGATTCATGCGGTCATCCGGACGCACTCCCAGAAACTTCTGGGCAACATTTCCTGGGAACCCAGTCCGGAGCACGGTCGGGTTTCTTTTCCCAACCCTACTCAGTAGTCAGTACACAGTACTATGTCATAAATGTCAAACTTGGCAGTCCCTCCGGAACAATAGCAATAGCACAATGACAGTGTCTCTTCCGTAGAAACCTATTGCGGCGCTTCACTTCCGTTCTCGGCACCATGACGTCGATATAACGTGGATGCCGATCCGGTTTCAAGTTTTTTGCCCGCAAACCAATCACCCCCGGCACGTTTTCAACTGGACTCTGTACTCCCTGGGGACTAGGACTGCAGTTTTATGCACCTAGTCTGTAGCGGTGCGTTTAGTTGAGGAACCGCTGGAGTTTGTTATCCTCATCTCATCCGAAGGGGTAATCCGACCGCTTAACCTTAACTACTCCGTCAGAGGGCGGATCGGAACTGTGGACTGAGGGGAATTTAGATCGACAATGATTGAAAAAATGCTGCAGTCTAGTCTGGATATGGAAAATCGAACGAGGGGTTATTCTGAATAGCCGCGACAAGCATTGTGTTCCCCGCAGATAGTTTCGTCATTTTTTAGTAGTGTATGGAGTTGGTAGGAGATACAATGCGTTTGGCGAACGGTGATCGGCTTTCAGGGTTTTATGGAGACCCTCTCGCCAGGTGTCTATTTGTATACGCCTTCTGGAAGTCGAGGTCATGCTCTTAGTAAAATAGCCTCAACTTGCCTAATTTAGGGGTGTTTGGCTGGAAGAGGGTGGGAATGTTGTTCGGACTAACCATGTAGATTTGGTTCATTATTATTGGGAATAGTCTGCATCTTTCTACTAATACTACTACTACTACTACTTTTGCATCGGGAATAGAGTCTTGGGAGGTGTAATGTCTTCGAAGTACACAGCCCCTGAAATATATATCCCTCGGCACATAACCCGTACATTTAACTACAAGTGTTGGACCCCAGGACGTCTGGAAACGGGGCGACCACCTTGGCAGTCAAAAGCAATTGTAGGCTTTTGGAACTAAAAAGTCATCGACTACATTAATCAATTCAATGAGTTCATGGATGTAGAAAGGAAGAGAGGCCCTCCGTGGTGTTGCCTACAAAAGCGTCATGGCTTGGCAGTGGCGCCTCAGGCATCCAAAACGTCTACAATGTCCTCTTTGCACGAACATTTCTTCTTTTCCACTCGCTTTTCGTGCTAGAGTTAATGCTAAAATTGAATTTATCTGAATGCAGGAATTATCACCATAGGGGTATTCCTTGGGTGAAGAATTCTGGAAGTCTGTGAATGTGGTTGTAGGAATGAACTGCGCTTTCCGGAACCATGTGAATGTTGTCGGAACTATGGATGCATTGCGCCTTTTGTTTCCATTGCATGACGCTATTATCTCATTTCTTCGCCCAGCATTTGGAGAAAGATGGGTAGTAAATTATGTATAGTTCTATCCCACAATTTGCACCTTCGACTATCCTGCAAAACCCATCCCTCCACAGAAAAAGACGTCCTACCCAGTATCAGATACTCATAATCTACATGTATACAAAGCCCTACGCCTTTATTGGCAATGGTAAGACGGTTATCTATGGCTCTGCGCAATGGATGCGAAGAAAGTGTAGAAAATTAGGTAGTATGCCACCCACACCCAAGAAATTCCCTTATCAGGGCAGGTGAAGCCAACAGCCCTAATTCACCTCCGTCCGGGAAAACCACCATCTACATCCAAGTCACTAACGTAGGCAAGTAGGATTAGTAGACCAACCAATTCACCACCTAGATAGTAGAAGGCGTGAATTGCAGGATTTTGGTGATATATACCCTCACTTTCTCTCTCGTTTTCTCTTCCTCTCTAATCCTTTCCCACCCATCTCTCTTGTCATCTCCGTTGCCCATGCGAATGAGTTTCTTCAAGACTATATCATGAATAGGCAGATCCAAACCCAATGAGACTCAATAGCGCAAGTGTCTCGATCAAGGATGTAAGGGATAGTTTGTTTGCTCATCTACATCGTCTGACAGTGTCTTGAGCAAGGTTGCAAGGGATAGCTTGTCCAGCTCTCTGTGCCATGACATACAAAACAAGATCTGGCAGTGTGGAGGAACTTATCGTCAGGGGGTTGCGCTCTGATCGGAATCATTGGAGAGATTCAATATAAAAGGTAAGCTACGTTTGTTCTCCTTCCAGCTCTTTGTCTTGGAAGCAAACTGAGATGGTCCTGACCAAGCACACTTTTCCAGGATCCACAAACCGGCGTATTGATGCGGACATCCTTCAAAAACCCTCATTGTGGAGAATGTCATTCGCGGTTCTTGATGAGGTTTCTTTTGTCAAAGTGCTTCCAAATGGAAAGGAAATTTTCCAAGTTAGTCTTCCTTGCAATGCAGATACCACTTTCATCTAATCCCAGACGGGTCGAGTTTGTATACAACTACTAACATTGGAGGGACATATTAGTACCAAAGAAGTGGCGAATTGCAAACAGACGATTGAATCTGCTATGGGTATATAGCCCATACATAGCTTGCGTGACCGGACATTGTATAGTCTCTTAGCTATACAACATTCGCCATCTTCCCACAGTCTTCGTTTAAAACACGAGTCCAGAAAGTTGCGCTGTCTACTGGATAATATAGTCCACTTGGTACTCAATTGACAGCTACTAGTCAATTGCAAATGGTGGATGCAGAAATCATGCGTTCGAAAATCAACGTCACAACCCATCAAACCGAGTCATCCAGAGACTTACCAACGTTTACAAGTCCCGGAGAGTGGAAGCCGAGATCCAATTGATAGATTAGCCTTCTTCGCGTCTTCACGGGCCCTTCGGTATTCTCTTCGACAAACCATGAATCCATACAGGTTTCCGAAAAAAAGAACAGGCGAAACATTTTCGCTTTTAGAAGAATTGGCCTTGTTTCTGTGGATTGTCCACGTGAAATTCAGAGTACCACCGATGATGACACAAAGCTGATGGAACCTTTTGGCTCGAACGAGCGGACGATATATATGGACAAAGTTCAGAAGTCCAGTATTATCACGCGTAAAAGAGAAATCGATTACGAGCCTTGGGATCCCACAAAATCCTATTCTAAATCACTCTCCCCAGAAGCGTTGCCATATTGCAATGAACAAACGAAAAATCTTGCAAACCCGCTATTACCTCCAGAACAGACCAAACTATACGATCATTAGATCGCGAGAACCCTAACCGGCGATTAGGCTGCGGCATATCCATATCCATGGACATGGAAGACATATCCATTGTCAGGAACCCTCCGATCTTGAGAGCTACGTGACCCACAGATAGAATAGGAGCTTCGCTCAGAACAAGCTGCACTGCATGCAGCTTAATCTTCGTCAATGCATACCTACGTTTCTTGAGGTCAGTGCCTTACAGGCTGCCGTGCTGGACATGGTCCGGCGTAAGGAGCGCGGCAACAAGGAAGTTGATTTCACCTTTGGCAAGAACCGTCCCAATACCTCGTCTACCCCTGCCTCGGGCACTACCAGCGCTCCTGCCCCCTCTGGCACCTCATCGTCCGCCCCTAAGGGCCGCTCTGGCACCGCTGCACCCGTGAATACCCGTGGCTCTGCCTCCGCTGGTCCCGCTGTTGCACCCTTTGTTGGAGCCTGCTGGTATGGCTTGCGGCGCTAGCCTGCACGTAGTTAGTCAGTCAGCTGACCCACACTGGGGCGCTGCATTTCTAGAACCTCTGCAGTTGTAGTATTGGAGATAATCAAGCGTTTCCATCCGACTCCCTAGCACTTTCAGAGCCGACGCTCATCACCCTTCGCCAGTGGTGGCCGCCGTTCTCACTTCCCTCCCTCCAGTGCTAAGCCTGAGGGTTGGACTGGTGAGTGGTTTGAACCGCAGCGCAGCCCCCCGAAGCTTACTGCCGAAGACAAGACTGCTCTGACCCGCGCTGGCCGCTGTTGGGGCTTCCGTGTCTCGAATCACCGCGCTAGCGATGCCTGCTGTCCTTATTTCAACTCTCATCGTTCTGTGAATGAGGTTACTGCTGCGGCAGGCCTCGAGCCAATCTCCGATTCGGAAAACGAGTAGTCCCTGATCAAAGTCGTGACCAGGGACCTGATTCAAGAGAGGTTCAGAATGATCATCGCTTCTTATCGTCGTTAGAATTAGGTTTGGAGGGTCAGCTTAGGCAGGGCCGGCACCTGGTTGTGTCTGCTCAACTCTATAGGTAGCCCGGAACAACACTCGTTCTGACAGATAATGGAATTGAAGTTGAAGCTATTGATCCCTCTCTCGTACGCACTTTCAATTTGCCTATTCTAGACCTTGTTACGCCGATCCCGCTCCATTTCGCGGACGGTACCCTTTATTTTACTGTCACCCAGATAGCCATATTCGACTGCACAAGACGGCCATACCGAGCAACTGGCAGCCTATATCGCTCCCTTGGCACGCCACAAGTTAGTGCTAGGTGACCGTTGGTTGACCACGCACAATCCCCATATTGATTTCACGAATCGCACCCTTCCGTTTAACTCGCCTCACTGCTTCGCAGAGAGTTACCTACCTCGAGGTGCTCCCTGCACTGCGCATACCCGCGGCTCCAAAGCTTTAGTGAGCAAGACTACGGCCCAGATTACTGCTGATAACAGTATTTCGATCGTTTCTGCTAGACGTTTTATCTCCCTAGTGAGTCACCGGGATCATCACGGCTATCTCGTTATGACTAGAGATGGCCGCAAGCACCTCTGCGCCTCTATCACCAATGCGGTGCGGCCTGAAGATTTCGACAAGAGCTTGGCCAACAAGGCGGCCTATACGGTTGACCAGCTGAAGGAACGAGTCCCCGAGAGGTATCACTCTGTGAATTGATGTCTTTATGAAACACGAGGCCGATACCCCGCTATTGTCTGCGCTGGAAGGTTAGAAAATAGGATTTTCTCTAGAGACGATCAAGGAAAGGATCAATGTCGCTGTGTACGAGAGAGTCAAGATCCGGGGGAGGGGCTGTCGGAACAACATCGCCTGGCGCCCTGGCGATTCTGTGAGCGCTTATGAGAATAGGAATTGAACTAGAGGAGCCCTGACTGGAACTCAACTTGAGGAAATTGGCGTTATAATAGGGGAAGATGGAGTGATAAGATCGATACAAGACCCAGAATCCCAGCCCGGGTGAGTCGAATGTTTGGAATCCTACGGCTGGGGTGAAAATGACTTGCTTGCAGGAAAGACAAGACTAAATCGAGTCCTGACTGAGATCGAAATCAGGAAGGAGGTAGACGAAATCCAAATGAGAAGGGTCACCTGCAAGCTGCGAGGCCCTAACCCATTCGAACATCCAGGACCATGATGGATTGGAAGAGATCGAAGGAGGGCGCTCTATAAGATGGAGTTGCGACAGCAAAAATACGTTGCCTCACAATTTATTCCCCATTGTGCGGTGTACTAGGGCTATAATTTCACCAGGAGGAGCTTGTTGAGCGATAAAAAGCTTGCCTTGATAATTTTGGGCAACTCGACCTGATTAAAGAAGACGAATAGTATTGGTTCTGGTTCCGGGTTGGTCGACGCCCCCAGCTAATCAGCGAAACTACTTCCCAGAAGCAGCCAGAGATCTTCCGGGTTAGAGCCGATGGCTCTCCATTATTCCACCCTGCTGCCATCACACCGGAAAGAGTAGCAGACGTCCTGGAATTGGACGGCGAGCAAAGAAGCACCTATCCTGGGACTAGAGAGAAGGGAATGGCGCTTTTGAAAGGCATGTTCGACCATTGGGTGGATTGCTGGTTCTCTACGCCGAACTCACTTGAAGAAATAAGACTCCACGATACAGTAAGTCTTGAGAGCAGACCTCACGGTGTATCTTCTCATCCTCGGGCTGCGAAGGGGCCGGAATTACAAACCAATCTCGTATCCTGAGCTAGCAGACCATGTGTTCGGGAAGACTCTAGCTTTTGATATACGCATTGACACGAGCGCAAAAGTTATATTCAAGTATTTAAGGAGATTTGTTCCCACCAGCAGACGGATACAAGATTTTATTTCTTACTCTGGAACACCTGTAGAGCTTAGCACTTCTGTAGATAGTGTTGATACGTTTCAAATACATTTAAATGATTGATCGACTGTAACTTTTACGACGTAAAAACAGCGCGAATTGGACTCCCACAGGATGATAGCATAAGGGTTCTGTAGTGTGCAGAAGTTTTCAGCTAAAAAGTTAGGTAATTTCCATGATATCATCTGGCAAAAAGATGGAAATGTCAGTGAATGACAAATCACCTAATTGGGGATGCCCTGCGTTTTCCTGGCAACTTCCTCTTCTCTCACCTCTCTACCTATCTTACATCTATTTATTCTCCCTCTTATCCCCGTCTATTTCAAACTCTACTCTACCAGCCATCTCGATGATTCCGTAGCTCACGATGAGTGACGATACTCACAAAAGATCTGCAACCACACCAGAACCTTCCACGATGTCCGTTGAACGCTCAGACTACTTGACGCCTAAGGACCATTCGGTCTCCAGTGACGCATCTTCGACAGATTCGATTAATTCCCCATTACAAACCGAGCCTCGTGCCCCAATAAGGAATTCAGTTGAAACAGGAGCTGAAGACACACTCAGAACCCTTCAGAACGCGACTGAAGCCCTGTTGCCTATGATTGACATTTTGGCCGGCGTCTGTCAGGACTTAGGAGCTTTGGCTCCGTACCTGACGGATTTAGGCCAAATTTTGCGCAGGAATACAGCGCATGTTTCAAGATCAGACAACACGATCTTCGATTCTGAGCCAGCGGCTTTCCACGCGACGTCTAACCTGTCCGACCCTCGCGAATCTCCACGTGCCAGACAAAAGCCCGTCAACAACTTGACCGATCCATCGGCATTCGAGATCGTCCCGGAAAAAAAGCCTTCCAGCAGGCAATCCGGTAAGACTGGTACTCGACTCACTTCCATGGTGGACAGTGAGGGCTCAGATTCCGAGTCTACGGGATCTTCTGCCCCGCTGATAACGAAACGACAAAAGACAAACCGGGTGCAAAGCTCTATTCTTCATTAAACAAATGATGACCAAAAGCATAGCGTGAGTGAGGCTCCAGCTGTCCCAGGCAATGACAAATCTAACGATCAGACCAGGGAGCAAGAGATGGGGTTTGACAAACAGGCGCACAAAGCCCCTGGAATTTCTCCTCACGAATATCTGCTTTTACGCCTGCATCCGTGTCCTCCAAGAGGTGTTGATTGCCCTCCCCCCAGTGTAATCAATTCGAGAGGAGACCAGGCGACACCCAACTTTCCCCGTCCGTTGAATCCGCCCCGTCGGCTGGGTACGGAAGAGCTCCCCACAGCTAAACTCTTCAGCCAAGAGGCAGTGCCGATTAGGATGGAAATGCAGGTACTCAAGCCCTTTGCTTGTCCGCCATTATCTACGGCTAAGGGAGACGTAGGACGTGAATCTTTGCATTGTGCTCAATCTAGTCGAGTCAGTACACTATATTCCATCAACCTATACCCCAACAATCTATCTGAGTCCCAAGGAACCTTGATAAACACATTTACCTGGGATTCAGGCCTCATGTGTTCGACCCGCATGAATTCTTATGTAACGGCAACTTGGCCAAGGAAATGGTTTATTAACATGCCGAGCCGTGAAGAGATTCGACACGCTGTGCCCGACACAGCCCATCCAAGAGCACGGCATTTTAAAGACAAAGAGGTGAATCAGGTTGTCCGCCATCTCGAGACATGGTTCAGGGACCAGAACCCTATCTCGTATCATGGATCCGAGGATGATAATGTGATTAGGCACATGCAGGGAAGTAGATTGTGATTATTCAGATCTTCGGCCGCTTGCATTCGTTTTTATGTGCTTTGCGCTGTCACATTTTGTGAGATTCCATGTTTGATCATTCTTCTTTTAGAAGTTGTTGGCTGCGTTCTTTGCTATCATCGTGCCGGATCTTTGTTGTATTCACATTCATGCTTTTCTTTACCATCATTGGTGAACTGTTGTTTGCGAGTAAGTTGTGATATCAATAGATTTTCTTCTAACAAAATTTCGATTCTTGGATACTTCGCTCTTTCGAAGCCCGTAGACAGGCCGAGCCGCAATGATCTGAATAGCAGTGTTAGTTGGTATAGCAGATAAAGGGAATTAGATGTTTCGGTAAAGTCTTAATTGTCCAGAATAGGTAGCTAGTGTTTGTAACAGTGACAATATTTGCTTAGCTCTAACCCAGAAAAGCCTTCCCACTACTGTATTGTCCCGGTCAAACCATCATACTCCTTCGTATGCTATTGTCACCTCGAATAATAGCCCCTCCATCCCCGTTACTTTCGCCAACTTAACATCCTCTACTGGCTCCTCCCTTGGCCATTGAGAACTAATGTACCCATCACCCCGGGCTGATCTCATGCGAAATTCACCAACGGGCAAGAAGGTTCATGGGGTGACCTGGGAATACTTTAGCCTGTCACATTCGTTGGTCCGCTGCGGACGCGGAAATTTGATGTCTTGTTTGGACACTAACTTTTATATATCCGCTTGTTTTTGGCATTTTCGTATGACAAGCCATAGTTTTATATTCCCGGTCCCGGGCCGAGGGTGATGATCGCCAACTGCGAAAACGACATGAATAAACCCACGTCAGGCAAATATCCCAGGCCTTGAGAAAAAAAATATCAGGTTGGTTCTTCCAATACCAGGGTAGAGATACAACTACTGGGAACTGACTCGAAGCAGGTGAGGTTATTAAGAATCCCAAAGAGAAAAGTGACTAAGAACGAGGTGTGACGTTAAGTACTGCGCAGTCGGGCCCGAATGCCAGCGATGCAAACGGGCAACCTCGCCCGATCTCCGACTTCCAAGTGGCAAACGTTCCGAGCAGAATGACTCCGGTGAGGCTGACTTCGGGGGATCGACCCCCCTCCCCTGTTTGGTATAACGACTGGCTGACGGTGGACAACGATATGGAGGACGATCTTTTATGCTCCGAGGGCGACTTCAGCCATGGCGACTCGATCACTGGCGAATTGAGCACCTTCCATGGAAGATGGCGTAAGCTACCGAGACCGTCAGAGCTAAGCGTCGACAATATGCCGTAGAGAAGTTTCTCGAGCCCGAAAGAAAAGGACCAGGAAGGTATTCATATCCAACATCTGGTACAGAAGGCTGGGACGAAAGTGCCCTTTTCGGCTCGATTTGTGTACCCCATACGTCAATGAAGTATCAATTCTCGGCTCTTGAAATCAGTAACCCCACGCGACGAGAGGAAGGTAAATAGCCGGCCACCTGCCAAGACGATCGGGCCTAGACCGAGACTGCGGGGTACCCCACACTGCCTTACCTGTCTCTAGAATGTGGGGTACTGGTTACACCGGTCAGTCCCCTTTCGTGGTCAGCAATATCCTCCTCTCTCAAGTGTCAGCTCCACTTCATGCCATTCCTCGCTGCACAGGACCCAGAATCACCACTCCACGATGGAGAAGCCATCAACAATGAACATCGACCATGTCGATGACAGTCCGAGAGATTCTGCTGTCGAGAAAGACTTCCACGATGCACATTCCCCGCCCGAGTTCTCGCCGGAGATGGAGAAGCGTGTGTTCCGGAAGATGGACCTGCGGTTGATTCCGATGCTGTCGCTCCTGTACCTTCTGGCGTTTTTGGATCGAGGGAATATTGGAAATGCCAAGATTGAGGGATTGTTGGAGGATTTGAATATGACGGGGCCGCAGTATAGTTGGACTTGAGAGTTGACTGGGATGGGGCCTTTGTGGAGGGATAGAACTTGGGAGCTGACGTGAAATAGTGACGGTCTTCTTTTTTACCTACGCCGCTTTTGAACTGCCGAGTAATTTGCTTTTGAAGAAATTGAGGCCTTCACGATGGCTGCCGATAATTATGATTGCTTGGGGAATTGTCATGGTATGCTGCACCGAGAGTGCTGAGAGAGAGTATGCTGATCTGTTGGCGTCTAGACATTGATGGGAGTCGTCCAAAGTTATCAAGGGTTGCTGGTTGCTCGTCTGTTTCTCGGTCTGGCTGGTTAGTTTTGCTGCACCTCTCTTCGGGATATTCAACTAACAGATTCATGTTCGTCATACAGAAGCAGGCCTCTATCCCGGAACCGCATACTACATTACCCTCTGGTACCCCCGTCACCGCGCCCAATACCGACAAGCCATGTTCTTTAGTGCAGCAAGCATCGCGGGCGCTTTTTCAGGGATCCTAGCCTTTGCCATTGCTGTAGGTAGAAATGCTCGGTTCTAGAATTCCCGTTAATATTACTAGAAAATGGATGGCATCGGCGGATATGAAGGATGGCGCTGGATTTTCATCCTTGAAGGTCTTCTTACCGTTGTCGTTGCGTTCATCGCTCCCTTTGCGATTCACGACTCCCCTGAGACAGCCACATTCTTAACCGAGGAAGAACGACAATTCGTGCTTCATTCCGTGCGCTTCCAGACATCTGCAGGGCACGATATCGGCCATGTCGTGGAGGAAGAGGAGATAAAATTCCGACCTCGCTATGTGATCGATGCCTTGCTGGATTGGCAGATCTATGTTGCATTAATCAGTATGTCCCCACCCGAAGGCACTGTGACAAGGTATCTAACTCCAGCCAGTGTATTGGGGAATCACATGTCCTCTATACGGTATATCTTTCTTCCTCCCAACCATCATTAAGGACCTGGGCTATACGTCTTCCACCGCCCAGCTCCTCACCGTCCCGATATACGTTACGGCTGCGATCGTGGCCATCGCCGCAGCATGGGTATCCGACAGACGGCGACAACGCTCCCCCTTCATCCTCTTCTTCATGTTCCTCATCGCCATGGGCTTTGTCATCGTCCTCGCGTCCACTGGAAAAGGCGTCCCTGGTGTGGTATACTTCGGTGTCTTTCTCGTCGTCATGGGTACCTTATCCCAACATTCCCATTCTCATCCCTACTGAGCGTTACTAATGAACGAAGGAATCTATCCCGCCTTTCCAGGAAATGTCACCTGGCTCAGCGTCAACCTTGCGGGCGACTATAAGCGCGCCGCCGGAATGGCCATGCATATTGGACTAGGCAATTTAGCAGGCGGTACGTCTTCCCCCTCCCTTCTTTACCACCACTCCCTTACTCAATGCCATATATTCCCTTTGACCTGACGTTTTATATAGCAATGGCGTCGAATTTCTACCGCACCCAAGACGCACCGAACTATGTGCTCGGGCACGCGCTTGAGCTCGGCTTCTGTGGTGTGGGGATGATCGCTGTTCTGGTTCTCCGGTTCACATATAGCAAGATTAATAAGAAACGGGAGCGGATTGATGCGTCGCTGTACAACCCTGGCGAGATGGCGAAAATGGGTGATCGGTCCCCGATGTTTAGGTATATGCTTTGATGGTGTGGGTGGTTTTTCTTTTGGACTGGGGCGCTTGGTAGCGTGTATGTATGCTGAGACGGTGGTTATATTTGAAGTGGGTATTGGGGTGTTTGAGAAATATCGGTAGAAATTAGTTTTTGTTTATCAGTAGTTCTTGGTCTCCTAATTGATTAGGAGTACCAACCCATTCCGGACAATCGCTTCGTTGATGCAGACATATGGGAGGAAAGGGAGAGAATGCAGAGATATTCGGTCACAGATTTAGTCCGTACTTGTCAGAAAGTAAGGGTAGTGGACCTTATTTATATATAGTGTTTGGACCGCACGCTCAATTCTAGCGTTTTTATTTTATTTTATTTTTCTGACCTCAGTCGCCCATTAACACGAGTCACCGGATCTTCGGCGTCTGTCTTCGCCGCGGAGATGCTGCATAACAGCTATTGGGGTGGCTTTTCAAGCTGAGTCAGAATCTGAAAGGCCAGATAATGAACTCAACGAAATCCTTCAGAAAATATGTGTTAGAAAAGAGACGGGATACTCAACAGTCCACACTCATCAGCCAAGACTCGGGGTCCGTCTGTTCGAGAGGGGCTCGGTAATCCCGGTGTTTGACTCGGCTATCAAATGCCGAGATAGTAGGCCTGACCGCCGGCGGTGAACAAACACTTTCGATCGGTCTCTCGTCAGCAATGTCACCCAACATACTCCGTATGTTCGAATGACACGAAAAGAACAGTCCAGAATGCATCATTCAAAATGACCCTGGTAAAATTCGTTAAGTGCTTTGAAATCCACCATGGCATGTTGCGGGCTGGTCCACAGCGGCCCTCAGACCTCGGTGTTTGGCGAAGCGGGGAACCCGTCTATATAAACATGTTGCCGCTGCTAGCTTTTCATCTTTTCTGTACAATCAACTCCAACTCCTCAATTGAACACTCTCACGTCTTTTCGAACAGCTTTAAACAGAACTCTTGAAAATGACTATTTCCGGATCCTGCATGTGTGGCGACATCGCTTACAGCGTCGAGGGTATGTACTAACCACCAAATTTCTAACTGCGATGCAACGAGAAACTTACCTCGAGATACCAGTGGATAACTACCTCTCTGCTTTGTGCCACTGCACTGATTGCCAGAAGGTATAAAAGCTTCCTCAAATCATACGACGTAATCAACATTCGCTAACAATCCCCCTTCAGTGGACCGGTGGTGCCTTCACCTCCAACGCAGTCGTCCCTCGATCTAGCTTCAAAGTGACCAAGGGTATGTATTTTTCTTCTCTGCAGCTTTCTGCCCCATCTTCATTCCATTCCCATTCTTCTCCATCTCAAGATCCCCACTGATAACCCGAAACAGGCACCCCTAAGACCTATGACGTCACCGGCGCCAGCGGCAAGATCAACAAGCACTTCTTCTGCCTGAACTGCGGCTCGAGTCTGTATACCGAGCTTGAGGTCATGCCTGATAATACGGTCGTTAAGGCTGGAACGCTGGATGGTGGTGAGGCGAACTTGAAGGGCAAGGTTGATATCGAGTTCTATGTTAAGGATCGGCCTCAGTATTTGGCTGCTGTGGAAGGTGCGAAGCAGGAGCCGCGATTCGGGTGAGTTTTGGTTTTGTTTGAGGGGAATAGTGCGTGGGGTTTGGAGCGTTGGGTTGCATTGAGCATTGTGGAGCGAGGATGGTGTTGATGGAAGGTGTTTGATGGATTGGGGGTTGTGTGGTGTTGTGGCTTGTTTGAGTTGCTATGATCAGTAATATTAAAAATGTTTTTTATATAACGTATTTCACGGGTGATCCGGCCACCCCCCTAAATCTCTCCGCTTCAACCAACGCGTCTACTCTGCTCAACCACCATGCCACGAAAAAAAAAGCGGATTACGCTCCAGAAGAATGGAACAAGAGGGTAGGATCCAACTTGCAATCCAAGCTTTTAAAAATCGCGAAATTCCTTCTATACGTGCGGTGGCGAAAGCATTCGATATACCGCGTGGTACATTGCAAGACCGATTAAGAGGTAGCGAATTTCAACAAGAACACCGCAACCACAACCTCCGGCTATCTCAAACTCAGGAGGATCATTTAGTGCAATGGATAGTATCCAGGGATATGCGTGGCTGCTCCCCTAGGCATAATCACGTACGAAAAATGGCGAATTTGATCCTCCGAACTGCATCCAATATTCCCCCCCAAACCTATCGGGTCAAACTGGGTAACCAACTTTATCGACAGGCGCCCAGAGCTCAACTCTAGGTTCTCTAGACGCTATAATTATTCCCGCGCTTTATGTGAAGATCCTAAGATTATTGGGGAGTTCTTTAGTTAACTGCAGAAGATCTGTACGGACAACGGGATCCTGACTGAAGATATCTACAACTTTGATGAAACAGGATTTGCTATGGGATTTGTGGCAACTGCTAAAGTTGTTGCTAGGTGCGAAATGCCTGGAAAGCCATGGCTTATTCAGCCAGGAAATCGAGAATGGGTAACGACGATTGAATGCGTCAACGCCAGGGGATTCGCATTACCGACTACAATTGTCTTTGAAGGCAAGATGCCAATCGAGGGATGGTATAGCGGTAGCCTTCCAGAGGATTGGCGTATTGAATTATCATCAGACGGATGAACACCCGATGAAATAGGCTTGAGATGGCTTCAAAAGACCTTTATTCCTACTACAACTAGGCGTATGGTTGGCCGATATCGATTGCTGGTCTTAGACGGCCACGGAAGTCATTTGACACCTGAATTTGATGCAATCTGCAAGGAGAATAACATTATTCCTATATGTATGCCTCCTCATTCATCTCATCTTTTGCAACCCCTGGATGTTGGCTGCTTTGGACCTTTAAAAAAGGAATATGGGAGATCTGTTGAGGATAGATCTCGCCTCGGCAAACACCATATCGACAAATTCGACTTCTTAGAGGCCTTCCCTGCGGCCCAGCGAGCCAGTTTATCTCCTCAGAATATTCAGAATGGCTTTATAGCAGCAGGAATAGTCCCTTTTGATCCTCAACGCGTGCTTGATAAGCTTAATACGAGAGTTTTGACCCCGGACCCCCCCCCCTACGGGGACTCGATCTTCCACTACCTCCTCGCTTACTACACCTCGCACGATTCGCCAGCTGCGCCGGAAGGCCTCTACGCTTCACAGTAATATACGAAATCTAGATGTTAGTGTGCTTGAGGCATCAACCGCGCGTCTAAAGCAGTTAGAAAAGGGCTTTGAAGTGTCCCTATACAGCACGCATTTTATGGCTCAAGAAAACTGCCTTCTACGCCAGGAAGTTGCTCGTCAGCAGCTTAAAAAGAAGCAATCTAGACGTCAAATGTCACCTAATCTAGGTGCTACAGTGCAGAAGCAAGGGATTCAATTACATTGAGAAATGAGCAGTTGAATACTACAGACCGCCCTCTTAGCAATACTTCTCCGGAGGCTTCCTCCGCGCCAAGAAGGCGTCCACCGACGTGTTCTAATTGCAATACTCCAGGTCATACTAGAACTAGATGTCCTGTATCTAGAAATAGTTGAAATATTTTCTAATTCGCTAGATTGGGTTGTTGGGAATAGATTCAATTTGATCGAGCGTATCGGAATTTAGGGGGGTGGCCGGATCACCCGTGAAATGCGTTATACCGTAGCCAGATCTAGTTCTTCAGTGCGTCTAGAATCCTCCGCAACGCCTCCTCCAGATGCTCCTGCGGATGCGTAAACACAATCCTAAACCATCCATCATCCTCAGACCCAAACAAAGGTCCACTAGCCAGGAACACCTTCTTCTCAACCAATTTCTCCATGACCCGATCACTGACCTCCGCGCGCAAGTCCTCCTCGGAATGCAACTTCCGATACTTCTTTCCCAAGTTCACCCACAAGAAGAACGCCGCAGTACATCCAGGGGCATGCTCAATATCATGCGCCTTGAGCCATCGCACAACAAAAGCATACGACTCCGATAGCTTCCGCTGATTCATCTGAATATACCGATCCGTGAACTCAAAATCCTCGAGAATCGATGACGTCAAGTATTCCGTCGCTGCAGACGGATACGAATACAAGGTCGGGTTCTTCAACGCAGCATGCAGATCCCGGTTCGCCTGCGAGATTATCACACCCAGACGGAGCCCATTCGCACCAAAGTCCTTGCTCATGCCCCATAGCACATGGACTAGCTCGGGGTCAATGATCCCGGCGAGGGGGATCGAGAGTGCCGAGACGAACGGCACAGGAGAGGGGCCTTCATGATCGACTGTGTTTTCCCATGTGGATAAAGCGTAAATCTCGTCGCCGATCAAGTGCATGCGGTATTTCTGGCACAGGCGCATGAGTTCGATGAGAACTTCGCGCGGATAGCATCGACCTAGCGGGTTATGGGGATGGCAGAGCATCAATGCTCGGACCTTTCGGCCGGTTCGATTCTGGAATTCGAGGAGCGCTTCCTCGTACTTGTTGACGGCTTCTAAGCTGAGCGGATCACAGCCTTGGAATCCCACAGGGACGACAGCAGTCCCTGGACGGGATGAGATGTCAGGAATGAACGTTCCGTAGTACGGTCTACCCAGGAGTATTCCCTCTCCTGAATCAGCAAACGCCCAAGACAGATGTTCAATTGCCGAAGAGACACCGTTCGTCACGAGCACCTGATCCGGCTGGACCGGATTGACGGGGTGGAAATGGCGATTGACGAAATTGGAGACGGCGTTTTTAGTTCTCGTGGATCCAGAGGGCCCGTCGTTGTAGGTGAGCCATTTCGAGGGTAGTTCTAGCTTCGTGTTGATGGCTTCGAGGAGCTTGTCGTGCATGAGCATGTTCTCTGCTAGGCCGACATTGACGAAGCCATTCGGATTGGTCGATTTGCACCACGGATTGTTCACGACGTCCCACATTAGGTTCTTGGAGCCGGATGAGGTGGCTTCCTGGGCTCGCTGGGACATTGTTGATGGTGCCATGGTGAGACTGGGTGGACAGGGGGCTGTTTGTGGAATATTGACAGAGATTGAAACTTCTGTGTACATTCCACCCTGAAAAATAAAAAGTTTTGAGGGATTTAAGGTCAATCCATTGGCCGAGATCGGGGAAACAGTTATCCTCGGAGGCGTTGAGTCACGGGAAGAAGGAACCATCAGAGTTGGGAGGCTTTGGTTCCGATTCTACCCTATTCATGAGAACCGAATGTTCACATCATCGTCTCCTATATCTCTACGCATGTTTCCGAGCTCAATTAAAGATATCTTTTGTGTTGTCAAATAATGGTAGCCAACTATCCTCGGCGGCGTTGAGTCACGGGAGGGAACCATGGATCGCGGTCAAACACCGAAGGCCGATGCTTGATTTTTCTCCGCGTTTGCCCCGCTATAGATGAGATTTCATGTTTTATTGGTGAATGTTTTAGACTTGCTCGGTGGAAATCCGCGATCGGTATTCTGATTTGCCGTCAGCTTTTACATTAGTAGGTAGGTATTTGGTGAGGGACCTACTATGTGCAATCTAGGTTTTTTATGCGATTTTTTTTGGTTGCGGACTGGCCGCTATCGCTTGCCTTACATATACCCGCTTCGAAAAACCCAACATTCGATAAGCTGATATTTTTTGGTGTTGTTCAACTATTCGACCACGGAGTGTGTACACAAACAGAGCACATGTTGCACGTGACCGGCGCTGGCTTTTGTCGCCGCGTATATACACTAGAAAAACCCTTACTACTAAGGGTTGACCCTTTTTAGTGTAGCGGTATTTTTCTGCCACAGCTTTCAACGGCTGCAGCGAAGGGAAGGAAGCTTGATTCCTGCAACCATCTCGTGTACCGGTCGAAAGGCACCTACGAGCATTCTCAAATGACAATGACACCCCCTCACTGTCCGGGTCACTTTTGTCTCAGAACCTGGCTTAGCGTCGACACCTCTAAACCTAGAGGGGAAATTCGTAAATGAACCCATGACCGAGAACGCGCTTTCGGCCGTATCAGCGATCGCTAAAATTGCGGCAACTGCAAGACTAACATGGATATCTTCCTGAGGTTGTCGGAAATACCATTTGTCCACCACAGCGACATGGGACTAGAAAGATCCCTGCAATCCAGGGGCGCAGTCGTTATAACTTTGGCGCCCGGCGGTTTTCTTCGTCTGGGGTTAACAACTCACATTTTTCCGGAAAACTGAATCTTCAACAATGTCCGACGTAACTCCCGGGAGTGCAGGTCGGATTATTGACGACATACGACTTAGCAATGGCGGTATATCGGATGAAGACCGTGCGGCAACCCCTGCCGGCGTTTTGCGAGCTCTGGGCAACGTGCGAGAGGACTTGTTCAGCAAGATTGCTCCTATCGTGGACCCTCTCAAAAGATTGAACCTGATCGTAAACCTGATATCGAGAACGAGCCTCCTCACATATGACAGAGCGGAAGCTAGGGGAGAAACCCCCTTTTTAGAGTTCACTCTGGAGAAAGACTGCCTTATGATTGACTCAAACGATAATGGATATTGTGCTGAGGACATATGGGAACTTTGCAGGAGTTTCAAGGCGAGACGCGTGCTCTTCGATAAAGAACAGATTCTTTCAGCTTTCAAAATCGGAACCAAAGTACATATTCGGTCAGGGCAGTTTTCTTTTTCTTTTCAACACACGCAGGGGAACAACAGGATGGACAAGTTCACCCCCAACCGCGAAAAGCCTGAGTCACTCCCACCTACTGTGTATTCCCGAATTACGATATCTTGCCTCTACCCAGGGCAATTCGAAAGACTGGCCAATTGCTTCCGTGGTATACGAACTGATGGACTGCTGCTGTTCAATTCTAAGTGTACTTTGTTGCACTTCACATTCGCGCCACCGCACGCAAACCCTGCCCAGGTACAATACCAGATTATGAGACAGAAAAACAAAATGACCTTGACCAGAACTTCGGAAGCTGTTCCATCCGAACATGTTCTATTGAGGCAGAGCTACCATGTGTTTTCAAGGGAAGTTAATAAATCATCAGGTGGTCTTTTTGGTCAGAGATGCGATAATACAATTTATCTGGCTTTTCCTGTCGACCAGGAGTCAAAAGTCTTGCTTGGTCCTGGGGGTTATTTAATTGACGAAGTGAATTGCGTCCTTCTTCCAAGCAACAACCAGTTTAATGTGAGCTTTCCGCTGTACCTTATCCAAATGCATACTAGTTATCTAACTGGCTCCTTAGTTTATTTTGTGCGTGAAAAGTCAGCATGTCAATGTCCAGCAAGCCCCTGATGTTTTAGCCGAATCAATCTCTATTTTCATTTGCGAAAGGATGGCTTTTCTTTCGTCCCTGGAGCCAATGGAATATGAATGGGTTCAATACATTCCCAAGGCTGACATCGTGAACAAAAAGTGGAAAGCAATGCTGAATCATTTCTACAGCCGCCTCAAAGAATGCAAGGTCTTTAAATCAGAGAGTGGGAAAAACATGCACATATCATCCCTTCGCTACCTTGAACCGGAACACTGCGATCTGCACGGGAAGCCGCTCTTCCCAGATCTCGACCAGGAAATCTATCTCTCAACCAGATACAACCCATACCTGGAGTTTTTGAAGCCTCTCGGGCTGCGAAGAATATCAAATGAGGAGTTGTTCGATCGGATAAAGGCATATTACAGACCAGAGACCCGGACTTTCAATCCCTCTCGACATGATTGGAGCGCACGAGTTGCCCGACTTCTCACGTCATGGTTAGCAGATGATAATAGGAGTACATTGGCAACTGGAATAAAGGAGCTCAAATTTCTCTTCTCGCTTGATGGCCCTGTACTTCGAGGTGCTGAGTGCGTCGTCAACCCGCAGTCAGCTGAAAGCTTCCAAAGGCGCGATGTGTGGCTTGCCTTTGACACTAATGGAAATTCCGTTCCTGCACTCCCTAACATTTGTCGGATCTACGATGACTGTCCCCGGGACTCTGAATCTACGAGGCTATACAACCTTCTTGGTATCCATTATCCTCACCCCGAACAAGTGATGGACAAAATCAAAGCCTGGAACCATTCTTCTGGATTCAACATATCAGTTCTGCAATCGCGAGATGTACTCCACTATATACACGTCAATACAGCTGGTGATGCTGGAAGCAAGGCTCCCTGTCTGCCCATGGTTGATGAGCGAAATAAAACGGTATTAACACGAGGCAAAATGACCCAATGCGATTGCTACTTGTGGACGGATGTATACTTCCCATCAGATCAAGCTTACGGGATAAATGAAATTGCAAAGAAGTTGAGCGGGTTAGATTTCGCCCTAAGGATCCATGTCTTGAACGCCGATTTGCTTCATACATCACAAATTTGGGGACGTGATAAGGCTATCTCATCTCCTGAATGGGTTTCATGGCTGGAGAATGTGGCATTAGTGCGTCGCGTGCCCAGGTTACAAAACAGACAGGACCCGAATCGCCTATCCGAGATTTTTGAGTCAATCATCAAGTATTACCCGGGAATGTTCCTAGACGTGCTACGATCTCATTGGGCTACATACAAAAGCGAGTTAGTACCAGGGCTTGTTTCCACGATCAAGGCAACGCCAGTTCCCACATTGGATGGAGAAAGATTGATCTCCGAGTGCTACATGCTAACTCCTGAATTACGCGCGATCGCGTTAAAAATACATCGAACCACAATGCACTTACCATTCTTGCTATTGAGTGAAGGATTTGCTGAACAGGTTCAAAGTCGATGGGGTTTCCTGTCAGTTTTTGACGTGGTGATGGAACCAACCCCAAAATTCTTTGTGGGTATCTATAACCAGATTGTAAGGAAGACCCCATTGAACGATGCCGCATCAGAATTTCAAGCCCTTTACAGTATACTTTCAGAGAGGCCTGTGCATGACAGATTGTATGTCAAATTTTGCCCAACTCCACGAGTGATTTATAATAATTGTAATAGGTCTTTTTTCAAAGCAACAAATGCCATTTACGTCCCCCATGAAAAGGGGGATGCGAAGCTAGTGCCCATTCAAGACTGTCTCTGGGATGGCCCATGTTGGTTGCAAGCCTCATACGTACTGTCATTTGTCAAGGAATACTCCGAGAGCCCACAGATGAAGACTATGCTCACGGGAATGCTCAATACCACTGAGGCGCGTTTGGAGACGTATATAAAAGAGTTACTATATCAGCAGGGCCTTGGAACGGCCAGCCTTCCCCAGATAGGGCGGATTTATGCGCGCCTCAGTGAAGGCATCATGGGTGAAGCTGATCTAACTTCTATGCGGTAAGTCTACGTTCCGTATATGATCGAATCACTGCCGGAATACCAACGCAAATTCAGGGTTTTGTTCAAGAAGCACAAGCTTGTATACGACCCGAATAGCCTTAAGTGGCATACCCCTCAAGAATGTGTTTGGGGGGTATCAGCGGATGAAGGCAAAATTTCTATCGGTCACTACTACCCTGTATTCCGGGACCTGTTCGTGGCCAGACTTCTCATTGAAGATTCAATAATCCCATCGTACATTTCGGAATTGAGAGAAACAGTGGACAGAAATGATTCCAGCCTCGATGATCTTCTGTCGGTCATGCACAAAATAAAAGATCTTCTACTGTCGCCATCTGATATTTCTTCACTGCTTCGCATCAAGTTTCTACCAATTGCTGGTGCGAACCAGGCTCATCATTATTATGCCTCGCCAAGAGATGACTTCTTTATTGTTGACCGCGATGGAGGGCCCTGCAATTTCAGAGGCATTGTCCCAACCCTTCGGTTTAGCATCGATCAGGTTCAACTTATTCGGTCATTTCTATTTCGCCTTGGGTTGAAAGACCGATTCATAGCCGCCGGAGGATTGAAAAGGACCTTTGTTTCGGAAGAACGTATAAAAGGATTACCATATCTAACTTGCGACTTTCAAGACCGAGCTTCCGCGTTGTGCAGGTGTGTGGATGATAGAAAAAGGCTACTCAATCAATCAAACAAACTAATTTTAAACAGATGCGCTATGTTCTACGCCGGCGCCAAGGCCGAGCAGCAACAGGAACTATACGACGTCTTCCGAGCATCATTGATTTACGAGAGCCCTGATATCATAGCCAGATACATCATCCCGACAGCTGATGGATCTACGAAGTCTATCTATATACCTGCCAGGCTCCATGTGCAATACGAGAACGGCGAGCTCCAGCTCGTTGTTCCAACTGACATAACCGAAAGGCAAATTTGCTTCGCAACGCAATTACCCGAGGCATTGGCTTGTTTGTTTTCCACAAATAGCCCAGAGGCACGACGGACATTCACCACTGTTCTTGGAGAGCCAATTGACGCCCTGGACGATATTTTGGATAGTTACGGCATTCCAGAGCTTTCGGAAGTATACATAGATGCCGCAGTCTCTCGAGAGCCTGAAGTTAGCAAGGAAGAGCCAGCTGGAACGGGTTCTAGTCGAGATACTACTCTAACCGACGAGCTCAACGATCTGGTGGTTCTTATGAACTTGGACACGGATCCTGAAGATTCTTTCGAGTCTGATTAGGAGCTTGGTGAAGCAGTTCCTAACCCGGATACCCATCTCGCAGACGATTTCCGGGATCCAGGAGAGCTTTTTGGTGCAATAGTGCGAGCCTCTATAGACGCTAAACTGTCTGCCCGCTCGGAGGATTTACTTGCCTGGCTCAGAGGCGTAAAACAAGATAAATCGTCATTTGGGAAGAGGGTATAATTTGCTAGCGGGCTTTTCTGTAGTTTATTCATTTATTTCGTTCTATATCCTTTCCTTTCTTTGTTCTAGTATCTCTGGAGGTCGATTCAAATGCACATTTACCAGATTGAGTTCAAGATATCTAGATTCCATCAAGCCCTAACCATCAATAGGTCATTCCCTGTGACTTTGTTAGGTCAACCTCTCAATGTTAGCACTCTCCAATGTTATATTCATCATCTGACGTAGGCTATCACTCGAGTGAATCGATCATGGTTTTCTTTCATTTCCAGCTTCAGCTTGCTTGTAGATTCACTATGTATATATTCACGTGTAGCTACGATGAAGCCTGTAAATTCCCCCAATTTTCCTGTAGCTGATCTCTACCTTCCTACCTTACCATTCCTCCTGTTCACAGAAAGTCTACACACTTCTTACAACTTGGGAAGAGGCATCCGGATCATCGGTTAATCTCGGCTGTAACAGCATCTATGGCTGTCACGGTCAAGTAGATCGAAAACTGCCAGTTTAGGGACTACTTGAGCAGTCTCCTGGGGAGTCTGCAAAATGCTATCAAGATCGGCTCAGTTGGAAGACGTTTCTGAACGTCTAGGTCAGCGCCCGTTTCTTTGACTGTTGTCTGGATATGATATAGCTGACTGGTGTGGAGGTTCCATTAGAGACGTACGATTATGGGATGAACCAAGTTCAAGAGTTGAACGCCGTAGTTCAGGTTCGAATAAACACGGAAAGGTGATCCTACATACAGGAATGATACTGGGCAAGCCTTTTGCAAACACCGCGTTCCGGTTGAAAATCCCCTCACGTTGATCGTCGCTTCGGTTTCTGCCATACAATTTTGGGATGAAAGGTGCTCTACGGAACGAGGCCTATATTCGCGTCAAAATCAACGCGGTTCTGTTGACTACTTTGTTCACCGTCAAAAATGACACTACCGAAAAATATCTACGCCCAGACATGGGTCACTCTAAGATCCATTTTCAGCTCGAGACACCGCTGAAACTCCTATACCGTGGTTTAGATGGCGACTCAGTTGTCGTATTGGGGGCCGCAGACTATAGCCTGTGGCATGGAAAAGCGTTCGACTTCCAAGCGACAAATCTCCATATTGTGGAGGCAAAAGCAATCAAGAATCTAGGACTCTAGCGAAGCTTCACGTAACGATAGAGCAATTTGGGGCATGAATACTGCCAGCAAAAAGTGAGAGTTTCTACGTTTGAACCCCAATGTGACCGTAAGAGGATAGTCCTGCTGAAAGCTACTGGGCTAACAAATACAATATACGTTGCGCAACTTCACGATCAGACAAAGGCATACGATCCTGCCGTGCAGGATAGGAGGCCCCTTGCTCCGGCCGTCTCGGTTCAAAGAGGAAATACTACCGTTGTAGGCGGCGGACAGCGCGCAGTCGGCGCGTGGTGTCACTGTTGCCTGCAGTTCCTCGACGAGAACGCCTACGAGCCCGTGAGTTCACGCATTGATCATGATCCAGATAGTATTGCGCTGAATTTGGCTGGTGTTTACAGAGCCTGCTATCACCGGCCAGTCATCCGAGCGCAGCGATAAGGTGATATGGGGGGTAAATACGGACAGTGATACGTGGGAGTTTATCAGATTGAACCCTGATAGAACAGTAAGAGTATAACCTCTGTTGAATAAACTAACGCCGAAAACCAGCTGGCTGATGCCCTCAGCCGGCTGCCTCATAGGAAACCCCCTACCAGCAGCCGTTCTACCCGTATCAACAAGGTTACCCAATGGCTGCATACCAGTTTCCCTACATATCATATCAAAACGGCGGCTACCAGCAGAGTGGCGCCTACCGTCAGAATGGCAACGCCAACGGCAACCAGGGCGCTCCGAAACAGCTTGCCATAGAAGCTGGCAAGCCCGCCAACGCCAATTTCGGCCGCTCAGCGAATCAACGTAGCCTCAAGGGAAACAACGTTGGCTTCACTTCCAAGCCTAATCCCGGTGCGTACCTGCCACGCCAGTCGTGGAATAGGACCCAAAGCAAACCCCCTTTCGGGCGCGCTTACGGCGCCGAAGGAAACCCGAGGGAGAAACTCCGAATGACGCGTACCAAGCTGATCAGGTCGATGACGCCGACCAGCAGGCCCAGGAGACCCGCCTCTAAGGATCCCTTTGGAAGACAGCCCGATCAACCGGCGGAAGTTGCTGATGACGAATAGGGGCTTGAGAAAGTCCGCGACAAGAGGATCGTCAAGAGAGGACGCTCATCTACCGGGTACGTCGAATATTTGGTCCGCTGGCTGGGTTACGGCGCGGAATATGATCAATGGATCCGTGCAGAGGAGATATCGGCAGACGAACTGGTCGACGAATACGAACAGAGTGTCAAATAATCGGTGATATCGAGCCTTTCCTTGTGTTCTAGTTTCCTTGTGTTGATTCACTTATCCCGATCGAAACTCGATTCCCAACCTTCCTCTATCTGACCTCGTCATCTCCTCTCATTTGCCATCACCTCGCGCCCGTCCTCCGGCTCGTCTATCTGATTTCTTGTTATTCTCCTCGGCCCCATCCTCCTTACCGAGACCGTTTCCCCTGCTCGAAAGCCGGAAGCGGTACTCACGATCTTACGGGTGGATTTATGATTTATTTATTTTAAATTTTTTTTTTTTTTTACCTTACATGTTATTTCTCCTTTCCCTAGCGCGGCCGACTTAAATTCCTTGGAATCCGCGAGTCCCTTGGTGTCACTGTCCTTCGATATCCGATTCCAAGAACGTCAGACCGGATGTTCTGGACTATCGCCTGACGCGACGATCGGCCCGCCATACCGATACGTACTGGCCGTTGCATGTTCTTTCTCCTTCTTCATGATGTCGGAGATAAAACGGTCAGGGTGGTCCCCCATGGAGGCGCTGAGGTGGAGGAAGGGGGGCCTCCTATGGACCGGACGCCGAAGTTTGGCTACGTGGGAGCTCCCACTTAACTGCGTGATCGAGGGAGCGGATAGCGCAGTCCAGGAACACGACAGGATCTGCCAGGAAAGCCGGAGGCAGATCTGGTACTCTGTCGGCAGCGGCTTAATGCAATAGACAAGCTAATATCTATAGTATAAACATCGAACCTATTCAATGGCCCTGATATATGCCCAAACGGCGATTCTATCGCCAGCAGTTTCACGGTCTTCCCTGCTGTCTAGAAAGAGGTCTTTTGATGAAGTAGATAGCTAGACGGTCATTCGGTATTCTTTGGATTGTGCTCTTTTGCATTTAGTTTAGTTGATAGTTTTATTTTCTCTTTTCCTTTTTCAGCAACCTTTACTTTTACACTTTTGTTCATTATGTCAGTATGATATAAGTAACGATGGCGCTCTCACTGCATGAATGATAGATATCAACTCACGCCTTCCTGCTCGTCCTTCTCCCCAAACACATCCTACACTAGTACTCCTGGGTTATCCTGTCTTTATGGAGTAGAAGTGCTCCGACGCAAGGAGTTTAAAGACGAGAACAGTCACCATCATGTCGAGTCGGTTAGGCAGATGTGGGAGAATATCTGCTGGAAGATAAGCCCAGAAGATCTCAAATATGATAGACGTACAGTTCATATTGGAGATGACAGAGATAAGACTATTATACATCAAATATGACATGATAATTCTGCCAAAAGGCGCGACAGACCAGAATAAAGCAACATCGCACATGCTGCGTCATGGATGTTAATATAAAATATGCCTGTCTTTCCATGGAACTGGTGGAAATCAATGTACTAAACGATTCCAATTCGAAGCCACAAGGTGGGGGCATATTTTAACCCATCTGTTTCATTTACTCTCAAAGCCAGCTCCTCGTGGCTTGTTGGCTAATAAGACGAAGAACGCCCCCTCTTTCTCCACATTTTCTCTCGTTCTGCCTTGAACTTTTCCTGGTCACGACGAATGCCGACAAACTCAAAATAGTCCGGCGCGGAGGGGGGCAACGGCTTTCTGCCAAACACGAGTTTCTTCGGGATTTTGATCTTCAAGTAATCGCGACTGAGGAACTGAAAAATACCAGCTTCTTCTCCGTTAGGAAGTTTCAATCGGTGTTCTTCCAAGCTGCCTTTTGTGGGAGGGCGACGCAATGCTCCAAACTCGGGGCCAGTGTCTGAATCAATATACACATGTCCGTGCAGGTCGTACTTCTTCACACCTGGTGGAGGGTCCCCGCCACAGTGATCTCCATCCTCACTCAGATAATAAAATTGGACATACTTTGCTCTCCCAAAGTTATAATCCCATTCGAAGTTCAGATACTCGGCGCAGAAGATGTCAAAGAATCTGGAATCTTTATCAAGAACTCCGGTTTCACCTTCTTCTCCGGCCTTCAGTGCATCGTACACCGCCTGGACCTCCTGTGCCTTTTTCTCCTCATGCGTTTGATCCGCCAACTTCTTCTTTTTCTCACGCTCTAGGTATTCCTTCCGCAGCTCGCGTTCCTCCCTCAAGTGGTAGAAGATGCTGGCCTCGGAGCCCTGGTAAGTTTCTCCTTCCGAGTAAAGTTCACAGTAGCATTCAACATCGCTTTCACACTCGCATTCATGGTCTGGGGAGAGTTTGCGCTTTTTTATCGTCATGTCAATATCGGAGATGTCCTCGTCGAATACGCTGTCTTCCATGTCGTACGGGCTAGTGTCGGGCTTTAACAGACGCATCACGCGATAATACCAATCCGGGAATCGGTCTTCTATTTTTGTGTCTTCTTTTTCCTTCATTTTGAGTGTGGTATTTCGCAATGAACTGTTTCTTTGAGTCCCGTTGTTTTTTGTTTGTTGATCGAGCGGTGAGACGCGTCGGTTTACCTAAGCCGGTATGCCGCTGTCTCGTGACTGCGGATCTATATTGAAGTGGTAAAGCTCAGAGGGATGGTGGAGTTCGATCGGTCCGAGCTGTACGAGGCCTAGGCCATAAGGAGAATGCAAATGAATGAAGTAATACTCTATCTAAAACATAGCCTAGAGTACAGAGATACTTGAGTGCTTGGGTGTTGAAGAGGATCGTGGCCTCTGCAAAATATGAGCCTCGGACGGATTAACGTTGTTCCCGACCTCCGAGCTATTTATATCTCATCATATATGATCGATCAGATTGCCTGTTTTACTTGTTTTTCTTCTACATTCCGCCGAATTCTCTCTTGGGGGGTAGGTTTCCTTCTTTTTGGTGATTTGGACCTCCATGTCTCTAGGCAGCGAAAAGATGGTTAAGGAAGACTCTTAAATCTTCGATAAATATCTCGGACACCTCGAAGTCGAACCCTTCCCGTACAAAACGCTGTTAACATCCTCAAACCGTTGCACATCACGAATACTGTGGACGATTTCTATGCCTGGGGTAGGCTGCCGAAGTGGTCAAGAACGATTAAAAAAGATTGAATGGATTGAATTGCTTGATCAACTAACTAGGGGTCAGGATAGGCCCTTTTATCATTGATTCACGTGATCTTCATGGCCGATATCAAGGAATCTTCCGCTTAGTACTAGCGAAGGTTTGACGGATTGCCTGAAGCATCTAGATCTTCTACAAATACTAAACCAGTCTCAACAAAACAATTCCCCCAATAGACACAGAGACAAGATTCAAATTACCTATCTGCCCGAACCAGCGCCCGATACGGGTTGTTCGGATCCTGCTCCTCCTCTTCCACCGACGGAATCGTCTTCCTCACCCGGCAAGGAGCACCAATCGCTACCGAATACGGAGGAATATCCTTCGTCACAATCGAGCCAGCTCCGATTGTCGATCCCTTTCCGATCCGCACACCAGGGAGAATCACTACATTCCCACCAATCCAGCAATCATCTTCAATGAACACCGGGTGGCCGAATTCCACAAATTTCAGACGCGAGAGAACGCTGGTGTCGTGGCCTGCGCCGAAGATGCCCACGTTCGTGCCGATTTGGACGCGGTCGCCGAGGACGACCAGGCTGGTGTCGAGGACCGTGAGGCTGTGGGGGGTTTGTTAGTCTGGTTTGATTGGATGGATGGAAGACTCTGTAGGAGTGGTTTGTATAGGAAAGACTCACCCCCAGTTAATAAAGCAGTTGCTACCAATGATCATGTTACATCCGTAATCGGGTCTAAAAGGAGGCTCGATGAAGCTGCCATCTCCGACTTTGCCAACGAGCTTTCGGAGCAATCCGAGTCGCTTGTCAAATACTTGGTCGTATGAGAAGGTCTTGGTGTCCAGGTTGTTGTAGTCGGCTGTTAGGCCGCGGCAGCGGTGGCGTGCCTCGAGAAGCTTCGGTGTGTTGGGGTTGTACCTGGATGTTGTCAATGTTTGCAAGGGTAAGTCTTCGGAGATCATGGTGTAATTGGACATACATCATGCCGGAAATCATGCAGTCATATTGATGGCAGTACGGTGCACCGTTTAGGCCGCGGGACAATTGGATGATTTCGGGACGTTTTTCGGTGGTAGCCATTTTGATGTGGAATTATTTACTGCGACAATAACCAATTCTGATATGTCAATTGGAATATGTTTGAAGGGAAGACGTGTGAGCCAGACACAGGAATATATTACAGAGAAGCCAGACTGTCTAACCCTGACGATGAGACATCATATACCGCGATATTGTTAGCCCTTGGGACGTTCGCCCCTACAACACATTCACCGCATGATTGACCCTGTCGTAAATGCTAAATTCTGGAAAACAGTCTTCCTTCTCGAGTATACAATGAATGTTTACTAGTCCCAAATAAGGCGATGATCCACTCTACAGGATTGTCCGACATTTCCCCGTATTGTCCCACTTGCCAATCGGGGCAAATTTAACAGCCCCGTTTCTGGGCGGATCGCACATGTTTTAGTGATGGATACACCGATTATGGGTTTGTTTGACTTAGGCTAGCTAGAGTGGAACAATTCGCTACTAGAGAGAGCGAGTCGTGTGACCAAAATTTACATAGATTTATTTATGTCTAACATGTTAAAAATGAGAGATATGGAAAGGAATAAGGAAATTTGCCAAAGAGTCGCTGAGAATGGAAAGGCTGGAAACCCCAAGAAACATAAAGAACGGAGTGGCAAGATTGGAACCATAAAATTCAAATCTAGAATCTTGCCTTGACACTGCCTCCCCGAACGCTCTTTAGCTCAATCTTGATCTGTAACGCCGCATGGGATCCTTGCTCCAGAGCACCGTCGATGGCAGCTCGCCACCCATGTGCCCAGTCTGCAGACGCAAAGAATATACGACCATGTGGCTTCTGTAGTTCGTCCTGGTACTTGGTCATGAACTGGGGTCGCCACCAAGCAGGCCCCCCTTGCGACCAGGGATCCGTGTTCCAGTTATGGAATATCTGCGAAGAAATCAGTCAACCGCGTAGCTGATTCATGGTGAAGATGAACAATACCATTCTCTTAACTTCCATCGGATGAAGCTGCTGAAAAGCATCGACGGCCTTCTCTGGGTCTCTTTCTGGGATAAATGTGGCTCGTTCATCCTTGCCGAAGCCCACGATATGTGCGTCACCGTTAGGAGTGACTCCATCTCCGTAGCCAAACATAAGCAGGTTGGAGAGCTTCATTCCGTTCCAAGATACTAGGCCGGTTCCATTCACGTCGGCGTGGATCTTGTTCATGAAGTTAACGTGCCCGACAGAGACCGCCTCCTGTCGGACACGAGAGAGGGGTGGATCAAACTGAATCGAGTGAAGCACATTGAGAGGGATGGTGCTGACTATGCGGCGGGTGCGGAATTCTCTACCGGAATGCGTCACAACACGGGGATGAGAGCCAGCGTGATCGATGATCGATTTGATGGGAGTCTGGAACGAATACTGTAGACCATTGTCCACACTCTCTTGGAACATCGCTTTGGCAAGGACGGACTGGCCCTCTCGAAGCTTGAACGTCGTCCAGATTGGCCCGAAATTAACAGAGGCATGTGTCATGAGCGCATGCGAGCGGATCATATCCCATAGACTCGAGTTCTCCATGGTTCCACCTGTGATGTGGAGAAGTAATCCGTTTAGGATCCCAGCTTCCTCTGCCGTTAGGAGGTGCTTGATCTCCTCGAATCTGTCGCGACAAGAGATTTTATCGTAGCGCTCGACCTCCTTTCGATCGACCAGGATGTTATCAAGTTGGGCATGCGGTAGGGGACAGATCGTTCGACAGTGCTGTCCGTCGATGTTGACAAACACGTCCCATGCTCGAGCAATGATCTCGCCGGCTTCCTCGTGTGTGAGCTTTCGAGGAGTTGCTCCTGATTACACGGTTAGTTCTCACGAGAAGGGCATTAATATTCTCAACGGGGAAACAAACCAGGAACATTGATCGTATAGTAATCATTCTCGTATTCTCTATGATGGGTTATAACGAGGTCGCGATCGAGTTTATATCGCGTCATTTCTTGGAACAGGTATCCCATATGGTGGGTCACCCAGGTTCCGCCCATTTCATAGAGACAACCTTTAGAGAGTCAGCTAGAAAAATTGACAATTGGGCAACCGGCTGTCCATGAAAATATGTGTAATATCTTGTTACCATTTGATTCCACAGTATATGTTCGTCCACCGACGCGGTCCCGAGCTTCCAACATGAGAACAGAGAGCCCTGCTATGTAGTTAGCCACTGATGTGTAATATCAAAGCGAGTTTGTCACTTACCATAATCTGTCAAGTCTCTTGCAGCCCTCAAGCCACTGTATCCAGCACCAATAACAATGGCATCGAAGATGTGACCTGCTGGCGCGGTGTACTTCTCTCGCGGCTCAACGACACCTCGGCAGTGGAGGTCACCTCTCTTAATTCCGGTCTCTTTTCGCCAGGTGTAACCGTCAGTGGTTGTCTTCATTGTGAGAGATTATTCGTCTGAATGCAGCGCTGAGCAGTGAAAACAAGATTGGGAACAATGATATGGATTCGAGACCCACTAGACTGTTATGTCTGACTGATGCCTATATACATAAGATCGTTTTATATAGGGGTGACAATGTTGAGACCTCCGCGCCAAGGCATTTTCTAACAGCTTGCAAGTCATATGAGTAGACTAGAGAGTACCCCGTAGAGAGTCGAGGGTAAGCATCGGCTATTACTCCCTACACAGTAAGAGGGTTCCATGGGACGCGGTGGATCTCAAACACTGAAAATGGGACTCCGTCGTCCAATTACTACAGCCACTAAGCCCGCCTTCCGCATTTGGGAAAAAAGAGAAAAGTGGGTATCCTGCATGTCTCGTCTTTCCGCGAGGTAATCACGAAGTTATGAGTTATTATCCCTTTGACACAAGCATTATTGGGGCAGCCCACTAGTAGCTCCATCGAATTCCCTACACCGGGACGGTCTCGGTAGAGAGAAAGTTGACACAGTCTACCGAAGAGAGGAGCGGAACCAGAGAACCACAGAAAGGTATGTGGAAACACGTCGGACAGAGGCTGGTAACGATATTTGACAACATGACCGTGTCGCATGCACTGACATATCAGAAATTCTGATAACAAAATCGCAGACATGCCAAGCCCGCCATTCTTCGACCTGCTAAATGCGCTGGACTCGCTGAACAGCAACGAAAAATATGCCACATTCAACATAATCAATACTCCGTATAAGAAGACTCCTGATGGTCTGTGCCAAATCGCGACGGATATTCTGATTCCGCGAACATTACGCGATGGCAATGTTTCTGGTCAGCGACCTGTGATTATTCGAATCCATGGAGGATTTCTAGTATGTCATTATCACTCTTGCGTCAAATTCATTTGTTGGATGGACTATAACTTTTTATCAGGTAACGGGGTCAAGTTTGTACGCTCCCTGGTTCAACACTTGGATCCTCGATTATGCGATTCAAAATGATGCAATCATTATCTCGCCCAACTATAGACTACTCCCGGAAGTGACAGGAAATCAGATACTGGAGGATATTCACGACCTCTGGAGCTGGATTCATGACGGCTCGGTCGACCAAGTGATGCAGGACGCTGGCCATCAGGGACTAGCCTTGAACCTCCAGTCAATCCTTCTAGTGGGAGAGAGTGCAGGTAAGCAACCACATTGATTCTATTAAAGTGAAATGAGTTGACATGAAGATGCCTAAAGGAGGATATCTTGCGACGCAGCTCGCAATATCATACCCATCCCAAATCCGGGCTTTGATCGCCGCGTATCCAATGCTTGACTTGGAATCGACATTCTACACTAAAGCCTTTTCAAAACCCATTGTGGGAGTCCCTAATATTGCAGAATCAGTTGTCGACAAGCACTTAGCCATGATCGCTGCGATGAGGCAAAACCGAGTCTCCTGCATCACCGCGGCAAATCCACCGAATCGGCTAGAACTTGCTTTTTCCATCATCCAAAATGGACGATTTCTAGAAGTATTCGGAACCAGGAGATACTTGTTTCCAATGTTACGAATTGAGGACGAACTTAAACGAGATCCGAGCTTTCGACTACCGCCAATATGTATTCTTCACGGGGAACAAGACTCTGCAGTGCCGGTGGAAGGATCGAGGACCTTTGCGCAGTTCGTACAAAAGACCATGCCAGGCAGCGAGTTAATTCTCCACACGCAGGACGGAGACCATGGGTTCGATGCACTGGCAACGTTGGATATGCCCTGGTTGAGGAATGGACTGGCGATGATTTCACGGGAGTGGCTAGGAACATGTAATTCACATCTTTAATTTCCAAATTGAGACCATTGGAAAATCAGAAAGGAGATCCCTGTGTTAGGTTTATGCAAGTGCAATGTGACAAGGCCAGCTGACGAGATCTCAACCTCGTATGTGTTGATGCTGGATAGGTTGATCTGGGAAGTTTAGAACACTCAACAGTAATTTGTGTAACAAAAAGTCTCCCACGCGCAGCAAAAATGACAAGCCAAGAACGTCCTGACCCAGAGAATTCCCTCAACTCGGGCCCCTGCAAAGGGATCCACTCGGTGGAGCGTTTCTTTGTTAGTAAATTCTTTAGCGCCACTTTCTCGGTTTCCCCATTAGGAGATAATCTCAACTCTGTTGGCGAGTAATTTTGGTCCCTCATCGTTCTTGATGAGAAAGCAGAAACTATGGCTAACCATCGCAATCAGTGACATAATGCGGGGTCAGTAAATTGTCGGCGCGAAAAAAAGAAGTCAAATAGGCCCTTCTTCGCACGACTGTGTGCATCTTGCAATTGCATCTCATATCCATAACTACTATTCTCTTCCAAACATTCAATTGAAATTACAACTTTAGCACAATGTCTCAGGACTTCTCCGGCGTTTCTCTCAAAGGCAAGACTGCCATTGTCACCGGATCTTCTAAGTATGACTCTATACTTCCCCTCGTGCAACCCCGCGGCGCGATAGCTGACCCGTGTACAAAGAGGTCTCGGTGCGGGCCTTGCAATCCTCCTAGCCAAGCGAGGCGCCAATGTCGTCGTCAATTACGTGTCGGAAGGCAGCGCGAAGCGCGCGCAAGAGGTGACTGATAAAATCAACAATGAGATCGGCACGAGAGCTGTCCTTGTTCGAGCCGACGTTAGCAAACCGGAGGGTATCCAGCCGCTAGTTGACGCTGCTTTGACGATCAGCACGACCGGAAAGATTGAAATCTTGATTCACAAGTCAGTATTTCCAATCCTGGATTTCGCTCGAACCGTATGAAAAGATGTTAATGTATAATGTGACTCCGCAGCGCCGCCCAAGGTCTCGAAGCCAATCTCCTTGACACGACACCCGAGTTCTACGACACCCACTTCGACTGCAACGTCAAAGGCCCCATCTTCCTGACCAAGGCTGTTATCCCACATATTGCGAAGGGTGGACGTATTGTGTTCATTTCATCCGCCGGCGCCCGTCTCGGAGTCGCGGGTCAGACTGTCTACGCGGCTACTAAGGCAGCTAACGAGGCGCTGGTCCGCGTGTGGGCGAAGGAGCTCGGCCAGTCCCATGGAATCACTGTGAACTGCGTGAATCCGGGACCGATTGCTACCGGTGAGTTCACTTCTATCGAAGCCATTCTTTGTAAGATTTGGAAAAGGGAAGCTGACCACAAACTACAGATCAATGGTTCCAGAGCGATGAGCAGTTTTTGAAGGACATGCAGCCCTTGATTGAGTCGACCCCTGCCGCTGCGAGAGTGGGAGAGGTCGACGATATCGCACCTCTGGTGGCATTCCTGTGCAGCGATGACGCGAAGTGGACTACCGGGTCTTGTTTGTCCGCTAATGGTGGACTGTACAACTAAATCCAGACTGTATCCTATGTTCATGGTGATGAGCTATGGCGGAAGTTGAAACGATATAGCGATTCAGAATGCAAATTTATCTTCCACTTTATCTTGTGTGACTATGCTGCAGTAGACGAGATTTATGTAGGTCTTCAAATGGGTCTGATCAAGTCATTTTCTATGTGGACAAAAAGTGACGTAGCATGAACGGTACAAACGTATGGATAAAGGTTTGTTACTTCATGAGTATATGCACAGAAGGTCGTTTTAATGCTATGCGGTTGAAAGAGAGCGCGGGACTTCGAAAGTTTAGCGTGTTGGAAAACGATAGACAGTCGCATTTGACCCCACTAACAATGACTATGAACTCTCTATAGTAGATCCTCATAAACTGCCACCATAATTACTCAAAAACCGCGCCCTCTGCCGCAATCTCCGCCCGCATGCCTTTCACATTGATCTCCTTAACAAGAACCGTACACCAAGTCGGCGTATGTCCGGGAAACATTCCTTGAAATACGTCTTGCATGATCTTCTCGTCTTCTGCGTGGACTAAGTAGCTTGTGAATCGATAACTCTGCGTCAGGCCCTGCGCAGCACCGGCGTGTTTCAGCGCCGCATCCAGGCACTTGAAGATGGCTTCGAATTCGGCCTCGGGTGTCTCCGAGACTAGTTTACCGGTCGCAAGATCGAGACCAATATGGCCGCTCGTGTAAATAAGACAGGTTGATTGCGAGACGGGGATTTTGGCTGTTGTTGCGTAGAGAGGTTTGAGGCAGTCGCCTACTGGACCGGGGAGGTTTTGGTATGTGATGGAGGACATTCTTGATTGCGATGTGGAATGTAGGGGAAATGGCTTGGCTTGAGATTGCGAGGTAAAGCCTAGGCGCCATAGAAAGGATCTTTCTCTTATCACCCCGGATTTTAACTCCCCACTACGAGAGGGGAAGACCAGTTCTCCAGTGATCTCACCCTTCCAAGAGTCAAGACTGTAGGCTGGAGATGTAGATCTCTTGGCAGTGAAATCTCACTTACCACATCGGGTAAATAAGCCAGCGGCCCACTTTCCTGGCCTCGAACAACCCTGTCCAAACGCCCATGCCTTGCATTAGACAAAGAAACATATATATCCATGTTAAGAAACCGTGTTCATCCCCTTCCTTATTTAGGCCCGGTCCCTACGACACTTTCCAGAGGTAGTAAGGCGAACCCCCTCACGCCAGACATGAATCCTACTACCCAAACCAGAAGGAAACCGAATTCTCTCGCATTTGCCCGGACCGATTGCCACACCTGCGCCGCTAGCGGGGCTCAATGCGATAGGCAGCGCCCCCAATGCACAGTCTGTCTGACCCAGGGCCAGAAATGCGGGGGTTTCGCCACTCCTTTGTCCTGGGATGAAAGACGGACTTACCGAGGCGAATCCAGCGAACAAGGGTCATGTGTCGGACCGGCTACTGGCACTGCGGAGGAAGGTAACGCAGGGCCAAGAGGTGCGCGAGCTACGAGGGCGAGACAGTCTAGACCTTTTCGATTCGTGCTTGGGGGAAAGAGAGAACGGAAGCGACGACGGGTGGTAGACCAGGTGCCGAACGATGCGTATTTGCAGAATTTTGACACAGCGAGGACCGACACCCCGATAGGAGAAGAAGTAACTAATGATACCGGGCTAGAGTCCACTGGTGACATGACCGCATTGGAAACCCCGGGGAGATTGTTCGATTTCACGGGGTTTGTTCCCGGGGCAGGAAATCCTGGGCTGTCCGTGGTGCAACAAGATTATCTACAAGCCTTATTTCAGGCAGAGGCCCCGACGACTGACTTGAACGGCATGAAAATAATGGAGCGTCCGGATGACACCACGGGTGGTTCCATTTTGGAAGACCTTTTCGAAGACGGCCTACAATTCTTGAACGCAGACATTGCGCCCACAGAAGGTGTGGTATCTACATTTCGGGCACCAATTGGGGACCCGACTGCAGGAACACTAGGAGCTGGACAAGTTGGTAACCAGCACGACGCGTTATTGCAATTGTGTAAGTGCCCAAGATAATCTATGGACTGGTCAGCTCTGACATGATGGTGTTGTCTAGATGACAAAGAATTCTGCATTCTACCCCTGACATCCGATACCGCCTTGAACCCCTTTCGCTATCGCAAGCCTCTGCCCCAGGGGTCACGACTCTTATTCCATGCCATCCTCGCCCTCTGCTGTCGCCATCTGAGCCAGATCACTGGGGCTTGGTCATCGGAAGAAAGGGAGCATCGAAGCCAAGCCATGAAACTATTGGAGTATACTCTTCGAAATGGTCAACTAACGAGGGAGAGACTGACATTGCTGGATCCGATTTTGGTTCTTTTTACTCTTGATGTAAGTTGACGCGTGAGAAATACTTATCTTGTCAATGCTAATTGGGACTACCTACGGACAGTGTACGATCTCTGCCTCCGGACAATGGACCACGCACCTGACTCGTGTCTTATCAATCCTTGAGAGTTGCGGCGGAGTATCAGCTCTGAATAATCAGCGGATTAGGGCTCAAATTTCCATGGTCGTGTGGTATGTCATAACTTCTATTACAGTCAGAAGTACTTTTATGCATGTCAGAGACAATCAACGCTAATGTCGAGACCAACACAGGTGGGACGCAACGCTAGCTCTAGTATCCCGGCAAGGCACCGTCTTCCCAGAAGCCTACTTGGAGCGTCTCAAGCAAGCCGAAAAGCAAGATAAATGGTCTTTCTTCGACCTAACTGGGTGTCCCAGCGAAATAGTCGATCACATATTTCACCTAGCACAACTCGCACAGCAAAGCGAGATTGCGTCCACCATGACATGGCTGACTTTCGACCTAGCACCAATCATGCAGATTGAAGAGCAACTCAAAAACGGAACGCCGTTCTCGTCTCCAAATTCCATTCCGACGTCAGCGCCCGCGAGCTCTACAGATAAAACCAACGCAAACACAGCTACAGGACCGAGTAATACACAGACTGAGAGAAACGAAAGAAACACACCTGAGGAATCCGAAGAATTTATGCACGCGCAGGAAGACCGACACCATTGCATCGAGGCTTGGCGACACGCCTTGCTACTATATATTGAGCGCATATTTAAATGGGACCGCTCGCCCGATAGTCGACCTTCCGCAATACCATGTCTGCTTCGAATAACTCTGGACCACGTAAGATGCTGTCGACGAACATCACAAACTCAAAAACAATTGCTGCTACCCATTTTCCTGGCCGGTAGCGAAACAAATGACGATGAAATGCGGGAAGTAGTTAGGGAATATTGTCAGTGGTGGGGTGAGAGGAGCAGATATAATATGTTTCATTCAGTTCCTACGCTCCTAGAAGATGTTTGGGGAGGGAATAAATGGTGGGGAGCAGTGGTGGACGAGAAGACAAGGGCTGCGGGAAATGGGGCGAAAGTGCAATATTTGTTCGGGTAGGTTCCAATGATAAAGGGTTATGTGAATACTGTCGAACAAGATGTTCATAAGGATATATCCGATTGAAGAGCCATTTTACTATTATGGATTTCGGTAGGGCCTAAGCTAAATCTGCATTGCAAAGTCTACATATAGAGCTACCGCGGAGCTGTCCTTTTTCATAAGGCGCGCCGTATACATAGAATCGAGCTCTTCTCTGACTATCCCCCTGAATCGTTGCGGGGTTCTAGCTGCTACGCGCCCTCTTCACATAGGATAGGACGCCGTCCAACCCGATCACTGTACTCATCCATTATCAGTAGTCAATATGCTTTCAGGGCCATAATCCAACCCTGCTAGGGCGCTTCATCGGAATACCCTGACCCTGAGGCGGGATCCAATCCCTCTGACTCGATAAGACAGGAGTTCAATACTGCTCGTCTACGTAGGCATTGGATTCCCGTCAAGACCTTGATCTCAGCGGGTGAATAACCCATGCTACCTCAAAGGAGTGGTCATTGAACGCGACATTACTATATCGGTGCGAAAAACTAGCTATTCGCTATTGAAGCGATTTTTCTTCAGGCAGACGAGTAGAAACACAGGTGAAGGATTCATAAGATCATCAAAGAACAGACGTCGAGGTAGGGCTGGAGCGTGCTCGTGACTGGCCACGTGGTATCGCTTCCATCGAGAATAAAATCAGCAATAACTACATAGAGTTGCTTGCATTCAAAGCCTCCCAATCAATATTTGGTCCTTGGAACTTCCTCCTTCTCTCAATCCACAGTAGCATAATCAATGTAAAGATTCCCACGATAACCACGGCATTACTAATCAAATCAACATTAGCGTAGTTCCTCGTCAGGAATCACCAGAAAATAGTTCAAATAAACAAACAAGAGCAGTCAAGAGAGACTCACTAATTCATACTTCCCACCGTCGTGGGCTGCGTCGAAGGGAAGCAAAATATAACTCCGCTGATGATCAACCATACGACGGAGAAAGCATTCACAGCGTACCCGAGCACAGGGCCGAGATTGAACGGTCTTTTGGCCAGCCTATGACGGCCGCAAGTCAAAAGAATCCCTTGAGGAACGGTGTATGTGATATTGAGCATTAGAATCGCAGCGTTGACAATGGAATTGAACGCAGCTGTCGAGGCGATGTACAACAAGCCATAGATGGCACAGAACCCGGCAGCTAGAAGGGTCGTGCGGACTGGAATTTTGCGAACGGGATCGATATGTTTCCAGTAGTTGGAGAAGGGCAGCCCGTTCTGTTGTTTTCAATTATTGTTTGATTCACGTTTTTGATTGTGAAGGGGCCTATTTACATCTCGGGAGAATGCCCACGCTATTCGACTGGACGTAATCCATTGGCTTGGAACACAGGCTAGAAAAGGTTAGTAGGTGTTAAATCGGTTGATTGGACATAAAGCTTCTTACAATAGTAAAGTAGTGTCAAATAAGATTGCATGAAGGTTGCAACCGCTTTACTTCCAGTTGCCTGATAGAAGACCTCCAGACTGGGTAGAAACGCTTTCTGAACGGCCTCCATATCTCGAATCACAGTCACCATGACTATGACCCACGGCACTGCAGTCAGGATTCCAATGACGACAGTCATGTTTCTGAATGGTGGACACGAGTAGTCAGTCAGACTGATTGGCGCTACGGGAGAAAAAGAAAACTCACATCACCTGAGGCAGCTTCTTTCCTGGTCGAGGCATCTCTTCAGCGATGTGGGTACATGCACTAATTCCGACGAAGCAGTACTCTCCAAGTCCGATACTCAACAACCAAGCAGGTCCAGGGCTCCATCCACTAGATCCGCGATACTCGGTGATGTTAGAAGCACGGTAGTGACCGCGTCCCATGACCAGTGATATGATAGTAACAATGAAAAACCCAATGAATGACAGACCCATCGCTGTTTTTGTAAGCCGGTCGATCTTTCTTTGAGGAATGGTAAAGATAGGAATTACTAATCGAAATCGGTTAGTTAGATGCGGTGGTGGTCGGTGAGAATGGAATACGAACAAGTCAAAATAATGACTAGGACATAGCAGAGATACACCTGCCATTGTGTCCCAGCGAAGTCAGGGTGCCAGAACTTGGCAATTCCGAAAGCTGATATGGCCGTGAAAATAGTTCCTGAGGCGGTGTTCACCCACCAGGCTACGATGTTCAGAATTCCAACAATGTAGCCGGCGAAATTCTGAGTTCGCTTAGGGGCAACAATGTAGGTAAAATGATATTCTCCCTGCAATGAACGATGAGCATGCTAACTTGAGCCAGGAATTCATGTAAAACTTACACCAGAAGATGGGAAGGCGGAAACCAATTCAGCAAGCCCCAAAAGAACAATCCACTGCACGACTGCAGCCACCATCAGCCCAAACACAGCGGTCTGTCCGCCACCATAAGCAAGCACCATTCCAAAGGAACATGCATAAGTAAGCCAACTATTGACGATACTGTAGCAAAACCCCTGTCAATGTCATTTCTTCGAGGGCTAATGCGGGGGTCATCACGGACCTGTAAGCTAGACCAATGGCACCAACCCATGAGAAAGATCGGTCGAGCTCAGCGACATGGCCCTGGGCTTGGAGAACTGCATCATCGATATCTTCCACATGTTTCCCCAGCTCGAAGGATTTCTGATCTCCCGCATCCAGATCCCATGAGCCCATCTTGCTAAAGGTAAATGACCAAATTGGCAGAAAAAATATGGGGGAAAAAATGGATAAACAGGTTTTGAGAGGGAAGGCGTAACAAGGCGAGATAGAGGTTGTAGGGATGACAGGAGACGGGCGTGTCACAATAACCCTGATATATACATCCGCATTTGTCGTATCCAAACAAGGACACCCTGGATGGAGTACAAAACAACGGATCAACGTGACCCGATCATTCTCGCCTCCTAACTCCCTCGGGCAGACGGATGCGCCATTTTACCAACTCTAGAATTCAAGGCCACCTTGAGCAAACTTACTCCTTGTAGCCATTGAGGAAATTCCTCAAAAGGTGCATAATGAGTAAAGCCGCCAATCAAAGACGCCACTCCAATCGGATAGCGGACCCGACAAGAGCTAGAATCCCGGCGAAGAAAGGAGTGCGGGGAAGCCGACAAACTTCCTTTGTTTGGCTATGTTGAAGACTTGGTTGGCTGGGCTACCGACCACTGTTCCTCGTATTTTGGACCATGACGATACTCACCTGCTAGACCAGGGTAACGGAGAAACTTGGGAACCCTGGCATAATCTTATCAGGCAGGTTTGGCTGCGTTATCTTTTTACTAACTTCCCCTCCCTCGATCGCTTACACGGAGCGTTGAATGGTGGATTCCTGGTGAATATGTCACTCGAGCAGATAGGGGCACTCTACATTGCCACTTTGTGCACCTCCCAAATGCGGGAGTTTATGTGAATAATTTGAAGTATCAAATCTAGCAATGCAAAGAGGGGATTTACCCAATCTAGGGTGGCAAGGGTGTTAGAGAAACTGCTTCCAATGCGAGCGCTCGACGCAGGTTGTATCTAGAACTGGAAGGAAATCATGCGAGCAATAGCCTCTTTATATTTCTCAAAGCATAGTTCATGATGTGGCATGGTGTGTTCTATGACTGCTATCTTCAGCCTGAAATCACCTTGAAGCCGGTAGTTATTATCCAGATGCCCCGTTAGGGGGGGGTTTACTCAAAATCGTCGATTGTACTGTAAACATGGCGAATGTTTTCGATTCAATGAACCGTTCAGTATTGTTTCAAAGAGAATGTTCAAATTATGTGTGATATTTACAATCTAGCCCGTCTGCCTAGCGCATCAGCCGCCAGCTTTACGGCATCTTGGGCGCATCCGTACGAAGATTGATATCCCGCTCCACCAGCACCGTAGTTATGAACCACCCAGGTATCACCTATCTTCTCTCTCTCAATCCTTGTTCCTCCAGATCGGACAGGCCGCAGGCCCACTGCGTGCCGAATAATGTCAAATTTCTCTATACCTTCTCCACCAGTAAGTTGAGGGCACATTTCAACCGCCCTTTTCATAATCCTCACGGCCAAATTAGGATCGACTAGAGGATCCCAGTCACCCAGCTGGTACGACCCTCCGAGGATTGTTCCGCCACCAGCAGCACGAGTCATCACATAACATGCCTCTGTGTCACCGTCATCGGTCCCTGAGACATCGATCATTTTGCCCGCGTCATTGCGTACCACTACAATCTGTCCTCGCGCAGGGACAACAGTTTTGTCTTCCACTCCACCCAGCTTCGAAGCCATTAAGCCGGTGCAATTCACCACTAGATCAACCTTCGCGGGGATTATTGACGGAGCTGTCGCGTCTAAGATATGATCTAGCACAGCACGTTTGAACTGAACCCCGTTCTTGAGACACTGCGATACTAGCCATGGAAGATAAATGGCAGTATTAATACACACGGATGTGAAACTTGTCGCGGAATCGAAACCTGGTCGGAGGTCTTCTTTTGGCAGTAAACGAAACTGTCCAACCAGTTAGCCACAAACAGGATCATGGTTCATCGATTGTAACATACACCTGGTACGACGTCCTTGAACCAAGGGCTCGGTGAAAGAAGCTCCGCGAACCAGTTTGCAGTTGCAGAACCCTGGTCTTTCGCGCGGCTGTGGATCTGACATTCTACTCATAACACCAGTCAGCCATGCATCCTTGGAATATCGCTTCAAATGAATTACCCTGAAAATGAACGCCCGCATCTGGGTGGTTCCTAGCGAGATCCTCAAGAGCAATCCACGTTTGTCTGTCCCATTCAGATGCACGAGTTCCTCGGATAGATACTCTGTGTATTGTCAGTCGTCGGTATCAATCAATTATTTTGCGAGAAGTGAGGATGGAAATACATACGGCATATAGTTTGCACCAGCCCAGGGCGACGCATATTCAATGTCATAGTCACCAGGCATATGCTTGGCAATCACCACAATCTTGTATCCTGGAATGCGGGATAGAAGCAGCGCTGTAGTTAGGCCGGCAACACCCGCGCTGTACCGGGTCAGTAATGAAACAGGATATTCCTGGCTAGGACGATGTTTAACGTACCCTATGACCACAATATTCTTATCGGCCATTCTGTTGATCTTTACTCGAAGGTGATATAATACAAATGCGTTAGGGAACTTTCACACCGTCTATCACCACTTCTCTCTCGTGGTTTTATACCTTGCGTCGGGTTGCTAAATCCAAGTGCCGATAGGGGCCAAGGAATAAATCGTCTAATACGGTACCCAGTGTTCCTGGTGAGACCATCTAGTTCGAGGACTATCGGAACTATCAATCAGCGAACACGACTGGGAAAGAGGTGCCGTTGTTATGGTCCTAATAGGAAGGCAAATCTAGGCAATGACGGCACGTGGAGGCGAATGCAACTAAATTTCATGCAGCATCACCCAGTTGCCACATTTGGGTAACTTATGCTAGCCTAATGTTAAACTTTCATTATTATTATTCTTCTTCGAATTACCGTCGTTGCTTATTCTTGTGTCGCCACGAAATCCTGGTTTCCTATTTGGGAATTCCCCGATGAGGTTAAATTGAGCGCGACCCTAACAAGTCCCCATCGCCAAGAACATCAAGCTACGCAAGACAGAAAGACACTACGTACATGTTGATCTCCCAGTTATACTTAAAGTCCATATATCTATCATCCTAGACATCAGATCAATGACTCCAAATTCCTGATTTGCTTCATCCTCCAACTCCCAAGCTACTGCCTCAATCTATACCACAAAATGGCCACCATGCAAAGTGTATTCGCCGGCTACAATGCCAGGCAGTCCGTCCTCCAGGCCAGTTCCAATCCATATGCTAAGGGAATCGCGTGGATCGAAGGCGAATACGTTCCTCTCGCCGACGCACGCATCCCCCTTCTCGATGAAGGCTTCATGCACAGCGATTTAACATACGATGTCCCCTCCGTCTGGGATGGGCGCTTCTTCCGCCTCGACGACCATCTTACCCGACTAGAAGTCAGCTGTGGAAAATTGCGCTTGAAGGTACCGCTTCCGCGCGAAGAACTGAAGCGCATTCTCGTCGAGATGGTCGCCAAGAGCGGTATCCGCGATGCGTTTGTGGAGTTAATCGTCACGCGTGGTCTCAAGGGCGTTAGAGGAACCGATCCGAAAGACATTGTCAACCGATTGTACATGTTTGTGCAACCCTACGTATGGGTTATGGAGCCGGAGATCCAGTCCGTTGGTGGGGGCGCGGTCATTGCTCGCACTGTGCGCCGAGTTCCTCCTAGTGCGATCGACCCGACCGTGAAGAACCTCCAATGGGGAGATCTTGTGCGCGGGCTTTTTGAGGCCGCTGATCGAGGTGCCACGTACCCGTTCTTGACGGATGGAGATGTCAACTTGACCGAAGGCTCGGGATTTAACGTTTTTCTGGTCAAGAACGGGGTCTTGTATACTCCAGACCGTGGCGTGCTGCAAGGAATCACCCGCAAGAGTGTGATTGATGTAGCGCGCGCTTCTAGGTACGAGGTTCGTGTTGAGACGGTCCCTGTGGAGCTGGCATACCAGGCAGATGAGATCTTCATGTCAACCACCGCTGGAGGAATCATGCCGATCACTTCGCTGGATGGTAAGCCTGTTAAAGGGGGGTCAGTGGGACCAATTACCAAGGCGATTTGGGATGGATACTGGAAGATCCATTATGATGACAACTTCGGCTTCCAGATCAACTATGATGGGGCACAGAGGAATGGGCTTGGTTCAACTGGCAAGCTGTAAATATTTCGAATTTTATATGATGAATTGACCACGCTCATGTTGATAATGAGACAATAATGACTGTTCCATAAGTTAAGAAGCATTAGTATCGCAAGTCTCGTAAGTATTTAACGGAGTATTATAGCATTTATCAAAAAATGTATGACCATGCGCGTAATTTATTTCCGTCCTTCTTTTTCCTACACTTAAGACGGGCTGTCTAGACGGACTTGCTAGTAACCTACAAGATAGTCTAACCTGATATAAAATCAACACTACTAGTGACATGTGCTTTGTTGTTATTTCTCTCACTGGTCCCACTGAGGAAGTGACAAAGTTCTCAGTTGGAGCTGGGTCTTCCATTTAATAAAGTTTTCATGATGATAGTTTGTGACTCATAAACGATGCAAGACTATAGATCCATATCCTGCGCAGGCGCCAAAAACTTCTGATTACCGTTTTACTTACTTAGGATCCTAGTCTAGGTAGGCAGACCTTTTCGAGAATGAAATCTACCCAGAGCACTCTACTCTGCAAGCAAGGAGGTCAATATTAGTTATACTCAAGATGGTTAAGAGGACAAATGAATCCCATTCTGCACCAGCAAGCCTATCACAGATATTATCAGCGATTTATACGTATAAGGCAATATTGAGTAGTTAAGACTGAATTGTTTTTCGACTAAAATTACCTTTAAACCGCCCCATAATTCTTCCCCTTATAAAAGAGAAACCCCAGCCTGCAAGACAATTAGTAGTCACCAAGACGTTTAATTATTATTCTCCTACTTTGGTTAACGAGTTCTTTATGGTTCTACTCCGTATTCAACAGTGGGAATAGGCAGGAGTGTGGAGAATCCACGATAACACCAATTTCGGTTGCCTATTGAGGAAATCCCTCGGTGCCATTCTTGCGACCGCTGCTGAATTCTCGTTCCCCACTCCCACTTCTGGGTCGCCAGACCCAGTTAATCACGCACGGAGAATCAGCGCCAAGCTTTGCCAGGCAAAGCACATTAGGCCAGTTTGAGGTCACAAAGTGCTCTGCTCATGGTTTGGATCCAGAATATATTCGTGTCTCTAATCCAATCTGCTACGCTCCAATCAAACATTACCCTAGCGAGCACTCGCATTGCGACTATTCAATCATTATGGCTACTCCGATTCCCTCAGATACAACTCTTGCGATGCAAAAAGTCTTAGATCAAGCTACCTCGAGCTCATCCCCCAGCATCCCCGGACTTGTTTATTGTTCAATTAACCGAGATGGTGATATGCTATTTCAATATGCATCCGGTCGCAGAGGACTAGATGTAGCCCAATCAATGTCCCTAGACACCGTATTCTGGATGGCATCTTGCACAAAGCTCATTACCAGCATCGCCTGTATGCAGATGGTCGAACAGAGCAAGCTAGACCTCGATAATGTGGAACAAATCGAGTCCCTAGCTCCTGAGCTGAAGGCCGTCCAGGTGCTGGAACGTGATTCCGATGGCGGGTTTCGTTTAGTACCCAAAGAAAGAGGAATCACGTTGCGAATGCTTTTGAATCATACCTGTAGGTGCTCCATTCCTCCCCAACCTCAATTACTTATCCCCCGGAATGAAGGATAGAAAGACTCATTTGATATAGCCGGCTTTGGTTACGCATTCGAAGACCTGAACCTGAATGACTGGTCTCACCCAGTCGGCTTAGATGACTTTTCTGGCAATGAGGCAGACGTGCTCCATCGACCGCTTGTCAACCAGCCAGGAACTAAGTTCCAGTACGGAGTCGGCATGGACTGGGCTGGGGTTCTCGTGGAGCGCGTTACGGGAATGTCGCTGGAAGAGTATTTCCAGCGGTTCATCCTACGACCGATAGGGATTCAATCTATCACATTTTTCCCTTCGCCAAAAATGGTCGCCGATCTCGCATATATGCACCAAAGAGCACAAGATGGCTCATTGAGTGTTACTGATCACCTCTATAGATATCCCCTTCTGGCACGAAAACCGGAAGATCAGGGAAAAGGCTTCTGCATGGGCGGTGCAGGGTGCTTTGGAAAACCAGTTGAACTCTGTCGTAGGTTCCCCCGTCCAGGATATTGCGCTCATAAAATCAACCTGATAACTGATCCACGTTGTATAGAGCTTATAACGGTCTTATTGAACGATGGAACACATCCTAAAACTGGGGTTCGACTTCTCAAACCAGAAACAGTAACAGGTAAACAGAATCCCATCCGCTCATCTACTAACAAGGCCCTCTTTTCTGACTGAACAAAGAAATGTTTACGGACCAAATTCCTGACAAACCACGATACTGCAACGAGTATACACCATCCGCCAAACCGCTCCTTGCCAATCCGTGTCCTCTGGTCCCTTGTGCAGATGACCTGACGGAGGGTTGGGGACTGTCATTTTCGCTAAGCCACCAGAAAAGCGGCACTGGTAGAGCTGCAGGAGCAGGCTCCTGGGAAGGTCTCGCCAATCTGTTCTGGTTTGCTGACTGTCAGAATGGGGTTGGTGCGATCATTGCCTCACAGATTCTTCCTTATGGCGGTAAGTTAATGCTCATTCAATATAACAGGGGGGATATTTGCTAAGGCTGTACAAATAGACCTGAAAGTTCTTGACACCATGGAAACTGTCGAGAAAGTGATGTACCAAGATCTGTTGCACGATTCATAAAATTGGGACAGTGACAACTAGTTGGGGTAGCACTCTACTAAATCTAAGAAATACCGAACATGATTGGACTCGACTTTTTGAGCTTGACCACAAATTGACAGTGAGCATGAAGTAAACGCTAATTTAGATAGTAAGTTGAACAGTCCCCAAACCTCGTTCGACCACTGGGTCCGAGGATTCAGTTCCGGGATTCCCGCATCCTATATGTCGCTCTATCGGGGGATGTGGCTGTCAGCAGCCCGAAGGATCCGTCCCAAGAGTCCGTATTCACAATTAATAATCCTCGCGCCATAACCTAACATCCTGACAAATTGCTGCCATCCTCTCAAATGAATTAGTAAACAGCAGATAAGCGTCACCCTTGTGCTGCATAAATACTCGCTCCCGACTCTTGTTGACCATGTCCTAACAAACATCACCATCATCGCACTCACTTTGTCCATTCAATAAAATCATCGCGCGCTAAAAGTCCATCATGTCTCCCACTCAGAAAGCGATCGTTGTCACGGAACTCAACAAGCCTGTCACTTTGATAAAAGACAGGCCAGTTCCCGAACCAGGCGTGAGCCAGGTGCAAGTGAAAGTGGCAGTTGCCGGCATCAACCCTCACGACCAAAAGGGCCGTGACTGGGGTCTTCTCACTGAAGGGGATCTCCCCTCCATCCTCACCCACGACGTCGTTGGTAAGGTCACCAAACTAGGCTTCGGTGTCGCTGAGCTTGCGGTCGGCGATCGTGTCGTGTATCAACCGACATTCTTGCCGGGTTCGACGCAGAATGGCCTGCAAGAATACGCCATTGCGGATATAGGATCTATTGCGAAGATTCCGGATTCGATCACGGACGACGAAGCTGCTACGTTGCCGACGAATGTTATTGCGCCGTTGGTGGCTCTGTTCAAGACGCTGAATATCCCTGCGCCGTGGACCAGTGAGGCTAAGGAGTTCGACTACAACAATACGGCAATCCTAATCGTCGGAGGAGGCTCTAACTGCGGTAAATTCGGCGTGCAGCTGGCCAAGCTCGCAAACATTGGGCGGATTGTGGTTGTCGGTGGCGACGAGACCAAGTTGAAGTTCTTTGGAGCTACTCATGTCATCGACCGCCATGCTGGAGAGGAGACGATCGTTGCCAAAATCCGCGATATAGTCGGCGATGATCTAGTGTACGCTTACGATGCTATCAATCCTCCGGAGGGCCTGTTCTTGGCGCTGAATGCCCTCTCGAACACCAAGAGAGGTGCTCTAGCTCGTCTCTTGCCCCGTGATCCAGTCGATGAGTCGAGGGTTTTGGGAAAGAAGGCAGGGTTCGATATACGTGATGTGTTTGGCAGCTCTCATGGGCATCCTGAGCTTGCGGCTGGGTTTTGGTCACGGCTCTCCGGCTACCTTGAGGCTGGTCAGATCAAGCCACTTGACTATGTGGTTAAAGATGGATTGTTGGCCGAGAATGTCAATGAGGTTCTTGATGCCTACAGGGATGGAAAACGGGTTACCAAGACTCACATTCATTTATCAGTATCATGTGTGTAAGTCTAAGTGCCCTCTGGGTCTCTGATATTCACTTTTTAAACGAGTAGCTGAGCTCCAGCTCCAGAGGTTCTTAGAAATGGACGAATATCTAAGTGGATTTCATCATACTCGAATATCAGCTCCTAACGGAGTCCTTCCTCGATCACTGATGGTTATCAAGCTCACCCAGGACGAAACAAAGTAAATTCAGCGAGAAGGTAAAGTTTTCAAGCAATCCATCTGAATCGTAAGCCAGCCTATGCTTCCTGAAGTGGAGAAATGTTTGCTATCTCTAATTACTGGCGGGTCAAACCGCATGAAAATATACATTCCCGCCGACACCCTCTTCCACCCCAGACAACCCAGCTCTGGCCCTTTTACACGTTTTTCCTAACCTTGAAGGAAGGAATAGCATATTTCAGACGGTCACAAAGTATTAGAACGACGAGGAAGAACAATAAAACCATACGCAGAACAGCGCGACGAACGAAAACGCGAATCGTGGATGTATTTCGAGACAACAGAGACCGAAACAAAGCGTTGAGTGTATACGAAAAGTGGTTGGGATCTACGAATTTGATGACGTCTGCGGGAAAGGGCGAGAATAGGCCCCTCGTCAACTACACCAACCCTAGCTCTATTTACACTATCGATTATGCCGACATTGGAAACATTACCGTTCTGTTGTACTCCCGAGTTCAATAGAACGAGGCTACAGCAAGGACTCCATGTGTAGATGGAAATCCCTCGGAGTACAGCCAAATAGGTTCCGTGGCAGTGTGTTAGTTGAAGCAAACTGTTGACTCTCTCCTCAGTTAGTCAGTCCTCTAGGATAGCTAACTATCCCCGGCTCAGAGAAATGGAGGGGTAAGGTGATTACGAAACTAGATGAGTCAAATTCCAATTCCTCGTCGCGGTCATTTGAGGGTCGAGGTACCCGCCCGATGCATGCATTGCATGTATGCATGAGATCCGGAGACCCCGGAAACGAACTCCACCTCCCTTTGTACTTGTGATCATCAAGCGAGCTTAGCGAAAGGAAAATGCAGAAACGAAAAATTGGAAATGGTTACTGAGCTCGACCGGTTGCCCCTTTCTCTGGTTCTCGGAGCACCTTCGTTGATGATCGGCTGAGAGACTGGACGGCAACTTTCTTGTCGCAGCGATCTTCCCTAGATTAAGGAAATGTATTTTGCCATGCTGCTGCTAGCGTACTAGCTGATTTATCATTCATTATGTTTCAACTGTTTTTCATGTATAGTTATGTCATGTGGAGTGGTGTTGGAGGTTGAAAGCTCAGCTTGGACATTGCCCCTTGCGGTCGCGAATGATTGCTTTGACCTTCCTGCAACCTGCGGGCCATGAATCTCGACATGTGGAGATCGACGACTGTGTTACAATGTTTGACATGCGTGTTGCTGAAGCAGGTGTAGGAGGAAACTCTCGTTGAAGGATAAGCTGCTGATAAACAATAGGTCTGATTTGAACGCGCGAAAAAGGTATGGTTTGGATCACGAAATCGAAGGGTAATTTGTATTGCACATATATGGTTGTTGTCATTTATATTCATATCTCAATTTGCTTCATGATGCGGGAAAATTCGACGGAAAACGATTGAAAACGGAGATCGAGGTGAAGAGGGCCATTATGCATAAGTTGACGAAAGAGAATCGCGTTCTCCGAATATTAGAAAGAAACCAAGCAACACTCGAGATTGGTACAAAGGTGCAGGAGACAAGCAGAAGTCCACCCATTCTGATCAGGAACGCGATATGGGTACATACCGATGCCGGCTCAGGCTTTCGATCGAGTCCGGCTGTGGTTGCGTCTGCGTCTGCGCTTCTTGCGGTACCCCTTGTGGGAACCCTGGGTGGAGGAGAAAACACTCTCGGTGGGAGCGAGGCTCGAGACGAAAGATGTCGTACTGTAACGGGGAGACGACCTGTGGTGTCGGCGAGAATGATACCTGGGCTTCCGATCGGATGCCTCTCCTTCTTCTTCGTCTTCGTCGAGGTAGGCAACTGACGCAATGGTGGAAGCGTTGTCCATGTCGTCGTCGCTATTCCATTTGTACGACTCCACATCTTCCTCATCCTTCGGATCCTCCTTGTCCTCCTTGTATTTGGGGTAATCGTCGGTCCTGCGCTTCTCGAATGCATCTTTTGAGGATCTCGGAGAAGATCTCGGCGATTTCTCATCGTTGCCGGATTTCTGATACTCTTTGGTGCTGTGGTATCTCGAGTATTCTTGGCTCTTGCTTCGTCCACAGAGAGGAGGCCTTTCGTCCACCTCGTACTTCTGATATTCTTTGTCGTTCTCATATTTCGGGTATTGCCCATTCCTGCAGTTCTCAAACTCGCTCTTCTCGAATCTCAGACGTTTCTCGTCAACGGGGTATTTCTGGTATTCCTCGTCGGTGGGGTATTTCGGATATTGCTTCTTCTGGCGATGCTCGAACTCGCTCTTCTCGGACTTGGGGCGTTTCTCGTCATCGGAGTATCTCTGGTATTCTCTGTTGTTGGCATACTTGGGATACTCCTCGCTGTTGCATCTTGAGAATTCGTTTCGTCCACAAAGAGGCATTTTCTCATCTGTCCCGTATTTCTGATACTCTCTGTTGTTTTCGTACCGGGGACAGTCCTCATTGCTAACTCGGGCAAATTCGTTGGTCTTTTCGTCCGCCTCATATCGTTGATATTCTCTATTGTTTTCGTACCGGGGATAGTCTTCATTGCTGACTCGGGCAAACTCGTTCGTCTTTTCGTCTGCCTCATATCGTTGATACTCTCTGTTGTTCTCATATCGGGGGTATTCTTCATTGCTGGATCGGGCAAATTCATTCTTCTGGTCGCTGCCGGCGCTGGTGTTTCTCCGGTTGGGGGGTCGATTATTGCCGTTGCAGAAAGAATGTTGGTCGTAAGCCGGAGGTGCGTCGTCTTCAAGGCGGGCCAGATTCTCTCTTATCAGACTGCTGGCTGACCGAGAGGCCCTTCTGTTGTACTTTCTCCTCTCGCCCTCAGCGAGATGCTCGATGTTGACGTTTCTATCGGTCAGCTCGTACAGCTTTCCTCCGTCGGGGTCGCCGAGGGTACCCAAGGTTCGCGGGCCTGTGTTCTGTTTCGAGCCGAAGACTAACATACCATCAGTAAAGAGCAGGCGACACAAATTCAGAGGAACACTCACGTTTGCTGAGGAGGCTTTGCGGGGGCTTGTAAAGCCCGATGTTGTCATGTATTCCTTTTTCGACCCCAGGTAAGTTCATCCAGACCAAGGGCTGTCCGTCGTGCGTGTCGCAGTAGAGGCTGAAGGGCTCCAGATCCTTGGGGAACTGAAGAGGCGATGTAATGACGATGGGATAGTAGGCCGGGATCAGAAGCTTGAAATGCGGGGGATCCTCTTGCATCTTGGGGTCTGATGCAAGCGCCTGTCTCATGGCACGCATGAAGATGACGACCATATCGAGATCCTGAAAGATGCCGATGAAGCGCTTGCCGAGTGGTCCATCGGAGCGGATTTGATTTGAGAAATGATGGGTCCAGTACGTGTCGGGATGATACACAAAGTACCAAGCGCTAGAGGACGAACTGCCAATCATGTTCTTGACCATGTTATAGACAAAGTCGGCGAACGCTGGCGGTGCGTTAAGGGCATGATCCCTCGCCAGAGTGTTGTTGATCCCGTCCAGATGGCCGGCAATCTGGCGAAGCTGCCCGACTCCCTGGACCACCTGGTAGGCAATCGCGCCTGCCGCCGCGGCATGAATGGCACCGGCCATGCCCACTGCGCAGGCTCCGTAGACGGCCTTGTCGCCATAGGAGCCGACGGCGACCATGGCTTTGTCGAGGATCTTGGTAGCCCATCCCGTACTGTCAAGGGAGGATTCCGGGGTGAGTCGATCGATTTTCTTGAAAGGGTTCATGATGCATGGTTTCCAACTGTAGGATTCCCGGCTGGACTGAGGGGGGGATAATAATGGCAGGCCCCGTCGAGCGAGTGACCAGTCCACCGCGACTGGGACTGACTGGGACCGACTGGGACCGACTGGGACCGAATACGCCAGAACGTGAGGCTAATTAGGGCTGCAAGGCGGGTGCCCCGCCAATTTGCTGATCTGGCACCAATCACTCGGTGGTGCCTGACTTGTCAGTGGGGCCTTTCGGTCTGAATGTCAAGAATTGCTTCACCGACTCGTGATTATTAACCTACTGTCTCAGTAGTCTCATACTGACCGCACCTAAACCATCCGGTTTCATTGACCTGCAGCCCCCAAGTGCTGATGCCCCCCCTCAATTCAGAGCTTTGCCACCATCGCGGGTCCACCGTCCGCCATGTTCTCCCTGTTCTCCCTGTTCTGTGCCCTTCGCACTTCCAACACTGACTCATCGCTCTTATCGGTGTTCCAAATCCCCACTAACTCGAGTCCAACTGCATCAAATAGCGCTTTCCACTGCGAGACCGTCCGTTCTAACCCCGCCGTATGTAACCACATGAGGATGTCCATCTCCGCCGCCCGCAACTGGGCCCCGGTATCGGGAAGCACATAGTCGTCGATCAGCAGCGTCGAATAGTCCGCATCCATGGCGTCTGCAATTCGGGAGAGAATCTGAATACTTTTGGCATCGGACCAATTATGCAGCACCTGCCGGAGGAAATATGCCCGTGCTCCTGTGATTCCCCCGCGTTAGCCAACTTTTTCGCTCGTTTTCCAGAAGCCTCCTGTTCTTCCCCCTGGGATCACGTGATATGACATACCCTGGACTGGTTGCGGTGTGAAGAAGTCGTACTCCATAGGCTCAATGCCCTCCGGAACTTTTTCGATCCGGTTCAATGTCAGGGGAAGATCTTGCAAGACGATCCGACCTGCAATTTCGGGGTGTCGCTGCCTGAAGCGCGCCATTTCTTGACCTGGTCCACCGCCCACGTCGACTAGCAGCACCGAGTCGCTTTGCGACCGTACGTTCCCCAATCTCTTGGCCGCCGGATACATTTCAAACCACTGCGGTTGCTGCACCAGTCGTCGCGCCGCCATGTACTCGTCAAACGCTTCTTTCTGCTCGGGGTTGACCTCTAGCATGCCGAAGATCTTGTCGAACCCGTGCGCGTACTTGAAGAGGGTGACTTCATCCGGCTGGTCGGCGAACTGGGAGACACCAGGGCCGCGCATGTAGTCGACTAGTCTCGCGCCCTGTTTTTGGTCAGTATCGGCCTACTTCCTTCGTACGGAGCAGGTAGAATGTTCGGTCGGATTCCGCGATAACGTACCATGCCAAAGTCAGGCTCGAAGCTAGCAACTAGTTATCAGCCTGTCCATCGCAGCCCAATGAGGAAGACCCAAACTCACTGGTGTTTCACGGCTGCAATTGACCCTGGCAGGATCGCAAATCGAGTCACCTCGTTCGCAGCGTACGTTTGGTGTGCCGTCTCATCCGCGAAGCCGATCGCCGTCAAAACCCGCATCACGCGCACTGATCACACTGTTAACACGGTTGACACTTTGGCATCCACAGTATCCAGATCGATAAGATTTGTATTACCAATGAGCAATTCCTCCGTCTTGGTTCCCCGCGCCATCTCCGCCGAGGTAATTGGGCTGTCACTTTCTGCAATGGCATGGAGGAATCTTTTCTCGGTCGCAACGCGGACGCAGATATTTTGCATAATCTGTCCCGTTAATTCAACTGCCTAGGAACTGAGGGGTTTATTGAAAGAATACCTGAAAATTGACCCGAGACGTCGTCTCCACCGGTTTCTCGGCCGTTAACTGAAGCTTGCGGATCGCGGCTAGCAGCTGGCCGTGGGCATTCACGTCCCCGGCTGCTTCTGCTTCAGCTAGTTTTTTGACGTTGGCAATGTCGTCAAAAATCGTCATCTTGCTCTTCTCTGATTAATTTGACGCCAGTTCAGAATAATGATCGTGCAGTAGAGGGTGAGGGGGAGCACAACCCCGGGTTTATCTATCTCTTAAATAATGATCTCAGCCCGCAGACGTCAAAGCGCCTTGTTCATGGAACGAGAATCTTGTTTTGCTCGTTCCATTTGAACTCAGGAGTCAATCTATTGGCGTTACATTCGGAAGACAAAGGTACGTACATCGCAGGATTATCCTTGCTGGGGGGTCATTGCGAGTCTGCGGCATTGCTGGAACGGGTAACGGTTCGACAGGGGTTTGGGGACGGTGCTTTCTTATCACGTTTAGGAGGATGTGATGGACTTTGTTTGATTGAGGGGTGCGTAATCTTCACTTATTGAGGTAGTATCCTTTCTTGTGGATTTTCGGAGTAGAGTTGTTGGGGTTATATGTTGCCGTTATTTATTGGTCCCTGGATATTTATCTTGTCTGGTAGAGGAGACAAAAGTCCTGTATGGATTCGTTCCGTACATGGATATATCTCCTGAAAATATGATTTACAGTCGAGGAGTGGGACAGGCATACCGCAATGCGTCTGATGATTTCAATATGTAGCCTTCATCAGGTCAACGGAATATTTTGTGAGTGTTTGGCAGTGTTGAGATTATGTCCCGGCTTATATAGGCATAATTTTAGCCTTTTTTCATCAATTGGCCGGATGGTGTAGTTGGTTATCACGTATCGTTAACACCGATAAGGTCCTGGGATCGAGCCCCAGTCTGGTCATTGCTTTTTGTTTTTTTCTTGGGGTTGGTTCTTCTTGCCCGGGACCAGTGGAGAATAGTTGTATTCCGTAATGGAGACGAAAAGCGACGAGGATCTGTTCTGTATTTCCAACGATAGGTCGGCATCTAAGTCCAAATTATTTGGGTATACCCGGTTCTATATGACCCCTTTATTGATTCATCTTAATATAATGTCAATACTAGCGCAGCTAAGGTATTCAATGCCTCTCCTCCGTGACTGTCATCTTACGCGCAGGCACAATTTGATCCGTAAGCTCAAAACCTAGGATCTCCTCTTGACTGTTACTCCTGAATACATTTGTCTCCTTGCCGCCCTTCTCCGATCCCCGAGAGACCCACGACCGTTCTGGCCGATCACGCAAATACATCCAAGCATCATTGTTCGAGCCCGAATGCGGCTGCATGGACTGATTGCGCGAACTCCCATATGCAGTGCTTTTGATGCTCTGCGAAAACCGAACGAAGAACGGCCGAAGAACCGGAATTGAGCCGAAAATCAGGATGAACCACATCTCGGTGAGGACCCAGATGTTTAGCTGCGCGATCGAGTAGGTCTGGTCCGTCGCTTCGGTGATGTTGGCGATGGCGATCGTTTTGTTGATTCCTGCGATTCCGGCTCTGCATTGAATGTTAGTCGCATTCTTTTGGAGGAGGAGAATACCAAAGGGCCAGAACGATGAGATACATACATAATGCCACCACTCATCAGCAGACAGAGACCAACCTTCAACGATAGTCTCATTTGCTGAAGTCTTCCAATTATGTAGATCGGGTAGAAGGCCAGGAATATATCGGCGGCGGCTCCAACAGCTGTTTAGTGCGTTAGATCAGAAGCTTCAACATTTGATTACATTGACAGACACTTACCCCCTTGGAAGTACCCAATATGTAGACAGATATCGATCAGATCACAAGTCCCAGGAACACTCATATCCCATAGTTTCCACGGTGGGTCGCATTGATAGAATATAACACCTATCTCGGCAATATTGATGGCCCCCTGGATTCCACCCACAAAGAACAGCACCCATCGTCCCTTGCGGTGAGTACGTGCTTGCAGGGCCAGTAGGAACGCAATCACTGCGCACCTCGCAACAGCCAGATCCACGATTCCGATCGCTTGAGCAACCCAGCTCCAGAAGTTTGTCTGAACAATATCGGAATCCGAGAGCAGATCTTGGTGCATTCCGAGTCCGTACTTCACGCTCACGGTCATCGTGCATTGTGCTCCTAGAGCAATCATCTTCTAGAGTGTTAGAAATGTTAGAAGCTCTCAAATATGGGGAGACAGAACACACCAGAGCAAAAAGCGCCCAAACAAAATCCCACCGCAGGCCAAAAATACCGGATGTCATGCTTTCTGGTGGGCATATTGAGGCTGTCTTTGCTCGCAGGGCAAACAGGACTAAAGTAAGTGATGCTTCTGCCCATGTCAGGCCGAGCAAGAGAGGTCCTCGGCCTCCGTATGTATCTGACATGACGTCTGATGCGCTTGCAACGGAGGGTTTACCAGAGAACCTTGGACTACCTTCATTCTATATCACTGCCTTCAGTGTTCGAGATGCCCGCGTAGTATCTTGCCTCGGAACTTTTAGACCATACTGTCGGGTTTCTTGGCCACAACAACCAGCGTCTTTCTCTCTACTACGTAACGATACACACTTTGATCTAGGCAGGGGTTGGTTATTAAGGGGCTACGGCAAAGTCAATACTAGTATCTCGATGGTTGATGTCTCTTTCTGTGTAACCCCAGAGTCCGAATAGAATAAATGTAAGAGAAGGCTAAGCAAGAAGATTTTCACGTATGAGTACCTCAGAATGATAGCTATCCCAACGTTTTACCTCCGGAAAATGCTATCCCATGCCATATTCCGTCGGGGTGACCGACCAAATAATTGCTCTATGTCTCAATATGCGTGATTTATCATTTACAGATACTACGACCTGCGCCGCATTGCATGCTCTCGGCCGCTAGGAACGGGACGATGTAACTTCCGCCGCGCCGACCCAGAGGCTTACTGGGATTAAACATTTCAGGCGCTCACAATCCCTGCAGACGGCACGAATTCCAATTTCCCGTTATCGTTGATCGTCGTGGCTTGGTGGTTTTTATGGTTTAGTAGATGGACTTAGCTGCGCCAACTCCGCACCTATCTAACAGATCAGCAAAATTTCCGTTGTGTCCCCTTGGAAATGGCGTTTACCTGGATCGGTCAATTCAGTTGGGTTGCAATTGAATTTACTTCGCGGGGCACAGATAATATCTCAAGAAGTGTTCTGTCTCTAAAATTGTAGGCACCGTGTAATTGTCTGGGTTACATCGTATACGCAATCTGAAGGGAATGCGAACAGGGGGTTAGATTAATTCGTTAAGGAGCTGATGGTCACCGACTGAACCCAGTGCGACATGATACCAGTCGTGTCCCCCAGGGTTTGCCTGTTTTTTGCTTTTCTTTTTCTGTTTGCCTTTTGACTGTCCGTTGCATATTTGCCCAGCTCTCAGCCCACGTCATTCTGACCGTTCTGCTCGGCGTACTTCATTTCCCACAGAAATGTCTCCTACAAACCCCGAAGACAAGCCTCCGTTACAGGTTGAGTCCACCGGTATTGACGAGGAGACAGAAGCCCTGGAAGGATATGTGACAGATCCAAACTGGTATCCTAACAATGCATCCGAGTTAAAAACAAGCGCAGATGGCCAACACGTTCTTATCCCCCAGCCGCTGGATACGCCGGATGACCCGTTGAACTGGAGTTCTCGCAAAAAATGGCTCATCATCGGAATAATGGCATATATTGCCTTTCTGGCAGATTATACGGGCGGGACGGCGATTATTACAGTTATTCCCCAGTCCATGTGAGTGGACAACTATGTTTTTGAAAGCCCGATCTAATTGAATGAGCTGAATGCAGGCAATGGAATCTCCCCCAAGAGCACGTCCAACGAGCCGTCGTCGGAAACCTCTTCACAATCGGAGCGTGCGGACTGATCGTGGTAATGTTGGTCGGATACTTCGGTCGAATGCCAATCCTTCTCATCTTTCAGGCTGTGATGGTAGGAACATGCGCTTGGTCGGCCGCGGCCACATCCTTCGAATCCTATCTCGCCGCTCGCATAATCAACGGGCTGTTCTGTAGCGTCGGACAAGGTGCGGCTCTTCTCTGGGTGAAAGATATGTTTTTCTTCCATGAGCATCTCAAAGTGATCAACTGCATCGAATTCTTCATTATCCTGAGTCCGTACCTGGGGCCACTGCTCACGTCGTTCATCGTCGCCGATGTATCTTGGCGGTGGGCATTCTGGCTGTGTACGATCATGTCTGCCGTTGCCTTTCTTCTTGTCTTCCTCCTCGATGAGACGCTTTTCGAGCGCAAAGGTCACCAGGTCCCTCGAGGATCGTACCTCGCTCGTCTCACCGGTGCTCAGCAAGTCCAACTCTGGCGACAGCGAAGCTTTCTGCAATGCGTCATGCGACCTATCGTAGCCATCACCAAGATCCCTGTCTTGATCGTCCTGATATTCTACTTCCTCAGCTTCGCATGGGTCATCGGAGTCAACACCACGATCGGGATCTGGCTAACCAACGACTACGGCTTCTCGACCCGCGGAATAGGTCATCCCCCTTATCCAGTCCTACCTCCGAACACCGACTTACCATGCACAGGGTACTTCTACTTCTTCGGCATCGTCGGCGTTATCATCGGCTGGTTCATCGGCCACTACCTCCACGATGCAGTTGGCACATTCTACACCCACCGTCACCAAGGCCGCTTGCACCCCGAAGCCCGTCTCATCATCGTCTACCCAGCCACCGTCCTCTGCTGTATCAGTCTCATCATCCTCGGCTTCGCATTCGACCGCCACTGGCACTACATGGTGATTGCGGTCTTCGCGGCCCTCCAATGCGGCAGTCTCATGATCATTACGACCGCCGTGAACGCCTACCTACTTGATTGTTATCCCGAGGGGTCGGGGGAAGTCGGCGCTTGGGTCACGGCGAGTCGTAACTGGGGCGGGTTCATGGCGACGTATATCCAGATCGAATGGGTAAAGGGGATTGGCGCTGCCCGGGCGTTGGGAATCCAGGCGGCGATCACTTTCGGGTCGTTGGCGTTTATCTTGCTGTTGCAGGTGTTTGGGCAGAAGTTGAGGAGGTGGCAGGGGAGGATGTATTTTGGAAGGGGGGGGAAGGCGTGAGTTAGTATCTGTTCTATTGAGGGTATAAATGCATAGTTGCTTCGTATAAAACATTCATTCAAGATAGTGGCCCATATTCGTCCTATGTTTGAGAGTGGTGGTTGTAAGCGCTCTGTAGGATGCCTCAGGCACCTGGAGACAGGAATCCGAGAGGCGGCCAGACAGTGCAACGAGGCGTACATTACACCTCGTTAAGCTGTCAAAAGGCCTACACCTCGCCTGCCCCTCCATCACCTGTAGATATTCATTTATCTAAGATAAAATATTGAATTGGAGAAATTCAAGCCGTCAAGATCGTCATTTTCAGTCGCATGTCATCATCCTGTACCTACGATTTCAACAGTGGTGGTACGTGAGTGTTTAGGAGCGGTTGTATATATATGACCTAGATGCACTGTAGTTAAACCAAAAGATCAGGGTGAAATGGTCACAGGAATTAGATTTTCTGATCAATACCCATCCCCTGGGTGAAGAAACTCTGACCAAAACAAGTGAAACTGGGCGCAGATATACCTGTCTTATGTGCAAGCTTGTTACCTTGATATTGGTGACTCACCGAAGGATGGTATTTTGTTTGTGATAACTTCACACCCTATGAAACCAGAGCTCTGCAGATTGAAAAAAAGTAGAAAACAAAAAGGAATAACGAGAACAAATAATAGACAGAAAATAAACACTGTACACGCAGGCCACGGGTTGATGTTTCCAAAAAAAAAAAAAAAAAGCAATGACCAGACTGGGGCTCGATCCCAGGACCTTATCGGTGTTAACGATACGTGATAACCAACTACACCATCCGGCCAATTGATATTCCGTCAGCCAATATCAGGGATTCAGTACCTGCTCAGACTATCCGAACACAGATCTGTACGCGGCATTTTCACAAACCGAGCAGTTAACTTCATCGCTCAGCCTCTCTCAGTTGAGATTTGAGTGCCGAATGACTCTGGTCAACCGAACATTCTCTCACAGGAATGAAGGAATCCCGGACATCCGAGACATTATCAATGTTGAGCTCATCGCGAGATAGTAATGCCAAGTCTTTTGACCGATGAGTCAGCGGACGAGAAGATCATAATTCCCTTAATAGAAAGGACCGGCGACTTATATCCGGACCAAGAGAATTAAAGGATTTTAAAAATCCCAATTTCGGCCCCGGAATGTTGACGAGACCGAAGGATGTGAGAGCCTAGAGCGTGACTGGCCTGAATCCTGCCATGTAGCGGACATGGAGTAGCTAACTAAGCGGAATATATGTCAAGGAAATGGACCTAACATCCCTGTTGGACGAGGCGAGCCAGCGTCCAAGAAAAGGAGTAGACTGGGAATAAAATGCTCGCAGTCGCCCACTTCTGAAAAGTAACTATGATTTTTCTGTTTCTCGAAAGAAAGCCTCATCATTCGTTAGCAATACTCTGAATTTATTTCACCCTAGGCAGAATGTCGGACGATCAAGACGAAGACAACCTCCTCAAAGATGCAACTCATAGTTCTGCTACCGTCTACGGCCCTACGGTTCATCGTTCATCCACCGTGAGGATCGAAACAGATGAAATCGCCAATCTAAAGAGAATAGCATCTCAGCACTCCCAGAGGTCCAAGCGCCGCTCCAGTGTACACCCATGCACTGTCTCTACTGCAGGAGACGGAGACTCGCTCGGAAGAATCACCGATAATGACCCTGCCATTAACCCGCAGGGGCCTGAGTTTGACCTGGAGAAATGGCTGAAATGGGTCATAAAAGGTGCCCGAGAGAACGGGATGAGCAGTTCCCGGGCTGGAATTGTGTTCAAGAACCTGAATGTGTCTGGTTCCGGAGCTGCGTTAAAACTACAAGAAACAGTGACCTCCATGTTCAGTATACCTACACAGGTGTCTGAGGCTTGGCGACAGCGAAGATCTCCCCCCAAACTCATTCTGAAGGACTTTAACGGACTATTGGCAAGTGGACAGCTTTTGCTTGTCCTGGGCCGTCCTGGGGCTGGGTGTAGTACGTTTCTCAAGACTCTGTGTGGAGAAGTGTATGGTCTGGATGTGGATAAAAAGAGCGTCCTGCATTACAATGGTAACTAACTCGACATAGATTCAAAATTACATGGGTATCAAATATGTTAACTGTAATATCTAGGAGTCTCTCAGTCCCGGATGATGAAGGAATTCAAAGGAGAAGTGGTGTACAACCAAGAGGTACGTGTCAGAACCCATAATCCTAGCCGTAGGACCATACTAATTTGTTATATCCTCCGGACAGATCGATAAACATTTCCCTCACCTGACGGTCGGGCAAACTCTTGAATTCGCAGCAGCTGCACGAATGTCATCCCGGAGGCTGCAAGGTGCAAGTCGCGAGGAATCCGCCAAGCATTTGACCCAAGTTATCATGGCAGTCCTCGGATTGAGTCATACGTACAACACAAAAGTCGGCAACGACTTCATTCGAGGAGTCTCGGGTGGAGAGAGAAAGCGTGTGAGCATTGCCGAGATGGCTCTTGCGAATGCACCGCTGGCTGCCTGGGATAATTCCACTCGAGGCTTGGATTCCGCCACGGCTCTCAAATTCGTCGAATCCCTCCGGATATTCGCAGACCTGGCGGGCTCTGCTCATGCTGTCGCTGCATACCAAGCCAGCCAAGCAATCTATGAGGCTTTTGACAAGGTAACTGTTCTATACGAAGGACGGCAGATCTTCTTCGGGTCTGCAACCACAGCGAAGCCCTTCTTCGAGGAGCAGGGCTGGGAATGTCCTGCACGACAAACCACAGGAGATTTCTTGGCATCTGTTACCAACCCGCAGGAACGACGGGCACGACAGGGGATGGAGGCCAGGGTACCACGAACGCCACAAGAATTCGAGACCTACTGGCTTCAGTCCCGTGAGTACCACCAGCTCCAAGCTGAGATCGCGCAATACGAACGTTCTCACCCGTCCCCGGACGATAAGGGGGCTGGAGCTCAATTCCAAGAGCGGAAACTTCAGGTGCAGGCTAAACATACACGACCTGGATCTCCATATTTGATTAGCGTGCCTATGCAGATCAAATTGACAACCAAACGGGCATATCAACGTTTATGGAATGACAGAACATCCACGATTTCCACGATTATCAGCAACATCATGATGGCTCTGATTGTGGGATCCGTGTTTTACGGGTCTCAGGACACGACGGCTGGCTTCGCGTCCAAGGGGGCTACTCTCTTCTATGCCGTTCTTCTGAATGCCCTGATGGCCATGTCAGAGATCAACAATCTCTACGCACAGCGTCCCATTATTGAGAAACATGCTTCCTACGCATTCTATCATCCCGCAGCTGAAGCCATTGCCGGAGTTGTCAGTGATATCCCCGTGAAATTCGCTCTTGCCGTTGCCTTCAACATTACGATGTATTTCATGACAAACCTACGACGCGAGGCATCTCAGTTCTTTATTTACTTCCTTCATACCTTCATCGTGATGTTCGTCATGAGCGCAGTCTTTCGCACTATCGGAGCAGCCACCAAAACGATAGCTCAAGCCATGGGTATCGGCGGCGTCATGATTTTAGCCTTGATTGTATATACAGGCTACGTGTTACCAGTTCCGTCCATGCATCCGTGGTTTGACTGGATCCACTGGATTAATCCTGTGTATTACGCTTTTGAAGTCTTGATTGCGAATGAATTCCATGGCCGCGACTTCCCCTGTGCCCAGCTCGTCCCGCCAACAGCCAACCGGTCCGGCCGATCTTTCACTTGCTCCTCGTCGGGGTCGGAAGCTGGCTCGCTCACTGTTAGTGGCGATAGTTATATCATGGCTAATTATAGTTATAGCTATGGCCATGTGTGGCGAAACTTCGGAATCCTGATTGCGTTCCTCGTTGCGTTCATGGCAATTTTCTTCCTTGCTTCCGAGTTGAATTCCTCAACCGCAAGCATGGCGGAAGCGCTCGTTTTCCGCCGCGGCCATGCGCCTGCCGCCCTGCGAGAGAGGCCTCGAAAACACGCGAAAGACGTGGAGACTTCAATGAAGCTGGAATCTGTTAAATCTCCTACAGAGGAACTGGATACCCGGGTCACCATACCTCCGCAGACGGACATATTCACCTGGCGCGACATATGCTATGACATTGAAATCAAGGGGGAGCCACGGCGACTCCTCGACCATGTCTCTGGGTGGGTGAAGCCTGGTACCTTAACCGCCCTCATGGGAGTTAGTGGTGCCGGGAAGACCACGTTGTTGGACGTATTGGCTCAACGGACCTCTATGGGTGTCATCACAGGTGACATGTTTGTGAACGGACGGACTCTGGACGTCAGCTTCCAAAGGAAGACCGGATATGTCCAGCAGCAGGATTTGCATTTGGATACTGCAACGGTCCGGGAGTCCCTCCGGTTTAGCGCCCTACTACGACAGCCTGCATCTGTATCGACCAAAGAGAAATACGATTACATCGAGGAAGTGATCGCTATGTTGAATATGGAGGAGTTTGCGGAGGCAGTCGTCGGTGTTCCTGGTCAGGGGTTGAATGTTGAGCAACGGAAGCTGTTGACAATTGGTGTTGAGTTGGCCGCGAAACCCAAGTTACTTCTTTTCTTGGATGAGCCGACCAGGTGAGTGACTTATTGATTCCGGAACATGGTCAAAAGACTACTTGAACAGAACTGACGTCTCTTAGTGGCCTTGACTCGCAGAGCTCATGGGCCATATGCTCCTTCCTCCGCAAGCTTGCACACAGCGGGCAGGCAGTTCTTTGCACTATTCACCAACCGAGTGCCATGCTATTTCAACAGTTCGATCAGTTGCTATTCCTGGCCAAAGGGGGAAAGACCGCGTATTTTGGACCGATCGGAGCCCAGTCTCGTACATTACTTGATTACTTCCAGTCAAACGGCGCCCGGAACTGTGCAGATGATGAGAATCCAGCAGAATACATGATCGAAGTGGTCAATGAAGGTGCTAATAGTCGAGGTCAAAGTTGGTTCGATGTTTGGAGTCAGAGCAGCGAGAGCCAGAGCATCCAAACGGAGATCAACCGGATCCATGCAGAGCAGGCCGCGAAACCACAGGAGAGCAGCGACGACCGTGCCTCCCAGTCCGAATTCGCAGCGCCGTTGTGGATGCAGCTCTATGTTGTAACCCGTCGGACGTTTCAGCAGTACTGGCGCATGCCTGAGTACATCGTTTCCAAATGGGGATTGGCTATCATGGCCGGGCTCTTTATTGGATTTTCATTCTATGACGCTAAGCAGTCATTACAGGGCATGCAGGTTTTGATCTTCTCCTTGTTCATGATTTGTTCTATCTTTGCCTCGGTCGTTCAGCAGGTTGGTTCTACTTTTCCCGGGTCTAAATGCCTCCAATTGCACTCTAACATCTTGATTCTAGGTGATGCCCGTCTTTGTAACCCAGCGCGCCCTCTACGAGGTCCGTGAAAGGCCAAGCAAAGCGTATTCCTGGAAAGCGTTTCTGATCGCCAATATCATTGTCGAGATACCATACCAAATACTGAGTGGTATCCTCACTTTTGCCTGCTACTATTACGCCGTCGTAGGAGACGGTCAGACATCTGACCGACAAGTCCTAGTCCTTCTGTTCTGCATCCAATATTATGTCTACGCTAGCACATTCGCGCATATGATCATTGCGGCTATCGAGGATGCTATCACAGGCAGCGCGATTGTCGTGTTGCTCTTTTCCATGTCTTTGACCTTCTGTGGTGTCATGCAACCGCAATCGGCGCTTCCCGGGTTCTGGATGTTCATGTACCGTGTCTCACCTTTTACTTACTGGATAGGCGGGATGGCCGCAACACAATTGCATGGAAGACAAGTGGTATGCTCCACAGAGGAGCTGACAATATTCGATCCGCCTTCCGGTCAAACCTGTCAGCAATATTTGGGTGGGATGCTGGAAGCCGCCGGAGGCCAGTTGATGAATCCTGATGCGACCAAGGATTGCAATTATTGTTCGCTGAGCGTCGCAGATGAGTATATGGCTTCTGTGGGGATTTATTGGACAGATAGATGGCGCAATTTTGGGTTGCTGTGGGTCTTTGTTGTGTTCAATATCTTCATGGCCACGGTCTTGTATTACTTGTTTCGGATCCGTCGATGGAGTCCAGGTATGCTTTTGGAGAAGGTTGCGAAGAAATGAGCTAGAAGGTAACTACTCGTTGAGAGCCTTTAATATTTGTTTGATTTGATTTGTTTCGCCTTGTCACTGTCACTTTATCTAATGTCATAACCTAATTTCGGATCACACATTTAAACTTATTTATTTACTGTTTCCCTCGCATAGGCATACTCAGCTATAAAGTCCCCAGCCAACCGAGGAACTCTTGACTTCTTCTCATAACTGACACGGCGACTGATTCTGGAATTACTATGTCTGCGTACAAGCACAAAACGTAAAAAATGATCAACATCAGACACCACAGAGTAAACTTCCTGTTTGAGATTGGAACCCTCCTAAAGCAATCATTATCTATTCAAATTGATGCTAGAAACATCTCTCAATTGGCTGACAATCTCCCTTAACATTACGGTGTATAATGGATCGTGTCCTAGCTCTGTATTGCAACCTCGGCTTTCCTACCCATAATTATAAGCTATATGGGCAACGGCTTGCTGTCTTGGATATGGCTTCATTACCTCAGCATTCCCCTGCGTGCTCTCTAAGACAAACCTCAGTCTCTCCACAATTTCGGATTGTTCCATACCCTCATTGATCTGCTCCATAGCTCGCTGTGGTATATATAAGTAACCAATCCTCCAAATGTCACCCCCGATCTCGCCACAGCAAGTCTTCAGAGACCACAGATACGTTAGTTTCGTCAGACTAGGTATTCTGTCGGGTAACGATAATGGAAACCAATATTCCATATTCCTTGTCCATCCAGGCAACCGATCTTCAACGCGATGTCACGTATCGTCCATGGTAGGACGTCATCCCGCTGTCCTCGAGTGGACCGACAACCCTTACATATTGGCTAGCTCAGCAATTCTGTACTGGGATATACCAGTGCTACGCTGGTTCACTGTTAGCGATGTCGGACACATGGTTTATGATTATGGGAGACATCGATATCGGATGGATCGGGCGAGAGGGTGTCGTTGGTGGGCTTATGTTATCGTTACACACTCCTTAGCGAATTCCGACTTCCATGGCCACCGTCGGGCTGTCTAGATGAACTAACACCTTTTGTGGTGTCTGATGAGCGTGCATTCCGGCACCTTGACCTCGCGTTCGGTTCATCCCGCATCGCCAGTTCTGCTTACCAAAAATGGCCCACTAATAGCGCTTCATTCTAATGCCCACGTTCAACTAAGCAACAAGGGCTTCTTATATATTTAAAGTTTGAGAATAGGTTAAGGTTGTTTCAACCCCAATGCCTCTAATCATTCGCTTTACCTCATAAAACTGATCCGCGCTACTGCTATCCTGAGGGAAACTTCGGCAGGAACCAGCTACCAGATGGTTCGATTAGTCTTTCGCCCCTATACCAATCTAATCTTTTTTCTCTTCCCTCTTCTCCTTCTTCGCAATGTTCATCTGGGATTCGTTCGGTGGCCGCAAGCAGCCCAAGGGCTCCGAATTCGACGCCTCGTCAGCCCCGGATGCCAGCTCCTTCTTCTCAGACGTCGCCATCCCCGACCCGACGCAGCTCCATCCCCTGTCCGGCCTGAACCAGGATACCCTTGACTACATCACTCTCGAAGATTCCGCCCTCGACGAGCTGCCCGGCTCGCGATCAGTCCTACCGTCCCGAGGATGGTCCGACGACCTGTGTTACGGCACCGGCACCACTTATCTCGCTGCGCTGACTGTCGTGGGAGCTTGGGGTTTGGCCGAAGGATTGAATAAGACCCCCGCGACTGCGCCCCCCAAGATTCGACTGAACGGCGTTCTGAACTCGGTCACGCGGCGAGGTCCGTTCCTCGGCAACTCCGCCGGCGTGGTGGCCATGGTATACAACGGTTTCAACTCCGGGATTGGCTATGCTTGCGGCAAGCACGACTCTGCCAACAGCATTGTGGCCGGTGCTCTGAGTGGCATGATTTTCAAGAGCACTCGGGGTCTGAAGCCAATGATGATTTCCGGTGGCATCGTGGCGACGATTGCCGGTGGCTGGGCGGTTTGTGCTCCCTGGCTTGTCTTTTGATTTCCCTCGCTCCGCCAGGAACTATCGCTAACTCAGGAACAGGTCGTGAGAAAAACCTTCTTCTAATCGCCAACTTACCCGAATCCCTCGTGGAACGAGCCGAGTCAACCTCCTTATGTCCACCGTCGTTTTCAGCAAAACGGGAGGGTGTTGTATTATTTAACTTTTTTTCTTTTCTTTTATTTTTACTTGTTCACGCTGTATTAGAACGGATTAATTTCCCGCTGTTTATTCACTTCGAGTATCAGCGGGACCCTGTAAGACTACCAACGAATTCATGCAGGACTACAATTGTTACCAAACTCTAAGACAATCTAGATTCTCTTCTGCGTTAGAAAACAGCTTGAAAGCGATTCAAGCTCTCTCTCTAACTATACTCGGTCATAGTGGGCGCACAATGCGAGACCGGATTAATATCACGGCAGAGGCTTGCCAACGCTGTAAGGAGAATGTGTTGATTAGAATAAATTAAAATATATGAATTTTTGGCTGGACTAGAACTTGAGGCCTGTTGAAGACTTTGAGAAGAACGTAAGTGTCGGTTGACTTGGTCATTGCACTAAGCAGATATCCTATCGATGCAACGGAATGTAGGTATATGCTCGGTAGGTAAAAGTGAAGTGTCATTTCTAAACTGCAATCTGCCTAGCCATTTATAGTTCCACTTGTTTACACCTATGCATTCCTGATCCATTGGTATGTCATTTGGAATGGTAGGCCAAGTCTAGGCCAAGCAAGGTGCTGTGCGGTATGTAGATTAGGTCAAGATCCTCCACTTCTCTGATCTGGTTGACAATATTGTTCCAACAGTAAGATTGACAAAGACCAGTAAGCATGTTTTGTTCAAGCTCAGCATGGAGCGACAATACTAATCAAATTGCACTATATATTCCACTACTTTGTCATTTCTAATACATACGACCACAGGGTGTGGAGAACAGGGCTTCCCGTCCGCTCAGCCGTACTTAAGCCACACGCCGGCAGGTTAGTAGTTGGGTGGGTGACCACCAGTGAATCCCTGCTGTTGTATGTTTTTGCTTCTTGGCGCTTCTTTTTGGGTTAAAGAAGCTTAATCTTATTTATTACATTTCCCTATAGTTAATTATAATTGATCTGTTATTAATTTCATTATATTCCAGCTTATAGGTGAAATTTCCCTTTAGGTGGCATGGCTGCCGGCTGGCTGGCCTAAAGCGGACTAGTCAGTCCAGTGACTTGGCGATCATCAAGCAGGTCATTCACTTCCAGTTCCATTCCTCATGACATGTTTCATCGATCTGCCATATCTTCTTCAAACAAACACGTCTTCCAATTCCTGTCTACAAATCCCACAGAATGCCCACTTCACACGTACAGAAAGATGTCTCCTCTCGGCTCCTGCGCCTTCCAGCAGAGGTACGCCTGCAGATCTACGGCCACCTTTTCACTTCAACTCGCCTTGCCCACGGCCAGCGAATGACCAGTCGCATCAACTCCAAGCGGATGAAGCCAGCACCCAATTCTCTGGCGATTCTGCGCTCTTGCCGTCTTATCAGTCGAGAGATTGGAGACTCCTGGCTCGGCCAGGTCATGTTTGCCTTCGAAGAAGTCAGGGACCTGCTCGACAAGCTCTCTTCAGTGCCTCGAACTGTGGTTGAAAAGATCCGTCGGGTTCGTGTTGGCTCTCATCCACTCATGTTGTCGCCACCTGATTATGAGGATGATGTGTACTACAGACTCGCCTGGGCCCTCAAACTACTTCCCGGTTTAAACCTTGACACACTTACAGTGATCAATTCTGACTGTCCTGAGGTTTCTTATGATACCCTGAGCGGCCTAGTCAAACACGGCGATGGATGGAGGGAACTGCACTACATCACGGGAAATTCCACAATGCTTGGCTTCCCAAGGATGGATATATTTCTTGCGGACCCCTACTGGCGCAAGCCCCAGCCTAGCACCTGGAGCCGCGATCTAGCTCAGCGAGATGGTGTAGACGCTGGCGGTTGTGTCAAGATTTACCGATCCACTCAATCCAACATCCCATGCTCGGTCATCAACCCTAAGACACGCGAAATTTTCGAGCAGAAGCCGCCATCCCGTGAAAATCTCGAGACCTTTGGAGTCGACAAGGACGCGCAGCTTATGCGCCCGGATGAAGTCGGAAAAGGACTACTGGTGACTGTACGACGCGGGAAAAACGTTAATACCGTGGAGGATGTTTCGGTGCCTCTCCATGAAGACGACATCCGGCAGTGGTCGGGCGACATGAGTTGGGAAGAGATCAAGGAAGCATGTCGCTGGGATTCAGACAGTGACGACGATTTTGGCTTCCCGGAAGAAAAAGAGAAGGTTGAGAGCGATAGCTATAATGATGCTGACGAGTACACAATCATCACTCTCAAGTAGATCCTCAGAGCTCTCTGGACACGCCCCATGGACCTTTTCTGTTCTAAATCTCTTTCCATTCGGTCGGATCAACTTTATCAGCGCTCTTACTATGATATTGACTTTACCAGTTCTTTTCATGTTATATCTTATTGTTTGCAGGATGCATCTGTATGTTCTCTAACTGCCTGCGATTTCATGGAAGGGGCGGGACCATGCGGGTTCCAATGAAATACGAAAACGATTTTATGTCCGTCAATTTATTTTCTCTTTTGCATTTGCTTCCAATGGCGTAAAGAATTATAAATTGAACTTAGGATGCTACATTATATGAGATAACTAGTATTCTCAAATTATGAGTCGCGATGGATAGCGAGAAATCACATGTATACTTCCTGTAGTTACGTGTTGTAAATTATATGACCCCGTTTATTCCTTTCTTTTTATTAACGTATTCCATAGAAAACAAGAATGCCGAAGCCACTATAATAACCAAAAGATGAATTATCATATCCACTGAAGTGAGGAACAGCTTCGAAGACTATTGCATGTCATGAAGATAGATTCACTTGAATGAACTGTTTATTGAAGTCATCGAGTGCTCGGGTGACCTGGCGATCATGATGAGCCTGCTAACCAGCCCGTATCGTTGATACTACCTAGTGCTGCTTGCATTCGCACCGTGTTATTGCACATGTAATAATAATTAATATCTCTCGCGCTTTGCGTACACATAGCTCCAAATCTATCTTTCGAGCTCAATAGTGTTGTTTTGTTTTCCTATCGTCATCGGCTCCTGTCTCATCACGATTTTCCTGCTTGGTCCAGTTTACTTCTAACCAAATCCGCCAAAAGAGCATCACGGTCCGCTTCTCTCTTCCTCAAGTCAACCTGCGACACCCACTCATTCACTGTCTCCTTCAGAGCATCAACTTTATCTTGAGAAGCCATGTCGAATCGATGCTGATTCATATCATCAATCCAAGACTTCAATGCCGGACCCAGGTGATCCATAAAATGACGAAAGTCCCCTCCGCCACCAAGCGTATTCGTCATGATGGGCCCTGTCAAGGCCCACCGGAGACCGAGACCAGATGTGACAGTTTTATCTTATTCAAGTTAGCGCCGACTGACCCCGTGAATGCACGGAAGATGAATACTTACCAAGATCCTCTGCGGACACAATCCCTCTTGAAACGAGGCTGTATGCCTCAGCACAGACAGCACCTTGCAAGCGGTTGGCGATGAACCCGGGCGTTTCTTGTTTGACAACCACTGGGTCCTTATCTAGGCTTTGGTAGAACTGGTATGCGGCTGATACGTATTCCTGGCTCGTTCCCGGGTGAGGGACAATCTCAACCAGGGGCACTAAGTGTGGAGGATTGAAGGGATGTCCGATGAGAATGCGGGCTGGGTTGTTTGTGCATTCTGTGACAAACTGTGATGCTGGGAGGCCGGAGGAGGATGATGCGATAAGGACGTGTGAGGGCGTCTTTGCGTCTAAATGTGCGAAGAGACGGCGTTTGAAGTCTACCCTCTCTGGTCCGTTCTGGGATGGTGGGTTAGTACTGGGAAGAGATCGATAGATAAGATAGGACAGGCTGAGAATGTGATCGAAAACTAACCTCTTGTATTAAGTCTAGGCTTCCGAGGTATGGGTCGATGTCGTTGACAAATGTGAAATTTCCTAAGCAGGTGGCAGGATCAACTGTGGCATTCGGTACCGCGGCGCAATACTGCCGTAGATAGTCACGGACTTTAGACTCAGCTCCTGGTGCTGGATCTGTTACAATCACTTTGAGTCCCTTTGCGAGGAAGAGGGCCGTCCAACTGGCGCCTATGACGCCTGCGCCAATAACACCGACTGTTTTGATGGAGGGAGACATAATTAGATTTTGGCAAATTTGTGCCTACATTACCGTTGGACTGTCATAACGACTATATATTGAACTAACAGGGCGTAGTATTAGTTCGCCAGCCTCGGTCATCCTTTGTTCGCAACGCCTCATACCTCGGAAGCGCCTTTCCGCTTCCCAATTGGGCAATATCCACATCGGACGCCATGACGACGATCGACGGCGAAGTCCCGGCAGCCGGGATACCCCCGGCATTATCTCGGCATCCATCGAATAGTCCAGGGCAAGTTTCCATTTTAGGTCAACGGAGTGCATTCCGAGGTTTCGGCTTGCCGACATCCGCTGGTTCCGAACTTCGGGTTCCCAAATCTGAAACCTCGGAATCAGGATTTGTAAATGTCCCGGGATATTCAACGGTTTGATGGGGACACTGGCGTATGGAGACATAGTAGTTAAAAACTTAATAGTAGCCGTCTCCTTCGCCATATGGATAGCCCTGCCTAATTGAAATCATATATCTCGTTCGCTCTTTGACAGAATTTATTGTTTTCACTGCGATTGCCACACTTCACAATGACTTATTCTCACGCGACAACGTCGAGTACAGACATCTACGGCCCCGGAACCTTTGTGGATAAGGACTTCCTCCCCGCGCCGCAGGATGCTAGTCGCATTTTCGAGTACATCGCCAAACGGACGCCTGGGTTCACCAAGGACGCAGAACTATGGAAAACCGTCAACTTCATTGGCAGCGAGCTGCCCGTTATCCCCGGCCCATTCAAAGCGCCTCTTGTCGCTTCTGCCCTACACGCTATGTGCGGCATTGTCGCGCACGAGATTGTCGAAGACCGCGACGGCACTACAGCCAGCACCCAGAAGGTCACAGTGAATACCGATCATGCAGCGATCTGGCTGGGGACAATCTTCGCCGCATCCGTCGAGGGAAAGGATATGTCTGAGCTAGTCCGGTCAGGGAAGCTACCCACGCTCTTCGATCGTGATTTTGAGAAAGGCTGGCAGGCAACCCCCCTCAGACAACGATCGACAGCCATCTACAAGACCAAGACACCGGGCGTTTGGTATCAGATTCACGGCTCCTTGGACGCGGCACCCGTCCTGCGCGCCTTGGGAATGGATCCTGAGTATCCAGCCAGGACCTCGGATGAAGCGTACGAGTATATCAGCAAACATGTCGAGCAATGGACGGCAGATGAGCTGGAGATTCTGAACGTCGAGAACGGGTTCTGTGGTAGTATCTGCTTCACGCCACAAGGGTGGTCAGATACCATGATGGGAAAGAGACTTGCAGAGCACCCGCTGGTCGATTACTCGCGTCAATCGCATGCTATTCCAACCCCTCCTGTTCCTCATGCCAAGGTCGCCAATGATAAGCGTCCGCTGGCAGGAATCAAGGTCGTGGAGCTGGTTCGTATCATTGCTGGTCCTGTTATCGGTAGCACCCTTGCTGCGCTTGGTGCGGATGTCATTCGTGTCAATTGCAGTCGCCTGGTGGATCTTAACGTGAGTCCACAATAACTGCTCAACTCTCGTTGGAAAATCACTGTATGCTAATTTGAATCCTCAGGTCTTGCAACTTACCTTAAACGCCGGAAAGCGCACCATCGATATTGATCTCACGAAGGAGGAAGACAAGACGCGACTACGCGAATTCATCAAGGACGCCGATGTTTTTGTTCAAGGATTCCGCCCCAACGCGATCGCGCGGAAGGGCTTCGGTGTCAACGATCTCCTCGAGATGGCCGGTAACCGCGGCAAGGGCATCGTGTACGTTGAAGAGAACTGCTACGGTCCCGACGGCCCGTACCATGAACGACCGGGCTGGCAGCAGATCGGCGACGCAGCATCCGGGTCATCATATGTCATGGGCCGCTCCCTAGGATTTACAGACGGGACTAGCGTTCTCCCTCCACTGCCCATCTCCGACATGACCACGGGTCTGGTGGGTGCATTGGGAGCGCTGATGGCACTTCGGGATCGGGCACGACACGGCGACTCGTATCGGGTCACAAGCTCGTTGGTGAAAGCCGATACGATCAATCTGGAGCCGGAGATCGGGCTATACTCGCCGGAGGTGGTAGAACGGAGCAGACAATTGTTCAAATGGGGTCACATTGGACCCTCGCAATTTGTGACGGAGATTCTGCTCGTTGTCATGGATGGCTGGAAGAGTGTCTTCCCTCAGTACTTTGAGTCTGGTCCTGAGTCGCTCCTTACTAGCTTCCAGGAGGGACCATGGGGTCGCATGGAACTTCTGAAGCCCGTGGTTCAGTTGGGTGATGCTGGTGTCACGCCTCGTTGGTTGACACCTTCCGTTCCTAATTGCTATCATGAGCAAAGCATTGAGTGGCTCTAAACGAGTTGGAGAGTGATGTGACAGATGGTGACGGGCAACGGAAATAATTTCCGATAATGGACGTGCATGAGCCTGGAATTTGCATCGTGTTTGACCCATGTCTTTTGTACAATAATCGTGAACGTAATTTATAGATTTATAACCTTTCACTTATAGACGATCATATATAGAAGACCATACTTTATCATTACCAAATAGGGGCCGTATCGCCGTCCAGCTGCGCAAAGAACATAGGCCACTCGTTCCAATCAAAAGTATAGTTCTCAACCATTGTCAAATCATCCACCATAGCAGTTTGCGGCTCCTGGGTTCCAGGGACAAAGTCACGCGCAGATGTGTTATCATTCCCCCTGGCAAATTGTGGTGCTTCTAAGGAAGCGAGATCTGCTACCGACTCCCGCCTGCCCATATTCTGCTCGATCACTTTGAGAACAGAGCTGCACCTTGAAGCCAGCGGGGCGTGTTTCTCGTAATCTTTAAGGATTCCTCGGGCCTGCTCCAATATGCCCTGCAAGCGAACCACGGAGAAATACTCCACTATCTGTGGGGAGGATTGGGCTGCGAGCAGATTCGTTACAGCCATGTATACATCTTTCATATGGTCAGTTCACGATATTGGTCTGAATTGAGATATAAAGCTAACATGAGACAGTGTACCAGTTGGATGGCAATATGTACGCCTGCTTTTGCTCTGGGGAGTTCCGGACGATAAATTCAATCATGTCGGCAGCCGCTTTTGTGCAGTTCACTTGACACTGAAAAACTACGTGTGGCATAATCTGGTTATCATCTGAATATAGGCCGTTTCCTGAGGTATTCTCGGTCTTTTGTTGATGGATTTGTAAAAGCAAGAGCCTGAAAAGGAGAAGTCGGACTGAAAGGTACCTTTACAATGGAACAGAGTTTGTCAGTGTCTAGTATTTTATAGGATGTCAAGTAAACGGTAGATACTACCTAGCGCGCAATACATTTGCTTCACGAGTTATGTGTTTCGTTGGCGTGGGATCTTGCAGCTCCGACGGCATTTGAAAGAACGAATGCAGATTACGAGCCCAGTCATTTAGTGCGGACTCGATGCGAAAAAGGCTCGCGAATTTGTCAAAAAAGAGGGAAGAAGAGTTTTCCTCCCGCTTTTTGGAATCTCTTCCGGGTTGGCGTTCGTTTGTGTTATCACCGGAGATATAAAAGGTTTCCAGGACTTCTGAAATGATATGGTGTAATCGGCAGAATGAGACGTAGAAGTTGTATTTTGAGGGTAGACTTGTGGTCACAGTTTCACTAGAGACCTCCATGGAACTGAGCGCCAGAGTTTTCAGTCCTTGCTCTGCGACAAATTGAGGGACTTTGAGGGGGCAGCCAAACGTCATGGCGCAGATTCTAAGACGGAATTCAGCTTACACACTCTAAACTCCGGCCCTTATATCATACCTATCCATAACAACACATCCATTCCAAACTTGGCGTGCAAGATCACGTTCTTTTGGACTGTCCATTGCAGCGGTTGTTTCAGGGATATGTAGTCCCAGCTCTTGGGCAACATGAATTGCTGTGCCAATGATTCGGAAGCATTTCTGGGGCTCTTTCTCATGTTGGAGGTACACCGCTGTCAACAAGAGGACCTGAATAATTTCAAAGTTGTAGAGATCCATCAGTTGGTAAGACATCAACGCCTGTGCTCGCTCGAAGAAGACAACCGAAGATTGATAGCGAGCCAGAGGAGGCTCGCCCTGAGACGCAACACAAGATGTAGCGAACATGAGATTCAGAAGGCAGTGTAAGACCGTTTCATTCATGGTCAGTTCACCGTCCTTGACCCATAGAGTCTCATATGCATTTTCGATCAAGGGCCTGTCCAACCAAGGGTATACACTGTCGACATAGTCCCAATATAGCGACAGAAGGTGATCCGCCTGCTTCCTTGGGGGTATCGCAAACTGCAGGTCAGGTGGATCTTTCCGAAACCTCTGGTTCTGCAGCTTAGGCAGGCGTTTGAGCGCCTTCGGCAGGACTTGACTTCGGCTTTGCCCTTGACCTGTAGGGGTGTTTGGTAGGCCCGTCTCATTCCCTACATTCTGGAGAACATGTGCACCACTGGATGCGCCAAATAAACCGCCAGTGGGGGCGAATGCACTGTAGGAGCTAGCCCCGTCGTCATCGTCGACCTGTGGGGAATCACTTGCTAGACGCTCACTTGTGTCTCTTGGCTGCTCATCACTGTCCGTTTCGCGGTATATACAATTAGTTGTATGCGAGGTCTGTTTCCGTCTTGAACAGGGTCCGCAGACTAATGCAAGGTGAGCATAAACTATTCCCCACTACGCGACAGAGATGTTTTTAGTTCCGCTTACTGGGTCTAGCACCGTCGCATTTCGTTTTCCTGGCCTTGCATACGTTGCAAGCAATTCTGGTCTTGGCTCTTTTCGGCCTTGATTCCCTGGACGCCTGGTCTTGTGGGGAGGCGCGGCCGGTGTGGAATGAAAACATCATTTTGCCCGGAATCACGGAAGGCAGTGAAATTGAAGTTTCATTCCGAATTTTCGCCCGGAGCGGGAGGGAGCATCCGCATGATTATGTCATTGCCGTTCCGTTCCCAATCGGGTCATCCGAGGATCTCCCTATCTTCTACAAAGTACTCGTCAGTCAAGGAACAGTTCCACTTTCGAAGAAGTTGGAACACTCGGCTCAAAAATGCCGATAAATCACGTATAATCATTGAACATGTTACTTAAAAGCTGAATCTGCACTACCAGATACCCAATTGCTTGTTTGACGCTTTCCTCCCTTGATTCCTTTAGATCGGCACGCTATATATACTTTTTTCTAGACCTACAGATTCACAAAATGGCTCCTCGACCTGACATCTCCACAAAGCCCTCAGGACAACTCTACTTCCTCGACGTCGGTATCTCAAACCCGGAGACCAATGGTCGTCTCCTAACATGCAAACCCGACGGGTCCGATTTCCGTGAGCTGATCACGCAAATCAACACCATGCCGGACGGGATCGCCATCGACACAGAACGCCAGCACATATACTGGACAAACATGGGGATTCCGTCTGCCGACGACGGCTCTATTCAGCGATGCGATCTGTCCGGAAACAACATCGTGACCGTTATTCCTAGGGGACACACACACACTCCGAAGCAGTTGACCATTGCCCCACAGTCCCAGAAGTTGTACTGGTCCGATCGCGAGGGGAGAAGGGTCATGCGAGCGAATCTGGATGGGAGTGATATTGAAGTACTCTACCGAGCCACTTCGAGTGACGGCACAGATATAGCGGCTGTTTATGACTGGTGCGTGGGAATCGCGGTTGACGAAGAGTCCTGGAAGATCTATTGGACACAGAAAGGGCCATCGAAGGGGAACCAGGGCCAGATATTTCGGATGGGGCTTGACATGAGACAGGGAAAGTCCGCGGAAAGGAGGACAGATGTTGAGTGTCTTTTGGAAGGTCTTCCGGAGCCCATTGACCTGGAGTTGGACCATGCTTCGGGCACGCTCTATTGGACGGATCGAGGGGATCCGCCTCGGGGCAATACGGTCAATTCGTTGGTTCTTGCAGACGCTCCTGGGCAGAAACTGGAGTCGAAAATTTTGGTTCGTAAGCTTCATGAAGGGATTGGGATTGCTTTGGACTTGAAGAATGGCCGCATGTTCTTTGCGGATCTAGGCGGTTCACTATACAGTGCTAGCGTGGACGGGTCGTGCAAGAGTACCATCTTGTCTGATGTTGGAGGTGCTATCACTGGGGTGGCTTATGTTGGAGAATAGAGTATACCGTTGGATAGATTAATTACCTTGACTATAGAAATATATGGACAGAGAAGTAAGTGTATATAACAATAGAGGCATACCTAAAGATAAAGGTTTACGTTCATCAGAAATTAGGGCTGTTGCGAATACGAATATGCGCAGGTATTAGCATTATTCGTTATTCATATTCGTAGTTTGCAAACACTGCGAATAATATTCGCAATTTTATTCGCAGGTTAAAAGTATGCGAATAATTATTCGTTATTCGTAATATATCACGTGTGTCGAAAGAATGCATCCCTGGTTTCAATATTTCTTAAGTCTTTACAACAATCTACATAATTTTTAGCTCTCGAAAGGGACTTCTCCTTTTAGTTACTTACTTACCCGTTCTTCTCTAATGGCAATGCAAACACGCGGAAATCGTCAAAATTACCTCGCTCTAAAGGATAGTTTTGATAGTGATACACTACCTGAAGACTGGATGTCGAATCTAACTAAGACTCCAGCAACTCAAGATCTACAAGAACATGGCCCATCTTCTCTACCTGAATCTATTATTTAACCAATAGCCTCTACTGATATAATCTCTTATCTTGATTTTCTGGATAAAGAGATACTACCGTCAGAATCTGCCTCTCAATTTCCAAATACAACAACTACTACTACTGTTTCCGAAAATTCACACGCAAAACAACAGAAGATTGAATGGCTGCAGGATCATTTTCAGATAAGAGAGTTTCCTAATGAATAGATCGAGAAAAGGAGCAGAAAGGAGAGGTCTGTCAATCGAGAAATCTCTTGTATTATCATTAACAAGAATACCGGGGCACCATGTAATTGGTCTACAACAGACTCAAAGCGACAGACATTTACTACCAATATCCGGCTCCATTTAAAAGAGAAGTATGGGATCTTACCACCTGGAATTACTACCTCTAAGTCGGCAACTATTACTCAGGAGCTTACTATTGTCAGTCTCTGGGGTAATAAGGAGAAGCTTACAACTCAAGAAACTCTTGAAAAGAACCTTCTTCGCTGGGTTGTCAGCAATAAGCAACCTTTTACTATCATCGAATCAGTCACATTTCAGCAAATTTTCAAAGATATACTAGCGATTTCACTTCTGTTTACCTCTTGTCACACTCTTCGGCAACGTCTCATGGAAGATTTCGACTTACAGCGTGCTGAATTGAGAGAGGAGCTTTCAGCTACATGCAAAACAATTGCTTTATCTCTTGATGCGTGGACTAGCCAGAATAACCTACCTATCCTTGGTGTCATTGGCCATTGGCTTACGGAAGAATTTGTCAATCAATCAATCAATCAAAATTCTATTAACCTGGTGAAGCCTATCTATTAAAACGACAGCCTATGCAGGCGCTTCGCCGAATGAAGCAGAATCTCGAGCCCGTACGCCATATAAAACCAATGCAGTAGACAAAAGAGATCAAAAAGTAACACAATTAAACCGGCTGCCACACGCCTGCCGCGTGCCTACTGCGCCTCTAGACGCTGTTCTCTCCTTCCACTCCGTTCTACCTGTGATATTCCAGTGGGATCCACTGTTCCTGTGTGCGTCACGTAGCCAGTTGAGACTTCCTGGCTCTTTTATTGTTCAATATAACCATCGTCTTCCTCGTTTAGATCGAGTCCCTCTAGGAGGGTGCTGGGTTCCGGGACCTCCTTGTCCTTCTTGTCGTTAAACGTGGCGAATCGGAACTGCTGTAGGAGGCCTGTTCGTTGCATGAAATCGGCGACGTAGCGTATCGCCTGCGGGTAGTTCATGACTGCGTCGTAATCCTGTATACGCTCACGCAGTCCCTCGATAGAGTCGAGGCGTTCCATCATTATTCTCCGACTGGCGAGGTGCAGCGAGCACTCCATAAGGACGTATTTAGGCGTTTGAAAGCCTAATTCACACCCGCAGCGGTCGGAGTCGACCTGCTTTATCTTGAAGAGGAAATGCCTCAATCCGATCCTCATAGTGCGCATCTAGATGATTATAGAGGTCTGGGGCTTGCTCAGGCCCTCGTATATCCTTAAGACCTTCTTATTCGGCTTCGGAATCAACCGTTTGGTAGGCTTTCCAACCTGTTGTCGCTCCCACCACTTCGCCCACTGCGCTTGGATTCTCCGGCGTACGTCAGTTTTGGCTGCAGCTGCGAGCCTCGTGATTGGCCGAGCGGCCAGCTCCCGCGGCCTTACTGAGCTTAATTCAATCCCCTTTATCGCGGCCCGCTTGGCTGTCTCGTCAGCTCGTTCATTCCCTTCTATACCGATATGCGCAGGGATCCAGCGCAGCTCTATATCTCCCTGCTGCAGACCACTGCCTCTCAGGGACCTGATCCTCTCGTAGATAGCCCGTAGTATGTACTGGCCCGATGGTCAGCCAGGGTTCTGCACGGCTTGAATGGCCGCCTGGCTGTCTGAAAAGATTGTGATCGGGGCAGCCTCTGCCCACTTCAGAGCCATTTTGACCCCCTCTAGCTCTCCTACGTATACAGTGGAGTCAGCCGTGGCTCCTAGGTATTTCTTGCGGACCTTCCTGGCCCGAATCGAGACTATAGCGCCCCCTATGTGGCCGTTAAAGCCGCTGCCGTCAGAGTACCAGATCTGCCTCCGGTTTTCCTGACAGATCCTGTCGTGTTCCTGGACTGCGCTATCCGCTCCCTCGATCACGCAGTTAAGTGGGAGTTCCCACGGGGCGAGCACGTGTGCCTTTCGGGACTCCCACGTAGCCAAACTTCGGCCTCCGGTCCACAGGGGGCCCCCCTTCCTCCACCTCAGCGCCTCCATGGGAGACTACCCTGACCGTTTTATCTCCACCGAGCTCCTCTTATTGACTAACCCCCGGGGACAGACCATAACCGGTCCGGTCTGTATCCGGATTGCGGTCTCCTCAATCATCTGTTGCATGTGCAGGCGGACCGGAGGCAGGAACAGCTCTGCCCCTAGAGCTGCAGAGGCAGTATTTCTAAACGCTCCGCTAATAAGTACTGCCGCCCGTGTCTGGATTTGTTCGAATTCGTTGATAGTCTTCTGCCGTTTTGCATACTTAGTACGCCCGCTGGCAGGGCTATACCATGCAGCAACCCCGTAGAGCATCTGCGGAACTACTACGGCCAGATATATGGTCCGCATGTTCAGCAGGGACGTGCCCCATGTGGACGCAGAGATGCTCCGTAGGGCTTCGAGGCTCCCGTTCGCCTTCGCTACCGCCTTGGTGCAGTGGGTGGTAAAGGAGAGAGTCTTATCGAGCCAGATTCCGAGTTATTTAGCGTGTTACACTGGCCGAATGACGTGTCCCGTTGCGTGATCCTTTATTGGCAGCTGGTCATGCCCCCGGGGTTCAACGGGAACCTCCCAGGCGCTGTGAGGTCTGACGAATAACGCTCAAAAGTGTTTCTTTTTTCCAGGTGCTACTTGCGTACCTCTTTGATGTACTTTGATATACAACTTGAAATATAAATCAAAGCAGAACTGAATATCTCCTCTTAAATATAAATCAACTCTACAGAGAACAATATAGTTGGCTAGGACACTGGATAATACCCTCTTGTTCCCCGCAATAGCACTCATTCGCCCCAAATCCAATTAAAACTATTGGTGGTAGACGATCAATTTAGTCCGCCATGAAGGTTATCTACGTAAATTTCTTTGTTGGAGAGTTTTGGGGGTTAGGGTATTGGAACCTAAAACCGTATGTCACCGCTCCCTTAATCAGCCGGAGTAATTCCTGCATTAAGATGATTCACAAACACCTAGATATGATAGCTCAGGACAGAGATAAAACAAGGAAAGCTCTTTAACAACATATTCTGAGGCCTAGGATCTTTGTCTTATCAGTTGATGGCTGTGCCTATAACACATTTACAGTGAGTGAAACAAACTCTAGACTATATTTAAGTCTGTATCATATACAAGAGTTGGTATATGGACATCGGTCATTTCCTTCCATGAGTAAATCAGACTTGGAATCTTGAATATTGAGATGCTGAAGAAAAGGATTTGAAATACCCATGCTATATTTGTATATGGTTACAGAAGCTCTACTCATGCAGATCGGACTTACTCTGTGTATCTAGGAAACCAGAACGATTTGTTAGTAAGTATTTGTGGAACATGAAATTTAGTCATATTCCATTATGAGCGGTGTTGGTTAGAAACCAATCCGGAGAATTTCCAGCTTCCTGCCAGTGTCAACTTCTAGTAACAGAAATTCTTTTTCCAATCTTTCTCCAAGGCTGAAAGACATGTAATGCAGGGATTGATAAAATAATTAGTGAATACAACATGGAGAAAGAATTTATAAAAGAGAAATGGACCCAAATCGAGAGGGGGAAAATGAACCCCCAAAAACAACAAATTAAAGACCCAAGCAAACGGGCATAAACCAATCCCTCAATAAAACTGCCCCCTCACCATAGGAAGCAAATGCATCCGCCTTCCATTCCTATCATAAAACTCAGTAAAATAATGATACATATCCCCGGGATCATTAATGGCACAGCCTAGCCAGCAACTCACGAAACAAGAAGCTCAGTAGCAGTAGCCCTAAGCAAATTTGACCACGCACTAGGCTTTGTATGGTGGTTTTCCGGCGAATCTGAGTGCGCGCGTGGCTAAGTCGCTCCTCGGTCGTCTATCTCTCATAAACGTATGTACGCTGATAATCAAGCAGCCAGGTGCTGACTTGAAAGTCGTCCAAAGCGCGTCGCACCAGCAAAAATCCTGTAAGGCTTGAGTTAACATTGCTGAGATATTTGTACACTTCCTTTTCCCATCTCCCATGGCTGGAGTCATGTTCGTACATTTTCAATGTAACGTAAACATGTTGCCTACCACCTTTCAACTCTCAATCTCAATGTTACTGGAATTGGAACTTACTGTAGATCTCTACAGAGCCACACCATGGAATAGCCCCCATATCCAAGTTTTCCAACTACCTGGTACCTTGAGCGGAATACATCACCGATCTTTACAGGGTAAAAATTCTCGGGCGTGTATCGTAGATTCTCCTCCTCTATTTTACCGTGTGGGTCGAGAATGATGCCTGCCTGAAAAAAACTCCTAGCAGGAGAAGGCAGCCATCAAAAACGGACTGTTTCAGTCGATGCGCGAGGCGTTGCATGATCGGGTAGAAATAGTACGATTTTGGGGAGGAAGGGACGGAAGGGGAGTAGAGAAGTATAAAAAATAAACAAAATGAAATGAAAAACATACAATAGCATGTATATGTCGGTGGTCACCCACCCCAGCGCTAGCGGGCTTGCCGCTTTGACGCCGACGCTCCGGCGGCTTCGGGTGAAGCCTTCAGGCCCCTGAATATTTTGCACCCACACTACCAGAAGCTACATTTTGACATTGGAGCAAAAAAGCAGAAAGGAGGGGCAGGTACGCTGTTATAAACATGGCGTTTACACCCTCTTGCCCTTCATCTTTTTATGCTCCAGGCTACTCTATAAATATGCGTCAAGACCGAGCGAAAAGATTTACGTGCGTAATTAACCTCGATAATCACGATAACAAAGAGATAAAGCGAGCCGTTCTCCCAAAGACAGAGGCGGAATATGAGAAGACCCTTGAGATATTTGACCAGTAGATAAATACTTTTAGCCCACAGAGAATTCCTACTGATGTTTCTAGGTTTCTAGAGTTGTACCCTACCGCCCGATCTCACCCTGACATCCAAACCTACAAAGCCTTCCTTGAGTTCGTGACCAGGAACACGGATGGGCGAATCGAGGAGAAACCTGCACCTGACACCATTGAAAGTTTCCGACGGCACTTTGAGGCAGGCTTGGCCCGGAACCGGGACTTCCATGTCCCCCAAAACATGTCTACAACAATGAAGGAGGTTCGTTCGCTTGAGCTAGGCTTATATAAGATACTAAAGAGACCCATAGTATATTATATCGGATCTCGCAAATAAATTGGGTCTTCCAAATGCCGAGATACCCAAAGATGGGGTTTCTCCGAATGATTTGCTCGTCCTCAAAACACAGCTCTGGTGTAGGGACTTCAAGGAATACCGGGCTGTTATCCTGATCGGAGTAGAGTGCAGCTCTCAGCATCAATACTGCTATATTGCTTTTTCTCTGCCCGAACTGGAGAAGTCTATAAGTCGATATCCTGCTGAAACATTGCTCGTCAAAAAAAAAAAAAAGATAAAGATTCCGTTATCTGTACTAATGTTATAGCCGCATGCTACAAGGTTCGTACTTCCCATTTATAATTTATCGAAACTGTAATGCTGATAGTGTATAGCATTTTGTACTTACTATAGAGTAAGTTGATCAGACTCTAATGCTAGTTTTAACATATTCTAGGGAATTTATCAAAGGCTATTGGCGGATGAAGAGATGGGAACTTCCTATACACGCCTTCTATGAGGTGTACAGAGAGGCGGTTCCACTATTTTTTAATTTCATTCTATTTATGCTGCCGCTATTTTCTGGAGACCGGGCCTTCCTTCAGTACGCTTCTTGTTCTGAGATACTTGACGCGATCAGCTCTATCAAGCTCACTAACCTAGCAATACAAGATAATTACATTATTTAGGTTATTTATTTCCGGAATGACCTTCTCGATATCCCAATCTTCAGGCCATTTAACAAACTTGACTGTGAACGCTCTATCGGAAGCGCAAAGGGTACTGACACCTTTAGAAAAGAGTTTGCAGATTTCGGTCATCGAAGCGGATATAGTCGGAATATTACCGCCCGTGCATGTCGTCGGTAAAATCTCATGAAAGCTGGCAAGAAAATACCTTAATCTGACGTTCATGTCTAAATATTAATATACTATAGATAAAAGATATTTTTAGACTGCTTGCATAAAACAAGCCGGACACGTCGAACCTCGCACCTTTGGCAGGTCATATGCCCACCCAGTATGCGAAGTAGATGGGTCTGTAACCTACTTGAATGTTGCATCTCGCCATGAGCATATCCAAAATCGACGGAGTATAGGCTTGTACCGAAAGGTCAACCTGTAGCAATTACTATCCGCGAAAACGGAGTTTGAATTCCAAGAAAGAAATGATATTATAGCCCTTGACAAAGAATCGGCGTTCCTCAAGGAACAATTTGAAAGTATAAATGACCTCGAGACTGCTCAAGAGATCCGATTACAGTGCCGCCGTGTCAAGAACCAAAAGGACAAGCTGTATCTAGAGGAACTAAAACGACAACGTTACCTCCAGCAGAATTCTCAAGCGGGAAGTGTTTATGAATACACTCTTTTCCTCTTTTACCGACGTATAATGCCGGAGCGTGAACTTCTCGCTCGGATTTTGCCTACAAGGTCATCCATACGAAGCCCAACCGGACGAAAAGCTATACTGGCACTAGAAGCAATTTGCAGAGAGCATCACCAAGTGGCCTTTCGTTCAAGCCTGCAGCCAGTCGATAGAGGTTGTATATGTGTTAAATCGTTAGACAGGTAGGTTTGCTCTTAGTGATATGGTCCTAACTGAACTGATCTGATAGGCTCTATCTCTACCGTCAATGGCTTCATCTGTATCTTTGCATGTCAAAAGCATTACGCCTAATGGGTGATGATGGTTTTGCGGAGTTTTGCTTCGAGTGCGGCGAGTGGTTCAATAATCAGCAAGACTGGCATGAGCATTGCGAGACTCATCTCTGCAACCCGGGTAATTTGCTTCGATGTGATCCCATAGTTTTCCGGAACTGTTCAGTCAAGTCTGGCTATTGCCCATTCTGCTTGGGCGATAACAGCTTGTGGCCTACCAAACGGATGGAACAATACTTGAATATGGGCAAGTGGTAGAGCCACGTTCAGTCTTACCTGAGCTGCAAAGCTCTACTCGGCGACTTTCATTGTCGTCATCCGGCATGTACCCAAGCGTGTGGGTCGTACTTCAGCCGCTCCAGGGTAAGTCATGCTCACTACTATGTTGAGTAATGCTAAATTTAATATGTTTTTCAAACCAATGAAGCTCAATACAGGAGACTTCTGGGATGGCGCCCTTGGATTTCCGAACCCGACTGAGCTGGCGGGATGGGAAGCACTCAGACTGTGGCCTGGGGGCACTATCGACGTTGCTATATCAGTGAGAATGGGGGAAGAGCCAAGACAACCTAAGCTTGCCAATCCACTTTCTCGCCTTCTAAGTGCTTTGAACATCTTTTTGGATGGACAGCAACAATTTTTAAATATAAAGAGAACCACATCAGATCAAGACATATTGCGACTGAATTCGCAGTTGGCGCGACCCATCCGGCTCGACAATGCTGACAGTATTGAGGAGCAGAAGCATTATGTGCAGTGCAACCCACAGATCTGCCAGGACCTGGTTGGGGCTGCAACTGCACTGCTAACCTCAAGTTTCTATTTTCAATTGGATCGCCCTGTATTATATAACTTAGGAGTCTACTACTGCCAGGGTTCCATCCACTGCCGTGGGGACTATCGCCGGGTCGCAGATGCACTCACGGAGCTCAACTCCTCGCAAATAGAGTTCCTAACGCAAACGGAGGTCCTTACGAAATGTGAACTGGGTCAGGATATTTGTTCCGTATGCCATCGCTACCGAAAACATGTGTCATTTTCCGTGCGACACCCAACAGACCTTATCACGATCTCTATTCGTATAGGCAATAAAGTCACTCGGAAAATCAGCGGATTCCCCCAAAGCATATCCTGGTTCCAGCAGCAACAAGGATTTGATGACCATTTTGGCTCTTCCTGTCATGATATTCCAGGGGAAATTCGCTGCATGAGTTGTGCTCAGCCCAATGACTTTGGTGCACAGAAACGAAAAGTAGCCCACCCCCTATTCAGGTATGCGAAACGGATGAAATGCTAGACGCAAATTCCGTCGCCCAACTAAGAAACCCTTTTTTTTTTCGCACTTTAGGTCCTAGAGCATTTCAGAAGGGATATTTCGTTTGTGATATGGGAGTTCTCGTGCCAACCGGATGTTTCGCCAAGAAGATGTGGCACACGACAAGCTAACGACCTGGGAGGTCGAATATCTCGACGTGCTGAAGGACATCCCCGAAACTCTCCGTAAAGATCTGAGGTCCTCTAATTATCGGCCGTCGCATAAGAAACGAGATCGGAAAACACACAATACACGCTCTCGTGGTCGCTGTCAACCAGACGAATCCACACCAAAGCACTCATCGCCCGAAGGCAGCGGCAGCGACCAAGAATCGCAATTACCATCCGCCGCAGCAGCGTCGCGTAGCCGATTGAGCTGCAGCAGAGGTAACAACCGTCAATCAACTAAGGGAAGCGAAAGGACACGAGCCGGCCGGGATAAAAAACAGACTTCTCGAAAAGACAGGCATTCTACACGACCATACTGCACCATTGCCTGCATCCGCGGCATGGTCAACCGAGAACCTCTGGGTCACAAATGCCCCAACTGGAAACTCCACGGTAGTCATAGACACTCCATGGGACCGCAGGATTTCACACGCCAGCTTCATCGTCAACTTACCCGAGATCGAAACCATGGGTTTGATCAGCTGCACGTCTGTGGTCGGACAGGCTACCTCATGAAAGCCACGCTTCTTTCACACGGATACACTGTGGTCATTAAAGCTACGACTGTGGAGAAACAGCATCGCCTTCAAGCGGAAGTGGACAATTATCACCACCTCCGGAGCTTGCAGGGACAGCACATCCCTGTCTGTCTTGGGGACTTTAAGCCTCGCGTTGCATATTAGTATCACGGTGAATTAATGACCCAGATGATGATCCTGGGCTGGTCTGGAACGCGGCTTCAGCGTGTCATCAATGACGGGAATTTCAACTTCTTTCACCAAGAGCGCGACAAAGCTCTGGCCATGCTCCGATCGTATGGAGTTGTCCATAGCGACAGTGAATGGCGCAATATGTTGTGGGACGACCTGGGGGGCCGTTTGGTCGTCATTGACTTGGAGGAGGTGAAATGGTTGAATGTCAACCGTATGTGACCGCTAGTTACATAGGAGACCTTCCTATTCCGGACATCGGTATTGGTAACTACCGATCCCCGAGGATTATGCAGATTTTTCTGTTATTTCCACGCTTCAAAAGTTATGTCTCTTCTAGCTGCCTTTTTAGGCTAGATTGCTTATCATTCTTCATGTGTTTAAACCACCGTTTGCAGCTAGATTGAAAGAATTAGACCTTTATCATTCGATATTTCTAAGGGTACATTACTAGCAATTACGCCTAGAGAGACAGCCCACATTGAAGCGCCCTCGGGCCCTTGAACCAATGTCTGGAATGCATGTGGTCATAGCGCAAAGGCGGGAAAATCCGGGCAAAGACTCCTTTCCAGCTCAACCGCTGTCCGCACATGACGCCCCCAGGGCCATAGCTACGCCTCATTCGAGTTCATTCATGCCCGCACCTTCCGATAACAAGGAGGAAGGAAGTATGCTCTGAATTTACCAAAGGACCACCAAACCGATTGCTTAGGTGCGTGAAGTAAAAAGCAGCTTATGGAGATCCAAGGCTGTCATATCTTCTCAGGATATATGAAAGCTCCCAAATGACTAATTAATTGTCGCCATTAAGCATCCCTTAGTACGACTTTTTTGACCTATACCCACTGTAATACTTTTCCTTTCCTTCCACTATATCTTTCCTCTCTTCCTTATTCTACCACACATGGCGACAATTGACGCGGTGCGGTGGTCATGACCCTTTCTTTCTTTTATGTACCTTGAAACGAGAAATGTAGAGTATACCCTGACGCGAGCGACTCACGAGGACGATTAGATGACGAAGACGAGGTAGGTAACGGTTGTATGTATGTACGTACATGGAGTGAAATAATTCTAGGACGGGATGGAACAGGACTGGACAGATAAAGGGCGTTTGTTGGGTAGAAATTAGGCCAGACGTGTTTTGCTTTGCATAAATACCAACCAACCAACCCAGTCGCGGGTTCTGACGTGGTGCAATCGCAGTCGAGAGTCAAACTGTAAATGTAGCTAGGCTGATTGGCCATTTATTGTAGGAGGAATTGCGGAAAATGTGATCTGTAATGCAGATGAAGTGTTGGCGTTGACTGCAGCCTGGGTTTGTGTTGGTTTGATGGCTGGTTCTGCAGAGGGCTGGCATTATTATATGCAAGTCGTTGGCAACACACTTCATGAAGTATAGAACAACTTAATTATGCGTTTGATTTTACATAAATCTTAAGAAGAAAGCTAATCAGCATAATTGAAGCAACCAGACATGACATTTCTAGATCTATCTTAACATCTTACATGATACATTCCTGTGGAAAAAATCCTGCTCAGCTACAAAGGTGTCTAGACCCTAGATAGCTGGCGTTTCTGATTGTCGACAATTCCCATTTATAAGAGATAATTACCTATAATGTCTATTAAGTCTTCTGTACTAAAAATAACGCCTAGGGCATGAGGGTATTGCCCTAGCGCTCTGTTCTTGCAGGCACAATTGTCAGGGGTTTTGGGGGCGGCTCTTCTGGCGGCTCCACCGGGCCCTTTCTGATCCACAGTCGGGCGTCAAGTCGGGCCCGGAGGATAGACGCCGGGGGATATACAGAGAGTATACCCATCAGACTCTCTATGGAAAAGGCTAAGCGAACCCAGAACGGCCCCCATAGGGGCCATCTACCCTCCGGACAACCGACTTGCTAGCTGACTTGCCATTCTGCATCTGATTAGCGCCATGTCTATCCCCCCCATACAGTGATGCTTTGATATCCGTATATCAAGATGGAAACCAGCGGTCGAGGGTATAAATACCTCGTCGTTGTGCCTTCGTTCAGTCCATCATCCCCATCATCATCACAGTCATTCTTTTACTGTCCCTCTTTTTCTGATCCAAGTCTTTCTTTATCCAACTCTTTCCTTTTTTTCTTTTTTTTTTTTTTTTTCTTTTTTTCTGTCGGATTCTTGAACCTCACTCTTATGCTAGGTTGATCCGAACATGATTCCCAAATTCTGTTATCTGGTGGTGTACCTCCTTGTGGCCCTCGTCGCGGCCGGCCCTGTGGGTAAACAAGGAGGCACGCAAGGCCAAGCAGCTCAGTCCAAGCCAAAGCCAAGCAAGTACAAGGATGATCCGTCCTTCGATAGCCTGGGTAAACTGGGCGTCAAGGAGATGGAATTCACCAGCATCGGCAAATCTCGGTTTAATGGCTATGCTTCCCACCTTAAACTGAAATCCTCCTCCGTGTCCGAAGCCGATATTGCAGGCCTCGCCGAAGCTGCTTGGTGGGAGATGTTCAGCCAGGCTCGCACCGATAAGGCTAAGTTGAATAAGCTCCCAACTGTCATGACTGCCCTTAAGGTCGGGGATGAGGTCTTTCTCGCATCCAGCCTCAAGGGTGGAGGCTACATCTATGACAAGAGCGGCCTCAGTAAATTGGTTGCCAATCCGGGCGAACAGAGGGACAAGAAGGAGGAATTTACCAGTGTTCTGAAGGATAGTGCCAAGGACGTCATGGACGCCCTGATCAGCTGCAGGGAAGGAAGTATTGCGACAACTGAACCTGAACAGACGAGTGCGCCAGAGAAACGGGGTCCGACAGGCAAGGGACCACGCAAGGGCGGAAGCACCAGCTCAGATAAGGACAAGAAAACGGGTACTGGTCCGAACAATGGCCAGGGACAGCGCAACTACCAGGGTGGAAGCACCAACCCGAACAAGAGCCAGGGACAGTCAAGCAACGGCCAGGGACAGTCGAATAACCAGGGTGGAAGCAGTACGACCGGGTCGAACAACCCAATCAGTGAGGACCTCGTCAAACACAAGAACGAGGGCGCCTGTGGAGAAATCATGGCATCCCTCGAATATTCCCTGCTCAACCCCACGAAGCCGTTGAAGAACTTGCCGGAGCAACCCACCGTGGTGGCATGGGCAGAGGTACTGGAAAAGGTGCCCAAGAATCCCAACGACAGGAAGAGCCCGAAGATGATCACAGGGGAGGTTCTGAAAACTGGTGGCATCAAGCCTCCTTGTGACAATACGATCTGGAACCCAAAGGATCTGAGCCAGCATGGTAAGAGTCTGACGGACGAGGACGGGTGTGGCGAGGGCTGGGGTTGCGCGGCGTTTGTTGGGCCCAAAGGCTTGAACTTCAAAGTCGTCGATAAAAAGCCGACCTATCTCAAGAAGGATCAGATCGAGGTGCTGAAGGATGTTCCGAAATTCCCCGTCCCCAAGTAATTGAGCCTCGATTCTGGAGGGTGTGGGATATCAGCCAAGGAGTGACAGAGTCATGTTTCCTGCCACTTTGTATATTATTTCCCAGTGATTATACAGTTGTGTGTTAGTCAGGTTAGGCCATATAGCAATGGCTACGGATGGGAAGGATTCAATGGTAGAATATAGAATACAGCCTGATATTGCTAAATGCAAGGAGTTCTGTGTATGTTTATGCAATTCGGATTTTTATGTTTGATAGTAAGCAGAAGTATATGCCTAACACGTGCTAAAAGACTAACATAGAATCCTATATTAACATAGTAAATACTGATCACCCCTGCGCTACTATCTACTCTATTAATTCTACTATGGGGCTTGTGATTAACGTAACCGGACAACGAAGCGGCGTGACAACGGGCCGGCGCGGCACCTCACAGCTTATCTTAAACTTCAACGTTTTATTCAAACAACGCATTTCAACACTGTAAAAATTGCTATGGAGGCCTTATCTCGAGATGAGCGTTTAAAGCATGCAATTGAGGCCTTTAATAAAGGCCTTTGATGTCAAGATAAGCACCTTAAAAGATCGGTTGAATGGAGTCAAATCTCGCAACGAAAGGGAAGCGAATAATCGCAAGCTTTCTAACAACGAGGAATCAGTATTGAAGCGAAAGATCCTTGATATGGACTCTCGTGGATACCCTCTTACTATTGCAAAGGTCCGTTATCTCGCAGAATGCCTCCTTCGGGCCAAATTGAAGCCATTCGAATCGTCCGAACCTGCCTTTATCAGTGAGCGCTGGGTCCGCCGCTTCATCAACCGCCACGAGGCTGAAATCAAGTCAAAATACTCAAAACGTTACGATTGTCAACGAGCGGAATGCGAAGACCCCAAACTTATAATGCGTTGGCTCGAATTAGTGCAGAATACCATACAAAATATGGGATTCTTGAACAGGATGCTTATAATATGGATGAGACGGGTTTTCAAATAGGCGTTGCTTCAACTGCAAGGGTCGTATGTGGTGCAGAATCGCGAGAATCGAATGCTCGAGCGATTCAACCCGGTAATCGCGAATGGGCCACTTCAATCGTCACGATCAGTGCAGCAGGATACGTTCTACCGCCGCAGATCATCTTCGCCGGTAAGCTTCATCAAGAGAAGTGGTTTGAAGCTATTCCCAATGCTGGCGGGTCAACGTGAGCGAGAACGGGTGGACTACTGATAAACTCGGTTTTGAATGGCTTTATTGTGTTTTGCACCTCTAAAGAAGCTCTACGGCCAGAGGATCAATGCGGCGGTACAGGGAGGCATTCAATCGATCGATAAGAAGGCTTTTATATCGCATTATAAAATCGTCCACCCACGGGCCTTCTCTATAGCGAATATAAAAAAATCTTTCGCATCAACAGGCCTTTTTCCGTACAATCCACAAAGGGTCATTTCAAACCTTAAATTGCGCGTTTCAACACCTACACCACCTTCGACTTCATCTTCAAATCATTCGTTTTACCTCGGAAAAACGCCTATGAACCTCTACCAATTGAATCATCAACGCGAAGAGATTCAAGCTCTGCAAGAATCGGGTTTATCGTCACTTCTAGTGGAACAAACGTATGAAAAAGTGTATAAAGCGGCCGAAATCGCTCTGCAGAATACTACGCTTCTTCAGCAAGAAATTCAACAACTCCGCGCGGCCGATCAGTATAAAAAAGCGAATAAAAAGGCCTCACGTCGATATTTTCAAGAAGGAGGCACTTTGAGCGGTCAAATAGGACGTCAAATTGCTAATGAAAAGGCCGCTGAAGAGGCAAGAAATCGGGCTACGGCGGCTGCCCAGGGGCCCTCTACGCGCCGGCCACCTCGCTGCAGTAATTGCAATCAGGATGGCCACAATCGCTTAAAATGTCCAAGTTCTAGCCTTGCCTAATGAGGAAATAGAGTCTGTTTTAATTTTACTGCATTTTTCGCATTTTTGAGCGTTGAAATCGCTTCATTTTTGATCAAGTTCTTGAAATCGAGCGTTTTGGTGGTGGTGTTGAGCGGATCCGCGCCGGCCCGTTGTCACGCCGCTTCGTTGTCCGGTTACGTTAGTCGAGAAGTTCAGGATTATTAAATTCTTCTAGCAGAGCCGTACATGTGATAGGTGGATTTCTTATAGCGGGTTTGCACAGGATTATTTTAAACCCCTTCATTCCCATCAACATGTCATTTCTCCTTCAGGGGGGCCGGCGGGGGCATCTTCCGCTCCGACGCGCCATTCCACTTTTCGGCCCCCACCGCATTTCCATATCGCTTTCTCGTATTCTCAGTCCGCTTGCTTATAACCCACAACACCAAGACTGTCGTTCATCTCCAAGGCTATTCTCCATACAATCCAGCACCATGGATGAGAAGAATTCTCCGTCCCAAAAAGAAGGGTGAGATTATCCCTCCGACCAATTCTCTTCTGCCACTTATAACTCCCAGGCCATTGTCCCGGCTGCCCCAGGATTGCCTGGTCACAATTCTGGACCAGCTCTCGTTGAATGATGCCTTGGCCATCTCGTCCACCTGCAAGGACCTCAGTGCATCGGCCACACCATTTGCATACCGCAACATCTCGTTGGACTGGACCTCCCGGCCGCTCAAAAGGCTCCTGCAGCTGCTTCGGCTGGTCTTCCAAGACCCCGAGCTGGCATCCTGCGTCCACCATCTCAGCCTCGTATCTGCACCCGACGCCGAAGAATGGGAGGACACCCAGCCGGAGATCGACTGGGAAACCGAGTCAGAGTCTTTCCACGACGTGCTGGACCAGTCCATGGGTCTTGTTCGGCGCGCCCAATTCGCCGATGCCGAGACCTGGCATCTGCCGATCTACGGGGGTAATATCTACTGCCTTGCAGCGATCCTCCTCTCTCAGCTGCCCAACCTAAAGTCGCTCCATCTAGATTACTCGTTGGTCTGGTGGGATGGGTTTCCGGGCATGATGATCAAACAGGCCCTCCTGTTCCCTAACGGGACCCTCCCTACTTTTAAAGACCTCCAGGTTGTGGACTATGGTGGAAATGTCCCAATTGCCGAGACAGAGGATACGGATGAGGATGTGTATACGGACAGCTATCCTGCGTACAACCCTAGCCAGTTTGCGGGCTGGTTATGTCTCCCGTCTCTGCGCTTCTTGAACCTCTGGATGCGAGATCTCGACGACCTGCAGGAGATGAAACCTGATCTGGATCTTAGAAGTCTAGAGACGCTCATCCTGCCCCGCGCCACGATCTCGGATCAGGACGCGAACTTTCTGCTCTCGCGGGCATCCAACCTCAAAAATCTACACCTCGGCATGGCCTATGCTAATCGACGCGAGCTCGTGGTAAGGGACGCCCCGATGCTAGCACAGGCCCTGGTCTCCGTCAGCCCAACGGTACAGAACCTCTCACTCGGGGTGGAATATTACCCGTCCAGTTTAGGCGATCACGTCTGGGGTGACGCCAATGACCACATCAAGGAAACATTTTCCCATATCCTGCATAATTTCTCGAACCTCCAAACAGCCGAGATGCCGCTTTGTGTGCTGCTAGGCTGGTTCATTGATCGCGACAACCCCGCCCAGCTCGGCCCTCTCCTACCAGAGTCTCTCCGCGAACTGTGCCTGCGCGATGACCTACGGAGTATGTATGATTTTCACTGGGATGAGGATGAAGAAATTAGCCTGCTACACCGCTTTCTTGTTGACTGGCGTGCGTACACCCCGGGACTGGAACAGATCACCATGCGTCTCTGGGATCAGAACCATACAGAGTTCCGCAAGGAGAAGGAGGAGGCGTTACGCTCCGCGTGTGTTGAGGCAGGCTTGACGCTTAACATAGTTGTGGATGATTTGGGGACCGGGCTATGGAGTCAGAAGGTTATCCCTTGAGGGGTTTCATTGTATAATATAGTGTAATTTGTTGGCGGTGCCTCGCATGTCTGACCTTCCGAATGTAGTTTAGTGCACCACATGACCCACACAGCGATCGTAGATAGTTAGCTAGTCTGCAGCCTCGCTGCATAGAATTGATCAAGCATTCCACCAATTTCATCGTCAGCCATGCTGTCATAATTTGCATTGGAGTCAATGGCCGTCAGCATATGTTCCCCTCTATTAGACTAAATAGTACCACATCAACGAGACATCCTAGTTGGTTGGTTGTGACTAGAGGCGTCGTAATCTCATGGGAAAAGCATAGGTGTTTATGAAGACCCAGATCGTGCTTATAGAGCTCTATCTTAATAATAATTGAAACATAGCATTTCTGGTAATGTTGCATATGCCCCTAGGAGGGTAATATAGCTTTTTGGAAGCACCTCAGATCCCGAAAATATATTTTAAGATTCTAAGAGTCAATAGAATGCCCTTGAGGTAATACTATAGCTTCCTAGGCGTACTAAGGATCTCGAGATCAGCTCACTTTCTCCTGTACAGTCTATGATTTGTTACATGTAGCTGTATAGCAGCATATGTTATAGTTAAATCATCTAAATATTAGAGGTTGTTGAAGAAGCGACGCAACAAATCGCTCTAACAATACTTACATCTCCGAGGGCGGGTGTATCATCATGGGTCTTGAAAATGAACTGACGGTTCAAGTTGTCTGTCAGGATGACCACTGCGCAAACGTCAAACTCATTGCAGAATTTGCGAAGTTTGCGGAAGACTGTTCTGCGCCGTCATCCTTCAGCTGATTTGGATATCTGATTGTTCATAATGAAGAAATGGGGATTTCGGCTTTTGAGAGACTTCTTCACGTTCTGTAAAAGTGATAATGAATGAAGAAACTGAACGTGACAATGCTTCAATTTATAAGTTTGATTGCTATTAAGCGTACTGGTGCCAATGTCAAAAATAGTATGCTGGAATAGCTTTTTAGGCGCTCCGGCTGAAAATAGCATCATTAATCGCTCACGGGTTTTGGCAAGTGCTGCTTGGTTGGTGCATAGAACGTCGGGTAATCGCCCACGAGAAAAAACAACAACTTCGACGCGAACCAAATTTTTAAAAATTACTTAACCACCACGAAGGCTACGGCCTCGAGAATCAGCCAGTTTACTATCAACTCCAGCCGTTATCGATTGAGCCTAACTTTATAGGGGATATCGATATAGTTGGGGCGAAACCCTCGTGGCCGGCCCTTTCAGGGATTCCCGAGGCGGTAAACACGCACAATCAGAATTTTCTCAACTGCGTTTTGAACCTCAATAAAGATGCGCAGCAATACCTTTTATTTAACGAATCAAATGAGAAACAGCTCCCCAAACCGGTAGTTAACTTTATACAGCAGGTAACTAATGCCTGCAATTTTCTGTAACACGAAATTGTAGATATTCTGACTGCTAACTGCTGTATCGGCCCCGAGCTGGCCAACATCCGGCAGACCCTTCAGAACGTCTAAGACCTATCACATTCAATCGAGTGTACAGAAACAGAATAACCAGTCCTGGGCCTCTGTAGTCTATAACGCGCCTCCCCCGGCCTATACGACCTCGTTTCACGGTTCCTCCAGTACCGCCCCGGCCACCCCGTCGGAGCTCAGCAAGGACCGCGAGGTCATCGTTAAATTACAGGATACTGGTACAGTGCGTATCTACCGATATCTTATGGCCTCGGATATCAAGCAGAGAGCGGAAACAGCAAAACAGAAAATATGCAGTCAAATAGGGGCTCTCTCTCTAGCTAAAACGCGTTTTGTAGTTACTAAACAGTTTAGGTCCGATAACCTGAGTCTTTCACTCCGTTATGCCGCTGAGGCCGAAGCTGCCAGGACCCACGATCAATGGGTTAACTACCTGAGCGCGGGGGCTATGCTACGGCATCCCTCTTAGGGTATCGTTATATATGGGATCGCATTTAAGTCAATCGGAGACCTTACCACCGATACGGAATAACAACGGGTAATTAACAAGTTACTCGAGAAAAACAGGGACTGCTGGATAAGCAAGAAGATTCAACAGAGTTCCCGAATTACGTATATTGTATAACTGTTGGAACGATATTGTCAACCAGACTAGGGAGGTGGAGGATCCTGGCCTAACCTACATACCATACAGCACCTTGCTTGGCCTAGGCTTGGCCTATCATTCCAAATGGCATACCAAGGGATCAGGAATGCCTAGGTGTAAACAAAGGGAACTATAAATAGCTAGGCAGATTGTAGTTTAGAATGACACTTCACTTTTACCCACCGAGCATATACCTATATTCAGTTGAATCGATAGGATATCTGCTTAGGGCAATGACCAAGTCAACCGACAATAACTTACTTATCCGTTTAACTATAAGAACCAAAAATTATCTGCTCTGATTGTAAAATTCTTAGATTCCCGTTACGTTAACGAGACAATCGCACGAGGCACCATTTGGAACAGCATTATCTATAAAACAGTATTATATAATTGGACTGCTCGTATCCAACGGTACTTTAACTGCTAACAATATAGTCACATAGGAATTGTCTGTTCGAATAAAACAACTTGCGGACTCTGTGAGAGCAGTCACGAGACCCGGAACTGCTCCTACAAGTCTACTAATAGCCAAGAGCGTTACTGTGCAGGGTGTAAAGAGGTATACGCTGCCTGGCACAAAAGGTATTCGAGATATGTAGCAGAGATAGACCGGGTTCAAGCTATAGCAGTACACTGGCAAGCCTGGTATCGGGTCTCTTCCTACCTGCAGGACTTTCAGTTCTCCGTATGTAGCGGTACGGAAGCCTTCAGCTCATTTAACAGCGAGAGATATAGCCAGCCGTACACAAGCCTCTCAGAGAGGCATATAAGGTCCGTTAGTAGACCTGCGAGCGTTCGTAATCGTTTAACAGTCCGATTTTAACCGGGATCTACGCTGCCGCACGCTGGCTCGCAAGAAATGATTTCTACAGCTAGTGGACCCTCAGATAATAGAATAGATTTTTCTGCAGACGGAGCGGATGCGACTCCGCAGCCTGACTGAAAAAAAGCCAGTCAGCAGAGCGAACCGGAGATGCCTGCCCCAGTGACTCTGATGCCTAGGGGTTACCGTGGACGAAGGAGTGGCATGCAGAACGTTATCTCGTCTAAAGAAACGCGCCAGAGTGCCCGTATCCAGAGTGCCCGTATCCAGTCCGCAATACGGCAGGAAGTCTTACATCTGGCTATTATACTAGTTGACTTACTAACCGGCGAAATACTACCCACGAAACGATCCCGCAGTAGACTAGTATACCGAGAACGATCGATCTCGACCAGCGAGACCTCTACTGTTTCCCTCCAGAAGTCCCCGGTACTAACTACTGTACTTACTACGGCTCCTATCACAAGGGCCCATTCAGTATCACGGAAACGCACTAGGGCTGACCGATTATAATCAAGCCTTTTCACATCCTCCAATATAATGCGAATCGATCTAAAGACAAGGTAATAACACAGTTCCTCCGGGATTCTATAATCCTAAAGGCTGACCTCATCTTTGTGCAAGAACCTTGGGAGAATCCCTACAAGGATACTACCTACTATCCTGCTAACGGCTCCTACCAGCTCCTATACCCGGATTCGACCGAGATAGGGGACGAGCGGGCCCGCGTATATCTCTATATATTATGCCAAATCGTTTCTAGTACCTAAAAATATACAGCGCATTCAAAAGACGTTCAGGAGCTCGAGCTCACGGATGCTAACGGCCAACAAATACACATCTTTAACATTTATAATCGATCTAACGAAGTAGATAACGTTACCCTTGATCTCGTTATCTCCCTAACTATCTCTACCGGTCCCACTAACAGCTCTACTAACCCCCGTTTGCTCCTGTTGGGCGACTTTAACTTCCACTATCCGGCGTAGGGGGGAGAACGTTCTAAGAGAGATCCCTCGTCCGACCAGTTACTAGAACTGACGGATATGAGATGCCTAGACCTTTGGCTAGAGCCAGGCACTATCACGTGAGAGCGCAACGGAAGCGGAACTACTATCGATCTGGTCTTCGGCTCGCAGGACCTGACTCCTAGGCTCGTTGCCTGCGAGATTAACGAGCAAGTCTACGCAGATTTAGATCACTATCTCATACGAACTCTTCTAGATATCAGCACTAAAATCCCTGAGGTACAGCGACAAAAGAACTGGAAAATCTATAATGTTAAGGACCCGCAGAGATTCGTGAACCTTAACCTACAGAGCAAGGCCTTTTCCTTATAAACGAAGCAGCATATTAAGCTTGCTATTAAATATTTTATCGAGACAGTCAACTAAAGAATCGCTACCTTTACCCCGTGGGCGAACCTTTCATTCAATGCGGAATGTTGCGAAATGGTTAAGATTACCCGAAAATTCCGACATAAATATACGGAATCAGTTATTGCGAATGGCTCTACCGACCCTCCTACAGGCTTCCGGTAGGAGCGTTACATCATAGTCAGAAACCGCAAAGGAAAGGTATTGGCTAAAGTACTGCGCCAGGGCTACTGTTCCTGGGTCCGCAAGGCTACCGAATTAGGTCCTCGAGGCATGTAGAGGGCAGCTAAATGGGCAAAAAGCAGAGAGGCTCGCGGAAATCTTATACTTACGCTAATAACGGATGGCAGGCTCGTAAAGACTGCAGAACAGAAAGTAGAGGCATTTCGCAAAGCCTTCTTTTCTGAACTACCCTCGGCCGACCTCTGACATTCTTACGGCCCAGATATCCTCCCAGATCGATTTTCCGGACCTTACCGAGCACAAGGTGCTCCGTTGCATCAGGCGGGCGCCTCCCGATAAAGTACCAGAGCCGGATAGCATCTCTAATAAGGTCTGGCACTGGCTAAGTAAGGTCTCCTCCTTCCTCACTATACTAATGCAGATATTTAACGCGTGCCTACGTTTTGGGCATAACCCGGAATACTTCCAGCAATCGACTACTGTAGTACTGTACAAAATACTGCTCCGGGACTATTGTCTCGCTAAATCCTACCGATCTATAGCGCTCCTGAATGCCCTCGGTAAGATCCTAGAGGCTGTAACTACAGTACGGATTGCTTGAGCCCTGGAAAAGCGTAATCTCCTACCCAGGAGCCATCTAAGGGGCCGCAGGGGCATTTCAGTCGACCACCTGATCCAGTTACTCCTTGATCAGATCTTTGAGAGCTAGGGCAAGAGCCGGAAAGTCAGTGTATTGTTTCTAGACGTGGCTGGCGCCTTCGATAACGTCTCGCATATATTGTCCCTCTACAATCTACGTATTATAGCGATCGGCTTCTTCGCCAGCTGGCTCAAATCCTTCTTATCAAACCGTTCTATAAGGCTGCAGCTTCCCAGATATCTTAGCAACCTTATTTTAACCCCTACCGGGATCCCCTAGGGGTCCCCTATATTGCCGATCCTATTCCTCCTATTTAATACCCCCCTCATTCGCGCCCTATCGATCGACGGTATTGAGACCCTTCGGATTCAGCCACCCCTCTTAGAGGGAAGCAAGACGGTCTCCTACGGGTGGATTGACGATGTTACTACCCAGGCCATCTCAGATAGCTACGCGGTCAACCAGCGCCTTCTGGAAAGGGCCCTAGACAAGGCTGCGGTATGGTCAAGGCAGCATTCGTTCAAATTCGCTCCCGATAAGTTCGAACTCATTTATTTCAAGAACCTGTTTCGCCCTGACCCTGCGGTAGAACGACCCGTACCGCAGGGGAAGGACCCAGAGGTCGACAACTGGGATCCCCCAGTGGAACCCCCTGGTCACTACCAGCTGCCCATCAAGGACCACGCAACCGGCTTTATTATCAAGCCAGTGGAGCACGCCAAATACCTAAGAATCTGGCTCGATAGGACCCTTTCGTTTGACACTCACAGGACTAAGGCCCTTGCTAAGGCGAACGGGACTTTGGAAGCCCTCCGCAGCATCTCAGGCTCGATCTGGGGGACCTCCCTGCTGAGCATGCGCCGCATCTACCTGGAAGTGGTAGTCCCCCAGCTGCTCTATAGGGCGGCTGCCTGGTATAGCCCTACGAGCCGGACGGTCAACTACAAAAAGCTCCAGAAGACGGTCAATAAATTCCAGAGGATTCAAACCCGCGTAGCTGTTCTTATCAGTGGCGCGTTTTGTAATACAGTTTCAGTCGTACTGAGGGTTGAGCTTTATCTCCCCCCTATGCGAATACAGATGTAACAAACTATTCAGGAGGCGGCCGTTCGGGTCTAAACCGGGCCGACTATAACCTGCCCCCGGGGACTGCGCTGGAAAAGGTCGAAAAAGGCATTCAAGGCCTCCGGATACTTTCCGATGGAGGCGCTGAAGTGAAAGAAAATAGGCCCGCTATATGCGTACGGCGGCAGGCAAGAGGAGTGAAAGACTAGACGGGCTCATTTATTGGCCCCGTAGGAGTTACCCCTGAGATATATCATTGAGGGAGCAGAGGAAGCAGTTTAGACCCACGATAGAGTCTGCCGCGAGAACCGGCAGATTTGGTATACAGATAGAAACGGCTATCAGGAGATGATTGGAGCTGCCGCGGTCTTTATTCGAGCAGGAAGGACCGCCAGAAAATACCTAGGAACGGAACTAGACTCTATGGTCTACGTAGGGGAGTTAGAAGGGGCCCGAATAGCCCTGGATCGGGCGAAGCTTATCCCGATTACGGTCTTCTCAGATAGCCAGGGAGCTATTCAAGCTGTGCGCAACCCTGGCCGGCTATCGGGTCAGTACGCACTGCAGGCTATCTACGGGAGGATTAGCGCCCTGCGAAACGAGAGCCTGGAAGATACTGAACTGCGTTAGATCCCCGCTCACATCGGGATAGAAGGAAACGAAAAGGCAGATAAAGTAGCTAAGGAAGCTGCAATAAGAGGAGTTAAATTAAGTTTAATAAAACTGCGGGATCGACCGATTATACGGCTTGCAGCTACAGCTAAAAGAGATATCTGCTAACGCTTGCGTACGGAATAGACAAAGCAGTAAAAAGGGCAAAAAGTAGGTAGGCTAACGAAGCAGCTACTATCTAAACCAAACAAGAAGAATTTACGGCTTTACGAGCATCTCAGTAAGCTGCATACCTCGATTGTTATTCAGATGCGCACTATGAGGATAAGATTAAGGCACTTCCTCTACAAGATCAAACAGGTCGACTCCGACCGGTACGCCTGTGACCTATGGTCCTAGACCCCTAGGCACGTCTTTCTGGAGTGCTCACTGCACACGGCCGGCTGGAAGATAATAATAAATTACTTCAATCAGATAGAGAGACTGCGTGAGCGTATACAGGATTATAATGCAGTTATGTTATACCTGCAGGCGATCCGTTACGTTACCGAATTTATGTAACAAACAGGCCTCCTTCAACAATTCCGATTCGCTCGACTGGACGAGGAGGACGACGAGGGGGCTCCAGAACCTACCAACCTGCTAGAAGGACTCGAACTAGGCGAGAAAGACAATGGTTACATGGAACTTTAGGGGGCGGCCTGGGTTAGGCCGCTACCAGTGACGCATACCACTTACGAACCACCTATATAGAACGAGGCAGAAGGAGATACAGCGTCAGGAGACGTAATGGGCTGCGGTAGGCGAGTGGCAGCCGGTTTAGTTGCGGTGCTTTATAATTTATCTACTGCGTTTGTGGGTTTATATGGCGTAAGGGCTCGAGATTCTGCTTCATTCGGCGAAACGCCTGCATAGCCTGTCGTTTCAATAGATAGGCTCCATCAGGTTAATAGAATTTTGATTGATTGATTGATGACCCGATAACTGCAACAAGTGGCACTTAGTTACAAGTCAGTACGCCCGAAGATTGAAGCACGTGAGTAGAAAGCTAACGACTTCATAGGCTCAGACGAGAACTGTGCGTCTGTCGCTGCTAAATACGGCATCAGCCTAGAGCAGTTTTACGATTGGTATGGCATTTCCTTTAGGAACAAAAAGGACGCATCTAACACACGGACAGGAATCCCGCCGTTTCACACGACTGCGTGGATGGATTCTGGAAGGACGAAGCATATTGTGTCGGTGTAGGCAAGTAGATCATCAGGGGCAGTGAATGTTAAATGAGCAGGGACTTTTGAATGAGGTAGATTGAGGCCATGTCAGATGCCCGACGCAGTAATGGGTGCCTCAACATGGCACGTGACAAAGGAAAGGAAATTCATTGTAGAACCTCAATCTTCCATAGAACTCAGGTAAACAGGCAGTTGCAATATTCAAATCTTGAACCACTCCACATTCCAACCAGTTATTTCACTAGGACCAACAAGTGGGTCGCCAAGCCTGCATATCACTTTACTAGCGGTAAAATATGTAACATATGGCAGCTGTGCTGTCTTAAAAGGCCGCTGTTGCCGCCGGGACTCTGGGACCCTTCTTTACTGAGTCCATCGTCCTTTCCCAACATGTCGGATCTCACGGATTTACCTGCTGAACTCCTCGATGAAATTCTTTCCCTCGCCTTTGGCGTCGCTCCACGATACTACAACGGCTATAACGATGAAGGAGCCTTTGATATCAAAGCCTTAAGCCGTCTCCTTCTCGTCAATCAAAAACACTACCTGGCGTTCATCCCACTCGTCTACTCCCACTGGACCTACAATGGGACGCGACACAGCTACAGCGGACTGTGGAAGTTTCTTCGCACTGCAATCAGAAATTACGATCTCGCATCCATTGTGCAGACGTTGAACGTCGGTAACTGGGCCGTCTGCCCTTCATTCTACCTTGAGAGGAACCGCGAGCTCCAGGATCAAGATGAGCGGTTGCAATTTACACTTGATGACGAGGAGACCGTCAAAATTGCGCTTCGTCGTGCACAGATGCCAGGAGATCATTCATCTCAGATCATTCATCTCAGATCATTCATCTCAGATCATTCATCTCAGATCTTTGATGCAATCTTTGTCGACCGCAATGAATATCAGAGCCGCGACCGGCGGCCTTTAATGGCGCTTCTCCTGACCTGCCTCCCTTGTGTGTCGAGAATATATATGCATGTATCTGCATCAAACCCGTTCCTAGGAGCTGTTTTACAGACAGCAATAGGTCGGCAACGGGCCGGCTCAGGTGAACAGTCGACCTGGCTACCCAGCTTGAAGGAATTCCACGCTCTCGGTGAAGTCCCCGGGTATCTTGAGGCAAGCCCCGAGTGGTCGGATGACGATATCAACAACCCTTCCCTGAAATTGGACGATATATGGCCTATTTTCTATCTGCAAGGCCTACGCACAGTCCGCCTGTATGGCTTGGACCCGAATGGACTCAATCAGCTGTTCCAGGAGAAAATGCAAGGCAATGAATACGGATACGGTGCCATATCGAGCACCTTCACATCGCCACACAGCGACGATCCGTCTGCAGAGCAGGGGACGTGACTGCGCTGCTTACTCTACCAGATTCTTTGAGAAGCCTCTCTTTCTCCTGGGATGACGACAAGGCCAAGACCAAGGACAATATCAACGGCAAGAGACGCAATGTCTGGCAGATATCTAATAATGAAGTCTGGACCGCCATCCTGAAATATAAGGGGACTTTGGAATATCTGGACGTCTTCCATGACTTTTCACCAGAACCACGCAAGCGCCGACAAACGGATTACTTTGGTCCTCTCACCGAATTTACGCAATTGCGCTACCTTTCAATTCTGGCAGAGATGCTCATCGGTGGCTACGTTCAGGGCTCGGTAGCTCCATTTCGATTAAAGGAAGCACTGCCAGCCAGCATGGAAACCCTGGTTTTTGCAGCAAAAGATGCCGGAAAGACAATCCCTGACCTTCCGTTCCAGGTCGAGGAAGTCGTGTCGCAATTTCCTCGTCTGAAGATCCTTGAGTTTACAGATGCCTGGGTAGTAAGTAGATATTTTCCCCGAGGAACCACGCCGGCCAAATACCAGCCGCTCAAAGAAGCTTGCTTTCGTAATGACATCCAATTCGGTATTCAAGTCATCTGCAAGTCCACGTTCCAATTGCAACATTGCCCTTTTCCTCTGGGGGTCCGGTGCCTGAGTCGGTGGAAGGAAACATACAATATGCGAACTGACGCCCGTTTGAGAAATGGGAAAATGCGCAAACGAGCTGCACGCAAAGCAGCAGGACTTCGAGAAACTCCATCGCCTGAACCACCTAAGAGATACTATGGGTCAGTCGAGATACACGTCCTCCCATTTACGGACCACGGTGGAAATCCATCCTTCACGGTCTTTGAGAGCCAGGAGGACATTCTACTCCCCCCTCTGACAAATCTCAGCATCTACTTCACCCATCCCGAGGGCCCACTACCTGAGACTGAGGACTTTGAAGATGATCTCCGAGCTATGCACGCGCAGATTAGGACCGACGGTTTCGATGACGACAACTACCGACTCGAAGTCTACTTTCTACCAAACGCCAGTAATGAGGACTGCATCGCACACTATCAAGCCGAAAAAGCTATTCGCGAGAATTCCATGGACATGCTTCTTGAGGCTGAGATCAGACTTGATACGGACTTCCCACCACCAGCCACCCCGCGACCACCAGGCATGCTCGAGATCTACGATTCCGACCTCAGTGTAGTGTTGTTCGTCCATCCCGATCGTAGTTGGAGAAGCGGCGCGCAGCGCATGTGCTATATCAGTTGTAGTCTTGGCTTTGAGCTTGGACAGGGCTTTGACGAAAAGTGGTATGGATTTGGCCATCCTACGGATCAGTCTTTGGGCGAGTTTGTCTGCGATCTTACTCGCGAGTATTGGCATGACACTCATGGTATATATCAGAATGCTGCGGAGAGGGGGTGGATAACCTGGTGAGGCTCTCTTCTGTCTCTGTGCCTGTGCGACGTTCTATTCATTCACCCCGTCTGGAAATATTAAGCAATAATAATTCCCAACATATTGGCCTCATTGACTCATTTCCCCCGCTGTAACCGCGACAACCTCATGGGCCACGGCTAGTCGGCTATAGCGGTGTACACAGATGGGAGCGGGATCAACGGCAGAGTAGGAGCGGCAGCAGTGTGTCCGCAATACCAAGTGACACGAACAGCCTATATGGGCGAACAGTCGAAAGCCACAGTGTATGCCGCAGAAACTTGTTTTTCTGTAATGATCCTAATTTAGAACCTATGCTCGTCAAAGTTGCTTGTGAACTCCCTGAGGTAGAAGGTAACCGAGACAAAAAAAAAAGCACAAACAGAATGACAAACAGAAGGAGACATAGTCCAACTCGTTGTTCCAAGCCCTGCAGCACACCGATGATGCCTCAGTGAACCAATCTACTATTTTAAGTATCCATCTAGTCAGATGAAGATGCTTCAGCCTTCAGCACCTCATCCTCAGCGTAGAGCGTGAGTGCAAGCAGAATTGGGCCCAGCTTCTTCATGTCCCCGACATTGTCTGTATTTCAAGGGCCATATTGATGCATGGTTAAGAATGACGGGTGTTCGTTATTGGCGGGCTTTTTTCGGAGATAAGACACATAACCCTTGTCGTACTCTACAATGATGATGAAAACCTCATGCCGATTTTGGGAAACGTGAACTCGCCTTAAGTCCTATCAGATGGAAAAAGAAATATAGAAATGGAAGGATAAAACCAACAGCTTTTCCAAATGAGCATCAATATCATTTTTGATCCAGCTGGCCATCTGTGAACCTTCTTGCATTCGAGTCCGGCTTTGATTAGTGAGCGCTCTGATAATAAGTTTAACTTCAACCAGAGCATAAGGATTTCCCTTGCCGTCATCAAGATACCCATCAGTCCTGTATTCGAATTTGGCTTCCTCAAATTGGGGAACAAAGGCTTTTCTGTGCAGTGTCGAGTCACAACGCTCGATCGTGGGGAAATGAATCGTAAGAGCGTTCAGAAACACGACAAAAGTAGTGTTGACAATTTGCTCATCCTTGGTAGGGGGAAACATTAACCTCTGGAGTTCTTCAGGAACCTGGACAAGTGGTGTCGGGGGTGGCAGCAGCGGGTCTGCCACAACAGAATCATCATCAGACGAATCTTCATTATCTGGCATTTGGAACGCCGGGGTGGGATTTTTGGATGGCGTCTTGTCAACTTGGAGTTTTCTGAATTCTTCCTCCAGGTCTCTCCTTGTGGCTGTGGGTTCGTTTGGCAACTGGAGTATCAAAGCTGTCCGGTCGCATACGCTTCCCATTGTTAGCCGCTTTGACTTGATAATGCCGCGCAATTGCAAAGCTACCCTCTAGATTCTCTCCCTTTTCGATGCTATTGCAATAACTCGCCCAGGATTGAGATCTAGCGAGAAGTGCTGTGGCCTGGGTATGACATAGCTCCAGAACTGATGGCAAGCGAGACAGTCGATTTCCGAGATGTAATTTCCAGAGAACGCGCAGAAGCAAAAATTGCCTGAAGTCCAATTTGGAGGCCGACGCAAGCTCAGCCGTATGCACTGTCTTGCCAACAAGATCGTGCGCCTTGACTGCATCCTGCCACGTACTGTAATCGACTGGCAATTGGGAAGGTACATCGGCTATCTTGGAAAATATGAATTCTACTCGTTTCTAAGTCAATGAGTAATAATGAAGATCAGGGTGTATATTTCCGCAAGCGTGAAAGTTAAGATAGAAAGAAGAGTCCAACGCCGGATGGATAGCTGAGGCCTTTTTGTGGAAGAATTCACTGGCGGGAGATTTGGGTACATGGAGAATATAAAGGCAGAAACCGGTCTACCTAGCTAAAGGCACAGGAGGGAATGGGACTCGGCGTATTAGAAGAGGCCTTAACTGTCACTCAGAGATTCGCTCATGGCGGCGAAGTCGTATGGTCTCTGGTCAGGTACGATAATATACCCTTTTGCCTGCTTTCCTCATCACCCTGACGCCGTCATAGAATGCCCCATGTGTATAAGGAAAGGGATCTCTATCGGTTCAAGTACCTAGAGTTTGGAATCAACGGTATTGAACAGGTTACAGAAGGGCCCTATGCACATCTCTAGATTTCTATATATAACAATCCAAACGCCAATGATGACCACTTTCTTCAAGGTGAACTGCTTCCCATTTTACGTCTGATGTTAGCCCACCTGAGAAGGGCCCGGTTCATCGACCATATGGTTGTGCCGGTAAGTAGACCTCCGTTCCTCTCCCCTTATATTCAAAAATAAAACCTCACGTCTGATCTGCGGCCTAGATTATGGCGTTTTCCTTTATGGGGCCTCAGCATGCTCGCATCATCGAAGCCTACATGGAAGGCCATACGGTCGTAGTGCGACCGACCAAACTGTACGATCTGCGCAATAAAGATGCGGTGGCCTTCAAAAAGTTTACCCGGTGGTATTTTGGAAAACCGCGCGCCCCAACCGAGTCTTCCCAGTAGGTTGGCCGTTACATTTCTATGCACGTCTTATCTTTTTCTGTTTGGTCTACGGCGCGCTGGAGGTGTCGGGAATTGGAACAGGCAGGGTCGGCGTCCTGTTTACGATTGTGATATGATTGACTGGAAGGATACCTGGGGCGGAGTTTTAGTTTCCGTTAAATACTGTGGTGCAAATAATTGCCTCAATGAACAATGCATTTTTTAGGATACTCGAAAACTGCGCTCCATAGCGTATTCACATCGGAACTACTACTGACCAAAGAGGGACGCTTAGGCACGGGAAAATGCCTGCAAATCCGTACTGCCACATTTGAATCATAGAAGGATCTGTCAAGGTGTTGTTTGACCCCAGCCCCTTTGAGAAATATGTGGGTGTTGATGGAACGGCAGTCTGGGCGGCAGTTACGTCTGGCTTCTCATCAATCGGAGTCTGTCTACTCGCATGTCTACTGGCACGAACCTGGGATTGGAGTGCAAAAGTATGCATTAAGCAATACATGTTAATACTCCCCTAGCAATCAGAAGATGTTCTAAACATAGACATCAGAGTGTACATTGAGATAACCCAGATAACTCAAACATCTTAGAGTGGGCGGGTTTCTGTTATGAAATGCACAGGGGAAGGAGGGCAGAATGACACTGTATCGGCTATACGCACGTAGCATACTAAGGAGCGAATGCCTTTTGAATGATAGGGCTCTTAATTCTCTTGCATAACGATTCAATCTCTTCTTCTATATATCTAATGGATAAAGGGGTAAGTTCCTCAGGGGTTCGAGTGTGCGGGCCAAGCGGGAATTGTTACGGACACTACAGGTTTTAACTACTAGCGGCACTACAGATTAAGTAATAGGGTCGTGTTAGACCGACACCCCCTACGTTATCCCGACACCCCCACGTGATGTACTAGTCCTATTCAGGCTTAGACCCAGCACAAATTTCCTTTTTTAGCTGTATTATAGGGCTCTTATCATAGGGCAAGCTGTATATTCGCCACTAAGTGCGAATGCTGAATATTGACTATATTGTATGTTGCTATCGCTGTCACCGTCATTATTACTGCAATGGCTTCATTAAATGGCTATTTTCAAGGCTACGAGAGCGACGATCCTCCCAACGAGCAGTGGAATGAGCAATTCGAAGAAGAGAAATTGAATGAGCAACTTCATGATCGTATTCCTCTTCCCCCTGGACTACAAACTCAACAATTCGATTCATATGATGAAGTCATTGAAGTCCTCAACGCTCATGGACATAATTATAGCTATGCAGTCAATAAAAAGCGTGTTAAAAAGGTCAAATCTGGCTCCCATATAAAGAATGTATAGATTAAATGTGATCGAGGAAATCGATATGACTGTCGCCTTAAAGAAGGCCAACGAAAACGCAAAACTAGCACAATCAAGACGAACTGCCCATTTGAGATCATTACAAGGCTTCAAGACAATGACCTTTGGCGTATTGAAATTAAAGAACATCGTCATAATCATAATCTATTGCCTGCTACGACTCATGTCGCTATTCGCCGCCAGGAAATAGCTGAAAATTCTGTACAGATCAAAGCTTAACTTCAAATTGGCCTTCTAACACGTCATATTATTGCTTCTTTACAGCAAATTGGTGCTACTAGCATTATCGATAGAGATATCCATAATCTCCATCACCAGGTACGACAGGAATTTCTAGATGGTAAGACGCCAATTTAGTGCTTACTACTTGCTCTTCCAGCAAGCGGGGATTGGATTGTCAATTACCAGAAAGATAAAGATGATATTGTTAAAGCTGTATTCATTACTCATAAAAGTTGTATTGAACTGCTACGTATGAATTATGGAGTCCTTTTCATGGATTCAACCTACAAGACGAATCGATATCAGATGCCTTTACTGGATATCGTTGGAATGACAGCAACAGGGAATACTTTCTACGCAGCGTTTGGCTTTATGCACAACGAGACTGAGGATACCTATAGATTTATTCTTAAATGCCTATCTGACACATTATTTCATTATGAATGTGGCTATCCTCGAGTCATCGTTACCGACAAAGAAAAAGGCCTGTATAACGCGATTAAGAAGGAATTCAACTTTACAGATCATATTCTCTGTATTTGGCATATCCAGAAAGTCATTATAACTAAATGTCGCCCAATTCTTCGAAAGGAAGTCATCCGAATTGAATATAAAGGTGACAGTTGCCGTGCCCAAGATGATAAAGAGTTTAGCAACAAGGTAGAAAACGAATGGAAGTCCTTTTTTGGCTTCTTTATGCAGATTGTTAACTCTACTTCAGAGGAAGAGATCATTGTCACAACTGCTAATCTCAAAGCAGAATATAGTGGTGACGTTTGGCAGCCAATCTATACTTATTTAGATGAGAACTGGCTTGAAGAGGATACGGCAAAACGATTCATTAAATTCTACACAAATGAATTCCGTCATTTTGGACAAGAAGCAACTTCACGGAATGAAAACGCTCACTGGGTACTAAAGAAGGACCTTTTAGTATTTATAAAGGACCTTTTAGGTACTGCACAGTCTATCGCTCTTACTATTACTGATCGCCATCGCAAAGTGTAAAATTCTATTAAAGATAACCGTCAGAAACGCTCTCATCATCAACGGATGCCTATCTTCTCGCAGGTATTGAATAAGATCTCTTCAAAAGCACTGAATAAAGTACACACGATAATGATTCGCTATCTTCCAGTGGGGGGGCCGGGTAAGCAACCAATTAAAGAATGCACAGATATAACGTTAAAGACAATGGATCTACCGTGCATCTACATCATCAAGCGTTACTACGATAGGAAAAAGCCTATAAGGATTGCTAAGTTTGACTGCCAGTGGCATCTTTATACGGATGAATACTTCCCACCTATTGACCCGAGATCGCTAGTTCTTGAGTCACGAGTTGTACAGCGTTATCGTAGGCGTCCTACCGGATCAGGAAACCGAGCAACAGAAGCAGAAGCAGAGATAGAAACAATACAGAATACAGCTACTTAAGACTCCTCTTTACAGCGAGAACTATCTGCGTTTGAATACGAATTATTTCAAGAACAACCAGTCAGACGCCGAAAGCGGAATAATCAAGGAAGACGCAGAAGATGGGGCCTTAAAGATAGAGGAAACTCTACTGAAACGATTGAAGTTAATAAAGACGATAGAAACAGCGATACCGAGAATGAGGCACCAACCAACGAAGAGAACGGGGAAACCAGCGAGAAAGAAGAAGTTGAACTACTATAACGCAGTCAGCGAGCTAGCCGTAGCAAAGCAGCACAGTGGTTAGGGGACGAGAACTGACAGAATTCGAATTCTGAATAGAGGCCTGTATTTGGTTAATAAATGCAGCGTTTTTTGTACGATTAAAAGAATGATAAATGTCCTGTTCAAACAATTATACTATGTGCCAAATTTCCATATCACATGGCCACGCTAAACCGAATAGGAAATGGGGGTGTCGGGATAACGTAGGGGGTGTCGGGGTAACCAGGGGGGGTGTCGGTCTAACACGACCCAAGTAATATCCGTATCACATAATCAATTTCGCCGAACTTCCTTACTATACATTACCACAGTAACTGCATTACTTACTACTGTAGATTAGCAATTACATTCTATCTACTACTACTATAAGAGCTTCTCTTCCTGCTTGTTATCTACTTCTCCATCCGGTTCTTCATCCGGTTCTTCATCTGATTCTTTTCTAGGCCTTGGTAATGAGCAATCAGAGTATCTGCCAATACTTAATCCTCTAATACTAGTACTACAACCAAGAAAATTAAACCAAGATAACGCATCATATCAAAGCAACAAACGGAGGTCGGGAACAACGTTAATCCGTCCGAGGCTCATATTTTGCAGAGGCCACGATCCTCTTCAACACTTAAGCACTCCAGTATCTCTGTACTCTAGGCTACGTTTTAGATAGAGTATTACTTCATTCATTTGCATTCTCCTTATGGCTTAGGCCTCGTACAGCTCGGACCGATCGAACTCCACCATTCCTCTGAGCTTAAACACTTCAATGGTAATGTGGGGTCACGTGGTTGAGAGAGTGAGTATCGGAATTCGGCAAGGTTAAGTAAAGAACGATAAGTTCAAAAGTCACAACAAAAACGCGAGGAAGGCCCTCCGCCTATTTATTAACATCTTCTGAATCAGCTGAAAAAATCCCTGTTGACCTCAATTAACCTTTCTGGTTCTAATCATTGGCGACCACTGGCGACCGCTGGCCACCATTGACGATCGCCGGCGACGTTGGCGACTATCGGCGACCGTATATAAACAGAACACCCCTATCATTGGCACCCGATCTAAAGATTGTTTCAGAAAAATATTTGAGTTAAGGGCTCTTCGACAATTAGCTGTACGGACTATAGGTGGCTTAAGTCCGGCTGAGCGGACGGGAAGCCCTGTTCTCCACACCCTGTGGTCGTATGTATTTGGTATGACTAGATAGTGGGTTATATAGTGCAAGAATAGAGGGAATATGCTCAAAAGTAGGGCGATTCCAATCAACTCTCGAAACCTTCCGATTGTATCTATCCTTTTCTTTATTCTTTGTTGTTTCTTTGTTAGTTTGAGAACGAGTTATCCAGTCCGTTGCCTTATCCGCCAGGCACACAGAATGCTATTGTAGATTTTCAGCAACAAAGAACTTGATTAGACCTTCCGAAAGCGTACATCCAAACAAGCTCGACCTGGCTTTATATCGTATCTTCGAACGACGTCTGCCTGTTTCTGTCAAATCTCTTCCAATTCGTTTGAGAAAGACTTTATGTAGAAAGGTTTAATATTATCCGAATAGCTAGTACGGGGTGTTTTGAACAATATACTGGAACTACCCCTTATGGCGTGGCATTGAACTACAGTTGAACTATATACAAGCAGACAGGGCGGATGTATGATCAATGCAATGCTATGATCTCAGATATTCTGATTCCGCTGCTTATATCGTGGTGTTAATTACTGACATCAGACCACGAAAGTTTCTGTAGCTCCATGACTGGGCGATGATTGGGTCTATTTTTCCACGATTGGTCAGCTACAGAATCCTGGGACGTTCTCCGTGGTAGGCGTGGGTATTCACGGCCCCAGCAGTCCCACTCTTCTGTCCGAGGCCGGAGCATGCTTCTCTGGTGTTTTGATAAATAATACTTACGAGGTCCTAAGCAGACAAATTGACATATGCACACTATCTTGTCTGGCTAAAATGAATATGCGCAATCAGGAAGAGGTTGTACAACCCGATTTTAGCACACGCGACAATAAAACCAGCGATGAAGAGGATTACGACCCCAAGTCACAGGCACTGGCCGACGAGGATCCATTTGGAAATGAAAATGGAGCGGAAGTCAAGTATCATATTATGAAGTGGTGGTAGGTGTCAAAATTCTCTATGACGCATTTGGTGATGTTCTGTTAACCGTAACAGGCAATGTGGAATGTGTAAGTTATCTCAGACAGCACAACACCTTCGAAGCTAAACATGACCGAAAACAGTAATGATTGCTGAAAACATCTCTCTGGGAATCCTATCACTCCCATCTGCTGTTGCAACACTTGGAATTGTCCCGTGAGCCTCAAATAACCGGCCCAATCAGTCTAGCCGATCATTCCACTCACACTCTACCTAGGGCACTACTTCTCATCCTAGGTTTATCAGGAATAACCTGGTATACCGGGTTCATTTTGAACCAATTTAAACTTCGATACCCGCACGTCCATAGCATGGGCGATGCGGGTGAGCTGCTTATGGGTCGATTCGGGCGCGAGTTTCTAGGGCTCGGGCAGCTATTATTCTTGACCTTTATCATGGCCAGCCATCTGTTAACATTCACAGTTGTGATGAATGAACTGACTGATCATGGCGCTTGTACAATTGCTTTCGGAATTGTTGGACTGGTCATTAGCTTTATCGGGGCTCTCCCTCGAACTATGGATAAGGTCTACTTGATCTCTATCGCATGTAAGTAACTCTACCCCTGCTATGACTAGCTTTCTTACTGATCGCCTCCATAGCGTTTGCTAGTATTTTGACGGCGATTATGGTCGCTATGATTGCAATCGGTGTCCAAGCTCCAGCATATGTGCCTGTCGACATCACTACCGATACTACTTTCGTCAAGGGATTCTTGTCGACTACTAACATCGTCTTTGCATTCGGTATGGCCCCTTGTGCTCTTTTCCTGTCAGTAGCCCAGTACTAATTCTGTAGCTGCTCATGTGGCATTTTTCGGCTTCATGTCCGAAATGGAAGACGCTCGCGAGTTCCCCAAATCTCTCGCTATGATGCAGATCTCCCAAACCTGCCTATACGTGATCACTTCTATGGTGATTTATTGCTACGCAGGGCCTGATGTTCTATCTCCTGCCTTGAGTTCCGCTGGTCCCGTTATGAAAAAGGTGGGATATGGACTCGCCATTCCAACAGTGCGTGAAATAAAATCCACAATATGCCCTGCCAAAGCTAATCTGGTAAATAAGGTGGTTTTCTCCGGAGTTGTCCTTGGTCACGTTGCTTGCAAATACACCTACGTGCGCATTTTCCGGGGCACATCTCATATGCATGAGAAAAGCCTTGTATCAATTGGTGCATGGGTTTTGATTGCGTTCATTACATGGACGGTCGCGTGGGTAATCATGGAATCGATTCCCGTTTTCAACGATCTCCTAAGTCTCATTGTGAGTATATGCGTGATAAACGCCTCCGGTATCTGGAGCTAATTCGAGTCATAGAGTGCCCTTTTCGGGAGTTGGTTTAGCTGTAAGGATCTCTCATCTGCCTTGATCAATAGAAAAACCTACTGACGAACTGCGCAGATGGACTGCCCGCAATCTTTTGGCTGGCAATGAACCGGGGACTATGGTTCTCTTCGTATAGAAAAGCATGCCTGACTGTTTTGAATGTGGCCATTCTGGCTATCGCATGCGCCATTGTGAGTGATGCTTTCCTCTTTTGTACTTCTCATACATACTACAATTCTTGGCGTCATTTACTAATATCTTTCTCTACAGTGTGGATTGGGACTCTACGTATCTGGGAAATCGATTCACGACGACTCGAAAGGTGGCAGTTGGTCTTGTGCAAATAATGCCTAACTCTGAAGCATAAAATGAGCTTAATTTAATGCAAAGTATATAGTAATGAGTATAATGGGTCCGGTGGTGGCGATCAAAATTTTTAGACACCTGTAAAATTCTGAATTAGAAGCGTCCCTTCCACAGACTTCGGGACCGGTATCGGAGGGTGACGTTACGAGTAAGTCACTCCTTATATGGATCACTAGGAAACCTCCCGTTCTATAGTGGAGTTAGTGTCTGATTCTAACCAGTCAAGTTAATTCCATTATACAATGACACACCTGTGTGGGAAGGCGTAGGGGTCTTCTCGAATACTGAAGTGGGTCTCGGTTATCCGCGGCGGTACCTATGCTCTTGGCACCAGCTGTGTCTAAATCCATAGCTCTTGAGCGAACGAGAGAATTATGTCAAGGGAGCTTACAAGTAATTCAGTTTGCTGAACAGCAAGAGTGCAAATCGGTCTTTGGAGACACCCTGCGAGTGCCATATCTTTTCTTTGAGGTATCTTAGGAAGCAGAACAGCCTCCAATTGTGCCGGTTGGTTTTTTGGGCATAATCAGTAGGGAGAGTGTCAAGCATAAAACTATACTCTGCTCGCTCATTTCGGTGGCAATCACTCAGTCAATATAGTAACTAATCTCCGCACGCGCGGATACTGTAAAAGAAATTTCCTGGGCGGGGATGACCCGATTTGTTCGATGCTAAGTGCGCCGTCCACCCTATCAAGAGGGATAAACATGTTCTAGGGTGAAACCTTTATTGCCCCTACAGCTCTGTTGCCTTAATATTCAACGGACCACCGGTCCATGGAGTAGAGCTGTGGAAGACTCGGACCACAAGTGAACACCACAAGGTACCCACTTTTGGAGGTTACCCGTCAGTCTTAGGATCGAATCGTAAATGTATCATGATCGCAGACCCGATGGTGAGTGTACTGGTGGCTATGTGATCCCGTTGAATATGCTCTGGCTCACATAAAGTGGCTGTCAGGAGTCCTTAAACCCCTCGATCAAGCCATTGTTGGCGCGGTTCCCCCCTTGCATGCCGTAATTAAGGCCCTTGTCTGCGGCTTTGCGGAGTAACGCTTGATCAATACTGCGGAAACACACTGCCCTCGATGTGTCCACAAATGCTTTTCTTTGAAGTTCATCTCCCATAGTTCTTTGTCCTTCCAAGATTCGGGTCCGTATTGTACGGGGGACTTCGTATATATCATGCTCATGTGTTTTTTCTCAACCCAATCGCAGTCGAGTCATCGACCGCTAGGGAACTTGGTATACGTTTGTCAGATGTGGCTATCGTCCACTTCGTGGTCGCATGATAGTTGGAGAAAATGTTCAGGAATGACAGATAGCATATAAACATCATAGGACATGCCGGGCCTCAGAAATATTGAGGCTCGATATGCGTCTGAGTCTATGGGTTGACGAGTTCGTAAGAACGTTTGGCGTGCGGCTCTCTGACCGAAACTGAGACAGCCCTCTCTTATTTGCATAAAAGATCAAATAGACGAGCCGATGGACATGTTTGCTCTTTGTAATTCACTCTATTTGCAACCTAGCCTGAATTGGTTATAAAACTCGGTTTAGTTGTGGACTTTTCATTGTCCGTATCTAGTCGATTTTGTAAAAGCTCAAGCTATCAGAGCGGCATAGCTACGAAGCGATTATCGACCATGCTTAAAGTTCCCAGTTGCGGTCGATCTTCCATCGCGAGAAAAGTCATCAGGGTTCCTCACTTAAATCACTCCTATTATCATATGAACGAGCGGTCATGTCTTCATGAAGAAGTCAACTTAATGTTTAGTCTTTGCATTTCCTGACCTTTACTGATTAAAGAGAGTTCTTTCCGATACTAAAGCCCTAGTTAGGCACAATTGACAGTCTAATTATCTAGCAATCAGGAATCGGTAGCTTATTTTAATTGTGCAAATCAGAAGATGAACGATTGGAAAAGTAGTAAGAATAGGAGGTATGGCATGTCCAAATTCTGAAATTGTTGTATGAATTTAGCGAGCGGTCGGAGGAATTGGCCATGTATACTGTGTGAAGTATCTCTTCTCGAGAAGAATAATGCTTCAGCAAGCATGATTATGTAGGACCGGGAGTCCATACCTTTGATAATTGAATCTTAGACTAAGAGTTATTCGATAAGTTCGGTCTGGCATTCAGACCTTTGAGTTTCATTGAAAAGAATTGGTGCTACTTCAGGACAGCGTGCTGTTAACCTCAGAAACCTCATCATGTGTCTTGGTTGCATTCGCATATTTTTCAGAGCTGTGGTTCAACACATAGCTGAAAAAATCCATCCAATATATCGGCAAGGATTTTCTGCATCTTGATACCTGCGATAGGCCCAATGGCCGGCTCAAGAAGAGACCGGTGATGACCTGGGAGATGCAGGGCTTCGACCAGTAGTGGGTAGTCGATAAATGATTGATGCGTAGCTCCAGCAATGGTTAACTCAACCTTTAAGTCACGGAGAACCTCCCAGAATTGAGTCCAAGTTGGACCTTTGCATTCACCGCTGGTTTTTCCAAAAAGTAGAAACGGTTTTGACAGTCCAGTTCTGAGCACAGGATCGGAGAGTCGACCATCAAGATTTGCTCCTGCATGAATGCGATCATCGCGTAACATCATCTGGGCTGCAGCAGCTCCTCCAAGCGAATGTCCCCAGACCACAATTCCACTAAAATCAATTGTTCCTGGCAACCCGTCTATCAGGCGAGATCGTGATGGAGCATCTTGGAATTGTGATACCACAAAAGAAAGGTCCTCAGACCTAACCTATTGATTGAGTCAATATTAATACCCGAATGCGCTAATTTCGGAGAGCTAGCCTACCTGACTGGCCATTTCACGCGCCGGAATATCCACGGGGGAGTCTCTCCCATGAATCACTCTGCCGTCTGGAAACTCAACAATATTGGCATCATACGGGTGATCGACAGTCACAACCACATAGCCGCGGCTGGCGAGAGCGCGTGATAACGCTGTATAGCAAAGCCGAGAGACTCCAGACCCAGGTGAGAAGACGGCAAGTGGATATCTTAGCTCTTTTGTATATTCTTCCAAATATGTATCCGGAGAGCGTGCCGCATCAGTAGCTTGATGTTTAATCTTCGGGGGTCGTATTTCCGTTAGGCAAAGACAACTTATTTACGTTAATTATGATCGCTTTTGGGTTGATAGCATTTACCAAATGTTAGCGCAGATTGGAAGATCCTTGAGAGCATCTGAAAACATGTTTTTATGCGTTGTGTTGAGCTGTGGAGTAACAAATTATAGATAAAAGCCTCGCCATGAAAGCTTCCCCCCAAGATTAGGTCTTATTAAACCGAGGAGTTTATCAAACAGTAAGAAATAAAAATAAAAAAGAAGCAAACGAAAAACGAAAACGAATATATCGAAAACAAAATCGAAGACGCGTTTCCAATTCGCTTCTCGCCATCAAAGACACCTCCAACCCACCGTGTCGTTATGAACTTTAAAGCATAGTTCCCTTATTCTGCTTCTGGTCCACACTCAAGTTCTTCCAGACCATAATGCACGGGAAGCCGAGGACCAGCACTGCCGTCGTAGCAATACAGCTGTACTTCTGACTATCACCCCAAGCATCGTTGATAGCGGTTCGTATCTGCTCTCCCATTGGATATTTCATTTGTGCAAGATAGCCCCCAACGTAGATATCTGCCCAGTCAGCTTGAGCCGAAACCGGAAGACCCTCGATCAGCTTGCTCGGGAAGACATTGGTATAAATGGCCGAAGAAATTGCGTTACCAGCCGCAGCACCCAAACTCGCAAAGAGTCCCAGAATAGACAGCATCATGGGAACACCGTCGTGGTCGGCAGCAGCCATGACAGCCATATCCTGGCCAATAACTATCGTACCCCCTGCAAAAGCGATAAAGATCTGACACATAACGACATAGCCGATGTTGTCGTGCTCGCCACGGAAATGAATCATTAGGCCCGAACCAAGAATCATGAGGGGGAGGCCGAAGTAGAGACATGCATTTTTGAAGTGCTTGGCTTGGCGGATGTAGATTCCGAATAGAGGTGCCCAGAAGCAGGATCCGATGTTATAGATTTGGTTCATATATCCACCGTGTGAGACGCTGAGGTCGTATACCACCATGCAGAAGTTGAGGAAGTAGAGATCCCAAATAGCATAGCCCATATTCGAGATTGCCGAAAGAATGCAAGCTCCAAGGACTGTACGCTGTTTAAGGAGGTCATAACGGATGAATTGCTTGCGTGCGAAGAACTTTTCCCATGCAATGAACATGAAGAATAGACAGAAGCCAACAACAAGCATTGCGATAAAGGTGGCCGATTTATATTGGGCTCGGCCGTAGGTGGTCAAACTGAAGGGTAGAAGAAGGAGGATGAATGCTGCCATTAATATGAGTCCACCGATGACTATCATTTCATTCAGGTTTAGTACCACGAGAGTTGGTTCGAAAAGGGCCACCTTCACTCACCGTCGAACTCATGAATGTAATGCAAAGCTGATTGGATCCAAGTGCGGCCACTATTTTGAGGCACGTAAATACCCATTTTCTTCGCTTTGATTTCATAGAATTTGAAAGCGACACCGAGAGGTAAGAGAACGCAGGGGAAAATGATTGCGAATGCACCATACGCCCAGCGCCATGTTGACATGGACAAGAAAGACTGCGCGGCCAAGGGGCCCGTGAACGCAGTGCATATGAAAGGTGTATTCGAGAATCCAAAGGCAAAGGCACGATTGCGAAGACCAGACGTATCAGCAAGGAAGACATCCAGGATCAAGTAGATCGCATTGTAGCCCACCCAATACAACACATACCCGGCCGCGAAGCCACTTGGTCCAGTGCAGGATGCCAGCACAATGATACCCAAGATAAACATACCCTCCGCTCGACCCCAGACGTTCAAGATTTTGGCAATAGGAAGTTTCATCACACCCCCGACCACGGTAGCCAGGATTGCCGCAGTTGAAATTTCAGGCGCGGTCTGGAATTTCGCATATGCGTTGACGAGTACGTGGAGTCCTATCTGGGAGTGAAATGCTAACATGAAGAAACATACCCAAATCCTATGTTACCCACAACATGATTAGCGATGCGCACTAGAGCCAAAGGCAAAAAGAATAAGGGATGTAGACATACCAGGCGTACATTGCCCACAGGGCATTTCTATTCCAGACGAGCGCTGCAGCCTCAGCTTTGTTGACTCCAATCGCCCCATCCTCAGGAGTGTCGAGAGTTCCTTCCTGGACCCCTTTGTCATTTGTGCCAGGATAACCGTATTTCTCGGGGTCGGTGGTAGCAGTTGTGTTCACATGGTCCGGTGATGGATCCAAGGAATTTCGCCGATGATCAAGTGAAGCACGATTAGCCATGGGGGGCTCGGTGTTAAACTTGACAAGCTACCGCAAAATGCGAAAGAGGCGATCTTTGCTCAATCTTGCGATCGAGTCCTCTGGGGGAGGGTCCTAAGACACGCGTTAAGTAAGCGAAAGACCTAAACATCGCGGACACATGGCTGGAACGCCTTGTTAGATAGTTTTCACCGGACGAACTCGGCGCTGTGGCAATATTGGGCTTAAAAGACACTAAAATCCTTCATTTTTCCTATACTGGCGTAGTTGCCCTGTTGGAGTAGAGAGTCGTACGACCTGGCGTGAAGTTTGCAAAGATACACGTTGTATGTATCAGGATGTTACAGAGTGGGCACCTGGTTTTGCTTAGGTTCGCCAATCAGAACCTTCGGCCCCCGCGCGCTAATCTAATCTGATCGTATCTAGAGTGAGACCCTGTTCCATCACCCTAAAAGGGCAAGACAACAACGAGGCTGGGAACTCCGACTCTCCGACCAAACTATGCCAAATATTTGCCATGGTCTTCTTGGCATGCTTGATGGTAGCATTTTAGAGCTTCCAATATAGATAACTTTGCTAAAATCACGCAAATCCACCCAATAACTTCCCACCTGCCAAAGCGCGAACCGAAACCCACAAGCCTATCTAGCTTTAGCTATGGAGTTAGGTAGCATCCCAGATGAGTAGATGTCCAAGCTCCTGTCACATTTTGATGAGAAATTTCCGGCCCCATCCCGTTTGTTCTTCGGAGTCCCAAGTCTACCACCATCTCGCTTCTTGGGTCGCCTCTTGGGTCGCCTCTTGGCTACATCAAACATGAATCAAGCCTTGTTTATCAATCTGATAATCTCTGATCATCATAAATAACCGCCGGTACCGGCTTTTTCGAATCATGACGCGGCGCCTTCCGTGTCTTGCCTGACACACAATATGTGACCGCCAGGCTCGATTCCCCTTGCCTAAAGAGTTCGCTATTGAACGGCCCAAACCTCGGAGACAATCGCATAGACAGCTGATGAGTTCTTGACCACCAAGCAAGGTAGGGCCTGTGCTGACGTCGGATTGTATGAGATCTTCAAAGATCCAAACTCGGCCCAGTCACCTTCCTGGTGGCCGGAACACTCTTCGCTCCCTTCGTCGCCTAAGACTCCTCTTGCAGACCTCAAGGTGGTTGATCTGACGAGAGTCATCGCAGGTCCCACCATCACTCGGTCCATCGCCGAGTTGGGAGCTAGTGTTATGCGAGTGGTGTCGCCTCATGTGACTGATTTGTCCCCCGTTCGCCAGGACCTGAACTGGGGAAAGTGGAACACCCATCTTCATTTGAAAGACGAGGCAGGCGCTGAGAAGCTACGTGAGCTGATCCGGGAGGCGGATGTAGTGGTGGACGGATATCGCCCCGGAGTGATGGATCGACTTGGCTTCGGGCGTCAAGCCGTCTTTGATCTCGTCAAGGATCGCCCCCGTGGCATCATTCACCTGCGGGAGAACTGCTACGGTTGGTATGGGCCATGGGCACACCGAAGTGGCTGGCAGCAGATTAGTGATGCGGTATGGGGATCCTTTTTTTTTTTTTTTTTTTTTTTTTTTTCGAATTTGCGGCTTTTGTCCTTAAGAATCGTCATGGAACTGAATATATTTCCGTAGAATTTGATCATTATGACCGAGATTTCTAGTTCGGAGCCTTGCCAAGTGAACAGAGGACGGAAACCCCTTGAGCTGCCTCGAGGCATCCGGCTCTAAAGCACTCAGGCATCAAAATATCTCCACCCGCGATGGAAATTCAGCATAACAGGCACTGTGAATATGACACCTTCAATTTCCTATAGACATTGAGATAAAATTTGAGTAAACTCAAGGCTTAGGAACACAGAACCGTATGATTTTTCGTTACCACGTGTCAGCTACCGCTTTCCGTAATAATACAATTCGTGAGATCTCCCATCTGCGTGCCTGAGGCATGTGCCCAACAACCCCTCCCGGCCCCACCTTCTCCTAACCAGCTTTGCCCTTCATTCTGATAACCAACCCTCCTCCCCATTTGCTTCGGTCGTCCTGCCTAATTGAAGATTACTGGTTTTATATTAAGCTTATGATCATCACTAAGTCCATTATGGAAGCCAGTGCCCCTCTATCCCATGACGATTACACGATCGCGTGGATATGCGCCATGCCTATGGAGATGTCAGTTGCTAGCCTGATGCTGGACGCAGTACATCTGTCTCTACCTAAACCGCCGATGGATGGAAATAAGTATATCCTAGGAAATATCGGAGATCACAATCTAGTTATTACCTGTTCACCAAGGGGCGCATACTACGGCCAATCACCTAAATTACTAGCAATGGGGTTGTTGTCGAGTTTCCGCTCTATCCAGCTCAGTCTGATGGTTGGTGGAGGTGGAGGTGTACCAAGCAGCAATGCAGATATTCGACTAGGCGATATTGTGGTGAGCAACTTAGAAGACAAATCCGGGGGCGTGATCCAAATTTCCGACAAAGCGTTCAGCGCTGGTCAATTCCAGCAAGAAGGGATGTTTAAGCGGCGACCTAACCTTGTGCTGGTAGAGGTCCTGAGTAAATTGAGAAGAAATCATCGATTGGGAGTGAGCCGGATGGTTGAATTCATTTCTAGTGCCCAAGATAAATTACCCCTCGATCGAGCTGCAGAACTTGCACGATCAAAACAACAGGACTACTTATTCCAAGCAGACTATGATCATATCGAGCCCTCTTCTTTGTGCGTGAATTGCGATCTATCCAGACTATGTCAACGTCTCCCGCGAGCCAACCGCGAACCAGCCATTCACTATGGACTGATTGGGACTGGCGGATAGACCAGTAGGATATAGTAGGCGGCGAGATCAACTAGCTCGGGACCTAGGGGTATGCTGTTTAGATTGTTCAAATATGTCAGCGATGGGATATTTGAATCATATTCCACGCCTGGTCATTCGGGGAATCTCTAACTACTCGAAATTTCGAATGGCGCGATCATGCGGCACTTGTGGCGGTGGCCTACGCAAAGGAACTTCTATTAGTGCTTTCAACCGCTGACGTTAACAGCACGCCAAGGGCACGAGAAACTCGATCAGACTCTGGTGAGCGAAAATATCTCTACATCGACGATAAACAATCTATCTACACACCTAGGACTAGTATTTCCCCTTTGAAGCCGCAAAGCTCCCTTTCTGCATTGGTAGATGATTTGTTCAACAATGTCCGGCTGGGTCAACACGCCCATCAACCTCCGGAAACAATTCAAAGCACTTTTTCTCGACTTTTGAAGGCATTCGCACTGAGGCTTGGCGCATTCTGCCCGACCCAGACGCACCGGGATATCATGGTATTTATCTACCAACGTAGTGAGTTAGTGCTTCTCCAGCTTTCAGTTTCCATCCCTATACGATTGCTAATAAACTTTTACTACAGTGAGATTGCACGTAGTTTGACAATGAAATACCTGCAAGTCTATCACAAAGACCCCCAACCTGACGACACTAAAATAAAGTCATGGGATCACATGGAGCCCTGGAACTGGAGCCTAGACGATATCGTTGGTGTTGTTAAGAATCCAGAAAAAAGCACAGTTACCTCAACTGTCCGCGAGAACACATCTGCGGCAGATGATGACAGAACCCCACCTGAACTCGCGGCAGGGAAGTTGATTTCTGGTAGCCTAGTGTACCAATGGCTTCTTGGAAACATTCGAAGAAAAATCTACTTGCACCTGGCTGTGTCGAACCTACAGGAAGCTATTCACGAGAGATTTTTGATTCTCTGTCGTCGATTGATGTAGTCAGTAGACATAAGAAGCCAATAGTTTATCAGGTAGAGTTCATTCTCAACTGGGATCCATTGGCTTTCATCAGGGAACAGGGCTTTGACAGGAGTGAAGATCGCTTGATTGGAAAGATAATTACAATTACAGGGTCCAGCCAGGATGCTCAAGCAATGACTTCGTTGGAATATTTTCATCAGACGTGGCATTCATCTAGAGCCAACATCCTACAGCTCGTCGAGGCGGTCGCGAATGAGCCCGCCTACGAACACAGATGTACGCCGCTTTTTCCCCTAGTTACATTGTGGGCACTAATAATGGTGTCTAGGTACCCTTAAAGACAACACAGAACTTCTGGCATGGGTAAAGGGGGGCAACCTTGTCGTGGAAGTCACGAGGATAGATGATGCAGTTGTAGAAATTGGCGAGCAACTTGCATGGCTAGGCTCTGCACTCCGTTCCTCCCCCCACGATACCAAAATCGCGTACTGCACACCATTTGTTAGCAGCACTCACATTGAAAATACTCCAACTCAAACGGCGGAAGCACCAAACTCTCCACGGATTTCGTGCAGTATCGATTTCAAGTTTGACGATGGGGGGCAGACGAGACCTCTGTCATCCACGGGACAGTGCTGGCACCACTTGTTCCGAAATCCGACCGTGGTGACGGGTTTTTCAATACCATACCGTTGCAGGCAGGGCACTGGCCTTGAAATCCCACTCAACATCCTGGCAGGTCTGATTCGAGCGAAACATGTGAACTTCTTTGGTGACAAACTGTTTATCAAGGAATTTTCCACCTTGCTGGTCCCCACTGCATACCTCAGAGACCAAGATCAGATTATATGGCACCTGCTTTATAACGTTGATGGGAATCGCATTTTGTACCTGGAGGGAATTGAAGCTCATGTAGGTCATATTACACTTGCCGACTTAGAGACGAGCGGACACTTTCTCGGTTGGTTCTCAGACGCAAGGTGCTATGCCGGTATGTTGTAGATGACTTCCCAATCTCATTAATAGTCCCCGCGCTCTAACTGGCCAACAGGCGCACCTGATGCCAATTATCTGATTAACCGGTCCTGGTTCCGGCGACCATCCCCTCGCGGAAGGTTGAACAACACACTTATCTCAGCATGCAGAGAGATTACTGGTGGCGACACATTTACCTACGGCAACAAGGATCAGCCTTACCGAGTAATTCGGGACGAGTACATCGAAAAGCTGTCGTGGGTCTCCAAGCAGTTCGTGGTAATGTGGGATGCGGGAGAGAAACGAGGATGGTTGGTGAATGGAGCTTGCGCTCTATAACATCTCCTTGCATCGCTCAACTTCAACAAAACTGATTCGCTTGGCTTTGCATTCCAGTTGAATTTGACAGACATCAAAGGCCCGAGGAGGGCATTCACTCTTAGCTCTGCCATGGAAGTCCTTTTGAACCCCGATAACCTATCCCTAGAGCTTTATGAAACAAGGAAAGACGAAACAGCTGAAGCAACGATACCACCAGTTCGGATTCGAGATAGGATCAACCGTTTGTATAGCATGCTCGAGAAGATCATGGACCACCAAGCAGGAATAATGGGGACAGACGGCAAAACACCACCTGATATGCCTCGGGGCAATCTGGAAGGATGGGACTTCGAGGATCTGGCGACCCATGAAGACCCTTTGTATCCTCGGGTTTGCTAACTAGGAAATAGAGGGAGATCTTAGGTTGACCTCACCAGAGCTATTCGTGCGGCGACACTATTTAGGAAGGGATTTGGTGAGATTCTTCGGCCAATTCTTACCAACGAATCATGCTCTTATTAGAGCAGGCTGCCAGAAGGAAACTTTTACCTTAGTGTCGGTAATAGTGACCTTGCCAACATCATTGATCAGTTTGGAAATCCAACCGTAACCCGATTAGACTAACCAGCCATTTAGTTTGGTGCAATTAAGCAGACAATGGCCCTCGAGCTTGCAAATGCATCGGTCACCCGCAAAAGACAGAACATTCTGAACTGGCCCAAGTTATCTTGCCTGCAGGTTCCAAAAAAAGAATACCGAAACCCAAGAGCTTTAGATTGAATAATTAGGGCAATGGTGCGGTCATATTCAGTTATAATAGGGAGTTACGGTGGTCTTGGAACAACACCGGTTTACCTGAACAAAAGGAAGTCTCTTAATCTTCAGAAAATTCGTAATCCGATTCCGATGATGAGATTACCGATTCAGTAATTGGAACAAGCTTGGCCCCCTCTGCTACTGTTGACGCATCCGGCAGATCCCCTACATTCAAATCACGACCGGGTAGTATTACCCATGAGGACTACGAGGTAGGGATTGTATGCGCACTGTGGAAAGAACTTCTTGCCGTACGTGCTCTACTTGATTCGTCTCATCCCGACCTGACAAAAGATGTAAATGATCCCAATTGCCATTTTCTTGGTCGGATGAGAAGATTCAATATGATTGCTGCAGGCCTTCCACACGATGATTATGGCACGAACTCCGCCACTAATGTCGCTTCTCATCTCATTCGATCTTTCCCACGAGCCATTTTCTGTCTGGTAGTTGGTATTGGAGGTGGATTCCCTTCAGCAGGCAAGGACATACGCCTCGGTGACATAGTCGTCGGCACCGGTGTCATACAGTTCGATATGGGAAAACGGATCCAGGAAAGCGAATTCAGAATGACGGCTGACAAACAGCAGCCGCCTTCCTTTTTAGGGGCAATAATTACGAAAATCCAGTCCGATATCTAGGTATCCTTCAGCTCAGCATCAAATCCACTTCTCGGAGATATCAATTTGATAGCTTCTATGAGACCGGAATATCGATGTCCAGGAGTAGATGAGGACGTCTTATTCGATTTTAGTTATCTTCACGTTAACGACGAGCCAACTTGTAACAACTGCATCGGCCGTCGACGTCCGAGAATCAGACTGCATAACGGTCCACACGTCTTTTATGGATTGATCGCATCTAGGAATCAAGTCGTTTGAGACGCATGGCACCGAGACCGTCTTGGCAAGGATAGCGTAATGTGTTTCGATATGGAGGCAGCAGGAATCATGAGAACTTTCGCCAACTGCCTGGTTATCCGTGGAATTTGCGATTATGCCGAATCGCATAAGAACAAACAGTGGCAGGAATACGCCTCTGCCACGGCTGCAGCTTATGCCAAATTCTTCCTATCTCAGATACCCGAGAGCGCGCATGATACCTCAGTACGAGTACCGTTTCAGCTGGAAGCGTTAATGAAGCCAATCTATTTACAAAAGGGGAAGCGAGTTGCACTGCCTGTCGACCATAATCATTCTGTGGTGTTGGAAGGATACCGAAAACATTATCTATTTAACTTAGCCTTTTTGGTGAATGTTGTTCACTTCTTGCTTTCTGATTGGTTATAGTAGCTTACTGGTCTGAGTCATTTTGCTATTCTATTCTGTTGCCTTTTTCTTGTCATTATTTATTTATTTATTTTTTTGGCCATAATGAATGACGACATGACTTTTGTCACAGGCGACTTCTAACGCCCACTGTTTTTTTTTTTTTTTTTTTTTTTTTTTTTGTAGTAATAGTAGTAGTAGTAGTAGTAGTAAGTACCATTCCAGCTCTATGAATGTTGTGCCTGCAGCGGAACTCGAACAATTTTGCTTCCCTATCTCGGCCCATCTAGCTCAAAGGCCAAATGTGCCATTTTCTGATGTGTGGACGATTCCACCCCCCGCATGGAATTTCCTATCCGCGTAGGATTGATGATATTGTTCACATTTCATCCTTCCCCAGGCCTTTGTTTCTACTTACGCTCTTCTAATTGACTGTAGCAATCACTAACTCTTGTTTCTAGGGGTCATAGCCCTCAAATACGTTTGCTCGGTATGCTTAAACCCGACAATTAGTTTGTTCTGTGCTTGGACGTTCGATTGAAACCCGGACAGGTCTTCATAGCAATGCATTCCCCGCAGACTAACTGCTGCCAAGACTCGGTCAGATGGAGAGGGCGCTGCGCCACACAATCGGCAGTTGGTCGTGTTGATTGTAGAATGTAAGCCTCCTGAACCTGTCCGATTATTGCTGTCCGCACTGTACGTCAATTGAACTTGAAGCTTTGAGTATATTGCCTGAGCTTTTTATAATACGATAGACGGAATCTAACATGCATTTCGCCCGCCCTAAGTAATAAATCTTATTTTACGAGTTTTATCACACATTTATGCACGGCTGGTGGTCTCGGTATGAAACCCGTCATGTTTGAAGCCCGCAAGCGAGCTTGCAGAAACAGACTGGGCATGCAGCTTATGGCTTGTCATGTCCCTGGAATAAAACGCCCCGACCCCACATTAGACCCTGTCGGCCACCCGGAGTTAGTTGAAGATGTCAACATTGAAAGCGGAGTCCTGAATTGGCGGGCAAAGCCGCTTCGGGCAGCTCCACCGGAGAATGAAATGCATGGCAAAGGAACATGGCTTGACATGGAGTTTGTATTGGTGTATTAATTGACCGGATCATGAAGATCAGCGGAACTCTTTTCCCCGATTTCACGACATTCCCTGTAATTGAAACATGCCGAGAGACTAGTAGTCTTGTCCCCTTCAGGTCCGATACTTACATTAATAGCTCAGCTACCCGACCTGAAGAATAGTTGTAGGCCAGATCATAACTCAATTCTCAATTATCAAGAAAAGCGAAGACTCCACAGCTATGACTCGGTTCCTTCAACTCACAGCGTTGGTCGCACTTGCTTCCACTGCCTGGGCTCAATGTGGCTCGGGTACGCCCGAAGCGACGGTGGATGGGGAGGACGGCTCCTTCACTGCCACTAAAGGCTCGGAAGAAGTGTACTCGGGCTCTAGCTACATCGAGGCGATCCAAGCTGCGGTCGACTCGCTTGCTGAAGGCGAGCGTGTCTCCGTCATTGCATCAGGCTCTCTCGGCACCGGCACCGTCAGTCTTGGCAGTGGTATCATCTTCGAAGGCTGCGGTACTATTGATACCGCATTCAATGAAAAAGGACGCGGTGCGATCGAGTCTACCGGTACGACAGGCGTTCAGATTCCGTACCTCACTATGACCGGCGACCCATACTTCGGCCTGCTCTTCTATGGCGTCACGGACCTTTCCTTGGGTGAAATTACGATGAATCTCAGCGGTGGCTTGGGTATTCGCTTCCACCGTGACGAGGACGCCAACTCCAACGTGAGCATGGATACGATCAATGTGACTGGAGCTGGCAGCCACGCCGTGGAGATCTGGAACATCGACGGCCTTACAATCGGCTCGGTCATCGCCAAGGACGTCGGCGAGTGTGGTCTCCTCATCCAGAATTCTGTCAACGTCGAAGTTGGCACCGTTGACGGTGATAATGTTGCGGAAGGAGTTGGATACGCGACCCTGCGTTTCGCCAACACCAATGGCAAACTGGCAGATGGTAGTTATGATACTAATGTTCACATTGAAAATGTTAAATCTCGTGGCGGCGGTCGCGGAATCTTCTGTGTATCGGAATCTGGTGGCGCTGTCATTGACAACATCGACCTCGCAGACAACGGCAACAATGCCATTCTCATCGAGAACTGTTACAACGTCAAGATTAACGGTGGAACCGTCCAGGGAGGTGGGGAGGTTCGCCTCAGCGCTCGTGATGAGTTCGAAAACACTCGTGACATTTCGGTCACTGCGGAGGTTAATGACAACACTGTTACGGAGAACCCTTGCGGCGACAACATCACGTGGGAAATTACTGGAAGTGCTGAGCTCAATGTATGCTAAGCGTCAGGTCAATATGGGCTTCAACATTCTTACGTCTTATTCAATTATGGATGACCGAGACCTAGCTAGTTAATTGTGAATACTTGTCATACTGCATGTGTTGCTCCGCTATATCGACACCTATATACTGCATGTTAGCTCTAAGATTATTATCGCACATTGATACCATATGTATCGTAATCAAAGCATTCTAAGCTGGGTATACTTTCTGCCCAGCCATCATCAACGTCTCCCAGCTGCCACTCGTCTCCAATCTCGATCAATCCTGTCCTCCCAGCCAACACTTCCCTTTTTCTCGATTCATATTCGACAGTCACATCTGGATGCGGTACCCAAACAACCCTCATTCCTGCTCTTCTTCCCGCCTCAACTCCAATTACACTATCTTCAAATACCAAACACTCGCTCGGCAAGATAGGCTTTGCGCCCGACAGTGATACGGCCTCATTCAACACCTTCAGTGCCAAGAGATACATATCCGGTGCGGGCTTGCTTCGACCCTCACCGATTCGTGGATCGTCACCCAGGATTCTTCTACTGGATTCAAAGAAATCAAGCAGCCGTCTCGTCTCCGGTTTCGACACTTTTAATTCAAAGGTAGACGTCTTCGTCGTAGACGCCAATGCTAGCTCGATTTTCTCCCCGGAGACAGCACTCTGGGCGCGGCGGAGGTTTGACAGAAGTTTCTCACTACCAGGTAGGGGCGTACAGCTCGGAAAATGTAATCGCATTTGCTCTTTTGATTCGCGAGCAAAATCCTCACGGGAGATAGGCAAATTGGCCCAGTTGTGGAAGACATCCCCGTTTGTTGAATCGGGGATTCCCATGAGCTTCGCTCGGATTGACGGGATAAACACAGGTCGCTCATACTTCTGGAGCAATTCGTTGATTGACTCGGTTATTATGTCTTCTGAATTGATGAGAAGTCCATCCATGTCGAAGATGCATGCCCGGATTGGCGGGAAACTGGTGGTGATTTTGTTAGTTGAGACACTTGAAAGTCAGATATGGAATCTTGGCTGGGGTCAACTTGCTCTATACCCTGGGGAGGCATGAGTATGAGTTAGTCTATAACAGATATCTATAACAAACAAGCAGAAACGATATTTGAGATGATGTGTTGGTTGAAAATCGTTCCTGTTATCTCCGACCGGCACATTGATCGGATCTGCGGGGTTCGTCCCGTCCCTGGATCCGGTCTAGCGCGGCCGCCTTCCACTTGCCGCTCCCGCCCGAGTATCCGGAGCATGAGGAAGTAAATAACTCAAAACACATTAGATTCAAGGGAAAATTTCATGTCCTTGAGTTGAAGGTCCTCGTGAAGAGGCGTAGTGTCGATCCTTGTTATTGTCAATGGACTTCCACCTTATATGAAACTGTCGGTTGACTTGGTCATTGCCCTAAGCAGATATCCTATCGATTCAACGGAATGTAGGTATATGCTCGGTGGGTAAAAGTGAAGTGTTATTCTAAACTACTCGCTTCGTTGAAGATATATCAGCTGCCTATACCAAGGAATCACATGACTTAGGCATATCAGCTGAATAATGGTTCCAACAGAAACAAATAATAATGTTGTGGACTGACATCAGGGATCACATATTTACTTCGTCCATCTACATGATACTAAGTAAGTTATCGACTCATGAGCACCAGAACAGAAGAGTGAATCAGCGAGCCCAAAATGCAACAATATCGTCAAAATCTCCCATCGTCAGACTTTTTGCATCTTTTTCTTCCTTGGTAATCTCCTTCCTCAGACGAGTGGCAACTCGAAGACTAATGGAAGCTTTTTGCGTCTTGCCGGTAGCGTCGAAGACTTTGGCTTTCAGGAATGTAGAGCGAGCAATCTCATTCTTATGGGCACTGGGATCGACAGACCAGACGTCCAATGCGCCGTTAATCATCGAGCTGATCGTAAGTCAGTATACGATGTTGACAAAATAAAAACGAGGGCGAAAAAGGAAAAAGAGAAAACAAAAATCAAACTTACATTGCCTCTTCGCTCCGACCCAAGCGCACCAGATGCTGTGCGATTTTATGAGCAACAGTTGCAGTGTAAAAGTCACGGTCGCCCACTGTCGCACGCATGTGGTTCTGCGCTCTTTGATGGTACAAGAAACTCTCATCCCATTGGTCTTGCGCCGCACGAAGGTTTCCAAGCACGTAAAGGATGAGCCCAGTCCGGACAGAGTCCCGGTCATTCTTGCCCAGTGCCTTTTCTCTCCCTGCCAGGCTTTCCAGAAGCAGCGTATTACATTCATCGAGCTTCCCCTGCGCAAGAAGCGCCCAGCTCAGATTGGCTTCACCCGACCGTGGGACATAGTTTCCGAGAGCTTTGCGGATCATCAGAGCTTCTTTTAGATCGGCCTCACCTTCCTCGTAACGCTTGTCTTGGATGCGTGAGATACCGCGCTCGGCGTAAGCGAGATAGAGTCTTTCGTCTGAGGTTCCTAGAGACTTGCATATGTTGGAGACTAGGTCCAAGGATCGCTCTTTATAAACTCGACTATTTTCAAAGTCACTCGCATCCATGGAAATAGCTCCCAGACAAAAGTAGATATCTGCAAGTACAGAGTCCCGATCTGGATGTGATGAAGACTCGCAAATGCTCTGAGCAGTTTCGAAGAAACCATCGTAGTGCTTTGTTCGTCCGCGCTCTTTTTGATACCTGGTGAAGAACATGAGATTATAGTTGACAAAGCTTGTAGGACAGTATACATACCATGCTGCCTCATTCAGAAGCTTTGCAAAGAGTAATTTAGTCGTCTCTGATGGGTGTGAGATTGTTGACCACAGCTGATGTATTCGCAGAACATGAGGATAAATTGCGGCGCAGACAGGCCACCTACCAACGGACAGCCTGCCGTCGGTTGACTTTGGTTGGGGTAATTCAGGGTCTTTGGATGGCTTGGGCATTGCTGATGGCCACCCCGCCCAGAGGATTCGTACGACTCGGTCAAACATATCCTGTTTCTTTGCAACGTCCATTGTTGCCAAGATGACATCTTGGACAATGCGATGAACCGATACCTGTTGCTTTTGCTTATCTCTCTGAACTAGAGAAGACTGTAATAGGTCTGTTCGTGCTTCAATGTAACTGCTCTTCCTGAAATGACCGCCGTCCGAAAGCAATTCAACTGAAGCTTCCACCAGCAAATCCTCCCCGATGACGTCCGGGTCTAGGAACGAAATCAACTCCAAAAGTTGGTGACCCTGTGGCTTCAGCTTTTCGAACGCCCAGACAGTGGAAAGGGAGTGACGGTATGTTGTTAGATTTGTATCAAACTTCGTCTCGTAAAGACTAGCATGTTCTTCGTGGTCTGTATATAACTCGAAGAACTCTGATAGGGTGAGGTCCTGTCGACGGATTATCCCTGCCATCTGTGAAATCGCTAGAGGAATCCCACCGAGTGCGCCGGAGATGTGCTTCGCTGTATCGTCTTCGGCCCCATCGAGAAACGATGTTAGCTGGTTGAAGAGGCTTAGACTGTCTTGTTGTGAAAGTGGTCCGAGGTCCAGGCCAGATGGCCTCCTTGTAAACATGCTCTTGGCCAATGGGTCCCGGCTAGTCACCAATATCGATCCACTTCCCTGAGGCCAATAGTCCGCTAGTATCATTGGGTCATCTGCGTTGTCGAATATAATTAGCCAGGATGCTTCTGATCTGGCTTGGTCGGGTTGAGCGGATTCGTTGGATTCGGCGAAATTCTTCCGTGGATCTGAGAGCCATCCTTTTACAACCTCCCTACTGACAACTTGACTCTTGCACTCGGAGGCATCCTCTAGCCCCAGTGCTAGGGATATTTGCTGATAATGGTAGTCAAGCTTGGCGATCTCATCGGCCACGACCCAGAACACTGCATCGAATGAATCTTTGTAGCGCTGGGAGAACTCTCGGGCTATCTCTGTCTTTCCGACTCCCCCGAACCCGCAGAGTGCAAATTGTCGTAGCGGGGTACTCGATGCTGTTATTACCGTCTTCGAAGGTAAAAGCTCTGCTGCGAGACGCTCCAAGATATCCTTACGTCCGCAGAAATCCTCGTTTGTGGAATGCATGTTTAGAAAACATGGCAAATTCAGTTTCTTTCGGGTCTCGGCGTTGGATACTGTGGGATATACGAGCTCGAAACCTGAAAGTGATGTGCCCTCAGTGGCCCTGTTTGATGGCCATTCTGACACTTCGTTCGATGGGCATTCGGTGAATTCCAACGGCTCCACTGATTAACGTTAGTGTTGTTCATTGGGGCAACGAGGATTAGACTTTACATTTCAACGGCATTTCGCTCAAAGTAGGCGAGTAGGCACTCATGGTGGCATATTGATATTCCTCTGAGACAATGAGTTTCGGTCCATAGCCATGCAAAGCCTTAATAACTTACGGTCTTCAAGTCGAAGGGTGACAACACGTTGGGCGTCATTCAGGGTCTCGTAAATGAATCTTTCAAGCTGTGGTAAGCCTTCACCACCAATACTCCTTGTAAATTGACATGTATCGTGATGATTGAGATTGAGACCAATAACCGTTTCCATTGGTGCATGAGTCGAACAAGCTTCACGATCGACCAGCTAGATCCATTGTTAGTGAGTATGATTAGCAGCCAACTGTTTAACTGACCTGCTGGGGTCGCGAGAGTAAAGAGGCTGAGCTATGCTTTGATTCCCTAAGCTCATAGACGGATAGAATGGGAGTACGAAGCGAGATTGATTCAAACCTATCGGCGAGGTTGAGCAGCATAGCACCTTCTTGTTCGACACTGGCGTGCGGAATCTTCAATGTCTTGCCCGTGGTTGCTTCCAGGACATCTCGGAACCGAGCCAATGTCGTACTTTTGTCGCCATATCGATGCGGTGTGCTCAGGAAGATTACTCCAGCTATTGCGTTCACGATTGAGCTGTATCGAGGAAATTGCTTATTGGCAACACATAAAGCTTGTTTGACTATACTGCCACCCAGGCTGTGACAGACTATCAGGATCGGCTTGTTGGCATTCTGGAGAGTGATTTAGCGGGCGACTGAATTTATGTTTATCGCTACTCCACCTACCTGGTCTGGGTCTCGTGATCGTGTGTCACTGATCTGTTGCAGAAGGTCATAGCCTAACATCAAAAGTGACTCCCATGACGGCTTCGTGCCCACAAACGGCGAAGCATATTCATATGCGAGTATCCGAAATCCAGCAAGAGGGTCAGGCAAAGTCGCCAACCATTCCTGATCAGCGAATGGCCAGTTCTCTGGCGATATAGTTCCGATGCCAGGGACGAGAACAATGCTAATTCAGACGGTAAGTGGAAAGGGAAGAAATCACCAGTGTTACTGTTCTCTTACTCGATGCCATTCTGAGATGTATCTCCTGGATTTCGCACCACCCGAAGGCAGTTGGGAGTCGTGAAGCCTGTCGCTGTGCTCATGACTGCAGCATGCGAGAATTCATGTACATGTTACAAAAAACAAAAAATTAAAGGGAAAGATGAGGTTGTTGAATTTGATGGCAGCAGCAGGGATCCCACGATGCGGGGTAGCCTCCAATCACGGATCCCCTGTAAGCGCCAACGAGTGATTGCCTACTCAGTCGCTGTCCGTAGATATTCTCCCATCTGAGTCTTTTGAACGGCCTAATATAGGTGGTGGATCGACCTCCGTTCAAAACAGCAACGAGATAAAATCTTCTCACCAGGGCGGAGACGCACTTTGGCCATCATAAGTTTTTCCAGCATCTTGTTTGTTCCCTCTTCTTTATTGGGTTTTCTCTCTTCGGCCCTTTTTTAATTGCCGTATCTCGTCCTAGATTAACTGTCTGAACCATGTGTCGAACAGATGGCCTTTGCTTTAGGAGATAGCGCCCTTATCAATATCAAGTACAAATGTACAATAAGCAGATTATACGAGATGGCTCGGATCCTTCTCACTCCTCCCAGACATCATTTCCACCTTAATAGCGCGACATCGCTTCCAAAAGCTCACCCAATAACGCCTCAAAACTTGAGTATCCCAGAGATAAAACATACAGGCAGCAAGCGTCGTCGGGACACACAACACAAAGAACCACCAATACTTCACCGCATTTTGCCCCAGCAGATCGATATTCATCCCCAAAAGACTAGAGCTAAACGTAAGAGGAATGAAGATTGTTGCAAGCAGAGTCAACTTCTTGAGTCGTTCGGACTGTTCGATCGCCTTGCGTGATTCCTCAATAGTCGCTTTGTTCATCGCCAGAGTGATGCCCCAGGTACACATTTTCGATAGTTCGGTACAACGTACATGCAGTTGCTCATAGTCCCCCAGGAGACCTTTTGGTGTGAAGGGCCTGTCAGAGTTATCAGATCCGACGATGCGGGCTGTCTCGGTCTCTGAAGTCTGCCGGCGTCGACCCCTGCCGGCACCCATCGGCACGGCACTTTTCGGAGAGTGGTTGTCTATTTTGGCATCCTCCAGTCCGTAGCTTCCTCGCTCGGCTAATCTGTGAATTGCTTGTGTGCTGTCTTTGAGCTGTTGGGCATGGCGGTTTAGAATATTATAAAAGTATTGAAGTGTTTCTAGCGCGTCCGCTGGGACTCCTTGGGTAATGGTGTTGATTTGGATGTTGATTCTGGACTCCATTAGATTGAGAAACTGGACTTCGGAGAAAGCCGCATGCGTGAATAATGGGATGCACATGGATAATGGATCCCGAGGTGCGCGACGGGCCAGGTCGACTAGCGCGATTAGTGAATCGTACTGCATTGGGAGGAGGGCGGTGCTTTGCTGCATATCTGCTTCGGCATTCGTCGCCGTGTCAAGACGATTCATGGTGGTTCGAAATGCCATCTTCGAATGATGTTGTAGCACAGGTAGTGGAGTAGCCTTGCTTTCAATATGACTTGTCCACGGACCAGGGGGAGATTGGTCTAAGGGCCTACCATGGTCCATCCAGGCAATGACTACCTTGACATTAGCATATGTTATTTCTCATACCGCGCAGGTCTGTTGTCTTACCGGACCAGCCTTTGCCTGTCTTCGTGACACAGAACGATATCCATTGTTCGATCACAGAAAAGGATGAACAGATGGTGGAGTACTCGCGCACCAGAGAGTCTCCGCAACAGACTCTCGTTGATCCAAGCTGTTGAATTTTGTAAGTTGCAAGCTCATTAGATTGATGCAACCGTTGTGACTGGAGATTCTGCCCGCCGAAATCATCACGATGAAGGATAGTATTCACACAGACTCGAAATATGTTGTTCGAAGAGCTAGCAAGCGATGGCAAACTATATGAGTGCCTATCAATGCTGGGGGAGAGGAAATCCATATGTCGACGAAAGAATTCCGGATCGATATTATATTTACTTCCGATGGTCGCCACCCACGACGGTGATAGGAAGCCTCGAAGGAAGACTATTTGGCCTAAGTCTCCTATCGGGGCAGAGGGATTGGTGTAAAAGTCTTCATGTTGCTCTTGAGTATACCCCTCGACATGCCATTTTCTCTCCCCGCTATCGTACAGCACAGCTAGGGCATGAGATTGTTCCGATTTGGAAGCAAAGAGCGTGGCGTCCTCATCCAATTTACCCGAGTTGAGAAGAGTACGCTCTTGGCGCATCCATTCTCCTAAATCGACATAGTTGTTTCCTGGGAAGACATAAGTACTCGAATATCTTCTCGAGAGCGAGATAATTGCTCGCGTGTAATTCTCGGGTGTAACTAACAATTCGAGTCATTAAATAAGTTCTGGAGCTCAGACAAATGGTTGAAGTGATGTCTTACGTGCGGACTTTCTGCGCTCCATGCCCTATTGTGCGGTCCTGCCGTAGTGGGGGCATACCTTATTAGATACCTATAACAGAATTCAACACGTTAGCATGTTGTGCAGCACCATGCACTGTAGACGATCGATAATCCGGGCCCTCTATATTATGGACTTCCAATCCTATATAAGTCGAGTTGAGATAAAGCTTCGGTGCCATAGCCGCTCTAGCCAAAGATATCCGCGTCAAGACATTCTTTTTCAGTGGTCTATGTTCTTGCCGCCTAATGGGGTGGACCCCACGCGGGGTGTGTATAGCGGGCGCCAAAAAGCCTGCGTTTGGGAGCCCTCTGGGGCCAGTCACAATCACACTCAGGGATTATGCATTAGCGCATCGATGAGGCCTATCAGCGTCAACGAAAAATTTTAGCTGTCAGTATCGAGTCAAGAAAAAGCAACAATTGTCCAATAATTTCGATTTTCATTTTTCAAAGTGTTGAAACATCTGGCAAAAACAAAACACCATCTATTCAAACGACATAATATACAATCTTCTGGAGACATGGTCATGTAGCTCAATCAATCAGAATCTTCCGACTGAAGAGTCCGACCATTGATTGCCAGCAGCTCGACATTGCTTTTTAAATTAGCCCAAAAAACACCCATCTAGACAGAGGGAATAACTTACAAAACAAGTGTCGAGTTCCCAGGGATAAAAGGAGGCGCTCCCCTTCATTTCAAACCCTGTTAGCGCATTCTAAGAATAAATAGATAGAACAATTCATGCATACCTTTCACCATATCCGTAATGCCTTCATTTCAATAAATCGTCAGCAAAATCGTCTTCCGCAACCAACAAGGGACAAGGACGACATACGGTCCAAAAGTGAGTAGAGATTTTTCACCAAGACTCATGCCGAGAATTCCGATATCCCATCCTACTCATTTGTTTTTTGTCAGACAAAATCTCTGAAAGTAACCACCCTTCGCCATCTAATGTGCCTACCTTTAATAACCTTGCCCATTCCAATCTGGAAGGTGAACGGGTATCCCCTTTTGATACTGCTGTCGAATCTGAGGCATCATGAACAACAATCAGCATGGACAACACATTGAAATTCATACACTACCCATTCATCCAACCAAATCTTAGTTATACCAGGGTACAGCTTACCGACGCCCCCTATTCCACGACCGCGTCGGATCGTACAGGTAGCCGTGATAGTGAACGGTCACCATATCGCCATTTTTGGGATAGTCCAACCCGTTACCGGGGCGAATTATATCCTTAATGAAGTCGATGATTCCCATTTTTTGTCTTGTTGATATAGGACTATGGATGTTATTGTTGTAGGGAGACACAGCGAAGATTCAACGAGATCACATGATGCACGCGGTTGGCGACGGAATGTCGGAGCGGAAAAACATGAGTGATGTCATCGGCTGTCGGTCGCGTAGAAAACAAAACAAAAGCCACATAATCATGATTGAAGTTGGTTTTGTAGACCTAGCCATGTTTTTGAGACTTAATTATAATTTCCTGACCTATGACCCAAACGCTCGGATAAAAGAATTCTCGAATGAAAATGTTATTCGTTGTTTATCTGACGCCTATTAGCCATCAGTGTGCGGGATATGCCTCGGAGCGTTCGCCCGTCGGAGGTTGGGGGTTAACTTCCGGGACCACAAGAATCCGTGGGAACCAAACGCAGACTATCGTTATATACTTTATTACCATAAATATCTTTACATTCCATGTTCTAAAAGAGTATTTTGCGTGAATAACATAGACTACTCTGCGAATTTTGTGGTTCAACCCGCTCCAAACCGCTGCGGTTACAGATTCAACCCTTGGACCGAGACCTGGAAAAGGACCGCCCGAAACCGCACTGACAGCTCTATCCTTACTCACCAACCATACACTTCATAGTAGATCTGGAAGCAGGTGCTGTAGATTTAGTTCATACTCTGAAGATTAAAATGCTAGACTAGAAACTCTCAATAAAATAAACTAATCTCGGAGGTGTGAGCGCTTATATGCAAGTATATATATCTGGTAGATATAGGAAAACGGACCGAGCAATTAGAGCAAAACTTTAGATAGCTCTGTAAAGATCGAAGTTTTATGGGAAGTCCATGCTTTAGTGTTTCTGTAAATGTGTTGCCTGGCAATTTTTGAGATTTTATTTCCTTCTTTTCTATAGATTTCAGGGGAGTGATCGCAATTACAGTCAATGAAATTAGAGTTTAGGGAACGGCTTATTGAAAATATTTACTTTTTAAATCATTCACATGATAGAAAACCGAAAGCTCTATGTACAAATCCTATCATACAGAAAGAAAAAGCCCATGTTCATATCCGTAACTCATAAAAATTTCTAATCCAGTTGTGTTTAGACACGCTGGGCACCCGCGTGAGAACCATCCATATCGGAATCAACGGTAGGGTCCATCTTGTTTCCAACGTTGCTGTCATGGGGACCAGCAGTGGCAGAAGCGCGACTGCTACCAGGGGTGTTGTAGCTGCTGCTAGCCATGCCCTCGTGGCGAGCACGGTTGTCGCGGTCGCTGTCAACGAGAGGATCCATCTTGTTGGCGGTGGCGGAGGAGTGAGGTCCCGAGCGAGCGGGATCGCCACCGTTGGCGTGAGCGTGAGGCTCGAAGATCTTGGTGGTTGTTGGGCCGGCGGCGCCGTCAATGGGGATCACGCCGGCGACACCCTCGCTGGCCTGGCCGGTGATCGAGCCGCGGATGTTACCTTCGCGGCCTAGGGCGTTGGGAAGGGAGGTGTTGATGTGGGTTTCGTTGGGGTTGATCTTCCTGCCGCCGATAGAGCCGGTGCCGGTAGCAGCGCTGCTGTTGCGGGCACTGTTCATGTCGCTGTCCACGCGGGGATCAGCCTCGTTGGCAACGTTGCTGGAGTGAGGGCCTGCGGTGGAGGAGGCAGGGCCGGTGGTTCGGTCGTGGGTGGAGGCGTGACGAGAGTTGCTCAGGTCGCTGTCGACGCGAGGGTCGGCCTCGTTGGCAACGTTGCTGGAGTGAGGACCAGCGGTAGAAGAGGCGGGACCGGTGGTGCGGCTGTTGCTAGAGATGTTGTTGCGAGTGCCGGTGCTGTCGAGGTCGCTGTCCACGCGGGGGTCGGCCTCGTTAGCGACGTTGCTGCTGTGGGGACCAGCGGTGTTGGAGGCAGGGCCGGTCGTTCGGTCGTGAGTAGAGAAGTTGCGACCGCTGCTGATGTTGCTTTCGACGCGAGGGTCGACTTCGTTGGCGACGTTGCTGGTGTGAGGACCGGCAGTCGAAGAAGCAGGGCCAGTGGTACGGTCGTAGCCAGAGGCGCTTCCAGCATGGCCAAAGCCACCGGCACTAGCATTGGGGACGGAACCCTGGTGACTGTTGTGAAGGCCGGTGGTGGAAGATCGGTCGCTGTCGACACGGGGGTCCATCTCGTTGGCGACGTTGCTTGTGTGCGGGCCAGCGGTGTGAGAACCGCCAAAGGAAGAGCCGTAAGTGTTGTTGGCGCCGTAGGAACTAGAGGTGCTGTTCAAGGGGTTCGTCGAGGAGTGACCAAAGGTAGAAGATCGGTCACTGTCGACACGAGGGTCCATCTCGTTGGCGACGTTGCTGGTGTGAGGGCCAGCGGTGTGAGAACCGCCAAAGCCGCTGGAGGGGTTGTTGAAAGAGCCAGAGTTGTGACCGAAGGTGTCGTTGGAGCTGGAAGTGTTATAGGAGTCGTTAAAAGCGGACATTTTTGTAGGACTGTGGTAAGATAGTAGTAGTATTGAAGAGGGTATAGAATTTAGAATTGTTAGAGTCGTAGATTAGGTCGTAAATGCAGTGAATTGATTGTTGATATGAAAATGGGATACAATAGCCAAGTGCATTTGCCTCCCTTAAGTAGACATCAAGGACAGCATGGAGCAAGTGACGTTATTGCAATGTCTATACTGGGATGAAGTCCTGGGTAGCCCTACGAGAAACGCAATGATGTATTCCCCTAGACGATCCTCATCTCTAAGAGGGCAAACTTGGCCTAAAGTGGGCCCGACAGTCCGGGGTGAAGCAATGAGCATGGCCGATGCGTCATGGAGGACCCACCAAAACCGGATGATCGTATATGATGTCAGTTCGTCGAAAGCGTCACTAATTTTGGATATCTTGTACTCCAATGTCTGAGGCGCTCGGACTGGAGTCCATGAAGGGAGATTCTGGAACTATGTGGTCATTTCTACCCCGCCAATGTATATGCAGTAGGCGATTGTCCCTTACGCTCGGTACTTGCCGGCTGTAATGCTATGCCGGTATTCCGATGAACTGCCAATGTGCTGATAACGAACCACCAAGCCACGCTGCAGTCTTGAAATATTATGAAGTCAATCGCCGGATTACGAGTAATTGCTTATACTCCGCATAAATTGAACTCTATAAACCCTTCGGTTTGGTACAGTTATGAAGTGCAGAGGGTTTCCGGCATTACGTAGGGACCCACAGCTAATCGATTCAATTATACGGAGTATGTCATCGAGCCTTTTTTTTGTATCACGAGTGTCCCACCCCCATAAGTGCTGAGGAAGAAGGTATGACGATATTTCCCCCACATAGACGCGTCGAGCCCCCTCTTAGTCTTACAGCGAGTCCCAGCCTTCAGCTGCCCGCATGTGCGAAAACCAGTCGTTCACATACGGCAGCTTCACATGAGGCCCATAAGGATCTAACTCCCATTGCGGACGAGGAGAGGCTAGCCCGGTCTCATCGAGACATGTGTCCATCAATTGGGCCATGGATCCGCCTCGATCGTACTGTGGTCGCTGGCCCGTTGCATCCCGCACTTTCCTCATCTTCTCTCTTAGGGCTTCGGTTGCCCCTTGAGCAACGACTTTCTCCGCGGGAGTCACCACGACACCATAATTATCTCGAGCACCATCGACAGTGACCAATCCTCGCTGAATATCCAGTGCGACTCTTTCCGCTGGTCGAGTCAAGGGATCTCCAAGTCCCCCGCCTCCCCAAGTAACCCACTCAAGGAGGTCATCCGGATCGACACGAATGTGATCGCACTTCGACGGGAGAACCTGAACTTGGGGATCATCCCACGACTGTGAATACCGATATAGAATCTTTCTTGACCGAGACCCTGGTTTTCCCCCTCGAATTCCCCACGGTTTCGTGAACCATCGATCATCGTGAAGACTAAACTCTCCCCGACAGAGAAACCGATACAGCGTTCGTTGCGCATTCCCTCCACGATAGAATCCCGCCCCTCCGCTATCCGGAACACTCTCGTTCGCCTCGATGCGAAGCGGGTAGTTCAACTCGATACTCTCGGTCGGAATGGATTTGATCGCCGGAAACAGACAGTGGCAATCTAATCCGTCACCGACGTTCCGCGCAGGTACACCACCGAAGCCGATCTGATATAGCTGATACCATTCACCGTCCGGTTTATATCCAGAATAGAAGAAATGAGGAGAGTCGCTGAACCCTGCTGCCGCGGCGTAAGTTTCGTTCTTTTGGCCGATTAGTGCTTGCATCACGTCCATGGTTCGTCCGAGGATGTGAGTCCGACAGGAGATCGCGGCTGGTCGGATGGGCTTGAGAACCGTTCCCTCCGGGATATAGATGTCGATGAGATCGTGGAATCCATCGTTAATTACCGTCCCTGGAGCCGCAGCCGCGATCATGTAGTAGCCGATGAACATCTTGAACATGGTTTCAGAGAGGTAGAAGTTAATACTGTGCTCGCTTTGAGGCGAAGTGCCGGACCAGTCGAACAGCAGGCGGTTTCCTTCGATCTTGCTCATCGTGCAGGTCAGGGCCCAGGGCCCGATGCCGTGGCCATCATCGTCGACGAAATCCGTGAATGTGCACGGTTTGTTATCAAAGTCCGTGGCGATGATTTGTGCCATTCCCGTGCGATTTCGTTGCAGAAGTTCCGTGCAGGCAGCGAGGTAGACTTCAGTGCCGAAACGAGTGGCCAGCTCGCAGGTGCGTCGGGAGGCCGTGCGGCAGGCCGATATGATCGCCATAAGGTCGGAGCGATACCAGTCTGGTTGTCGGGAGTTCCGGCAGAGTAGATCCACGAGGTCGGTGTTCATCACCCCCTTGGCGTAGAGCTTGATGCATGGAATTTGAACGCCGTCATCGAAGACCGACGTTGCGTTGATCGACATGCTTCCGGGGACCATGCCTCCAACGTCTGTTAAGTGGCCGAACTGAGACGCCCACCCGATAATTCTGTGTTCGTGAAATATGGGGAGTAGGACGATCACGTCGTTAAGATGCGTCACGGCTCCTTTCGTCATGTAGGTATCGTTCGTGATGAAAACGTCGCCTTCCTCGATGGATCCCGTCCACGCTTCGAGAAACTGCGTTATAAAACTGCCAAATTGACCGACGAGCATTTTTCCATCGGTAGTGGTGATCACGTTGAATTCGTCCTGTTGTTCACGGATCGCCGGCGACATGCTACAGCGGAGCATGAGGGTGTCCATTTCGCTGCGGATCGATGCCAGAGCGGAAGCAACTAGCGTCGCGATGAGTGGGGTGGACTTTACGATCTCTTGCGCGGTTGCTGGTGATTGATTTTTCGAGCGTTCTTGAGGTGCGTCTTCATCAGGACGGATCAAGATGTTGCCGATCGCATCGATCTCTCCATAACAGCCAGGAAGAATCAGAGTGTTACTGTCCATCTCGGTGATGATACATGGGCCCTTGACGCGCACTCCGTCTTGACTGAGCTTTTCCCGATTCCAAATAATAGCCTCAACTTCCTGACCATCAATTATGATGTTCTTTCTAGACACCTCAGCATCGACAGAAGGTAGCTTAGAGCTAGATGCGCTCAGCCGTGGCAGATCAATGTCGGGAGAGGCATCGACTGCGACTACTTCTAGTCGCATGAGCTCTAGTTCGAAGTTTGGAAGACGGTACCCGAATTGCTGCTCATGTACCTCATCGAATCTGAACTGTAATAATCGTTTCCAGGACCCGTCGTCTAGCGATAGATCTGTCGCGCTCAAATCAATGGTCAGGGTTAGAGCCTGTCCTTTGTACCGAAGGTCAACATTATAGGTGATACTGAGATCCATTGGCTTGTTTGAATTTGACTGTAGGATCGTTGTTTTGCATGATTCCTGGAGCTCATCGAATCGGCTCTTGACGTCTGATGATGCCGTGGCGGAAAGCAGTTGGATGAATGACGAAGACTGCGTATGTGTTAACCTGGTTGTGGCATCTCCCAACGCACAGAGAGTACCCGGCGATGGGGGCACAATGACAGGCCAAGTTCCAAGTAGCTTGCCGATTGCATTTGCATGCGATGGACCAGCACCTCCGAAGGCTACTAGAGCAAAGTCCTTCGGGTCGTATCCCTGCTCCACAGACACGAGCCGGAGTGCTCCATACATTGTCTCGTTTACCAGTTTGAGAATGTCTTCTGCTGTCTGTGTTACACTGAGATTCATCTGCGTTGCAATATTCTCGATCGCGACCGCTGCTTCTTGAACTCCAAGCGTAAATTCCCCTCCCAGCAGACTCTGCGGTAGATAGCCTAGCACAAGGTTCGCGTCCGTCACGGTGGCCTCTCTTCCACCTTTTTGATAGCACGCAGGACCCGGACTGGCACCTGCACTCTCCGGTCCTACTCGCAGTGTCTCCGTGATATTCATATACTGAGCAATTGAACCCCCTCCAGCTCCGACCGTCCGAATGTCGACCGCTGGCGAGTGCACAGTGAGGTCACCGACCACCGTTTCGCGACGCAATTGAGGCCTCCCCTGATAAATCAGGGCACAATCCGTGGACGTCCCTCCCATATCGAACGTGATCAGGTTCTTGTATGGGGTATTGCGCGTGACCACATCCGCCACGCCTTGGACACCACCGGCAGGTCCAGACATCAGAATATTAACGGGTAGTTCGCCCGCCAATTCAAGGCTCGTCAGCCCGCCATCCGACTTGAGGATGCGAATCGTATCGCCATCATTGGACAGTAGTTCTCGAAGATTCCCCAAGTAGCTCCGCACAACAGGCTTCACCAGGCCATTTGTACATGCAGTCACCGTTCTCTCATATTCTCCTACCTCCCGCATGACATCGCTCGAGCAGATGATCGTCACGTCGCCTCCTAATTCCTCCTTAACAAGACCTGCGACCAAAGCCTCGTGAGACCCGTTACAATGGGAGTGTAGTAGCGAGATGACCACAGCATCAGGCTTCTCATCCTTCTTCCACCTCTCCAGACTCTCTCTCAACCTTTCTCGATCCACATCCCTGACACCCACGCCATCAACTCCCATCCTCTCATGACACTCAATCACTCGCTCCAACGGCACAATCGGAGGAGGAGGAGTATAATGCAGCCAGGCACCCAATCCTCCAGGGATTTGCGACCGTCTCACAGCTAGGATATCACGATGGCCAGCCGTAACGATCAATCCCGTCCGGGCGCCCTTTCCTTCCAACACAGCATTGGTACCGATCGTGGTTCCATGATGGATGTATTGGAATTTCTCATCACTGCCGGTCCAGTTGAGCTTCTGACGGATCTTTTCGATCCCGTTCTTGATCCCGATGCTTTGGTCCTCCGGCGTGGTTGGGACTTTTGCGCGCGTTAGTTGGCCGGAGGACGTGATTGCGCAAATGTCGGTGAATGTGCCGCCGACGTCAGCGCCTAGACGATAACCTAGGTGGTTAGACATTTTGATTTGTGAAACAGGCACAGAATTATCGGAAGAGGCAAGGCAGGAGATAAAGTGGCTGAATGGCCGGAGTAAAATTGTTTCATCTAGCAACCGAACGGGGAAAGATCCCCTCTTGTTCCTTAAGCCTCAACCGACGGCATGAGCCCTAATCGACGATGGCCATTCTGTTTCCCCTCGTTCAAGATTGACCCCTCGCAAGAGATACCGTTACACAATCTTACTGGTGATTCAAGTCCAGACGCGTGTACAGGAGCTCCTTATGATCTAGTCTGTTCTATCGGCTCGATAGCCTTGCTTATCGTGTACTTTGAATGGATGGTGTCACAGGGAACCCACTATTTTTAGGATCGAGGAGGAGGGATGAGGTGGCTATGACATTGTCGATCGTTACTTAGCTTGAACCTTCGGCATTTACATGCACTACGGAGAGGGTGAATGGAAAGAGCTTTGTGAAGAAGGGATGGTTATAAAGGACTCCAGACTTGATTTGAAGTTTAGGTGTTAATTCTCCCGAACCAGTGCAGCCAACACCATGTTCGGAGGTTTGCAAGTGTAATGAATTATGGCTTACTGGCAAGGATATAGGATCTACGGGACACAACGCGCAGTTAGCCCGAGAATGGTTCGGATACTTGATGACTGGAGGTTGAAGGAGATTAGAATTCGAACTTTTTTTGAGACAAACGGGATACCAGGCTCCCAAAACTTGTGTTACCTTCATGTTACACGAAATGTAGCACTCGGTGATGCCCAACGGCCGACATGGTAAATGTTTCCCCAAAGTGACTTTTGAATCTTGCTACTGCGATTGTTTTGCAGATATTTGAGAAAGCGAACTTTTCGAAAAGAACCAAACACACTGTCAATGTCAGGACTTTCCGCACCCCATCTACTACCTGAAATAGGCATCCCTAAGTAGACCAAGTACTAGGACTATCGGCCCTCATCAATCTAGAATAACACAGACCCCGATCTTGCATTTACACACAAGTTCTGTCCTACCCACCCGTAGCACGACATATCGTTTTATCTTACACTAATTTCATTCATGAACAAGTCGTACTGCAAGTACAGTACTCATGTCTCGGTGATCAGGTCTAGTCCTTGGCCCCATTCACTCTGCTTTTCTCGTTTCCTTTCCTTGACCAATATCTGGACGCACTAGGCGAAGAGATACATCTGCTTTATGATATTGTAGATCATCACAAGGTTAGGGTTCGTTCAGATCACGCCCATACACGTGACGATAGGGTGCAGAGGAAAAGGCTGTAACTCCCTCCCATGGTTATAATCAAGTAGGCTTTGGTCAGCCTAGTCCAATAACATAATGGAATACTATACTGGAGGAAGAGGTTATTTCTGTTTGTAGGCTCTACCCAATACAGAGCACAGAGAGCCACAAGACTCGCTGTGAAAGAAATGATGAAGTTTTGTTGATTGTTAAAACGTGCTCTTCTGCACATGGAATACTTTCTGGGCTAGAAGACTTTGCTAGTCATGTTTCACTCTCCGAGACCCGTGAAAAACATGAAGGGGATTAGCAAGGCCCAATACCTGGACTATGATTCTAATGAGCCCGGCTAATTGAGCCGAGTCCGATTTCATTACGATGTCTAATTCTGCACAGAAACAGGGGCCTGTCGAATGGCTGCTCCAGTTAGATTACATGAGTGTCCGCCTGGGGCCATGAACAGGGTTCTAAAGCATTAGAAGGTCTCGGTAGACAGTCCGTAGCGACCCTTGATTCTGTACATCCTAGAAGTTGGCCTCTGTGAAACAGAGACCGAGTTGGAGTGGGGTTGGGGATGCCTATTGAGGTGTTTATCATCGTATTGGTCGGTCGCACGGTATCGTTTTTTTTCGATTTTAATCATGCAGTAAACGTTACAGGAAAACCGAAAATAGAGGATACTATAAAGGAACTGAAGAGAGTAGATTATTATTAGCAACTTGTTGGATTTTTTAATCTTCAAGTAGTCTTGCGTTCTCAAGTCTGTCTTGAGTACTGGGAAATTGCACAGTAGATCTTGTCTTATAGGATCTGTCGTTGAATGTGAGTTCTCCAGGGACATTCGCTTTTTCCCTTATTGATTACCCCCCTCTTTCTGGTTAAATACACTAAGTCTATAAGCCCGTTCCGTCGATATTGATATTAAAACCATCACCCCTCACATAGTGGTTGTGAGAATGGGACCGTCATTGAACAAACTGTTTCTTCCTTAATTTGGGTAACATATTAACCCGAAGCAGATAGTGATTCTAGTCAATAAATATGAATAGAAAGATAAGAACATGTTAGTAGCTAGAGACGGCCGCTACAAGGATGTCCAACGGAGGGGGGGATTTTGGTGATCCCTTTCGTGTTACGAGCCGTCTTGGGAAGTCCCATGTTTGGGACTCGTTCCACAGCTGGGATCAACACGCTTTGTTGGCTAATGCCAAGTTGCATATTACAGGGGCTGCTGTTTTCCCTTTTCTTTTTCTGTCCGTGTTTCTTTGTCTTATGTACTCATTACAGACATTTGCTTGCTCATGTTTGTGACTACATGCTCTTGAGGTTAACATGGCCCGTGCTTGGTGTTTTACGAAAGGTAAGCTGAAGTCCCAGATTTTCTCCTACGGAAAAACAAAGGCAATGGAAGGGCTTCCCTCTGCCTCAAGATAGGAATATTTAACATGTCTCTGTAACGGCCACATTTTCAGCCTGCATTCCCCTCTGTCGTTCCAGGCCAATCTATTCCCAAACCAGAGGGGAGTCGCCGATCGAGGAATCCGGACGAGGAGCCAATGGTTGGGAAATCAACGATCCCAGAGATCGAAAGTACCACCGAAACGCAAACAACGACCCACAGGGCAGCTGATTCGACGCGCCAACGCAGACTAGCCTAGCGTGAGACGGTTGCTCAGAGTCAATTATGGCGGCCCTAGGGATCCCATAGGCGCACCGGCACCGATCAGTGAGCGGCGAGTCACGCCATTCGCGACCGGCGGATTTCCCCGCAAAGGTTAAGGGAACCCCGCAAAGTTAGGTCAGCCCACTGGCCAACCGCGTCACACCACCACACGTCATACGACCATGGGATACGGAATGCATGACCTCACGAGTCACCCCACTCACTGCCTAGGTAGGCATCCGGGGGGTTGTATAAATATTGCATCTCACACGCGACCCCTCTCGTGGCTTTCCCAGGACTCTGCTCCTATCGAAACTTCATACCAAACTTCGTATACCACACTGACTCACTCGCACTTTCTTGACATTTTCAATATGTCTACTATCCAGAAGATGGCTTCCATTGAGGAACTCAACAAGTACAACTCCCAATGGGTTGAGTTTCACATCCGTGACCACCTCGCCAACGGCGAGATCAATGTCCGCCATACCGTTATCGAAGGGCACGCTCTCTCTTTTCTTTCTCTCTCTACCTGTTCCCTTTTACTCCCCATACTAATCCACCCCTGACCACAATCAACTAACACCCTTCAAGCGGCGAATTCCACGACGCGGATACCTCCAAACCCATGACCGAAGACGACGTCGACGAGATGACCATCCCGTCCTACGGCGTCGGCGAAATCTGCGCCCGCGGCAGAAGAGGCAGCGAAGGTCGTCTGGACCTTTTCCACGACGAGGAAAAGATCTGCGAACTCCACTGGGACAACCGCCAGGAGAATGGCTTTAATTTAGTCGAGGTGCTGGACGGAAGTAAGCAGTACAGAGTAGAGCATGGGGGATGGAGCCCAGGGGCGGGTCCCCTGGGCCATGTGTACGTTGATGTTTGGGAGATGAAGAAGAAGCTCGAGGAGAAGAAGAAGTTGGAGCAGAAGATCGAGGAGATGGAGAAGACCAAGGTTTGATTTTACGGCGTTTTTTGAGACTTACCAGCGTTGGGTGGGGGTGTTTTATGGCTATTTCTTTTTTTTCCGGGGTTTTTGTTTGCATTTTTGTCTACACTCGCATCGACATTAACGCTGGAAGTGATGTTGCTAGTAACTAGGGAAATTGTCTACCCGTGTATCAAGATGAACAATAATAACTGATTTGAAAACGAACAACTCTCCTCTCCTCTAATCCGGTCCTTCCGGGGTGTTGAATACTGCAGTGCAATGGTTGCCTGGACACGTAAGACACACGGTCGCCGCGGACTTAGAGGGTACAGGGATCCTCCCAGTCTACAGGGGTACGCCACCACGGCAGCCTTCTTCGTGATGTGGGACAGACAAGCGGTCCAATAACCAGCCCAGATCATGAGTGCGTCGTCCAACCTTTCGAGTGCCTGCATTCCATCCACCGAAAACAAAACCCCAGCCACCCGCAGATTGAACCGGAGCAGAAAGCATCCGCCACTTCCCTATCCCTACTACCAGATACGGCTGAGAGGACCATGGTAAACATTTCCAGAAGTCATAGACTTGAAACAACATGGTGTTTCTTTTGGTGATGGCCGATCTAACTAACGCACCTTATTTCCTGATCCAGTATCCCGCATCGGGCGATTTGCCGTGGAATGTACGACCCCTCCATTCGTTGCTTATCCTTCAGGTGTGACATATCATAACCCAATCGGAAACGTTCATAACGGACGCTATAAGGAAGGGATCGTCACCTGACGCATTTGTTACTTCATGGGCCGATCCTGCATGGGGTCCGTATTTTTGCTAGAGAGAAGATCGAATCAACGGGAAATGCCACTTCGCTTTTGGTGGTTATATGAATATCCCATTCGAATTCTAACGCTCGTTCAGCCATGCTATGGCGAAGAAATGCCAGAATGTAGCAGGGGGATTCAAGAGCAGAATACGAGGGACCGCAACTACTGAGTAGAGAAGCACCTCCGAACTGCCTTGCGTCAGACTGCATATCGCTACGTTCCAGACTCGCCATTAAATTGACCTGCGAGTACAGCGTATCAGTTGTCGAAGCCTACTACGGAGTAGATCTGCTGCTATCCGAAATGCTCCACCCCGGATGCCTCTCATCCGTCTAGCATGGACGTAATAGCATCACGTGCACACGTTCTTGCGGGGATGTGGATTAATGTGAGTTAGACGACCGCAAAGACTGTAGAGCGTATATTCGAACTATATGACTGCGGTTAAGATTTCTATTTCTATTGAAAAAGCCTCTTCGCACCATGAAATGGATAACTCGGGGTCACAATACTTTCTCAGGACGAAGTCGCAGAACGGTATCGGGTGCCTTTCTAGGGAAATGACGAGAGTGAAATTTGACCCCCGATGCACTAAGAGGACGGCCGAGAAACTAGCTCATCTCACCATCTCGCAAAAGAAAACCACCTTCTCCGTAGAGGAGAGATCTCCAGAGCTAGACCGTGCGACCAGGATCTGAAGGCAGGAGGTTTGAAACAATTAGCGGGGAACTTGAGCGGGTCAGACATGGGTATTGCTCTGACGTCCCTCTGACGGATCATTTGCGGAACTGGATATTAAGTAAATGCTACCAAATTGTGGTCATGGCCTACGTGGACTTACTCCGGTGTAGACTGATAATTTACGGCAAAGAGCTGGATTAGAAACACTAATCCTAGTACTAAAAAACAAGGGTTCAATGGATGGCGCAAAACAGCCACAATTCTTGATTTAGGCTGTTACTTCTATGGCCCTCGTTTGCCAGACAAACCCCTGAATCTCCCTAGGATGAAGCTGTACAATGGCATCTCGCATTTTTCATCGTGCGAGTCGCAAGAGGTGAACTTATTACAAATTGATGATACTTCGTCCAATTTGATGAACCTTGGATATTCAATCTTCATTTTTCCATCGACCAGGTACTCTCTGCAGCCTAAATGGGTGTGAAGATGATGGAGAGTGTGATCATTTGGGGAAAAGTTTGTCTTTTAGGTTTTCTACGACAGCCTTTGGTTATTTGTGTGACAGCCTGGTAAATCTTCAAGGTGTCATCAACCGACCGACAAGACGTTTAAATATATCGTTACTTTCGTCAGAGGAAATACATCGTCGGTTAGAATGATCTCGAAATCCACGTAAATGTAGAATTATACGTATACAGCCAAGATGCTGTACAGAAAACTAAAAGCACTCTGCTCTTCTCGTAACAAGATTAGACTGTTGGAAAACTGGGATCAAGTAAACTCCTTGCATTCTGTATAGCGCGTTGATCTTTACCTAAAGCGGCTCTTCCAAGCGCCTGAATGCCGGGGCAGATCCCGCGCACTATTCTACGTTCGGAGCTGAATTCCTCAAGCGCCAAGACTTCCTTATCATGTAAGATTGTTGGAATTGTGGAATCTGTGGTATTGACTGGATGGTTTATCGAGATCTTGCATCGGATAATCACCCGAACGCTGTTATCAAAAATGAATGGCCAAATTCACCCGAAAGATCTCACGAAGGGCTGATTATGGTTGTGTCTCACAGGGATCCAGCGAAGCCAAGATTCCTGGCATATCACGAGCCCAATCTAGCCACATGCGGGGAAATGAGGGGGAAAAGGATAAAGAGATATGAAAGAGACTGAAGATAGGGGAGCAGGAATCGAAGGAACTTTTGAATATCTGTTCAAGGGAAATAACACATAAAGCCCTTGCTGACACCTGCCGTCGTTGCTGTTATAGCAGGAGAAAAGAAGATCGAGTATTTATGACCCATATGATACTTTGCGAACTGCTTGAATCCGTACTACGCGTGTCTCCGCAGACTGCTAATTCCTTGATATCGGCATTTTCCCTCAAGCCACGCTGAGATCTACGAATCATGAGTACCTGTAGCCGCAAAAGGGTTGTTTCCGATGACCTAGAGCAGAGCGGTGCAAAGACCTCGCAACAAGGATTTATAGGGACCGAAAACCATGGCATTGACACCAGGGGAATCGCCGTCTCAACAAACGAGTTGTACGAGCGAAAAGTTGCGTTGATGAACCAAGCTCTCATTGGCATTGGTATGGGACCCTTCCAGTGGAAGATTTTTGCAATGACTGGCTTTGGATGGTTTGTGGATAATGTAAGACCTCAGAAGATGATCAACAATATGCTCGAGGCTGACCATCATATCGCATCTGGGCTTTAGTTTTGGATGCAAGCTATTACCATAATCAGCGCTCCAGTCAGAAATGAATTTTCTGTCCAGCGCATCGCGTTCCTCACCGTGGCTAAATACGCAGGCCTCGTCGTCGGATCATCGGTTTGGCCTATAACGGCTGATTTCATCGGTCGACGGCTGGCATTCAATGTTACACTCTTGATATCAGCGGTAGCTGGACTCGTTGGGGCCGGAAGTCCAAACTTCGTGGCCATTTCGGTCTTCTGCGCTTTTATTGGTCTCGGAACCGGTGGAAATCAACCCGTCGACAGTGCTATTTTCCTGGAGTATATACCAGCTACACACCAATATCTTCTCATCATGCAATCAGCGTTTTGGTCTGTTGGTCAGACTGTCGCTGCCCTTATTGCCTGGCCATTGATTGGGAACTTCTCATGCTCTTCTGATGCAGCCAAGTGTCTTTATGCTGACAATATGGGTTGGCGATATACATTCTGGACTTTCGGCGGTCTGACAATGGCCATGTTTTTGCTTCGCTTTTGCTTTCGGATTTACGAGACCCCGAAGTACCTGCTTGGCAAAGGTCTCGATCGTGAGGCTGTTGATGTCGTGCAAAAGATTGCTGGTAGGAATGGTGGAACGACATGGCTCACTCTAGGGCACTTCGAAGAGATAGACGCGGAGATCGGGTCCGCAGAAAGCTCCAACATACAAGCATCGAATCATGCCAACATCATCCTTCGCACCATGGCGAAGTACAAACCCGAGAAGCTACGCACTCTCTTCTCAACTCCCCGTCTCGCTCTCTCCACTGCTCTGCTCATATTCCTCTGGTGCTCTGTCGGGATGGCCTATCCCCTGTACAACTCTTTCATTCCGATCTTTCTAGAAAACAAAGGTGTTTCGCAAGGTGACTCCTCCATCTCCACTGCCTACCGGAACTACGCCATCCAAGCTGTATGTGGCATTCCCGCCTCTCTCCTCGGAGGGTTAATCGTCGATCTAAAGCGCATTGGCCGAAAGGGTACCGGGACCCTGGCATGTTTGGGCACCGGTGTTTTCCTCTTTCTGTTCACGTGTGCAAGTTCCGAAGCCGGGGTCATCGGATTCACATGCGCTATCTCGTTCTTTCAGAATCTCGTTTACGGCTTGTTGTATTCATACACGCCTGAATTGTTCCCCGCCCCTGTCCGTGGGACTGCGAATGGTCTGGTCGCGTTTTTCAATCGACTGAGTGGGCTCATGGCTCCGATCATTGCTGCGTATATTGGGATTGAGACAGATGTTCCAGTCTGGATATCTGCAGCACTATTTATTGTTGCCGGTGTCGTATTTTTGATTCTTCCTTATGAGACACGCGGCAAGGCGGCCGCTTAGAGAGAGCTTTTGACTTTTGAGAGGCAACTCCTCAAGTTATTTCAGTTTGTCGAGCTACTCTTTCATGGGGATTTGAGATATGCAACTCTCGATCAGACAAAACCCGTCTTCAAAAGATCTGTCATATCATCTAACTTGATTTTTCCTCATGTACTCCGTAGTGGCTTGCCAATTTGACATCCGACCGTTACCCCGACGACGAGAAGCCAACCTCTTCGATGCTTCGATTGTTTGCCATTTCACCTACACAACATGGCAAAAAGGCACCTATTCTCTCTCACAATTAGACATAGTGGTCGCCCAGTTTTTACCCCGCGACACCAGTTCTGTCTTACCTTCCCCTCCTCTATTTCGTGCATGGGTCTCGGCAAGCGTGGCGTCGCCAATTGTCGCTCTCCCTCTGAACCGCGCATCTTCCCTAGCTCAGGGTGGGATCAAATTGACCCTTCTTCCTGGGTGGAAGAAGAAACTATTCCAACGTATAGACCCGAGAGGTTTTATCCAGCGCACATTGGCGAGGTGTTCAATCGTCGATATCAAATAGTTGGCAAATTGGGCTACGGATCCAGCGCCACCGTGTGGCTATGCCGTGATTTATTGTATGTGTAACTATTTTTCTCTACGATTCTGGGTCTAACTTAACAGAGAAAACCGTTATATAACCTTGAAAATAAACACAGCATCGAAATCAGTCACTCATGAGATCGAAATCTACAACCATCTAAGGACTGTCCAGTCCGATCATGCGGGCCTTTCGTGCCTGCGCTCCTTGACTGACGTTTTTGAGACTCACAGCCCAGATGGAAAGAGCCTGCACACTTGCCTAGTGCACCCGCCTCTCGGGATCAGTCTCGCTCAACTTACGCCACTACTCCCGGAGGGCATGATGACCACTGGCATGGTGAGAACCACCATCCGCAATGTCCTAGCCGCTTTGGACTTTCTTCACACCGAGGCGCGGGTTATACATACTGGTAAGTGCTCTTTGTATGATCTCCAAGCGAGTGCATAATGACCAATGACTTAGACCTTCAAACAAACAATATTCTCCTTGGGATAAAGGATGATTCAATTCTGTCCAAGTTCGAGCAGGCGGAACTAGAAAATCCCATTCCGCGAAAGGTCCTTGAAGACCGTACTATTTACCTCTCAAGGCCGCTTCCTATCTCCTTTGGCACGCCTGTTCTCTGTGATTTAGGTGAGGCGCGACTAGGTACCGACAATCAACGGGGCGATATCATGCCGGATATTTATCGGGCCCCCGAAGTCATTCTGGACATGACGTGGGACTATAAAGTTGACATCTGGAATGTGGGCATGGTGGTAAGATGATATTCCATTTTGACCGATGTGGCAAAAGCTGAGAATGATTTAGATCTGTGATCTCTTCGAGCATCGTCATCTTTTCCGGGCCCGGAATCCAGAACGTAAACTAGATGATGCATATCATCTTGCCGAAATGAAGGCAATTCTGGGGACCCCTCCCCGTGAGTTCCTTGCTCGGAGCGACAGGAGCGATTTGTTCTGGGACAAAGAGGGTTAGTTTAGCCCCTATCACCCAGGAATGGTTCTAAAAGGGGGAGACATTGGATTTTTAATTATGCTAAATGTTTGCGTCAGGCCATTGGAAAGACACAGCTCCTCTCCCGGATTATAACATCGAAACTTTGGAAGAACGACTCGAAGGTGATGAAAAGGATGATTTCTTACGATTTCTTCGACGGATGTTATGTTGGTTACCAGAAGAAAGAGCCACTGCAAAAGAGCTTCTGTTTGATCCGTGGTTGATGCATGGCCTTTTTAAATGAGAACAAAGTTTGCATTTCAATAAAAGGGGAAGTGAAGTTCTACTTAATATCTCAATCGTACTAACAGTATAATGTTTGATTTCATTGTTATCCTAAGCTTTAAAGACAAGGGAATAGGTCGCCCATCTCGATTCTTTTCTCTAAAAGGTCATCTGGGGTCTTCTAGGGAACGAGAAATCTTACGAAGAATATAAGTGGTCTCTTGGCTATACTAACAACCCTTATGATCAGAACGAGAAAATGCCAATTTTGAATTAGGTAAAAAGTAAGATGGGTAGCTGAATTTTCTCACTACACTCCATGGTGACTGAAACGATGGTTTCGAGCCAGCTCAGTTAAGTGAAAATGCAGTTTGCAATCACCACACTAGGCATGCTTGTCAGCATTGTGCATCTCAAGCCCTTGCTTGCTGCTGAAGTCTCTATCGCAATCTACGCAATAGTACACCATCCCGTAGTTAGGTCTTTGAGATACGTGGAACGGTGTGCTGGGGGCAGTCTTTTGCACAGTCTGAGTGGCCTTTCGAAGATTACTAAGAGTAAGCCATTAGTTAGATAACTATACAATTCGGCAGGTACTGATGAATTTTGAAATGAAAAAACCTACTTTACCTCTTTTTCGGATTGGACGACCTTTTCCATCATTGGAATTGAGAGGTCGTAAGAAAAGCTTGGGAACTTCTTCAGAGCTGCTTGGAATTGGGACAGATCTTTAAGTGTGGAAAGATTTTGAAGGGCACAGTTTACTATAGTACCTCGCAACTTGGAATGCGGAGGACTATCTGGCCCATATACAATTCCGATCAGTCGAATAAAGTCTTCACTTTCCCATGTAAGTGATGGTTGTCTCTCAAGCTTGGTTTTTAAGAGGGCCATAAGGTGATCAATCGCATATTTATCAGCAGCATTATACACTTTGGTATTAATATACGTCCTGCTCCTGAACACCTTTTGGGGAGCAGACTCGTGTTCTAAAGGAGTCTCGCCTTAAGGCTCGGGCTCCGCAGAAAGAATTTCAGGTTCAGATTCATTGCTAGACTTGAGGCCTAGGGAAGTGTCTTTATTCTGAAATTTGACCGAAAATAGAGGAGAGTCATCGTATACCTCGCGGTAGAGATAGTCAATCATTTTTTCAACAATCAACGGTTCGTCATTGATAGTTATCTCCCTTGATTTCGCTTCCTGTAACTAGTTAGCATCACACCTCAAGTTCTAGTCGTAATCTTACCTGAAATTGTCCACAGAGTGCCTTCTCAAAAAACCTTGACTGGGGACAGATAATGCAGCTATGTAGGTTGAACGTCGATCTATGGCACTTGAGCTTAACATCAGAAAATGCCCCATCGTCTCGGATTCTTCACGGTGTCAGCTAACATCATGTAGGTATGTGGACGTCTAAGTATATCCTTTTACCTTGATATGATTCCAAGAAGACCACTAGGATGAGTAGTCATTCTGGCTGAAAAGGAAGCTCAATGCTCTTCCAGTAGAGAAGGAGAGAGTTCAAAGGGGCAGGGGTATTATTCTCAGATTTCGGCGGACTGCCCACTGCCTTTCACGCGTGACGCGAATGTCACGGAAAGCGGGAAGCCATAATAATCACGTCGGAGTTGTCATTTTTTTTACTTTATGGCTTCTCGCAGGCGCATTTGCATTCCCTGAAGACCACTTCTTTTTTTCTTTTAAAAAGAGCTTCAGTTTCTCAACAATGAATAGTAAACTGGAGTTTTCGATAGAAAAGAGGATACTAAAAAAAAGGAAAAAGGAAAAAAAAAGCCCATCCCTCATTGCCTGCGAAAGTAACAATCATGACTACTAGTCTCTATGGACTTCAATTATGAATCAGAAATTCATAATCAAACAAATGATTGTAAAATATCACGTCGCCCGGGTGGTCTAGTGGTATGATTCTCGCTTAGTATGTCTCCACAACACAACCATCCCATTAATCACCTTACTAACAACAATTTCAGGGGCTACACCCAAGCATATCTGCGAGAGGTCCCGCGTTCGATCCGCGGCTCGGGCCATATCTTTTTTGTATTTTTGAGGGTGAAGTGGTCAGACGAGGTGTATACGGCGCCTATGGCGATCGACACCTCCGCGGTAGTCCTGATATACGCCTTCCTTCACACGACAGATCTAGCTTAGGACCTTACCGAAATCAAAAACTATTATCACTGTAAAATCAGCAGGAAACCTGCAGCTACATATGGTAAAGACCCACCAAGTCGTATGATGTGCAGGCGTGAAGACTGGAAGGATTGTTTAACGAACATAATGACTAGCAGGTAAGCGTTAAATGCTTCTAGTTAACGGAAATGGGATTTGCAGGTACTAAAAACTGCCATTCCTAACAGGGACAGTGGTTTCGAACCGGGAAACGTGAGAAGAATTGTAAGCTGCAATCAAAGCACCGTGAATGCTTGTCGACATCGTGTTGCCGACGACTTTCTATGCCAGTAAAGAGCTTCCAGCATTCATCGCAACATCGATAGCCAGTCTTTGAGTTCGAGAGTGGAGCCTTATCAAAAGTAATGGTTTTTGGTAATGGTTTTGGTTTCTTCTTAGAGAATCTGATCTGCAATTCGTGGGTTATTAACATGGGTAAGTACTCAAGGAGCTCGACACTCCTAAGATGCAGGTGGGGGCGAAAGTATACTCTATATCGATACCCAGTTTATCAATTTTTTCCATTATCGCCGTCGATAGCTCGTATGAAAACTCTAGGAACTCCTTACGAGTTTTATGGAATTGGTCTAATTTTCTTAGTGTGGAAAGATTCGAACGGCGAATGTCGCAAGGGTATAGGTATACCTCAGCTCTGAATGGGGAGGTCCTTCCAGCCCGTAAACGTATTGAATGAGTCGAATAAATTCTATGTCTTCCCACTCTCTCGCTAGGCATGACTCCAACTTTTTCTTTGAGAGAGCCATCAATGAATTGACAAAATATTTATCAACAGCGGTGTACATATTCACGTTGATATACATCTTAGATTCATTGATACTCTGAGTTGCATACCCGGGGTTCGAAGGAGGCGTCTCATGTCGGGATTCAGTAGCTGTATCATTAAAGTCGTCGTGGTCCCCTCGGTAGAGATAATTGAATAATCTGCTGATAATATGAGGCTCGTCATAAAGAACTATCCCTTTTGATTTGGCTTCCTGCGATCTGTCAGTATGATTATGCTTGAATCTCATTTTGGGAAAGATACTTGAAACGATCCATGTAGGGTCTTTTCAAAGAAGACCGATTGTGGACAGATAATGCAACCGTGTACTTTGAATATCGATGATTGACACTTCATTATTACATCGGAATATGCACGGACTTTTACTGTGAAAAAACTAGAGTATATGCACCATCTGCTCGGAGACTGCATTATAGTAGTTTAGTACCTGTAGATATACCGAGGAACAACATTACCTTGATAGAGTATGAAGAACAGAGCCGTCTGGAGTAGCCACGTTTGGTAGTATAGCAGGTCAACTTGGAAAGGAGGGAAAGGTGTTTGAAGCAGGAAGATGATCACTGTATTATTCCAATAAAAGAGGGGTGGGTATAATCACGTGTCGCAGTTGCAAAGAAGTATAAACGAATGGGAGAGAGCTTCTTCATTAGATTCTGTGATCCATGGTCCTCTCCGGTGTCTCTTTGAGATATAAGAAACGGCTAGGTTGCTATCTAGGGCTGATGGGATGGATTGGATTTCAAAGCAAGATTGTACTTCGATTGTATTTGAAGCAGGATAATATGGTCAAATTATTTATGCGCTGTATCTACTGCGTACGGACAACAAACCAAAGCCGATGCTGGTGCCAGGATGAACGGCATTAGGAGTTGCACATGTCGGTGGGCCACACCGGAAAGATGATCCGAAAACTAGCAAAATGCAACATCACTCAACGGAATGGCTCGCTCTGGCCAGGCTCTAATTCTAGGTTTTAAACACAAACCATTATATTTGGGACAAAGGAGTTGCTCGAATTGAGGAGTGGAACACATTACGTTAATGAACTCTATAAAATCGCCCTCCATTAAGAAACGCCCGACTTTATCAAGACCAGAATGGAGTAAGCGTGCACTCTCTTCAACGAAAGATCCCACCTCTGTACAACGGGAAGGATAAAGGGAAAACATCAAGTTGGTTTTCATGGATTTAAAATCCAAGGCAACCACTGTCTGTCCTAGCATATTGGAGATATTCACCGTGAAGGCGCCATTAGTCTCACCCCATAAGTCTTGGAAACGAAGCGGGTGTAGGAAAAACAATCTTAGATCGTATTTGCCTATTGGATAGTCTTCACTACCCTATGCAGATCATTTTTGCAGCTCTGTAGTCCTATTTCTATTTGCAGCCCCCGATGCTGCGCGACTCATCTTGAGTCATTATTATCCTTTGGTCTCTCCGACGACTCGGCGGAACCGAGCCCGGCGAGCTCTCTGGGCAGTCGTCCGCCGACCGGCGGAAGACCCCTGTCGGGCTGGGGACTTAAAACAACAAAAAAGCCCAACTAGTTTTGATCGATAACAAAAAGCCAAATTAATTAGAGGTCCGAAGTTTTATGCTTGCAAATTTTCGACAATGGCGATATTCCACACGGGACCACCTGAGGCTGAGAAAAAGCCAGGGGAAAGCAACAACCCGAATGTCTGCGAGACAGACGATTCTATCACCAAATCTGATTCGGAGTCGGGGGCAACTGGGACTACAGGATGGATTTTCCTGATGACTGTCGTGGCTTTGGCTCTCAGTATGTTCTTGGTAAGAAAGAACAAAACCCTATCTATGTGATGTTACTAACTTTCTATGAAGGTCTCTCTAGATATGGTACGAAAGTCACGTCCCCGTCCCCTTCCGATCGACAATTTATCGCTCACCTCGATACCTAGACGATCGTTGCAACGGCCATACCTAAGATAACGGACGAGTTTGGCGGTATTGGGCTGGTAGGCTGGTATGGGTCTGCATTTTTCATAACCTTGGGAAGTTTCCAGGCTTGTTGGGGGAAGATCTACAAGTATTTCCCTCTCAAGCCCGCGTTCCTCATCTCCATTGTTCTCTTTGAGGTGGGAAGTTTGATGTGTGGTAAGGAAATACCCTTCAAGGCCAGCTTGTAAGAATCAGCTATTTACTCGTCGCAGGTGTTGCAAAGAATAACACCACATTGATCGTTGGTCGTGCCATCACTGGCATTGGTGGTGCCGGAATCTCGTCCGGCGCATTTACAATCATTGCCTTATCGGCCCCACCCAAGCAGCGACCGGCATATATTGGAATCCTCGGTGCTTCATATGGAATAGCTGCGGCCGTCGGACCTCTCCTGGGAGGAGCATTCACAAGCCATGTTTCCTGGCGGTGGTGCTTCTACATTAACCTTCCGATTGGAGGCGTCGCTGGGGGGATAATTCTCTTCCTGTACCGTGCTCCGCCACCACTGCCGTTCCTGGGAGAGCCACTAGTCGAAAAGATCCTTCAGCTAGACTTTCCCGGGACGTTCATCCTCATCGGAGCCTTGATCTGCTATGTGCTAGCTCTTGAATGGGGCGGAATTTCGCTGCCATGGAGTGATTCGAAAGTTGTTGGGACACTGGTGGGCTTTGGTGTCTTGCTAGTTGTGTACTGCATTGTTCAATGGCGCGAGAAAGAGCGGGCAGCAATGATCGGCCGTATACTCGGCGAGAGAAATGTGTTCATTCCGATGATCTATATTCATCTTCTGGCTGGTACATTCTTCCTCCTGGTTTACTACCTGCCGATCTATTTCCAGGTCATTTCTGGAGTCTCTGCGGCCGACAGTGGAATCCGCAATCTGCCACTAATTCTTGCTCAGAGCGTTGCGACTGTCACGTCCGGCGTTGTCCTCAGTCGCGTCGGATACGCACCGCCATTTCTGCTTTCCGGTGCAGCTATCACGGCGATCGGTTCTGGGCTTTTGTACACTTTGGATGTTGACTCGGGGGCTGGCAAATGGATCGGCTACCAGATCATGACTGGCCTGGGTGTAGGATGGTGTTTCCAGGTCCCTGTTGTCACTGCACAAGCCGTCGTAGAACCTGAGGATTTGCCTTCCGTAACCTCGATGGTCCTGAGTATGTCACAATCCATCCTCTTATGGATAATCTCACATGCTGACATCATTTCTCTAGCTGTTCAAACAATCGGTGGCGCTATCTTCGTCTCGGCTGGTCAGTCAGCAATGTCAAATGTCCTCCTCAAGGTTCTCCCTGATCAAAATCTCGACATCGATCCGGTCAAAGTCGTGTCCACCGGCGCTACTGAGTTACGAGACATATTCTCGTCGGACGAGATGGGGAGAATTCTTGTTTCATACATGGAGGGAATCAAGGCCGCGTTCATAATTGCTACTGTTGCATCCAGTGTGGCTACGGTGGTGTCTATTGGTAGTCGGTGGAAAAAGATATCGGCGGAGAATGCAGGCGGTGCGATGGCTTGATGGTGAGGATCAATGGTACTGTGCGCCGACAGATTCCCTATTTGGGGCGCATTTTAGAATGAAGGTATAAAAAGAGTTGAGATAGACTTGTTTCAAAGTGATAGCAAATGCAGTTGTTATTGGACATCATTGCGTTCTGTACTGGTTAAAATCCCCAGTCTATATCCTCACTAAATTCAGCAGAGAAGTAAGATTGCGTGACCAAGTTGGGATCAAATGACCATAATCCAGAGCTCTGCTCTTCTGCACTCATCCCTCCCTGGTACAAAAAGTTTGCATCGTCTATTCGGAGGGAACCAGATACTGCATAGTCCCCTGACTGCGAAACTGTGGCGAGAGTCCCCACTACAGTCTCTGGTACTGGATCTGTCGTGCTTTGATCCACATTGCGATCCAGCATTATTGTCCCGAAATATGGAATGGACAGCTTGAGACTGGTAGGTCGGTCTTCTGTTGTTCTATTAGAACTTGTCTCGCCCGATGATAAGTCTCTTAGAGTACGCAGCACCCCCAGCGAACGGGACGCAACATCGTCGGGTTGGGATGCTGATAGTCGTTGCAGGATTTCCATGACCTTATTAATAGCCTCCCGGTCCTCGCTGGAATGGTATGAATGACCTTCAGGTCTCAGCACATTGATCAAAAGGGTAACAGCTGCGGTGAAGGCTTGAAAGTCCAGGGACTTGCAGCAGAAACTTTCTCCTGTGAGGTTTCGAATCGCTATGTAAATTGTAATCATGCGTCGAGAGGCGTCTAGGCAACTTTGTCTATTGTATTCATACCGCTGCTGTGAGGTTGAGTCTAGCATGAGTGGCAGATGTAGCCAGGCCACCAACTGAAAATGCCATAGTTGTGCCATGAGCTTAGCATATTGGTAGGCAGTCACAGAGGTCTTAGCATCAAAACTAGTCTCAACCGAGACGGTATTTATTTCTCCGGGGTTGATTTCCGCTAGTTCCGCGTCAATCAGTTGCGTCTTCCGAATCATGTCGGGGGTATGTCCGTTAAATATCTGATTTCGCTCAATGATCGAGCCGGCTGCTAAAAAGAGCTTGTCCATGGCATCTGAAGTTGGGTTATCGAGAGCAGCATCGAAAGTTCCGTGACACATCCCTAACATGAGTGACAGGTAACGGTCGGCAAAAAGAATATGTCTCCATATTTTCTTTCCACGACTTAAGTGTCCATTTCGTTCTTGTGCCATTGGTCGATGAAGCCCGAGAAGCTGAGCGACATTTAGAGCATTGCGATAGCATAACCATGCCCGGCGTAGTTTCCCATTATTGTTGTGAAAGATCGCCTGCAGGACTAAACATTCTAACCCATCCACATTTCGTACCAGGGAATCGTGTGAGCAGACCAATGTTGTAGTCACACTGACACATTGCTCTATGAACTCCTTCGACGGCCTCGCAAGGTCGAGAGAGCTGATGTCGAAGCTAGGTGGCAACTGCTGGAGGCAAATCGTGATCCATAATAGCGCCTTTGCAATGGCTACCGGGTGCTTGTTGGAAAAAGCAGCCACTGGTTCGGGTAGTAAGCGAGTATTGTCGTCTCCAAAGCATTGTATTCGAATTAACCACCAACAGTCATTCTCACTGCCGAGGGTATCAACAGTTAGTTGAGATGGCAATAACGCTAACAAGCCCGTTCTCAACTTCTGCAGTTCTGGGTCTTCTCCGCTACGCGTAGAGTTCTTATGCTCGGGTTCCGATCTATGCAATCCCGGCTACAGTAACAATCAGTTTAAATTTCCACTCGAGGAAGTCCAGAATCTACAAACCAGACTATTGTTAAACAGCGATAAAACCGGGGCGCTTTCTTGAGCGCTAGGAGTTATACCAGGTGGGCTTGCGCTTCTGGTACTTTGCCCAACCCAAGAAGGCGAGGGTTGTCGCTCAGCCACAACTCCTGCATCTAATCGCTGTACAACCCGCCCTAGAAGCGATTCCACACGAGCAAGCCTATCATTTACTGACGATCGATCTGATTCACGAAGGTTCTCAGGCTCAGGCAGATCCTGGCTTTGGCAAGGTAATCCACGCGATAAACATTCTCTGCAAGTAGAGCTGTTACCATCTGAAAACAAGCACCGAACCTTCCTGTGTTTGCCTGTTTGTATCCGACGGTGAGTATCCAGCAACTACTTAAGGAAGATATATACTCACATTCCCAGCAGCTTCGAGTCCCCTTCCGGATCTTTTTGCGGGGTGGCTCCTCTGATGATTCTGCTGGATTGAATGGCATTGTATTTTTAGTAGCGGAGCGCAAAACCAACCATGCAGTTGATGTAGCCTGGCATGTAGACGTGGACATACGGGGTAAATCTAGATGAAGACTGGGCGTTGCTCGTTGCCGTGGCCTCATCGCTGACCGCCTTTATTATGCCACTGCGCCAAGCCTTTATGCCAGCGTGCAGCATCCGAGGATCTTCCTCCGGCGTGGATCAACTATAGTCCTAGAGTCACGTGATCATTCAGG